TCTTTGCCAAAAAGCCAAATAGAGGCTTGCGTTTCTGTGTCGACTACCGCGAGCTCAATGCTCAGTCAAAAAAAGACCGCTACCCGCTGCCACTAATCAGCGAAACTTTGGAACGTCTATCTTGCGCTAAGCTGTTCACCAAGCTGGATATCAGGGCGGCTTTCCACCGAATCCGCATGGATCCAGCCTCTGAGGATCTCACGACCTTCTGTACGCGCTTTGGCCAGTACAAGTACAAGATGCTCCCTTTTGGACTTTGTAACGGCTTAAGTACTTTCCAGCGGTATATCAACAAGGCCTTGTTCCCATATCTGGATGAGTTCTGTACAGCCTATATGGAAGATATCTTGATATTTTCTGCAGACCCATTAGAACACTGGGACCATGTCCGCAAAGTCCTCAAGAAGCTCCGTGAAGCTGGCCTCCAGGCTGACATCAAGAAGAGCGAGTTTGTTATCATATCAACAAAATTCCTGGGATATATAATATCAACCAGTGGCATATCAGTTGATCAAGCCAAGATTACCGCCGTGAGGGACTGGGAAGAGCCTAGGACTGGTAAAGAATTATAGTCTTTCTTGGGATTCTGTAACTTCTATTGGCAATTTATAGACAGTTTTAATAAGATAGTTAAACCTCTTTACTGTTTTATTGTGGCAATTAAGTACTTATAGACCAAGGAATAGTAGAGAGCCTTTGACAACCTAAAGGATGCCTTATGCTTAGCTCCCTTGCTCTCACATTACAGGGAAGCAGCTCCTACTAAGCTAGAAATAGACGCTTTAGATGGTATAATCTCAGCAGCCCTCTCCCAACAGGATGAGCAAGACAACTGGCATCTAGTGGCCTATCTGTCGCGAACTATGAATACAGCAGAGTGCAATTATCTCATCCATGACAAAGAACTATTAGCAATTGTCTATGCCATGCGAGAATGGAACCACATGCTCACTGCCCTTCAGCATCCCCTTCCTGTTTTCATAGATCATCAGGCATTCCAATACTTTGCCACTAAGCAATAGCTCAATTCTCGACAAACAGCCTGGAGTGAGGATATCTCGGGCCTGGACTTCACCATCTCTTACTGTCCAGGTAGAGAGAACCTGATAGCTGATACTCTATCACGGAAAGCTGTAGATCTAGCTACACAGAAGGCCATCAAGGATAAAAGTCGCCGCTAGATCCTCCTACCTATTAAAAGGTTCAATGGACCCGTTGACCTGCATATGACTGACCCGTCACCTAGTCCAGAGGACAACCTGGTATGTGTCATTATGGCCACCTTTGAAGCCAACAACCAGGACCCTGACGGTTCTCTAGAAGGTGTTCAGTTTATTGATGCCATCTTGACAGCCAATCGCTCTTTGGAGACCTTGCTTCTTAAGCGTGAAAGAGCTAAACACATTCAACAGGGCTATAGTCTTGTTGATGGCTTGCTACTGAAAGAGGGACGTCTCGTGGTGCCTGATGAGGGGCACCTACACACACGATTTTATGATGAGATTCACAGACTATCTTCCCGTGCACACCCTGGTCGGAACAAGATGCGTGCCTTAGTAGCAGAGCGTTACTCCTGGCCAGGTATGCGTGCTTTTATAGACCGTTATTGCGCTCATTGCCCAGAATGTGGCAGAGGTCGCAACTCCCGTCTCAAGCCAGCCGGCTTGCTACAACCCCTGCCTATACCAGATCGTCCTTGGCAACATGTCTCTATGGACTTCAAGACCATGCCAAAAGACAAGCTAGGCTATGACACAATCTATGTGGTGATAGACCGACTAGGCAAACGCCCGTGGTCTATTCTGACATATAAGACATGTACAGCCAAAGACCTTACCACCTTATACTTCAATAGACCTTGGAGGGTCTATGGCACCCCTGAGACTGTGACTTCAGATCGTGGTCCCCAGTTTATTGCTGCCTTTTTAGATGAATTAGCCAAGCTCACAGGGATGGATCTACGCCGCTTTACTACAGAGCACCCTCACACGGATGGTCAGACAGAGATCATTAACCAGTTCCTCCAGAGGAAGCTCTGACCCTTTATAAGCCACTTTTAGGATAACTGGTCTCAACTGCTGCCCTGTCTTGATTTTGCTTATGTCACACAACTTCATGCAAGTACTGACTTATCTTCAGCTGAGGTTGAAATAAGGTTTCTTTTAATCATGACATTTGACTGAGATAAACGCAGTCCCCTCTCAAGAAAGACGCCTATTACAGAGCGGCTGAGTCATTCAGACGCTCAAAAGTTTACTGAACGCCTGGTACAAGCCGTGGCAGGGGCCAAAACCAATCTCTTCAAGGCACAAGCAAAGTACAAGAAGCAGGCTGACAAGTCCCGACGACCAATTGACTGGAAGCCAGAAGATATGGTATATATACGCAAAGGAGCATGGCGTACTGACTGCCCACATGATGGGTTGGACAACCCCTACATGGGACCATATCGGGTTGTCAAACAGATTAATGAGAACGCCTTTAAGATTGACTTACCCCCTGAGATAAACGCTCATCGGGTCATCAATGCAAGCCGCTTAATACGGTCACCAAATGACCCTGTCCCAGGTCAGGTGATCCCTCCACCGCCTCCCGTCGACATGGATGGGGTTCCTGAATAAGAAGTTAACAAAATTCTGTCCTCCTGCCTAACCCGGGGCAAGCTGGAGTACCAGGCTGAATGGACAGGTCATGATCCTGACCCGATGTGGTACCCAGCAGCTAACTTTAGAAACTTGGCTATACGCGTCAAAGAGTTCCATGACGCAAATCCCAAGGCACCAGGTCCCCCTCAAAGGTTACAGCAATAGATAGAGGCTGCTGCTGATAATCAGGACCTAACTGATCATAAGGAAGACAACCTGCCTGTAAGAGGCTCTGCACAAGGAGTAAGGAGAACTCGGAAGAAATCATCATCGTAAACCGACTTGATTAAGGGGGGGGGGGTAGTGTGACGGCCTGCACAGACCTTCTCACATGACAAGCGGATACTTCCCAATAAGGGAAGGATCTGACCAGAGGATCCTCTTAAAGGGGCAACCTCTCACTGTACCTATCTCTCTCTCTCTCTTCCTTTCCTCTCTAGTCTTGATATTCTCATCAATAGAGTAATAGCTGCTTGCTGCCGGCCATGTCCCAGCTCCTCAGTACGCTCGCCGTGACAAGAACCTCTACTACAGTGAAGGGGATAGGGGGCACAGATCCCATTACACCTCAGATTAGGGCCGGGAGTGCTAACTTGCGACCCCCACAGCGGCCTATCCCGCAGCAGTACACCTAATAAAACCAGCACTGCTAAAAACACTAAGAAAATATGATTTCAATACAGTATTTACGATATCTAATGCTTCATTGCCAGTAGAAATATGTGTAAATGAACATTGTGATATTGGGTGTGAAAACTGTCCTATATCTAGGGCTGTCTCACATCTATACCCCCGCCGTTAATGCTTTTAAAATTAAAATATTATAATTAATTAGTACTTAAAAATGCTCCATTATAATATCGTGTATTCGTAAAATTGATTTTCGTGGTATTCAAAATAGTAAAAATTCAATGTTTGAACCCAAAAATAAATTTTAAACTTTTTAAAGTTTAAAATTTCTTATTAAATAAATAACAGATTAAACAAGCTATATAAAGCGACGTAATATTTGCTTTTACGTAAAGTATCATAAAATACTAGGTTTTCATCTTCTCTAACTTTTCAGAATTAATTATCTTAAAAAGAGATATTTTCCCAATATCTCGCATTTAATAAATAATTATTTATTAATTAAACCCTTAAGATTTCAAAGTTTTTAAGGAAGCCATTTTCTTATTCCGGTAAATCGAACTGTTAATGTTCTAAGTTTTTAAGTCTTATCTATTTTGGTCGATTTAGTATGATAATGTAAATTTGGGGTGTTTTGGTGTAAAATAGGCATGCTTGGAGACTTATGGAGGGTGAATGTATCAAAGTCATTATTTTGGCCGATGACGACGGATCATCAGCAAGCTCAAGGAGGGCTCGGTCGCAGGAGACACCAACTTAATAATCAGATGGATTGAGATGAAGAGATCAGGTCGGGTGGGAAGACGCACCCAGAGGCATGAATGAGAGACTCCCCCCACCCACCCCCACCCCACCACATCCCGTGCCCATCCCCCCTGTCCATTAAATTCATTCCCTTAGTTAGTAAATTGATCCGGTGACTGCATTCACAATGCAAACACGTTTGCACCGAACCCTCATAAGTCTCCATACCCTCCTTATCCCCTAAGCGAAAGTGCGATCATTATGAATAGAATAATGGAATAAGCGCGCTGGAATAAGCATCGAATATAAATTTATAGCTACGAGCTGCTTATCCTTGTCTGCTTATTCTAGTATTTCTAATATCTCACGTGTGATCTAGAATTCTTCCAACATGGTGTGTACGGAGACTTATGAGGGCTGAGTGTATCAGCTGGGCAGCCCGGTGAAGACCTTTGTGAACGTCTGGCTGCTTGTCCATGTACTGAGTGTGTATCATGGGAACAGCAGGCTGGCAGTGGTTCTGGCTGGGGCTACATGTTGCCGTAGACCACCGTCTGCTCCATTCAAGCTAGACCTGGCCAGCTGCCGTCCACAGCTCCCATTCTCCTTTCGAACGTCTAGTGCACCTCATACGTCTCATCACAAAGTACTCCTTAGGTCTTGCAAGCAATATATGTCTCAGTATTCTCGGACAGCAACTCGTCTAGCTCTCATATAAGCTCACGTCCCAGTAATCTCACCGGAATATTACCAGACAGTTCCATGCTGCAAGGCCTCATGCCATTCATGTCCAGACGTCTCTGTACCCACATCACGTTTTCCTGTTCCCTCGTACCTTCTTAAAACCCAAACCATTCCTATAAAGTACGGGCCCACCCTCCAAGTCTATAGGCCGGCTAACTTTTCTTCCGTCCACTGCACCAGAGAATCAACATTTCCCAATGCCGACTACCATCATGTGTGGCTGCGCATGCCTAATCCTCAGTCGATCTCCATCCCGTCCTGGGACCCAGCAGAGAGTGTTCGCGAGCTCTCGCGCGAGTAGTCCATCATAGCGGCGTTGTCGTTTTCATCCTCATCACTAATTACAACATACTCTCGATGGACGGGGATGGATCTGTCTGCCATCTGGTGGTCCTCGTCGTCATCGATCATGATTGCATCGACATTCCGGCTTGGACGCAGGGCTGGTAGCATGTTCGGACGCAGGTTCGGAAGCACGTTGGGACGCACGTTCGGTTGTGTGTTCGAGCGCCTGTTCGCACGTGCGTTCTGTCGTATTTCCAAGCGCCTGTTCCGTCGCGTTTTCTCGTCACTATCGTCGTCGATGATGATCGCCTCGCCGTTGTTGTCGTCCAGAATGATCACATTATCGTCGTCGTCGCTACTGAGGTCAATGACCTCATCAACCACATTATCAAGCTCCATGAGCCACTTGTGCACGCCGGCAAAAAGCACTCGAGCCGGTCCAGGCGGGAATGCATTTCCAATCTGTCTCTTGATCTGGCCTACATTTCCCAAGAAGTCGTAGGTCGGCGGGAAGGTCTGGATGGAAGCCAGTTCGCGCAGCGTGAAGTTTCGAAGGCCATCGGGGTGGTATGAGGTCGATCCACTGGTCGTGATGGTGCCGATCTTTTTCTCTGCGTCGTACGGACTTCTGGGGAACCGGCTATTAGGGCGAGCGGCTCGCACCGCCATCTCTAAATCGTCGTGTAGAGATGCAAATGAAGGCACGTTTCGAAGGATCCCACCCAGCGTGGATGGCTTCGGGAGCCCATTAAGGCCAGTCACGTTGTGTGTACGAGCTGGGAATGGGGCCATGCGCTCACTAGGGCAAGACCCGATCCAGAGCAGCCGTCGGCGAGTCTGGCAAGTTCCTCCAAACTCCTGGAAAGGGAGGGTATCCCATCGAAACGAGAAGCCGTGGGAGGTGTACTGGCACACGAGCGAGTTGAAGTAGTCCTCGTTCAGGTCAAACAGAAGCCCGAACGTCTGTTCGCCAGTGCCGAACCGGGGGCGCAGCTGCTCGAGCACCTCCTGCACGCACATCAACGCTGCGGCATTCGCGTCGTCATTCTTGCCGGGTACGGTATGCGCCGGGCTAAAGACCTGGCACGGGGGCGACGTATGAGCAACATCGACGTGATGTTTGGAACGTGCGTCTTTGCGTCCCCGCATCGATACGAAGATGTCCGATTCTTCGAGGTCGGTGTCTGAGTGGTTGACATGGTAGCTCCGACAAGCTGCCGCGTCGAAATCGCAAGCGAAGGTCATTCTGAACCCTGCTTGACGGGCGCCTTCAGAGGCACCTCCTGCTCCGCAGCATATGTCCGCCATGGTATACTTCTGTCCCATCAGTCTCGTGGTCGGAGCGGCATCCATGTCATCTTCTATGAGCTCTTCGAGAGGGACTGTCTCTTTCCCGCAAACCCATGAACCTCCACGGACTTTCCCGCCGCGGAATCTGTTCAACAAGGTTCTGTCCGAGACTCGGAATGCTGGGTCCTTGATGTCCTTTTCCATAAGGCGATAGACCTCGCCGGTGGGGGAGAGAGCCTTCTTTTCTCTGTAGGCAGCGGACTTGTAGTGAAAAGTTATGATCCAGCGCTGAGTCAACGGAGCCCGGTTCTCAATCGCTTCATTTGTTTTATAAAGTTTACGGTCGAAACGGTTTTCTGGGAACATGGCGTTGGTGCGATTGACTGTGCGGCGCCGGATCACCTCATCGACGTTGACTTCCTTGGCCGCCTGGATGAGCGGCTTTCGCGGATCATTCTGGTCTACCTCCAAGACAGCACAGACCTCGTTCCTCTGCTTGAGGAACATGCCTCTGAGGTGCCGGAGTCTGGTCAGAGGAATGCCACGCAGCCAGACTTCCCCGCCTTCTGTGCGTATGTAGCGGACCTCGAGAAACTGCCAGCTACGCTCTTCAGGAGGACGAGTTGGGACCTCGACAACCGTGCCTGCCTTAATCGTGTAATTACCGTGCTGGAATTCTGACAGGCGCAAGTAAGGCTCGATGGGACGGTTGCGGAGGTTGCGCCGATGTCGTAGATCCGGAGGAAGTCCGTCGTCATCAAGATCAAGGACGATTGCAGCAGGAATTTCATCGTCATCGAGACCGAGGACGATTGCAGCTTCTCTCTCCACGGAAAGCTCTCGCTGTTGACGTCGTGCTACATGTTCCTCGTCGTCGTCGATGACGACAACCCGTCGTGCTTGTCCAGTTCGGCGAGCATTGCGGATGCGTTGCTCAATACCAGACATGCGATCCTGACCCTCCTCCAAGTCATCCTCTTGGATTTGGCTGGCGCGAGAAGGAGGCATGGTGGGGGATGCTCCAAGGAAATGAGGGAAATTGCTGGTACAACCAAGAAAAACAGTATTTAAGTAACAGGTTGGCGGCCCCTTGTCATCCGAGTAGATTGACAAGTAATGCCTGGAACGGAATGCGAAGGGTAGTCGCGAGAAGGTGTAGTAGGTGCCGACGAAAAGAGTGAGAGGCAGGTTCAGTCCATCCAAGGTATTGCGAGAGGCGAGGTGGTTATGGCGGTGGTCCCAGAGCGAAGGACAGATTCATTCAGTCCGAGGCTTGACAAGAAGTGGTGGTTGAGTTGTGACAAGATAACGGCAGGTCCAGCCTGTCCAAGGTCTGGCAATACCGAGGTCAGCTCAAGCGCTGGCAAGGAGGTGGGAGAGGACGAAGATATCAAGCTGCCATGGATCGGAAAAGGACGAAGGTAATGGCAAGCAGATATGGGATGGGAGAGGAAGGAGATGACAAGGCTGACAATTAGATGGGAGAGGACGAAGGTGACGGCAAGCTGGTATTAGATGGGAGAGGAAGAAGATGGCAAGCTTGCCTCTCAGGAAGTGACTTACTCTCTGTGTGCCTGCTCTGCCTATATGGTCAATCTCTCCGTGGCCATAGGAGGGCTACGGGCTTATAGGAGGCGGTGCCGCGAGCCCAGAGGTACCAACTCTATACTTTCCGAGGACACTTCTGGTGAGTGTAGAGGCGCTGCCGTCTTCTCCGAGTCAAACAGGAGTTGTGTAGAAGATAAAAAAGGCAGGAATGTGTTCTGACGAAAGTGGCGACCGATGCGACGCCGGAGAAATAGAGAACGCCAAATCGATTGCGAACAACTGCTGGTAAAGTGTTGAAGTTGTCAAGGAGTGCCGGAGTAGTGAGATGGAGACGGCGTTAGGTTGGAAAGTGGGAGGAATTAGACGAAGCGAAAAGAGTGGCGGCGAGGGTGGGAGGAATTAAGCGAGGTGAAAAGGGTACGTACCGATGGTTAGAGATATGTTTTCGCCTCAGGCATATGATATATAGTAGAAAGAAGCCAGGCAAGGAGGCCCGGGATGGACCAAGCGTCTTCGCCTTAGGCACGTTGGCATGGTAGGTACGGCGTGACATCTAATCGATTGAACTTTTATGAGCTACCTCCATGAGCTATCTAGCACATAGCTGTATTTATTTTTCACCCGGTGTGTAGTACTTCCGCCAGTCATGCTCTTCCTTGAAGCCTAGCACATCCCTGATCTTCTTATTCGACAATGGCGCCTCCCATTCCCCCATCTCCCGCGTGATCTTCGTACCAGGCGCTGCCTTCTTGAGGAACTCGAGCGTCGGCTCCGTCGTCGTGATGGTGTCGTTCGTGGCGTTGAATACCTGGAAGCCTAGCCCATCCTTCTGAACGCAGAGATCACATATCTGTCCCAGGTCCCGGGCATCAATATAGCTCCACGCATTCCGCTTCCGCGTCTCCGGCTGCCCAACGTGCTTGGGGAAGTCATGCTCATACTCGTGCGGCTCGATGACATTGCCGATGCGCAAGGCGTAGATGTCATTCCCGAACCGACGAGCGAAGCCACGTGCCACCCTCTCCCCGCAGAGCTTCGATATGGCGTACGTGTCCATGGGGTTCATGTCGTCGTCCTCACTCAACGGGAAGTGGTCGTATTCGATGTCTCCTTCCGCAAAGCACACACCGTACGTGGTCTCGCTAGACGCGATGATGATCTTCTTCACGCCGAGCTTACTAGCAGCTTCGATAACGTTGTAGGTAGAGACTGCATTGGCCTCGAAGGTCTTGTTGTCCGGCACCAGCATATTCCGCGCATGAGCCGCAAAATGAATCACGACGTCGGGCGGCTGAGGCACCTGGCCAATGTCAAAGCCAGCGAAGTTGAAGTGGGTCGTCAAGGCGTTGAAGACCTGGCCTGACTTGGTGAGGTCCGTTTTCAAGGTGAAGACGTCCGGGTTCAAGCCGTCGCCATCGGGATTCGGTAGGGGTGCCAGATCCAGGTTGAGGACCTTGTGCCCCTTCTTGAGAAGCTCCGGGATGACATGTCGTCCAGCTTTGCCGCTACCACCAGTGAAGACGATTCGTTTGCCCTGCTGTGATGACATCTCGACGATTGCCTTGTTCGCAACTGTTGTATTGGATTGATTGATTGCCTGTCTCGGTCAAAATACTAGTATGATATGAAAGAGCTTTGAAGTGACGTCGCAAGTATGTTTGCTGATCATGGAATCAATGACGAAAGGGAGCAGGGGGGTGCAGGGGTTTAGCAATCGTGGGGATGCGGGGTAGCACTCAGGGGGTCGGCCCCACTTCGAGGTTCAGAGGAAAGGGGGGAGTTTTGAGTTGCCGTGAATCACTCCCTCAGTCACTTCATTCTACCTATCCAGCACTGATTTCAGGCACCTCATCTCAAATCAACCACAGGCATGGCTGTAGGTATGCATTTTACGTAGTGACCTAAGTGGCCCACCGCTCACCTGTTCAACCATAGTACCTCATCGACCACTTCTTCCACGGCGCCTTGGAGAAAACGACACCGACTTGTCAATCCACGCAACGTTCGGCTGCGCGCCATCAGGTGTCATAAAGACATCCACAGGTGTAAGATACGGCCTGATCTCCTCCCCGCTAAACACCGTCGTGACATTGCTAGCCGCTTCAGCCGCAGCATCGTAGCCAGGACCATAGACGTCGTACACAGCCATCGTGGTATTGACGCCGATATTCCCATTGAACGTCCCAGCCCATTCGGTGTAGCCGGCCGGCAAGATGCCCGGGTCGAGATACGTATTCATGAACACGCTGCGATGCAACGCGTTCCACGGCCTGCCGAGCGAGCACTTATCCACTATTACAGCGGCGATGGAGCTGTTGGCGGCGAGAACCTGCGAGTCGGCGATGTAGACACCATACTTGTTGGTGAATGTCGTGTTGGTGCCCTTCCAGGCTGTGATGCCGCCTCCGCAGCTCCGCAGTGACAGGGCCGACTTCTCGATGAACAGCGTGCCGAAGCCGTAGAGGAAGTCCGTCTCGCCTGCTACGACGGTGTCGTAGAAGTAGGCGTTGCCCAGCTTGCCAATATAGATCTGCCCGACATTAGTCGTTATGTATTGGAGAAGCTCAGGTAACAACGGGACTTACGGTATCTTGCCAGCTGTAAAAGCCACAGGAATAAAAGCCTGCGTTCGCGCGACTGACCCCCAGTGCATGCGCCGGTCCATCCGAGTACGGCGCGAACTCGTTCCGGAAGTCGATGTTGTACGCCCGGAAGTCCGTACACCCAAATGGTGTGTCATCCGGTACGGCGAAGCCCGTGGGGCCGGAGCCGGTCAACGTGGCGTTCAGGTTCGGTCCCACAGTCAGAACGCCGGTGAAGGCGTTATCGGTGAACGAGGCGTTGTGATTAGCCGAGTTCCAGTATATCTGGACATCGTTCACGGCTGAGGAGTTGTACCCAATGTCGATATATGGCTCGGATCGCCATGGACGGTCTGACGTGCCCAACAAGGTGAGCGGTCCCTGCCGGGTCACATTCAGCTGCTCGGTGTAGATTCCCGGAGCTATCAGGATTGTATAAGGAGTTGTGTCATTGGGAATTGAAGCTATCGCGCTCTGTATCGTTCGAAACGCGACGCTCTCGTTCGTCTGGCTGACGTAAAGGGTGTCTGGAGGGCAGCCTTCGAGGGGTTCTGAAGTTCTTTTCTGGCATTGCGCGAAGCTTTGTGACGGTGAATAGTTTGCAAGGGCCGCTGCTTGACCAAGCAGCAAAGGCAGAAGAGCAACCAACAAGAACGGAGTCATCTTGGTATGAGTACCACGATGGATGGAGTCTCAGTAACCTGGGTACTCAGCATCAATTTCTTCAAGCTACCTATATGTCTGCCCAGAAATCAATACCTGCTTCCGACGAGGCCCCGCTGGAGGGTTCCGGCGTGGTATCGCTAGCAAATATGCATGGCCGACTAATACCACCATGCGTCCCAATCGGAATGGGGATCGCAGAGGACTGGTCTGACTGGTGGAAGAATAGCCCTATTAGTGGGAGACCTGGAGTTCTACGGGACCCGACTTGAAGTTGACAACGCCTCGTGGCGAACACGGAAGGGGGTCGCCAAAGCGGCCTGTGGACCACCACGAGCTTGCGCGTTGACGTCGTAATTGACCAGGGGTGGAAAAAATCTATCCAGGGGAGTGATGATGCCGGTGGTCCGGTGGTGCGGGGACGAAAATACAAGCTTCCCCAAAGGCGTCCCCAGATCAACCCCAGTTTCTCCAAGTTTCTCCATCCACGTACCCTGTACACTTTATACCCGGCAGATGGTGAGCTTTGGGAACAATCGCCGACGAACTCACATCACTGGTAAGCTGTGAGTGACGGGAAAATTCACCTCGAGCTCGGTGTACCCCCAGGTGCTCATTGTCTCCTCCTGCAAGGGTCGAAGATGGGGAAATCGAGGGCCGTGAGGCAAGTGTTTTTACAGTGGGGAAAACATTCCCCTTGAATCGCATGAAAAAGACATGAGGTATATACACATCCCACGAGTCTGCCGTGATTGTGGTATTCTTGACTTCAACACTTGATCATCAAGGCCAGCAGACACCATGCTTTTCCAATCAACACACAGCGTGGCGATCGCCTTCCTCGCGACGACGGTCGCATCATTCCCGGCAGTAAACTGGTATACGGGAAGGACTTCCATCGCACGACCAGAACTTCTCGCGTACCCACACAACAGCGGACGGCAAATCCCCCTCTCGCCTGCGAGGACCACAGAGTGCTTCGTGAAGCCCCAGAGAAACAGCAGCGACGATGCGCCCGCAATCCTGCAGGCCTTCAAAGACTGCAACGGCGGCGGCACCGTCGTTCTGGACGCCAACTACACCATCGCCACCGCTCTGGACCTGACGTTCCTGGACAGCGTCGACGTGGCGCTCTCCGGCACCATCAAGTTCGGCGGCACCATCGACTACTGGATCGCCAACGCGTTCCAGTATGACTTCCAGGACTCGAGGGCGTACTGGAAGATCGGTGGGAAAGACGTCAATATCTTTGGCGGGGGTGTGGGCCTGATTGATGGTAATGGCCAGCCGTGGTGGGACGCGTTTGCGAAAAACGACTCCCTGTTGCGCCCGATTGCTGTTGTGATAGATGGACTTGAGGGCGGTTCCATGACTGGCATCCGCATGATCGATCCACCTAACGTGAGTATCCTCTGGGGGTGTGTGCCCTTGAGACGAATGGAGTAGCTAATACGTGTCAGTGGTTCAACCTCATCGCCAACAGCTCCGATATACTGGTCAGCGACATGGTACTCTCAGCCAAGTCATCCAACGAGAACGAAATCCACAACACCGACGGTTGGGACACGTACCGATCGGACCACGTAGTAATCCAGAACTCGGTGATCGACAACAACGATGACTGCGTCTCGTTCAAGCCCAACAGCACCAACATGGTCGTACAGGGTCTGGCCTGCAACGGGTCTCACGGCATCTCCGTGGGCTCTCTTGGCCAGTACATTGACCAGTACGACATTGTCGAGAACATCTACGTCTACAACAACACCATGTCCAACGCATCGGATGCGGCGCGGATCAAGGTGTGGCCCGGTATTAATTCCGTGCTCCAGCCCACGCTGTCGGGAGGTGGTGGCTCTGGATATGTCAAGAACATCACCTACGAGAAGTACGAGAGTATCAACAATGACTGGGCCATCGAGGTCAACCAATGCTACGGTCAATCGAACACGACTCTATGCGAACTATATCCAGTGAGTCCAATTGCACCTGATACGTGACCTGTCTTTCACAGGTGCGCTCCAGATAGTGACAGCTGACAGTCGCATAGTCAAACATGACAATCTCCGACATCTACTTCATCGACATGTGGGGAACGACATCCGATGCGCACGACCCAGACGTTGGAACGCTCGTATGCTCCTCGCCAGAAGTAAGTAACCCAGTCTTAACTCTCATTAATGCGAAGATTGGCTCGACTCACACGTGTGACAGCAATGCTACAACTTCCATGCCAGAAACATATCCATCACGTCCCCGAGCGGCAGCTCGCAGTTTATATGTGCCAATTTCGATACAAGTGATCTGGAGGGAGTGGACTGTTTGTCGGATGACTAAGAATAGGGGCTACATACATGGATAAACGAGGTAGATGTCATAGTCCAGAAGCTCAGCGATATATCTGGCAAAATGTAATCGTGGAGCGATACTAGACGTCGAACCTCAGCAATAACAATTCCGAACAAGTGCAATGCAGTATGCCATAATTGCGATATGAGTTGACGTTCGGAGGCATGCCTGTCGCTGATCTACGCGGACGACCAGCATCAGTATGCTGTCATGTGTCATGTCGAATCCAGAAGGGCGCGTTTGACAAGCCGTGGGGCGCGATTGGCTGACTGCCAGGAAGATCACATAAAAGTCAGCAAGCAACTCACCAACTCGACCCCTTCGTACCTCGCGACTATTAACTCACATTCATATTACCAAAGTACCATCAAAATGTCTGCACCGACCGTCCAGAACTTCCCCAAGCCCAAGTCCGTCACGGGCGGCTGCCTCTGCGGCTCAATCCGATACCGCGTCGACTTCCCCGACGGCCATGACTTCCTGCAATCGGTGAGCGCAACATCACTTTCGATATCAATTAAGATGAAATAAATCATTTCATTCACATGACTCGTCAACTCTTGGACCTTTTCACTGACACCAACCAACAGAGCGGAAGCTGCCAATGCACGCAATGCCGCCGCGGCACGGGCTCCCTCTTCTTCACCGCGCACTCCATCCCGCTCAAGAGCCTGACCTACCTCACCGCAACAGACGCGCTCAAGAAGTTCTACGCGACGCCCGGCATCACGCGGGGCTTCTGCGCCCACTGCGGCAGCTTTTTATACTGGCGCGACGAGTCGAGCAACACGGTCGATCTGGCCGTCGGGTGCGTGGATCCGGAGCTTTTGGTCGGGGAAGGGGAGGAGGGAGTCGGGTTCGGGTTCGCGCTGGCGAACATGGCGGGCGCGAATATCTGGTGCCGGAATGAGATTCGGGGCGTTACGGATGGGATGGTGGGGAGGGAGCGCGGGAGCAGGTGGGCGGAGAGGAGTGTGGATGGGGTCAAGATGTGAGGGACTAGAACTCGACACTTGCACGGGGTACATTTTCACGCAGTCATGTTCGAACGTGACAAGCAAGTAAAGTTATTTACGCCCGCATAGAAAGAATGCGTTATGCATGCATGTTTGTTAGTAAAATGTCGTCTATCTAGTGGGCTAACTATCTAGAACTTGTCGTCGCTCTATGCCAGCGAACAGGCCGGGGACGAAATATGCCATGCTGCAACAGATGCATGGTTGGAGAGCTGGTCACCGACTGATACAAGGCCGCGTTGTCCTAGAGTCAGCTGCCTGCTTTCTGTCTCTGAGTATGCCTTGTGACTGCACCTGAGCAGATAAGTACTACCACGGACTGATCCGAAATGGACGGTGACAAGGCATACTATCTGTCCAGGTGATCTATACTCTTAGAAAGAGTAGTACAGATCCACCAGCTGAGGGTACCATTTCAGCATATATCGGAATTCGGGTGTGAAACGCAGCCAGCGCTCATTCGAACCGACGGCATCAGCCAAATCCTTGAATACCACTCGAGGCAGAGAAATATTGCTGTCCATGACAGCGTCTTCGGGCCAGATGTCGCGATGTCGATTGAAAAACGATAATCATGGCGTCCACGGGGGGCGAAACACGCCAATTCCCATCGCGTCATAATTTATCCCGCCCCATTTCGAGTTTCCCATCTTGGTCTGGGTCTGCGATGTAGTTGGACTTGCTATTGTGCAGAAGGTAGCGATGGATGTGCACGAGGCTGTTTGGCTCGGCTTCCCACTGCACGTAACCTCGGGTCTCCCATCGGAAGCCGCCGTGGAAGCCCAAGTACATCACGTCGCGTAGGAAGGGGTTGCGCGTCGTCGAAGATATGAGGGTAGGTTTGCAGAAGATGTGGTGTGCAGCTATATATATGCACGCGGGGATACGTGTGTGTCTGTGCCACGATGTTTTCAATGCTTGCTTCGCTGTTCAAAAGGGCGGAGAGCAGCAAAGATAGGGTCAAGGTGGTGAGGGAACTGGGATCGTATTCCCACCTGTTTCTGCAGGTCCAAATTGATGAGGTGAAGCGACGCTTCTTTTGGTCGCTGGTCATGTTACTGTTCATTGAGCCCTGGCCGTCCAGAGCATGAGACTCTGCAAACAACTAATACAACATTAAGAGGATAGATCCAGGGTGAAACGGTGGTTGCAGTTCAGCCTTTCGAAACTATGCTTATGACGATCTTGAGACTCTGTATGAAGAATATAATCGGTTTCTGAAAGAAGGCTCGACTATTGCATCATTCATCTACGAAAATCGACAGGTCGCTTTGCACGACTGCGCTTGTGCCTAAAAGTACCTTTAGTGGCGGCCATTCTGTCAGTATCCACCATGCATCGGTACGTTGTAGAGTCCCAGCTGACACCGCGGAAAGAAAAAGCGTTCTTTGCAACTCAGGGTGGTTGTTAGTTGATCAGCCATTTATAGTGGGTCAGCAAAAATACTAAACACACCACCTTAAAAGCCCGCGTTTTCTCGCGTTCATTTTACATGCTACGATTAATATTATGACTTTAATAATATTTCGAATATTTTAAAAAAAGTTTGTTAAAATTACGAATTTATATAATATTTTATTAGTGTAATCGATTTATAAAGGATTAGTTATAAACAAATTAAAGAAGTTTAAAAAGCTAATTAAAAAAGGCTTAATATCGACTCATCGCGGGATTAAAAAGGGCTTTGTTTATTAAGATTACGGCGTTTGTTTTGAAAGCCGTGGTCGATTATAATTTCTTTTTAAAATTTAAAAACGGGCCCCATTCTGTATAATAGTAACTATTTCATTTATTTTTTATTTAATTTAAAATAAAAATTTAATTTAAAAGACTTATTACGTATGATAAGTCGTTATTGTATTTAAAAAGGTATTGAGTATATTACTGCCGTAATATATTCATATTTAATTTAAATATATGCCAATAAGCGATTAAAATAAGTTTAAAAATATACGAAAAAGCCGGTTTCATTTAAAAAAAATTATGATTTATAAACGAGTTTGTTGGAACAGGCTTGAACGATCAATCATAATACTCGAGTATTGGGTCAAGGTCATGATGTTACTGATGGTTGGATTGGGAAGTCTAGCTGGACCTGCAAGGTCTGGCTAAGTGACCTCACAATCCGGTATCTAATCTCTTATCTAACCATACATGTGGGTTCTGTATAGATGGTTTGACTGTGGAATCACATGGATCCAACAGAGTTAATTATTAAGCGTAAGCAAGGTAAACGTAAGGAATAATTATGAAGCGTGTGTGTATGGGTGTATATTGGTCTGTGGGTAAGGGTTGGAGAACCCAAGCCAGATGGCAGAGATTGCACATACTTATGGCGTGTGTGCAATCCTTATCTAATCTATCTAGCTAGTTACAGTGCGTCTCTCCAGCCACCACAGCTACCACCCCTAGTGACATATATCAAATTATTTCGACTTAAAAATGTGGAGGTTTTTGAAGGCTTTTTAAAAGTGTTAGTTCTATCACGCGATTAATAAAATAATATTGAATACCTAAAGTTTAAGATTATTTATGATAAAAATTGAATATATTCAAATACATTATAAAAAATTGCGCTATTTTGAGATCTTTTTAAAGTAGTATCTATCACGGCATAAAACCCAAATTAGCTATTTATAACGAAGATTTCAACGTTAAACACGGCGGTATAACAGCTCATATTTATAAAGAAATCTTTTTAAAAAAGGCTTTTTAAGTAATAAAGCTGTTGGATCCATGCGATTCCAGACTGCAAACCATCTATACCAGGACCCACATGTATGATTAGATAAGATAAGATAGTGGATTAAGAGGGCACTTGGCCAGACCTTCGAGTCCAGCTAGATTCCTCTCAATCCAACCATCAGCAACATCATGACCTTGACCCCATACTCGAGTATTATGATTGATCGTTCAAGCCTGTTCCAACAAAAGCTAAGCGTGATATTTATATAAAATAATACGCTTATTTGTATTTTCAAATTGTTAAAAAAGTAGTCTTCAAAGTTTTAGTTTTTTTATTAAAATAGCTTTTTAATTTCTTTAACTTGAACCTTATTAAAGATTTGTTATTATCACTTAATGTGGATGACAAGCGAGCGGCAATTACAAGTAAACGGCAACTTTTCACTAACCTTCCAACCAATATATCAAATAACTCGACCATAACGCATTTAATTCAATCTAATCAATCGGATTCTTCTTCTTAAGAAGTTTCTATCTATTGTACAAGTTTGCGCATTATGGCCAGTGTTGCTGCAAACTCCACAACGTCGCTCACGCGCTGCTGCCCTCCTCGGACGACGACTATCTTCACCTATTTCCTATCTTGCCAGCTCATCACTATCCTTTACAGCCTGGAGACCTACTGCATCTTCAACAGAAAGTACTCCTCCTTTTACTAGACATTTGATTTTTGTCCTCTGGTATTTACTTAGTAGGTGATTGGCCTCCTCTAGCTCGCGGACCCAGGAATCAACCAAAGCGACCTTGTGCATAAGACCGTATGTAGCCTTTGAAAATGAGCTCAACGCATCACCTATTGATGTAGGTGAGCTTCTTTAGTGGTTTCTGACTCGATTTTGGATATAAACTGACTGGTTTACCGCTTCGTTGATGGTGGTAGGCATCTTTGAAGTCCAAGTAGTGGGTGGCAGATTGGTGTCTGGCGACGGTGTTTGTATCTTGAATACTATGTTTCGCGACTGCCCAAAACCACGCGCAATACGCGTCTGGATCTTCGTTCAAGACCCTCTGGTAGTCTATTCTCTAATGAAAACACGTCCGGAGGCCTGGTGTGCGTTTAATGAAGTTCCGCGTCCAGTTATTTCTAACGCGTCCATCCCCTCGCGCTGCCAACAATTGATTTGCCATATCTTTACCATAACTGTGCCGGGGTAGAAATGCTCGCGCATCCAGGTCAAGAATGAAGGAAAGAATGGCATTCTCTTCGGAAACCGTAAGTTTCAAAGTATTGGGCATGCTATTGCATCGTGATGGTCGGCCGGCAATTCTAGCCTTCAAGGTATTATATTGTCAGATTTGAGCCAATCGTGAGGTTGAAGTGTGTGTGTGTATTCTGTGTGTCTGGAGTGTCCTTGTGCGACCGTGGCAGTTTTGTGCCAGAGGGGGCTGGATCGGGACGGAACAACTAGGTTCCGGTATCTACCTATTAAGGTGCCCTCTGTGCTCACCTTTAATCCAACATATATGGGACATAGAAAGTCTTAGAAAGCTTGCCAATGGTAATATGAGGGCCGCGTCGCTTACCTTGGACAGCAAGCTGTAAGTCTGATTTGCTATAACGCAATGCCATTATTATTGGTTGATCAATTAGGAGCCTTGATTGAAAGGTTAGGTGGCTGGTAAAAAGTTGCCGTTCGCTTGTTATCCACGTTATATAAAATTTTGATAAAGATATTTTAAGATTAAAAAAGTTATTAATTAACGAGGGTTAAATAGAATGTTATATAAATATTGTCAAAAAAGCGTTAAAGAAGGTTAAAGTTATTAAAATTAAGAAGCTAATAAATTTAATGTTAAAGGAGATCGTAGCAATTATGAAAGCAAAGAGATGATATACGAAGTATTAAAAAATCTTCAAAAATATACTGCATTTTTATATACTTATAATTTAATTTGTTAAAAATGCGACGCGTAATTACGATAGTTGTGACTTTTCAGAGTAGGGTGGTCAATCAGGGCCCATATATCGGGCGGACGGAGTGTTCGGTCTTTTTATCGACCTATTATATTTATAGCATGCGTCCCAGGCGTTGTTTCATCATTATAAGAGGGTTTTAGGGGCCCCACCCCTTTTCGTGGCTCTTTCTCTCAACTTCAAAGTGTGCAACAACCGATCATAGGGAAGTCAATCTCGTTGGCGGACGGCCGACTCACCGGTCGCTACCACAAGGCTTGCTTCGTCTGCACGCATGCCGGGAGCCCTTTTCCTCGTCGATCTTGTACTTCCACGACGACAAAGCCGTACTGCGAGCACGTCAACCTCCTAAAAGGAGTAGTATAGGTCGCCGAGCTCCGGATATCATTTGATTAGGTATCGAAAGTCGGTGGTGTAGCGTAACCAGCGCTCGTTTGAGCCGACAGCATCCGCCATCTCCTTGAACACCACTCTCGGCAGGAAGATGTCTGGTACATAATAATCATGAGTCCTGAAGTCTCAGCAGACCGCCCGGTAGCCTTGGCTTTTCTCAAGTGTGTAATGTCCTCCATCCCAATGACCCTAGGCTGAAGATGTTTTGCTCTTGAACCCCCTTTCTTCATCAATTTCCTTGCCATCCGAATGGGGATCGACTCCCTCGACACCAATCATGGAATGCTGGAAGCGCGTCAGTGCCTGCTTTCTATCACACAGGTCAGGCAGTCACGCTCAAGCATACCTCAAGATTGATCTTCGGCCCCTTAAACCACTTGTGCGCATCGACAAAATACCAAACGATAACGAACAGCATCGGCGCCCCCTATCGAGGTTGGTTTTACATTAGCTGCCATGCCCATGACCAGAAACACACCTTCGATATATCAGTAAGGGCAGACTCACATAAACCAGGCACGTCCAGTTCATCTCATCAAGCGTCAGGTTCGCGCCCCTGACGCTGGGAACACAGAGTATGGGTAGCATAACCAGCGTAAAGCAGCACGCAAGAATACCCGACGGAAAACTGAAGGCGCCCAGGTGCCACGGTCCACGGCGGAACTTATTACGCACAAACACGATCTTGATGAATATCGGAGTAGTGAACGCAACGAAAGCACCAATGGCGCCAATGCTGAACATGGCATCGATAGCAGCGCCGCCAAAGATCAGCAGCAACAGCATGATACCGATGGTCGTATTGAACCACACGGCGTTGATAGGCGTCAGCGTGTGACGATTGACCTTCTTGAGGGGCCGACTGACGATGCCGAAGCAGTCGTCGCGCGCGTACGCGAAGCACACGCGTGAGGCGGCCACCATGCAGCCCTGGCCCATGGAGAAGGCGCAGATGATGGTGAGGGCGAGGACGGCAAGCGCGACGTTCTGCGGCATGACCTGAACGACGTAGGCCGCGAAGGGCTGCCCCAGGTCGCTCTCCAGGACGGCGGGGACGTCCTTGATGGTGTAGGCGATCAGCACGTTGAGTATGAAGCCCAGTATCGAGCCGGAACCCGCCGTCATGACGATGGAGCGGGGCGTGGCGATGGCGGCGTTGGAGCACTCCTCGGCTAGATGGAAGCTGGCATCGTATCCACTCATCGTCCAGATGATGGAGAGGAACGACATGAGCACGGCGACGCCGTCCGGCCAGTCGGTGAAGTTCTGGACGCCCCAGGCGACGTTGTTGGGCACGAATTTCGGGTCGCCCAGTGTGGCCGTCGGAATTATGATTATTACGACAAAAAGGGCGGCGAGGTTAATGGTCGTGCCCACGGAGTTGAAGTTCGCGATCCATAACGTCGGCATGCTGCTGATGCACGCGTGGACCAGCATGAGGAAGGCGGTCAGTAAGAAAGTCTGGTAGTTTGTCGGTACGTAGTCCGGATTCACGATGGATGCGGCCGCGAGGATCATGGCAGCTGAGGGCCAGTCAGAGTCAGTCTCCTGGTCCTCGCTGTGAAGTCATCCGCAGAGTCTCACTCACCACAACCGTAGTCGACACTCGGAGCTCCGGTGACCTGTACGAACCAATTGCTCCACCCCGTAATCCAGGCTGCGAAAGGTCCATATTTCGGACCTGCCAACACGGCTGCTGCATAGTACAGACCTCCCGACGTTGGCATGCTAGAAGCCAACTCGGCCATCGACGCTGCGACCTGTAGCACTGTGTCAATATCGGGCGCTGGCCATCTCATACATAACAAGGCATACTCACACACAAAATGAACACGACCGACACCAGCCAACCCCAAGTATTCGCCGCCGGCCCAGCTACCATCCCATGAAATAATCAGATCCTCCCATTCCATCCGCATTATTGCGCACGGGAGCAGGAGCAGGAGCACTCACCGTAGCCGAGTCCATACCACATGGTTGTCGCGATACTGGGCAACAGCCCCATGACGGCGAAACTAACGGCAAACGTCGTCCAAGCCGAAAACTCGCGCTTGAACTCCTGCTTGTAGCCCAGCGCCGCGAGCGCCGCCTCATCGTCCGACATCTCGGCGATCTCGTCGGGCACGTCTGGGAGGACGGTCGTGACGGGTGGGGCGCGGGCTGCTGCCGAGGCCCGGCGACCGCCGCCGGCGTCGTCGCTATTCCCGGATGCTGTCATTGCGACGGGGTACGGTTTCTGGGCGCGATATTTGTGGTATGGCTTCCGGTTGGTGAGAGTGTCGCGCGCGGTAACTCATGGACTGCAAGCCATCAACTGAAGTAATGCAACAATATCTCGTCGCCGTCGAGTGTTGGCGACAAGCAAGCCCGGCGACCGCCATTGGGTTGCGTCACCAACATAACCACTGCGTCGGTCGCATCACGGTACACCACACCACGCCCGCAAATCACTGCTCAATCATCAGCAGCCATCGCTCGGGCTCCCCGAGATAGCCCCAGGCCCTATTCCCGTTCTCGCTCTCGCGTGGGACATGCTCTGCAGCCGGTGTAGCATCGCGCGGCGTCGTGACATCGGTATGTCTGTGTGCTGCAGTATCCTGGACATGGCATGTCCAGCGGCCATGTGATTTGCTAGAAGAGCTGCGTTGGGTTGAAGCTTGTGGTGGCCCTGAAGGACCAATAGTCAATCTGATCTGGCTTATCTCCCCCCCATTTGGGTACGGAGATGCTTGACTTGTAGTACTCGCACGTGACATCCCAAAAAGAATCTCGAGGTCTTTAGTCGTCGTCCAATGAGATCGGATACTCCTCTTCTGTTCAAGGCAAGCCAGATCGCAGAGAAGTCTTCAGCTGCATACATACATGTAGAGCGAAAACCCCCCAGGCGTCTTCGCTACTCGTTTGGAGCTACTGGTGGACTGACTGCAGATCCCACCCTTAGAAGCAGGTGCGCCAGCTCTTATCTCATGGCTTGTGGTTGCAGCTGGAGCTATGACAGCCCTGTCAGCTCACCCACACCCGGCATCAACGCCGGCATGACGCAGGAACATCATACCCACGAGATCTCGGCAAGTGTGCCTCGTCGTCAAACTGCTCCGCCCAGAACATCGCGCCCCGAGTTTCGTACGAGTGTCCGCCTCACAATCCGTCGATTATCGACTGCGGACCAGCAGCAACGACAATTATCGGGCTCATATGAGCCCCGCTGTCGGGACGAGAAGCCATACAATCTATCGCAACGGGCACCAAGCTTTGCTGCCACCACGGATATGAGCAGCCGCTCGGGGGCGAGGACGGCGTGTAGAACCATGTCGATTGCTAGGAGTTAGGTCACGAGACGCCACGGCAGTGCGGAATATGTGAGCCCTGGAGAGAGCCTTTGCTACCATCCAGCTTCTCCGCGGGCACCAGGCCTTCTCAAACAATCTTAGTCCAAGATTGTCCAAAGACGCGCCCCTCGCGCTCGGCCGACTATGAAGAGAAAAGTATCAGCAGAGTAATTGCGCCAGGCCAAGCGTTCATGTACCCGCAAGGAAGACGGGATAACTTGGCCTCAACGCCTAGGTTTCCGAAGTCGTAAATCGGAGGACCGCTTCTGCTGGTGGTTTGGTCCGACAATCCAGAGCGCGGTGCCCATATTTGCTAGGCCGACAGCCAGAGGGGACAAGGTCTCGGGGTATCGTAGCTTGCGGAGAATCCCGGGGAGCGTCGAGACGTTCGGGGGGAACACTGGGTTTCTTGTTGTGTGCAAAAGTTTGACTGCCTCTGCAGGACGGAGAGTAAGTTAGCCAAGGACTCGGAGGCACATACTCGAGGACGGGCGATGGCTTTGAGCTTAGCGCCGGCACAATCAGGGTGAGCGTGAATTTTTCCATTGAAAGAACAGCAGTTAGAATAGCATTACTCGGTTCGCATGTTACGTTCCTCGGCTCTTGGTGTCAATTCTAGTGGGATTACCACCACCGAGCACACGTTGTAACGATAATCCATATTCGCTGTGAATCAATCCGTTACATCCTCTAGTTCCCCCTTCTTCAAGCGTCCCAGCCTGTGCCTAGTTCCTTGGTGATCTCATTCTTGATCTCCTCCCAATTTTTCGAGTGAGCAGTGCGCCATTGACGAAAGGCTTGATGAAATGCAAAGCCTGTCCACAGCGTCTTGTTGTCGTATGCATAAAGACCATCGATGAAGTCTTCTGCTGTCACTGACTTTCCATTTAAGAGTCTTTTCCTCAGTCTCATATAGGCAGGGTCCCGCGAGGGAATTTTGAGTTTTTTGGCCGGTTTTGCATCTTCTGGCTCTGCTGGCTCTCGGGAACGCTTCTTGAGGTCTTGCTCAGTGCACCACGCCAAAACCTTTAAAAGAGGTTCTGGCTCTGCTGGCTCCTGCTCAGTGCTGGCGGCAGGCCCTGTCAGCGTGGGTTGAGGATGAGCAGGCTCTACTGGCGCTGCTGGTGGCTCTCGGGAAGGCTCATTGAGTTCTTGCTGAATGCCGGTGGTGGGAAATGTCAGCGTGGGCTGAGGATGCTGTATGCCTGTTTCTGTGCCTGGTGCAGTCTGGTCAGTACTGTGATGAGTGTGTGTATCACCTGCGTACTGCACCTTTCTCGACTGGGTTATACTAAGAATAAGAACCGCCCTCGGACACGCGGGTCTTGTCCCCGTGGGTCGGCATCCTGGACATGACTGATATTCGGTAGAGGATATCTAGTAAAGTCCCGTACACTCTGTGGAGTAGTCGGCAATGATAGTGAACAAGTTGGACAGAAATGCTGGTTGTTGAGCTTTCTAGGGCGCGGAACCCCCGTCGGCACTCGTCTACGACCTACATGTTGGTAGACCTCCACATCGGCAGTCGCATACCAGGCTGTGCAACCAGCGAGAAGATCGAGGACTAGGCAGTTGCATCTTTCTCCAGCAGAGTGAGTAAGAGACTACCATAGGCAGGTGCCTTTCATGACATACATCTTTTGCAGGTGCAAGTACACCCTCCTTACTGCCGCGTGCTAAGCATACCAGATCCAGTCAGTACTTGCACGTACGCAAAGTAGAGACGGTCGAGCTCGTGGCGTGAGGATCAGGCCCGTTGAATGCGTCATGCTCTCGTGTGGCGATACCGAAACCAGGCGCTCAGACTGGGCTGTAGTGCCGTACATGAGGTCAAAGCATCATGGGAGCTCCAGGCTGGCCGCTTTCCCGTGTAGTGAATGCCCCTTCCAAAGAGTCAAGTCTCTGTACCCAGTGATCAAGTGGCCAATGATAGAATGGCAGGCTCCTAAGATAAGAAACAGGCAAGTACTCACCAGGGTCGATCTTTCCAGGAGGGTCCCATTTAATCATCCAGCAATATGAGGATATGGAAGGGCTGTTGGCGAAAAGGGAGTTGCTTGGCCATGTGAAATTCAACGAAAACTCACTGGTGGAGCTTCCCCTGCTGCCACCAGAATGACTTTGCCACGCAGCATGAGGTGTGGTCGCGTCGATGAGATACGCATAGAGACGGCGACGAGCTACGGAATGGCAACAAGAGGGACTCGACGATAGAGCTGTGCAAATGCAGGTTGATCCTACTTGCAGGAAGATGACATGACCCGATCGATGAGAGTAGTTCTTGACAATTTGGAGACAAGTATGCATATAATCCCAGCGTCCAACAAAGGTTGTAGTGAAGTTGATTGACCTACATGCACGTCCACCTCTTCTGCATTGTCACAGATCTGAGAGCTGCTGCCCTTTGATCCTCTGGAGTCAAGTGCTGACAAGCCAACCTGGATGGTAGAACCGCGGAATGGCACAAATGACGCAGGGCATGGCTGACGCCCCTTTTCCAAGTGTGGTGGCCCAGACATCGTCAGCGCAACAATCGGTGTATTTGACTTGTCAACTTGGTGGACGAGCAGTCAGATGAAATGGAAGAGAAAGTGCTGCCAGGCATTGGCTGCATTCCAGGGGTTCAAGGGGTTCAAGGCACGCCCCACCACCATGGTCATCATTAGTACGGCTTAGATGAATACACAGCTTAGGTAAACCAATGCACGTCAGCACAGACAGGGGCATGTACTACCTTATGTAAAATATGTACCAAAGCAGTAAAAGCAACATTGAAGGCCAGCCCAGGCCGGGCGATCTATCAAAGCCGGCCTGTCGGGTACGACGCCAAACCCAAATCTATTGAATTTCCCTTTGATTTTCCATCCTCGCCGTCTCGTTAGGTTGTTGGCAGAAACCCGACACGAAACCGAACACGGGCCGCTGTGGTCTTGTGGTCACGATTATCGCAGTGGCATAAGCAGCATTCATTATTTGGCCTACTCCAAGTCTTCTCTAGACACATTGCTGCCGCCGCAATCACACAACAGCCTCGACTTCAACCTCGGCTTCGACCACAATTACCTCGCCGTCGGACGCGGCCGCGATGCATGCCATTCAGCAGAAATGCCGTCCCAAACACCAGGTCTTGGTCCTGAAGTGTTATCCTCGAACCACCAAGGGCGCTGTCGATGTCAAGCCCAACTCAAGCGAGCTCAGCTACCTCCTGTTCTATGCCACGTCGCGACGATCCAAGATACAAAAGGTCGGCCAGTTCCTCGAAAAGAAGACCGCTAGCGATGTCTGGAGGGTGCGCATCGGGTAAGTCGACCATTTCGCCATTCCGCATCATCAGCCTCGTGCCGCGCGCTCACCACTTGCCGTACCCAGTAACGTCCAGGTCACACTGCAGATACTGGCTGCCTTGATCGAGAAATCTCCGAAAGACCTCCCCTTATTCGCGCAAAATGTTCTCAAAATCCTGGGCCAAGTCCTGCACTCCGACGACATCTCCATGGTCGAGGCCTCTCTGCCCACCTTCGAAACCTTTTGCGAACACCACGATGTCTCCTCGCTCTTCGCCGACCAGGTCTACCTGCGTCAGTACGAAGAAGTAGTACGTGCCTACGCTACCTTTGCCTCCACTCGCAAGACCCCCGGAAAGGGCACCCCAAGCAAGCCTGTCGTCCTCCGCTGGAGGAATGCAGGCCTGCAAGCCATAAGAAGCATCGCCCAGTCCGATGCCTTGTCCTCGGTAGCCGGACGTCAGCTCGATGTTATCGTACCTATGATATTGGAGAATCTATGGACCGAAGATTCGCACTCCCTCCAGGTCCTGCTGCAACGTGCCCATATGGAGGAAAAGGTTGACTCCAATGCGCTATCGCGTCGTAGGACGAGCGTATCGACGGTCGAAACAGGAGACCCGAACCCCATCGCCATCTCTGGGTCTTCGGTAGACATGGACAAAATGGCCGAGGAGAATATTGGCGTGGTGGCCTTGCAATGCCTTAAACAAATCTTCGTCATACCCAACAGAGCCCAGTTGCACGGAGCGACCATGGCCCTGTTGAAGTTCATCGAGGAGAGGATACAGCAGCAAGAGGTAGTAATGAAGCCTCGAAGCGACAAGGGTCGTGACGGTGGTTGGGCCATCAAGATATTCGAGCTCATCGCGACATGGGCCCCAGTCCAGGATCGCTATGTCATAATGATCACGGCTACTGACACGCTGTTCCGAACGCCACCAACGAACGAGAATATCCCCGAGCAGATCGTGCTAACCGCAATCATTGGATTTCTGCTACGCTCCGCCATCAACCTGATTGGCCTGAGTGTTATGGATGTCCTCCTTGGTTTGATTCAGCACATGCAACGGGTGTTGAAATGCGCGGCCGGCTCAGGCCAGGGCGGCTTGTCCGCGTCGATGGAGGAGAAAGCATCAACACCAGACAATACCCAACAGATGACGACTGAGCAGCAGGAGCTGCTGGACCGCCTTCAAAAGTGCATGGGAGATCTGGCTACCCATATCTACTATGCCGATCAGATATCCGATATGATTTCAGCCATCTTGCTACGGCTGAAGCCTCACTCAAGTGCAGCAAACTCGACGCCTCCTACCGAAAAGGCCAACAACCATGCTGTTCCTACAGCATCAGCAGGGAACATCTCAGAAGAACAACGTAGTCTTGATACCTTTTTCGCCCTAGACTCGGCCAAGTTGACGGCACTCAAGGCCGTTAAATCGATACTCCTCGTTGCCAACCCCAAGACGAAGATTAGTGGTAACGTCAGCCTTACGAGAAACAAAGTCCCCATACAGGTCTGGGAGGGAACCCATTGGCTCCTACGAGACCCCGATGGGTACGTTCGGAAGGCATATGCTGATGCCGTCATTACCTGGCTTGATCGAGAGACCACCAGAGCTGATCTGAGAGCCCGAGACGAAACGAACCAGAAATCATCACGCATCGGCAACAGGGAACCATCGGCGAGTGTGGCCCGTCGAGCTGTGTCAAGTGCCTCTCAGAGGCCCGTCAAACACGTCCGGTCTCACTTCCTGCAGCTACTTCACTTGACTATATACGACAGTGCGCTGCAATTCCTCGAATACGATGCAGATATACTGCTGCTTCATGTTCTCCTAGCGAAACTTGTGAGCAAACTAGGGGTCAATGCTGCCAGATATGGCATTCCAATGGTGTTCAGGCTTCAAGAAGACATCCAGGAAGTAGAAACGCCGCTCTCGAAAGTACGCCTAGGCTGCCTTTGCCACGGCTACTTTTGGGTCTTGTGCGAGCATTTCGACTTCGAGACATCCGTAGCCGGACGGGCGATTCACAACGAGATCTCTCGGAGACGGAGCAAGCACTTTTGGGTCGAAGGCGTCCACGTTCCACCGCCAGCATTGGATCTTATCGGCACTCCCGGCAAGGTGAGATTGCAAACAAAGATATCGAGTCATGAGGTTGAGTCCGAAGCTCTTCTTCCTTTCGATGATCGTCAGATAATGGTCGATTGCATATCCACCAGTTATCAAGAGGGTGCCACGTCTCCGTCCGTGAGCCCGGCCGCATCACCTGGTCGTGGAATGTCGCACCCGATCCTCAGTTATCCTATGAGCACCGTGCCGCCAGCTGACGCTAGCCAAGAGCTGCCAGTCAAGTATAAGGAGGAAATGCTGGTAGACTGGACCCAAGAGGCTGCCGTCATGGCGTTGCAAGCAGGTAGCAAGTCAGCATCTCTCAACGGATCCAAGACTGGGACGAACACCACTAAGGGTAATCGTCTCACCGTCAATGGAGCATTCGCAAACGGTCATAGCCAGAGCCGACCTGGTTCAGCATATGCGGGCCATAACAACCTGCGGCCCGGGTCACACGCTGGCCCCGTTGCTGCGCTGCGCAATTCGAGTATACAAAGCCGCGGATCGGGTAGGAGTGGCTCTAGTCGAGGCTTCGTCGCATCCGTTGACCAGCTCAAGTCGGTCCTTACTGGTGATCCAATTCGACCTCCGACCTTTCGTACACTACGGGAAGACGACGATAGCAGCGAGAGTATGGCTAGCTACGAATACACGCCGTCGGAGCTCTCTTTCAATCCACAAGCTGCTGAAGGCGAAGCAAGCCTGACACAAACAAGATCGAAGTCCCGCGAGCGACGGCCGTCTGGGGAGTCAGGGGGCCCTTTGACGTCACACCCTACTGAGGATGAAGAAGAGAGAGAACAGATCCCGCCAGTGCCACCACTCCCTGCGTCGATGGTTGGGAAATCCCCTACTCCCGTCATTACTCACGATCATGCCATCAAGAGTTCGAAACGGATTATCAGGAGTCGTGGGGGTGACAGCATCCTCTCGAGCGGTGTTACAGACTCGGGTGGATCCGGCAACATGGATTTGCAGTCGATGCTGAAGAGAATCGACACCAAGTCCAGACACAGCGCCAGTGGCAATCTTACCCGGCCTCCTTACTGACGTGGCCAGAAGGCAATTCTCTGAGATGGCATAAGCAGCCAATTTGCCATCGAAAATCCGTTCGGATTGGTGTTTATACCAATCATCCTTCCAACCGCCTTACACTGCTGCTCACTTTGGTGCTATTTGGGATCGTACTTACATGAGACGCAATCGGAGCCAACATGCTCAACGCCCCGGAGCGAGTCATTCGAACCGGCCGGGTGTTTTGGAGCTTAATATCGCTGGTCGGGTATAGGGTTTAGAGACAGGAGTAGTACATGAAGCAACCGGGTGGGGGTGGGCCGAGACGCAGGGACGCGAAACATAAAGCATTGGGGCAACTCTACGAGGATTTGCATATTTACATAATTATTCGTGATCAGTTCATAGTGACGAGCGTGGTGCACTGGGTTATTACTATAGTTGGAGATGTTTCAGCGTTAAGTAGAGCGTATATAAACTAACAAGCGATCATTGCCTACGCTTCGTTATAACTTGGTTAGTGAATTAAGTTGAAATATACGGAGGTGCCTAAGGATCACTGTACTCTGGATGATATTCGTATGTTCCGTGTTTATAATGCTGCCCCTTTTGCCCCTTTTGCCGCGGACGCGTCGCGATACCGCCGAGGTGCTGTTCGGCCAATAAGAGAGCGTGGACCGGGTCCCCACAGTAGATGCAAGGTAATCGATAACGACGTCAACTCAAGTAATTGCACCCGAAAAGCTCCATGAGGTGCAGTACTGCCTTAGGTAAACTTCGACTTCACCACTACAACCAGAGCTCATCATCACACGATCACACAGCCTGGCCGGCTACACAAACCCACCATGAAGCCACCAACACGGATAGCGCTGCGATTGGCAGCTCGCAAGCCCCAGCAGCTCTCCTCTACCTCGACTACCAGCTCCCGACTCCTCCTCCCACGAGTACAGTGCCGTCAGATCCGCACCACGCCCGCGACGCCAGCGTCAGTCTCCCCCATCCACGGCACCGGTCCGCCACCCGAGCCCCCGCAGCCCGCAGCCTCGAGTCCCGACGTGCGCATCGAGCGGCGACGCAAGCAAGCCGCGCTCCTCGAGAAGGCGGCCGAGATCCGACAACAGCAGCGGCAGCAGCAGCAGTCGTCGAAATCATCCACTACATCTACATCTACAACTTCGGGGGGGAAGAGCCCGCTCGCGCGCAAGCGCTTCTGGGAGCACGTCCACGTGCGCGACGTCGACGGCGCCTGGGAGGTGCACCTAGACAAGCGACCGCTGCGGCACCCAACGACGAAGCAGGTCGTGCGGCTGCCCACCACAAAACCCCTGCTCGCCGCCGCGCTGGCCCACGAGTGGGACATGATCGTGTCGGCGGCACAGGCCACGCGGCAGCACCTGATCCCGCTGACGGGGCTCGTGTGCCGCGCGCTCGACATCGAGGCCGACGACGCGGACGCTGTTACAAAGGCGCGCACGGGCGTCCAGGAGACGCTGCGCCAGGGAGTCGCGCGCATGTTGTTGCGGTACCTCGATACGGATTCTTTGTTATGTTGGGCGCCGCCGCCAAGGTTCGAGGACGGACCCGCTGAGGAGGGGAAGATGGGGCTCAGGGATACGCAGAAGAGGGCTGCGGAGGAGGTTGTGGCGTTTCTGAGGGGGGCGGTGTGGCCTGGGGTCGAGATTGAACCGGTCCTTGATGGCGAGAGCATCATGCCGCGCGCGCAGCCGCTCGGCACCCGCGAGATCATCGAGGGCTGGATCATGGGGTTGAGTGCGTTTGAGCTGGCTGGGCTGGAGCGGGCTACGTTGGCGGGGAAGGGGTTGCTGGGCGCGGTGAGGTTGCTGGTCGAGTGGAGCGAGGGCGCGGTGGGCGCGGGCGTTGGGGATGGTGCGGGTATGGGTGTTGAAGAGAAGAAGTTCGGGGTGGAGGAGGCGGCGCGCTTGGCGTCCATCGAGGTCGATTGGCAGACGGACTACTGGGGCGAGGTCGAGGATACGCATGATGTGGAGAAGGAGGACCTGCGGCGCCAGCTGGGGAGCGTGATCTTGCTTGTTGGTGGTACGGGAGGGAACTGAGTGAAATGTGTGGAGTTTGTAGTTAGGGGTTGTGGTTGTGTACGACCAAAGATGCGGTTCGAACCCGACTGACTGTATGAGTGTATAAGTATGAACCTTGCCGTGTGATGTGGAATTATTTGACCATGTGTGAGAGCATAGAGCTATTATATGATGCTGTATAGGTACAGAGGTTTGTCTATCTAATGGGAAGGCCACTTTGACTAGGTAGCCGCTTTTCCTATACCCGCCACGTGGTTCGGTGGGTGTGTGTACCGCACCTTTCAGCCAAAGCGAACCCCATAGTCCATTTCGATATCTGATCCTTAATAAACATGTTAGAGATCTGACATTACCCCTGGTTGATGTCTAGTAATGGCGATAGAACCAGACATCATATCACCGGAGAGGGCGTCTAGACTCACTGAAGGCCTGATGGCTCTCGGTCACATGAGAATACAGCAACCTCTGTAGTGGACAGGGCTGGACGCGTTCTCATTCTCAGATGAAGTGTCGGGTGTGTAAAGACCAGCGTCATCAACCGGATCAATGTCAACTCCATTCTTGGTATGCGCCGCTGCACATGGAGGGAAACCTCCGGTAACATCTTCGGTGTGGCGGAGAACTGGGACAGCAGTTAGCGGGTTTGTATATTATGTCAATATGGGCGGTGCAGACCCTCTTCTGTGAAACGGTCTGGTGGATTGGGAACTCGTTCTATTGTCTGTGTGGCTGCTCGGTTGTTCGGCATGACGGGCTTGCAAGGTGGCGTTGGCTGTGGATGTCTTGACCTTGAAGCAGCTGGCGTGATTAAATTTGGAGCCGTCCAGAGCCTGGCTAGGGAGCAGCATTGTGCCTTTACTGGGCCACCAGATGAGGTGGCTTGTCAGATCTGGCAGACATCAGATGAGAGACCTGCAACCAAAATTCGAGACCTTCTTGGTTGTGCCCTCTGGTTCGTCCAAGGCCATCACGGATTCGTAAAACTTACATTCTAGAGGATACAGCTAGGATCTCATGTTCCAAGAGACTGCGTTTTACTATCTTTAGTGTGGATGGAGGCGGTTTGTACTGGACCACTGTCCTTTTGAAGGTTCTCACCAGAGCACGAATGAAGCCTACCGGATGATGCATCACCTGGCAAGGCTTGTCCTTTTGGGGACCCGCCTATTGATAAGTCTTGAAAGTGTCTTAAGTGTCAGGAAGTCAACATCAGCATCCTGACATTAAGGGTAGCTCATTGCTCAATAACGGATGCTGCCGCCTCGTTCAAATTTCCAGTGTACTTGAAATGGTTTGGTCCTCAGTAGGCGTAAGTCTGCTTAGAAATGGTTCTTAGTCCTACTTTGACCAGTTGAAAATGAGTTTTCGCGGCATGCTTGCTCGATCATCAACTGACCGAGTAGCCCTCCAGCTAGCAATACACTGGCTCTATGCTGGAAATCATTGATACACATACCATCTATGTGCTTACTTTCCTATATTACCATCCGTTAAAACGTAATAGGTGCTTGGTGCTTTCTCCACAGTCCCGGCGATATTCTCGCCTCGTGATAAGCCCTCAAGCATCGCAAATCGGGTCAGACCAAGCCTTGAAGATCAAAGTCCACAAAAGGTCAGCCGTTATGTCGGCGGTGTTGATGTGGATTTCTCGGTCTGTCTACACACCGGGAGGAATTGTAAATACCCCAATCCACTCTCATCTCGGACCACATAACGGCGGGGCCATATAAATGGGACACCCCAATATGTGGGACAGTTTTCACAGCCAACATCACTATGTTCACTTATACATATCTCCATAGCCAATGAAGCCCTAGATACCGTAAGTACAGCGGCTGAATCGTCTTTTCTTGGTGTTTTCTATGATCCAGGTTTGATCAGGTCCATCGCGACGAGATGGGCCGCGATAGGGGTCAGAAGTTAGCACTTCCGGGCCTATTTGAGGGGTAATAGGACCCGTGCCTCTTATTCCTTCTAACCTAACAGAAATTCTGTGTTTTCTTTTTTTTCTTTTTTTCTGTAAATATCAGAGGCTTTAATACGTCGAAATGCCGCTTTCTTACACTCCAAAAAACCTCTTAGAGACGATAGCCACTGTGAACAACAATGATCTATCCCTCTGTAAGGCCGCCCAACGCTATAGAATACCGAAAAGGTTAAAGACACCGCAATGACCCGGACGTACACCAATCATAAGGGCGCCCGTAATAAACAGAAGATCAGTCTTGAGCAGGGAAAGAAGGTTATTTCATGGATCCTGTATCAAGAAAAGGCCGGCCACGCGTCAATTCATGGTAATTTAAGGTATATTATCAAAAAGATCCTATAATCTAAGGGAAAACCAGATAACCTTGGGAACAAATACACGTAAAATTTCATCTATAAGCACCCAGAGATCAAGACTAAGATAGGACAAAAGCTTGACTATAAGCGTATTAATGCTGCTATGCCAAAAAACGTCAATGGCTTCTATGACCATTATGGGGATTTTGTCTTTATTAAACCTAAAAACCAGGCAAATATTAATAAGCATGGCATTATATAGGGTCGTTAATACGTGAATTGTCTAATCCAAGTGGTTTTTAAATGGCTGACTGAGAGATCATAGGTCTGATGGCCTTATAATAGGCAGTTCTGGCTTAAAAGAGGCCAATATTAAGTCTAATGATGATCGCACGTGGACTATTGTGGTGGAATTAATCACTATCACTAAGAAGAAGCTCCAATTATTGGTTATTTTTAAGGCAAAATTGATTTGAATATAATGATTTAAAGAGCAGCTTATCAAGGAGTATCCCGCAATGGCAGACTGGATAATAACGTACTTTATCAATGGCTGAACCTCGAACGAGATTGCACTGTATTGGCTGGAAAAGGCAAGTTTTTTCTGAGTTATTAGTTATAACTATATGCTAATTAGCCTCCAGGTATATCTACCTGATACTGCTCCCAAAGAGTTGATGTTTTTGCCTATTAATGTTTAATGACTATGGCAGCTACTGCTCAGACAAGTTTATGTATCTTTGTTACATAAACAATATATATATGAGCTTTTTTCCTGTCCATATAATAGCTTATATGATCAATTAGTAGTTATTTCACTAATAAGAGCAGTCTCACATCTTCCAATTGCTAGATTTGATCATTTTTTTGGTTATTAAAGCCGCCTATCGCTGCCTGATCGCCTAGCTTGACCAGCTCAATCATTTGGCTCTTATTGGGAAAATTAAGTTCTTTTCTTGCCTAGCGAAAGCTCGCGATAAAGCTACGCCAGCTATTGTACATTTAGGATAGCATACTGCCGGGCTTTGGCCAGTAAATAGGCAAAAACCGCTGGCAAACGAGCATATAATGAAGGCAAGAGAGATTCAAGCAGCAGCAGCAGCTATAATAAACCTCTAAAGCACCCCAGAAGCACTAAAAGCCCCTAAATCAGGGCAAGATATAGCCTTAATGCTATCACAAATTGCTGAGACCCCTAAGCAGCGAGTAGCAGTCCGCTTAGTTGCGAAGTTCTACAATAAGATGGTGATTGAGCTAGCGCTCACAAAGGAGCTACTAAAGGCAAACGACAGCAAAATCAAGCATCTATAGCCAAAGAAGCGCCATAAGGTATCCCAAAAAGAGCCTGATTAATGATTTTAGAAAACTAGGGACATTATTCAGGAACAAATTGAGGATATAGAAACCACACGAGCTGCTATTAAGCAGTGGAAAGAGCAATAATGAGTTATGCATAAATTATAGAACCTAAATACTAACAAATTAAAGAGATCAATGTCTGAACCCTCTCTAGAGTTAGATTCAGAAGAATCAAAGGAATTAGGGCCCACTAAGGATGAAGGGGTTGCTATTGACGAAGGGGGTGATGGCACGGATGAGGAGTCCGACGAGCCTATTATGGTGCGATCTTCACGCCTCGCAACCCGCCAGCCTGCGCGCTACCACTAGAACACATAATATTGCTAAAAACTCTAAGAAAAGGCGATTTAAATGTGTTATATAGATTATCTAGAGCTTCAATTCCGACTGGGTTATCGGTGGGTGCAAGTCTAGCCTTTTGGAGTGAAAGCTGTCCCCCATATAGGGGTGTCCCATTTATATGGCCCCGCCGTTAGGGCTCCCGCTTTCATCAAACTACCACTCAGTTGAACCCAGAGCTCATGAAACGGAGAACGGAGTGATGGCAAGCCGAGAGGCCGATCTTGGAACACCCCTATACTTGCACCAGATACCTCGAAATAGAAACCTCGCGGTGGTTTGATACCAATCTCTGACTAAGGGCGCTAGATTGTGGTAGTATGTTCGACCTATTATGTCTAGTGGCCACCCGTCTTTTGCCTAGTTCCTCGATAGGAAAAGTCCAAACTGTCTAGCCTAAGACCGAGAGGGGACGATCTTGCTCGAGGACCCTGTATCCCACGACTCTATCGATCCTCAACTCGGCAGGCATGCACTCACCGCGCACCCTTTCCGCCGTGGATCGAGGGTCTCTTTGATATTACCAGCGGTGGATTGCACGGTTATATGGATGTCCGCGGATGCCAATAGCTTATGACTGGCCTGATACCCGGAGGCTTTCTTGGGAACTGACAATTTATGTGTCAAGCCTCACGAAGACACCTGCCGAAATAGGTAAGGGACCGCAGAGCCGCAGAGCTGGAGAACCGCTGCCTAGCTATTTCTGGAAGGCGACGTAGTCGGCATGAGGCAACAGCTGAACTTTGGGGCAAGAGCTGACCCATGAGGCGTACCTGGAAAATCCCCGACTTGCCTGACTAGCCTAGTCTACATATTGACATGTCTTGAATCCTTCGACCCACCAAACCGCCCGATTTGTGGGCTCCATCGATGACGAACACGGAATCTTTAGGCGATCACTTTAGACCTGCTAAATTTGGCATCCAAAGCTTGATTGGGCTGTTCTATTTCAGGGTCCATGTCCACTTCGGGAAGGACTGGCCAGATCTCCGTGGCGATCTTGTGTAGGTGACCGGGGAGTAGGTAGAGGTCTCGGGTAGTCTCGATCGAAACACCCTTTCTTCTAGAATGCCTCCATCGCCAATTGTTCGATCTCGTTTTCATGTGCCGAGACAGATCATGGATATCCACATGCCACAGAAGTTGCCTCTCTTCACTGTGACTCCGCCAGGATGGGACTCCGGCAGTCAAAGTCAGAATGGGACTCGGTAAGTAGGTTTCCTCACTCAACTCCCACGGCACATCCGACAAACTCTGGCTTCGTCGCCCCCATGATATAATTCGTGCACAGATGTGCATGACACATTGCAATAGCAAGCCACCGGCATCATACTGCTAATCCGCGCATAATGGCTAGAGTTTACCGGCGCGCTGGCCTATATGGTTGCCCCTGTCTATGTTCTCCATATCGTCCACCCCTGTCACTATCTTTGGATACGTAGTACGTTTCCTCTAAGATAGGTTGCGTCACATAGATTCCGGCGACTTTAGCCTGTACGCTTCTCAACTTGTTGAACCTGCCAGCATTGCATTGCCCAGATTGGCCACATGACGGTGACGGCAGTATGGGTACCTCGCTGTATACGTATAAGGAGAGCCATGCCAGCCCTGCAACCCATGACAACATCGCCACCATCACCTTCTTCGTCATTGATCTTCATTCGTCAACCTCATTCGGATTCTTATAGTCTTTTCACACAACATGCAAAGCGGAACGTCCAGCCTCTCCGACATGTTGTTACTCACAGCTTCAGCTCGTGCTTGTCAGGCAGTACGAAACGTCCCTCGCCCAGCAACCTACGACCCCAGTGCGGAGGATTGTTCGCAGCGGAGATACGACAATACGCATAGAGTACGGGACGTCCCCCGCCCGAAAAGTTACGGAAGCGGCGCTTCGGATCATTTACAGCGAAGAGGAGAGTACGACACGCGTGGTATACGAGACAGCCCGCGCACGGATAGTTACGGAGGCGGCGTTGGGACTATTTCACAGGAGAGAACATCACTCAAACCCACGAGTATCGCGTGAGTATAGCCCCCGGCTCGTCTCGTCCAACTACTGCACAAGTGCTAACTCATATCTTCAACCTAGTTCGCGGAGTTCATATATGGCGGCCCCGTTCTTCCCTACAGCCTTGGAGATGAGCTTCGCGACAGAATATGAGTTTCCAAATCGACTGTCAGGCGTTTAGTGGAAGGTAGGTTTCGGCCCGCTAGTCCGGGACGTGTGTTTTGCTGACCCCCAAGGACAGCTGTATATAATAGCGTCTCGATCAACTACCTACTCTATGCAATGCGGCACAATGAGCCTTAAGACACCCATCGCCGGCATTTCAAGGGATCAACATGCCTGCAGCATCACGATTTACGATTTATTATATTGTTAAGCCGCATCCGCCGTCAGGCTCGCATGGGGTCTATGCAAGACGAAGCAACATCTACGTGCTTGGCCTATCACTGCTAGCACCCGGCTCGCCCACAACCAGCATCGACGAATCCATAGCCAGCAGCGTCGAACCTATTGAGCTACGACAGTTCCAGTCTGGTGATCTTGGGTTATCTGTGCAGGACTGGAGGTCTGGGCAGTCACTCTTCAAGGAGATCCCGGGTGGTTCACACGAGCAGACTCCATTCCATATGGCTACATGGGTCTCGCGGTAAGGGTTAGTCTTTTCTGCATCGACGGGCGGTGGCACAAGCGAAACCCGGGACTATCAAGCTTTTTGGAGAGTATGTGGTGTATTCCGTCTGGGATAAGACAAGATGTGACAGAATTACCAGAGAAGGGTGGGGACTCTTCATAGCGTTACTAGCCCTAGTTCATACCGATAAATCAAGCACAGGCAGTGATCTTCCTGGCGTATTCTGAACTCTTGACCTACTCCCTTTCGAGGCCTCTGGCCTCTCATTACTTAGGCGCGATGCCTTCCCTCGGCAATGTCGCTTTATAGCTCCTGAGCCTGTCGTCTCCTCACACACTCTACATTGTCTTCCCCTCTACCAGGGTATAGTTCCCACCCGGCCGATCAATACAGTACGGGTCTTTCAAGCTGACCCGGTGATTCTTGAGCTCATGGTTTGTTGCCCAGTGGACAACTCCCATCCACCTCGACGAAAGTCTCGCAACTTTGGGTTAGGTTATGTACCAGCCGCACTCGTTCTCGTAGTCAACCGTCAACCTCGATGAAGTCTGGCTTGTCACAATTTTCATGTTCAGGTGTGGCGATGCACGCTCCCCTTGTGCCTGTAAGTACTCCACAACCTCGGTATAGCTTTTGGGCAGATTGTCATGCCCGGTGGATTTGCCTGGATATCTATGGATACCAGGGCCAGTAATAAAGTACCTGATCGGGGCTGTTCAAGTTGTGCATCAAACAATGTTGACGAGTCAAACAATCTATGTGTCCGGCAAAACGATACTGGTCCGCGATTAAGGAAGGGGCAGTCCCGGCTACCGGGCTGCTAGGTGTGTGCTATTGTTGAAATCCCGTCTGTCGCCAATCGGATACGTGTTTCCGTCTTGAGCATACTGTCATCTAATCCATTATCGTGTGCATATAGCCATGCGTGACTTGTTTGATGAGTTTTCGAGTACGTTCAGGTACAATTTATGTACCTAATCACCTACATCCAATACCTGATCGAGATTCCCTTACAGCCATTCCAGCCCTTGTCGAGCGCCTCAACCACATCATCAGGTAGCGGTCCCTTCTCGAGATCTTTCATATTGCTCTCCATGTGCTTCACCGAGCTGGCCCCAATGATGACGGCGTCGCCTTTCTCGCGCTTCAGCTGACTGTGATGTGTCATCCACCTCAATGCACACTCAGCCTCAGTGAAACCATGCTTGGCAGCAACCGGCCTGAGCAGATCGAGGGCATTGAAGTACTCCTCATGCCAGTACCGCATCCGATACATCTTGCCCTGCCATTTCTTCGGGTCAAAGCGAGCCCCAGACTCGACATCCTCATCCGCATCCTCGCGATGATAGCGGTCGGTCAGATACCCGCCCGCCAGCGGATTATAATTGTAAAACGCAAGGCCGTAATGCCTCAAACAAGGAAACAGCTCCGGCTCCACAGAGCGATGCAGGGCGTTATACACGCCCTGGTACACATCCGGCATCTTCCACCCATTCGCTCTGCACAGCTCACAGATCTGCGCCACCTCCCACGCCTGGTAATTGCTGATACCAAGCCTCTTGAAATGCCCCTCCTTGTACAGCTGGTCCACAGCCTTCATGGTCTCCGCATACGGCGTCGTCCGATCCGGCCCATGCAGGTACCACATATCGAGCTGATCCGTCTTGAGCGCCTCAAGCGACTTCATGAGATGCGTGCGCAGTCCCTCGGCAGAGTGGTCGAGCGTCTTGTCCCACGAGTCCGGCAGCGGCTTGCCCTTGGTGGGGAAGTACTTGGTGTCCATGACGAGGCCGCGTTCTCTCCAGTCCAGGTCGCCGAGCATAATTTCGGATGTGCCTTCGCCGTAGGCTCGCGCCGTGTCGATTTCGTTGTGGCCGTGTGACTGGAAGACATCGAGGATGGTGGAAGCGACGCTCAGGTCGTGAACGCGGGATTGCTCGCCGCCGGCGTGGCCGAAGGTCATGGCGCCGAAGACCACATTGACGGCGGATTTTTGTGAGGAAGTCATTGTCGTGCGATTGATTGAATGAGTGTTAGTAGATGTTTCGATGTTTCAGATGTGGCAGAAGAAAAGACACATGAGATGAGGCCCGGGCGACCTGATATAATAATTATGGACTATGACATCTGCGCTCTAAACATCGGCTTTAAGCAATGGAGACGGTGCGTCACCCACAATTGATGGGGGGCGAGCAGCGGAGATAGGGGTAAAAGCCGCGGAGATGGAGGACTTACCTAATCAACCGCCACTAAGTCCCACGTGCAGCCCCGCCCAGAAAGCAACGCTGTGACATCCCCCGAACGTGAGCTCCGAATATCAACATCATGGATCGAAGCTACCCCTCATAACCCTCCAAGGCTACATCTGGAAGCATTGAGCGAGACCTGCATCGAATGGGCATTTTGCATTTCCAATCACGACTCTAGTCAGCCAGAGTTCCATACCTAGGTAATCCGCTGCTCATATGTCAGTTTCAGGCCTATCCAAGCAGTTCTCCACCTCGCGAAGAGCCGCTGCCGCCGCCTCAAGTCTCGTAGCTCAGCAATATAAACCACAGTCCTCCCCCGCTCCCTGCTGTCCCAGTGCCAACCCGCCATCTTCGTCTTCCTCACAGGTAACAGCAAGCTCCAGAAGCATCGCCACACACACAAATCGCACCTTCTTCAAACAATTGACTCCCAGAAACACCGCCACCATGTCGACGATGCAAGCCCAACATGACCACTCCCAGGTTAGTATCCCCAATCACCTCCTCCCTCGGCAAGCGGGTCGGCCAGCGACTGACGGCGAATGTGAGTAGGCCTGCTGCAACGTACCGCCCGTGGTAGCAAAGAACTACAGCGAAAGGGGTAGCTACGAGGAGCTCGGTGGCATGAAGTCATGTAAGGCTGCCCCATCCATCCCCCAGACGACCCCATACTACCCATATCCAAACCCACGTCTACCAATCCCCAGACCCGTGTGAGAGCCCTGAATTAACCTGTGTCCCCCCTTCCCAGACGTGACCGGCCCGCAAGGCGCGACCAAGGGCATAATCGAGATCTTCGACATCTTCGGCTTCAAGCCGCAGACCATCCAGGGCGCCGACATCCTCGCCACCTCGGACGACTCGCAGAAGTACCGCGTCTTCGTGCCGGACTGGTTCGGCGGCGAGCCGTGCCCGCTCGAGTGGTTCCCGCCCGACACCGAGGACAAGCAGAAGAAGCTTGGCGGCTTCTTCCAGAAGTTCCCGCCGCCCAGCGTCGCCGAGAAGGTCCCCGGATACCTCAAGGCCGTCAGCGAGAAGTACCCCGAGATCAAGGAGTGGGCTATTGTCGGGGTAAGTCTTGTGTTTTTTCCCCAGCATACCACCATATGTTTTCCAGATAGGCGGTACCAGGGTTATGATCCGCCATGACATTACAATGCAGATGCTGACCTGAATCTCTCCAACAGTTCTGCTGGGGTGGCAAAGTAGTCTCCCTAGTGACCGCCGCGCCCTCGAACCCCTTCAAGGCCGCCGTCGAGTGCCACCCAGCCATGGTCGAGCCCGCCGACGCCGAGAAGATCAAGATCCCGCTCGCGATGCTGGCCTCCAAGGACGAGGACGCCGAGGCGGTCAAGAAGTTCGAGCAGACACTTTCGGGCCCCAAGCACGTCGAGACGTTCAGCGACCAGATCCACGGCTGGATGGGTGCGCGTGCCGATCTTGAGAACGAGCGTGTGGCTGGCGAGTACAAGAGGGGGTATGAGACTGTGCTCAAGTTTTTGTCTCAGCATCTGTAGGTTCCATGGGCGAAGGACAACCTAAAGTCTAGCATAGCACATATGCCTTTGCTTGACAGGTTGGAAGAGCAACGGCTACGATGAGAGGCAAAAAGAAATACAATTAATGAATCCGAATCTCCGTAATAGGGACAAGTCACAGTGAATCGCAATCCATAAGCATAACCAGTTCGCACCATTTTTCTTGTATCTACCCTTCAATTTTGGTGCTCATTATCATCATGAGTGAGTCTAGTTACTAGGTGCCTGACATCGTAAAGGCAGAACATACTGTACAGTGCCAGATCACGAGTGATCAGCCAAGCCAAGCCAAAGCACTATCTATTTTTGTCGTAGCATTCGTCTATTCCTGTGGCCTCTACTAACGCCGGTGAAATGCAGTCTTGTGAAGTGTGCCAAGCGTTCTCAGGGCACGATCCATACCGGGGAAAGGGAAGTTCCCTTCGTGATGGCGGTGAAGGTGAGATGTGCTCAGGCAGGAGCGGTGTTCTCCTGTCCCTGACCTTCGGACTGAGTCGGAGCCGCGTCATTGTCGACCTCCTTCGAAGCCTCCTGCTTCTGGGCCGGGGTTTCAGAAAGGTCAGCCTTTTCCTTGAGCGCCTCCTTTCCGCCCTCTGCGCCTCCATCTGCCGATCCATCACCAGCGACATCACCAGATTCCGTGCCCTTGTCCTGCAGGCTCATCTCCGCCATCTTGTCACCGGCACCCTTGGTATCAGCCTCGTCTCGGCCAGGCTGGGGAAGCTTCTCGATAGCAGGGGGCGGCGGCGCCTCTCCCCCCTCTCCCTCGCCCAGCTTCTCGAACTTGACAACCGCCCACTCGACACCCAGAGCGGCCTTCCAGGCGGCTTGATCGCGCGTTTTCGTGGGCAAGACGTTGCCGAAGCGGTCGCGCCGCTCCCACTTCTGCTGCTGCATGCGGACGAGCTCGGCCGACTGCGGGGCCAGGACGTTGACGCGGGAGACCTTGAACCAGCCGGTGAAGGCGAACCGGAAACCGCCTGGGCCGCCGCGCGGGTAGGGCGAGTAGGGCAGCTTTCGTTCCTCGAAGACGGCGATGGGGTTGTGCGCGGCTGGGATGTAGTCGATGGGCGGGATAGCTGGGAACGAGGGCACGAACGGCTCGGCTTTGGGGTAGTACTCCTCCGCCGGGGTGATCTGCACGTCACCGTCACCGTACTGCTCTTCTCGAGCTTTGGCAGCTTCAGCGGCCTCGGCAGCCAGTACTTCGGGAGGGATCAAGCGGACGTCGGTGTACTTCATTCGGTTGCTGGGCACAAATGCGGGCGCGGGCGCGGGTGTGGGCGCGACTACATCTGCGGGCGCAGCCTCTGCAGCAGGAGCCTCGGCATCAGAAGCCTCCGCAGCCAACTCCTTTCGGACGTCGGTGAATTTCATTCGGCTGCCGGACGTAGATGTAGCTTGGGTCGGGACAGTAGCATCTGCAACGGGATCCTCGGTGGGAGTCTCCGCAGCCAGCTCCTTGCGGACATCAGTGAACTTCATGCGGCTGCTAGACGTAGAAGTAGCCTGAGGCGCAGCTTGGACTGACGGGGTGGCCTCGGCAGCAGGCTCGTTTGCAGCCAGTTCCTTTCGGACATCGGTGTACTTCATTCGGCTGCTTGGAATAGGTGCGGAGGCTGAAGCGGCTTCACCAGAGGCAGTCTCGGTAGCAGAAGTCTCGACGGCGGGAGCTTCATCTCCTCCGACTGCGCCAGACCGAGCTGTGTCTACTTCAGGCTTCTTGTCGTTGTCGGCAGTAGGAGCCTGCACTGAAGGAGTGCCGTCCAGGGTGGACGTCTGCGCAGCATCGGGCTTTGCCTCATCAGTGACCGAGGAAGCGTTGTCATCCTGGGTACCCTCGGTAGTGCCCTTAGCAGCCTGAGAGGCACCATCGTCTTCCGTCGCGTTGGGCGCGTCGGCTTGCTCATGTAGCTTGGGCACCTCCCACTCGCCATGCTCAGCCTTCTTGTCTCTGAACTCCGGCAGCAGGTTGAGTCTTGACTTGGCGAAAACGATGTGGTCATTAGTCCAACGCGGATTGGCCCCGAAGAAGAGCAGCAGGTAGGAAAGCTCATCCGGGTGGTCCTTGGAGTCATGGAAAGTAGATGAGTTGGGGCCAAAGATGGGTTCTCCCTCAGGGTCGCTGAAGAAGTGGTTGTTGATGTCGCGCTGGTTGTACAGGCTTGCCTCGTCGACTGGGGGCTGGTTCTGGTTCTTTTGGAAGAAGTGGTCGCCGCCTCCTCGGCCATCGCGTCCTCTTCTTCCTCCTCGGCCACGGCCGCGACCGCCCCGATTGTTGAAGAAGCCGTTGCCGCCATTGGAGGGCGAATGGGTGCGACCGTGATCGGCTGGCTGCCGTGCGTCACCCAACTCACCGCTACCGCTCGCCTGGCCCCGGCGCCAGGCGGGAGCAGAGCTTCCCGACATGGTCAATGAGGTGTGCAGAAGCTGTATTGCGATTAAGATTTCAGAGATGAGATCGCCAGCGATGGTAGTGTAGTGGGAGGTTTGTTGCTGCTGGAAGGTTGAGCTTGAGAAAGTTGGGTCGGCGGTGGTGAATATTTCATAAGGTGGGTCCGCAGCGGTTTGCCGTGCAGCAAAGCGGCGGCAGGCCAGGCAGCCACCACAGTGCACGACACAAACGCCCTCAGGGGCCCCTGCCTGCCAACCCAATCGTGAAAGATAAGAACTCTATATAAGGTATGTACCTAACCCAAGGCGCCTAGATCTGGTTTGGACAAAGATACCTACCTACATATATGCTTCAACTACCTATAGGGCCATATTGCATCATAGGTCCAAATGTGTGCCCGACCTACATGCAGGCCCACCTCAGTCATCATCTGCCTTCAACAGGCAATGTTTGCAATATCTCTCCAGAGGTATGTTCTAGCTGATTCACAAGTGAGGGCTTATACCATGTTCATTTAATGAGGTTAGCGTGGCGACTCAAGCACCAGGGGGTGTGCTCAATGCAGTTCAGTCACTCCTCTCATACACAAACCCCTGAAGATAGCATCAACGCCATATTCCTGAGCCTTTGCAATGAGTTGGTATGGGTTATGGATGAACCACACGTGTGACCATTTTGTGGCTCTTCGCGAGGCCAGTGATCACCAAAGGATTGGCATCAGCAGATTTCCCAGAATTGTCATCCTGAGATCAGCCTGGATTCACTTGGAAAACAAAAGGGGCAAGGCTCAGTTCTACGTTGGTGTGGCTGGGTTTAGACCTTCATGGCTGATATAAACAGAAACCCCCAAATCCTTCCTTAGTGGGTGCACCCGATACCATGGAGCCGGTACTGATTTCTATTTCGAACTTGCACATTGGCCTATCGGTGACTGTTGCAGTGTGACCGTCTCTTTAGTAACCACATGACAGGGAGTCACATATGACTAGACCTTATGCCGCTTCCTTACCTTGAGATCTTGCACTGGATGATTGTACATCGAAATATGGGATGTCAAGTGTATCGTTATTGTACATTTTGTGTGGTGTAAGCGATCTTGCTTGTATGCAAGCTTCTAACGGTACGTGATCATGATTTAAGAATAACATGCCATATATACCTTAGGTATACTCTTCGCGGCTGCCAGGCGAAGACCCGGGGAACACCCATCCAGGCGCTTAAGAGAGGTCTCACAGCTCATGCAAGGTGAATGAACAAGAAGTCATACCTAGCTGGAGGTGGAATCGGTCGTACAACACGCTCGGTATCGGCCAAAAATGGAATGTTGGTTGCTTCGCTGGGTGTCATGTTGGTAGCACAGCCACTGACCACAAAGGCCGTGAATCACGGCCGTCCCAACATAGACTGGACCACCAGACTCGTGCGATCCAGCTACTTAAACTTGATCAGCTCCAGTTGCTGCTCTCCAGACACCGAGACTTAATCCAGTAGACCCAATACCTACTACAGACCTCATTTTTACCAAAACACCAAACCGAACACAACACAACACGACACAGCGAAACAAGTATCTCCACCATGAAGCTGACCACCACCTTCCTCGACTCAAGCCTATGGCTGCTTCTTGGGGCCTACGTTCATGCCATACCCGCACCAGCAGAGCGATCCATCAATACCACCATCCTGCCCCGCGACGGCGACCTCAACGACTGGGACGACATGCAACACCAATGGAACCACTGTGACTCGATCAACCCCAACATGCCGGCCGGCACGAAGATCGGGCTCTTCATATGCGCCGCCTCCCTCAACTCCGACGCAGGGTTGCCTACGGATTCCGAGATCAGGATCGACCGGACCGCCGATCCGCAGCTCCTCTGCGAGCAAGATTCGACCAAGGTCTGGATGTCCGTCTACCACGGCAGCGCAAGCGGGCCTGCCGAGGATACGTTCACGTTCAAGACGAGCGATGTTCGCAACCTGACTCTCGCGGGTAGCACCAAGTGCTGCCCCTACGACTTGGAAACGGACTCGTACCTTAACCCGTGTATGGGCTGGGGTGTTCTGGGGATGGAAAAAGGTCGGAATGATGTGATCATCAGCGTGAACAATGGGTAAGCAATCGCGGCGCCTGGGGTCGGTGTCTGAACCCGAGCTCTCAGAATGTATAGATGCTAATTGTCCTGTGTAGCGACGGACCCGAAATTATCCCCTGCAACGCCCTGATGGACTGCCCAAAGTAGTCAGTGATGGGTGTCGGACGTGCTATGGGGTTCCACCCGTTTTCATGTTGGTGACGCTTTCGGCGTCAATATCACCCGCGGCACAGGGTCGAATTCGATGGTACCTCGTTTCGTTTGCTAGAGGCATGTGTGCATGCTACAGACATCTGACTCCTGCTTCTCGTATGGATGCCAGAGGTAGATCGCCTGCTATCCAGGGGCATAGTTGAGTCTATATATGACTATGGAGTACGAACGAGTTGATACCAAAATACCCACTACATGGACTCATTGACCTTGCATATTGTCCTTCAAGTGCGGCACAGGTGTTTTCTGTCGTGGCATCTGACGTGCTGACTGTAATTATCAAGTAGAAGAGGAGGCGCGCAGCTTGGGAAGAGGGTTATTCACTTCAGTTTGCCCTGAGCAGAAAGTCCGGTGCCACACTGCCTACACGAGAAGGTACGAGCAGTCCTGCCTCCTGTTCCAACGCTCGATCCGGATGCGTGGTCTTCCAACCGGGCTTGACTTTGTTGAGCTGGGGGGTTCGGTTGTCGATCTGAAGCGGCAGGCCCGGTCGTCAATTGCAGGTTGGAGGAGTCCTTACGAGGCGTTTCATTCACCATCATCGGCTCCAATGAGCGATAGCTACTGGTAGTAGTATGAGTAGCATCGAGTTCATCGGCCAGCCAAGTCGAAAGGGAAACTGGCCAGCCATCGGTCACCCGAACTACTCGGGCTCTTCCTCCTCCAGGGCCGTCTGCGCCCCTGTTCCAAGATCCGTCTGGTGATGGCCGCCTCGAGCAGTTCACTCAGACCCCGTCAGGGCAGGACACCACCAACCTGAGGTTGGGGCTCGAAGCCCCCAACCCCCCAGTCCAACCAACTCCCATCCTCCACCGAGTAATCGAAGACATCGAATGCCCCGAGGAATCCGCCAAATCCAGGAAGCTCTTCCAGTCCCCCAAAAGAGCCCTCAAGACTGGTATTCGGCGGGTTATCCTCGGTGAGATTGCTTGCTTGACTACTGTCGCATCGCCTCAAAATAGGGGTTGAGGGAGGACTAAACTCGTCCTCCCTCGGGAGTCAAGAGCGTTTTAAGAAAGCCGGATGGATCCCAGCCTAGCTGCAATCAAAGTCAATGATGTCGGACAAGTCATCATGCCGTGAAAACTCACACTGACAGGGGCCCTTCGACGAGTGTGGTGTCCACTTGAGGTGATGAGATTAAGAGAAGGAGGAAAACAACCTGGAGATTCCGACCGGCAGGATTGTAAGGGTCGGGGAATTCGAGCCTCGATTACGAGAATGATATAACCGCAGTGGATACCCCTTTGCAACTAGGTAATACCCCTTGCCTCCAACAGATCTGCGAGCCTTGTGACCATACAGTAAGGGTTCTAGCAAAACCCCCGGGTGTTCATCGAGTCATGCAAGGCAAGGGACGGACCAGCCAACCAACCAACTACTTTGCGGGGGTCTATGCTGGCTACAACTACTGTACCCTCACCGGTTTCCTTCTTCCGTCTACCTGATCCCCTGGCTATTACCCTCTTCTTGCATGCCTATTCACAGAGGTCGACGACTCTTGCCACGGGGTTGCTTACTTAGTTCGCAGTTCGGACTTTGCGGTCTCTGGCCTCAATCGGCTTCGTCGATGAGGTTGGCGAACGAACATGGAAAGCAACCCCATAACCAAGGCCATGGCTACAGAGGAAATCGCTGCTGGACATAGAATGGTGTAAGACGCATCATCCCGACCAAAGCCGGTGAATATGGATGAAGAATGATAGCTCTCTGACATTCTACTCATATAGCGGTGAAATGCTTGTAGGAGCGGCACACAAGGGACCCAAATACCTTCAGGAAGCCGGCTTCCGTTGCCCCACCGATCCGCACGATGGGTTCATGCAGTACGCGTACCAAACGAAGCTGAACACGTTCCAGTTCTTTGCTAGTATACCGAGTGCCCTGAGAGACTTCAACCTCTTCATGGGGAACACGATGGGAGCTCGTGAATATTGGGTTGACTGGTTTCCAGTCCAGGAGCGGTTGCTAGAGGGGGCAACCATCACTAAGGAGTCGGCCCTACTCGTGTATGTAGGCGCTGGCAGAGGTCACGACTTGATCGCGTTCCACGCACGATACCCTCGTCAAGAAGGGCGGCTCGTTCTCCTGGACTTGGCCCCAGTGATCGACAGCTTACAGGACGTCGATCCAGCCATCGAGTGTATGACGAACAGCCGGTCAAAGGTAAGGCACCCTCTTCATCTTACTGACATAATATACTCATGTTTAATAGGTGCACGATCGTACTTCTACCATCATATCCTACATTACTGGTCTGATTCCATCTGCTTGGAGATGCTGGAGCAGGTCAAGGCCGCCATGACACCTAGCTACTCGAAATAACTGCTGCACGAGATGATCATACCCGAGAAGGGGGCATCGACCTTCCATGCCATGCTCGACATGACCATGATGGCCTTTGATGCAGGCATGGAAAGAACCGAGAATCAGTGGCGCTCGCTTCTCGCGAAAGCCGGGCTTGTGGTTGTGAAGGTTTGGTTACCCCCGCAGGAGGATGCAGACGGGATTGTGGAAGCAATGCTTCAGGAGCAACGAGTTTTTCCAAGTTTTGGGGTGCGCCATTGATAGCTAGGCGCACAGCCGGATAAATTGAGAGAACACTCTATCTCTGGATGAAGGAAGAGGCAACCCAAGATCATACGACTGTTTACACTGTCCCGTCTAGAACAACATATGCCGGTCTACTCATCACCTTCGTCCAAGCCAATCTATAACAAGTAAAAGCTAGATATTTTTTAAAGGACCAGAGCAAAGCAAAGAGGAAAAAGTGAAGGGAAATCCGGCATGAACCGGGGGTGAGAGTATAAGAAAAGGACAAAAGAATATCTTGCCCACTACTGGAGTCGAACCAGTTGCCTCCTCATATCCATCGAGCTGATGCTGAGCTTTTGCTACTAGTGAGGCGCTCTACCGCTGAGCTAAGCGGGCCAAGGTGATTACTCATCGACGTGCAAGTGTTTAGTGTTAGGGCCTATAATTCTGTCTTGTTCAGTGCGGGGCAGTAGGACTTACGTCCCGCCCAATAGTAACATCAGACGAGGCCGAGAAACCTGCGTCCTTGAGGTGTCCCTATCCTATCATACCGTTGATGAATCTTCTTTATGGGTTATAGCAACCAGGCCTGTGTAGATGGGTGGCCTCCAGTCAAATCGTAGCCCAACGCCTCTCCACTTCCGAGAATATCCCATCTGTTGGTCTCGTTACAGAGGCCTAGCAGTACGATGGCGGCTGCTGCCATCTTCCATGAGCGATTCCCCTGCGAGGAAGCTGTTTCCTGGACAATCCTCCAAGCAAGGCATTGTGCATCCGGTTCCGGGAGTGATATAGTTCTTCAGCTAAGAATCTGTGACCAGGCACGGCAGCGCGCAGACACGACACGGCAGCGTGGCACGTACCATAGATAGGGTCTTGTCAAGGCTAATACTGCCGTACCACACGGAGCCGTGTTGTGCGACGACATCTGTTTGCTTCAAGTCCTTTATAAACAGTCATCTCTCCCGCTCCCGCTGTGATCGGACTCGACTACTCATATTGCACCATCCCCCGAACAATGAGCGCGATAGATCCAGAGAGTCGTGAGTATTCAACCCAGGCGATCAGGAGAAACGAATGACTCATGCTCGCGAAGGTGCCAGTGCTGTCCCGAATGGGTCAGCATTCCGACCTCGTATCCGCAATTGGGGAAACAGGGTGTTCCAGAATCGGGGGAGTGTCAGATTCGCCCCGAAAGAACAGTGGGAAGACGAAGTCCCGTGGGAGTCGAGAAAAGGTTTGACTTCTTGCATTATAAGCTCCTGATCTGACTTTCGAAGTTCCTGACAACCCGAATGGATATCCGCGCCTAGGCGCGATGATGTTGCGCGATCAGTGCGGACTCATATTTCTTCAGTTCCGCTACCTTCACAACCGACTGCTCCTTCACCGTCAAGACGAGCTCCGAGTGCTCGAGCAGCAATTAGACGAACTTGATCGAGTCGCAGACCCGTCACACAAGTGTCTCAGATCACGCGAATACGACGACAAACACTCGGGCCAAAGATCGGTTCTCTTTGATGATATCGAGAAGAAATCTACATCTTACGGTTGGTGAGATGTTTGTCTCATAAGCGACTTGATAGGCTGACCACACAGTAAGCAAACTTGGTGGGTGTTTTGCAGAACTTTGCCGCCATACAGCTGCCTACGAAAGGGGATCTTCGAAGCTTTTACTACTTTTTCTGTAACGAAAATCCGTTGGTAGATCCAGAAGTATTCTATCGACATCGCGAAGACCTCATGACACTCAAACCTCAAGGAGATACTACGTGGATTGATCATTGGTTGATGAGCATCCTCAATAATCAGGCAATCAAGCCCCTCCGAGTACGTATACTAGACCTTCTGCTCTGTGTGTATTGGTTGGAAATGATGCTGACGCCTACTAGGAGGGAATCTGCGACACCGTGAGAGCTCCGGGCATAAAACCGCAGACTTGGTACTAAGTCTTCTTCTAGTTGCGACATGGTGATGCCCAACATGGTATTGTCTACCATGATCCAACGAAAGTTGGATTTATTAAGGCCACGGTCATGTTTCTCGTGCTACTCGTTCTATTAACTGCACCGATTTACCCCCTCTACCAACTTGGCAAACAAGAGACCACACCGCTAGTACTGGCTGAGACGATCCTGACCCAGTTTGCCTCTTCGCTCTTATTTGCAGTCTTCCTCAAACTTTTTACCACGGCAAAAAGGCACGAGCCGTTCACGGCCTCCGTCACGTAGGTCAACCCCTGGTACACTTGGAAAAGAGATGCTGACAAGGAATGTACAGTTACATGGCGATCTGGGTCGTTTTCATGTCTCAATCCCAATGAGAGCCACCCCTTAATAGAGCGCACATGTTGAATGGATGCTCGGTACGAAGTACCACAGAACCACTACAGAATGAAGCAGATTGCGAATCAACTTACTGTCTCGGCGAAGCTGCAAGTTGTCATGTGTCTCGAAAGCTGGTGCGAGAATCAGCTCGACTTGATGTGGGCGGAGATAGGGGACCAGCTTAAGAAGCGCATGATGGTATTCCGAATGATGGGATCGTATTGATGGGATTCCAAATGGTATTGGAATACGGAGCTTACCGATAATTTTCATTAATGAAAGGCCTTTCGCAATGCAGTAGCTCAGTTGCAGCACCTCAGTTGCGGCACCTCAGTTGCGGCAGCCCTCCCCCTTGAGAAGTTGGATGTCGTGAAGTTAATCCTAGCAAGACCCCTTCCATCTGATCAAGCCGAGCTGGGTAGCCCTTATCGCAAACTTGTAACCATCCTGATGAGATTCGTCTTCTTCTGTCCAACCTGACCTGACATTGGTGTGCTTACGCCCCAACTTCTTCGAAAAGCCTCGTTTTCGTTACACGCCTCTGCTCCCCTTCCTTTTCGACACGAGCCTGTTCCTCTCGTGGGAACAGCAGCCTGGTGCTTTTTGCAGTAGGAGGTAGTGATCTCATTGCAGGAGTGCGTCGTAAGAAGCCCCGATCGTGCCCCTTAGTAGCGTCATATGATATCCCAGATCTCTTTGATCCTTACGGAAAGGGATCACCATATCGGCTTCAGATCATCGGGCAGCTGGTCCACCATCTCCCTCTCCGGGAGACCCATGACGAGGCGTCTCAGGTTCTGTCGCACGCTGAGTCGTATGTAGGGCGACCCGGTGCCCTTGGCAAAGCCGCCCCCTTGGCTCAGGATGTCGGATGAGCCACCTTCTGCGTAGTGGTGGCTGATCAAGGGCGGCTGGACCGTGATGCAGACGGGCTCCTCGTCTTCTGTACCTTTGCCATCCTTTCCTTTGATGAGTGTTGTATTGTACTCCCCCTGACACCAGTCCCGCAACATCAAATCCCACTGATAGACAAAATCCTTGCCGAACCGCCGTAACATCTTGCGCGCCCCCTGTTGGCTGACAGCGTAGCCCAGGCTGCACATGTTCCCCTCTGCTGCATGTATAACCCTAGTGTGTGGTGGGTAGGCGTCCGTCAGCTTGTCTCTCAAGGCAAACGGATGAGGCTTGAGGTGCTGAGGCGCAGGAACCGTCTCGTCATTCAGGATAGCGACCTTTAAGGGCGAGATCTGGGTAGTGTTGCCTGGCAAGTGGGTACCGCAATGGCCCAACCAGAGCACATCCCATCCGTCACCGTAGACATTCTGCGACGTCCCGCTAGGAGGTAGAGCCGCGTTTGGCGCGATAGTCGTCCTCTCAACCTCTTCTCTAACAGGGTCGTCGCCATCCCTCTTCCCCCTTAACGCAGGCGGCACCGGGCCCAACAACTCAGATCGCGGTTCGTGCCTTCCCTCTTGTGAATTGCCTTGACTCTTAGATGCTACTAGCCACGTCCGCGACGCCGCGGCGAAGTCCCACAGCTGACCCTTCAATCGCACGTCCCAGTCGACGTCGTCTTCCATGATGAGCGCGCTCCCCAGGTTCTCATCGACGATGGCCTGGACAGCGTTCATATGCGACCGCCACGAGCCCCGGGCCCCTGAATTACGCACACCAATGTCTTCCACGTCGGTGCCGGTGAGTCCGTCGACCCAAGTCAAGCTGAGATTGCTGGCGGTGGCCGCCCCGGCCAAGGCGTCCCGGCGATCGGTGCGCGCGGGCAGGTTGATGACGAAGATCTTGGAGAACTTAAGCTGGCGTCAGTGACGTGTTGGTTTTCAGTGGAAGACGGATTGAAAGACCCTTACGTTAAGTGTGCTGTTTACGGCTTTATCCGCTCGAAAATGGTGGGAAGGGCCTCCGTGCAGCCCGTCAGAGGTGGCATACCTCAACCAGTAGGTGTATAAGAGGGTCGCAACGACACAGATGCTCGTGAGAGCCCGGCGGTGCGGCAGCATCGTGAAGATTTCAGAGGGCGACAAGATGGAATCGCGATCAAGGGTAATTGCGTCGGTCATGTTACGCATTGCGGCGCAAATACTTCCGTCGGATGAATGACCCGGGTAATTCTCCCAGCCGCGACGGCCTCCCAATCAAATCGAACGCATTGCGGAGCGTCATAGAGGAGGCTGCTACGGTGATATATCAATCGCTAACATATTCGCTAAGAGACCTTCGTGCCCTTGTGACTTGTCTTTCCGGTCCCTCAATTTCATGGGTTACCTTCTTCCGGCGATTGCTCTTGAATGGCAGACTGTCGGCTCTCGCATCCTGCGCTTCCCATATACTCCAACTTTCCCCCCTCCGCGCCCCTCGAAGAGCTGTGGGAAAACGCATCTGGCTTGCGGCAACTTCTGACAGCAACGGACAGCTGCCGAATGGGAGAATGTAACATGCTCCGCATTTATGAGATATCGCTTCGATCTGTAAAGGGGCTGACCCCAGATTCTCTATACTCTTAGAGACGGCTAGATCTGGCTGCACGATTCCAAAAACTCCTCAATCTGGCTCGTAACTCATGTTGCTCGGTGCCCTCAGACGGTACAGACGGGTGCGGGCACGGAGCCACCGGTTCCGGCGACGGTGCTGCTGACCGCCGCGCGCGGTCAAATTCCAGGGATCGTCCGTTGGTGGGAAGGGCTTTTCTTAATTGTACCATAGCTTCTGACGAGATGTACCGGTAGGCGCAATGCCGTGAAGGAGGCTATTCGGGGAACCTATAAATAGTCGTGATTCTTTGTCACCACTCTCAATCAAGGGAGGCGGGATCATCGACATCATGAGGACAAAGAGAGACCCTTTAGAATCATTGTGATGTCGAAGGAGTGTAGATTGATGAATAACTCTAATAGTTCCAAATGAGTGCCGCATGCTCTACCGTCCTTAATACCAATGCTTTAACAATGAATGCCCAAGCAATGAATGCCCAAGTTCGCCGTTCCCAATGCTGGCCCGACCTCGCTCGCAATTGACAAAGTAACTCGTTACTCATTTAGACGCGGAAACCCAAACGCCGCTTTGCGCCAGTCATGTCATCGTAGGTACTCAAGGTTCCCTAAGCAGAGCCCCCGCCGCAAGACAGCTTCCACGAGCCCCAAGTCCCGACCTCGCTGGCGTCGCTGCAGGTCTCGAGAGCGAGGGCGCGTCGGCCAGCCGTGCAAGACTCATCGGTGTAGACGTACACTTTTGGCACGCACGTCAGTCTCCCACATTGCTTCATTCCTTCACAGGATGATGGACTTACACTGGCAGCCGTCGGCAGCAGGTGAATTCTGCACTTCCAGCTTCACCGACGAGATGGGGGCATCGACGCCCTCGAAGGTCTTGCAGGTGTCGGCGTCGGACTGGTCGATGGTGTAGAAGCCGTCATTTTGCTCGACGCAGTCCGTGCCGCCGAAGACGCGGATCTGGGCGAGGCGCGCGCCGTCGCGGGCGATGACGCCGGCGTTGGTGCCGAGGGCGAGGGCGGTGACCGCGACGAGGAGGCATGTGAACTGCATGTTGATGGATTTAGGAGGTGTTGGTGGTAGGATCTTTGAGAGTTTGATGAGCTCGGGGAGTATGGAGATGGAGACTGTGGTAGTAAGTATGGTGCTAGTTGTAGTTGTTTTGGATTATAGTGTTTGTGATGACTCTAGAAACAGCAGCTGTCGGCCTCTTTAAGTACTCGATATGTGAAGTCCAGCCCCTGAACGACTTCGAGGTTCTTCCAAAGGCGAGTTCCGCATTTCGTATCTCAGCATGCATGATTTCGCTGCGTTGGTCTGTTTACCTATCCTCGTGAAGAACAACGTGCTCCCTGCATCATGACGAATGCGCTGGCCCGTCTCCCTCACTAGTCCAGCGGACAGCCACATGCACACGTTACTAGCTGGGGGCGAAGCCCACCAATGGCACGGCGCCGGCGACTTCAGCGGACGACCGGGAGTGGAACGGCCGACATTCCACTCAGCACCGCCTCCTCCATACAATACAGACAGCCCAGCAGCCCAGCAGCACAGCGGCACAGCGGCACAGCTGGGCTTTACGAGGAGATCGACAGCCGGAAATGGAACACCGGGCACCTCGTATAGGCATCTTACATGATCGCAGTTCATCCTGCCTCGACAGGGGCAGCGAAGCTTAACCCCACGAGTATCCCCCGAAATGGCAGGTTGCGGCGACAGTCTAAAGACGGGGTCGCCATCCGGAGGTTCCGGTTCTTGCTTGATGATGACCTCAGCTCTTTGATGGAATGTCGACCTACTCGGCACTCTGTGAACGACCTCTTGTAGCCTTCAAACTTGCTGCGAATCATACAACTTGAAGCTGAAGGTTACCTCCGTTGGTCATATGCTCACCGGACCATTGTCTGTGAGACCCCAATACCACGTGGGCAGCACGTCTCCTAGTATGCATGTCATGCCTACATAGGCATCGTTTATTCCGTACCAGGTAGCACCACGTCCTGTAACGGTCTCTCGTATTCTATCAGATTCCCGCGCATCTCGCATGGCCGAATCTCGCCATCATGCTGCCCCTATCAAAAATCATTCCTGGCGTGATGTTTGCTCAAGCCGCACATCGGAGGCTTCGAACTTCATACGAGCGGTGGAAGCTCAACGGACATGCCGACGCGGGTGTCGTCATTCATTCGGTGAGCAGATACGGCGTGCCACAGCGGTGCAAGTACAATCGCGAATGTCGCATACAATCGCGAATGTCGTACCGTTAGACCAATCTGTCTTCGACGCTCGCGAGGTTATTGGCGAGCCTATGTCATATGATTCCGTGGTGACAGCCTAAGCCTGTCGTGTTGACAAGTTCCACCACTCGAGGGCTCGGTCTTGGTGATGGGTGACATATGCCCCTGCTAAGCCAAGCCCCCCCAATACCGATCTCACGATAGCCTCACTCTACTCTAATGGGCAGCAGCTCTCTGTGTTTTCGTTACTACAGAACAGCCCACGTCTACGTGGCAAACATCCAGAAAAGCTTGCAAGCCCCTTCACATGACCGGCAGAGCGACACTAGGCTAGAACAGTTCCAATGAAGCGAAGACTCCCCAAAATATGACTCATTCAATCCGCGGTACAGAGCGGCCAAGTCCCAATCGAGAACACCTGAAATGACTCGAAGGATATCTCCTTCCTGGGAGAACGACCCCTGTGAGATCATCGTCATAATTCGTGGATTGTCACACTTGCGAGCTGAACACCTTCGCACAAGTAATCCGGGTGTCACAATAATAGCACGCTGCGTCATCCTGAGAGGAGAGGCACGCAGTTGCTCATATTGAAGAGAGATAGAGAAGTCCTTTTCGGCAGATAGCCCAATGGGTTAAGGGTAACTTCCAACCATCAGAGTGTTGCGCTTTTCTCCGGAAACACGCAGAGTCATATCCCGTGACAGGGCGAATAGCTACTCCGGACACATCACGTTTAATTTAGCTCCTGGATTGTGAAGTAGCAGGGGATATACTCAAGCCAGCGTCTAGAATCTACAACCGTTCTTGCCAGTCTATCTTGTTCTTGACCACCATGAGCATTCATCTACGACCCAAACCATCCCGAAGCCACACCTAAACTCCAACCCCAGGGACCAACAAGATAAAGTCATATTCCGAAGTACCACCAACTCCCACTGTCACAAGTAAACATCCATCCATTCACGAAGCCCATGAGACCAAACAGTCACAAGCAATCATCCATCCATCCGTTCACCGAGCCCATGAGACGAAACGGTGACCACAAGAGGCAGCCAAGCTGCCACCACATCAGACACCAACCCACTCCGAGTCCGAGCCCGACAAAGACCCGCCATCCTCGCTGCCGCTGCCGATCTCAGTAACGCTGTCGAACGCCCACGCGTCGTCGTCACCAGCAGCATCGACAGGCCCATCCGCGTCCGCGGCGGGCCCAGCCATCGGCTCAGATTGGGCACTACGGAGCTCGAGTGACACACCAGGGATGATCCAAGGTGTGTACGGGGAACCATCCCATTCGGGTTCGCCGTTATAGTACCATCCCCCACCTAGTACTCGGACACCCCCACTACTCGTACAGCCAAACCCCGCATCCACCACCAAAACACCCCCTTATTCACCCACACCTAAATGAAGTCTTGTAGATCGGAAAAATTCAGCAAAATTATCATTCGATAGCGGTGGGGCTGTTTACTCGTACAAGCGTGCGGGCGCCTGAATGGCTCTCCCCGAACGGGTGTGCCTAGGCTCCTGTATGGCCTCCAAAACGGGCTCTTCAGCCGAGTCTTCGTCTTCTTCTTCTTCCTCTTCGTCCTCATCAACCACAACTTCTGGTACATCCGCAGAGACACCAGGGGTGATATTACCACCTTTACTTAGTACCTCCGTGACTGTTCTGAACTTCTTGTTAGGATTATGGATCTTCTGGCGCTTCTTTGGCCGTAGCCGCTCCAGTTCAGCCTCCAGGGCCTTGATCTTCCTGTCCTTGATAACAAGGTCGGTATCCTTAGCCTCGAACGCGGTGGCTATCTTCCTATACTTCAGCCGGGCGCCAGGGGACTTATTTTTGCCGAAATTCATGATCTGGCGGCTCGTAGTAGGGGTCCGTTGGTCCTCTGGTTCAGAGCTCTCAGGGGTCTCAAGCTCAGGGGTCTTCTGCTTCTCTTCCTGGATTTCTGGGTGCGTTAAACACTTCTTGCGGCTGATAGGATAACATCCAGTTGTTCTGAAGCCAGAGAGGATATTTGCTTTAGTAAAAGTAGCAGCTCTGGCCTGGCTATAGCACCGAATGAAGTTGATCTTGTTAACAGGCGAGGCGTCCGTCAGAGAATTTAGCTGGGAGAGGAATTTCTGGTAGTGAGCCTTCAGGGCGTTATAGGGCCTGTTATCCAGGGGTTGCATGCCGTGACTAGTGTGCGCAGGGAAGAAACAGAGCAATATGTTGGCAAAATAACAGATGGTCATGAATTCGTCCTTATAACACGCGTTAGCCTTTATTAAATCAGGGAAAAATGAAAGAAGTCCATATAGAATAAGGAAAAAACATATACGTACGGAGGTGTGGCTACCATGGCCATCTAGTATCAAAAGAACAGGCTCGGCCTGGTCTTTTCCTCGTACCTCGTCCACCTGCGGGATGAAGACATCTTCTAGCCACTGGCAGGCTATTTTATTCGAAGTCCAGCCGTTTTCTGAGCATATGTAATGCCAATCGGCAGTCTTTTGGAACTCCTCGATAAACCACTGCACTTGCAGGTCCTTCCCCTTAAAGATAATACCTGGTTTGAGGATTTTTCCAGTTGCGGAGATGGCCTCGATAAAGGAGGTCCAGTTACGGCCCTGGGGGCTCTTTAAGAAGGCTTTCTTAGTAATAGAACTACCCAGAACAAGAGAGTCAATGCCTGCGAAGATAATTAGAATTTATATGGATTTAAAAGGGTAAGTAAAGCTACCAAAACCCGCCATAATGCCGCCCTTATCGACATTGTACGTGTTTTCTGGCTTTACCCAGCCGTAATCTTCCAGAATATCGAAGAACCAGTTAACTGCCTTCGGCGTAAAGCCCTTAAAGCGCGCTGATTCCATCCGCTTGCCAACTTTGGTCTTTATTTGGGGGTTGCGGCGTTTGAAGCCGGCGATGAAGTTGTCTCCAAGGGGGCGTGAATCTCCGTTCTTTTTCAACACCTTTAGGATGATCTCACGCACCAGGGAGTGCGAAGGGGCTAGTCCCAGCTTCTCCTGACGTAAAATCCACTTGACTATAGTGCTCTCTTGAGCAGGGGAGAGTCTCTGTTGTTGTATATGGGCCTCGGACTTCGAGGGCTTGCCGTTGAGTCGGTCAGAGAGCGTCGTGGCAGGGATGCCGTGCTTTTGAGCGCTTTTTCGCAGCGAGAGGCCCTCATCCGTGATATCTAAGATGGCATTCGCCATGTGATCCTCCGTATACGAATAGGGAGGCATTTTTGGCGGCTGTACGATGCTGCGGTGCATACAGAACAAGGCTTCAAACGAGGCTCAAGCACTGCAAATTTCTCTATTCGGGGTAGGAAACGCGGGGTAATAGACAGCCAATCACGTAGGCCGCACGGGGTAATTTTTGCATTGGAAGAAACTTTAAGATCAGGGCTATCTAGAGAAGTAATTACATTCTAAATAGCTTCAATATCAAGCCGAATCCGTATAAGTGAACATGTGGGAGTTTAGGTGGTGATGGTGGGGTTTGGCTGTACGAGTAGTGGGGGTGTCCGAGTACCAGGTGGGGGATGGTAGTCCCTATCCGGGACAGGCTCAGTCGACAACTGCGTCTCAGTCTCAGCCACCAACCCCAACTGCTCATCGCGGTCCTCCTCACGTGGTGCCTCGACGACTACACGCGGGCCAACGGGATCGACAGACCGGAATTCAGCCGCGACGCAGTTGGGGCACTTGGGGTGGCGACAGCTGCACTCGCCAAAGGCCGTGTCGTCCCGGTTCTTCTCCGTCGGGGGCAGGATGCATTTGTGCGTGATGGAGTCGTATTCGTACTCGGAGTGGGAGTTGAACCAGTGAAGCAAGATGTCATCATCCGCAGACGTCAGCACCGCCTTCGCCTTCGCCTCCGCCTCCGCCTTTATAATCGGCGACAGCGGCGGCGGAAGGTCCATATCGGAAATCCCCTCGCCGTCGTCCATGTAGTCTCCACCCGGCGCCGGGATGGGAACCCTGCTTTTCAGTCGTGTCATCGAGACGAGCAGGGCTCTCTCGGCGAGCAGTTCGGCGACTTCCTCCGCCGCCTCCCGCCGCACGTGCGACATCTCGGCATCGTGCTCCGCCTCCAACTCCCATATGCGCTCCTGCAGCCTGGACATCTCGGCGATCTGCAGCCTTTGCCTCTCGTTCATCTTCTTGTCCATGATGAGGTCGTATTGATCCAGGAAATCCTCGTGCTCCGCCTCCAGCTCGCGGACGCGGTCGTGCAGCCCGGCGATCTCGGCGGCCTTCTTGTCCACGACGGTGTCGATTCGATCCAACCCCTTTGCGACGTCGCTGTTCCGCTATCGCAACCCTGCTCCGTAGGTCGTATCAAGCCAGACCAACCAGCCTCCGAGCCCTTTGTTTTGCGACATAGGCTCGCTGTTGTGGTCCTCGACCTCTTGGATCAGTAATGCGAGCGCGTGGTTTTCCGCATCGTCGTCCGGTTCATCCTCGTCATACTCGCTATCACTCGATTCGAGCTCGTCAATCCGCATTTGGAGCTCGACGTTGTAAGATTCGATCTCGTTGGTATGGGATTCGAGCTTGCTGATTTCCAATTTGAGCTCGCCGGTCCGCACTTGGAGCTCGCTGACCTGGGACCCGAGTTCCTTGGTGATCGCTTCAGGCTCCTTGTTCCGCGCCTCGACTTCCCTGCTACATGGGCACCACCCTCTGCGCCTCAGTTGCCAAGTAGTGTTTGCGTGACGCCATCTCAGACTTATGGCTTTTCTGCATCCTGTCCACGTATTCTTTCCATGCGGCCAGGTCCTTAGGCAGCTCTTCGGCGAGCTGGGCCTTCAGCTCCCGTATCTCACGGTCTTTCTCCTCCAAGACGGCCGTGTGCGATCTGAGCATGTCGTCCACCTTGGCCTGGGCCTCGGACTTGACGCGTTGGCCCTCGGCACGCTGCTTGGACTCCACGGCCTTCACCTCTTCGGCATGCTTGGCCTTCAGCTCCCGGATCTTGCCGCAAACCATCTCGAGGAAGACCTTGCGAGGTCCGAGCATGTCGTTCACCTGGGCCTGGGCATCGTCCTTGACGCGTTGGACCTCAGCACGCAGCTCGGACACGGTGCGGGTAGTGTCGTCAACCAACTTCGCGTGCTTGCGCTCCAACTCGGCGATATGACACACTGCGTTGTTCATCCGCAGTATGTCGGCCAGCTCAACTTCAACTTCCGCCCTGACTTCGGCTTCTAGGCGTACATATTCGTCGTGGTGCCCGTCCTCCCATGATGCCTGGACCTTGTCGTCCACCATGGCCAGGGCGTCGGCCTCAACCTGCTGCAGCGCGGGGGACAGGAGCCCCAGGCGCGCAGTCCGGGCTGTCAACCGGGTGTTCTCCCCCGTCAGCTCCTTGATATTGTCCCGCAGGGACGCGGTCGTCCGACGCTCGTCTAGGAACATGGTCTTAATTATGGTGTGCATTTTCGCAAACCGGTTGAGCTCCAGGCTGGCCTTTGCGAGCTGCTGGTCCATATCCGCGCCCGGGGCCCAGGCAGCCACGAGACGGTAACGATGACGCCCATCCAACCCCTGGGATTCCTCCATGGCCTGTTGCCGAGCGTTTTCGTCTTGGGCTTCCACAACAGCCTGACGCTGAGCGTCGAAGCGTAGAGTGAGTTCCTTGAGCTCGCCCCGCAGTTTAGCGTCTTGCTCTTCCGCGAGCCTCGCAGCCGATTCTTTCTGGTTGTATGGCACCAGCTCAGAATTGTGTGTGTGTGTGTGTGTGTAAAAGTGATGTGGGGCTGAACACTGTGCTTGTTAGAGGCAGTACTGTGACCGTCACGCCGGCCACCCGAGGACTGCGCAGAGCCAGTAGGAGCATTGGTGAGACGGGTCGCCCCCGAGTCGACCACGGCGTAGTTCGACCAGTGGTTGGACCCGAAGTTTGTCTTGGGCTCGTCCGTCTGCTGGTGAGCTTGGGGCATCACGGGAACCTGTGCTCCAACAGCATCACCAGTAACGTTACCTGATGATGTTGCAAGTCCCGAATACCCATGAGTAGGAAAAGGCCAGCTGCAAGACTGAGCTAGAGCTTCGCGGATAACAGCGTTGTCAGACATGGCGGGTGAATTGTGCTTGGTGCTTGTGCTTTGGGAGAGGTTGGGTAGGGGAGTCGGTAGAGAGGTGAAGGAAAAACGTGTGTGAAGAGAGAAGGGAAGGGACAAATTTAAAAAAAAAAGAAAATGGACATCAAGAGGTGTGAGCTTTCCAAATGTTTCCACGTATCATGCTCACCAGAGCGCCCCCGACGCCCACCAGGCTCGCGTGACAGGAGCTCTCACGGTCCCAGCCCCCTATGGTACTGGTTTAGCGCTTTCGAGTGAAGGTTCAACGAGACGGTTGGGAGACAAACGACGCATTGCACCGCGTTGTTGTTACCGTACCTCGGTTAATCACCTTATCTGAGCGCGTTAAGTGGCTGGATGACAGGTATGGCGTATGCTAGATGCCGACTTTTCACATGGTGCCTAGACGTAAGTTGCAACATGTGGGCGGGAAACATGGAAAATCAAAACAGCTCACCTGTCTCAGCCTATGATAACAAACGCGCCCATTTGATCAGCCGTGTTCTGCGGAACGGATCTTGTGGCTTCAGCCTTGTGCGCAGTTATCGGGTTTAGATTGGGTGTCTTCCTAGATCAACGCTGAGAAAGGAGTGGACTCACTTTCAAGGTTTCCGCCGTTGATCACCGCGGAGCACATGCGAGCCACTTGGAGGTGAATCTTCCCACATGCACTACATGCTCCAAGCCGGTATCGCATCCCATGTGTAGGACAGGACAACCTGGACAAGTAAGTACGCGATCTCGTACGGGAGAGAAACTTCTCCAGCAGGTTGACGGTAGAAGGGGTATGATACTGAATTCCGAAGTCTATATACCAAGCCATAGCAGATGATTCTCTCGCATCTCTCAATGCAGCAGAGCATTGTCACAGCTCCCATGTGACGCCGTACGAACGCGGAAGAACAATTGCCACGCCGAACTTTTGGATATGACTGCCGAAAACCTTGGAGAGGACATTCCCGGATGTAGCGGAAATTTTGTAGCACAAACGCCATGATGAAAAGACTCGCCGCTGCTGCCACAGCCGCGCACTGCCGCATGAATGTGCCGTTGCTTCATTCCACTTGCTTCTCGCACCCAATGCGGCCGAGCAATTCCTTACGGTCGCTATGGCCGGGTAAGCTGACAGCTGAGGAAGAAGCACTCCTCTTGACGCCCGTTCGCCGCTCCCAACACTTCAGATCAATGGCGTCGACGCCTACCTCCTCCTCAACCGGTTGAGCCTCTTCCACTTCGAACTCTTCCTCAAACTCGTCTTCTTCCGCCTCATCGTCACTTCGAGGGTCATCAGCAACACCGCCCTTCAGCACCCGAATAACCACTCTGACGATCATGAAGAACCAAAAGATGGTGATGGCTTGAAGCGCCAGCAATGGATACAGGAATGCCCACACTACCGATTCGGAAAAGCACAGTGCGCCCTGTTGATCTTTAAAGGGCTCTAGGTAGTGACTCCATCCTTCGGGGAGGGGGGTAGGCCCCGTGAAGTTTGCGTGGCTTCCATGGAAACAGCCCATAGGCATGATCGCCGGTGCATCTGTGTAAATGCTCCAGCATGCCATGCCATAGAACAAGTGGCGGGCGAAGAACCACGAGACGACGAAAAACCCGAACATGATGTCGCACGCGGTAGAATAACCCATGTATTTCAGGCATTTCGCAGGCTATTGTGTGATTAGTGGATGGTTATAATGACTTGTGCTTTTGTCGAGACTAGCGACTAACCGAAAAAAACAGGTCAACAATATCCATGAGGACCAAGATTAGATTGCCGATCCGGGTGTGGTTGTAGCAGTAACACGCAGAGATTAGCGTGATCGTGATGAAGTGATGACTGAGCATTTGCCAGTGGTCTTTCCGGCGTTCCTCAATGTTGATCACAAGGACTTGTTGGAGCCAGAATGCCCACTGCGCCAGCATGTACCCTTTCATGATGCCGTCGAGTTCCCTGTTCGGCCAGTCCGTCCATAGCTCTTTCATGTTCAGAAAGTATGGCGACTTGCAGTAGATGTACTAAAGACCGATCAGCGTCTGTGGCATATATGGATTGGTCCATGATGCATGGCAACCGAAGCCAATTTAGGAGGTTTGGGCCATCGCATACCATGCCTAAGGTCCAGAACACGCTGTAGTAGATCAGTAGCCATGCTTGCTCCGAGAATCTCGTTATGTCCTTCCTCTTCGCTATCCCGCAATGCCTGGCTAGTGGCGCCAATATGTATTCCATGATCGCAGCGCGGAGTCCAGTGAAGAGCACAACGCAGAAGGAGATGAAGTAGTAGTCATCGCCTCCAATCGCGTACTTGCCCGTCGCCGGGTTGTAGTACGAAAGAGTGAGGAATTTGGGAGTATGCTGGCGTGCCTTGGGAATGAAGACATGGGCAAGAACAACCAAAGCGATGAGGTTGAAAGACAAGCCTGGATGAAGCCAATTGATTAGCCCTTGTTCAGACCACACTGGGGGAGCTGACAGAAGTGCCCTGCCCGTTGCTGCCGTGGAACACGCCACTTTGTCGTAGTTCCGAACACATGGCAACGGGCAAGACAGGATGACTGCAGTAGTCACAGTATGCCAGCAGTGTGTGGTAGACATACCTGCTTGGTTATCCAGTAGCCAGCGAGCCAGGTTCTTCATGGGCCCATCACCTTTCCTCTTGATTCTCCGGATCAGGACCTTCTTGTTGCTATTCTGCATGTATAGAGGGCCGTTCATAGAGCTAGAGCTACGCGATTGCACTGATGGCCTCCGTGTCGTACTAGGAGTTGTAGGGGTGTGTAGCCTGTCGATTTTGGGTCCCAGGGTGAGTGTGGTTTCGGTAGTTTCTGCCACGATCTCAGGATCTTTGTCGGGGGGATTGGTGGTTGGATCGGCCATGTTCGCGGTCGGAGTCGTCTCAGCTGGGGGTTCTGAAGGGCTTCCTTGGCGTCTGGGAGGTCAATTGACTCGGAAAACGACCAAGTTCAACGTACACAAGGAGGAGATCGGGCGCGGTGTGGTACGGGGCAGGATGGGAGACTGCGAAATCAGTGATACACGGTAGCGAATGCTGGACCTCGATAGGAGCAGTAGTGGGTACTAGGTACTCGTTGTGGGCTGACATGGAGGGTCTCTAATAAGTTGCCAGACACGAAAGACTCGGGGAAAAGAATGTCTCTAGCAAGTCCCCAAGCAAGCGATCATGGGGGGACATTGACTAGTAGAAGTGTTTGGAGATAGGTGCGACGGGGAAAGGCAGAACGATTTTGAGGATGAGGTGAGGGTAGACGCCAAGGATGCGATTTACGGCCAAAATTGAGCGGTGAATAGCAAAAAAGGAGGGGAGTCCAGCGCAGGGGAGCCCTTGGGACGGGTCCCACGGAGAGCATGTACCCGGGGGTAAATATTGAGTGGAGAGCAAGTACTGAGCCACCAGAGCACGTGAGGTTATGGCTGTTCCGGACCTTGTCGGTACTTGCTGCGGATAGAAGTACAGCCTCGCCCTCGGACGGTGCATGTACTTTAGGGGTCCATGCCACTACCGTAGGTACGAGGCAATTGGCTTTGGGCGTTGAGAAAGTTTAGAAACACGGGGGCTGGGGTGCACTAGATGTAAATCCATCGGCAATTTTATTAGTGGTGCATTCAACACTGATGATACTGTATCTCCTTCTTTCTGATTTCCGACTCGCAATTGCAAGACTCTCATGGATAGTCAATCACCACTGCCGCCAAGATGCCCCAGATTCAACAATAACAGCTCTGGATCCAAGGGGCGTGCTCTGCCTCGCAGCGAGCACCCTTAATATCATGGATAATTAACTTACATGTTGTTCTTTCCCAAGAGACGTGGGTTTCAAGATGCTACCAAGCTCGCTGGCTCGGTTTCATCAAACGTCTTCCCAACTTAGCTTCCCCTTCCCCGCTATCCATCGTGAGAGCTTCCTTCCACCTCCAGATTACTGCTCAAACCGGTGGTCAACATGCAGCATCATACTATCTGATGCAGCTTCAACCAATAGGACGTGCCACCACTCCGAGCAACTGCATCTCCCCATGCCAGACTACATGTAGCGTAGCGAATGAAACTGCGCAGATCGTGCACAGCTTGAGTGTTCCCGTCTGACTTGCCTGGAAGCCCCCGTAGATCTCACTTTGCGTGTGGGGGATTCGATACTGCTGCTGCAGAGGCACCACATATACGTTCATCACGTAAGTCTTGGATGACCCCTCTGCCACCTTGAAAACAAGTATACACGACTTTTAGCAGCAAGCAAGAAGCACATGCAAGCAAGCCTCCAGAATATTGAATTGCATGTGGAAACTTGAAAGCGCAATCCTATAAAGTCAAAGCTTTATTGTGGGAACGGAATACATAGACCAATCACGAACAATTGAAATACATGCACTCAAGATGGCACGTGGAGCAGAAAGCACCTGGAAGCACGGGCCACTTCTGACGCCACCGTTCCTTCTGGATGACATACATTACACTTTACCGTGACACCGAGACGTCGAGCACAGCCTTCCACTCTGGTCCCCGCGCTCCCCAACGACCTCTTGCCGCCGCCAACATCGTCCACGTCTTCCCTACGACCTAATTCATCCATCTACGAATCCATCTTTGATCGAGCCAGAACGCATCGTCGTCGAGAATCGGGAATCACGAATTCGCGCGAAAGACGAGATGGCAGCCACCGCAAAGTACACGCCGGCGCCGACACAGGACCCTGATCAAGGCACCTGGTCGCAGGCACCGCCGTCCTACCAGGCCGAGTCGGCCAACGCTCCCACGGGCATCTTCTCAGACGCGCCGCGCAGTAGCGAGGACAACATTCCCGATGATTTCAAGTTCGGCGGCTCTGTCGCCGAGGCCACAGTCGACATCCGCAACCAGTTCATCCGCAAGGTCTACACCATCCTGACCGCGCAGCTGGTCGTCACCGCCGTCGTCAGCGGCCTCAGCTTCTGGAGCACCGACTACAAGGCCTGGATACAGTCGCATCCCTCTCTGGTTTGGGTCTCGGTACGTTCTCCTCCACCAAACAAGTCTACATGATGTGTTTGTATGCTGACAGTGATACTCCCAACAGCTCCTCGGCTCCATCGTCTTCATGTGCCTTACGTACTGGAAGCGCAAGTCGTACCCGACCAACCTGCTCTTCCTCTCCGGCTTCACGGTCCTTGAGGCCTACTCTATCTCCGTCATCGTCTCCTTCTACAAAACGCAGATCGTGCTGAACGCTGTGGTACTGACGGGCGGCATCTTCGTATTCCTGACGCTCTTCGCCTGCCAGACCAAATATGATTTTACATCATGGATGCCGTATCTTTTCGGCGCACTGTGGGGACTGGTGCTCTTCGGCTTCATGGCCGCCTTCATGCCCATGGGCAGCACGGGCGAGCTCATCTACGGTGGACTCGCCGCGTTGGTCTTCTCCGGCTACATCCTTGTCGACACGCAGCTCGTCCTGCGCAAGCACCACGTCGAGGAGGAGATCGCTGCCGCTATCAGCCTGTACCTCGACATTATCAACCTGTTCCTGGCCATCCTGCGCATCCTGAACAGCCAGAGTAACAACTAGGATGATGTTTAGTGCTACACCGATGTGTCACAGGTAGCAGAGAAGAGGAGTCCTTACATGACTGGGGTACCATTCATTACATACTCTCTGGATGACACAAAATGCATTCTTTGATGGGCCGCATACTGAGTTTCGGGCCTTGACTTCTCTTACATATCGTCTTTGGACTGGGTTATGCCAGGGGCATGCGAATTGGGAAAGGGATAACATCTAGTCAGAGTTGTTTAGTTTTCAGAACCGTTATGAATGGGACAACTGTATCTGCCATCGGGTAAACGTGGCTAGATGTACATTCATATTGAGTGATATGTGTTCGTCGCCATTAACAGTAGTCGTTTCTGCCGCGCTATTAAAGCTGTACATTCGTATTGAGTGATATGTGTTCGTCCCTGGGGAAGTCGTTTCTCCCGAGCCTCTGAAAGCCATATGCCAACACAGAAAATAAAAACGCGTCCAAACCAACGAAATCTCGCCCGTATCATCGGCATCACACCCGCATTTGTACACTTCCACGCCCTTCCTTCCCTTGTCCCATCACCAGGAAGTGTAGATACTTGACTCAGGTACCCACAGTAGACACGCAGCTCGAGCCCCGACAACTACCTATGAGTAACCCCAGTCAGATATTCTTGAGTGAGATCCTGCATTGGTTATCGAAGACGTCTACAAACAAACCTATGAGATTCCCTTTCAACCAGGAAAATGCTCGCCGAATTCTTCGTATGCGCGAAAGTGTCTGTTCGTCCTATCTGACTAGGGCGGCAAGTCAAAATCCATGCTTCCATCAGTACGATTTATTAGGATGGGTGCATCGTCCCTCGGCAACGAACTCTCCTCAGGAAAGGGGGTTCAAGGCTGCCTCGACTCAAATCTAGGCGTCTTGACGTGGCGAACTTGAACCAGCTACATACATCTCAAGTCTGCTTCGAGAAGGTCAATGAGGACATCAGTTCTCTATTTGAAATTTGCATTAGAAGGACACTAGTACTAGGAGAAGAAAGGGCGTAAAGTAGAAAAAGCCTTCGTAGTAGGGAGGTAGCTAAAGAGACATCAACTCTCGCAAAGATACACCATACAGTATGCGGGCTGACTGATCTGCCTTGTCCACCACTACGTCGTTAAAAGGTTCACGTTGGTGCTTTGCCTCGTATGAAAAATCGGGAAGCCAAGTTCTTTCAGTCCATCATTGGTCGAAGGTCATCGACATACCATACTTCTGGGGGGATATCAACTCCGGCTGGTTCTTATTCCTGACAAATCCATCAAGCCTTCCACTCCTCACGCGTCGAATAAGCCCATTAAGCTGTATTGGTTTCACATGTGTCATTTCGGGTGGGCTCGAGCCGGAGACGTGAAGTTATCAAACACCCGACGCCACAGATTCGTACTTTTGTCTGGCCGCCCGTAGACCAGAGGTAGAAGATAAAGAGTCGGTCAGACTCGAACACTTAGGCTTCGTGATCGCCGTTCGCTTCGGGTGATCCGGGGCCGGCGGCGGCGGCAGCATCTCGTTGCATACGAGCCTCTATCTCGCGAAGCTGGGATTCGCGGGCCAAGAGTTCCTGTCGCTTCTCGTTGATCTCGCGCTGGACCTTGACTTCGATCTCGCGAAGCTTCTCCTCCTCTCGGCGGAGCTGTTCCTCCTTTAGGCGCACGGACTGCGACGCCAGGTCTTCGGGGTTCATAGAAGAATCACTAAGCCGACCATTAGTATAGCAACGTGAAGAGGAAAACTGATACGTACACTCCAGCACCGCCCTCAACACTCTTACTAAGCTTTTCGGTACGGTAGTTCTCGTACAAGAAGTCGTGGGTGATCTCCTTTAGGTCCGCCAGATGGCTGTGCAGAAGCGCCGACCGAATGGCCAGGAAGTCGGAGTGACGAGGGTTGTCAACCTCGACAACACCCCAGGGGTATTGTCGAGCACGAACTTTACGACCACCGATTTCGAGAACATCTTCAGATCCGACGATGGCGAAGGGCATGAGGCCTCTCAGTTCGGCGTTCTCCTCGACAGTATCCTCGTCATCCTCCTCGATATCGTAAGGGAAGTTGTAGACGGGGATGCGGTAATGCTCGATATCCTCCATGACAAGTTTCTTCGACTCAGCCAGCTCCTGGGGTGTGAGAGAGTCGGCACGTCCGATCACGGGAATAACGTTGACACGGGGAGCAAGGCGCTTCATCAACTCGATGTCGAGTTCTCGGAGACTATCCATGTTGTCAGAGACGAAGGCAGGCATCACAAAAAGGGAGAACTAACCCATGACCAGTAGGAGTAATGAAGTACAGCATAGCATGTACTCGGTTGTCCCTGAATCTGGGGTTACGCTTGATACGCGACTCCTCGGCCAAGATGTCGTCATATTGTCTCTCGAGGTACCCAACGATCTCTGAGAAGCTGCACAGTCGAGGAGGTTAGCGCCCGCGAGAATTGGTTTCAGGTGTGGGTTGTAGCGTACCTTGCCTCGTTGTCGATTTGGTCGCCGAAACCCGGGGTGTCGACAATGGTTAGGGAGATACGAGTGCCTTCCTCGTCCAATTCAAGCTCTGTCAAGCGCATCAGAGTGGGTTGATAGGCAGGGGAGCTCATGTACCATACCAACGGTGATGGGCTTGATCTTAACACCATCTTCGACATGGGCGACGCCAGCATCATCTGAGTCCTTGTGCTCCAACACGCTCTTGCTGCAGAGGGTGTTGACGAAGGTGGTTCTGCCTGTACAACACGACCATATCAATCAGCACCAATTCGGACCAGCGATATGCATTATGTACGGTATGTCGATGGTCTCGTGATCCGACAGTGGGATACACTGTATCGGGAGGGATGTACCTGTTCCTGATGCACCGCAGACCATCAAGCAGAATTGGATCCCCTTCTTCACGTTCTTCTTTCGGCGCATCATCTTCTGTAACGCGTGACGACGGGTTAGCTGCTGCAACGAAGGTGTGCGCAGGGTTGTATTGGGTGTTGGCGGTGGGAATCGAGGCCGACGTCAGGCGATTGGAGGTCAGTCGAGAAAGGGGACTCACGGCTGGAGACGACATGTTAGGCTAAGGCTGGGTGTTTTCACAGGAGATAGAGAGCAAGCAATGGAAAGGAATTGGAATAGCTTGACTGACGATTTGTTTTACCGTCACCGACGGAGGGAAACAAGCTGGATCGCGGAATGGGTATCTCGAAACGTATTGCGGAAAGGGGATCGCGAGTCTGTTCGTTGGTGAAGACCGGGAGATTTGGGAAAGGCGGTGGTCCACTGGTCGGGTGGGTGTTGACACGGGATGCAGCAAGCAATGCCCAGGCAATTTCACCAGGGCAGCACAAAATACACCAGCAGGACGAGGGGCCGGGGAGCTCTAGGTGTCGGGGACAGGGGGTGAGAGGGTCGTGATGGGACCCGTGAACCCCTAATTGGACTGGACCAGCCACTGACAGCCACTAATAACATTGAACAGCACAGTGCCAGGGCACCTGTGGCACCTGCCTACGTTTTGTTTCTAGAGGAAAGCACGGATCACCTCCAAACTGCAACGCCCTTCGTGCCTCCGCAACTTCGATGGACCGGCATTTCAGGGGTTCACCAACATGAAGGTTGCCGCAGCTAATAAGATGGCTAGCGGTCCAGTCGCCTTCCGCTGTTCACTGTCGTTCTTTCATCAACAATCAGATTGAGGCCAGAGCGACAGTGGCAATTCTGAAATTCTAACTTCTGGCGGCGGGAGCTGCAGTTGAGCCGCGACACGCGACACAGAGACGGGTTTACGCCCTGTCAGGTGTCAACAGGAGTATAATACTCTGGATACAGATACATCAATGATGACAGCGGCCGCAGACAAGTAAATCGTCGGCAAGCGGATGAGGGTATGAAACGAGATGTTACTGTGTGTGACCTTCGAGTGATAGTCTCCGCCCGCGTGAACCTACATGTAGTCCAGTCAAAGCAAGTAGAGCAGTCAGTTTGGTGATGCTTTACAAAACGAAGACAACGAGGCTATCTTGAGGCATTCGTTACGGTGAAATGAAACAAACGGGGCGGTTCTTTCTCGGCAACCTTGAACCTCCTCCCAGCTCCTTCCCAAGTCGTTGAGATGCACCTTGGGTGGCCCGTGCGCCCGCACATCTGAGCGCAGGTGGACTTGGAATTGACCACCAGCTTCCAAGGTCTCACGTGTACCTGGCAACACCGGCACATTCACGAGGAAGCAGCAAGCAAGCTGTTGACAGTGACTCCCCTCGCGCCGGCCGTAGAGTATACGCATTCGCTTTTATATATCCCCTCTCTGCCTTCAAGGTCCCGTCTTGTCCGGCTTCGTCATTCCATATCAGCCACACATTATAGCAGATTACAGCCGGCTCAACGCCTCATAGGTCCACCACGAGCCTAATAAGTTTATCAGCTCATACATAACGTCGCTCGCTCATACGCCGCCTGACTGTTCAACCATACATCACTACGAAATGATCTGGCACAGTCAATAACCTCGGGACTCTGTGATTCTCTCTGATGCCCAGCATCCCCGCCCATTCGCTTTCGAGCAGACTGTCACTCCCGCGCTCCTCTCACTTGACACTCTACATCTCGCCACATACACGTCCTCTACCGCAGCCATGAACACGCGGCCGCCCATTGAGAACCCCAGCGAACACGCTGCGCTCTCTGTCGCCTTCAACAATGATGCGAGTCGGTTCACCGTCGGGCTGGACTCCGGATTCTGCAGTAGGACGACCCTGCCCTCTCAGCTGCTGGCTCACTTATGGATACCGACTTACACGCCTTAGTATTCATGTCAGACACCTGCCAGATTCAAACCGCCCGAGGTATGCTGGCCTACAACATCGTATGTTCTTATAATCTGACACGGGTGTACAGTCTTCAATGCCGGCCTCGCCGTCGTGCAGATGATGGGTAATGCAAATTATTTAGCTCTTGTCGGCGGTGGCCGCTCGCCTAAGTTCCCCCAAAACAAGGTCATTATCTGGGACGACAGCAAAGGCAAAATAGCGTTTGAGATCGCCACCCTGACTTCTGTCCGAGGCGTTCAGATATCCAAGACACGTGTGGCAGTGGTTCTGCAGGACATGGTGCGCGTCTATGCCTTCGACAAGCCGCCGCGACCTCTTGCCAGATACGAAACTGCGGACAATATGTTGGGCTTGTGCTGTTTGACGGACGAGTATCTTGTGTTTCCTGGGAGGACGCCAGGCCAGGTCCAGGTCGTGCATCTAGCAACGGACAGTGTGAGCATAATACCGGCACACTCGTCAAGCCTGCGGGCTCTGCAACTGAGTCTGGACGGTGAATTGCTTGCCACCGCGAGCGAAAAGGTACCTGATTTTCATTTCTCCCCATTTCTTCATCCAACCACTTACAAGTCCAGGGCACGATTATCCGCATTTTCTCAACGCGTAACGGCGCAAAACTCGCAGAGCGAAGGAGAGGTACAGAAAATGCCACCATCTACTCGCTACGGTTTAGTCCGTCGGGAAACATGCTCTCCTGCACATCAGACAAGGGAAATTTACATATCTTTGACGTCCCCAATCCCCGCCGGTCACCATCACCGCCTCACCCACCAGAGGCCGCGAAAAACCCTGGTGATAAAACCAACGCTGAAGCCTCAAACAAATGGGGGATCTTGAAAAATATCCCATTCGGTCCATTCTCGGACGTATACTCCTTCACCTCTGCCCCTTTCGAAACCGGCGACGAGCCTCTTCTTCCTACCGCCGTCCGGAGCACAGGGACCAGCCCTGTGTTAGGCACTAGTAGGCCAATGAAAGGAGTGGTTGGTTGGATCAACAACCACAGTCTACTGGTCGTCGGTGCCGGCCAAGATGCGCGATGGGAAAAATTCGTGCTACGGCAAGGGGAAGACGGGCGATCAGTGGTCGTTCGCGAAGGTTGGAAACGATACCTAGGGAACTAGGATTTGCTCGAGGTCCAATTTGAGAACGATCCAATGATGGAAGTCGTGGACAAGCCATTTCTGGCAGAAAGGCTGAGCCTGAATAGAGAGTCATGATGGTCTGGTCGGTCTGGGGTTGGTTGGGTATGGAGTCTTTGGAGTCCGGCCATGGCGTTCGTGGACGGGGGACACATTGAATCACATGGGCAAATGACTCGGCATTTGGACATGATCCAACAAGGCCATATTACCAGCGTTAGCTTTTCTGGTGTTATTGTTTCACCAAGCGCTAGATGAGTATTAACAATCAATCTCTACGAGACCGTGGGGACCTGCTTCTGCTCTTCCGCCTGCTTCTGTGATCCCTATCCCCGTCTTCCGATTCGCCACGACGTGAGCGCTTGTCACGACCGTCCCTATCATCGTGATCTCTCCTCCTCTCTCGATCCCTACACCTATCGTGATCATCGTCACGATGTCTCCGCCCATGATCCCTAGATTCACCCCTTTTCTTTGGTATTTCGTCGCGACCTCGACCACTCCGCTCCTTTGCCTCAGGAGTCTCATCGCGCCTCGACCTCCTATGTCGGCCATCCCGTTCCCCATCGCTCTCATCCCGTTTGGAGCGATGACTCCGGTGATGATGATGGCGGTGCTTATGCTTCTTCTCCCTCCCGTCCCCGCGTTCTCCACCCTTCTTCCTCAGCGCCAGCTCGACCTCCTTCTTCTTCTCCTCGATCAAGAAGCCCTTCATCGGATCATCCTCGTCGTGCTCCTCCATCAGCTGCGCCAGCTCCCTCTCCTCCCTGATCAAGAGTCTCCGTCTAGCCTCCTCCCCCTCTTCATCCTCCTCCGCAGTACTCTCCTCCATCTCGACATCCTCGCCCCGCGCCGCCTTTTCTCTTCGTATAATGTCCTCCCAGCTGACGCGGAACTCGTCGGCGTCCTCGTCGTCGCGCGCACGGTAGCGCGCGTGGTCGACGCGCACCAGGCGCCCGCTGACCTCGGCCCCGCCCAGGTTGTCGACCGCCAGGTCGCAGCTGCGCTGGTCCTCGTACTTGAGCCAGCCGAACCCTTTGGATTTTCCGGATTCCTTGTCCCGCGTTAGTTTTAGGAAGACTGGCTCGCCGTATTGCGAGAAGATCGTTATTATGTCGCCTTCAGATAGCTCGTAGGGCAGGCCGCCGAAGTTGATGAAGGCAGTGTCGCGGTAGTCGGTGTGCCAGGAGGCTTCGGGGGACCTGTTGTTGGGGGTGGGTGTTAGTGTTGTTGCTGGGATTGTGAGGATTTCAGGGTGAGCTGGGCTTGACTTACACTCCGTTCTCGATCTCGCGCTTGTTGAGCGCCTGGATGGCGCGTATTTGGTTCATGATGTTGCCTGCGCGGAGGTGGCTCGTGGCATGACCAAAGCTCGGCGGGAAAGGAGGGAGGCGTATTCAGATACGCAAGCCCCGGCGAAGATATTGGGTGCAATAGCAGCACGGGGAAATCAGTGTTGAAAGCTAGCAGGCAATGTGTGAAGGTCGATCAAAGATAACTTGAGAAGGCTGCGAAAATACCAATGAGGAAAATAATAAGAAAGTGGCTGCAGCTGGCTTGCTGCAAGGCTGATGCGGTCATGTCATGGCATTGCTGGGATACAGGGGTTAGGTAGGTAGCCCCCGCCACTGAAACATTTCCCCAATCCCTCAGTGCTACTCTGGTTTGCCTCACTAAACTCAGACTGTCACCCTCCCGACCGTTTCCTTACTGGCGTCCGATAAGTGTCCGATAAGCGAAACAAAGGTCTGCATTCAACAGAGATAAGCTCTGGCAGTCTGGGCAAAAATCGGACCGCTAAAATCACTGCTAAATGTTACCTCTATAAAACGCAGTAACTTCTTTTAAACGACGCCCTGCAGGGGCGTCGGGTAGCGTGCCCGTTCATGGTACTTAAGTTCGCGTTATACTTTAAATACGAGCTAAGCTAAAATTAGTATTGTAGGTACCGTTTTTACAACCAATTAAAAGGGGCTACAACCTTTATATTTAAAAGTAACTGAGTATGTATCTATTATCATATAAAATAGAAATCGCTCGCTTTATATATTTACCAACCTTTTAACTATTATAATAAATAAACGCTATGAATAGACTTTTCTTAATCTTAAATTACTAGCTAATTTTTTAATACTTATATATCTTTATTTAAAACGATAGTTTTATATTTTAAGCACAATGAATGTTAAAAGTTAATATATATCCGCTTTTAAAATATATATATATATACTATCAGATTTCAAAGTGTTGACAAGCCTGTGGTCTTGAGCGGTAGCTGCAATCGTTGTTATCATTTCTAAGCTATCCCAATTGGGTGGTATCTACACCTATTTGTACAGCTCCGGAGATGTCGGAGACAATCCTTTGACCCAATTCAGGGTGCTAGTCATGACAGCCTCCTTGACTAGCCACCTGACTAGCCAGTACTCCACAGGTGTTGAATAGGAGCCGGAGATAGACACCGGAAGATCTCCAGTAAGGCAGAGACGCACAGGGCATCTGACCCACCAAGAAGACAAATGATCAATCTCTGCACGCAAAGCAACACAATCAATAGAATCAATCAATATCCGTGTATTCAACAACAGGGCATACACTCCTAGAAATCCCTTAAATCTGACGTATACATAATATATTATTGACCGACAGCCATATATTAAATTAAACTTTCAAAAAGTCTTATTAACTTTATTAAACCGTATGAAACTTTAACACGTTATAAAATATAAATTAAACGTGTAGTTATTAATTAATAGCGCTATTATAATATATATATACATATATATTACGGCGCAGCCTCGTCGTTATTGATTTAATAACAACGGTTATATAATAGCCTTAAGTAAAATATAAAGGCCTTAAACTGCTAGTCGGCGTATCATTACCCTAATTGTCTAATTGGTTGGATTCACACTTAAGTGGGTCCCATTTCTCGATACATCCCAATACTTCAGGCTGCCTGGTGGTCTGAGCCTTTCTCAGGTAAGCCAAAATTTCCCAATAGGCCTACTTCAGCACTTCGGTAGCACCCCTGATACGGCCCGGGCCTGGAAGCCCTCCAACGGGCCCTGCAGATGGTCATTTTGTCTCTTGCCTATCGACCAAGACGAAACAATTAATCTGAAGTTTCCAACCACTGTCTTTGTCTTCCTGTACCTACCTACACCCAGCTCACCGACCACGCTCCCTGTACGAGACCAATCAAGATACCAACATCATAGACTGGCGTTCTGGCCACCTACGCGTTGCGGCTGCAAGTCGGCTTTGGACGCGTCCCAACGATCCTACCATCTTCCCACCCAGCTTCGTCCTGAGCTTGCGACAACAAGCGCGTCGACGCGAATTCCAATGCGACCAATCAACCAAAGTCCCACATGATGGCGAACTCGAATCGGTTCTCCTCGTACACCAGTACCTCTGTTGGCACCGGCTCGGAGGGCAAGAAGGATGACCAGAAGAAAGACATGTGGAGCTCCATGCTCGACTCTGTCGCCAGCGGCAAGAGATTACCAGAGAAGAACATGCTGGTCTTAGGTATGGGTTGAATCGTACGGCTCTCCGAGCGCAGAGGCTGACAGGACGCATCAGGGGGTTCAACCAACTCACAACGAGACTTCCTCGAAGCACTATCGAACAACGATCAGCGCAGAAACATAGACCGATCGAAGGACAAGATGCCACCCATAGCGAATAGTTTTGCACTTGGATATACATATTATGACGTTTTGGACGCGGATCAGGAGGGTTTGTCCACCACAACCTCAAGCCCAACCAATACTACCGATCGCTAACATCCACCAGACATCTTGGCCCGAATCTCCCTCTACCTCCTCAGCAGCCCGGCACCGTCCTTCACCTCGCTTGTCAAGCCTCTCTTGACCCCCCAATCGATACCAAACACACTAATAGTAATATTACTCGACTGGTCACAACCCTGGCTTTGGATGCGCCAGCTACGAGAGTGGCTCCTGTTATTGCGCACTGTACTCGTGTCACTGAGCCCTGAATGCGAGGAGACCATGAAAGAATCTATGATCGCCTGGCGCGACCGAGGGCGGACTGGTGGGTCTGTCAACCTCGACGGCACGGGCGCAGTCGCTGCTGAGGGAGATGTTGCGTTACCCCTTGGACCCGGAGAATGGGATGGCGCTCTAGGACTACCTCTGTGTGTAGTCTGCCAAAACGTGAGTTGCCCGGGTGTGCGCTGACTGTAAGCATTGCTAACAAGGATATACTAGTCCGAGAAAATCGACTACCTGGAGAAATCGCAAAGTTGGAAAGAGGAGCAGTTCGACCTTGTCCTTCAGTATTTGAGGACCGTCCTACTGAAGCGTAAGTTTTGATGGCCTGTTTCTGGCTGTAACCTCCTGGGCTAACAGATATATCCAGATGGTGCTTCTCTTATTTACACAGGGCCGTCCATGACCTCTCCGCTCCAGACTCTTGTCCATGCGAGTTTAGGTATACATTCGCTACTAAAACGGTCACCCCTGAAGCACAATGTCATTGACAGAGACAAGATCGTTGTCCCTCCGAATTGGGATTCTTGGGGCAAGATCAGAGTACTACGTGACGGGTTTGATGTCGAAAGTGTCAGCGAAGGATGGTCGATCGACCTCGAGCAGCCCTTCCCTATGGTCAAGGCCAACGGGGCGAACGGTACTGAGGCCGATCACGAAGTGATAGATGACACAAACGGCACAGATGAGCCGGAAGGCTCTGCTGTTGCCATGTATGAGGAGCAAGTCCAAGATTCTAGCCTGGATGCGCTGCAGCTGGCACAGGGAAACAAAGACACGAGCAAGTTGGAGGTTGCATCAATCAACACACAAGCTTTCCTCGTCAACCAGCTTGAACGGCTAGAGCAGCAGAAGAAGGTGGAGGACAAGACTGGCAAAGAGAGTACATTTGCACAGGGTGCGACAGACGACATGATCAGTGATCACATTGGTCCAGTGCAGTTCAATATGGGCGGCATTCAGGTTGATGCCGACGACATGGTCCAGCGGCTTAAGGTACGTTCACCAATGCATTCTTTCATATCACAAGCAGTAGGCTAACACTTTGTTAGGAGCGCCAGGCCTATGGACAGTCACCTGAACTGCATGCTATGGACGATGAGTCTCAACTCGAAGATCCAGCACCACAAGTGGACACTGATACCCTTGCCAAATTCTTTGGCAATCTCATGAACCGCAAACCTGCCGCTGGCGGAAACGGCACCAAGACATGATCAATACAGTCATTCCTCATGACTGACAATATATTCTCGACGGCTGCTGGACTGGGAGCCATGATTGGCGGGCAGATTTCATCCTTACCGAAGGGCAATCTACAGACTGTCCATCAACTAGCTAGTTGGGGTTGGGCGGCGATGATACCCCTTGCTTGTGCAAGACGAGCTAACATCAGATGATCTGCACAGTGCTCAACATCTTGAACCAATTTCATTTGTACGATCACCCATAGCAGAGCCATGTCCTTGGAGCCCAGGAATCGGAGGATGGCGGAAGAAGCAGAACTATCCAAATCCACCACCCAGCATAGAGCATTTGGAGTCCGGGCCATGACTGTCTTTGTCCGAGAAAGGCCTGCATGACAAGATTGTAGAATAGATACCCCCAATGATATGAAAAGCAGACACAAGACAAATCAGCACGCACAATAGTGTTATCAAGAAGATATCTGAACTACACATCTACGATGTGACGCCTGACAGCTAACCCCTATCTACCCCTTTCATTTGACTTGAACCCTATCAGAGCACGCAGTGGTCCGTGCACGATGGTTCACGACCTGACCTGCAAGCCCACCAAATAGGGTACGTACCGATACGTACCGATATGATGGGCTGGAGCCTGAGGCGATAAGGAAGATAATTACGTAGGTGGGGTTTGTGGGTGGTGGGTTGACGATAGCTACTTTATCTATGTCTACTGATACAGCCCATCAACAAAATGCGCAGTCAAACAAGCAGTGCTTTGCCTGTTATCCCACTTGTTTTGATGTATCCTTAGGTCAAACGTTCAGTACACTGTCCATCCGGGTGCTCATGCGAAGTATTTTTTAGGGCTTACCTGGATATCTGACCAAGCACCGTCACCGGCGCATCGCAGCCTTTTCCTGCAGCCTACCTGTTGTTTCTCAACCACATCGTCGACAGCTCAAACACAGCGCCCACAGCATACTTGGAGCATACATACTGATATCGCCAGACTACAAGCAAGATGATGTCGGCACAGCTCCAGCAGTCCGATGCTGGTGCTGCAGCGTCGTCGCAACCCAGTCAGAGCACGAATGAAGCTCAGGCGCAACGAACCCAATCCTTCGGCCCTCTCACGAATCGCGCCGCAAGCAGCAAGAGCCCTTTTGTTCGAGCCAACTCTGAGAGCGCCATAGCATGGCAACTTCTGGATGACGAGGCGATCAGTCGGGCCAAGGGAGAGAACAAGCCGATCTTCCTCAGCATCGGATACCTGGCTTCTCACCGTAAGCTGCTGCTGCCCTGGTGACTGGTGTCGCAAACAAACTGCATACTGACCACTTTCAGACTGTCATCTGGCCCACCAAGAGACCTTCTCGAACCCCAAGATCGCGTCGCTCCTCAACCAAGAGTTCGTCCCGATTCTGATCGACCGCGAAGAATACCCCAACATCGACAGCGTCTACATGAGCTACAACCAATCCCTCAATAGCAACGCGGGATGGCCCCTCAATGTGTTCCTCACCCCGGAGCTGGAGCCTGTGTACAGCGGCACATACTGGGCACCACCGGGAACCGACGGTAGTGTTGCTGCTGCGGCTGCGGCTGATGGAGCTGCGAAACCCCTGGATTGGTTGACTGTCATCGAGAAGGTTCATTCTTCGTGGCAGAATGAGGAATCTCGGGTTCGAGCAGAGGCCCAGAAGAGTCTCATCGAGCTCCAGCAGCTTTTAGGGGAGGGGACTCTAGTCGCAACAGAGCGCCAGAGTCCCGCGGAGGAAATCACTCGCTCAGCCACCGACTACTCGGCCGAGATCCAGGGCGAAGTCGATTTAGACCAGCTCGAGGAGGCGTACGAGCGTATTACTAGAACTTTCGACCCTGTCTTTGGCGGATTCGGCCAGGCAGACAAGTTCCTGACTCCGCCGAAGCTTTCGCTCATCCTGAGGGCAACGCAGTTTCCACAGGTGGTCCAAGATGTGGTAGGACCCGAGGAATGTGTATACATCAGCACTATGGGCCTGCATACACTCCGCCGCATCGTGACTGGTGCTGTTCACGACCACATTGGAGGAGGTTTTCACCGACACTCGATTACTAGAGATTGGTCGCTACCGTCATTTGAGAAACTGCTCATCGACAATGCCCTGCTCCTAGGCCTCTTCCTCGACGCCTGGCTCCTCTCAGGCGGCCAGCCCCAGCACGAGTTCGCCGATACGGTGACTGAGGTGGCTGATTATATCACCAGCGATACTATGGTGTCTGAGAAGGGTGGCTTCTTCACCAGCGAAGTGGCGGACTCGTACAATCGACGAGGCGATAAGGTCATGCGCAATGGAGCATTCTATCTGTGGACAAGAAAAGAGTTTGACACTGCAGTTGGAAATGAAGATGAGTCCAAGACCGCCGCAGCGTATTGGAATGTGCAGGAACACGGCAATGTCGACAGTGCGCACGATCCCCTGGATGAGTTCCTTAACCAGAACGTCATTCACATCGTCAAGAACCACACGAGACTCAGCAAGCAACTGGTCCTGACAGAGGAAGAAGTGAAGCGTCGCATCGATTCAGCCAAGGCGAAACTGCGAAGTTACCGTCAGGCGGAGCGTGTAAAACCGGACGTTGACACGAAAATCGTGACCTCATACAATGGCATGGCTATTGCAGCATTGTCTCGAACAGCTGCGGCTATATTCGACAAAAAGGACCCTGCGACTGGAAAGAGAGAGAAGTATTTGACAGCTGCAAAGAACGCGGCTCTCTTCATCAAGAACGAGCTCTGGGACAGCAGCGAGAAGACTCTTTACCGAATGTATTGCGACGGTCGATCCGACGTCAAAGCGTTCTCTGAGGACTATGCTTTCCTCATCGAGGGTCTTATCGAGCTCTATGAAGCCTCAGCCGACGCTTCGTGGCTTGAATGGGCCGATGAGCTGCAGGCGGTGCAAATAACGCTCTTCTACGATCAACCCACGACTACACCCACGCAGGCTAACGCTAGGTGCGGAGCCTTCTACTCCACTACCCACGATGCGCCGTACACGCTGCTTTGTTACAAAGACGCCATGGACAGCTCGCAGCCGTCCGCCAATGCCGTCTCTGTATCAAATCTCTTCCGACTCGGAGCACTTTTGAGCGACGAGAAGTACACGTACCTGGCAAAGGAGAGCCTCAACGCCTTTGCCGTGGAGATGCTCGAGCACCCCAACCTCTTCCCGGGCCTGCTATGTGGCATCGTGCCTTGGAAACTAGGAGGTCGACACTGGGTTTGTATGTTCAAGGACGAGCCGGACCGCCACGAGCTCGCAGGCTTTTACAAGGCTCCGCGTTCCGCCTTGTTCACGGTACGATACCATACCGGCGACGAACCCCATGCCTGGATCCGCAGACGGGACCCGGGCAGTGAGACCTTCCGTCGAGCGAATGCTGTGTACATGGGCGGCGCTAAGGTCCTTGGCACTATCTTGCCGGAGGGCATTATCACGCCGACGGGAAGCCATTTCCCTGGCATTAACACAGTATAATTACGACTGGCGGTCAATTCTGGAAGGTCATTTGCGGAACATCTCTCTCGTGTTCGGTCAGATACCTGGTGGCGGCGTTTCTGTGGGGTAGAATCATGCATACCCGTGCATTCCTAGGCGTTACTTGAGCAAACTCGGGGGAGCATCGCTATCTTGTATCTTTGCATTGTAACTTAGCATTATGGTCCGTTTCGGATTTTCGCAACCTCTTGGCTCTCCATGTAGCTATAACGTTAAAAGCAGATACCAAAATCAATGGAGGGACCAAGTTCATGCGTATGGAAAGTGTAGTAGTCTATTACAGTGAACCCTTATAAGTCTCCGTACACCAGACCACCCGTCCAGCAACCAACGGTATATTCATCGAATCGGAATAAGCATAATAAACTAAGCATTAAAGTGGTGAATTAAACTGTAGCTGCTTATTTTTACTAACTTATGCCGGTATTTATAAAAGTTTCCTTATTTACACCTTACCGAGATTTTTTATTTGCACTTTACTTTAGTTTGCTACTTGCTACTACTCGCTAGCTACCTAGTAGCGGGCTAACTACTAAGCTTACTACTAAGCCTAATATGAATAGGTCGGGTCTAGCTGCTAGCTTTTAAAAGCATACAAATTTGAAATTATAGAGCGCTTCTATATAAAACCTAATTATAGTAGCTATTTATACTAAAAAGCTACTTAGTTAATTATTTATAAGTAATATATGTAATTAGTATAGATACAATAATTTAACACTAAGTGATGTCTTCATAAAACTTAATCGTAATAGCTATTTAGCTTAAAAAGCCTTCTTTTTTATATAAACGCAGCTAATAATTATTTAATAAAACGCGACCGGTGAATATAATGATTTAAAGTTATATAGCATTTTTATACGAAAACTAATCGTAACGATCATTTAATTAACTGCCATTAGCAGTACTAGCTAAAATAGATATAATAATTTAAAACTAAGTAGTATTTCTATATAAAACCTAATTGTAATAGCTATTTAACCTAAGTAGTAAGATGAGCTAGCTGTTAAGTGGTTGTTAAGTGGCTGACTAAGGTAAGGTATAAATAAGGAGTTTTAATAAGGTGCAAATAGGAAGACTTATTTATAAATTTCTTCGTGTGATCTGGAATCTTCCTTATATGGCCTGTACGGACGGAGGCTTGTGAGGGCTGGGAGTAGCCGTTTCAAAGTAGGTGTTACAGAGCAAGCTTAAGCCTTATCAATATACTTACTTAATTAGTGGCGCTGTTGGAACAGGCTTGAACGATCAATCATAATACTCGAGTATGGGGTCAAGGTCATGATGTTGCTGATGGTTGGATTGGGAGGTCTAGCTGGACCTGAAGGTCTGGCTAAGTGACCTCGCAATCCGGTATCTAATCACTTATCTAATCATACATGTGGGTCCTGGTATAGATGGTTTGCAGGCTGGAATCGCATGGATCCAACAGGCGCAGTTATTTTGGTATATAAGTTCGCGAGTGTTTAAGGCGTGGAACCCGTACGTTTGACTGCTCTTAGCTGCATTGCATGTAGAGACTGCCGTCCTGGTTGCTAGCGACGTTACCGACTTTGTTGCACGCCCGCACAGCAGAAGTGTTTGAATTTAAGCTATGGTGGAGTGGACACGAAGTTATTGAAGGGTGCCTCTTGGAACCACATTTACAGGCGCAGCTTGGCTGCTGATTTTGGTCCGGGAGCCGATGGTTTGGTTGAAAATGCGCTGTCATCACTTACACAGAGTTTGTCAGATGCAGCCGCTACGCAAAAGGGATTTACACTGACATCAAGTCAGTGCTTATATTTGACCCCCCCCCCCCCACCCCCGCTTGAGTACGGAGCCATACTGCTGTGCAGTGCGAAAGCTGGATGCTGTTCTGACTTGCGCTTTGGCTTTGTTCTGACTTATTCTATCCAGTCGCGGCTTCTACGAGACTCGAACCCTGTGGGTGGCTGGGTGGTGGTCTGCTCTAGCGACGTGTATCCATTAAATTCTCCAGTGAGGTAGAGCGACGATGAGACTCTTAATTGTCAGATGCAGCCCCTAGGCAAAAGTGATTTTCACTGACATCAAGTCAGTGCTTATATTTGACAGAGTTCATTAGGCCATGGGTGTTCTTTCTTGACTCCACCGACTTTCCGTAGAGTGATGGAGCGGTTCGTGAAGCCTCCTTGTGGGTCACGAATCTATGTTGTTTGTGGAATGTAACCCCTGAGGGTAAGACGTTGAGGTGGCACGTCTTGGGCCAGGGGCGGATCAGCGCCGATGAATGATATCATGTCTGCCAGTTACATGATTATCACTAATCAGAATGGTACGCACAGATCATGATTCTATTTGCTTCATGTACGGAGGAAGATAAAACTATAAGCTAAAAGACCAAAGACGAATGCATGACCAACGTTAGACTGACTAACGGCGGGGACCTAGATGTGGGACAGTTTCCACACCAAAAGGCCACACTTGCACCCACCCACATCTCTATCAGGATTGAAGCTACAAATACTGTAAATAATGCATCTGAATCGTATTTTCTTGGTATTTCTTCCAGTGTAGATTTCACTAGGTATACCGCAGCGGGATGGGGCGTAGAAGGGGTCAGAAGTTAGCGCTTCCGGGACTAACCCAAAGGGTCCTGACTCCCGTGCCCCCTATCCGTATCAATCTAGCAGAAGATCTATTAAGATTTTTTTTTTCTTTTTTCTGTAAGTAATAGCGGCTTTGGTACGTCAAAATGCCTCCTTTGTACAGTCTAAAAGACCTTACAGAAGCCATAGCCGCTATAAACAATAACAATCTATCCCTCCGTAAGGCCGCCCTACGCTCCGGAGTACCAAATCAACCCTCTCTCACAAGGTAGACGGCACCACGATGACCCAGACTCGCAGTTCCCGCGACGGCGCTCGTGATCAGCAGAATATTAGCCCTGAGCAAGAGCTAAAGGTAGTCTTATAGATACTTGGCCAAGAAAAGGCTGGCCACGCGCCTACGCATGGCAATATGTGGTACATCATCAAGAAGATCCTAAAAACTAAAGGAAAAAGAGGTTTCTTAGGCAAGAAATATATGCATAAGTTCTTGCACCGCCACCTTGAGATCAAGACCAAGATAGGCAGAAAGCTGGATTATAAGCGTATTAACGCTGCTACGCCGGATAATATCACTGGTTTCCATGATATCTATCAGAATTTTGCCTTCATCAAATCCACGAACTGGGCAAATATCGATAAGTACGCATTATACAGGGCCGGCAATACGTAAATGTCCATTCCAAGTGCTTTTCGGACGGCCGACCGGTCAAAATATAGGTCTGATAGCCTTGTAATAGGCAGTTCTGGCTCAAAAGAGGCCAATGCCAAGTCTAACAACAACTGCACGTGGACTACAGTGGTCAAATCGATTACAGTAACTGGGAAAAAGCTCCGGCCGCTCGTGATCTTTAAGGCAAAGTCAATACAGACTCAGTGGTTGCATGAGCAGCTTATTAAGGAGCATTCTGCGATAGAAGAGTGGTGTGTGACATATTCTATCAATGGCTGGTCTTTGAACAAGATTGCGCTGCAATGGCTCAAAAAGGCAAGTTAATTACTATTAACTGGTGTCATGGTCTGGTATAGGTAGCCCATGTGGTGAGTCCTAGAGCCCGGACATGAGTACATGTACCACCATTGAACGTCAAGCTGCCACGCTTGATATTCGACACCCTTTTGGGAGGAACAGCCGTGGCATGGTGGTTATGGTGAGCGTTCCGTCACAACTGGCGTTAACTACGTGCTAATTAAGCCTTAGATCTACCTACCAGACACTGCCCTAAGGATCCTGATGAATTTTGCCTACTAGTGCTCGACGGCCATGACAGCCACTGCTCGAATGAATTCATGTATCTGTGCTATATAAATAACGTTTATATGTGTTTTTTTCTGGCTCATATGGTAGGTTACACGATAATAAGTAGTTATTTTGCTAACCGAAGTAATCTCATATCTTCCAGTCCCTAGATTTGACCGTTTTTTTTTTTGTGGTGAAAGCCGTCTATCGCTGCCTCATGAATCAGCTCGGTCAGATAAACGATTCGGCCCCTATTTGCAAAGTACGCTTCCTTAGCTGCCTGGTTAAATCCCATGAAGAAGCCACAGAGGCTATTGTGCGTGCGGGATAGCGTACTGCTGGCCTTTGGCCTATAAACCGGCAGAAAACACTGAATAATTCTCATATAGTGAAGGCAGCAGAGATTCAAGTAGCAGCTGTCGCTATTATGAACCCAGAGACCACTCTTAAAGCAGCAGAAGACCTTAAATCAGGGCAGGACATAGCCTTGATATTATCGCAGTTAGCGGAGACCCCGGAGCAGCGAGCAGGAGTCCGTTTGGTTGCCAGGGCATATGATGAGATGGTGGTAGAATTGGCGATCGCGAGAGAGCAGACCAAGGCCAAAGACGAAAAAATACTCCGGTTGCAGCCAAAACGACGCCATAAGGCCCCTCAAGAAGAGCCTGATCAATGGCTATAGAAAGTTGGGGACGTTATTACTGAGCAAATCGAGGCTACAGCAGCCGGAAGGGCTATAATCGAGCATCGGGATGAAACACAACGAATTTTGGCTGAATTACAGAACCTAAATACTGACAAATCAGAGAAAACTCTCTCTGAGGACTCTGAGGAGTCAGAACCAGAAGAATTGGAGGAATTAGAGCCCTTTGAGGATAAGGGTGTTGCTGTGGATGAAGAGAGGAATAGCCCGGATGATTGTGGTGCGTTCTTCGCACCGCGCAATCCGCCAGCCCGTACAATACCACAAAAACAATTAGTATTTCTGAAAACTCCAAGAAAAGGCGGTTTTAATGATGCACTCGCATTATATATAGCTTCAATTCCCACAGAGTTATCCGTGGGTGCAAGTGTGGCCTTTTGGTGTGGAAACTGTCCCACATGGGGCTGTCCCACATCTAGGGCAAGCAACATACCCCCAAATGGATTGTCCAGCAAGAGATTATACAGCGTAGAAAACACACGAAGGAAGTTCCCCCGAAACCCGAAACCCAACAAGTCCATCCCACCAAGGCCTATCCGTCCATGTCCACCTCTCAAGCCCGCCTCGTAATCATCGGCTCCCCCTCCACGAACGGAACGATAGAAACCCGATCAATCTCCACAACATTATACACCGCCGTATCCAAATTAACTGCCAGGATAAGCCTCAACAACTTATCCTGCGCCGTATAAGGAAAACTAACCACATTCCATCCCCCATCCTCACCACCAAAACCATAATCCTCGGAATCAATAGTAGTGAAACTGGCATCATTCAGAAACACAGTCACATAAGCGGCATTGCTCGCCGCGAAGCGAATGCTCAAAGACACCGTCCATTTAGTAAATGGCATGTGAGACACCAGGTCCGCGATCAGCCGGATGTTGGTCTGCAGGTTGGGCGTCTCGGGGTTGTGCGACATGGTCGTCGTGAAGGCGCGGCAGGAGTTGTTGACCCCCGGGGTGGTTAGGTTGTAGGATGTGCTGAAGATGTCGACGAGGTCGATTGACCAGGGGGAGAGCCCGAGCTCGAAGTCGCCGTTTTCGATTAGACCGGTGTCGTAGGGGGTTGGGTTGCAGGCGCCGCTGCCGGAGGTGGGGGCGCTGCTGGGCGGCGTGGTCCCGGAGATGATGGGGACGGTGTCGGTGTCGGTGGGCGCCGATGCTGACGGGGCCGAGGGAGAGGGCAGGCCTACCGTTGGGGTCGAGATAGACGTCGAGGCCGAAGGAGAGGGCAGGCCTACCGTTGGGGTTGAGATAGACGTCGAGGCCGAAGGAGAGGGCAGGCCTACCGTTGGGGTTGAGATAGACGTCGAGGCCGAAGGAGAGGGCAGGCCTATCGTTGGGGTTGAGATAGCCGTTGAGTTGGGGAAGTAGACTGATGGCTCGGATATGGATGTTCCAGTTTCGCCCGGGATGGAGGATCCCATTGAGCCGGGGATAGGGGTGTCCACGGCGCTCGTTACAGAGGGCCAGAACTCAGAGGGCTCGATCAGCGTCGTACCGGACTCGGTAGCTCCTGGCAGGGGAGTGTCCACAGCACTGGTCACGGATGGCCCAATGACACCCGACAAGGAGATGTCAATGGTGCCAGTCACAGAGGAGGATGCCTCGGTAGCGGTAGGGCTGACCGAGTCGGTCAGAGTCAGGAACAAGCCAGAAGACGTGGAACCCAGCACGGAGGACAGGTCAGAAGATCCTGTCAGCGTCAACGACGACGCCAAGCTGGACAGGTCCGACGAGGTGAACGTCGCGAATGTCGAGGGGTATGACGACATGTTGGTCCACAGGGGCACGCCAGAGTCGGATGGAATCCCAGAAACCCCCGTGGAAAGCGACATGCCGGAGGATACAGCGGGTAGTGCAGAGAGCGCAGAGGAGAGACCGGATGTGTTGAAAGCAGACAATGTCGAGGGGCTCACTCCATCTGTAGTCTGGGCTGCTGATGCGTCGTCCGTAGGACGGGACGTGGCAGAATAGAAAGTTGGGGAAGACGACGGGCCGGTGGGTGTGGTGCCTGGTGAGCTGGAATCCGGTCCTGCGGGCTGTGAAGCCGTGCCGGTAGGTGCTGGAATGCTGGAGGTGAGGGGGGATAGCGAAGGGCTTGAGGGAGTTCCTGTGACGGGACCGGCTGATTCGGTAGGGCTTGTTCCGGAAAGCGTGTCTGTTAGCGGACCTGCAGAAGATGTCCCTGAAGCTGTATCCACTGATGAAGCAGAGACCGTGGCAGAGAGGTTATCTGTGATAGAAGTGGGGGGAAATGCGATCAAGCTTCCACTGCTAGAGTCGGTAGATATTATGCCCCTTGTGGTGGTGAGTGAACCTGTAGGAGATACGTTCGTAGCGGTATCTACCGATGAAGCAGAGGCTGTGCCAGAGAGGGCGTCTGTGAGTGAAGCTAACGAGGATGTATCCGAGCCTGGACCAGTTGATGCCGTAAAGCTTTCGCCAGGAGTCGTGTCTGTAGGTGAGCCAGCAGGAGACGTACCAGTATCTGGACCTTGTGATGGAACAGAGCTTAGGACAGACAGTGTGCTCGAGAGCGAGCCTGAAAGAGACGTTGTAGGAGCAGATGTGTCAGAACCTGCACCGTTAGAAGCAGCAGAGCTCGTGTCGCCAAACGTGGCGGAAAGCGAAGCTGAAAAAGATGGGCCAGTGAGTGCGTCTGTGGGTCGGACGGAGGCCAGAGTGCCAGTAGGTGTGGTCACAAGCGATGCTGGTGAAGATGTTCCTGACCCTGTATCATCCGTGGAGCTACTGCCAGTGAGTGTGGTTGCCGATGAGTCTGAAGGGAGTGTCCCAGTGGCAGACATGGAAGACAACGAGCTATCGGTGTCTGTAATAACAACGGATGTAGTGAGCGTCGTTGGTACGGTCGAAGACCCGGCCGAAAGCATCGTAGTTACAACCGAGGAAGTTACGGAGGCACAAGACGGGGGACAAGCACAAGCGGAGCTGTATGGCCTTTTGTCGGCAGTGCCACATGCGTCTGTTGCCCTCGGCGGGAAATTGGTTACGCCATAGTATCCCACGGTCGAGCAGAAACCGAGGGCTTCTGCCACGGCCTGGGAGTTTTCGCATGGGAATAAAGCATTGTAGCAGCTATAAAGTCGTCAGTGACGAAAGAACTCTTTAGGAAAGATGGAAGTGAGACGGGTTATTCAACCTACTCATCTGTCTGGCATTGCGACTGCGCCCTGGCGCCCGTAGCGAGGATAAAGAAAGACAGGATCCAGCACGTCAGGTGGGCCGGAGTGGGCGACATGGCGAAGAAGATTGAAGGATGGAATCCCCAAGCGAGAGGAGCGGCCACAAGCTTGTTGGAACGAGAGGGACGATGCGTACATGAGCAAACATGGCGATCTCCATCTCGCAAGCTGGAACATGTTGCTACTTATAACTGCCGTTGCCGTCGTCACAAACTGGGTTCAATGTCTGGAGGCAATCTTCGTGGGGTCATACACGAGGCGAGAGGGCCGTGCTACCAAATTCCAATAAATCGGTTCACTCGAGTCTCGACTAGCTCTCGAACAACCTGCACACGAAGCACGACACCACGAAGTTTCAGCGACAGCATGGTATTCGGACGACGGTTCTGAGTTCTTCTGGCCTGGGTGAAGACCTGAAGCTTCTCGAGTTGTGGCCTGAGACCCCTGAGACCCGACGCACCCTGCGCGACCGTTATGTGTCAGACCCATTTCATATCGCCATGGCATATGCACGGCACGAAGACACCTCAGCACGCACAGCACGCACAGCATGATGACGTTTCAATTAGATGACCATTTGTGAATCACCTTCTGTAGGAACAACAGAGATGATGTCCTCAGCAGGTCATCTTTTGACATCGTCTGCTTGTTCATCTAGTCAGAGCAGCGGAGGTCCCCTAGTCCTGAGACTAGTACTCCCCTTGTTCCTTAATGCGATCTCCAAGAAGCCACCACGAGAACTTGAATCGAGGCAGGGCTCGGGACACAGCCAGCTAAGTGAACTATATTGAGACAAATTGTCTTGGTGTTAGTATATGTTCACTTAATGTCGCAACTTGGGCGACTTGAACTGGTATGGCAATAGTCCGTGTATCTATTGAGGCCTGCTATGGGAAATCTGCGTATTGCCCCTGAGTCATTCCCAACGAATAGTCATTTATATCGATAGGCCCATTGGGTTCCAGTAGTTAGCTCCTCCATCATATTTCAGCCTGACTGATCGCACTCGAGCCTTGAAGCGCCCAATTAGGACCGTTGTAACCGCATGGGATATGTTGAGAGGACTTACTGAATACGAACTCCGTGGCAAGTTCACTCGGTACTCTGCGCAGAAACGTAGATAGAGATGGTGTCCCAGAACGTATACGCCTCGCGCTGCCCAGTATGCTCTTTGCTACTTCTCGGAATCTGTCAAGGTGTTAAAGCTGGTCCGGTGTCATGTCTGATTCTGATGAGGGGTGACCAGACGTTTTAGATTCTGTCCTCAGCCAAGTCCTACTGAACTTAGTGTCAAGTCCACTTCCCAGACACCCCGGAGGGCGAACGGGAGACTAGAACATTTTAGAACCAGTCTTGACGGACAGCGGTCGGCCGGCGCGCTCCAGACAGGCCTGCACCACATCGAAGAGCTGCAGATCCCGACCTTTCACCATAATTAGCAAACCAAGCGTTGATACAATGAAGACAAAGGCAACCTTACCAGGAGCTGCTAGAACCGAGATGGCAACCGGGAGACTCTCCATCTTTCCAGTGACCTTCGAGTAATACGGAACGTGTCCAACTAGCGGTTCGATCGATTAGCTTGGAGCTCCTTACTTGGAAGGATTCATGAAGTCTTACTCGGTACGGTCAGCTCGGGGGCGCCCAGAATCGGAGAGATGTGGAGGTCAGGCAAGTCCGTAGCCAAATCGATCCTGAATATGTCAGTCATGTGTAAAATTCAAATGTATGTGGGACTGCTCTTACTTCGGGGGGTCGTCGCGGTACCGAGGAGACATGTCTTCAATCGGAAGCAGTAGGAGGGCATCTTTCTGGCCTTCCTTGAGGACATGCTCAAGCATCCACTTGCGGTAGACGGCCAGCTTGGCTACGGCACTGTCCCGTTGCCCCTGTGTGCTATGAGAAGACACCTCCCTTTGAAACGTGGTTTAGTCAGTCGGCAGTACTCCGTCTCTATGTCGCTCAGTCTTGAACTTACCATCGCCGGCGTACTGGAGCGGTGACATACGGCTCCTTCGTGTGCTTAGCGGCATAATCCTGGCGGAACCGGTCGAAGCTATGATAGTCGTCGTAGAAAAACGAATTGAGGACGCTCTGGGTAAAAGTCAGCTAAGACAACGCTCCCGAGTTTATCATGTCGTCTTCTCACGTCTAGCATATGCAATGCAGCAGGGTGTCCGTTCGCTTCGCGAGGTGCTGTGCTCTTCCATAGCTCTTTGATAGAGACCTTCTCATGGGGAACTCCGAGAGATGTCTCAAGATCTTTGATGAAGGCCTTGATGAGGTTGATTTGAGCCTTGTTCGTGATCTTGAACATGGAGTCGGAGGGGAAGATGATAGCAGGTTTTCCCTTGTTGCAGATCAGCTGATTGAACGTATTGGTTGAGTATGAACAGTGCGTATTTGTTTCTTACCGTGACCTTGGGCGGCGAAGCTTCTAGGGCTTTGCCGTACCACGCCATGGCGAACTTCTTGCACTCCTGAATGTCTCGTCCGTAAAACATGGGAGTGTCAAAGTACCTATTGGTGGGCAGAACTGGTCAGTAGTGTACCACGGTTCGTAGAAGAGAGACATACGGGAAGCTGGGAATATAGCCCTCTGCCGGGAGGACGCCATGAGTAGGCCGCATTGCATAGCAGCCGTTCCACACCCCAGGAAGTCTGCCACCACCGACCGCTGTGAATAATCGGGTTAGCTACCATGACAATCTAGAGTTTGAAGGGTATTCAACATACTGTCAGAACCAATGGCAATGTCGAGCCAATGGTAAGCTGCAATGGCAGCTGCACTGCCACTGCTGCTTCCCGCCGGTGTCTGGTAGCCATCGCCGCGCGGGTTCCACGGTGCTTGATAGTCGATAGACTCAGAAGGCTCTTCTGCTGTGGTGAACGAGCCAAGCTTGGTAGTGCCTACGATCATGGCGCCAGCTTGCGTGAGGAGATCGACGCATTCTGCGGTCTCGGTAGACGCCGGATACAAGTTGTAGTAGGCTTTGTTGCCGAGAGTGTTACGGATGTGGCGAATCTTGAATATGTCTTTGATCGCAATTCTGGTGCCTTGGAGCGGACGTTTATCGGTCTGTGCATGTACCAGTCGCGACGGGATGGCAACAGCCATGGACTCAGGATGAGTTCCACCAAGTCGCAGTTCATTAATGGCGCTGCGAAGGTCAGTGGGGTTCTCAGGATGGAAATGAGGTTCTTACCCAGCAGAGTCGGGACGGAAGGTGTGAACAAATGCACCGTTCGTGTCATCGTAAAGCTTCCAGACCGGTGCGAGTTCGCCTTGTACAACCACGTAAGGTCCGGGTGAAAGGCCGTCCTGAACAGGACAGGAATGAACCCAATCGGTTCTAAGGCTCTGAAGGACCATCTTTGCAAGATCCGAGACAATGACAGCGGGGTTCACCTTCATGACAAGCACACATTCCAAGAAGTCGTCGTGCACTACGTCGCAAGCTTTGGCGTCACGAATCTGCTGTCGAAACCATTCTGCGGTGATGTAGCTTGGATTCTTGTCATCATGAAGGAGGACCGTTAGGTACTTGATAGGACTGCCAGATCTAATGGATGAAAGCTTGACCTAGAGATAGACTATAGTTAGAAACTGCCCGAGAGGCATGTTCAAGTGAGTACGAGCCTGCGTAGTCGGTCCGGCCATGTACGTCTCTCCGCCCATCTCAAACCGCCGAGAGAGGTCAAGATCCATTTCGGAGTCGCTGGGAAATGCGCGACGAAAGAAGTCTCGTGTGCCAGACAGGGCGATAGTTTCTGTGACGGGCGTGGGGATGCTTTCCGTGACGGGCATGGGGATAGCTTCGGCGACAGGCACGGCGTTAACTTCCCTGACGGGCAGGGCGTGAATCGCAGCAGCTTCCGTGGCGGAAGAAGGCATCGTCGCAATGCCTGGCAAGATGGACATCTTGATGGTGGGAGAAGATGGGAGAAGATGCTGGGAGTGTTTGTGCAAAAGGGTCGCCCAGCAGTTGTGCGAAGATGGAAGATGGAAGTTGTTATAAGTCGACCTGAGGCAGGTGGGGCTCGGCCAGGGCGCTTGCCTGCGACTGCAAACAAAAGAGCCCCTATATATTCAATTTGGTGTGCACCTAAGCGAAGCGGACGTGATAGCGAGGGCATGGAAGGGCATTGAAACCTGGAACAGATAGCAAGGAGAACCTGCCTGAGATGTTCACTCCGTGGCTTATCAGCTGTGATGAAGCTGTGACCTGTAGGGGGCTACGGCTAACTTGACCACTGGATGAAGCCTTAGAAACACCCAGTACTTCATGGGCCTAGGGATATGGTACTAGGTCATGTTGTGCGTATTCATTGCTGCATCTGTACCGAGACCGCCTTCGTGCCCGCCACATTTACTTTGTTGTATTCTATAGCTTACCATGCTGCCTGATTTAGTAAGACCAGTCAAGAATCCAGTGGCTTCCAACCACAGTATCACCCACTGCCGTCTACAATGGTCTCTACGCTAGTCATTGAGCTCTTTATCTCCCTTTTACTTTTGTATCGAACTTGGAGCAAGGGATCGGGAAAGAGTTGACCACGCTGCGAAGTTCCTGCCTCATCACCTTCACCACGTGGCGCTACATAGATCTGCCCTGGTTCATCACTGAACCTTCTGGTGATGGTTTCCTTGCAAGTTCGTAGTAGCTGCACTCCTTACCCACCATGATACTACGCCAGCGCTCCAAAATCGGACTAACAGTTCAGGGACCTAAGAAGATAATTGCATTCCAGCCAAGACGCACTGGACTACGCCTATAACACTTGTAATTGCCAGTACTAGGACAGCAACCCAGAAAGTATACCACTGAGCCCCGTTCCTCCTATCATGCCACCAATGTGACAGCGTTCTCGGGGTCGTCTCGTCATAGGCTTGCTTCAAAATCGTGAGGCGGTCTCTCCAGAAATAGAAACGCTCGACTTGTCGATCCTCAGCCCGGAGGTTGCCGCATCGTGCCAGTCGTAGGTCAATGCGGCATGGCCAGTGCCTGAGACAGAGTGAACGGAACCACTTCCGCTCTGAGTGATGCCATGAGCTTTCAGTTTCGAATTCAGACTGAGGGAAGAGCAACGCTAGGGTCTACAGAGTTTCCGCGATCAACCCAGGGGGGTAGATAGAGCTATCCCGTGAGTCAGATACTGACGGCAATTTGAGGTTTTCATAGGTTATACTTACTCGGACTGGATCTCTAGAAATGAGGCATGATGGAAGATCAAGACCCTCGTGTCTTCGACGAGGAAGAGGTGGTCCGCGAGGTTGTCGGTGAAGCTGACTCTGATACCTCCTATCCTTTCTAAGCTCCAGGCGTTGAAAGACTTAGGCAGCCTGACTCGGTCGCAGTTCAAGCTCAATGCCGGCGCTTGTTGGAATGATCTTGTAGGAGTTGCTTCACGGTCCCAGTCTTCCAGTCTAAATACCGACAGGGAAGTACCTCTCCTCTGACCAAGCCAACATTCAGCATGAGGAGGAGCCTCGCGGCGAGGTCGATTGTGTTTTCGTAGGCTTCATCGTCAATGTTGTGATGGCCCGAAGTCTTGAGCCCATCTAGAATCTCCTCGTGAGACTTGTTTGCATTGAGCTGCTGAACGATCTGGTTCGTGTCGCTTCCAGTCTTTGAGGCCACGTATTTGCCATCAGATTGTGAAGCTATGAGGCTCCGTTGTTGCTGGTAGTAGTCTGCGTATGCTTCGTGTTGGAGCTGCGCCACCGGGTCGCCATTGAAGAGCCTTGCCTTTCTTTTTGGGGAATTTGAAAGCAACCTCACTATATCCTTAGCACATGTCCTTTCGGTCAGTTCGATAAGAGGGCTGCTCATCTTGGCCTGCAGGTTTCGCCCGTACACGGCCGTGAGTTCCCACCTGTCTTTGCTATGACTTTCTCGGCCCAGAGACTACCTTGGGATCTCTACTTTAGATATGGCAGCCGCCTACCACCACCGCTACGGAGGAGGCGTACCGGTGGTTTGCCCAGCCGTAGGGAAAACGCCTAAGCTAAGCTCGGAAGGGGCAATGATTGGTTGGTTGGGCGAAAAGTTGCATTTTGGGCTGACATCCTGGATCACTTCGTGGCTGCACATGGTACATTCATGCATGAAGCGCGTTCCATTGGCAGGTACATGCCGATACCTTGATTGCAGAATTTCGTAAAATTGATTTCCTCCTTTATGGGGCGCGTACCAAATTAATTAGGTAATTGTTTCTTAGGTCGAAAGATTTAATCTCGTGTTAAGGATAGATTAAAATATAAATCTTTACTTATTTATTTATTTATTAGTTAATAAAGCCTTATTTATTACCTTAAAAGTTATTACTTTCATCGTTTTACCTTTTTAGTTCTTAATTTGAAATAAATATAACTACTTAATAACCGTTTTTATACTTATACGGCTCCTTCTATATTATACGAATTTATATCGTTAAGATTAAATATTTGACTTTATAATGTCGCTCGGTACAATATTAATTAAAAGCTTTGTCTCGTATATTTTAATAAACCTTTTGAGTTTTACTCGTTTAAATAATTTTATAGACCTATATATTAACTCTATTAATTAAGGATTACATAATTTTAATAGTATTAGCTGTAGCTCTTTCACACCCGTAATCATTCGTTAGATTTACAAAGTATATTACTTTATTAAACGCTAACGATTTAGTTTATAAAATCGTATTAAAATTATCTTTTAAAATCGTAATAAGGCCTTTTAATATCATTTTATCCTTTATTATAAAGCTTTTTAAATACGCGGCATATTTAATGGTTTTTATAAAATTACTGAATGCATTTAGATTTAACGTACTAAGAAATATTGTTATTTGTTATTCAAAATATATTCTTATAATAGATTTATATCATTTTAGTTAGAAGCTAAGGTAATATTTATTACATTAAGAAACCTTAAATCGTTATATTCTCAGTAATATAGCCTTTTATAAACGTTTAATATAGTATTAAGAACCCTTAATACCTTTTAAATAGTACACGATTTTTTAAATAATATTCATTTTTTATTAAAAAGATTATTATAAATACAGTTTAAATAAAAACAAGATAATTAATATTATACCGTATTATATACGTGAAATAGTTATTTCTATTTATATTAAAAATATAATTAGTATTTCGTTGCTCGTTACTTTATCTTTTTGTTTAATCATAATTTTGAAAGTTTTAATTTTATCGAAAACAATATTGCTTTTCATTTATTTTGCCGTTTTTGAAATATTCTTCATATGTTTTATTATTAATCGAAACGTTTAATAATTAGCTAATATATTTGAAACTTATAATTTATGTATATTTCCAGAGGTTTTAAGTTGAGATTTTAAGTTAAAGTTTTAAACTATTTAAGCGTTGATATAAATGATAATTAATTACTATTTACCTTATAATAATTATGGTAATTCTTTCATTAAAATATATCCCGTTCTTCAAGTTAGAAAAAATAAAAGTTTCGTTTCTAAAAATTGTACGGGCTTTTTTTAATACGTATTATTTATTTGTTTAAAGCGTTTAAAAAGTAAAATATCTTAATAAATTATGAATGATCGTATTAATATTTGCGTATTTCGTTAAGATAAACATCGATATATATTAAAAAAAAAAAAAAACCTCATAGCTAAAGGATTCATTCGTTAAAATTTCTATTATAAAATATAGCTTTAGTGTCATAGTCTACTACAGGTAGCCCATGTGGTGAGTCCTGGAGCCCGGACATGAGTATATGTACTACCGTTGAATGTCAAGCTGCCACGCTTGATATTCAACATCCTTTTAGGAAGAACAGCCGTAGCATGGTGGTTATGATGAGCGTTCCGTCACATTAAAAGTTAATTGATTTTACAAATTAAGCCTTTGCTATCATAAAAGCCATTAAAAATACTAGCTTAATATTTAAGTAATATTAGCAGACGTTTTATTAAAATTAAAAGTTTTTTATCTATAAACGTTTTAAATATAAACCCGTGTTTTTAAAATTTTAAGTCTTTTAACCAAAAAAAATATTTAAGTTTTATTCATTATTTATTCACTATATTTTGTCCAATTTATGCTTATTAAAAACCTTAAAAATGCATTTTCAAGATTTTGATACACTATATTAGAAGCTTTTTTTATATAGATTACTTTATTTCTACTATATAAATGAAATGGCGTGATGATATAAGAGGTACAAATATTACTATTAAATATAAATATAGACCATTTTACGCGGAAAGAAATTATTGGATTTTGAAAAAATCGTATTAAAAAGGAATATAAAAACTTTAAAAATTATCTGCATTTAAATCGTTATTTCTATTATTACTTACGTTTTTTAAAAAGACGTTTTAAAGCGTTTTTAAAACGTTAAGATGTTTTAATAAACCCTTATAAACTGTCACGGCGAGCATACGGGAGAGCTGGGACATGGCCTGCAGCAAGCAGCTATTACTCTATTGACGAGAATATCAAGACTAGAAAAGAAAGGAAGAGAGAGAGAGAGATAGGTACAGCGGGAGGTTGCCTCTTTAAGGAGATCCCCTGGTCAGATCCTTCCCTTATTGGGAAGTATCGGCTTGTCATGTGGGAAGGTCTGTGCAGGCCGTCACATAAACAAAATATTTTGTAATTTTCCTTTTTAACGCTTTTATTTAAAACATTTGTTTTGTTAAAGAAATTTATTTTTTAAAATGTTATTATTGTAAGTATAAACATACGTTTAATTTCTCTATATCGATCATAAGAAACTCATTATACTATAGAAAAATTAAACCTTACGTGGTTTAAACTTTTTTTAATCTATTAAACTTATATTTTTGTAAAGAATAATATACGAGCGTTTCAAACCTCTTTTTTTATCAATTAATCTTACGATAACGTGGATGACAAGCGAGCGGCAATTACAAACGAACGGCAACTTTTCACTAACCTTTCAACCAATATGTCAAATAACTCGACCCCAACGCATTTAATTCAATCTAATCAATCGGATTCTTCTTCTTCAGAGGTTTCTATCTCTATTGTACAAGTTTGCGCATTATAGCCAGTGTTGCCGCAAACGCCACAACGTCGCTCACGCGCTGCCGCCCTCCTCGGACGACAACTACCTTCACCCATTTCCTGTCTTGCCAGCTCACCACCATCCTTTATAGCCTGGAGACCTACTACATCTTTAATAAAAAATATTCCTCTTTTTATTAGATATTTGTTTTTTGGTCTCTAGTGTTTACTTAGTAGGTGATTGGCCTCCTCTAGCTCGCGGACCCGGGAATCAACCAAAGCGACCTTATGTATAAGACGTATGTAGCCTTTGAAAACAAGCTCAATGCATCAACTATTGATATAAGTGAGCTTCTATTGTAGTTTCTGACTCGATTTTGGATATAAACTGACTGGTTTACCGCTTCATTAATGGTGATAGGCGTCTTCGAAGTCCAAGTAGTGGGTGGCGGATTAGGGTCTGGCGACGGTGTTCGTACAACAGCGACAGCATCCAGCTTCAAAATGACACTTTCTGGGTCGAAAGGAACAAACCCAGTGGCACTGAAACCTGCTCAAATGTTTCCTGGCGTCATAGCAGTGTTGTGTGCTTCACAAAACGCTGCAAGGAAGTCCTCCTTCAAAACGTGGGTTATATTACGCCGGAAGAGATCCTCAATCATGCGACCGTACGCTCATTTGAGCGGGCTAAAATAACTGACATCTAAAGGTTGGAGCCTGTGTGACGAGTGGGCAGGCATACAAAGGGTAATAATGCTGTTGTTCTGGTAATAATCCTCAAAGATCTGGGAATAGTGGTTTTTGTGACCATCTAAGATAAGGAGGCGTTTACCGGCAGTCATACGCGGTCTGGTATACTTGTCGAAATGCCGAATCCATTTCAACCCAATCTTGTTTGTAGTCCACCCGTTATCGGACACGGCCACCTTCCAATCGTGTGGTAATGTTGTGTTGCAATACCATAACGCGAGGTAGGTTTTGCCCTATAGAATGATGAACGGCGGGACCACCTAACCATCAGCATTGACAGCAGAAATTGCTGTAGACCATTCCTTGCTGCCTTGCTGAGCTTGTCTAGGCCTATCACGTCTTTCGGCGTTTGTAACGACCATGCCAGACCCAATAATGCCCATCATAAACCCAGTCTTGTCGAAGTTGTAAATATCCGCGTCTTGGATACCATATTTTGCGATTGCTGCCATAACTTGGCAAAACCATGTGAGATACGCGTCTGGAACTTTGTTCAAGACCCTCTGGTAGTCCATCCTCTGATGAAAATGCGTCCAGAGGCCTGGTGTGCGTTTAATAAAGTTCTGCGTCCAGTTCTTTCCAACGCGTCTATCCCTATACGCTGCCAACAATTGATTTGCCATATTTTTAATATAACTGTGCCAGGGTGGAAATGCTCGCGCATCCAGGTCAAGAATGAAGAAAAGAATGGCATTTTCTTCGGAAACCGTAAGTTTCAAAGTATTGGGCATGCTATTGCGTCGTGATGGTCGGCCGGCAATTCTAGCCTTCAAGGTATTATATGGGACATGAAAAGTCTTAGAAAGCTTGCCAATGGTAATATGAGGGTCGCGTTGCTTAACTTGGACAGCAAGCTGTAAGTCTGATTCGCTATAACGCAATGCCATTATTGTTGGTTGATCAATTAGGAACCTTGATTAAAATGTTAGGTGGCTGGTGAAAAGTTGCCGTTCGCTTGTAATTGCCGCTCGCTTGTCATCCACGTTATAGTTATAATTTTTATATAACTTAATAATGTTATTTTCCCTTATTTTATAAGCTTTTATACGAAACTAAATGACGATATATACGTAATAATGACTTTTAAAAATATAAAAATAAGTTTAACTAGATTTATACTTTTAAATAAGATCGAAAGTAAATTAATATTACTCATAGTAGGTAAGCAACACCGGCCCCGGGTGCATTTACACTGGGCCGGCTCTGCATTTGTCATCGTAGCAGGTTTATTGTGATCTCTTGCATGTGGTTATTATTCTGACATCTTATTGCACTTGCGCATTTTTCGACGCTGCACCTGGTATGGGAGATGGGTGTCGCATAGCAAACATCGCTTAATCACCCTCAGGCTACCCTAAAAACATAGAAGGGAGCACCTAGAGCCGCCGGTGTCTGGTCGCCCAAAGGCTCTAAAGTAGCTAGAGGCTCTCACAATTCGAGCGATACTAAGGTCTCTTTCCCTCCTACAGGCTATAACGCAAGGTCCTTTCCGCTTAAGAGACGGCGTCTCTCTCTCAAAAAGAAAACCCTGGTTCAACACAACAAACGGGATCCCGTACTCTGCCTCAATAGCCGGCGCCGCTGCGCCATCGACGACAATACAAGAACATGTACGTGCCATATATAACGTACAAGATTAAGTAAGGGTCGGCTATGCAGAAGCAGTGGTGGAGGCTGTGATTGATGACGACGTAGACGAGAAAGCCATGCAGTAGCTATAGCCAGGCCAGAGGTTCGCGCAGTCAGCTCCTAATAAGGTGGGGGGAACTCGCCAGTATGGATGGAAGTTGCTTCAATGACCAAGCACGGGGTAATAAGACTTACCAGCCGGATTCCAGGCGTAGAACTGGTCGGGTGTTATACCGGCGTCTGTGGCGACGGCCCAACAGCCGTCGCCCTCCACGGCAACATAGTAGGCCGTGCATCCTGACACGATGCCTGTCTGCGTGGGTCCGACCGACATCGTCGTCGATGTTGGCGAAGCGCTGATGGTGCCGGTCGGCGTGGCGGTCCCGTTGTTCCCAATACACACAGCGCGGGAACTGTCCTCGTCCAAGCCAGTGTACAGGCCCGTGTCATAATCCGAGCCGAGCCAGGGATTCCACAACGTTAGATCACTGAGAGTAATGTTTGAATCTTCGGCAACGTCCGAGCAAGAGTATATTGCCGGGCCGTGTCAGTAGGTGGCCTTTCTTCGTGCCTTGCGTGAAGAGATGGGGAACTAGGATAGGGTGGTATAGGGATTCGTCTAGACCCAACATCCATGTGACACCTCCCTAGCTTCGGTGATATCAACATCTCAGACATGCGAAGACAGCATAGACCCAGTATCTTCTGAATTGTGGGATAAGGCTCTCAGTGTCTCCTCGAAAAGGTGTCGTTTCTTATGCTCTTCACAAGCTGTTCTTGATTTAATTCTCCCAATACGTGCTCCTCATTCAGTTCGTTATTTGAGCCCAAACAGCCTGAATGGCTTCAACAACAGGACCTGCTCGTGCCTGGCTATCATGTCTCAGCTTTGCTATTTTGTTGGCATTAAGCTTTTGGCTTCGCCCAGTTTCTTTACGGGTGTCTGGAGACGAGGTTCATGTTCGTTCTCTTTCCGACGTCCCTATCATCCAGCTGCCATCTCACAGCATCCCGTCTGTCTACCGCCGCGAAGACTACACCTGCAGTGTCAACAGACCTTGTTCGAATGGAGCATGCTGTGGAGAAAGTGGCAACTCTGGCTATGGGTCTGTCTACTGTGGTGCTGGCTGCACGTCAAACTGCAACGCAACGGCCGAGTGTGGCCAGATCGCCGCAGTAGCAGGAATTGAATGCCCTCTGAATACCTGCTGCAGCGAGTTCGGCTTCTGCGGCACAACAGATGACTTCTGTACCGGCAACTGTCAGTCCAACTGCGAGCTCGACCCATTGCCGCCCTCAAGTTCGCCCAGGAACCAGGCGCTGAGTAAAGGTACGTAATTCACGTTTACTTCTTTTGATGTGAAGATTCTGTGATATACTAATCCAAATGCTATTGGATAGTCATTGGATACTATGAATTGTAGAGCTTCAACTCCAAATGCAACCAAAAGTCCCCCAGCGATCTTCCGCTCGCTGAACTAACACATCTCAACTACGCCTTTGCTTACATTGACCCCACGACCTACGAACTCACCACAATGGACTCAAGCACACCCGGAGAGCCTCTTTCAGTTAACCGTCGACGCCAAGAAGTACAACTCTCAGCTGAAAGTCTTCATTTCTGTTGGAGGCTGGACATTTTCAGACAATGATACGGCAACCCAGCCTCTGTTCGGCGAGGTTGCATCCACCCAAGCCAACCGTCAGAAATTTGCTGATAACACTGTCAAAATCATGAACAAATACGGCTTTGACGGGCTTGACAATGACTGGGAGTACCCAGGAGCCCCTGACCGCGGTGGCACTCCAGAGGACACCGAAAACTTCACGCTTCTAATGAAGGTGCTCAGGTCGACTTTTAATGCTGCACCGCGCTCACTTGGACTAACATTGACGACACCGTCTTCATACTGGTATCTGAAATGGTTCGGTCTGCCAGGTTTGTTGAAGTACGCTGACTGGACGAACCTGATGACTTACGACCTCCATGGCACTTGGTAGGTTTGATCTCCTCCCGTACCAGCAACTAGGCCTCCCTTTTCCTGCATCATTCTTAGTCAAACAAAGGACTGAGATATGAAGACCCGAATAATCTGGCTAGTGCTAACAAGCGGTATTCAGGGACGAAAACAGCCCCATTGGCGCAATTGTGCAAGGCCACACAAACCTCGCCGAGATCCAACTTGCAGCCCAGCTGTTTTGGAGAGCCGGGATCAAACCAGCACAGATAGTCATGGGGCTTGGTTTCTACGGTCGATCCTTCCAGCTCTCAGACGACAGTTGCACGAAACGACAGTTGCACGAAACCCGGGTGCGCGTTCAAGGGCGGTGCTGATCCGGGTCCCTGCTCAGCAACAAGCGGCATTCTGGAGTATTACGAAATACAGGCAATTCTGACACAGATCCCTGATCTCAAGCCTGTCATTGATGAGACCGCCGCCGTCAAGTACATCGTATTTGATAGCGACCAGTGGGTCTCGTATGATGACGAAGACACGTTTGGCACGAAGATCGCTTGGGCCAATGCAGTTGGCATCGGAGGCTTGCTGATCTGGGCCGTTGACACGGACGATGACCAATTCACCACTATGAGCGACTTCATGGGCAAGGCAGTCTCGCACGTTGACACCGTTACTCCCGAGCTTGACGAGACTACGCTTGCTGTTACAACCAGTAGCGTGATATCGAGTCTTGTGGGCGAGAACGGCCAGGATTGCAAAGTTCTCAAGGACTATTCTTGCAAGAACAAGGACGACCTTCGCTGTGGGACAGGCGAGACGATGATCGGCTGGGATCGAGATGGGTGTAGTGTGAGGAATGCCCAATTTATCGAATGGAACCTCGAAAGTTGACTTGACTGACTCGACGTAGGACAGCAATTACGGAAAACCGATCTGCTGCCCTGAGGCCACAGCACCTTCGAACTTCTTGTGGCGCGGAGGTACCGGTGGCCGTAATTGCAACGGGCAATTTCATGTTGGCGAAGCTACTCTTTTCCAGTCACATTGGTAAGTCAGATGTATAGAGAAACATCATGCTTCACAGCACCCGAGTTAACATTGAGACCCAGGGGCGGCGGTGGTTTTAGTGGTATCAAATCGGAGAGCGGCACTAACCAATGTGGTGCAGGAGAAAAGGTCTTCTGCTGCGAGGCTGGTGACTGGAAGGACGTGGTTGATGGTTGCCACTGGACTGAATGGTGAGCATGATTGACTCATGAGCCAGGACCACGCTGGAGGTTCCAGTACTGACGCTACGATAACGGTGGCTTTTGCGATTCGGACAAAGAAACGAAATTGTCCTGGTCATACGGCTGCCCCCATCTATGGGCTTTGAAGAGTAAGTCATTGTGATACGAAGCTCTCCCAACGCTATACTAACTACTTCATAGAACAATACTGTTGTCCAAAGGACACCCCGTTGCATGATTGCACGCGGAGGGGGTCATTTGGGGACTGTTCCGATGCAAAGTGCAAGCCAGACGAAGTTGCAATCTCAAATGACGAAAGTGGCGATGCCGGCGGGGGTTGTCACTGTATGAACCTCTGCGTATACATTGTTTCCTCACTATTCGTTTACTGACAATGGGGCCCATCGAACAAGGGGAAGGAAGCGCACCGACTGTTGCCAAGTCTCGAAAGCTCCAGTGGTGTCTAACATCTGCTGCGATATCACTACATGTAACCTGGAACCAAGAGCGTGCGATCCCGATAACGTTGACGAGTACGAAAACCCTTTTGAACCAGATGATTCACCGGCCGACGGCTATGGTCTGTCGCTAGAAAAGCGTGGGGGCAAGCGGATAATCACATGGGAGACACTTGCTGGTCATGTGATAAGGCAGGCGTCGAGGGATCATCCAGGGCCCGACGATTATATGCGATTCGTTCGTAACGCGGTGGACGGCATATTTACAAGATGGTATCAGGTGCGATCGAGAGATTTTGCGACGACCGGCCCTTACGCCGACCGACTTCGGCTCCACAAGCATAGCTCCGACAGGTGGTCAGGTTGAGCACCCCGTTCCAGTAAGACCGCCTTTCAACATCTGCGAAACCGCCGGCCTGAATATCTACTGATGGTTGAACACCAACAGCTTGTTTTCGCGGCCCGTTCTGTTGCGGCAATGAGCGCCGGCCGCCAATGGCGACCCGTCCCAGTCTCCGAACGGAGGAATCCAGTACCCGATGGACCGCAACTACGGAATCCTCCTACTTCAGAGGACTTCTAGTTGAATACATGGCAGAACGCGAATGCACTGCCTGCTGGGTTACCCCGTGTGTCGCCGACCCCGCCGGACATTCGCAGTCCTGTTCAGCGTCTGTACGAAAGGTCGGGTTCAACTACCAAGCGGGCGAATTTTGTCATACTTCGGGATTCCGTGAATGCCGCCAAAGCCCTGCTCGAATGTTATAAGAGGCCGATGGGCCAGGCCCGGCTACAACGCTTTGTTCGCTTTGCACTAAACGGCGGAGGCACCTATAACGGCACTTATATAGGTACGAAGAGAGCGTGAGTTGATATTTTAGTACGCATGCCGTGTTTGTTGCTCCCGACTGCGGGTACTTGGCATATTAAAGTTGATTGCAATAGGTCGAGGCTTTTCTCACCCCTCTTCGCGATGTAAGATCAATCCGCCATACCGCTTTTTGGCGCACACACAGTTGCTGATCAGCCCGTTTCGAGAGACTAGACATTGGCTGTATTCGAATATGTGCGGAGCGACGAAGTAGTGACACGGATGGATGCTACCACGGCCGGAATGTACTACGACTGGCAGTTGATCGAACTACACACCATTGGCAGCGAGGGAGCAGCCGCACACTTCAACGAAATTTGTGAGTCGACTCCTCCAACCCCCTTCCCTGTTGAACCTTGAGGCCTGTTCGCCGCTGATGGACGCGTTGCCAGACCCATATTATTTTTCACAAGTCTCGGAATTCGCACGAAACTGGGCTGGGGACACCATCAGATACATTCGCACTCAGTTCCAGGCCAGCTCCAGCCCTTACCGTGATTACGTGCTGTCTGAGCTGAAGAAGATTGAGGATAAGATTCCTGACATGAAGTACGCTTTTGAGGACTAGGGAGAGGGGGGAGAAGAAAGGGGGTGGAAGCCGGCACACTGGTGTAACGAGCCGTCTAACCTATAAGGCTAAAGGGTTCTATAGGGTTTATGTTCTGAGGTAAGTCAACACAAAAGACGATAGAGGCTTCTGTCAACTAGAAGACACTCAGATGCTGGGGCTTGGTCTGAACTGGGTTCACTGAATAGTCGAGTCGTCAGGAGATTTCTCCCACCTTAGGGTTGGCTAAGATGCTTAGATTGATCACTGAGGTAGAGACTGTCTATCTGTCTAGCTAGGAAATGTCCATCCTTATATATCCAATCTCTCCCTCACTGATTAGGTGGCTCACCCTGGATCACCAGTGATCCAAGGTGATCCAGTGATCCAAATTCTTAGTCACGTGACCCAGGTTCTGCAGGTCACGTCATCTGTGTACCGTTGCTCCGATTTCTCCACTGGTCGGCACCCCACTCACTGGTCAACCTGTTTCCAACCGTCTCCTCTGGGCCTGTTATCAGGCCGCACTGTTTGTTGGTTTGTAATAATAGCTTATTGACATGAAATACTTATTTTAAAATTTAAAAAATATTAATATATATTAAAAAGTTAAAAAACTTGAAATAAATATTTCAAATTTAATTTAAATTCTTTGAGTATTAAAATTTTGAATTTGTTCTAATCATAATTAATATATCAAGATTGAATTTAACTAATTTAGATAGAAAAGAAACTATTATCTAAGATCAAATTATAAAATTATAATAAATTTTAATATCAATATTTCAATATAAATAAATGACATATATGAAAAAAACATTTTTTTAATAAATTACAAATATTATATAATAATAAATACTAACATTTTCAATTAAAATTGATTTCAGTCTTAATATACGTTTATATATATCTTAATACCTCAAAACGTAATAAATAAAAATCTATTGATCATAAAAATGAATTAGTATAGAAATATTTTATAATTAATTATAGGAAAAAATAAAAAAGCATATTTTTAATGTTAATAATTTTTAAACAATATAATTTTTATTATAATGAAATAAAAGTTCTTAATAAAATATTTGTAAGATTTAATAAAAGAAATAAAAATTATTTTAAGAAAATTCTTCATAAAACAAATATTTTATAAAATGATTAATAATCTAATATGATTAGTTTGTTGGATCTATGTGATTCCACAGTCAAACCATCCATACCAAATCCACATATATGATTAGATAAGAGATTAGATACCGGATTGTGAGGTCACTTAGCCAGACCTGCAGGTCCAGCTAGACTTCCCAATCCAACCATCAGCAACATCATGACCTTGACCCAATACTCGAGTATTATGATTGATTGTTCAAGCCTGTTCCAACAATTAATAAATATTTTTAAAAAACTGGAAAATCAATAATAATAATAATAATAATAATAATAATAATAATAATAATAATAATAATAATAATAATAATAATAATAATAATAATAATAATAATAATAATAATAATAATAATAATAATAATAATAATAATAATAATAATAATAATAATAATAATAATAATAATAATAATAATAATAATAATAATAATAATAATAATAATAATAATAATAATAATAATAATAATATAAATTAAATACTAAACTTTAAAGACTATAACTGTATATAATAAGATATAAGAAAACTTTTTTATTATATAAAAAATTAAAATAACCGATTTAAAATATTAATTTGATTAGTATATTAAAAAAAAAATTTAACTTAATTTTTAAAGGTAGCTATAAACGTAAAGGCTTTTCTTTTTATAAAAATCTAGTTTTATAAAAAAGCGTGTTTAGTGCTAGTAATGATCCCTAACTAAATATTGATCTTTTATTTATTTTTTAATCCTTAACTTCAATTCCTCTTGACTGCCTTACGCATGATGAGTTGGGTATCTATCATCCATGAATGAGATCAGGTACATAAACGGAGCTTACACACATCGCGAACCCATCACCACGCCCTCTCTCAAACCCGCCACTCCCCCAAAATCCCCCCACCCCTCATCACACCATCACCCCCCCTCTCCAAATCTTCACTCATCCTACGTCCCCGGCCCCTCTCAAAACTAGGTCGAGCCCAAGCCACCGCGTTCGCGTTCCCATTCCCACTGCCGAAGCTGACCTTGCTGCGTCCCGAGACGCCCGCGTTACGCTCGTCGTGACTGTGTGTTTGTGGGCGCATGTGCTGCCGGGCATGCGTGTAGCCGTCGAGTGGACGCATGGGATCGCCCCTGGTGACTGAGGCGTACTCGCCCCGCCGCGAGGACGAGAGCGAGATTTTGGGCGGTATGATCTCGGTCTTTTCCTGGGGGAAGCGTGCCTCGTCGTGATCACCACCTTCGTCCTCAGTCTCTGTCCCACCACCCCTACCCCTATTCCTACCACCACGACTCCACCTCCTCCCCAACCTCTTTATCCAACTCCCTCTCCCCCTCCCACTCCTCCTATCCTTCTCCTTCCCCCCTCCCCCAATCCGCCCCCTAACACCCTCCACCAACTCCCTCCCCACATCCACAATCCCCTCCACCGTAAACGCCATAACAATAAGCGGAATACTAATGCCCAGCCCAATGCCAAACATATACTTACTCACATACGCCACCGTCAACCCGCCCCCCTCCCCTCCCACCTCCTCCCAATCCCTCAAATTGATAGCGAAAAAAGCAGCAATGAACGACATGGGCAAGAACACAATCGTAACTATAGTAAAAACCATAACCGTCTGCCCCTGCTTAGCAGCAATAACAGCCTGGTCGCCCGCGAAGCGCGCCTCGAGCGCGTTGCTGTGCTTCTGCTTCAGGTCCAGCAGGTCCGTGAGCGACATGTAGAGCGATTGGGCTTGAGTGTCCATGCGCCAGACGTCTTTCTGGCGGACTTCGAGTCCGCGGCGCTGTTCGCGGGCGCGTCGACGGATCTCGGCTACCACGGCGTCGGTGGTGCGGCGCGAGCCCTCGGCCCGCAGTTCTTCGGTTACGAAGGCTTCGAGGTCCGTTACGGTGGATAGCTGCGCGTCAAGGATCACGGCGATGATGGAGAGCTCGTCGCGGATGTCCTTTATCTCGGCGAGTAGCGATGTTTCGACGCCGATGTCGAGAAGGGCGTCGGGGAACTGGTCGCGCGCGCTATGTCCATGCTCATCCCCCCCCTCAGCATCATCACCCTCCTCACTCTCCTCATCAGGATACCACCCCCCGCCCCCCAGCCTCGCCGGCCGGCGTCCCAGCCTTCCACGCCGATGCTGCAGCAGCCACTGCGCCGACTGCGCCGAAGCGCGATTAAACCGGCTAAAAAGGCGACTCTCGCGATCCGTGACCACACCAATACTATTCTCAAACATGTCCAGAAACTGATAGTTCTGATCGTCCAGGCGATGCCGGTCAAACATGCCCGAGCACCGGCTCGTGATCAGCATGGCGAGATCGTAGACAGATTCGATGGGCGGGCGGGTCTTGGCGTTCGTCTCCTCGATGATGCCGTCGAGGACGTTCAGGGGGTCGTGTTTCGGCTGGTCCCAGCGCTGGGGGAAGCATGTGATGACAAGGTCTATCATACCATATTCACGTCAGCTACCTGCTTTGCTCATCTCTCTCGACTTTGGTTTAGATATATGTAAGGTAACATACCCTTCCCGATGATCCACAGCCAAAGCTGGTCCACCATGAACACCTTAGTCTCAATACTATGCCTCTTGCAATACCGATACACGACCTGGTCCGTGTCCCTCGCCGAGGTATCGATCCCATGGTAGAAGAACTGGTCCAGCGTCCGCCGCGGGTGCAGCGGCGGCGTGCTGTTCAGGTAGGCATTCACGAGCAGCGAGTCCCGGGAGGTCTTCTCGACGAGCCGCCGGCCCTCGCGCACGCACTTAATGGCGGAGCTCATCTTGCGCCGCCGCTCGTCGGTCTCGTAGTGCAGGAACGGCATCTGTCGCATACACAGGTCAGTAGCAGATACGTTCGCCGATGAAGAAGAACAGACCAAGACAGGACAAGAAATGCGAGAGGCTTGGGTTAGGGGCTACACACGAATAACACGATCTTCCCGTTCGAAGCCGCAAACCGCGGCGTATCCCACGGCAGCGGCGTCGCGAACTTGCCGCTGCCACTACTGGTACTGTTATCCTGCCTCAGCGGCGGATTTCCCGGCGGGCCTCGCGCACGCTTCTGGCGCTTCGGGTGCCGCTCGGCGAGCTGTTCCGATTTGGATTTCTTCTTGGACTCAGATCTCGTCAACGGCGTCCCGGCCGCACCACCTTCCACATTATCGCCTGCTGCTTGCTGCTGCTTCTTGGGGGTGGAGGAGGCGATATCCGTGAGGCTCTCCCTTGACTTTGTGATCAGGCTGGCCTCCGAGGGCTCCTCCGAGAGCGTCGTCAGGGGCTTGTCTTCTTTTCTGTTGTTGTCGGATGCCTGATCGCTGCGCGGCGAGGAGATCCGATGGCAGAATGTGCGCATGAAGTGCGCGTGGGCAAATGGGCCCCGGTGCTCTTGGTCGAAGCATTTCTCTAGTGCCTTGTAGGACTCGACGTCGCGGTGGCCGGCCTCGATGAAGGACTTTGCAAGGAGGGTCTGCAAAACCTGTAAGCACACTACTATGTCACGGAGCAGCGACGCAAAAAGACAGTGTAGGTAGTATCTACCTCAACCCAAGCAATCTACCACAGAATGTCAGTCGACGTCCGCTCAGGCAAGGGGGTAGTAGAATCACATAGTACATTATTGGCAGGGAGATGAATCCACCTGAAGTCAGGCTTGTACTTGATATTCTTAGTCACGGTCGAGACCTTGGGCCTGTCGTTCTCGTAGTCCCAGCCGTACAGCAGCTCGTAGACCGAGTGCTTGGTCACGAGCTGCTTCTTCTCGAACTGGCCAAAGTCGACGACGGTCGCCTCGAAGGCCTTGCACGCCGTCTCCTCGAGCGGCGACAGCCGGTTCGCGGCCCGGGCGGGCGACAGCAGCTGCACGATCTCAGGATGGTTCTTCTCGGCGGCGCAGAGCATGGGCGTGCGGTCGAAGCCGTCCTTGATGGAGAGGTTGACGTCAGGCCGCGTCAGGAGGAGCTTGACAATATCCTCAGAACCATTAAACGCCGCCCAATGCAGGGGGGTCATGCCGTTCGAGAGTTCGGCATTCACGTTCGCGTTAGCCTCGAGCAGCAGCGCGACAACAGCAAAATGACCACTCTGAGCCGCGTTGTGAAGCGGTCGCCAACCTCCATCGGAGACGGCACCCGGATCAGCGCCGTGGCTCAGGAGCTGCCGGACCATCTCCTCGCGGTGCTCCTTGTCGTTGCTCTCAGCCGCGAGATGCAGCGCCGTGCGGCCGCGGTTATTCGTAGCAGCCAGGCTCGCGCCGTTCTCCAGCAGCACGCGCGCAAGCTCGACATTGCCATTCGTCGCCGCCCACAGCAGCGGCGTGCGGCCAATCTGGTCGCGGACCTCAAGATCCGCGCCTCTACTCAAAAGCAGCATCAGCGTCTGCAGCGTCCACCGCGGGCTCTTGCTGCTGCCCTGCAACTGCTTCTCAGAGGCCAGGAACAGCAGCGGCGACCTGCCCTCCCTGTCCTGGGCCTCGACGTCGGCGCCGGCGTCCAGCAAGGCCTCGACGACCCTGTCGTGCCCGCGAATGCACGCGCTAACGAGCGCCGACTGCCCGCCGCGGTTTCGCGCGTTCGCGTCCGCGTCGTGCGCCAGCAGCTCCGCTACCACGTTGGCATGGCCGGCCTCGGCGGCCTTGACGAGGGCGGGCACCTCGGCGGAGTCGCGCTTCGCGTTGGCGTCGGCGCCGTGCTCGAACAGCAGGCGCACGATCGAGAGCTTGCCGCGCGCGGCGACCTTCTGCAGGGCCTGGCGCAGCGCGTCGTGGTCGCTGTTGGAGGTCCAGGGGGGGTCCTCGGCGAGGATGTCGCGTACGCGCGCCTCGTTGGCCTGGGCCGAGGCCGCGATGAGGCGGAGGTGTCGCTGGTCGGGCTGGCTGCTTGCGACGCTGGCTTGGGACGCCATTGCTCAGATCGGGACGGGAGCCGGGAGATGGGCAGCAGGCAATTGAGTTCCTAATGGCGATATAGACGTCCTTGGACCGTCATGAATGCAGCGCCATGGTGTGCTAAGCTACCTATAGGTAGTAGTCCCGATATCCAGGAAGTGTATAGTCCACCGCAAAGCTATCGACTCGCGCGCGTTGTTACTCGCTGGTCGAGGAAGATGACTGTCGGTCACACAGTCGCAAAGCAGGGGGCACAGCAGAGAATGGCGATTGGTGATCAGGATCTTGTCAATTGGGTTCGCACGACCTTATATCAACCGCAGAGGCAAGCCAACCAGGAATGTTGGTATTTCGTCGCGTTGGACGAGGGGCCGCGGTGTGGATTAAATGTTTGGAGGTCGAACGTTGCCCCAGCTCTCGGTAAATTGATTCTGTATGTGTGGGGAGCGGCGAGCCGGGTGGGCAGGGGTACCTAATGCTTTTTGGCATTTGCCATGTGGCCGGCGCAGTGGTAATCTTCGTGTACCGCAACTCAATCTCAGAGCTAATCTACCTAGGTACATACCAATTCCCCAAAGGGGCGGGCTATCTGTCTCAGAACAGGTGGATGTCTCACATCATCAACATCAAAGCTGGCTATTTTTAGCTTCTCTCGTCAGACAAGAGAAGCTGGTCAACAGTGGTTAGGTCGTTCAATACATTCGCTGGCAGGGCAGACCAAGTGGAAGAATAAAGTAGCTTTGAACATATGAATCTCGTGATGAATAGTAATTGCCAAGGTAAGCTTCGTGCTCCTTGACGGCAGGTATTAGTCTACATGGTACGGGTGTATATATGGTAAGATCATGTAGGCCGTCACATCATGTCTCAGACAAAGATCCCGCTTGTCTCTCTTTTTCTCCGGCTTCCAGGTCTCTCTTATCCAGGATATCCTCATCTTACACGACAAACAGCTTGGGAAACCGGATGTCTTTCTTCTCATGCGCCGACTTGACGGCGCCCGTCGGCGCGGGCCCCGGCGTCTTTGCTTCCTCGCGTAGGCGCGCAAGCTCCGCCTTCATTATGTTGATCTCCTTCTCCTGGGCCTTCATTGTCGCATTGTCCATCATGACCTTCTCCTCGACCCAGGCCGTGTATTTCTCGTCTTTCCTCTCCGCGTCGCCGTCGTCGAGGATTCCCTCGATGGCCACGGGGGACTGCAGGAAGCCCTTGGCATCTGCCTCGACGATCGCCTCGTACATTTTGGTGGCCATCATCTCGTAGCCCGCAGTCCCGGGGTGCATACCATCCGAGGCTATGTTTCCATCCTGGACTCCGTCCGGACCTTGGAGCTCGGCCAGTACCACGGGCTTCTTCTCCTCCTCGTATATCTTGGCCAGCCTTCGGATCTGCGGGTTCACGCGCCAGACTTCTTCTCGACCGTTGAAGCGCTCGTCCCACGTGGGCAGGAGCGTGCAAATAACGACGGTCGACCGCGGCGATGCGTTCAAGAGGTACTCAACGAGAGCATCGTATCGTTTGTAAAAGTTGTCAATGTCGATATGCTGAAAGCAATCGTTGGACCCGGCGTTGACGAGAAACAAGTTAGGCTTTGACTTGGGCACGGCGTTTTTGGCGTTTTTGTGGATGGTCTCGGTGACGACGCCGGGATAGGCTTCGATATCGTTGTCGGTCATATTTCCCAGGCGCTGGGTTCCGACAAAGTTGACAGGGTTGCCAATTGCCGTCAGCCTCTCGCGAAGGGGCCGTCGGAAACCGTTGTTGTCGATGTCTTCTTCGGGACTGTCGCCGCGCGTCGTCGATGCGCCGAGGGCCATGATGCGAAGCGGCATGCCGCTGCCGAGGGGCAATTCGTAGCCGGGTCGCTTGTAGGCCTTGCTCTTTATGTATTTGGTGCTGCCGTGGCCCAAGGAGGTGGAGCTGTTCGAGGAGCCGTTTGTGTGGACGTAGACGACGCCGCTGCTGTCGTAGTTGGAGCCGTCGCCGGCCACATAGTTGATGCCATTTTGTATGCTCTCTCCTATTGGTCTGAGGCCCTCCAACTTGTGCGACCACTCGCTGTCGACGTTCACCGCGCCAGAAAAGAGTACAGCTGCGGGCGCAGATTGAATGCGTTAGTGGCGAGCTTCTGCGGGTGCATTTGAAGGAGAGAGGACTTACCAATTAATAGTAACGGCACACACAGGAAAAGGATCAGACGCTTTCGCGCCAGGACCATGTGAATAAAGGGACTCGCGCGTGCGACGAGCTGGCGAGGTAATTTGTCTATCATGGTGTCCTGCAGGATAGAGCGTCCCGCGATCAATTAACAAAGTGTAAAAGATAGTGATGTAGGCTGACGCCGCGTCGAGTGGTATCAAAGTGGCGCAGTGCGTCACGGCGAACGGCGACACGTGGCGGCAGAGATAGAGATAACCAAATGAGTGCTGGTTACCTTATCTCAGGAAACGAATAGGAAGGTGTCGCGACGACTGGACGGTTTGCCGTGCCTTGACTCGCGGGGAAAGGACCTGCGATGAGCGAGAGCCCACGGTTGAATAATAATAAAAAGCACGAGAGAAATGGAAGAAACGACCCCTTTCTACCTGACATTCGTCCAGGACATCCGGGCAGCGAGAATCGTCGATCAAGCCAAGAATCAAGCCAAGATTCAAGCCAATCCGCCTCTGCCAAGACGGCCAAGAAGAGCCAAGCAGAGTTGGTCGTGTAGTTCGGGTTGGGATCATCGCTATCGCTTGCAGCCCTGCCAGCTGTCAGCTGTCAGCTGTTAGCCTGTCACGCATTGTGATCATGATGGCAGCCATTGTAGTTGTAGTTCCTGCAGGAACTGCTGTAGGCACCTGAGGGTATTTATTTATATTCTGGACTTTCATTCATGATGCGCATCGACCTCCTCTCTACTGTTTGGTGCATGTGGTTGATGAATGCAATAACAATCACAGCCGACAGCCTCAGCTCCGAGACCAACACGAAATACTTATGGGGCTCTTCTAGTGACAGTGGGGCGATCAATCTTGGCACCCCAGAGCCCCCGGCAGTCCATCGGTGGACTGTAGCAGCCTGGTCGCAAGTCTGCGCTTGATGGCAGGATGGGTGCCGAGTCCCGTGTCGTGGCCCGTCCGTCCGTCTGGTGCGTGCTCGAGCATCGGACAGCGGGGGCGGGTCTTCCCTTCTCGGTCTCCGTCTTGGGTCCCTTTGCAGTTGTTACTATCTATCAAAGGCCAAATACTCACAGCGACCTTCATATCTTTCATCCTATCTCCTAGTTACCATCTACAAGTCACGGACCTAGGTACAGGGTAGAGTTCGGATCAGGTCAGGTCGGTCACGGAGCACCACATGGAGACTCCCTACCTTCAAAGTTATCCGGTGGGATGATGCGAGCCAGTCAGCCGGAGGTCCCCTCCTTCGTCCTCATTCCCACCCTTTTGGACAGCCACTTCGCTCATGAATGGTGCAGCAGCCATCAGGTGGTCCAGCACCGTTCTATAAAAGGGGGAGGTGGGCCTTGGCACTGTCGCCTGCATACCTACAGTAGTACATACTGCGAACTCACTCGCCAGCTCGCATACTAACTTATCATCTGCACGGATCCTACTCTTACTAATCATTTCCAATGAGGGGATCTTGCTATTCGTTCGTCGCTGACCTGGTTCTGGGGAAGGATTGGCATGCAAGATGATTGGCTGGTGTCAAGACACACGGGAAGGTGGCAGGTGGTTCATCATCAAGAGAACAGATGTTTGGAAAAGATGGTATTGTTGAAGCCAACCAATCCACTATGGACCTCATCTTTTGTCCACCATTTCATGATTACCTATGCATGAGCATCGGGCCCGCGGGTTACCCAGGCCATCCCTCCTTCTTCATGGCGGAATGCACAGGCAATGAGATTCTTTCACTGTGCTTTCTTACCTCGTCTCCGCAACTTGCTTTCACTCACTTCGACAGCGTACTGAACAGGGGAGGTTACTTCACCGATCAAGATGATAATCAGAGACGCTCTATAAACGACAAAACAACTTGAGGAGATGGGTGGTCGCGAAGAGAAGGATGCCGCCCCCACACGCTGGAAACAGGGGTCTTCAGCATCATCAGCGCCAAGTTCTGAGCCTCAGCTGAAAAACATGTGCTTATTCATAAACACAGCTACCGTGGAGGCATCGTCGCCCTCCTTTTAAACATCAACAGCAACAATGCGACTCATCAACTGCAAAGAGCTGCGTCTGGAGGAGCTCATCGAACCACCTGGCACCCACCCGTTCGCCATCCTCTTTCACACGTGGGACGCTGAGGAGGTCACGTACCAGCAGTTCGCCGACACAGCGGCGAGGAGGTTCAAGAGAGGCTGGGCCAAGATCCAAAGGGCATGCGCTACGGCCCGGGAGTGCGGGTGCGACTACCTGTGGGACGACACCTGCTGCATCGACAAGCAGGACAATGCCGAGCTCACCGAGTCCATCTACTCCATGTTCCAGTGGTATAGCGATGCGACGGTGTGTCTCGCGTTCATTGCAGACTTTGACGCCACGGCCGGCGACATGGAGTCGCTGCGCAGGGCTCGCGTGAGTAGCCATCCAGGCCTCTGTCATAGATCTTCCGTGGTGTGTCAGGGGTTGATAGCTGTGCCGTCGGTGTTCTTGCCCCTGAATCACGACTGAAAATCCCTCATCCATTACGAGACCTTCCAGAACGAGCAGTCACTGACTCTGGCTACTGCAGTGGTTTTCTCGAGGATGGACTCTTCAGGAGTTGATCGCGCCGTCAACAGTCTACTTCTATGATCGGGAGTGGCGGCTCTTCGGCACGCGGTCGAGTCTGTATCAGGAGCTCTCGTCCATAACCGGGATCAGCACAGACATCCTATCTCCTCCAGACGGGGCGGCACTCAGGGACCTGCTGGACGATATCCTCATAGCAAGAAGGATGGCCTGGGCCGCTAGGCGACACACGACCAAGAAGGAAGATATCGCCTATTGTCCCCTCGGGATATTCGGCGTCAACATGCCCATGCTCTACGGCGAGGGTGGGCAAGCTTTCGTGGCTCCAAGAGGAGATAATACGAGATAGTAACGAGCTCACAGTCTTCGCCTGGACCGCCAACGACCGCACCCAGGATCCTTCAAAAAACGTCTCACCCAACAAGATATATCGCGGCATCCTCGCCTCCAGTCCAGCCGAGTTCGCAGGATCAGCCAATATCGAACCAAACAACGACTCCAAGTTCAATCCGGACTACTTCATGTCCAACAAGGGCCTGCGCATCCAGACGGTCCTGCACGCCACCGACACCGACGAAGTCGTCATGCCGCTGAACTGCCACCTAACCCAAAATCCGTCCTCCCAACTGGGTCTCATCCTCAAGCACCAGGGCGCCAGCGTGTACGTCCGATCCTGGCTGCGCGTCCTCGGGCAGGTTAGGAACGTCGGCGCCCCGACCTCGACGGGGCACAACATCTTCGTCGCCAAGCGCGCGAAAGCCAGCATCACGCGCACGCTAGGCGCCGCGCACCGCAACGCGTTCCACTTCCGCTTCGACTTCAGCCCGCAGAACACGATCCGGCTCGTCGAGACGGCGCCCGCGGAGCTGTGGGACGCGCAGAACCGGCTCATTATCACGAGCGGGTCGCGGCAGTTTACCGCCTTCCACCGGTTCGCGGTGTCGGGCGCGGCGCCGGGTCAGTTCGTCATTGCTTGCGGTATGAGCATGAACCAGGGCGGCGAGGGCGGCAACGCCAAAGCCAACCCCTGGAGGGTGTGCGTCGGCGGCGAGACGGGCGAGCTGTTCGGGGCGGCCGCGGGGCGCAACTTCCAGGCCGTCGCCGACATCGGCCGCGCGCGCGGCTTCGTCACCGAGAAGAAGAAGGACCTCAAGGCCATGGCGCCGAACAGCACGACCTGGAAGGTCCGGTTCGCGGTTGCGAATGTGAGCTGTGCTGTCCAGACTGTTCGAGGTGAGCAGGGTATTGTTGTTGCGGCGAGAGTGACCAGGAATACGCCGATGGGGTTGCATATGTAGCTGTATATTGATATGTTCATTGAATCATTAACCTGTGGTGTTTCGCTCTCGATGTTGGATAGTTGGATGTCGCCACCCACGCGACCGCTGCCCTTGGTCGATTGATCCCTCGTCAGAATCACTGGGCATGCTTTCGGGGTCCTGGCCGGCCGGCATTAGGAGAGATGATGAATGAAGTCAGCAGTCTACGGGCTGATTGGACAAGCTTCTAACAAGTCGCATGCAAGCGTTGCTACCCTCCTGGGTGCCACCGAGGTGGACTGTAGAACATCGTCAGTGTTGGTTGAGAATACCGTAGATTGCTAGATTAGCAGTCTAGCAAGGTGGGAAAAGGGGATACCATGGATGCCCACCTGCAATCCTGACGCCTATAATACACTCTGCTCAGCACATGAATACATTATTGGGCTACAGCCACGAGATCATTGAGATCTTGAGTGAAGCTGGCAGTATCTGTCATTTGAAGTGTCACTGCTCTCCTCTACATGCACTGTACCTTGGCAAGCTACATTCATAAGACCTGGCAGCGGCTGCGCACTCGCTCTTGAAAAGATTTTCAGTCGTTCTCATGGGTTCATTCATAGTTGGAAGTTGGCTCTGGGGGAAGCCAGTCTTATGGGGGATGCACACTGGAAGCGTTAAACAACACCATGTCTTAACGTAACAACACTGCACCGCATGACAATATTTCCACAACCATCAAGACGAAGGTGCACCTAGAGGCCGCAGTTAAATACAGGCATGTGTATCTTGTCACTGGGCATAAAGAGCACGCAAAAGAAAGGGGGGGGGAAAGACAAAAAAAGAAAGCTGTACCTATGCGAATGTGTTAGTTGTATCCTTTGCTAGGCTGTGAAGTAATATGTGAAGGATAGGGTGTTTCAATCAGAACGTCTGATAAGGCGTTTATATCAGGCGTTTGCTCTTGTGTATAATCAGGCCTCATAGGGGGACCGACGAACGAATAATCATCGTGGAAAATGTGTTCAGTGCTGGACTTGAACCCCGGACTGGAGTGAGAGCTTACCTGGATGCATCTAAGCAAGTGGTGCAGTTTACTAACTGAGCCGTTCGCCCCGATTGATGCATTGGGGCTTTTTGTCTTGGGTTATGTATGGCAGTACTGGACTGAGGACAGGGCTTGTGGGGGACGGCATCATCATCGCCAGGACGATGGGGGCGGGCAGACATGAGATGGTGGCGGCCGGGACGACAGGAGGCGGCGGCAGGCAGACGTGAGATGGCGGCGAGCAGACACTGGGAAGCAAGCAGACACGGGGCGGCGGCGAGCTGACATGGGACGACGACAGAGTACCGGGGAGCCTTTGAAGGGGGTGTTAGCTCAGCCCTGTCATTTGACATATGGTAGAGTACTTGCAAGCAGTAGGTTGCAACAACCCGGCGGCCAATGTCTATCTCTCTAGAAGACATGGCACTACATCTCCATGAAAGGGGTCGTCCAATGTGTTGTAAGAAGCTTTGTTTCTACATTATGCGGATCAGCTATCGAGTGCCAGGTCTGCGTTTAACCATCTGGCTCAAGATCCAACTCCGCGCGTAGCCTTGCTATTCAAAGTTATTACCAGCCCCTATTTATGACTACCCGCTCGCGTCCATCTCATGCCGTTCTTCACGCCGACCCCGATCATCCGGCAACTCTGACGGGTAGAACGTTAGATTTTGGTTCGAGTCAGACCCTGCGAAACAATCCTTATTCCAGTCGTATTGGGGCGGGGGTTGTTCTTGTGTTTGTTGGACAACTTGGAGATTGCCCTCGCTGCCACCATACTTGGCGATCCATCTCCGGCGCAGGAAGTAGTACGCACTCCCTGCCAAGATCGCAATCCCCGCTCCCGCTCCGATGGCTATGCCTGTAATGGCGCCTCGAGAAAGATCAGAGTTGGATGGTGTGGAAGATGCAGTGTTCTGCTCAGCCGAAATTGGCGTTGACATTCGATGCGATGTCGTAGTGAGAGAATCAGGCAGAACCGAGGGACTCGTTACGACAGGACTTGCCGGTGTCGAAGTCGAAGTCAACGCCGAAGACGTCACTGATGTGATCGATCCAGTCGCAGTAGCCAACTCCGTCAAAATCGAGTATGCAATCTGACACCGCACAGCCGCTTCTCCCACATATCCATCGACGCAGCTCGTCAGCGCAGGACATCATATATCATCGGCGCCCGCGGGCGCACCGGTGCATCGAACCGCGTTGGGCATATCACAGGGTTATGGGACTTGGTCAACGTAGCAATGATCCGTGGCATTGCTGGTGAAACGTCAGTGACATAGCATCCTCCTCAGAAGTCTTCTGCAAGCTTGAGTAACATTTACATACTTCCCAACGCAGCAACAGCCTTTGCCCAGATATTGCTGGCATGACGGATACGTCTGTCCCGATTGCGTGCCTGTGACAAGAATCAGTACATTCCGTCAGAGCGAAGACGACAGTAAGCTGTATCAACACACAACAAAGTGTCAAGCTCGGAGCACATATTGAATTCCTCCAATCTCCACCAAATGCATCCGAGCATTCATCCCTTCTGGCGAAGAACGACGTGTCGCCACGCTCCACGGTAGTTGCTAGGAGAGATGCCCCTTTGTGAATGCTTCTGTCTGGTTGTGCTGCCGAGCCAGCAGTAGAACCACAGAATATAAACCCCGTCCAGATGGTCAACCCGTGGGCTTTCATCGAGGAATCCGTAACGCAGATGTAACGTTTGAGTTGAGACTGGTGATGTTTTTAGATCTTTAGAAAGGCAAGAAGCAAGGTCCCGACCAACTCAATCCACGTCAACAGGACACTTTCGTGGAGTTAAATTGACACTATCCACGACCTCGTCGTTGCTTAATTAATATGCGTATATTAAAGAAAGGTCCTATCTCCGGAAAATATTATTATTATAAGTTAATATAAGGTAAAAAGACTTTTTTTAGGCCACTTTTTTGGCGATAATAAATCGAATAAAAATGTTATAAGGAAAATTTAAACGTATAAACGTCTAAAAAGCTATAATTAACTTTACATAATATTATTTAGAATTCTTTTTGTTGGAACAGGCTTGAACAATCAATCATGATACTCGAGTATTGGGTCAAGGTCATGATATTGCTGATGGTTGGATTGGGAGGTCTAGCTGGACTTGCAGGTCTAGCTAAGTGTCCTCACAATCCGGTATCTAATCTCTTATCTAATCATATATGTAGAGTTGGTATGGATGGTTTGAAGGTTGGAATTGCATGGATCCAACACCTTTAATAATATACTTTATATAATTAAACGAAGCTTTTACTTTTCTATAACGCTTGTTTTAGAAGATTGTAACAGTTTAAAAAACTTAGAAAATACTAGCAACGAAGTTTATACTTTTAAACGTTTAAAATACCGTGACTAGCTTTACATAATATTGTTAATTAAAAATATTAATTTTTTTTATTACATAGTTAAGATTTAAACTTAAGTGTGATGGATCTGACATCCATCCATCCATTCACGGTGGTACGTGCGCTCATCAGGTGATCTGGTGGGGTGGACGCGTTGCCCCGCTGCACTCACTATGGATAATTGTGGAGCGGGATTGAAGATCTAATCCCCCACCAGCATTGGCTGGTGGTTCTGATCCTTCTTCCCTCCTCACCAGTAGATTCTTATTCATCTGGAGTAATAGATGGGCATCTTCGTCCTGAGCTGCCAGCTGTTCCGTGACATTAAGTTTGTTAAATAGCTTAATTTCCACTCTTTTAAATTAATATTTACTTATTAATCTTTATGATAAAAAAAAAGCTAAATCGAAACATTTACGTTATAAATTATTAAATTATTAAATTATTACTATAAACATATTGTTACGAACCAACGAACAGTGCGGCCTGATAGCAGACCTAGAAGGGACGATTGGAAACAGATTGACCAGAGAGTGGGGTGCTGATCAGTGGAGAGATTGGAGCAACGGAGCAACGGTACACAGATCACGCGACCAGCAGAGCCTGGGTCACGTGACTAAGAATTTGGATCACTGGATCACCATGGTGATCCAGTGAGCAGGATCACCTTGGATCACCGGTGATCCAGGGTGAGCCACCTAATCAGTGAGGGAGAGATTGGATATATAAGGACAGACATCTCCCAACCAGATAGATAGACATTCTCTACCTCAGTGATCAATCTAAGCATCTTAACCAACCCTAAGGTGGGAGAAATCTCCTGACGACTCAACTATTCAGTGATCCCCTGGATCAGACCAAGCCCGAGCATCTGAGTGTCTTCTAATTGACAGAAGCCTCTATCGTCCTTTGTGTTGACTTACCTCAGAACATAAACCCTATAGAACCCTTTAGCCTTATAGGTTAGACGGCTCATCATATATATATAGTTATAAATAAGCCAGGAAAAAAAGCATATAATTAAAAACGATATGCTTTATATATATAATGGTAAGGTATTGTATTAAAGGAATAATAAAATAATATTATTTATATATTTACTCGATTTTTGTTATAAATTCAAGCGAATTTTGATATATATAAACTTATTATCACAATTCAGGGTCTAATATTGGGGTGAATTGCTTGCGTGATCGTCTATCGGATCTGGGGACCAAATCTAGTACTAAATACACACCAAAGCACAAAAGATTCGCCCATCCATTGATCTGGCAATCAATGGAGCCTTGTTTGTCACTTTGAAAGCCACCACTTCTGGTGCCTTCACCCCTTTCATCCTTTGACCACTTATTCTGGTCAGATACAGCTGCTTGAACAGCTGCCAACACACCTATACGGCACCTTGTATCGCACACTTATTAATAATAAAAAATCTTCTTTAAAATAAATTATGAATAATATATATTTTTATAATAACCAAATTTTATTTTTTATTTTTTCAAATTTAACTTTTAATATAACGTAGCTGACAGGCGAGTTGGCATTACAAGCGAGTTGACACTTGTCATGAACTCTCTAACTGCCATATCAAATAACTTCACCACAATGCATTCAATTCAATTCAATCAATCGGATTCCTCTTCTTCAGAGGTTTCTATCTCTATTGTACAACTCGCGCATTATGGCCAGTGTTGCCGCAAACGCCACACCGTCGCTCACGCGCTGCCGTCCTACTTGGACGACGACTACTGTTGAATGCACGGATGTTGATTTGATTCTATTGATTGTTCTGCTCTGCGTGCAGAGATTGATCATCTGTCTTCTTGGTGGGTCAGTTGCCCTGTGCGTCTCTGCCCCACTAGAGATCTTCCGGTGTCTATTTCCGGCTCCCATTCAACAGATATCAAAGGGCTCCCACAGCTGTATTTAGGTGGGAATATCCCCCATGTGATGGTGTACAGCCGCATCCACCTGGATGGATGGATGCTGAGTCATCAGGTCACGCATAGATTAGATAAGGAAGGAATGGGACCACCACTTAAGGTGTGTGGTGCGCACAGCACCTTGCTGGATTCCCTTTACTTTTGTGGAATGAAGCAACCATGGTGATACCGCGCAATCATAAGGTTCCAGTTCCCCGCACCGCCGGTGCGGTATTGCCTGGTCCGCAAGCGTTGCTTTTCCTGCTGACGGAGCGTGTGTTTGATATTCCTACTTCACTCGTCGCAACTTCACCAGACTATCATTGTCTTAGAATAAGAACTTCACAGCCCTATCATTCTATTAGGCTTCTCTTACCATATGGCTGTGCCAGTGATGATACCTGAACTTCGAACTGGCCGTCAGCAGTCCAGCATGCTGTCATCATCTTCGAAACGCAGGAAAGCGATGGCGATGTCAATCGCTCTGACCTGTCTTTTCATGTTGCTTGTATGCCAGCGTGCCCAAGTCTTTTCAAGAAACGATGAGTTCACTAGCGACCTCTACGTTCCGCAGCAGCAGGATGGTCCCCTCGAGATAGAGCTCGTAGTAGCCAGTACCAAAGACGAAGACACCGCCTGGCTCCAGAGACACGTGCCCGAATGGCGCAAGAGCATCTACATCGTCGACGACACCAAGGCTTCACCGACCGTCCCGAAGAACAAGGGGCGCGAGGCAATGGTGTATATCACGTACATCATCGACCACTACGACCGCCTCCCCAGCGCCATAATATTCCTCCACGCGTCGCGCTTCGCGTGGCACAACGACGATCCCGACTACGACGGGCTGCGGACCCTGCGGAACTTCCAGGTCCCGTATCTTCAGGAGACGGGCTACGTGAACTTGCGCTGCGTCTGGACCATCGGCTGTCCGGCCGAGATCCACCCTGTTGAGGACGAGGCCAGCGCGGACCCCGACGACCTGACGACAAAGGTTGTCTATAAGCAGGATTTTCAGGAGCTCATGCCGGAGTTGCCGATGCCCGAGGTTGTGGCCGTCAGTTGCTGCTCGCAGTTCGGCGTGACGAGGGACGTCGTGCGAAGCCGGTCGAAGGAGGATTATATGCGGTACCGGCAGTGGCTGCTAGACACACCATTGAACGACTCTCTGACAGGGAGGATCTTCGAGTTTTCTTGGCATAGTAAGTAGCACTGCACATCGACTGTCGGGAGTAGGTCTCTAATCTGCTTCAAAGTTATATTTGGACAAGAGCCCGTGCACTCTCCCTCAGCGTCAGACTGCTACTGCCGAGTATACGGAATGTGTGATATGGCGTGCATAGATGATGGCTCGTGTGAAGGGAGGTACACGCTCCCTGCTTGGTCTTCGTTGCCTCAGGGATGGCCCCTGATAGGGTGGAACCAGGAGGATAGGAACTTCTCGGGCCCTCTACCTTGAGTCTTTCGACTCTGAGTTCCCACTTGGGAGACGGTGTCTTTCGAACGAGCGCAAATCCTTACCTTTACCAGAAATGATTCAAGGGACCTGGGAGACGAGAATCAGCCGATTGTTGTGGAAGCTCTTGATATCGATATACGGAGCTCTATGCAGGGAGACATACATCCCCAGCCTCTGGGCCCAGGACTGTCGCAGCCCGAAACAGTCGAACACTCGACACAGAGCGATTCTGAGGGCATGCCGCGAGGTTCTTATGGCTAGGCTGCCGACATTCAATGGTCGGAAGAATGCAGCGACGAGAGTTTTGATATCCGATGCCTGGTCGGAAGAGCCGTCACTCATCCGGCCCACTTTCCGGAGTGTCGTGGTTCAAGAGGGCAATCGCACAAAGCTTGTGCTTGACTTCTATTGTGAGGACCAATACTAGGCATGGAGTTGGATATTGAGCCAGACGATGGGCGCAGACCGAACCTTACATAGTACCCAGCATAATTTGGGCCCAACAGAGACCAGCGACCTTGCTTGGGCTGTCGGGACGAGATGGGCGTCAGAAACGGTGTAGTTACCTCTTTGCATTTGCATATGCCACAATGAAGGAACAGCCGTAGACCTCCACGGGTAGGGGATCTTCCATGCTCACTGTGAAATCCCGCACACAACTCGATCCTGCCGAGATCTCACCCTGATCAGCAAGACCCCATCAGATCCAATCCGCATGCGCCCCCTTCACAAGGTCATAAAGAGTAGGCTGATATAATCAGCAACAAAGGCTGCCCTACAGTCGTTGCTTTGTGCTTTTCGGTCAGTGACATGCCGGCCGCTTCGAGAATGTACAGGCGAAGAAGGTAAGGGGCGCAGACAGGTTGGATTCCTGTGGGATCCAGATCTGGCGATCGGGCAGATCTCGGAGATACTGCCGTTTGGTGTCACTACTCCCGATTGGTCGGGTCTCTTGCTGCCCCGTAATTGGACAACGACAAGCAAGGGTGCAGATATGCCCGGGCACGACAGCATGATACATGATAGATATCACATTCGTTACCTGGTCTCGCGGACAGCGCGGAGTCGTATGTCGGCATTGAAGCAATGAGAAACAGTCATGAAAACAGTCGGTTTTTTTTTCGTAAGTCATTCAGCATTTCATACGCGTTCTCCTAACCGAGAACAACCTATGTTGAGCGTCTGTCCCCCCTATCCCAGGGGAGAAACCCGAACCTCAGAAATCCATTTCGCGGACAACTCCTTTCCAGTCCAGAATAACCGATATATGCCGCATCTCCTAAGCCGAAGTGCTCTCCCTGAACAGAGTCGCATATCTATGTTCCGGGCCGCAATGATGCTCAGTGGAAGAAGATTGCCATGCAGAAAGGAGGTCTAAGTACAAGAAGTGAAAATGAAACGGTTGTGTCAGAAAACAGGGGCCAGCTGAGTAGAAAGCATCAACAAGGAGCTGGCGGTACTTCAAAAAGAACCAAGCCCTACAATGCTGCAATCGTCTCGAGACCGACAACGAAGTGAAGAATGCTGATGTGTGTTTTCGCCTCCCCATTGCATGCGCTTTCGTGAAATCATCAACCTAGGGGGTTCCGGAAAAGAGCCCGACGATGTTCTGGTGCCCAGAGTGCCATTGTACCTCTCATACTGTGACAAGAGAAGGCTCAATGCAGGCGCCGTGCAACGACAAAAGGGTGGACGCGTGCTAGATTGGGTTGCATAAACGCCCTTGTCCAGCAGGACGCAGTTCCGAGATAGCGTGCCACGCTTAAGAAGTGACGACACTCTTGCCCAGAGGCTTGAGCACGTTGGTACCGTACCCACCACCAACATTGCCTGCGGCATTGATTAGCACAACGCCATCAAACGGGGAGTTCGGGAATACATACCAGGAGGGCCGTAGTTGCAGACCATGAACCAGGCATCCATGTCGTCGTACATGGATCCCTTGGCGCAGAATTGAGCAGAGCAACCCAGATCCGTGGATTCCTTCCAGAGAAGCTGGCTAAGGTGACCCCACTTCTCGAAGCCGGACATATCAGGGGTAGCTTGGCCATAGTACTGGGGCAAGTATTCAGCGAACTCGCCATTGTACCACATGTCGGTGGTGGCCATCTTGATGGCACCAGCTTCGCCAAGGTCCGCGGCACCACTGCTGACAGCCCACATGGCAATGTTCTGGCCGTAGCCCTTGTCGCCCTGGTCCCTGTATGACTGTTAGCGCTCGACGTCGGGGTGGACGGAAAGAATCACATACATGTCGTGCGCGAACTTGCAGGTGGCGGCGGTGTTGGAAGCGTATCCGGCGAACTTGCCGCTCCATGCCATCTCGGGAGCAGAGTGGTTGGATCGGTGGAGGTTGTGGTGGTAGATAGCGGCAGTTTGCATGTCATCACTAGCAGGCTCAGTAGGCGCTGCTTGTGCCTCCTCGGCCGTGGTAGGGGACGAAGCGACGGTTGCCTCTTGCGCGGCCACCTCGGTAGTCGCCGCAGCCTGCTCGGCGGTGGTGGGCTCGGCCTGGGCCTGCTCGGGGGTAACGGTCACGATGACGACGGCAGGACTCTGCACGGCGGGGGCCGTCTCGGTCATGACGGTCTCCTGGGTCACCTGAGGAGGGGCCTTTTCGCCCAGCATCATGGTGGGGAGGGCGGGTGCCGCACCGCCGGTGACCGTGACCGTGTTGTATACCATGACAACGGACGTCTCCATCTTGCGTTCCTCCAGAGCCAGAGGGGTGGCAGCGACCAGCATGGCGCTGGCGGCCGCAACCATGATCGAGGACTTCATTTTACTGTGGATATTGAGTTGATTGGGAGTAATGAACTGTAGAGGTTGTAAGTATGTGTTGCGAGTATTATCAACGGTGGTAGGGCAATGAATGAATGAATGAATGTGGGTATTGGATGATGTTAATGATGATGTTAATGAGTGTTGTGTTTAGTGCATATCGTTTGGTGTACAGATGTTCGAGGAGTGGCTGCTCAAATGAGGGTGTATGTGGTGGAGGACAAGGAGGATTGGTGGCGCATGGATAGGCGCGAGCATGATTTTATCCATTTACAGGGTATTGTGTCTGGTGTGTTGGGGAACGTGGTCTGGAAGACTCGGAAGGCATGTGACCCTTTGTTTGGAGGGTCGGCTTTGTGTCTCGTGAAAGGATACGGGCCTCGCTCCCACTACCACCAACAAAGCCAGGCGTGGACTGGACGGACCAGATGGGGGCTGTCTGATCATGCGGGGGAAGATCGGAGGAACATGGAAGCTGTTGGCTACATACCTTTCCGTGATCTGGAGATCAAGAGATGGTCGAGCTGGTCGAGATGGTCGAGAATAAATTTGTTGGTTTCTCGGATGCGGATGGCGGCGACGATGCGGAATTTATAGTCGTCGACGGGACACGAGACTATTTCGGGCTGCCTTCGGAGTTGAAGGAGTGTGGTCAGACAACAGCGAGACTTGGTAGACCGTCAACTTTTGGGTCGGACGAGGTCGTAGAATCGGAGTTGTAGGATGCTGACTAGAGCCGATGCGATGCTTGCTGATGCGGTTGCAGATGGGCGACTGGCGTCCACGGAATGAATGACGAGAGTGAATTGAATGTGGGAGTGGGTGAGTGAATAGTGAATTGACTCAATCAACTGCTGGATGCCGTCAAGACAGTGGAGGTATATGAAGGAGTGTAAGTGTGCCGGAGGCAGACGGGGAAAATGAGTGGAAGTGGTTGGTCGAAATTGAGGTCTCACGAACAGGTGTAGATATCCGGAGGCAGGCCAAACCAGTGGGTGAGGTGGGAAGGATCGAAAGAGTGTTAAACTCGGTGGGCACTCACGTGGTTAAAAAGAAGGAACGGAATGCAGCACGAAGCTTGCTTGCAAGTACCTGGTACCGAAACGAATGAATGGAATGGAGCTGATCTGGGGCCGGATTGTCAACAACGTGGTGGATGGAAAGAAGAAACAAACTTCGTTCCCGGGGTGGACGAGGTGAATTAGAGGTGGGCCGGGAAGGGGCGAGCGGTAGATGAGTGGAGGCCGCTGTTTGCTTGACGATTGGACCGACAATGTACCTGGTACCTTGCCCGCGACCGCCGCACACTAAATGAAAACAGCGGCACGTTTCTGAATCAAGATTCGACAGCGTGCGGGCAGTTTGCCGGGTGTGGTTTTATCGGTTTTAGTCACGGTGCAATGTGCAATTGCCTGTAGATAGATTCCATTCTGCAGCAGCAGCTGGTCTGGCTGCAGCTGGTCATGGAAGCGTCATGGCAAACAAAATGAACGACGTCTCCGAGTAATCACGCGAACCACCGGCGTCGGAACACACCTCCAGTCACCTATCAATTCCCATCCTCATGTTTATGCGAATAGTGGCTAGCGTCTGCTCAACTCGCCGACCTGTCGATTCCTCGCTTTGACAACGATAGCCCGTCTTCCACTTCATGCAATGGGTGGACACGGCCGTTTGCGAAGTTCGGACGAGCTGAAAGTGCTGATACGAGAGGGCACGTTTGTTCGGGAGGACCAATGAGCTAGGAATGAAACGACAGTCGAAAACCAATTCTGCTCCACGATGGCTACATGTGTCCCATGATACCCGTCCGCTCATTTTATTATTAGCTGCTCATTCAGATCCACCACGCCACCTCTGACTACCTAAGGTAGGTAGAATATTGATACATGCAATGGGAATTGTGATTCCGTGCCCAGATTCCATGCCCAGATAGCATGAGTAATGAATGACATCAGGCTAGTCATCTGGTCACTGGTGATGGTAATTGTGTGCGTTTGATTCAATGACTGCGACAGCTGCAACGCTGCGTACATGTGTACATATTGTCAGGCAATGTCAGCTGGAGTGATCAACCATACTGATCCAACAGGGTGGTTCGTCCAATGTCTCTGCTGCACTGCCCAGGTGGTCGGTCCAGGACTTAGAAGTGCGGTATTGGCTGCAAACCCCTCCTCTGCCCTCAGCTCTGATGAAGCAAACCCCCTGACCTCTCAGCTGTGATGAATATGATGACCCCTTCTCATGAGATGAGGTCAGAAAAAACAAGGGTGCGGACCCTGAGGTACATGTACCTGCCTTGGCTTGTTTCGAAACCCTGCTGGTCATCTGGGACCTTGCAGACAAAGCAGGGGCAGCCGGCGCCTCACTGCCTCCAGGAGTCCAGAGGGGAGCCAAGACCATTCAAGCGCGGGGCGTGCAGCAAGAGCCCCAGAGCGGTAAATGGTGAAGCCAGTAATTAGCTCCAGGGGTCCAGGGGGTGACCAGCCCCTGCAACGGTTAGCGGGAAGGAGTTCTAGCCTCTGAGATCGTAGGAGGGCAGGCGCATGCGGCGTGCACTTGTCTTGAAACAACGCTTAATCTCGGGCCACCTTAGTCAGCCTGTCCAAGGGCCAAGGCAGCAGGTTTGGAATGGTGGCACTTGGGCTGGTCAACGGTTGGCAACTCGAATATTCCGTAGGAATGCCTCATTCAGCGCTTTTTTCGTGGCGTCAGGTTCAACACAACGATTCATTAACTCGTGGCTCTGGGTCGAGTGTCCAGTCAACGCTGTAGGTAGTTCCATGCATGTCATGATTCAGTGATAATCACGCGGGGTTCTAGACCCCGATTGACCGAGCGACACATACCGGTTCCGTAGTCGACATACCGGTAGTCGAACTGCATGACAATTCAACGGCCGTCAATATCGTCTTGGTATTTGCACCCACAGCTTCCTATTCAATGCGAAACGTGGGAGGCACGCCTACATAGTACCCGGGCTGCCCGCAGGCCCGGTCGTCGAAGCCCGTCTACGCCACAGACCAGACGATTGCGCCCGACACTCCCGCGTCTACTGTGAAGTTCTAGACCGAGAGCATTGACATTACCTTAACGATCACTGCAATCTACCTGCCAAGGCACCACGATTCCTTCTAAATACAGTACCGTGGAACTTTTAGCATCATCCGCCTTGCCCTGCAACTCTGCTCGGTGTCCGACTTGACGTGGCCCCTTCCCCCCCTCGTATCAATTTATCAAACCCACTGCAATCTCGGCTCGAGAGCGGCACCGGTTCATCCTTCCGCGCAGGATCTCGAATCTTATGTGGGCACAACACGAGTTCACACTGCGACGGCTTCGGAGTTTGCTGATTCCCCACTTGTCATTTCACAGCAAACGCGGGAGAGCGCCGTAGCGTGAAGCCGGGGCGTAAACGGCGTGTTGCACCTTGATTCAACTTCCTCTTCGCCAGAGGCAGGTAATCAACTCGTTTATGCTTCCTACACTACACTGTACAGAACCCCGCCACTGGCCATCGACCTCTTGCAATCTGCCATGGGTTCCCCTCACTTCATGCGTCAAGTTCGAGATACTCCTCGATACAGAGACACTCTGTCACAAAGTATGAAGCTCTCTCGGGGCTTACCACAGACCTGCGAGGAACACACCCCTCGAAATACGCTGCACATACACCTGCAAGATCTGCCTAGTCCGGGCCACGGCGCACGGTGCCACCAAGGAATGCACACCTTGACAACCACTTCGTCCGATGATGCTAGGACGAAGTGTGGGACTCAGAGCCACGTTCATGAAACCGCCCATGGTCTTCACGAAGGCCTCAGCTGCCGGTAATTGGCCTCTAATCAAGAACACCATGTAATCGGGCGGCGGACATTCAGCAGGACAGGGTTCCTTGCGTCGGTGCTCTGGAACGCTCGACATTGTAGTGCCAATGCGTCCTTTGCAAAAGGGTTGAAACAATTTGTGGCTTCGCAATTGCGGGCAGGATCGAATTGAATGGTGTCCCACGACGCTTTCATGAGAAATTACCCCGGGTCCCAACCTGGCCGCTGGGCCTGATATCTGACCTACCCCTTGACAACACGTTGGAGCAGAGCCTCTCGCGACGACATCGCCATCTCCTGGCTGCGGTACGACATCTTGGTTTTTTACAGGTCATCTTTTCAGATCACGGGTCCAACCGCCTCGGGGCTCATCGCCTTGCTCCTATGCTTACACGAAGTTCTCCGCCTCAGGCAGTCGGTTTGTCCTGTGTGTGCTACCTTTCCAGTCGGTCCATGGAAGAGGCCTGCTTTGCCACCGTCCCCTCGGAGCTTACTTATACTTTCATGATTTCTGATCAGCCCTTGTACTGCATGTCGAAAAGACTGCAACACAACGGCTGTCTGTGAGAGTCCTCGAATAAGTCCTATTACAGTCAGCTTACCTAAGGATCATCCATATGTCAGCGCCATGTTCTCCAACACTTCGCCAGCTACCAGCTAGACCCTAGAAGGCTACAAGCTCTGGATGTGCAATGCAACATGGACCTCATGCACACACTCCAGCTCGTGGACTCTGCCACAATCTACAGACTTGCATGAACTCAGTGAGTCTCTTCTCTTACTGAAATGTCCGAACTTAGGAGTGGTGCCTTGCCTCGAGGCAGTTCGTGGTGACCCGCCGCTCTAAAATGCAGTGCCTCTTGGCATGTCTAAGACTTCGGCAGTGCTGTGATATCACAGCGGCTGCGCAGAATCTAAATCCCGGCCATAACACCAGATATACAAATAGGGTTTCGACGCGGTACTGTACCACGACACATACGCATCGCGTTGTGCCAAACCATGCTCCTCTTACCACAGGCACCTCTCATGACCACGACACCTGAGACATTGACGTCAAACCATGCCTCTTTTGCCATGACCAGGCTCACGCGCCGCCTTCCTCTGCGAGGATGATAGCCCGGCCTATTACAACCGTGTCTTTGTGCTGCCTCGGGCACTGGTTGAGATCGTCGCTGTGCGACTACACCGACCAGTCCGACCATTCTCCGCATTCGGAGGGCCGAACCGAGACAGGCACAGGACCTTACAGTCGTTTGACTGTACCAGAGGCCGCGAGCATAAGTCACGTTCAAGAGCTGAACGTTGACCAGTTGCCTATCTCAGACTCGGGAATTTTGCCAAATGCAGCAGCACGGCTGCGCTTCGGATGCTCACTGAGGCCCTCCCTCAACATGACGTTTTCATTGCCACCCAGTGGAGATTATCTGTGCGTGCAAGTCCTGACGATGATACTACAGACTACAAGCCGGTGCTACGGTGTTCATGCTTCCCCGCGGGCGTCAGCCGCCGGCCGCCAGCCACAGATAATTCCATGCAACAGTCGTTCCATCAGAATCCTACCACCATCCCTCGGCAGTCGTGAGCTCTTGTCTCAAAGGCAGTAAGGCCAGCAGCACAAGGAGATGTGTGTAGGCAGGCCCCAAGGAGTCGCAGATATATTGCGCTTACCATGGCGGCCATCGCTGGGCGCCGACCCAGGCGCTGCTGCTGCCGTTGCCCGCATGACAGGCGATCGACCTGCTCCCGTCTGTACTACCTTCGGTGCCACTCGGCCCTTCGCGCTGGGTGCTGTCTGTTACTAGATTGTCAGTTTGCCGCCTGACACGCCGAGCTGTCAGTGGCTACCAGGTTGTAGGTAGCCTGACAGGTCACACGAAGGTTGGCAGCCTGTCGACGGAAGTATCCTTCCTCACTTTCCAACTCACGCCCTACGTAGCTGACGTGGAACTCGAGATATATGCGGAGAGACATTTAGTGGCGGAGATGGGAAGCGCCGCAAGCTGCGGCAGATTGAGACATCATGGGCTGAAACTGCTCCTGTGCTGTGTCTCATTTCCTCCGCTCACTTTTCACCGCCTCGTGGCAGACGGTTTACCTCACCTCATCTCACTTGGTTTCTATAAAAGGTCTTCTTCTCAGCCTTCTCTACGTCACTTTGGGCTTGGGGACGCGCAAGGCTGTGCCGTGGCTGACTGTTCCCACCTCAAGAGTTCAGACGAGGGGAAGGGTACAAGGTTTGTGCCACTGTTCGCTTCCATGCATCCGTCCGAGGCATGCGGACGTGGCTGCATGAACTTGCCCTCGGTACATGGCCTGCGGGCATGATATCGGCATGGCAAACAAGACATTGTCACTGCCGCTTCTCTATTCGTCCGCGTACACTATACGTAAGTAAGGTAGGCAGCCTACCAGCCAGCTGGTTCGTGCCTCCTTCTCCTCCTCATCCTCCTCTTTCAGCAACTTGCCTTGCTGTACTGTCCTGCTCGCTTACCCCGCAAAACACAATCTGCACTCCGCCAACTCAACGCAGCCAGCCGTCCGTCCGCCTGTCTTTGTGTTTGGCTCTATGTGTCTGCTCACCGATCTGATCTGTCTGGCTACCCGCAGGACGCATTGTCCCAGGCCAGCAAGCCGGAAGGCAGCTAAAGGCAACTCAATCTGTGTATCTTCCCTTCCTTCTTCGATGTCGGTGCTGTTTGTGCTGCGGAGATCGGTGGTACGCTAGATTGGGTTTGTGGTTGTGATCTGTGGTCTGTGGGGTGGTGGGTAGGTGCGTGGATGAGCTGGCTGGTGTCCGTGTGGTGGTGGTGGTAGTTGTGCTGGCGTGTCGGTACATGTGGGTCAGGTCGGCAGGTTGGTCGGTAGGTCGGTAGAGCGATGGGCTTTGATGATGGTACTTGGGAGGTGGGACTCTGGGGTAGTGAACTGGCGACGAGTTGGGAGTGGGACACCCGTGATGTGAGATTGTTCAAGCGTGATGGCTGACGATTCGGTTCCCAAGCACATTGCTTTCTTTACCTGGGAAGCATGTTTTCACCTTGGGGAGATGTCAGTCAGTCTCGATGAACAAGATCCTCCCTCGCTGTTCCGTGTAAGCGGCGGCAGTGGGGATCCCGCGAAGGCTGGCCCCGGTCGTGCCAGAGCCGCCGTGGACCGGATCGATCCTGGCTCTCGGCGCCGGACGTACCGTGTCATAGAGACACGGCTGTTTGTCCTGGTAGAGGCACTCCTCGGTGTTGCACTGCTTTCCGTAGCCAAAGCTAAGCTGGCTACAACGAACAGGCATATCACGTGTTCTATACTTCAAACACACGAGTGATGGCGCAAACTCGCCCTGGAAGTCACGCACGGCACGGGTGTGGATGTCTCCCAGCCAGGCAACGCTTCGGAGTCCGACGTGTATATATATACCTGGAATACAGCAAACCCACCACATACGACCATAGGATCAGGAGAACTTGGCATCCCGTCCGCTCTGCCTTAAATAAGCCTGATACCGCCGGATTAGTAGTTGGGTCGGTGACGACCAGCGAATCCCCGGTGTTGTATGTTCTATTTTGCTTTTTGCCGCGGCAGCATGTCGAACAGGTGGTCGAGGGTTGCTAATCGCTCAAGGAGACACGCCTTTCGAAAAGAGACACCAAACCACAGATCCGCTCCCTCAAGGTGCCAATATGCCGTCGAAGAACACTTATTATGAGATAGGAAGTTAGGAATTTGGATGGACGGGAAGTTCCAAACTTCGCATTACAACCAAATACCGCTATCATGCTATATTAACACCGCAAGGCAATGAATCAATGCCTCTCTCACATGACCGTGCAGGAAGCCAACGCGCTCGCACAATTCCCGCAGCACAAAAGCTTCTGCGCGGCACTGTTCTGCTTGCCCTTCGGGTCCTCCACCGCTTCCTCCTTCTGCTGCTTGCCGTAGTTCTTGGTTGCCTTCTTCGCCGAGGACTCCTCCCGGCCTTGCTGTTGCTGCTGGTTGTTGGCGTCCATGGGCTCTTGGGACTGGGGCTGTTGGTTTTGTTGTTGCTGTTGAGATGGGGTTAGCTTGGTGGACGGAGTGGTTGATGAGGTGGATGGGGGTTGGTGTTCTGTGCGGCGACACGGGAGACGAGTGAGTGCTTACTTCTGAGGAAGCCATAGAGTCTGTTGTCTTTTCTTTCGTAGACTGTGGTCTAGGTCCTGATAATACCACTGGGGGCTGCTTGAGGTCGGCTGGGCGGGTGTTGGTCACGATGCAATCAGACAGATGGGCAGTTCGTAGATGGGGTTTCAAGAAAACTTGTTTTAGGTGAAAAGGTAAAATCAGATTCAGCTGGGAGTCAATATATGCGAGCACGCAGTAGAAAAACAATCATAACCCCCTGCGGCTCTCTGCGCCATATCACACAGGACGTCGACGCTGAGCCGCAAATGCGGGTAAGCTGGAGACCACTTGCGGATATGGCAGTGCTGCTACAAGGGGATTGGCGGCACGAATACTCGATCTGGAGTGATCGACGGGTGAAAGATTGCATTGATGGAGTGATTAATTTCCCGAGAATCCCAAAATGGGGTTTGAGGGAACGTGATGTGCGAATACGGCCACGACGGTCACGGCTGCAATCCGCAATTGGATGCGGCTCTGGGGAACGACAGGCAACCAATCGTGGTGGTGGGATTCGATCCATTGGATATCTCGCTTAGGACCCTGGCCGGCACTGCGTTGCAGCGGTTGTACGCGGGCCGCGTTGGGATCGTGATCCGACTCGCTGAAGGCTTGGGGTGGCTAGACCATGCTGATGAAAATACCGTCTCTTTGATGGATACGTGGGTGGTATGATTGGTTCCTATTACGACACTGCTTCCAATCGGGGCATTGGGTCAGTGGCCTGAGGATATAATGAGGTTGTCCAGATCGATCGTGAGTCACGATTCGTGATCACGTGCCCTACCTGAACGAAAGGGAACGAACTACATACGGGCTGTTTCGCAGTTTGAGATAGGCACACATGCCTATACTCAATTCGTTGCACCGTCGTGGTTTTGAATTCAACTTATAAATAGCATTTGTCGGAAAGTCAGTTGTCCTACAAGCCTCTGTGGACATCTGCCCGTGGTCGACCATGAGGCTCGGAGGAGACAAGTCGGCAAGCCAATGACACGTCTTGATTGGTTCCGGGTGCTACATCGTGAGTCAAATTGTGAAGATATCATCTGCCTCTTATTTATTAAGTGTTGACGTTGAGTCTGGTCTGTGTCAGAGTTGGATATTCGCTGCGCTATTCACCCCCGGGACCACAAGCATTGGGAAGAGTTGCGGTCCAAATGATAGTGAACCCGGCGGACTCCCTTCGCTTCATTATAATCGGCTGGCTGGCTGCCGGCTTGCGGTGCGGCAAGCACTTGGCGCGTCAGGAATCCTGACACTTCCCTGTTATCAGTCGTCTCGTAAGACATACGATAAGTGTCGATGGGAGGTACGTGGCAGGTCACGCACGCACCATTCATGCCACGCCTGGTACACCCGTCGTCTTGTTGGGATGAATCGACATACTCGCTGACTCAGGCCTACCAGAGGCCGCGAGTTGTGTTTGGCATAGGCGACGTGATGTCTGTCACATTGCCATCCGGGCCGACCCACACGTACGCCGTGTACTGACCGGTAGCGATCGCCGGCTCCGAGTGAGGGTCCTGCGGAATAACCGGCCTCGGCATGACCACGGTGGCCTCCACCAGGTTGAGCCCCGAGGTGCCGTTGAAACTTGGCGGTGGGCTTGTCCCCATTTTTCGGCGAGCCGGGGAGGCCCGGCGCGGCCCATGTGGTATCCCAGAACACAGGCACGACGACGACGTGTCCTGAGCGAAGTAGGTGGTGCCCAGGGGCGGAACGGGTGGTACGATGTTGGCCAGTCTCATTGCGCGGGAACGGCTCCCTGAGCCTTATGATGACGGCGGCGGTGAAATGATAAGTTCAGGATGAACATAAGTTCAGTCAATGGGCTTACTCACCTTCATAAGGACTTGTAAAGGCGTCGAATTACTGTCTGGTTCAACCAACTTCTCATCACGAAAACGAAGTTGAGCCTACATACAGGCAAGTATGGAAGCGTGAACGCTTCGGCGGCGCTCGTCCTCGGGGTTTTCGCTGCCTACAGTATCCATACCTAGCTCCGACTACATCCAAAGGATGGAAGGAATGTGATGAAGATTGGAAAATGAATGGATATTAAGTATGGTACTGGTTGATCAATACCAATCTGTTTTTTTGCCGGCAATGGTTAAGGAAAGCCTTGCCACCTGCTCGTGTAATGTCGAACCCGACGTTTTAGCTAGATGAGAAGCAAAGGTCGGTCTATGTTGAATCAACAACGTCATCCGTAGCAAGCTATGGTGATAACTTGGTGTCTCTTCACGCTTTGGTTTACGGCCTCACATGACACCGTTGACTTGGTATATGAGTTTTCGATTTTGACTACCTAGGTACGATTCTCTACTGGAGAGATACACGTATGATAGAGAAATGCGCGCCATTATGGCCGAGTTCCCGCAGTTGCTTTTAGAAACCAAAAGGGGCAAACGGCGACTCGAATCGAGTCTCTGGCGGGCGTCCGGAATAAATTCTGATAATCTCTGATTGATTTTACATACACTGATGTCGCCGATTCTTGCTCGTCGACTTCTGAACATCTGAGAACACTATCGTCTACATCGTAGTGCTTCACGAGGGTGGCGCGCTGGCTTGGGCCTGTGTTGAAGGTGGGTCGATAGACTTTCCGAAGGGCGGTTGGCCGCGATCTCTCAGGATAGGGTAGTGTGCATAGATTTGCTTTGTTCGGAGATGGACGGGTATCTGGTCCTTTGCAACGTCGGGGATTGACTTCTCAAGTTTCTGTAATCTGCGTCAGCCAAAAGCGCCACAGTGATGCGTACCTAGAATGTAGAAGCATACCAGGTTGTCGAAGACGCATTTGTTCAGCTTCCACTCGTCCTTTCGGCACTGCCAGAGTTGGTGGTTGTTGTTGTCCAGACATTGCCAGTGCTTGCGGAATTCTTCTAAGCAGTGCTTGTTGATATCGTCAACCCTGCGATATTTCAAGACCATTAGCTATCGCGATACTTCCGTTACGGCGCTTCTGGGCGACCTGATGACTGTGGTACAGAGCGGCAGATGGGTTGTCCTGACACGTTGAGATACTATTGGGGGTCGACATACACGCTGGCGGCGCATCTAGTTACTCTGCGGCCCTCCTTGAGACACTCTGCCTCGCCCTTTCCGGGGTTCTCGGTCTTGCATTGCATGTAATCATCGTTGTACGGTCGGCATCGGGCGCCGATAAAGAATGAAGCCGAAAGAAGAGGCGCGGAGGTCGCACCGACCTCCTTGACCGAGGGGATCGAGTCCGGAAGGGGGGTGGTGTCGTAGAGAACCTGCTGGTTGAAGCTACGGACAAGTCAGCAACAGAGCGTGATTCACAAGGACAGGGCCGATCAGAGGGCAATGGACAATGCAATTGGCAGTATACTGAGTTGTAGAACTAGGCCACGGGCACTTACATGGGCTTCCGGGCCGCCATGACTGCGATGTCGTCGAGGTTGTGGGTTTTGATGTCGTTATTTGGGGAGCTTGGAAATGGAGCAATTCACGAGGTGAGGTTAACAGATTGGGTGTGCTGATTGGCTTCAGCCACAAATTGCTCTGAATGAACTTATGAAGGCTGAAGCTCCAAAATTGTGGCAGGGCACAGCCACAGCTGAAGAGGGTCCAAGCTCCCGGTAATCTGAGGCTGCACTGCGGGACACGGCTGGAGCTAAGAGCTGGTGCAGAAGCTCGGCAGCAACTTTTGTTTTCATGAGAGCAGACTGGCCGACGAACGACGGACGACTAACGAGAATTTGACCACGGCGACGATACCACCACCTACAGCGCATCATCCAGTCAGGAGACTTGTATGCCTGAGATTCAGCTTGGTTATATCGACGGATTGATGTTGGTGCTTCTATCGACGCGCCCTGCCGGAGTAATAGTATTTTGCAAGGACTTACTATGAGCTGAGACCATCCCATTCTTTGTTGCTACGCCATTTCGAGCGCGACCGTTCCACCTCAGCTCAGCTCATGAGCTTTGGTCGCAAGCGAGTTTGATTTCTTCCCACCGACACTTACGCCGTCGCGCTTTCTGTCTGAAGTCCACCATCCTTTCCACGCCTTCACGCCTCACACGATGTCTCTGTTCGGCAAGCCAGCATCGACCTTCGGGACAAGTACAAGCGGCAGCTTCGGCGCAGCCAACAACTCCAGCCTCTTCGCGCAGTCTGCGAACCAGGCCCAAAATCAGAATCAGAACCAGAACCAGCCGCAGACCAGTGCGTTTGGGGGTAGCTTACTGGGCCAGTCGACACAGCAGCAACAACAGCAGCAACAACAGCAGCAACAACAGCAGCCACAACAGCAGCAACAACAACAGGCCCCTGCTGCATCGTTCATGAATGCGAGCCAAGCACCTGTTCAGTTCAAGAGCTCGATATGGGAACCGGGTCGCGACTCACTAGGTATGCTCCTTGCGCTCCCAATGTCTGTGGTACGTCTACTGACTGGTTCTCTCTATCGCAGGTCACAAGCCCGTCACCGAGCAGATGGAGACAATGCTCGAGAAGTGGCACCCCAACAGCAACAGCACCGTGTTCAAGCATTACTTCTACAACAAGGTCGACCAAACGCGTATCCCCTTCTACCAGCCATCTGCCGCCGAAGATCCTCGGGAATGGGAGCAAGCTGTGCATGACAGGCCAGCTCCTGGCTACGTACCGGTTCTTGCGACTGGTTTCGCCGCGCTTGCAGACCGACTTCAAATGCAGAGGGCCGTTCTCGCAAACTATAACAAAGCACTACATGCGATCAATTCGTCTCTCGACGCCATATTGTCACAGCAAGACCTGCAGACGAGCGTGCGAGCGCTGAATGCCCGGCGGAAACACGCAATACTACGGCAGCGATGCCTGGCTCTGGCGAGCAAGGTGCAGGTCCTGCGCAATCGGGGTTATTCGTTGGACAAGGAGGAGGACGACCTCAAGGCGAAATTGGAAGCGTTAGACCAAGGCCTACAAGACCCAGCCCTTAGCGCAAGAACCGAGGAGCTATGGAGTCGCCTGCTGTCGCTAAGAGGATACGCGGATACTCTGCGCAACGAGATGGACAGACGAGGCGCCGAGGCTCAGGAAGGGTTAGGCGAGGAAGCTGAGGCCAAAGCCAAGAAGGTATGATCACCTTCGCCACGCCGCTTTGCTCTTTACTCTATTTCTCTATGCTGACCGTATGATACAGATCCTGGAAGACTATGACAAGCAACTACAGACTCTCAAGAGCCAGTTAGAGTCGATCAAGAAGGATTATGACGAGTGGCAAGCCGACACGAATCCGCCTTCCAAATAGCCAGGAGTGGCATGGAGTGGCACGGCGACAAAGGATAGCATGATACCATATAGACACAGTATGAAGTCCGGAATAAGGTCTCTGTGCTGGTGGGTTGCACAGATCATGTGCCTGTAGGAAACGGCACGAGCCTGGCGTTCGGGAGGACATGTGCGTCTGATACTTGAGATATACTACCGGTACAGCTTTTTGTATTTGCTCCTGTGTTGCTCACTCTGGTGATGACGGTGATTCTCTCTTTACAGTCGTATAGGGTAGTCAGGAGAAGGAACCTCACGACTCATGACGATGCTGTGGCGATGCTGCGGCATTGATAGGCGCGCAAGCAAGGGTGTGGAATGATACCCGGCTACTATGTGCACCGTCCACTTGGGAAGAGCTGTCTGGAGCGCAACATGTCCGCAAGCTTACGGAGATTTCGCTTCCAAGGAATAGCTAATACTCAACAGTACTCGCAGGGCACTGCAAGAAATGCATGTCTGTAATCTCTGGACGACTGGCAACCGCGGGACAGAACCCTTGTTTGTTGCTATCTCAAAGTATCATACACGTACCTTAGTACTAGGTGGCATGTTGTACAAGTATCGAGATCTGTACAGGAGAGGAGGGAGATCTTCCCATAGGCTAGGCTCCTCTGACCATCTTCCTCTCTCATTGTTTATGTACGCCTCGCGAGCATGGCTTTTGCCCTCGCCTTTTTATACAGAATGCGTTCCTTCTCCGGATGGTCTATTGACCTGAATAGGTGCGCAGTTTTGGAAGCAGGTCGCTTGCTTAGAAGACGCTCGAGACGGCATCGATAACGAATGGAGCTATGCATGGGAAGATGTTGTCAGCCAGGGCTCATTGTTCGAACTTTTGCGCATCGCATTGCGAGCGCATAGATAGAGGCTATTCGTACAGATGTAGAGAACAACTGCAGCCGTCAGGAAACGGTGGACTGTCGAGTTGGCTTCGGCCTCGAGCTGCTCAACCTCCTCGAGGGAGAGCTGGGGTTGTTGGACTGCGTTGACCTGAGTTAGCATAGTTGGATTCTATGTACCGTCGTTGCATGCTGACAATGCAATCTTGCAATGAAGGATTGGGAGGATTAATAAAAGCACTTACATCCGCCGAACATGGTGGGTTGTTGTGATGTGTTGTTGGGGGTGGTTTGTTGGAGTTATTCTTTTGTCTTGGGTTGCGCCAGAGAAAGGCTGTGATGGCAATGTGCTGGTACAGAGATGACGATACCTTATCCTCAGAACATTGAAATTTTGCTGGCCGACTGCATGCGCTCCAGCTTGCACGGCCGATGAAGCTCGGCCCAGTCTGGGCCTTCAGGTCCCCTGTGGCCGTGTGGCGTCTCCTTAGCCGCTGATAATGGACTCACGCTACTTATCTTAGCGCCTAAGCCCATGAGTTCGCGGTAACAGATGCCTAGCGCGGAGCCCTATCGGCCCCGAAATGACCCACTCCGCCATCTTATCTACTCGGTCCCAAGGGTCTCTGGCCGATGGCGGCCGTTGAGCATCGAATCATCACAGACCGCGAATCCTTCACGCAACTTTTCTCGTAACAGCGTTCGGTTCAAGATACTGCTCGTACATGAGCGATTCTTCTTACAGTATTACCCAAGAGTGCTTTGCTGCTTGATTTCTGCATCCTCCTTGCCCTCTATCCAACTCGATATATCTTCCACCGAGGGCCTACAACCCGAGCATGACCGCATGAGTGCTTGAAGCTGTGTCCAATAGGAGCTGGCCCATCTCGCCATCTGTTTCCCCTGACCTACCTCAACTCACACTCATATCAGACTTTCGGCTGCCCTTATATCCCCTCACTGTCAGCTACCAAACGGTAGACCGAGGGAGGAGGTCTGCACCACCACAATGGCCTCCGTTGCGCGGGCTTTCCCACGTCGACTGGGTCAGTTGTCGGCCCAGTCACGAGTTTCCTCGTCACTGAATTCGCGACTACAGCGGTCAAGCTCGTGGGTATGCCACCGGTGCGCGTACAAGGCCGTCACCACCCTTACGGGAAGGAGGGCCTTCTCGAATACGTCCATGCTTTCAAACAGCGAGGATGTCAATGCTGTGCCGCACTCAACCGACGCGGCGGCATCTTACGCGGAGCTCGACACCTTTGCCCGTCGTCACATTGGTCCAGATGACGTTGACACGGCGCAGATGCTGAAGGCTCTGTTACCGCCTGTCGACGATTTGGACGCTTTCGTTGGCCAGGTCATACCGCCTGACATCTTCTCGACGCGGCAGATGAAGATCAACAATAAAGACGAGACTTACACCGAGTCAAGTCTGATACCCAGGATGGAGCAGTTCCACAACAACAATAAGCTTATGAAGAGCTTCATCGGCCAAGGTTACTATGGAACCCACACTCCGCCCGTCATCCAGCGAAACGTCCTGGAGAACCCGGCCTGGTACACGAGCTACACCCCCTATCAGCCTGAAATCAGCCAAGGTCGGCTGGAGTCCTTGGTCAACTTTCAGACCATGGTCACGGATCTTACCGCTCTTTCCATTGCAAACGCCAGTCTTCTCGATGAAGGCACTGCAGCCGCCGAGGCCATGACGCTTTCTATGAATGCTCTGTCGACCTCGAGGGCGAAGAGGGAGGGCAAGACCTTTGTTGTCTCTACATCTCTCCACCCGCAAACGGTCGCTGTTATGCGAGGACGTGCTGAGGGGTTTGGGATTAAGATTCTCGAGTTGGACCTCGCTAAGGAGGAGACTACTGCCGAAATTGAGGCACTTGGCGATGACCTCGTTGGCGTTATGGCCCAGTACCCCGACACCTACGGCCAGGTAGGGAACCATGAAGCACTGGCTGATTTGGTCCACAAACAAGGCGCCCTGCTAAGTGTCGCAACGGATTTGCTGGCCTTGACGGTGCTGAAACCGCCCGGAGAATGGGGAGCGGACATTGCATTCGGGAGCGCTCAGCGATTTGGCGTGCCTATGGGGTTTGGTGGTCCTCATGCAGCCTTCTTTGCTGTCAAGGACAAGCACAAGCGGAAGATACCCGGAAGGCTGGTCGGGTTGTCCAAAGATCGACTAGGCCATAAGGCGTATCGATTGGCTTTGCAGACGAGAGAGCAGCACATCCGGAGAGAAAAGGCAACCAGCAATGTCTGCACCTCGCAGGCCTTGCTGGCCAACATGAGCGCTTTTTACGGTGTTTATCACGGTCCAGAAGGTCTCAAGGCCATCGCAGAACGAGTCATTCGTGGAGCGAGGGCTGTCCAGTCAGCCGCCGAAGCACTAGGATTATCCACGTCGAAAAGCAAATGGGACGAGAACGGAAGCGTCTTGTTTGATACCGTCATCATCGACACAGGGTCCCCGGGGAAGAGGGCGAGTCTGCTCCAGCTAGCATACAGCCGTGACGTACAGTTTCGGGTGCTCGATGAACAGCGCGTTGGAGTTTCGATTGACGAAACAACAACCTTGGATGATCTTGTACGGATCACAGGGTTGCTCATGAATGCCAGCAATGGTTCCCATGTATTCGACAAAGAGGAGGCCTCGAAGATGACCCATCAGTACCTATCTGAACACAGCGGTTCATTGGACATTCCAGATGCGTTTCGACGGACGACCGACTTCATGACACATCCTGTCTTCAACACCCACCATTCCGAGACCGAAATGCTGCGGTATATCTACCACCTGCAGTCGAAAGACCTATCACTGGTTCACTCCATGATTCCTCTTGGCTCCTGCACGATGAAGCTTAACGCCACAACCGAGATGTCGCTTATCACTCAGCCGAGATTCTCGCAAATGCACCCTTTTGTTCCATCCAAATTCGCCCAAGGCTACAATGGTTTACTCAGATGGTTCAAGGGCCAGCTGGCTAGTATTACTGGCATGGACAGCGTCTCTATCCAACCAAACTCGGGAGCCCAAGGCGAGTTTGCTGGGTTGCGCGCGATCAGGGACTACCAGAAGAAGCACAGCGAACCTGGTAAGGATCGTGACATCTGTCTCATCCCCGTTTCTGCGCATGGCACAAACCCTGCCTCTGCTGCCATGGCCGGCATGCGTGTCGTGCCCATCAAATGCGACACGGCCACTGGTAACCTCGATGTTGCGGACCTGGAGGCAAAATGTAAGCAGTACGAGGATCAGCTTGGCGCCATCATGGTCACTTATCCAAGCACCTTTGGCGTCTTCGAGCCCGAGATCAAGAAGGTGTGCCAGATTGTTCATGACCACGGCGGACAAGTCTACATGGACGGTGCAAACATGAACGCACAGATCGGGTTGTGTTCCCCTGGAGAGATCGGCGCAGATGTGTGCCATTTGAATCTTCACAAGACCTTTTGTATCCCTCATGGCGGAGGTGGCCCGGGGGTGGGTCCTATCTGCGTCAAGAAGCACTTGCAACCGCACCTGCCCGGTCATCCAATCAGCAGCGTGGGGAGGATGGAAACCTCCAACGGCCATTCAGTCAGTAGCGCCAGATACGGAAGTGCAAGCATCAACCTAATCAGTTGGGCGTATAACACAATGATGGGTAAGCCAGTTCCCAGCTTTGTTTTGTCAAGCTTTGCGCGATCCTGGCCTTCAGTTGACTGACTATTTTCACAGGTGCGGAAGGGTTGAGGCACGCAACCAAGATCACCCTCCTCAATGCAAACTACATTCTCTCGCGGCTTAAGCCTCATTACTCTATTCTCTATATGAACGAGCACGGGAGATGTGCTCATGAGTTCATACTCGATGTTCGCCCCTTCAGCAAATCTGCAGGTGTCGAGGCTATCGACATCGCCAAGCGTCTTCAGGACTACGGTTTCCATGCACCCACCATGAGCTGGCCGGTCCCCAACACGCTGATGATCGAACCAACCGAGAGCGAGAGCAAGGAAGAGTTGGACCGCTTCGTCAATGCCCTGATCAGTATTCGCGAGGAGATCCGTGAGGTTGAAGAGGGCAAGGTACCACGAGAGCGCAATGTCCTGAAGATGGCGCCTCATACCATGCAGGATCTGATCATGGGTGATGGTGAAGGCAAGTGGGAACGGAGCTACTCTAGAGAGAAGGCTGCGTACCCTCTGGCGTGGCTGAAGGAGAAGAAGTTCTGGCCTAGTGTTGGCAGAATCGACGACAGTAAGTCTTCCGAAACGGCCATGAATCCATGTAGCGAGCTGTCAAAGCTAATATTGTTGCAGCTTATGGTGATCTCAACCTCTTCTGTACATGCCCGCCGGTAGAGGATACCACCGGAGACACCGTAGAGACCGGAAAGAGCTGGGGCGTAGCTTCGTGAGCTGGGAACTCTACACCTCTGGCATTGCCCCGACTTTGCAAGGAGCAGGCGGCAAAAATAGATCGGCGATGTCAAACTTCAACACCATGGAAAAGAGGCGTACGGAATACCAACCAGCGCACATCGTGTAGCTTGGGGCTCATCATTCAACACCACACAAATAGGCGTCGGACTTTGATGATCCTCTTCCTCTTTCTCTTCTGCATTGCGTCGCTGCATTTCTCTTGCCATGTATCTATCGTTTTTGCCAGCGTTCAACTCAACTGCATCGTGGCACCAACTCATTTAACTGGGTTGGCTAGGTAGAAAGGAATGGAGTTTAGACGGTGGAGAGTCTGGTACCTTACACCGAGGCACGAATTTGATTCTTTACATGTCGCGAAATAGTTTAGATATTTGTGGATGGTTCTAGATGAATACAATGTACTGGATCTTCTCCCACTTCGATGATGGGCTTGTTGTGATGATGTCTGTGTCTACGGAGGTTTATATGAGACCGGGTGTATTCCCCTTTGCGGATCCTGGTTACTTGCCCCCTATCTGGGCGATACGAAGGCTAGTTGGCCCTATTCCATATTCACTTAGTTGTGTAAGCCTGAACATGCCATCGCTTCCCCCATACCCCATTTCGACAGATCTGGTGGTCCTGCCATTTAGGGGTTCTCCCAGTGCCCAGATATGTACAGCAAGCTCATCACGACCCTTGAGGCACAAGGCTACCCCGTCCTGTACGTCTATCTAGGTCTGACAGACCGTGATTATTTGCACTTCGGCCTGAAAGCCGAGTTTGAGATAGACGCCGTTCGAGTCCATGTTCCGTTGGGTAGCCACAGTCGTCGGTATAATGCTAATGCGGATCTGGAGGTCTGGCCGGTCGTTCGCCACTGGTCAATTCTAAGCCCCTACCTACTTAAGTATGGTAGAAATACATTCACCAGCACAGGGATCTCATCTAGATCGCCGACCTTGATGGCCTCCCGGTAACATATAAGGTATGTTTGCGGGGCATCCTGACCTCCTCTGACGTATCAGTTGCCCGCGGCTCTTGCTCCCGACGCTCTGGTTGCCGCGTTTTGGGTTGGGCTAGAACTCCAATCTGGAGAATGCCATATTGTGGTCGCACAAGCACGTCATCCCAGGATTGAGGTAGGCTTGCCCTTGCATTGCCCGCCCTCCACAGCTACGTCTATGTGCAACTGTTACGAGGCCGGAGCCTTGTAGCAGTACTCCTTTGTAGTCCGTTATCACAGGGGTATGATAGTCGGTATGGTGAAGCACACATCCGAACAGCCGCCCCTGACCTCAAGGGTGAGGTGTGTTGGCGATCTGCAGTTGGTGCAAGGGGGGTCAATCACCAACCGATCACCCCCGCTGGCTCACCTTTTCCCGCGAGCCCCGGAGACACCATTGTACGTGTTATCCCGTGGACACACTTGACGCTCTCTCTCTACCTTCGTCCTGACTGTCGAGCGCAGTGTTTAGACAAGACTTGTCAACCTAGTTGCCACAATCTACTAGCAGGCTTCTTCCAAGGCACATATTGAGCTCCAAAGCAATTGCCCGAGATGTTGGCTTCAGACGTTCTTCACCCCGCATTGGGATATGCCGGCTACCTCTTCCTGACTTATGTACGGTACTCCTCGCGCGCAAGGGCCTGTCTTGACTGACGCGGCTCCTAGATACTGCGTCTCCTTGGCTATCGCCTCCTGTTGCATCCCCTGCGCGACTATCCGGGTCCGTTCTTGGCCAAGTTGACCGGACTCCATGCGGGCTTCTACGCTGTGCGCAGGCGACTCCATCTAGAGATCTATCGGAACCATGTGCAATACGGTCAGTCCGGGATCTTAGACTACTTCACTCATGCTCCAACAATCTGACTTATCGTGGGAAATAGGCCCTGTAGTCCGCGTCGGGCCGGACCGACTGGTGTTCAACAGCGTCACCGCTCTACACGGTATGTTCACTTCCTGTATGGCTCGTACATGCGGCTAAATGTCAAAGACATCTACCAAAGCGAGCGCATCACCGAGTCCCGCGGGTACGTGACCACAGCGCGAAATAATGTCTTCAATGTCTTCAATGCACTGGACAGGGACCTGCATCGCCAGAAGCGACGACTCGTTGGCCTGGCCGTCTCGGAGCGCTCAATGCGTGCTTTCGAACCGACGCTGATGAGCCACGTTGACATATGTCTGAGTCAGATGCTCGAGTCGAGCCGGAACTCTAGCTCAGTCGACATGACCGCGAAAGCTAGACATCCAGGGCTGGATATCGTCGGGCAGCTTGCGTTTGGCTATGACCTTCGCATCCAGACTTCTGAGGAAAATCGATTCATGATGAAGGCGATGACGTTCGGCAACTATCGCGGCAATGTGTACCAACACCTTCACTGGCGTTCCAAGCTCTACCCCACCCCGATTCTTGACAAGGTCTTCTACGAGGCGAGGGAGAAGTATTATCCCCTGCTGGAAACAATGATATCTACTCGCGTCGCCCAGGACAAGCATGCTAAGCATGACTTGTTCTCCTTCGTCGCTGAATCAGTCAAGAGCACTGATCGGGGTGGCGATCTGTGGCAAGAGGCCCTGTTCTTTATACTAGCAGGTAACTTATGCCGTAACCTTTGCACACACAGAATGCCTGTGCTCTAACCCATTACCCTTATAGCAGGAGACACGACGGCCACCGCAATCTGCGCCGCGTTTTTCTATATGTCCCGCAACCCGGAGTGTTACAAGAAGCTTGCCTCTGAGATCCGCTCTGCCTTTGAGACCGGTCTCGATATCAAGAGCGGTCCTCAACTTGCGGGCTGTCGCTATCTGCGCGCCTGTATCGACGAGTCCATGCGAATGTCACCGCCCGTGGGGACTACGCTCCGAGAACAAGACAGTCGAGATGGCGAGACCCAGCCTCTGATCGTCGACGGACATGTCATCCCGCGAGGCACGCTGGTTGGCGTGAACATCTATGCTCTACACCACAATCCGGAGTACTTTCCAGACCCGTTCACCTTCAGCCCGGAGCCTTGGATCATCCCGTGGTCGGAGGGCGCTGCAGGCGAGAAAGCTCGCAAGCTTATGCACGACGCGTTTGCCGCTTTTTCTGTCGGAACACGGGGGTGCGCGGGCAAAGCCATGGCTTACCTCGGGGGGCTCTCAGGGGGATGGGTATTGGAAGCATGGCTTGCTCCGTTTCAGGAACAGACGCGGAGGCTGATTTGCATACTTGACTACTGCTCATCTCAGACGTGCGGCGCAACAATCTAGATGATGCTCCAGATAGATCGAAGGGCCGTAGCATCGAACGAGGCGCACGTTGAACATATGTTGAGCTTTGGATTAGCCGATGACGTGATTCGGAATCCATATGTCTGGTCCCTTGGAGAATGCGCATGGACCAGCGGGTAATGCCGGGCCGTCTGGGGTATCTGAGGAGCACTCCGGCTCCACCCGGCCCGAGAGCCTATTACACCCATTGCCCGGCCGTTTTCCTTGATTCGTTTCCTCCTCCAATCCCCAATCAACCTTTCATGTTCATGTTACACTGGCTCGTAATGGCGACACAAACTCAGACAATCTCGCTCACAGCCCGGCACGTCGGATCCGAGTCCGGCACTCCTCCGGCACCGGCGCTCCCGCCCATTCCCCGCAAGAAGCAAGTCGTGGTGCTCCTCTCCGCCTTCACCACCATCGCTCTCACAATAGGCTACAACCAATGCTTCGGCGTATTCCAAGAGTACTACCTCTCGCCCAGCCAAAACATACTGGTTCCATCTCCAGCCTCACAGGCCTCACCGCGAACAGCGCTGCTCAGTTTCGTAGGCACGCTATGCTACGGCCTGACCTGGGCCGGCGGCATTCTCGTCAACCCGGTCATATCGCGCATCGAAGACGGAACATGGGGTCCGACCGCCACGCCCTCGACTCGCCTGTGGCGCCGTAGGGCCCTGCGGCTGCTGACGCCGAGGACCATCACCATGCTGGGCGTGGTCATGATGGTGCTCGGATTCGCGCTGGCCTCCATGTGCACCTCTATATGGCAGCTCCTGCTCACCCAGGGCTTGCTGGTTGGGTTTGGGATGTCGCTTCTTTACTTCCCGCTGCTGGCACCTGCGCCTGAGTATTTCACTACTCACCGGGCTACTGCTATGGGATTTGTAAGTATCCCCTTGGCGATCCCGACCGTTATGCCGGTGAGCCCAGGTACCACGTCACACACTTTATCAGTGGATGAGAGCTATAGCTGGGCTGTTCGATAGTGCACTTTGTCCCTTGAAAATCTCCAGAGCCATCGACACTGATTACCTTGTGTCCCTCCTAGATGCTAGCTGGCGGCGGTGCCGGCGGCCTTATATTCTCACCAGTCATCCGAGCTTCTCAGCTCTCTGGGCGGTCGTTGGACACTAAGGATATTTGCTGGATTTTACGTGGTCGCTGGGTTGCCAATCGCCTGGACGGTGCCACGCAGCCGATTTGCAGGTGTTTCGACTGCAGAAGGACCTGAGAGGCGTAAAATCCACGTCTCACGGGATTTGGCCTCAAAACCGACCTTCATCTTCTCTGCTGTAGCCGCTTTCCTCCAGGTGAGTACCCAACCACCCTCCATCTCGCTCCCCTATCAGAACAGTACCCGCGGGTGTTTTGCAGACCTTGTTTCTCGTGCTTACATCATGGATTCATTTCGTCGCACCCACCTCGAATCTCCGTGACTGACCCGCTTCAGGCCGCCGGCGCTCAACTTCCACTCGCCTTCATCCCCTCCTACACCGTAAACCTGGGCCAAACCGCCTTCCAAGGCGCCACCCTCCTCGCCATCAGCAACGCCATCAACGCCGTCTCGCGCGTCCTAACCGGCTACGCCGGCGACCGCCTCGGCCGGCAGAACCTAGTCGTCGTGACGCTCTGCCTCTCGGCAGCCAGCGTCTTCGCCTTCTGGCTGACCAGCGTCCTGGCGACCACCACATCCTCCCTGTCGCTCTGGCTGGCCTTTATCGTGCTCTACAGCATCGCCGCCGGCGGGTACTACGCCCTCTTTCCAGCGCTCATCGCCGAGGTCTTCGGCATCCGGCAGTATGCGGCGGTCAATGCGTCTATCTTGGTCATCAGGGGTCTGGGGACTATGTTTGGGACGCCGGTTGGGGGACAGCTGCTCGGGAGGGGAGATGGCACGAGGGCGTATGCTAGTATTGCGTACTGGGATGGCGCGCTCTTGATGGGCGCTATGGCTTGTTGTGTTGGGGTGCGGTGGGCTGATGGGAAGGGGAAGGGGTGGAGGTGGGTTGCTTGATTGTGATGGGGCTTGGAGGCTGGCAAGCCGTGAACTTCCTGTCTCTGAGCATTGCAGGTATTGTTCCATATCATGGTGAAAGGCTTGGACTACAATTCACTGGGTCTTTCCCAGTCTACTCCACTTGAACCAGGACGAACCAAACAACGCCGTTATAGACCGTCCAAAAATCGTCACCTCCATCCAATTATGGATACACAACACATCCGAATTGGTGTAGGGGTTAACATTTCACGCTCTCATTATCAAATGATTGTTCCGTGGAGCCCGGGGTTCGATTCCCCGATTCGGAGAATTGTATTGTTTTTGTCTTTCATGGTTAGATCCATGACTGGCTGTCTCCCTTTTTGTCGCATTCTGTGCGCAATCAGTCTCTGTCTGCTCTGCCCTACGAAAGTGGGTCTACGGCTCAAATTTTAGACTGGCGCCCACCCACCCATCAACATCAACCCACCCGCCTACCAAAAGGATGGCGACCTTTACCGAGCGGAAGTTCCAATCACTCCTCGTTTATTAGCCACCACGTCTTGGCTCGGATCATCAGGCTACATTGACGAAGCCTTTTGTCACAAAGGGGGCCGAGTGTGGCAAGTTTACTTGACTACTGTCGGGTCTGGCCTGCCGTCCCTGGCCGCGTCGGCATTCGGCGTGGACAATATGCTACCACGCAAAGACATCTATCGATTCTAGTAGATGATCATAAGCCTGGCTCACTGGCAAACAAGTATCCGTTGCCATAGCTCATCGAGTATTGAGCACATGCTTCGACAGCACCTTATTGAGGTCGAAATATTGCATCTACATGCCCTAGCTGGAGGGAGAAACACGCACATACGTCGAGACGCTTCATGTATGGGAACAGGTCCAAGATCTGTCAGCGCTTGCTTTTGCTAGAGCTCCCAAGTCGTTTGCTGTCTCCGTTTGCTCCTTCTTCTGCCATATGTTGGGCTGCTGCGGGCTCCTATCGGTCATTATCTCGGTTCCCCTTGCCCGTTTCCATCCAAGTCTTACACGTTCTCCAACAACGCCCGAACAGCGGGCTTACTGATCGCGCAGAATACTTCCGCACGGCGTATCACCGATGCGATAGAGACGGGGAGCGAACGGCAGGCGGATCCTAACTGGCTGGATCAAGGAGGCTTTTCAGCTGGTCGCGAACCAGCACGTTTTCCGTCAAAATGTAGCCAAAGCACTCCGCGGTGGCTGGGATCATGCTTGCTGGAGTATTTGGAAGTCTGCTGCGAAAGGGTGGGAGGCTGACTGGCTGAGCCAGAGTGCATATGCGAATCCAATCCGCCATATCAGAGGAAGCCCCTATGTCACTGGTCAGCGTGACACGACAGAGATGCGTGAGGCAGGTGAGTCGGCGCTTAGGACGCTGACGGCCCAGCGTCAACGCGTATGGACGGCGGCAGCCTTCATATAAGATCCGTGGCTACTATCTTCTTCTTTTGAGACGAATCAGCAAGTCAAGCTAGCTGATCCTCAAGTCATCGATCAGCACAACTTCCGACACTCCAGCATGCTGCCAGAAACACCTCTCGCCGACCAGGAGGGGTTGTGTGCCACGGTACCACACGGCAATGATGAAGAAAGAGAAAGACTGTTGAATATGATGCGAGGCTCAACAATTCACTTCCATGGCCTGCAAGAAATGTTCGAGCACTGGCCTCGTGCCGTTCATCCAGACCTCCAAAAACTGGACGACGATGCCCAGAAGATTCTCGAAGGGTACATACTCCCAAGTGCCTGCGTGAAGATCCATGCTGAGCTCTGTTCTGATAGGGTTCTTTCATCCGCTGGAGATGCGAGTCGCCTGAAGAAGCTGAAGAGCTCTGTCATTGCGCTGCTTACAGCCTCGTGGTGGCCCTACACGTCTTTCGATGCTCTGCGCGTGGCCACCATCATGTCGATCTGGGTATGAGAAGCTCTGATCAGTACCTGCCTTCATCACTCATATTCGCTGACCGGAAATTAGCTGTTCATATGGGACGACGGTGCATTTTCAGCAACATAATCCTCGTAGTGGTAACTTACTGACTAGTTCTAGAAACGGACTCATACGAATACTCCCAATTGATCAACGACTACGACCGCTCGTGTGTCTACCGGGACGAGACCATCCGGTATATCCGAGGCGGCCTATCATTAGACAGCCCGAAGATAGATCTTGGCTCAATTTCGAATGATCGAACCATTACCATGTTCAAGCCGGTTGGGGAAGCGATTGCGAAGTCGTGCACTCAACGTCGGTCGCTCAACCTCCTGCATCAGCATGACTCATAACACTACGCTTACACTCCCTTGATGTAGGCCAGATACAGCGTTTCTTCGACGAACTGTTGCTCTTCGTCCAGATGACCGAAGAAGAGCATCTGTCGCAAACGAAGCACATAATCCCAACTGTCGAAGAGTACTTGGAGCGTCGCATGGGATCGAGCGCCGTTGGGGTATGTCTGGCGATTCATGAGTATGTTACGCAGTCGTATTGGTGCGGGATGACAGTCCGCTTATATGCTGCAGGTATGCCTTGGGGATCGAACTACCGAAGGAAGTGATGGATGATCGCGCAATGAAGGCATTGTGGCACGAGACAAATATCATCATCTCAACGTACGTCGACATTGTCCATGGCAACGGAAGCAGACTGACATATACCTTTCCAGAGTCAACGATTGCCTCTCAATTAAGAAAGAAGTGGTACGTACTACTTATCCCGCCTCCCAGACTTGCCCGACCGCACTGATCACTCATGAGATCCTGCAGGCTCAATCACAGGTTGACACACTGATTCCGTTACTCTGTCCGAAGCTCGGTTCGGCGCAAGCAGCGGCAGACGTTGCTTTAGAGATGATACGCTCAGCGACATCGCAGTTCCAGGCTGCCGAAGCCGAGATCCTACAAAGATACTCGCATATTCCACATATCCACGACGACCTTCAGAGATTTGTCGATAGTTGCAAGTACGCCTGTACTGCCAACCTGGATTGGAGGTAAGATGTTTAGTTTTGATCGCCGGAGCTGTCCACCGAATCCGGCTATTCTGACTTATCTGTGCAACAGCTTGGTGTCGGGACGGTATGGGCTTGATCAGGCATCCAGCGGAGGCGTGATATCAATCGCTCTATGATGGGCCATGGCGACGAATACTTGTTTGCCAATGAGTTAGTCCACTTTCGGGGACGCAAGGGGAATCCGGACAATGACTGATAGGCGCACGCGGCAGCCCGAAACCGATAAGGTGGTGAACCGAGCATGAAGCCACCCTATAGGGCATGTAGATTCCTAATGGCCTTTCCGTAGATGTAGAACATCAAGAAGAACGAAGAAAAGGGCAAAGCTAATCGCGGCCATCTCCCCGAAGACTGCCAGACACACCGCTTTCAATCAAGCACTAGCCTTGCCATGCAAATGGCTCTTCATCCACTGAACAGCCTTATCCTTCCCCTTTTCCATCGCCTCCCTCTCCCCCACACTCTTCTCGTCCCCCCTCGTAAAACAAGCATGCGCCACCCCGGGAAAATGCACATACTCCACCTCCCTCCCCGCCACGCCCCCCAACACCAGCTTCTCAAACGCATACCGCTTCAGCTCCGGCGTGAAAGCATGGTCCTCCTCCGGCGCCAGGATCTGCGTCGGCACATCGACCCCATCGACGTCCTCCTCCGTCAACCAGCTCGGGTGGCCGGCCGTGATGCAGTCCACAAGCGGCTCGGGCTCGTGTTCTTTCGCGCCGAGACGGAACACGGCCCACCCGCCGAAACAGAAGCCCACAGCCGCGACTCTCTCGTACCCCTTCTCCCTCAGGGCCCGCGCGGCGGCAAAGACCTCCGGCTCCCGGATCGCGCGCGAGTTGCGCGAGACGAAGCCAGGGATGTCGAGGCCGCCCCAGGTCGCGGGCCCGCCTGCGACCGCGGCCGCGGGCAGGACTTCCCCGCCGAAGAAGTCGGGCACGTAGACCGTAGCGTCGGCCTCGGCGGCGTAGTGGTCGGCCAGCAGGCGGATGTTGGGGAACGTCCAGCCGAAGAGGTCGTGCACGAGGAGGATGGCGGCGCGCGGGTTGGTGCCGGTGGTGTAGGTGTCGAGGTCTGCTAGCTTGGTGGTGCGGCCGCTGGGCGTGCCGTTCCACTGGAAGCCTTTGAGGCAGCAGTCCGATACAGAGGTTGCCATTGTGGTTGGGGAGTGTATAGAGATGAGTTGGGGATGGTGTGAGTCGAGGGATGTTCTGAAGTTAAAGTAAACACTGCGGGTATAATCTCGCACAGTCCGAAGTCCGGGAATATATGGTGGATGTTTGCGAGGAGTACTTGGTTAGACATTCAGCTAGCAAGGATGGTAATCGTTAGCGGTTCCAAGGTATGCTTTTAAATCCAAGATGATGCCCGTAATTATTTTCATGTTAATACATACCCGTCCTCATAAAAAAGTTCTATGAGAAAGTTCCAATCGCGCAAAGTTCTACCTATCACCATTGCAGATACACGTGGAACCGCTAACCAGTACCATCTTAAACACCTCGGGCTGTACTTAGGTAGCCCTTAAAAGTCCGAAGTCCGAAAATAGTGGATGCTTGTGAGGAGTGCTGGGGTATACTTAAGATCGAGCGTCAGGGTTGCCGGGGGGTGGTGGAGCACAAGATGTTCACTTCATGTCTACAAGATGCGATCTCAGTTACCTAAGTAATCCTGAAGTAATGTCACCAGACCAATAGAAGTCACGGGTAAGTCAATATTAGTGTGTCTTCGTTTCTAATAGAGCTGTCTTGCCGTCGGATAACATAGGTGTGTAGGATACCACCTGCACGTAGACGTGAATCCGTTTTGAAGCAAGCGGATCCGGAAACTTCGCGTACTGAGCGCTCAAATCTCCGGAGCAAAGCTTATCGCCCTGATAGCTTTGGTGGGGAAATGCCTGGCCAATGCCCTCCCATTCTCAGCCGCGTCAGAATCATCGTCGTCCGACGTCTCGTCCACTGGGTCGGTACCGAGTGTGGTGAAGGTGCTCATGATGCAGTCGTCGTAGATTCCCATGAAGCTGACAGGAACAGCAAGTTCGGGGGTGGAGCACGTAGGCACAGACAGGGCGGGCCTGTTGACATCTAGCCTCCCTTCGCCATCGAGCGACAGGATGTAGACGCTGTCTTTCACCTCGAAGATGATCCGCTTACCGCCGACCGTGTCATGAATGTGCAGCCAGCCGCCTAGGTCGAAACTATCGCCGCCAGGGTCACATTCGACAATGGACGTCACAGAGGCGAAGTCCTCCTCACTGCGAAGAGCCTGTGGCCAATCCGCACAGATGACCAGCCTGCCTCCACGCGAGACGCCGACCATGGTCTTGCCGTTCAGCATGCCGGCGCCCCATTCGTCACGCTCGAGTGGTGTGATGTCAGGGAGTGCTTCAGAGTCGTCGTAGAAGAACAAGCCTGGATGAATTGGTAGGCATGACAAGCCCAATTCCGGGACCATCCGTGCGAGAAGGTAACGGGTGGAATCAGGTAATAGGCTCATGTATTCTAAGAGTTGTCAGCGACGTCTCCGAAACGGGTGATGATTGAACTGACCGTCTTCGTCAGCCAGATCCGGCTGGGGGTGGCGGATGTGGTAGATTGCTGACGGCTTGACCATGTGTGGATGAATGTGGCCTAGAGGGTCGCCCGATGTCTTGTCGTGGATGTGGTAGTCATGCGTGCCGATAGAATACATGACGGCGTCTGTGTCTTGATCGAGATGTCCAACTGCTCCGTCTTCGATCTCGACGCGTTTTCGCAATCTTGGTTTCTCTGGATGTGGTAGGAAGTCGTAGACGAAGCCTTCTCCTTCGGACGACACAACACAAAGAGTGTTGTATGACAACTGAAAACCTCTGGTGATCACGTCATGAGGCAACAGTGCGACCTGGCGAAAGTGACCCCGCGCTAATCCGGGCAAGTCTGTCTTCCAAACCTCCAGCGTGTTCCTGAAGCGATCCCAGACAGCAGTGCCGTCCTGGTATTCTAGATGTGCAAACCTGCGCACTTCATCCCTGGGCAGAGACCACAAGAGGTCGCCCGAGTCCATGTCGGTCACGTTGAGGCCGCCCGCATGAGAGGTCGAGACGATGAACCTGCGCTTGAAGTCGGGCCTGAACCGCCAGATGGGAGAAGTGCCAACCTGGATGACGGTCTCCTTAGGGCTGGGCCTCTCGTCGCTCCACGACTTCTCGAGCAGAATGCGCCGACGGCAAGCTTCTTTCCACGATTCGACGCCCTCGCCGTATCTGGTAAACGATTCCAAGCCGTTCAGATACTGGCCCGGCTCGCGCAATTTCATGGCACCGGTGGTGCCGGGCGCTTTGGCGGCGTAGATGGCATCCTGGTGGGTAAAGTCGATGAAGTTGCACCAGGATCGGGATGAGCGCGTCAAGCTGGCGATGCTCCCGAACGAGGCGAAGAGCAAGATGCGCAGTACGACCTCTGCAGGCAAGGCTGCCAAGGGATCCATGATGTGCGGCGCGCCCGGTGACTGGACACTGGTCAGGGAATGAATAGGTAACGTTATGCTTAGGCTGACGAGTAACGAAGGCAGTATCCGAAAAGGCGAATTGACCAAGGTCACGTAATGGGCTGGTGATGTGCTCGGTATCGGAGAGCAAAGACCAGCATTGAGGCGATGCACTCAAGCAGAAGTCGATGGATGTTTGCTTTCGTGGATGCACCTTGAGCGTCACCCCTCCGGTGCAGCTCAGCCTTACACTTGGATAGTTCTACTTTCAAAGATATCCCAGAAATGTAGCGGGGTTGCCGAAGTGCATGTCGCTTAAATGAGTTTCTGCAGGTCATGTGACAGCGCGTTTCTGCCTTCGCGGCTGATGGTGGGGTCAGCCCCCGATTCTGTCCTGTCTTCCACTTCCAGTCTCCAGATGCATTCCCAGTTCCGCATCCACCCATCTCTCTTCACCACCTCGACCACTGTCCTGACGGCCTTGGAGAAGCTTTACGAGATATACGTCGAGCGCCCCGAACAGCCCGCCCCGATCCCACTCTCCACGACCGACTTCGACTGTCTCCTCCGAACCATCGAAGCCTGCATCGGCCCCCTATTCCCTCATCTATAGCAACCTAGCTCAGCTTCCGCCGCACCACTTCCAAAGCGCGCGCATTACGTCTCAACCGCGGGGGAGACTGTTTGCTTATGCGAAGAACTAGAACGGAGGAGTTGAGGAGATTTGGCTTCATTCCCTTGAACGCATGTGTGACATGGTGTATGAGGAAGATCTTCTGAATATGACTTCATGTTCCTAATCTAGCATATTGAGATGGTACGATGATGTGGAGTCAATTCAGGCTCTGCTATAACCTCTGAGCAAATTAACGGTTTCATGGCTGAACTCTGTTCGTCTTCTCCCTCAACTTCAACGCCAATCTTCTGACGATGAATCTGACTAGCAAGGCTTGAAACTTCAGGCTGTGTAGTCATATCAAATCAGAGGAAGTTTCCTTTTCCTATAGACCAGATGTCAACAGTCCAAGACTCATTGAGGAACTGCGACTAACCCCACTGGTCCTGTAATATGGAGGACGAGCACAGCCAGGCACATGGATAGAGTTGGTATTGATGCGCCATCCGGCTAGTTGCCCTAAACTCCGAATGCCAGTGTAGGGTCGAATCCCGTCAGTAGTAATATAAGTGACTGAAGTTCTATATGTTGCTAGAGCTCTATAAGTGGCTGAAACTCTATAAGTGGCTCGGGAGTGAGCACCGAGCAGTAGTTAACTCCTGTAGGTGGACAATGAGATGGTTTTGCAAAACTTAAATACACTTGCGAACTAGCAACTCCCAGCTTCGAGATTGAGAGGCGGCTCTATACCCTTAGACGCCACGCACGTGGGAATTAGCACTATTCGTTTGGTACGAAACAGGCATGGCTTTGACAGAACAAGACGGAATCTGTTCCGCAGTATTAACTAACATTCAAATTACTATATAGTCAGTTGGTGGGTTGTTTGATTGGTTGGTTGCAGTCTTGAACACGGGCGAGACGACGTGGCAAGCAGCCCACCCGTATATACGTACCCTCCACCCTTGTATTTATACACGTGGCTTCAGAGGCCAATTCATGCCTCCTCAATTCCAGAGCGTGCAGTACCGTTACTACTCGTCCATTCCTTTTAAACCCTAGCGCCAATAAGTCACTCTCTTAACGCCGATGGTATCACGAGCTCCTCCCACACCACCACCACCGCGGCGGCGGTTCACCTGCGATTGAAGCGGTCGTATGCATGTAGTCAGCCCCTTCTATCGACGTATCCGGCGCTGGAACTCTCTCGTATCGTGGTTCTGGGCCGTCGACGTTGCGTCGTCAAAGAACGATGTGTGCTGTGATTCTCGTCGTCAGGTCCTGCGGCGGCGAGCGGCAACGACTCTCTCCCCAAAGGTCAAGAGCCGGCGGGACGGTGACGACGTTGTCACCGTACCTTCATTGGCCACAATCCGTGACCACGCCAATTGTCACGTATTTGGCGCCCAAGGTTATAGTAACATAAACCTGCTCAATACTTTCACCGAGGTTTTTTTCCCAGGGCGTCCGTCTGGCTGCAAATATACATATACCATCCACTATAATGGCGCAAACCTTCTCAAACCTTTCTCCGAGATCCTTTGCACGAGGCGTCCGTCTGGCTGCGAGTAGTCCAATGACTCAATGGTCCAGATTGACTATTTATAGGGCTTGTCTCCGTCTTGCGTCGACTGTTCTTCCCTCCCACCCACCTTACTTTCTCCACCCTACCGTTCCCTCCCTGTCTCTGATCGGATCTTCCTCGAGGCCACCCATATCCTAGACCCTGATCATCGAAGTGAAGAGTTAGTACTCATTCCCTTCGGTATTCTGAATCCTGCTTTCCGATTCCTGCTGTACCCTCTCGAACACGGAGCAACAACGCCCAAGTGGTGCATCTCCAACCTTGCCTGACGAAGCTTGGGCCTCCATTGTGTCTCTTGTGTCCCAGTTCGACGTGGAGAGAACCAGCCGTTAGGGTCCATGGAACATCACTCGGACCCAGCAGACTCCGACACCACGCCTGTGCCAGTGCTCTACAGCAACGAGTGGTGGCCCGAAGAGCACCAAGCTCTCCAGCGGGACACCGAAATGCTCGAAGCTCTTTACGGGGAGCCCGAGACCACTGCGCAACCTCCTCAGTTGCCATTGCACTCGAATGGCGGCTCAGAACAGCCCGACTATGGCTATGGCTGGCCCGAATCTTACCCAGAAGTTTTGGAAGTCCGCTCAGATTCCAGCTTGCGGTCCTTTAACGCCGAACCACAGGCAGTTGTCCCGGCTTCCGATCCCTCACCAGAGCAATTCAACGACAACCTCCTGGACCCAGCTCTGAGGGACTTGGATTCCCCATTAGACCAGCAGCCACTCGATGGCGACATACAGGCTCTCGCTGCTTCTCAGCCAACACCCCCCGGTCCCGGCGCAGTGCCCTCTGGTAGCTACCAGCAAATGAAGCAAGACGCACATGCACCTACTCCTGCACATATGATCCGTGCGGCGAGTCACCTAGTCGACATTTTCCGATCCCACGATGTGCCCATTGCCTTCTACGGGTCTTGCGCTATGACGCTGCGTTACCCAGAACGACGCGAAGCGAATGCTATTGAGCTGCTGGTGCTGAAGACACTGGAAGAGATAGAAGAGTTGCTGAAGACTGATGACAGGTAAGTCAAGCGTGCTTCTGTTCCCCGCACTCCGTGAGGGACACATCTAACAGTAGTGTAGCATCCATATTGCTCCGTATCACGTCCGGTCCATGGGGTCTCGCGGAAGCAAAACTTACCAGATGGAGGTTATTGTATTCATTCCGAACCCAAAGACCGGAGCGTCGGAGTTTGTCAAAGCGACTATTTCCGCGTGTTGTGAAGATCCCCGGCGTAAGTACCTAGACATCCAGATCTTGTCAGGTCGACCGCTTTTGGCTGATCTTTTCATAGCGTCCCGGTCCGCCCATCTGCCATTGTGCCTGCCGTTCCGGCCGGATGGTACCACAATGATATCTCATCAAGACTTTCCTTCCCCCGGGGTATCGGTGATTGTCACTGGTTTTCAGCTTATGTCGACGCTGTTGAGGTACCGCAACAGCAGCGACAACAGCAGTGATGATTTCTCCATGGAGGCTCTGGAATGCATCACCGACATCCTCTTGATCCTCGAGAAGGAAGACGACCTGGCTTCGCATTTGGCAGGTGCTCGCAGCTACTTTCCCTTTTTCGATGCAGCCCTTAATTACTGGCGAGATGACTTTGTCCGCCACGAGAGAAACGACGCAAAGGCGAGCCAAAGACCAAAAAGCGACATTGTGGCAACGATACGACGCCTTGACCATGCTCTTTTCGGAGAGTCAACCTTCACCTTAGAGGTATTGGCTGAGATCGAGAAGGCGGAGTTGGCGAAGAGGGAGGCGTTGGAGGCAAATAAGGAGACGCCGAAGGCAAAGCGACAACGTCGAAAAGCAGAGGTACCTCAACCACCTCGGACAGCAACACCTCCGGCAAAGACATCAGGGCCCGAGAGACCACGGAAGAGACAACGAAAAGCCAACGGATCTCCGACAACGCAGACCGCGCTTGGCTCGCTACCACAGCCGCCACAGCCGGCGACGATGACAATGGGGGGATCGGGGGCTCCGCAGTACCCGCCTCCGCCGCCGCCGCCGCAGTACCCGCCGCCGCCGCAGTCCTCCTTCGCACCGTACTCGTTCGCACCGCGGTACACTTTTGCACCGCAGTACAACTTCGCACCGCATAACCCGTCGCTGCCGCCGCTGCAGCAGTACCCATCGATGCCGCAGCAGTATTCGTCGGCACCGCAGCACATGTCGGCACCGCAGTACCAGTGGGCGTATTCCTCACAGGCGCCTTACCCTGGATTTCAATGATTATCTCACTGTATCCGAACCTTGTACTATACGTGGTTACAGTAAGTCACCCACTCGAACAACCAACCGCGGATAAGATACTGACTTACGATGGCGTACAGATTGTCCTCATCTTCCCGATCGGAGGCTCGGAATGGTTTTGCATTATTCGTCTAGTCTGTCTTTGCGTGGCCGTATAGCGCAATGGTCAAATGCGCCTGGTTGTGTTCTCGTTTGTGCGGTGGGCAACGAGAACAAGTGGGTTCGAATCCTGCTATGGCCCCCTTTCTGACCCGGCTTGTGCGAGTCGATAACCAGCACACGACAATGGAAAGGCCCCATTTTATCGCAGAGCCCGATAGCCAAGCAGCTTGTCTCCACAATACCCACTCCTGCGAGGTTTTCCCCCTTGTGGTTTCCCTCGCCAGCAGATAACAAACACCTACTCCACCCACCAATGCGACATATATCGAACGGCTACTAGAACGATATATACACCAGAGAACTGAGGTTCACTGGGTCGCTTTGTCACTAGATAGGAGGTTTTTCTGACGGAATCGTGCTTGGGTATTGTTTTGTTTGTTTGTTTTGTATTTAACGTGGGGGTAGCTCCTCAGTAGTGCAAACCACGCCTCCCAGAGCCTCTGCATCGCAGGGTTGTGGAGGTCTCAAGATAATAAGTACAGTCAGTCCCGCTCACGGGCCCATCCCCGTTGTTGCGGCGGTATGACCTTGGGGTCATCCATCTGGTCCTTCAAGGAAGGCTATCTATCGGGGGCAGATTGTTGAAAAGAACTTGCTCTTCTCCACGAATTTTGCCCATTCTGTGCTCCTCTCCCCTAAGTATTGTAAACAAGCTGCCCTAGGCGAATGCCTAGGCAGTAGCCGATTTTTCCCCAGTCTCTTACAAAAGAAAATGTGTTGTGGTGTTTTCTTCTCACCACAGCTGCAGTGATCATTTGAATCTGTGTGCCCAAAGCGTTCATGGTATCTGGCAAAGTCGCCATGTCCAGATCTGGCCGCTAGAAGTCTGTGTAAAGTACTCCTCTTAAAAGATATAAGGTCTCTTTCAGTTACTGCATGTGAGTATACTTCTTGATACCTAGATTCTGATTGGTCTTTCCACCATTGGTTGAACTCTTTCTTGCCCTGTCTTTTGAGATCTCTCTTGACCCAAGAGATTGTAGGAAGATTTGTTGTGTCTGTTTCCAGCATGGCACCCTCTTTTGCTAGTGTGTCGGCAGCTTCGTTGCCATCAATATCTCTGTGTCCAGGAATCCATTTGACGGTCACTCCAGGAGTGTGTGCTGTGGCAAGTTCTTGAAATCGTAGAAAAATGTTTTGTGATGTCTCGGGTGGAGTCCCATTGAGCCCATCTACCACTGACGTGTTGTCCAGGCAGACATATAGCTGTTTTCCGTGTCCAATTGCCCTGGCTGCTGCAAGACCTTGGAGAGCACCATGGACTTCAGCATCTACTACTTCTGCTTGTAGAAGTCTGCCCCTTCCCCGGTATACTTCTTGTGTAGTGCCGCCTTTCCTGATGGTATAACCCCATCCAGTGCGGATTGTGCCTTGGTCATCCAACTGTGATCCATCTGAGTAGATGACAAGGTCAGTGTTCACGTTTCTCTCTTGTAACCATTGCTTGAAGAGCTCTGTTTCTTTGTCTTTGTCTTTGCGGATTGGGCGCTTCTTCCATGATGGCCTGGTAAGTATTGGTCTCTGGAAGTCAGGGACTAGCTGGAAGCTTCTTTGTAGCCTTGTTGGATCCTTGCGAGCTTGTATTTGGAGCCTGCCAACCAGAGGGTGTCTCTGATCTATTCGTCCTAGTCGGAGGCCGTGACGTCGTCTTATTGACTCTGCAAGAACTCCTGCTGGGGGAATCTGCGATTCAAAGTGTAAGATATGTCCAGGGTGTGTTTTCCAGACTGGCAAGATAGCCCTGATCGCCGTTCGTAGTACGGCATCTATTGTTCCAAGAAGCCCCTTAATGCGACATGCTGATGTCTCACCTAAGCTCCCAGTTTTCTCGATTCCTGGGTACCAGGCCTCCAGGCCATGTGTGAGAATAGGAATAACACAAGCTTTCACAGCCCTCTTGGTTGACTTTACTGGAAGTCCTTTGACTGTGTTGCATAGTCCTCGAAGGTGATTTGCTACCCTACTAGCTTTCTTGGCCCAGTGAGAAACATGGTCTTTGAAGTTTAGTTTCCTATCCAGAAGGACACCTAGCCATCGCATGGAATGCTTAGCTGTTTTGTTCATTGTTCCGTGGCAAACTGGGGGATTGTCTGAGTTCTTTTTCCGTGAGAAGTGCATGATCTCGGTTTTGTCGGGATCAAATTCAATAGCATTGTTATGTCCCCATTGGTTGAGCAAATGAAGGTTTTCAGAAGCCTCTGCAGCTGTTTCTTTAAGGTTCTTTCCAATGCAGAGTGTTGCTAGATCATCTGCATATCCAAAGCGTCTTCTTTTCATGCCAAGTCGGGCACAGATTGGCTCTGTATACAGCATGTAGAGGATTGGAGAGACTGGTGAGCCTTGTGGGAGCCCACAAGTGAGAGCTTTTATATCGGTCACAGTACCTTCAAACCGAACTCTTGCGGACCGCTCGGACATGAACGACTGGACCCATCTTATGAGAAAGCCTGGCCAGCCCTGTTCTCTCATGCGAACCACCAGCCGTCCCATTAGGGCAGCATCAAAGGCCCCTTTCACATCTGATGTGACTACCGTTGCAACGAGGCCTTGGTCAAGGGCCTGCTCAATATCGTGTATGAGTGCAGCTACCAGGTCAGTGGCAGAGCGCTTTGGTAGAGCTCCAAAATGTTGTGGGGCTAGAATTCCAAGTTTGACAACAAACCAGGTAATTCTTTTCGCAATGAGTCGTTCTAGGCCCTTGCCAAGACATGACAGTAGCGATATTGGTCTGTAGGCCCTGGGATTGGAGTAGTCTTTCTTTCCTGGTTTTGGGATCATCACCACCTCAGCTACTTTGAATGGTTTAGGGTGGTGTCCAATCAGTAGGCAGGTCTGGAAAAGGGCTCTGATATGTTCACCAATGACTGGCCAGCAAGCTTTCAGAATCCGTACTGTGAGGGTATCTACTCCCGGGGAGTTGCTCTTGGTTCCTAAAGTGCACCCTTCAGCCTCTTCCAGTCCGACGTGGTATTCAAGGGGGATGTGTGGCTTGGGTTGTACGATCTGAGCGGACCAGGGGTCGATGATATCGTTGTCTGAGGTACTTCGTTCAAGCGTGGCTGAGCGTAATGCATTTGCCTTGCTCTCTTGTGACTCGAATATTTGGTCTCCTATGATGATTGGAGGGGAACGCAATCCTGCTGATAACTTGTGCCAAGAGACGATTCTGTATAGGTCCTTTGGCTCAGTTGCTGAATTGATTAGAGTCTGCCAGTACTCTCTCCTAGCTTTCCGAACCACGCCGCGAAATTCCTGTCGGGCTGAATTCCGTCCTTCTTGGCTTGTAGTCTGTTTGGAAAGGGCCCTGTATGTCTGAACAGCTGCTTTGCAGTCATCATTCCACCAAGCAGTGGGCCTAGATTGACGGGGCCTCTTGCCCACTGTCCTGATACAGCCTTGGATCATGTTGATCAGGCTTTGTGTAAAGGTGTCCACCTGGCCAGGGGATACACCCAGCCGGGGGAGTTCATGAATCCTGGTTTGGACATTATCTGCCAGCTCCTGTAGTTTATCGTCCGGTACTATCCAATGATTGGCCTTGGGTACTCGGTCCAGATCTCCCTGGATTGGAATGACTATTCGTAATGTCTCATGATCTGAGGTGCACTGAAGTGCATCATTGACTGAGGCTTCAGCCATGGGGACATCAGAGAACACCAGATCTAGTACATTTCCGTCATCATGTGTCGGGACATCTGGTTCAGAAATCAGATCCAGTCCGTGGTCTGCCATAGTTTGTGCAAGTATAGTACCACCATGATATCCTGGATTGCTTGAGTCCCAGGATGTGTCGCCAGCATTGAAATCTCCAGCTATAACGCAGCCAAAAGGTGGAGTCCATACTTCCAGAATGTCATCCACTTCCTGTGGGTTGTCACATGGCCGGTAGACACTGGCAAATGTAATGCCTTGTACCTTGACCCAGGTGATGTCTCGTGTAGCATAGGGCCGAAGTTGATCCGCTTGAAGGTATTTTCTCACATAGATGAGAGATCTGGGCCGTGTACTGTCGCTGTCCCAGGAATCCACTGGGGAGTATATATCGTAATTGGGGTGTGTCTTTACTCCCATTCTCCTGCCTGGTGGTATGCCAACCCAGGGCTCTTGCATCAGAATGATGTCTGCTTGTTCTCCTTTATAGTCAGCCAGATTGATGGCTAACTCTGTAGGGCCTGCACTCTTTTGTCCCCCTGCTGTATTCACAGAATGGATGACTAGATGCCCGTGTCGATGTGTTTCGTTTGATGTACCTAACATTGACTGACAACAATGGTATCGGCATCTCTGGGATGAGTTGTATCTGTTGTGTCGATTTGCATTGTGGTGTCTTTGTTATTATTGCTAGGTGTTGACCCAGCTTGGTTTCTGCCTGCTTCGTTGAAGGCCTTGGATCTGGCTCTTTCTCCGGCTAGCCTTATTTCCTGGATTTGCTCCCATGTGTGCTTATGGATGGTACCTTTCACAACCTTGGGGCGGGCAGGGCATTTGTCGAAGTTGGCAGCATGAGGTCCTTTGCAGTTGACACACTTTGGGATTGGTTTTTCGCACTCTCCCTGGTGTACTGTGTCGGCGCAGTGTGCACATACTTGCTTTTCGCATCGGTAATTCCTACCATGGTATCTGAAGCAGCTTGCACACTGGTGAACCTTGGGGGTGTGTTGAATATGCCTTGAGGTCATTGAGTGGGCAAAAAGCGTGAATGGTTTCCTTGCTGCACTGGGCAGAGAGATTATCCATGTAGTTTCTGGATCAGAATCAATCGTGTTCTTTGAGAGTATGCACCTCAGAGGTCTGTCGCCTGTTTGGGCTTCAACTTCATCGGCAACAACAGTGTCAGTAATATCGATTGTGAACCCTTCTGCACTGATGACCTTTCTTGGGCATCCATTGACCTTGTAATGATGCCAGACTGTGTGGGTCTCAATCTTTTGTGCCTTGAGAATGTCGGCAATTTCTTCTTGGAAAGCCAGAAGCTTAGCCTGAGTTGGCTTGTCCCTTGGGTGTAAGGTAAAACCAGAAGGACATCGTGTCACTTCTCTAAGCTCCTGAGGGTGGAGCTTAAGTCTTCTGTTCAGTGTAGACTTGATTCCATAAGGCTCTAGGTGGCTATTATCCATGCGGACAAAGACCCGGAGATCATCCTGCTTCTTCTTCAGTTGGTTGGCAGTGATGAGGGCGCCAGGCTGTGTTTTCTTCATGGTAGTGTTGACTGTCCATGGATGCTGTCGTTGGCCAGAGGAGACAGCTTGGGCGAAGGTCATGGTGGGCTTCCCTATCCCTATCCCGCCAGGAGTGGTCTTTCTTTTGGGCAGATCTCGGGTTTCCAGCCACTCGTTCAGGCATTTGGAGAAGAAAGCGCTGAACTCCTTGGCATGAGAGTATAGTTCGGTTCCAGCTTTTTCCAGTGTCTTATCGACTGCTGCAGCACACTCTTGAAACATTGTCATCCTGGCTTCATAGAGATGCTTGTCTTTAGCCAGTATTTTGGCTACTTGGTCCTGGCACTTTGAGGAAGAGACCTTGTTCCCTGTATTGCCTCCAATGGCTTGGTCTGTAGAGATTTCGTTTGATTGAGGTACTTCCATATCAATGATGCTGCTAGTATTAATATTTCGGGATTTTCCTTTCAGAGGGGAAACAATGGTGAAGTCAGCCTCAGAGACTTGTGACGGGCTGCTGTTGATGTCGTCGAGCAGTGCCTGGCGGAGCTTGCTTGGGGTTGCCGGGCCATATGTTCTTTTAGGGACCGGGGATTTGAGCACGCCGCCAGTAGTCGTCTTTGGGACGGCCACTGGCGTATTTGGGGGCCTATCGTGAAGGGGTGCCATCCAGCTTGTGAGAAAAATTTTCTGCGCCTTGGCAAGGATAGTCAGGTACTGAAATAAATGCCTGTTTTAGTGCAGATATAGAGGTTGCGCCCTAACAGCGGGGCGCCAAGAAAAATAGTTGTTTTTGGTAAGAGTGTGTCTGGAAACTCCGGGATCCCCAGCACAGGCTGGTGTTTGAGGGCTTGGGTATTGACTAAAACCATCTGAACACTACAGATTGATACCGCTACAGCGAGGATAGGCTCGTGCGCGGATCTGAATGTATCTAATTTGACACCTCTACAACCTTGCGATGCAATGGCTCTGGGAGGCGTGGTTTGCACTACTGAGGAGCTACCCCCCACGTTAAATACAAAACAAACAAACAAACAAACAAACAAACAGTCTGTCTTTGCGTCATTGTTGGTTCCTGAGGTAGACGGTCGACTCAACTTCATTTTTCCTACCTACCGTAATCAATACAATACAAATCCAAAAAGTCCCCACGTCACGCCTCGTAGTCTTCGTGTTTACAACCCAGCAGATCGAGAGATAGTATTGATGTTGTGGAATCGATTCAGACTCTGCCGTCACCTTGAGCAAATTAACGAACCTATTTTCCCCTTTTTTTTTCGTTTCTTTTTCTTTTTTTCGTGTGTGTGTGTGTGTGTGGGGCGCATGGCTGAACTCTGTTCGCCTTCTCCCTCAACCTCAACGCCAATATGGCTCTAGCGAAACCTTCGTATAAGTCACGAGAGGCCTTTATGAGGACCAATCCTCAACCAGGAACCTCGCGAGAGTCTTCTCCACAAACCACACACAATCACACAAATCAAATGTCTCCCACCATACGCAGCACTTATTCATGGAAAATGATACAATCTATCCGAGTCCCTGCCTCCCCTCACCACTCCGCCAACCATCCATGCCATCGCAGGACCGTGGGTTTATAAGTTTAATCCCTACTCCCGATGTAGGTCCGACACCGAGGAAATCTCAGGATGCAGAGCCATGAGTTTCGCCACAAGGGCAGGGTCATTAGGTAGAGAATCCTGTGGTCTCTCCCGATGGAGCACGCCACCATGTTCCACCCCAAGCGGGTAAGGGTCAAGGTAAGCGATGAACCAGCACCTGTTGGGATAGGGATAATCTAGAGCCATGAACGGCCATTCCAGATCCATATGTGGCAGGTAAATCCATCGAAATACTTTTAGGTTGCCACAGCAAACCAAGATGCGCGTCTCGGGGTCATCCGGAACAGCGCAGTTGAAGAGGTTTTCCTCCACGCCTAACGCTGGGTACGGGGGGGTTTTGATGATGAGGGCCATCCCGTAGGGGGACAGCATTAGACGCCAGTTGGGGTTGATTGCGCCTGGGATCTCGCATTCTCTATAGCCGAGTTCTGCGATTCTGTCCATTTCTGCTCTGGTCACTTCGAACAGGAATCGCGGTCTTGGCGGTGGCTGGACTGGCCCGTGGCCATCGTTGCTGCTTCTTGAGGTATTGGCCATGGTGCTAAACGGTGGGTTGCGGATATTGGGCCTTAGGGATATGGTGTCGGGCGTGTCGGTAGTGTCGGGCAGTTGTGGGAGACTGTATGTAGGGGTTGTTTGCTAGGTCAAGGTGTGGTGATGAAGTAAATAGAAGTCGCTCTATCGCACTGTTGTGCCTGCTTTATAGTTATGCTGCTCGAGGCCAGCTTATGCATTGAGCGTATTTGTCACTTACCCGGGGACAAAGGCCAGCAAGACACCCAGTCACTGGATATTGCACCAACAGCCCCTTGATTTCGCTATGAGACTCGAGGACAAGGGAGAATCAGTGTCGGTCTTAAGTACGTTACACGACTGACTTGAGAGCTATCTGGCATGTAACCTTAAGGCCAGGGCGAACTAAAAATCGAGTCGCTAGACATATCAAATCGCCAAAGCCCGAATACGATGGATCAGCATTGGATGCTAGCACAGTGTGGTATAGGCACGACGAAGAACGAGGATATAATCATAATTCGTAGGCACCACAAGCCTCACATCAAGCCGCGCAGTGACTGTAACGGATCATGAGACACGTAATTTTTTATATTTTTCTCGTCCGTGACTCTACCAACAAGAGTCCCTCCACACCAAAACAGAGCTTCCCATGAAACGAACGTAGAAACCACTTCGGCCCCCAATCCCACTTCTCCGATTGCTGCTCGATACATAGCACCGCAACAAGCGACCAGAAGCTCAATCACGGCGAGCTAGTTGCAGGCAGAAAGCGTCTCCGAAACCCTCAAGTACCTCCTTCAGACGGTGATCGTTGCTCATCTAGGGTGATACAATCTATCCGAGTCCGTGCTCTGCCTCACCACCCCGCCAACCATTCATGCTGCAGCAGGCCCATAAGACTTCGAATTCGACTTTGGGGCAGCACCGGGATGAAGCTCAATGATCTTTCTTCGAAGTAATGGATCCCGAGGTAGAGGCTGGCCCGGATAAAGGTGGCCACTGTGTCCGTTCTGGCCCCGGCCAATATGCATGTAGGTACGGAACCACTCCGCGTCGACATGGCTCGCTCTCATGAAAGGTCACTCTGCCTCCATACGTGGTAGCTTGATGAAGTATTACCCGTAACTTTCGTGGGACGTATCTTGGATCAGGACGTCCATCTCGGGGTCTCTGGGAATCTCAGCGCTGAAGAGCCCTCCGGCTCCGATACGGAGTCTGAAGACGGGGATCGCCTCCCGATGGTTGATCGGCAAGCGCCAGTACGAGTGGTATTTTCCGGGGATGGTGCAATATCTGTCTGAGCACATGGGCAAGTCGTTGATATGGGCGAGTGTTACTGGCACTGGCACGGGCTCCACATGGTGTTGAGAATGTTGTACTGGCGTAGGCCCTTGCGCGTGGCTCGATTTTCTGGACATTGTGTCAAACAGCGAGACGTTGGTGACTCTGTTCAGACAGGGAGTGGTGAGTATTGGGTGTATTGGCAAAGGCGAACGACTGCGGTTGTTGGGGTTGCCGGTTCATGGGCCGAGATGGAGTGATGGAATGATGATGAGCCATTGCTGTGAAGTGCCTAACTGCCAAGAGACGACCACTTTACTGAACAGAAGTGCCTCACTTGTATGCTGGTGATGAGAAGTTCGTGTGTTGAGAATTTCATCCGACGTGTGAGTTGATCACCTGGCCTGCGACCAAGGCGAGCAGGAAGCGAGTCCAGTCATCGGGCTCGAGAACTGAGAATGTCGGTGTTGGCTCGGCAGATACCCAGTGCCAGCGAATCATTCCTGATCCTAATGTGCGGTCTCGAGGCCCAGGCAAACAAAGATGCGAGTCGCAGGATGGGCCACAAACAGCCATCTGATGGGTTTATGGACCTCGGACGGAAACTTTATGTTGCCTATTGATCAGCAGTGACATCCACGTAACACGAAGGCGGAACAAAGGGATTTGGACCTTGACCCCTACATGACTCAGCGCTTGTTGATCACAACACATGCCCTTCGACTCCGTCTTCCTCGTAAAAGTCCTCCAGAGCACGGCCTGTCACAGAAGGATTGTAAATGGACTCACTGCATTGACCCCTTCGCACCTATGACAATCATTATTACCCACCAAGCCCCCCATATTGCTACTCGGGATCACCTATATCCGCTAACGGTGTATCTTATTGCTGTTGGGTCCTGCTGACCAATGTACCTGAGAGAGCCTCTGTAATGGACCTTGCTGGAAAGCACTGACCCTTGCTTACCAGCAACCGGCACCCGAGTGTGGAAGCCCCCGCCGTGTCGCTCAACCGACTGTGACTCAACGCCCTTCAATAGCACCATCTCATTCAGTTTTCGAATTATCCCTCTCCGTGACCCGTAGCCATACGTCCCGAATGAAGAACATAGACCGGTGCGATATGGTGTACGGTTTCTCCAGGTCCATCACCTGAAAGTCGAAATCCCGGAGCAGCTATAGTTGGCATTGCAAAGGTTAGTTGACCGAACCCCAAGAACATGTTTTCCCATAATAAACCCGTGCAGAACAGACTCACTTCGACGTATATCTTGTTCAGCTCCAGATGCGCTATGACCTTGCCGATGCAAACCCACCTCCCGGAGCCGAAGACTAACTCGGCCGTCCTCTCCATCAGGAGGCGGTGCTCAGGCGACGCCTCGAGGAACCGCACCGGACGGAACACGTCGGCGTCTTTGCCGAAGATTTCCTCCCGACGGGCCATGGACCATGAATCGATGCCGATATTGGTCCCGCCGGGCACCTTCTGACCCGCCAGAACGTCACCCTCCGGCGGCATGACCTTGGGGAAGAGCATGAATAGCGGGGGTTGGAAGCGGAAACATTCCCAGATGAAAGCCTGTGATCGTGTCAGCTTTGATTCTTGAATAGCGTGATGAAGGGCTGTTCAGCAGAAGATGGGAGTGACACCGACTTGGAGATACGGAAGGGCTTTGCCTTCGGCGCCAGTGACGGGGGTCGAGATTTTTCCGCTTTCTACGCCCTGGTCGATTTCCTTCTGGAGCCGATAGTAGACCCGTGGTGTGGAGGCGAGAAGCACCAGCGTCGGAGCAGGAAGTTGGCCGTGGTGTCGGAGCCGGCGACGAGTTGGGTCAGGAATTCAGCTTCACATTGCTTATTGGAGAGGCCACGTTGCATGAACGAAGCCTAAATGCATCATTAGCGCAGGATGAAAAGAAGGGGGGATCTAGGCTCCTCTTACCAGCATATCTCCCTTCTCCTCGGCCTCGGGCGCCGCGCGTTCATTGACAATACGTCCCGCGAGTTTGTGAGCAGGCGCAACAGTTGTTAGCTAGGAGACTTCATTTTTTTTACATGGTTGACAATGAAGAGACCTCGGAAGGAATACGTACGCAAGTAACGACCCAGCATCACTCTTGTCCGTCTTCTTGGGTCCAAATCGCTGACGGAAGACTTCGAGTAGCTTCCCAAGCCGAGGGACGTCGGAGCAAACTCCAAAGAACATGCCCGCTGATTCAATAAGCCTGATGTAATTCGACGGATCGGCGTCTGCCGCTAGACAGCCGAACGCTTCACCGCACGCGAGCTGCGTTAGTCAATCCAGTGTGAAGTACTGCGCGACGAGGCCCAATCGAGCGGTCTAGTCTGCTGCGTGGTCGAGATATACTTGCGGCGGATAAGGTCCTTCAGCGCGTATATCTGCACATCGACGTGGTGTTCCATGGACGGTAGCTCGCGCCCCGTGTAAGCCGCCGAAAGGCGAGCTCTGAGGTCGTCGTGAAGGCCCGTGTCCGTCGTGCTGATGATAGTATGCGTCGGGTCCAGGCGCATAACTTCTGTACCATTTGGCCTTGGTGTAGCCGCCGCGGACACTGTTGATCTGTTGGATGATACTTGAGTCGTCGGTTACCAGGGTATCGGAGGAGATTCGTATCAGACTGCTCCCGGATCCGCCGTACCGCTTTCTTGTAGCTCGGTGGATTTTGTAGGCTCGACACGACAGGACGACTGATAGAATCCATAAGTACGAGAAAGAAGCGAGGAACGGACCGTTGAACTCGCTCAGCCGACGCCGAGTTCGGACGGCGCTCACGACATAATAGCCTGCCAGACAAGCCACGCCAAGCAAGAGGATACCAGGAGCTGAAAGGCCAGTAGACATCACAGCTAAAGCTACCATGATAGAAGGTTGAGTCGGAGTGAGTTGTGGTAGCAGAGGTGCCAGAATGTGAAGGTGGTTGTTTTGGGGTGAAAGACGGTAAATGTCCAGTACACCAGAGAGAAAGAGCCTTAAGTAGGTATGCACAGGCAGAAGTTGTGGGGATTCCGTCCCACATTGTTTACCCCTATTTCACCAGCAGTGGTCCATTGTTCTCGATCTTATACTGGGAGCAACTGTGCAATGTGATGGAGCTGTGTGGGGGCCATTGTCCACATCGCCGGCATTATATTATCAGCCCGTCTTCAGTGACGTACTATTACGCCCTCAATTCACATAGTCCATTCAGGAATGTCGCTCACAATGAGTTAGGTACGTCGTCGACAAGTAGATGTATTGTTGATATTAATAACAATCACCTGAGTAGAGATGGATTGAAGTGTAAGCCACTGTGTACTCCTGTTTTCTCTAGTACTTACCTTATATCCGAAACAGTTACCCAATGATATTATCCGCTTCTTTACCAAAAGCATGCCTCTGTAACAATATCCAAGTACGGCGGGAGTAAGGGAGGTAGTCAAGGTCAATGCAGGCCGGCCCCCTGCCCTCTAATACCTGTCAGCGATTAGCCCTACATTGTCGGTTCGGCTCAGCTTGCCTCCTGCTCCAGGACCAGTGACCAATGCCCTGGAGGGAGCCCAACCGCTAACGCCAATAATTCCGTCTCGTCGCTCTGACTGTGGCGATATGTTTGTTTGTTTGCTCGAGTCTTAGCAACCCATCTAGCTGAGGCGGACCAGTCCGTCCGGAGAGAAAAGCCAGTACGCGGCAAGCCTCGTTCGGATGGAAGGCAAGGCGGTCTGGTCACAGCCATTCAGACTCGCTGGGACTGGTCAGTGCACCGCATGTAAGTGGCTCCGTTCTAGAAGGGAGTTTGCAGGAGAAGCGATATCGGTATCAGGCTCTTGAATGGACCTTAGGCCATTGTCTAAAGCGGTGTCAATGTCAAGTCCTGGAAACAATGCAATATGTTAATGTCAAGTCGTGCAAGCTCTTCAATGGGGATACCAAGCGGGGCAGTCTTCAACGATTTTACTTATAGCACTCTTCCTTCTTACTGGATGAGAGACCCTCTTCCAAGCACAACCCTCATCCCTTGCTTCCACACATCTCTTCATCTCCTACCCCTTGCTGCACCTCATCTCTCACCACTTGCTACCACTCATTATCAGCAGACGCCATGGCTAACACCAACAACACCCCCCAAAACGACCTTGTGGTCGACCACAAGACGCCCAAAGAAACCAGGTACTACCCGTCCGAGCTCAAGAACGACCTGAAAGACAGCGGCCTCGCTCCCCGCGTGATCGAAGAAACGCTCGCCTGCGCCTGGGAGTACACCCGCTGCATCATCCCGGAATTCACGAACTGGGGGCGCTACCTGGCCTTCGTGCGCGCCACCGTCATCTGCATCGTCGTCGAGTTCGACGAAACCCTTGTGGACATGAGCGTCGAAGACCGGTTAGTCCTCGGATACGACGTGGACGCGGTCCTGGACACCTTGTTCGGCGGCACGCGAGCGAACGGGCCGAGCAACGATGCCATGAGTCGCGAGTTGCGTTGTTTCTGTAAGTTATAACCCAAACTGGCAGTCCATTCCATGGCTGGAACACACGCTGACTGCGATATTACCCCGAAAGACCTCATGACGGGAGACAAAGCCAGCAGCCGCCGGGACATATCGCAGCTCTTCAGCCGGTACGTGTCGGCGCTAGCTAGCTCGCCGCGCGCCTGGTTCCGCCTCCGCGACACCGACGCCCTGGCCCGGTTCTCCATCGCCGCGGCGCTGACCTGCAACGACCTGGACGACTTCTAGTTCACGGAGCCGCAGCTCGAGTTGCTGGTCGAGGTCGGCGAGACGCTGTATGACGCCGTGGCCTTTCACAAGCACCGCGCCGAGGGCGAGGTGTGCAACACGTTCGCGGACGCGGGGGGCTCCGGCCCCGACAAGGAGGTCCGCTCCCGGGCCTTCGCCCGCTGTCGCGAGGTCCTGTGGGCCATGGACGCGAAGATGGCGCGCTCGCCTGCCCACAGGCACGCGTTGAACTTCTTGCGCTCGTTTGGCGGCCCCGTGCATATCATGATGCGCCGCTATCGCTTCGTGGAGGACGGCATGATAGTCGGGCGGTCTGAGACCGAGGACGTCGTTTCTAAGGCGCGGCAACACGACAAGCTCTGGAATCGCGTGGATGCTAAGAAGGGAGACACCGCCCGCGATGGGTCCGGTACCGACGTCGACAACAAAGAGCCGGATCTGCATTACGAACGAGTCATGGAGCAGGGCAATCGGTTGCTATTCTCCGGTTTCGTGGATGTGCTGGAGAAAGCCACCCATGATCGCTGTGAGACATGCGTATATCGTTCTTCATACGGGGCGGAGTTTATGGAGGAGTTCGGGGGCGTGAAGCTATGTCTTAAGTGCAGACAGCAGTGGAAGACATACCTGGAAGGCCTGGGCGATCGTGCGGTTGCCGCTTTTCCAGAGATCACTTCGCAGTGAACAAGATAGGTCACTCTCTAGGTCAGTATTCGGCACCGAAATTCGAGGTCTGGGTAGATGAGTAATGGAACCCGATGAGATGTACTGAATAGTCTCATACCGAATATAGCTTTCTATGATGAGCGCGTACCCTGGGACGCTGTCGGCGGCGCTTAGGTCGTAGGTCATGCAAAGTAACTATCGTGACTGATGTGGAACCCTGACAGCGTTTATTGGGTGCTGTTCGCTGTATGCGGTCTTACCACATGCCCTCGTCGTCCAGTTCCATGGAACATGGCCGATGCATCGGACCCGACCGACTGGTTCAGCCGCAGGTTGGCACATGGTGACTGTTGTGTGGTGAATATCAACGATGAAGAGAGTATGCCCGACCGGCACAACATGACCCACGAAGCTGTACTGGACTGACGATACACCCCATCACACCAGCGGTTGACGTTGTTACAAAGTGAACGTTGACTAGTACATCACTTGCACGTGGATCTGCAAAGAGCCGCATGGCGTGTGGCTAACGTAACCCACCAAGATCACTTGCTAGTGCGACCGTTGAGACCAGTGGCGATCTAGGGCTGGCAGTGCACGACCTTTCGACGATGGCCCAGTTATTGATCTCCAGAGAACAGCAGGGAAGAGGGCTGGTCCTGCCTGTCGCTCGTTTGGAGGAGCGAGAGCGTGGCGCGCAAACGTGGGAATTCGGCGACACGCTTCTGACGAGATGATGCCGGACGATTGATTCGGACGTCCAGTCATCGGTTTGATGGTCTGCGCAAACTATCGGAACCCCTAGCGAATATGAGAAGAACCCCCGGAGACCCTCGATAATTTCCTCTGAAGGGTTGATCGTTTTGACCGCGAGTAGTTGGCGAAGGGTTGGAAACGATTGCCGTTTCATCTTGCCTGGACCTACGCGTTAGGCGGGTTCATCCGAACGCTGGTTGATCGCTACTCCAGCAGCAATGCGACGCGGCCTTGACTGCCTGTGCGCGGACATCATACGCGAAACACAGTCCAAACCTCCTAATCGCAAAACGGAAGGCTGGCGGTGGCAGTGGAGACTGTTGCGCGTGATACTGTCGTGAATCGATGGCGCGGCGCACGCGGGCGCGAACGCGACAAGTTCACGCACCACACGGCGTCGCGGAAGAACAGGGCTCGCATAGTTTTCGGCGACGACATGGAGGGGCTCGAACTGCGCAGTTTCTTAGTGAGGCAACTCACCTGTTGCTCGTTTCACAACCGGGCAAGGTGGGAATGCGCATGTCGTCTTGGACAAGACGCAATGCTGGAACACGTGGCTGTAACTCTTGCGGTATGGTATGTATGCGCCGCGACGTCGGCGCTGCTGTTATTAGCTTGTAAATGTGGTGACCAGCAGTTGGGAACACGAATACCGCGCTGGAACTTGTTTGCGCAGACAGGGATTCATAGTGGCAGCTCGCTCGATACGCGGGCAGACTGGCTGGGTGACACGAAATAGTAATAAATCGCGCTGCTAGGCTATATGGCTGAATGGTGATTCTCGTGATTGCTGCCCTCTTGCCTCTTGTGGCTGCAAATCAAACGTCAAATGAAAGAGAGATGGAAGATCTTCCCCTCTTCCCCACAGGTTGCTCATTTGCAAAGGCGGCGAAAGAGAGCCAATGCATGTCATTTGCTGACGAGCGCCGAGGGTGTCGCCATGTCGTGGATGTCCAGGTGACGGCCGGTGACGGGAGACAACCTTGAAGGAGACAAGGTGAAGAAGACGGCGGCAACCGACCCCGAGCTGAGCTGGGGTGCCACACTGTCAGCTGAAATGGGTTTAGTCAGGCACCGCGCAGGGGCCCGATCAGCAGGGAGTGGATTCCTGGAAGCAGGCAGGCAGGCCCCAGGGCAGACGAGTGCGCTGGCGAATCAGGTGTAACACATTCTGCGGGCCCCGGCTCGCCTGAAATTGATGCAATTTTGGTTGACGCTTTTGTGAATGGCCGATGGCCGATGGGATGGCAGAGGAATGTCCCAATCAAAGCTGGCACAAACTTCCAATTCCCACCACGTGGTACAGAGCAATTTGGCTCACCGTCAATAGTGCATGGTCTGGGGAGACCGACCACTTGGCATTGTTGCTATGGGAGATTGACAGACAACCTACTTCTATCGGACATCGGGTGGCGAGGACAGGTTGGCTTCACTGTTGGACAGCTACGGGGAATGGTATTGCTGTCAGACATGTACACAGAATATTGAAAATAGACACAACAGAGGGACAATGAGGTCATCTTGGACAAGCGAGATCCATGGTGACGGTGTGTATTGTCTGAGAGGAGGGTGGCACCATGGTTGCTGTAGCCCGCGGGTGGCGTTGTGACGAAGATAGTTCCGTGGTGGCCAGGTTTAACGATTCCTTCAAGGCTCTGATGATGATGAGGCGCCACCCAAAGGATGCGCTGGATACAGAGCTGACAGGTACGGTACGGTACGTTGGATCATTGGATACCCGAACAAGCCTAGCTCGGGAACAGTTTGGACACCGTCGCTTGTACAGTAGTTTCCGTTGGTTGGTGTGATTGTACTCGCTTTTGAGTCCTTTAACTCGACGACCACCCTTGGGCCCTGCACATGATAGTACGAATAGAAGGCATGATCCGGGGTGTGAGAAGCTGCAATACGATGGTGCTTTACAAGACAATTCTTTGATATTCGTTTGGACCTTGTATCTCGGGACAAGGAGTCTTTTGCAGGTTTGACGGGTGAATAAACAGGAACAGGCAGGCTGTCGGTGTCAGGTGGTGCTTGTTCTGATTGTTGATTGTTCCCCGCGCGCCAAAGTAGATAGAAGGCACTAAGCCTGCTAAGGCAATAGTGTCAGAGCCAATCAACGCCGATTGGTACCTGAGCTAGTACCTGGACTAGGGCGCCCCGTTGGATTCATTTCGCCATGCGCTAACGGGTCCCCAGACCGGGGCCCACCAAATCACAAAAATACCAGAGACACCCCCGACAGCAGCAGGCATCGTGGGCTGCCCCCATCTCCCATCTGCTACTTTCATTAACCTCACACACGCACACACACTCTGGCCCTCTCTCGCCACCTGCTCTCTCTCTTCCTTCAAACCCCCAAATACCCTTCCCTTCTCTGAAACCGCGGACTTCGTTGGCAAAGTCTCCCTCACGACCTCTACGGCATACATGCATCAACCCAACTTGAATACCGAGTATTCAACCCGAAAACATACATTCTTTCGAACCACCCAAGCTCGTGTCGCGCGCACATAACAACACCCATACCACAACATCGCTTCACCCGTAAATAACCACTCCGCACCTCGCGCATCTGCAAGTCAACAATCGCAAGAGATCTGGGAAGAAAGACAAGAAAGTTGTACCATTCGATTCGACAGATTCTGGGATATCAGCGATTGCGACAGCGCCGCATCGACTCACACCACCCACACCCAAACAATATCCACCACCCACCATTATCACGATGCAGCTCTCGTCCATTGTCGCGGCTGCGCTTCTGCCACTGCTGGCCGTCGCCCAGACCTCCACGACTACGTCGACCATGACCATGACTAAATACATCACCATCCAAAAGGCCGCCTCCACCTCGAGCGCCTTCGCCTCGACCTCGAGCAGCTTCGCCGCCATGAACTCGACCACGTACATGCCTACCGGCACTGGTGTCTCAACCATCTCGAGTCTTGTGCCCACCACCACCGCTGGCGCAGATGGTTCCCCGACAACTGTTGCGCCGACTGTCAGCCCGAAAATCGACAACACCAACACCAACGGCGGTGTTTCCGTCGGCGCCGCGCAAGTCGCCTTCGCCGGTGTTGCTGGTATGTTTGTCGCGGCTCTGATGTAGGCCGTGCCGCAAGCCATGGCTTTCCAGCGACGCCGAGACGGGCGACCGTCGGAACTCTGAATCAATCAACCTACGGCCTGAGACACTGTCAACTCTGACTTCTTCGATGGGATCATCATGTCCTCATTTTCTTTTGTCCAAAACCAGCATCTTCCGTTTTCAGCGCTGTCAGGACCATCACATGCGACGAGACGAACCATCCCCACGATATTACAATTGAACGGCAACGAACAAACACGCGAATAACCCGAACCACGCGTCTTCCACTTCTGACGCTATGAGCTTCGGCTCATGGCAGACATCACCATTTTCTCTGACTCAACAACAGCAACCCCCTTTTCCACCTCTTCGACTGGTGTTGAGCGTTTGGTGTCACCTTCACAATCCACCTTAATGTTTCAATGAACCAGCATCACATCGTATACGCGGTTCATTTGACCTCGCCGATATCTTTCTTGCAAATCATTTGAATACAGAATTCACCGCACCACGACTGCTCCATACCCCTTTGACAAGCTTGCAAACCTCCAAGGCCACTTCTTCTCACCTTCTCATGTCACATACTTGAACCATTACCAACACATTCCGATACCCCCGCCTAGGCCTTGAAGGCTGGTCACGTCACTTTGCAAGATTGTCGGCATGCTCATCCGCCGTTGAGATGCTGAAGAAGGAAATGAGAAAGTCGTCTATCGGTGTCGGAAAAGTGGTGCTGGCTGGACTACGTTTACTTTGCTTCCGACTAAACCCCAGTTTTTCTTGCATCTATCGAGGAGTTCGGCGATGAGCGACGAGATCGGAGCCAACCAAGGCATCCTTACATACCCTTTGCACTTTTTATAACCTTCCCCTTCAACTGCCCTCGCGCTGTTGAGATACCCCCGTTGTTGTTGAGGATGTTGTTGTTGCGACGCTCACCGGGCGAAGAACGGTCATACGAGGTCACCTGTGAAAGGAACGGAGAACTACCATTACTGCGCCTGGAACCTGTTCTTATCGTGTTGGTTCTTGACACCTTTCTACAGACCTTTGTCGGCTCTCGCCTTGTCGTTTTTCACTTTGACTTCTGGATGTTTTCACCACGGTTGGGAAAAGAAGGTGAGGGGACCATGTATGGACGGCTTGATGCTTTGTACGGGAGGAAATGCCTTGTAGAGCTAGCTCTGAATTGAATATGCGAAGAAAACATCCACTTCATTCATGCCTTCTCTTGTGACCGACCATTCGCGTCTGCGATTAACTCGGCTCGACCTTTTGCCACTCCCTTTCCCCATCGTTCCGCTTGGTATCTTCTTGTCACTGCCGCCTGTGCTATTATGCGCAAGCCGCAGCTAAACACTTGTCGATTTGTCATAGTGACATTTCAACTTGATACCGTGGAGCTCGTAGTGGAAAGCGTTTACCTGCTCCCAGATACTATGGGTTGTCTTCCCCGCCATTCATAACCCGTGTTGAACGTTTGGACACTCCTCTTACGGTGATGGAATGAATATGATGTGAAAACTCTCATTCCGTGTTCACTTGAATCCATCGCCATCTCGAGTTGATACCCAACGCACGAATTCAATGCCTTGGGGGATTTATAAATAGGCCCTGGTTCTTACAAAGTGGTATGACTTGAATGTGAGAGACACGTGGCGTATGACATCTCGGACTAATGATTTTCCAGCGTCCATGATGACTGATCCCATGGTACCAGCGTTTGGTATTTGTAGGTATGGAAACATAAATACGCACATGATCTTAGACTCACTGTTCATATCAACTCATTATAAACGGTGCGTTATAAAATCCTGGCTATACTTACATAGAGCCTGCTGATTATATAATATTAAAAGAGCCTGGTTGAGTTTCTAAACACGTTTAGTGCTATCGAAATAACCAGGTGGTTAGCAGCAGTAAACATGCACGCCTTGCGAAATTGGAGCATGTAGAAATGCCGTAACGATATCATATTAAGAACAGTAAAGACCTTATATAACAACAAGTATGAAAAACACTTTGACTAATATTAAGCTAGCAACTACAGCATAGAGCTTATAAATTGCCTAGTTGTAGCCTTCTTTAAATTTGCCACATATAACTAGACGGGCTTTGTTCCGAAGAAAGTCTCCGTTTGGGGCAAATTTCTAATTAGGAACCTATTTGACTGGTAATGCTCGTTGACTAGGAGGGAGGTATACTAGGTCGAAGGCCTTGCGAGTTTCGAGACTGTCGATCTGTGCGTCGAAAGCAGGTTTCCAAGCATCCTAGAGTTCTAGCCGGCTCTTGGCTTCTTTGAAGCTTTTCACAGGAGCTAGTGATATGATTTATTAACTAAGATAAAAGTTTGTAAGGAGTAATTAAAGGTCTAATATCTATATACAACGAGAGTGGGGCCAGATCTTGACTGGCGAGTTTTAACGAAAAACACAGATTTAGGCAGTCTTGCACAGCTCTGCGGGATGGCCATTTCAAGCACCTCTGTTTCACAGACCTAAAAGGGCACTTCTATATGTTGTTCCATGGTTGAAGTCGATACGAGGTAGACAACTGAACCTAGTTGTTCCGTCCCCATCCAGCCCCCTCTGACACAAAGCTGCCACGGTCGCACAAGAACATTCCAGACGAATTACACAGACACACTTCACTCTGACGATTGGCTCAAAATCTCTCGACGGTTGATTAGAGCGCACGTCTTGCTACTGTACAACACCCATCCATCTCTCGCAATCAGGACTACTCTTCTGTCACCAGACCGTGCTGGTCACAGCTCACGCCGGTTGAGAACGAGGTCTTTCGGCACCCAGCCCCATACGAACCACTCACTGCGTCCCGCAATCGCGGAAACCTGAGACTGCGCCTGGGGGCTAAAGGTTGCCATCATGTCGAGCATCTCGTCGCGCGAGAAAGCCCAAACGTATGTGCCCCGTGGAAGTCGTACGTGGGCTATGCGAACCGAGTTCGGATCGCGACGGTCGACGCCATGAACATTTCGGCGCTCGTAACGTCTTTGTGCCTCGCGCTGGGCGTCGCCCAGATTGTTGTAAAAAGAGACGAACTGGGTTGGTTGTCGATTCCTTCAGTCCAAGTGCTGTTCGATGGACAAAGCTGTGATGACATGCCACGGGTCCATCAAATAAATGTCAGGATCCTCGCACTGGATGCCGGTGCCGGGTATGAGGGGGGTGCGGGAAAGGTCGTCGTACACGTGGTACAGATCGACATTCTCCTCGCCGGGTGCAAAGTGGTGGGGTTTGAAAATTTGATTCAGCCAAAATCGACGACAACAGTCATGATGGGATGGCGGTGCCGCATATCGCTGCTCGCTGCTGCAGGCAAGGCACATCATGTGGTTGGAAAGTGAGTACCGGCGACTAACTGCTAGTCTGCTACCTTGGTCGAGGTGACTTGGCCAACAATCTCGCTGGAGTTGTTACGAACCAACAATGCCACAGGCCCGTTGGCAGGCCTGAAGGAAAGGTGGCCTACGAAGAGGCCAATCGGAACAAGCACGCCACACAGAAGGAACCCAAGGCACCCGAGCACGTGATCTAAGGAATGTGGATCACGTGACCAGACTTTGCTCACGACTGCTCACGCGAGCAGCAGTGAGCACACCTCATCAGTGAGGGCGGTACATTGAAATGCGACGTGATGCGCTGGGAACAACACTGTGGCTAAGAGACTTGCCGTGCAGCATCTCAACCAGAGAAAGCCTACCAATCCATTGCTGCAGCCTCGCCCCAGTCCGTTTTTACTGTCTTCACACACCCTGCTGCCGGCCTTGACACCCATCACCAGTCACATCTACTGTACCTTCCCAGTCATCAGTAATGTGGGCATGCAGCTTTTGTGAAATGACTTTTAAACGCGAGTGGCAACTGGAATCGCACCTGCCTGTGCCTTCGTGGTAGCGGAACCAGAACGGAGATCTATCACAAGTCTTGGTTGGGATGATCTGTATTCTGGTTGGTGCTTGGTTACGTTCGGATGGGAAGGGATCCCATCCGAGAAGTATCTAAATACCTAAATTACAGTGGGTTGGTTCCTGTCACCTGGGGCAGCCTTCCCAGGTAACCTTATCGTAGAACGCCCTGGATGACAGGAGATCCGATAAGGTACTGGTGGCTGCATCCAGTGGCTGGGATCCACATGCCCAAGCATTCGACGCGAAAGTACTTCTGCAACGTCCTTGGATGCAACAGCAAGGGCTTTAACCGCAAGCAAGATCTGAAAAAGCATGGATTGGAGTTTCACCCTCCTCTCGTGTCTCCTTTTGACTCTTGTCGGGAAGGCGATTTTACGAGGCAAGGCCGCCTGATGATATATGTAAACAGCCTAAATGTGACTCCATCTTGCTAAGTTTTTACAGCCATGAACTTCATAGCCATCCACGCAAAGAGCTTACCGACCCTCGATTGCGACAAGCAATGTCACAGCTCCGCCGTCGGAGGGTGTTGGATCCAAGCCTATCATCATAGCATTACAATACATATACGTTGGGTATCTACCGTCTCAGTGGCTAATCAGATGGGGAGCACCCCTCCGCACCCTGTCGAGAGATTCCCAAGTGAGCCAAGGAGACTGGGCTGGGTACCCAACCCACTGGACTAGAAACATCTTCCCACCATGGCTGACCCCCAAGACGTTAAGAATTTGGTGAAGAAACCTAGGTCCAAGAGCCACATGTCTGCCACCTAGGCTCCCCCCAATATGCCAATGAGAAATATTCGTCCTTGAATTGGACCTTTGTCTGCTGCTCCCAATCGCGGTATTCCAGCCATCTGACATCCGGAAGAGCCTTTCGACCATAGACGAAAAACTCTACAACATTGTACTTCACCTCCCTGTGTGCTCTGACGGAGAAAATGGTGCCAGGGTGTAGACGACCGTTGTTCAACGCCCCGGGTTCTCTGATACTTCCACCATCATCCGTTTTCCCGACCAATGGTGGCAGCCAGGGTAACAATACCGTGGAGGTGTTGCAGACTTGTTAAACAGAGCGCCACCCATGGACTCTCACAGGTGTATGCTGCCCACCGGTTAGGAGACTGCAAATTGAAATGGCTGATGCGTGAGAATGAGTGATGGCCGGAGCTGTTCCTCGTACACGCCGAAGATTGTATGTGTGGCCAGATGGCGAGCTCTGGAGATAAGAATGATAGACAAGTACTGGTGTTCTTCTTAGAGTACTGATGGACGTCAAGGCGTGGTGCAGGAGTGCAGAAGAGGCAGTATGTCATGCAGCTGGGTGGGTGACGAGTCGATTCACAGGCGAGGGTGTCATGAGGTGTTGGGAACGAGGCTCTGCACGAGGCTCAGCAAAAGTTGTGTTGCGATAAAGGCATTATGCAGCCAGCCTGTACCATCAGATAGGGTACAAATGGATGAGAGACAGAGCCCCGGCCATAGAGATAGTGGTAGTCCCTGTCTCGTCACACATACCTATCTATCAAGGAGGGAAGTAACGGCGGGAGCCCCCAAGTGGGACAGCCCCCCCAGTGGGACAGCCCCCCCAGTGGGACAGTTTTTACACCCAACATCACAATGTTCACTTATACATATCTCCACGAGGAATGAAGCTGTAAATACTGTTCCTATTGCCTTTGAATCGTTTTTTCTTAATGTCTTCTTGGCGATTGAGTAATTAATTATTGCTTTTTTCTTAAGCGTTTGGCGGTGCTTTGAAGTTTGACCATGCCTTGCTCTCACCAAAAGGTCGGGAAAACCAGACCCACGGCAGCCCAGAACGTTAAATTTAGTAAGGGTAAAACTTCATGCTATTATAACTCTTGTTATAACCATAACTTACTATGAGCACCCATACTTTACAAGTTTAGAAAAAAGAGACAAATATTCTCGCTCAAATAACTACGTCGTACCATTATTATCGGTCGAGTTATGAGGGTCGCAATAGTGACATTTTGGTGGGAAAACTGTCCCATTGGGGGGGCTGTCCCACTTGAGGGCTCCCGCCGTTATAAACTGAGCACGAAAAAGGAGGCGAGATGTAACAGGCTGTGAAAGACGAGGTGTGTGCGCACAATCTATGCGCTCACCACCTGGCTGCGTTACGTACAGACTGTACAAAAGGGCTGGGAACAGCTCGGTCTCAGATACGCGAGTGGAGGATACCATCCGGCTTTGCTGGACAGTGGAGACGCCGGTCCATGTAGGTGCGGCGGGCGAGTACGAGCTTGCTAATTTAGTGGAGAAGGATTGCACCTTGTTCTGTGGGCTGCGGCCGGTCGTGGAGATGGCACGGTCTATAGGATCGGGGAAGTCACAGGATCAGGGTCAGGCCGTCGACAGCATTCAATACTGGTTAGAACCCGAGTTATTATTGAGTCATCTATTCATCATATAGAGCCATTTTCATGAAGCTTTGGTCTTGTCCTGTCTTCTCTTCTCACAGAAATCCATTGAGGACCTTGTACTAGTTCCTAATTTTGTAACGCCAAGGCCCTACCTTCCTTCCCTTTAACCCGGGTATGCTTACATACCGGGAAGCGTCTAGATACTCTTATCTAGTAGTCTAGAGCGTGTATCTTGACAGTTTCTGACAATGACTTCAACGGGATTCCAGGTACTGTACAGACTGAATAAGTGGGTTGTTGCTTATTGGCCATAGCGATGAACGCGATAGAATGCTTGGTCCTTGACCTGTTTTGTAAATACAGGCTCGGTCATTATTACATAATTGGCACGTGTCATGTTGGGACCCTCTCCGGCGATACGGGCAGTGGTGATTAACAGCTGAGGATCGTGGGGATCTCTGTCTTCCAGCAGTTCCTCATCAGTCATACGGCAGAATGGGGCATAAAGCGACCCCCGCTTGGGAGGAGCGTCTGTGGCCAGTACAAGAGTTTGGCATAGCGTAGGGAGTTCCTTGCGCAGTATTAGGGCATTGAGGAAGGCCGTCACAAGGAAAAGGATAAATATGATCATCTTTTTCCGCAAGGTACCACGGCCCTCCCCTACGTCCTTGTGCTGCTCACCATCTTTAAATATCTCTTTGATTTTCTCCCGGATCAAATCCATCTTGCTGCTGCCCGTCCCGATTGCATCAAGGTATGGCCAAAGCGTGTGGTTGCGCAGATCCGCATGTGACATAGTATTCAGGTTGCCCTTTATGTCTTCTGCACAGAAACGACACGGCTGTCCCTGAAGCAACATTTTTGCTAGGCCTGGGAAGGTGGTACACAGCCCAAGGTCGTAAAGCGCCCCCGGTTTCTGAAGCCCTTTTCAACCTCGGATATGACACTCTCCAAGGTTGGCTCGGCGCCGCGCGAGCCATGATTTGAAACCTGCCACAAAGTAATCTTCTTTGTTAGCCGCTTATCGAATTCATTCCTGGACATGTTTACAAGCGACCTGATGTCATGAGATAGGGCTGCGGGAGTTCTCCAAACGCGATAGGCTCCACTTCCATCGGCGGCAACAGAATGATAAAGTAGTCAAAAAAGCGGTAGTGGCTGTCTCTCTGGATCATATATGATTGCATGACTTTCTTTCTTAGCGCCTGGTACTGCTGAAAGCGCCTCTCGTACACTGTGCGTCTTTCCTCATCGGCAGATCCAACATCACATCCCTGGTCAACCAGCCAGTCGCTCTCTTTCGCCCACTTACCAAAAGTCGGGCAATGGGTTGTAGCCGGGGTTTTTTTTCCATCGCTGGACTGATGACGAGGTGATGGTGGTGAAGAAAGGCTCCAGCGTAGATGGGCTCCGCCGAATTGGTGTGCCGCTGATGCTAACAAGATATAAAGGCGAGCCCGAGCGACCGATCAACTTTTGCGTGATGAAATTCCAGACTATTGTATGTCTGGCAATCTGGTTATGAGCCTCGTCCATCACCACCCAGCTAGGTTTGATAAAAAACGGCTCTTGTATGTCGCCGTCCTCATGTTGGACGAGCAAACCGGATTCCTCCTGGATTCTGGTCAAGGCCGAGGATGTTGGCATTATTATGATGATGTGTTTATTGTCTTGCCTTTTCTTGCTGCCTAGCTTCAGTGTTGGTTTGTAGGAAGTATCAGAGCCGTGTTCCCATACCCACTGGTCATCGGTAATGTGGTTATCTTAAAGGTTGCTAGCGGTTACAAATGTGACCCTGGGATGCCTCTCCCTCATAGCGGTCGAGACTTTGTCGGCTGTCGTATGTACAGACCAGATCTCGGTCCTTCGAAGTCCATCTGGTAGTGGCGTTGGAGAGATATACTTCGATAGTTGGTCGCACTATTGCTCCCGGAGACCTGGAGGTACTAGGATGACGGCTGGCCCTCTAGGAAGGGTGCGTGACGTAAGGAACTGGGCAGTCGGGAGTCGATCCACACACGGACAGGCGAAGCCTCGGAGATACGTTCCCTTAGGACACTCAGCATCCTCCGGCTGTGGACGATCAAGAGTGCCCGTAGCAAGATGGTATCCCTTGCCGGTTTTCCTGTCTTGCCTGACTTCTTGCGCTGCCAGGCGGATATGGGGAGTGAGAATAACACCACACGTGCCTTTCAAGGTCTTGCCAACGGCCATACCGTCTGCCAGGAGAATGCCGAACGTCTTTCCAAAGTGATACATGAAAAGTATGCGAGTGATGGCCCAGAATTGATGCGGCTTTACGGCAATACTCAGCCCTTGAAAGCGGTGACAGTGAGCTGGATTCGACGAATCTGTTTTCGCTGGGTCATGTCCCGAAAATGCACAGGCGAAATCCCAGATGTCCCTCTCTGACTCCTTGTCCAGGTCGACCTTCTCGCGTCGGTTATTGTCCGCTATCTCTTCCCTCAGAACTTCAATGTGCGGACGACCCTCGGGCAGGGAACGACCATTATGGAGGGCATCTTCATTGAGGCCGTCTGTACGGCCCAGTTAGTCTTTACCATTTTTATATTAGCTAAGGAGAAGCACCGCGCTGCGTTCATTGCGCCTATTGGTATTGGCATGTCGCTGTTTATCTCCGAGATGGTTGCTGTACAGTTCACTGGGGGCTCGCTCAACCCGGCGCGCAGCTTCGGTCCTTGCGTGATTACGCTGCAGTTCGACAAGGAACATTGGATCCACTGTATGTTCTCGTCGTCCTGAACTATCCTCCCTCGCAGCCTCCAAGATAGAACAATCTACTGATAATGAATGCTCCAGGGCTGGGTCCCGTGATCGGTACAGTGGCAGCCGTGGTATTCTACCGCTTCATCAAGACTCTGGAATACGAGGTAAGCCGGCGCTCCATACCCATCGTAACCCCCCCCGCGCAGTTGCTAACCCGGTCACACAGATGGCGAACCCCGGCCAAGACGACGACATCGACGTTGAGGAACTGGCCCAGAAGGACCCGGAGAAGCTCGAGCAGCTCCGGGGCACCCCCAACCGCAGCATGGTGGCGCCAGGACACTCAGCGTGCGAACCAATACCCGCACTATGTCCATCCGCCAGGGCTCGGAGCTGGGACTGAGCAACCACCGGCTGTCGTTCCCGCAGCCAAGTGATGTTCGGGCTGGGAGTACGGCCTCTTTCCATTAATAAGCCTTTATATGTGATTAGACATGGATAACGGCGGAGGCCCCCGAATGGGACAGCCCCCCCAATGCGACAGTTCCCCCACCAAAATCGCAATATTGCAACCCTTATAACTTAGCCGAGAATAATCGCACGATATATCCGTTTAAACGAGAATATTCGCCTTTTTTCTTTCTAAATCTGTAAAGCATAGCTTCTCATAGTAACTTATGTATATAACAAAAGTTATAATAAAATGGAGTTTTACCCTTACTAAATTTTAGCGGCAAGGCTGCGGCAAGGCTGGTTTTCCAGACCTTTTAGTGGAAGCAAGGCATGCTTTAAGTTCATAGTACCGCTATTTAATCAATACGAAAGCGGTACTTAATAGCCTACATATCACGAAAACACCAAGGAAGTGGATTCCAGCGTAATATTGACAATATTTACAGCTTCATTAGTCATGGAGATATGTATAAGTGAACATGGTGATATTTGGTGTGGGAACTGTCCCATTGGGGGGTTGTCACATTGGGGGGCCCCCGCCGTTAGAAGATAGATATTCATCTATTGATCAAGCCCGATGAGGTTCAGTCCTTGTGGGCGTTCATCATTCTCTCCTTCATGAAGAGCCATGGTGATAGATGATATTGCACTGCACATCATTGGCCGCATCGAAGACGACTCTGGTGACATGGAACTTGTAGACCACGCAGTACTCGCCAGTAGGAAGCTCTAGACCGATCACTTCGCCCTGGATTACACATGACTGGCCACAATCTTCCTCTGTCCTTCTTTCTCTCCCCCACTGGGCCATCCCTGGTTCTAGTCATGCTGGCTCATATACACGCGACGGGGCCCCTCGGGAATAAATTGGCATTCTAGGACTTCCACTGGGAGCAGAGGCAGTGTAACGAGCCGTATACACGTCTCCGGACGGATATGCGATTATCACAACAGATATGACCGTTCCGTGACCTCCCGCGATGGTTGACCTGATGACTCAGCATCATCTCGATACTGTTGCCGTTAATGGGCTTCCAGTGCAGTCTAGTAATGGGCTACTATGGGCCAAGTGCATTCACCACCTTGAAAGTTCTCAGACAACGAAACACGTATTCCTCCATTCAATATACAACAGCCCCGATACATATTCATGACGCCGACACATTGCAGCGGGCATGCCTTCACAGCAAATAGCGCCCCACCTCTACCAGTACACGCTCTCATATATCGCAATTCCGGATACCACCTATACCAGAGCCTAGTACGAGTCCATAGTAGTAGACACAAAGCAGTAGAGAATAGCATGCAGCTAGACCACCTCAAAGGTCCTCTGGACCTGTACCGCCTGCATCGGGTACGAGGCTTGCCCTTCTTTCGCCCCAGAAGACCAGTTCCCATGGTTGCCAGCTTCGACCTCTGTCCAAGCTAGCTCCGCTGTACTAGATCCATTGTAAAGGCCCAAGTGGCGAGGTGGGGGCAACCTCTCTGTGTCCATGCTTTGTCCAGTTCCAGTACTTTTGGCAGACTCCTTGCCCGACAGCAGCCTCCAGTCGGTGCTGCGCACAAGAGAGCGAAACATGGACTTGACAGAGCCAAAGAGATTGACATTTGATAGCAACACCCTGTAAATAGGTGTGCAACAACAGATGATGCTCGCGCACATCTGGAGAATGTCCCAAACTGCATCAAGGCCACTGAAACCTGTGGTGCGGATCGGAAGGTCAGCTCTCGAAGGCAGCAGACCCAGGGCGATTCGCTTCCATGGAACAGGTACTTACCAACTGATGAATAAGAATCCCCGATTTTCACAAATCCGATAAGGCCAGTCCTGCGTTCACCAAGTTAGCAATGTGTATCGTTGCACATACCAATAGCAGCGACTTACAAATCACCAAGGGCAAAGACAACACTCAGTCTCCACTTGTTGCGCGTCGATACTTGCAACTTCCGTACCATATATATGGCCATGCCTACCATGACAAAGTCCACGGCCGAGTTGATTGACTCAGGTATAGCGAGTATCAGCTTTGCGCTTAGGCAATGGCGTGGCCCCTTGAGCTCCCAAAACGATTGAATTGGCGTGCAGGCGAATACGCGAGTCCAGAACATTGCAAAGCCCCAAGAAAGCTGGACAAACGCCACGCCCCAAACTCAGCGCGTGAAGGCCCTGCTCGAGGAGAATATGCGATAGTAGAGGATCAACAGGCTGAGCTTCGCACAGGTCTGGTTCAAAGGGAACATGAAGTTTGTCAAATATCCCACCTGGTGTGAAATCTCAAGTCAGTGTCTGCATCTAGCGCAGTCAGAGGGGCGAGTCCACTTACTTTCAGAATGCGCCGGATTGTGTCGTAGGGAAGATGGGCATATTGCAGAGGGTTTTACCCGTTTGAGACGAAGATCTGTCAGCGTTGAATGTGATACGATGGAGATCGAGGCAGGCGGCCACGTTGCCTGCCCTAGGTTGGACTCACTCCACAACTCCATGATGTTGAACCCCAAGTTGAACAGTAAGGCCAGCAACGCCAAGTAGTCTTCCCAGCCGATTTTCCGCTGGGACTTTCTCGTGGCAACAAATCGGAGAACAGTGACCAAGATGGCTATTGGCGTACAGATGAGAGCCACCACAAAGATTGATCCCAGCACCCGGTCGTCAAAGACACGGAACGTCATTGTGCTGCTGAGAGGGACCTGTCGATGGGCACTGAGTTTCAGTAATGAGACAGAGTAGAGAAATCTTGCTCAGAGCAAGATGAACAGAAGCCAGGCTCGAATAGAGCTATTGAATCAACGTTCAGGGAAATGCGCTTCTTTGAACGATGCCAGCCTGCTTTAGCCAGTTAGCAAGCCGAAGGCCTTGGATGGTAGCGAAGCTGCGAGCTGGAACTGCGTGCCAACATGAGGCGCCAACATGTGTGTTGCGATGTGACTGTGACGGCCTGCACAGACCTTCCCACATGACAAGCGGATACTTCCCAATAGGGGAAGGATCTGACCAGAGGATCCCCTTAAAGGGGCAACCTCCCACTGTACCTATCTCTCTCTCTCTCTTCCTTTCCTCTCTAGTCTTGATATTCTCGTCAATAGAGTAATAGCTGCTTGCTGCAGGCCATGTCCCAGCTCCTCAGTATGCTCGCCGTGACAGTGCGGAATACAGTATTTTTGAGCGCTTTTTCGCACAGAGAGGCCCTCATCCGTGATATCTAAGATGGCATTCGCCATCTGATCCTCCGTATACGAATACGGAGGCATTTTGGGCGACTATACGATGCTGCGGTACATACAGAACGAGGCTTTAGGAGAGCCTTGAAAATCTCTATTTAGGGTAGGAAAAGCGGGGTGATAGCTCTCCAATCACGTAAGCCAGGAGGGGTAAACTCAGCATTAGAGAAAATCCCAAGATCAGGGCTATCTAGAGCACTAAATAAATCGTGAATAGCTTCAATATCAGGCTGAACCCGTATAAGTGAACATGTAGGAGTTTTGGTGGTGACCCCACAATTTGGCTGGCCGACTAGTGGGGGTGGCCGACTTCTATGGGGGGAATGGTATCTTGGCAACTTGGTCCTGGCACTCTCAGGAGGAGGCTTTACTCCCCGCATCGCGTTCAATGGCTTGGTCTGTAGAGATTTCGTTCAATTGAGGTCGTTTCATTCTAGTGGTACTGCCGTCATTGATATTTCGGGATTTTCCTTTCAGAGGGGAAATAACGGTGAAATCAGCCTAAGAGACCTGTGACGGGCTGCTGCTGATGTCGTCAAGCAGCGCCTGGCGGAGCCTGCTCGGAGTTGCCGGGCTGTATGTCTTTCTAGGGGCCGGGGATTTGAGCATGCCGCCAGTGGTCGTCTTTGGGATGGCCATGGGCGTTTTTGGGGGCCCGTCGTGGAAGGGTGCCATCCGGCTTATGAGAAAAATTCTCTTGTGCCTTGGCAAAGATAGTCAGTTATTGAGAGAAGTGCCTGCTTTAACGCAGATATCGAGGTTGCGCCTTAACAGCGGGGCGCCAAGAAAAATAGTTGTTTTTGTTTGGTTTGTTGAGCCTGACTCCTTAGTGATGACTATCCTATTATCCTATGCTCTCATATTAACATGGTTTATAGACTTCCTTGCTGCCCACAGCCAACATCGAGGCTTTGCTGGACCTTGCATCTCAGGGCAAGATCCAGGAGCTCAAGTCGTCCTTGGCTATCTTGAGTACCCGGTATGGCGTACTAAAGCAGACGCTGGTACTTGAGCACGCCAGAGACCGCGATGGCAACAACGTTGCCCACCATGCAGCCACCTATGGCCACCACGGTATGTGTCATGGGCCGAGTATATGGAGTGTTACACTGTAGGGTCAACTTGGTCTCGTATAGTCACTAATATCATTAGATGTCCTGGAGTTCATCGAAAACGATGTCTTCCGAGTCGACGACCGACCCAACCGTGATCAGAACCTACGCAAGCTGATCGGGGAGAAGAACAGCGCAGGAGATACGCCCTGCCATCTGGCGGTCGCCGCTGGCCAGTTCATTACAGCTGGGTACCTGATTAACCACGGTGCGCCACTATCAGTGACGAACCACGCGGGCTGGACGCTGTTGCACGCGGCAGTACGCGCTGAGAAGCTAGTGATCGCGCTGTGGCTGGTGCAGAAAGGCCTGGATACAAACGCACAAACCGTCAAGGGCAGCACAGCCCTTGATCTGGCAGCCAAAGACGATTGGTACGACGGAGCGAAGATGCTGCTAGAAAGGGCGCGGACCTTGGCATTATCAACGCGAACCGCATGAACCCGGGGCATGTGGCAGACGTCTTGTGTAGCGAGGCCTTCACCGGCCTCCTTATGACTAAGGAGTTCTTCGAGCCCAGTGAACCCCAGGGCGGCTACGACTGGGAGCAGATAAAGGAAGACGATGAATACTTCGAGTAGGGAAAGTTCCGGGACGCACAATGAAACGAACTGCATGCTACATATAAAACCACCACACCTATAATGCCGACGACAATGTTTCCAATGATTCAGTGACTAAAAGGCAACTGGTACCAATATCGCTCTCACCTACATGCCCGGGCTGGACATCTCCCCGGCCCTGTCTGGTCTGTGAGCCTCACCAGCGGCATAGAGGAGTCGCCATGTTCGGATGCCAGTTCGCCAAGGTATACAGGAGTATTGGGTAAGAACCCGACAGGAGTATCCGGTAAGAACCGACAGAAGAATCTCAATGCTCTGATACCCAATGAATAGAGTATACGATATGAAGATGTAATAAAATAGGAGGTTGATAGGGGGCCCGAAAGCTCAGTATCAGCTATTGCAATATGATCACTTGGTTGACCATCTAATGTTGGCCGGTAGGTGTCGATACCTGTCTTTGGGCTCGGCCCCCAACCGTTACCTTATGCTTATTTCTACGGATTTAACATGACTGCACGGGTGTATGGGCGAAGTTCGCTGCGCCGCTCAACAACAGCCCATCAACAGCTACCCCAGGCAAATGACGCGTCGGCCACTGGCCATCCCCCATGGCTCGTCTGCAGAAAGCTGCACCCAACAACCGATGCTGATTGACCAGATCTCCAGGCTGCAGCCCTAAGTCCTATTTGGCACTATAAAAGACGGCTCGGTGTCTGGCAATTGGCTCGTGCCGCAGACGAACAGGATATAACTATGGGGTTGGAGCGCAGCCTGTACAGAACATGCAGGAGAGTTGCGTTGGTGTCCGCGTAACCGGCATCAGCTGATTACGAGTCCAACCCCCCCTGTCTTGCGCGTGGTTGGACGCCATGTATCAACGACACGGTCTACCAACATATATCTTTTTATTCACCGCACCTGCCTATTTGGCGGCGTTCCCATCTCTTCTTCACTCTTCTGGTGCGAGTGTAGACTGACTTCGTCCGACCTCTTGGTCACTCAACGTGTACGTGCCCACTGCCCTTGATCGCAGTCAGACCACCTGACTACCATAGATCGCGATCAACGTGCCGTCACAATGGGGTCTGTCACCTACCGAGATGGCACAGCTATCGTCCAGCTGTTTTTCTTCGCGGCCTACCTGTGTTGTGCACTGTTTCTCTGCACCAAGCACGGCTGGTATCGTAGCGGCGGCTGGCTCATCATCGTGTTGTTCAGCACGCTCCGCATCATCGGCTCCGGCTTCCAGCTATCGACCATTGACCATCCAACACGCACGGCTTATGCAGGCGCTCTTATTACCGAAAGCATCGGCATCGCGCCGCTGGTGAATATTAATGTGGGCATGCTGGCCTGGCTGTAAGCCAGCCCAGGTTCACCCTCTCCTATATGGATGGCAGCGAGGGCTAAGCTGACTATCCCTAACCTGTGCCGGGTAGAAACGAGTACCTGCGCAAGAAACTACACAAGATCGTCTTCATTATGTTCTTCGTCGCGAGCTCCACGGGCATAGGCCTCGCCTCCGAGGGAGGAGCACGGTCCGCGAACACTGCGACACCCTTCTCGGGCAACGCGCTGACCCAGGCCGCCATCGTCATCTTCACGGTGCAATACGCATGCGTCGGAATTGTGGCTTCGATCATTTATGCGCAGAGGAGGGAGATCGCTCGACTAGAGCTTCGCCTCCTTGTTTGCACAGCGGCGTGCTCGCCGTTTATCGTTGTTCGCCTCGTCTACGGTCTAATCGCCAACTTTTCGCACGACATTCGCTTTAACATCTTTCTGGGCGACACGACCATCTACTTCACTATGTCGGTGCTGATGGAGATCTTCGCTGTGGGTTTGTGCTGTATTGCTGGCCTCATGCTGGAGAAGATGCCGAGGCCGAACTCGAAAACGTCAGAGCCGGGAACGGTCGAGCTTAGCGAGGGTATACTACACCAAAGAGCATCAGGAGAGCTTAGCGGGTTACCCCAAGAGGGGGTAGAAAGTCACAAGTAGTTGCTCAGCAACATTTTCAAGGACAACAACGATGGCAGTCATAGTCTCAAAGGAGAATGTGCCAGGGCGCGTTGTCCATAGCCGGTAGCAACGTCTCTTCAACTCCCAATATCAAGGTTCTAGGCTTACGGTCAGAACGATGTTGGAAGATATATTAGACACATATGCTTTCTGATCTAGCAGGGACAATGAAGCATCCTTGTTGTGATTTATACAAGCATTTACGCGGTTACCACCTAGGGGCAAATACGGGCTTTAGAGAGTAAATGCAATAAGTATATAATTGGCAGAGAGAGCCCCAGGGGGCAGCTATAGCGTGTGTATGCCCCTAAAAGCGGCAGTGTTTCAAAGGCTATACTAACGCTTTAAAGGGCCTTTATTCCGTTATGCTTGCGTTAAATGTTAAAGGTATAAGAGTAAAAGCTTTTATAATTGTTAATTAAAGTCATAAAAATATATTGTTATATACTTAAAAACCGGATTTTTTTTACATGCTTTTATTTAAGAAAAACCAAAAACCGGATCTGTGGATAGGTAAAAAACATATTTTAAAGCTTAATCTATAATTTATTAAAAGTATTATTAACAAGGTAGAATTATTTATTGCAAGCTTATAAAAAAGCTGTAAAATATATAATTTTAAAAGCAAAAAAATATATAACGTAGGTCACAAGCGTGCGGGACACTTTGACCAAGCTTCTAACCACACATATCAAATAACTTAATCACAACGCATTGAATTTAATCTAATCAATCGGATTCCTCTTCTTCATAGCGTTTCTCTCTTTATTATACAAGTTTGCGCCTTATGGCCAGTATTACTGCAAATGCCACAACGTCGCTCATGCGCTTTACCCATTTCCTGTCTTGCCAGCTCAGCACCATCCTTTGCAGCCTGAAGACCTACTACATTTTTAACAGAAAGTATTCCTCCTTTTATTAGACATTTGTTTTTTGTTCTCTGGTGTTTACTTAATAAGTGATTAGCCTCCTCTAGTTCGCAGAACCGAGAATCAATCAAAGTGACCTTGTGGATAAGACCGTATGTAGCCTTTAAAAATGAGTTCAATACAGCAATTATTGATGTAAGTAAGCTTCTTTAGTGGTTTCTTACTCAATTTTGGATATAAACTGATAGGTTTACCGCTTCGTTAATAGTGATAGGCGTCTTAGAAGTCCAAGTAGTAAGTAGCAGATTAGGGTTTAGCGACGGTATTCGTACAACAGCAACAGTATCCAGCTTTGAAATGATACTTTCTGGGTCAGAAAAAACAAGCCCAATAGCACTAAAACCTGCTTGAATATTTCCTGGTGTCATAACAGCGTTATATGCTTCATAAAACGATGTAAGGAAGTCCTCCTTTGAAACGTGGGTTATATGACACCGGATGAGATCTTCCATCATGCGACTATAAGCTCGTTTGAACGGGCTAAAACAGCTGACATCTAAAGGCTGGAGCATGTATGATGAGTGGTCAGGCATATAAAGGGTAATGATACTATTGGTCTGACAATAATTCTCAAAGACCTGGAATAGTAGCTTTCATGGCTATCTGGGATGAGGAGGCGTTTACCGGCGGTCATACTCGGTCTGGTATACTTGTCAAAATGCTGAATCCATTTCAACCTGATCTCATTTGTAGTCCATCCGTTGTCAGACACGGCTACCTTCCAATCACGTAGTAATGTTGTGTCGCAATATCATGACGCGAGGTGGGTTTTGCCCTGTAGAATGATGAACATCGGGACCACCCAACCAGCAGCATTGATAGCAAAGATTGCTGTAGACCATTCTCTGTTGCCTTGCTGAGCTTGTCTAGGCCTGCTGTGACGGCCTGCACAGACCTTCCCACATGACAAGCGGATACTTCCCAATAGGGGAAGGATCTGACCAGAGGATCCCCTTAAAGGGGCAACCTCCCACTGTACCTATCTCTCTCTCTCTCTTCCTTTCCTTTCTAGTCTTGATATTCTCGTCAATAGAGTAATAGCTGCTTGCTGCCGGCCATGTCCCAGCTCCTCAGTACGCTCGCCGTGACACCTGCCACGTCTTTTGGTATTTGTGATGACTATGCCAGACCCAATAATACCTATTATAAACCTAGTCTCGTTGAAATTATAAATATCCGCGTCTTGTTTACTATGTTTTGCGGTTACTGCAGCAACTTAGCGAAATCACGCGCAATACGCATCTGGATCTTTGTTCAAGACCCTCGATTAATCTATCCTGCAATACAAACGTGTCTGTAGGCCTGATGTACGTTTGATGAAGTTCACCATCCAGTTCTTTCCGGTACGTCTAGCCCCACATACTGCCAATAATTAATTCACTATATTTTTACCATAAGTGTACCGGGGTGAAAATGCTCGCGCATCTATGTCAAGTATAAAGGAGCAAATGGCATTCTTTCTGAAAACCGTAAGCTTTAAAGAATTAGGCATGCTATCGCGTTATGAGGGTCGGGCAGTGATTCTTTAAGCCAGTATAAAGATTAATAGGTAGAAATTTTTAGCAAGCTTTTGAACAGAAATATAAAGGTCTCATTTTTTAGCTTGGACAGCTAGCTGTATGCCTGATTCGTTATAACACAGTGTCATTGTCGTGGGTAGAGGGATACTGATTGGAAGTTGTTGGATAACAGGGGTTATCACGGCGAGCGTACTGAAGAGCTGGGACATGGCCGGCAACAAGCAGCTATTACTCTATTAAAGAGAATATCAAGACTAGAGAAGAAAGGAAAAGAGAGAGATATAAATACAGTGGGAGGTTGCCCCTTTAAGGGGATCCTCTGGTCAGATCCTTCCCTTATTGGGAAGTATCGGCTTGTCATATGAGAAGGTTTGTGCAGGCCGTTACAGGGGTCATAAAGATGAGCCGAGTCCGACCGGAAAAAGCACGGTACGGCGGAGATGGCTAACACCAAACTGGAAACCGATCAAAGGCTCCTGAACAGAGAGAACGGACAGAAGACTCTGCGATGCAATACACTAATAATCACTCGCTATTCATTAAATTCGCTTGAATCTAATAAAAGTTGAAAGTTTGAGAGGTTCGTAAAAGTGTCCCACTCGCTTGTGACATACGTTATATTGAAAGCGTTAACCATTATATATTAAATTTTATAAGGTTTATAATAACTTATTAACTTTAAATAATGTATTTAAAGGCCTTATAAGCCGTTTTTTTATATTTATTATAAATATACCGATATAAGTAATTCGAATATTTATAATTATTATTACACTTTTATTTATAATCAAGATTATTAATTTCGACTATTTGTTATTATTATTATGTTTTTTCTTACTATCATGTCAGGGTTTCAAAGATTATATGTCATTAAAATAATACTTATAAAACATTTACTTTAACAATTCAATCTTACACGATTTATAGCTCTTTTTATATAATAATGTCAAAATATATATTATTTAAATGTTAGTGTATTATAATAATGATTTTATATAATATGTATATTTTTTTTGGAAAATATAATCTATTACTAGTATTGAGGCTAAGAATATCTCGTAATTCTTTGAATATAATCGGTTAAAAAAAAGGTAAATTAAAATTTAATAATTAACCTAAAATAAAACTATTCGTTTTTGAAAAGCACGAAGTAATTTTTAAAAAAATTAAGGGTCAACTGTTTATTGATATTATTAGTATTTTTTTAAAATTAACAAAGAATTTTAAATTAAAAAATATTCGAATAGATTTTTTATAGTAACTTCATTACCAGGTTAAAACATATAATTTATAATATTGAAGTAAAAGATAAAAAAACAGCTTTATAAATTATTAAGAAACTTCATATTAAATGTTCTAAATAATTTATAGCTTACATATTTTAAATTCATTCGTTTAAAATATAAGTTGTAGCGTTTATCGTTTAACGGTAAATATTTAACGGTTAATGCGCTGGACTTTTTAACTTAAATCTTAGTATTACTTTTATAAAGACCATTTTTTAGCGCTTGTTACCTAAAACGTTATCGTAATTAGTAATTTAAATAGCAAAATTATTAATAAAATTAATCGCTTTATTTTCAACATTTATTAACAAGACTTTAATAAATTAAAAAAAATCACTATGATTTAAAGTGTTCTTAAAGCATTCTGGTTTTTTCACTGTCCCTCCTTTATTCAAAAGGCATCTTAACGCGTTGAGATATAAAAGTATTCTTAGTTAGCTACGGCCTTACTAGTTTTAGGTTTAAATATTTTTTTAACTAGTTGAAAATAAAACTTAACACAGCAATCTTAGGGATTAATAAATCGCTTGTTATGAGCGTTTAAACTAGCTGTAAGTAAGCCGGTTATAAACGAAAAAAGGTTGAAAAGGTTTCTTTTTAATATTAGTCGATTTGTATCATTATAGAACTAAAATAATACATTGTAAATATTTAAATTGCGTAAAATCTAAGCTTATATCTGCGTTATATTATTAAGGACAATTAAATATTATAGTGTTATTAGTGCTTTAAGGTTTAAGCTTTATCATAACTTACGCGTTGCTATAATATAGTTAAAATAGCTAAACCCTTATAAACCCTCCCTTATAAACTTATTTCATATAGAAACCTATATCTTACTTTTATTATTCTTATTATTTACTTTATATCTTATACTTTACTCTTATTCAGTATTCAAAACGCGTATACTACTATTATTATACGTCGATAATAAAATAAGTAAACAACTATATAGTACAATATATTTCGCTGCTACGATTTAAATAATACTTATTTCGTTTAAATTTAAATCGATATTATTGCTGTGACGAGCCGTCTAACCTATAAGGCTAAAGGGTACTATAGGGTTTACGTTCTGAAGTAAGTCAACACAAAGGACGATAGAGGCTTTTGTCAACTAGAAGACACTCAGATGCTGGGGCTTGGTCTGAACTGGGTTCACTGTGTAGTCGAGTCGTCAGGAGATTTCTCCCACCTTAGGGTTGGCTAAGATGCTTAGATTGATTGATCACTGAGGCAGAGACTGTCTATCTGTCTAGCTAGGAAACATCCATCCTTATATATCCAATCTCTCCCTCACTGATTAGGTGGCTCACCCTGGATCACCGGTGATCCAAGGTGATCCTTCTCACTGGCTCACCATGGTGATCCAGTGATCCAAATTCTTAGTCACGTGACCCAGGTCCAGCTGGTCACGTGATCTGTGTACCGTTGCTCCGTTGCTCCTATCTCTCCACTGATCAGCACACCACTCACTGGTCAACCTGTTTCCAATCGTCCCCTCTGGGCCTGCTATCAGGCCGCACTGTTCGTTGGTTCGTAACAATTGCGTAGGCTTTATTTCTTTATTTCTTTATTTCTTTATAATTTCTAGTTAATACAACCTTATTTATCTTGAAACATTTTTAAGTTATATGTTTTATCTTTAAAACGCTTTCTTTTTCTTTGATACAACTTGTTACTTACTTTGTGCGCTTTTAAGCACTTTCGGATTTTTTCGCATTCTTTTCCTTAAATTAAATCAGTTTTAAGTCCTTTATCTTTTTAAGTTTTTTCCACCGATATTTTATGTCCATTATACTAACCTCGCTTATATTTTCATTTAAATCTGTTTATAAGTTAAAAAAAGATCTTTTTTAAGAGTTGATAAGCAAATAAATAGCTGTAAATTCTGTTTTCTCTGGTTAAAGTGGTTTAAGAAACCTACTTTTTTTACGTGATTGTTATTTAAAAAAAGCAGATCAAAACAATAACTACTAGAGAAAAGTTCAATAGATTGAACGGACACAGATAACTCTGTAACAACACACTATTACATCAAATAATTTGAAGATTCGCATTCCTACCTCCCGAATTGACCTTGCAGCGTGGTTTTAAAGGTCACCAAGCAACGGCGCAAGACGGTAGTGCGGATGAACCAATGGTCATCGATCAGGGAAGGGCGGGACTTGAGCAGAGTTTGTACCATCCCAATGCCGGACGAAGTGCGACCAACGCAACTGCACCGGCAGTGAGCGAGAGCGAGGCGCAGCGTGGGGGAGCAGAGGAGCAAACTACGTTGAAGAAAGATTTGGCTAACCTAGTAAAGGAGGGCGTGCTAGAGGAGGTCGTCCAGATAGTCCATAGGTATGCAGCCATAGAGGCGCAAAAGGCCAAAACACGGCAACGGTTACGACGGGAAACCGAAACACCGAAGCGATCACGCGAGACAAACTCAACAGGTCCATCGAAGCAGCATTTTGGCGCTTTATGCCAAAGATACCCCAAGCAGTACCAGGGACAACAGGACCACGATCCTAGGCCAACGTGACCACGGCAGGCGGACCCATAGCAACAAACACGCCAAAAGTGTTCGTGCCGGGGCGGATCCAGCGGGAGGTCATCATTCAAAACTCTGGAAGCATCCAAGAGATGACAAAGAGGACGGCTATCAAAACGGTACAAGCGATGAACATGGCGATTGGCGTACAGGAAGCGGTAGCAGCCCGCCGACTTCCCAGCAGGGACGATGCAGTTATGTTCCTTAACATAGCAAATAAGTATAAAGAGGGGATAACAGCGTGGATTAGAGTGGCCTTTAGGGCAACGGCAAAACAGTCGAGCCGTGAATTCACGGTGATAACGAAAGGTCTTCCATACCGCATTTTGCGGGAGGCTCACACAAAGCCAGAAGAGCTTCTAAAGGAGATACAACAGCATGTACCAAAGATCGGGAAACTGCACCCCATCTTCCGAAGAAACCCGGAACACTGACACGCAACGTTAGTGCTACAGGTGAATGACATAACGGAGGCCCAAAAGCTATACGAGCAAGGGCTGGTATAGAAAGTAACAATCTACTCTTACAAGCCGTTCACAAAGAACGTATGAGTCGAACAATATTACAAGTGCCACGACTTTAGACACCCAGCAAAATACTGCCAAAATAAACCAAAGTGTGGCAGGTATGCCAGAGCACCACATGAAGGAGGGGAACTTAACTGCCCTTCAAACACCGACCGGAAGAGAGTTAAGTACAGGAACTGTACAGGGAACCATATGGCATGGGATAAAAGGTGCCGCGTGTACAAGGAGAGAGAAGAGGCGGCTCGGGAGGCATACAAATACCAACCCCGGCAGTTCGAGATCCAGAAAGACCCAGCACCGCGCCGGACAGGAGCGGACGGCTTCACAGTGGTCCAGAAGAGGAAGTAGGACGGCCGCCATCACACGAACGGAAGTATACTGAAAAGAGGCCGGCCAACACATATCAGCGCCTCGCAAATCAGAATCTCTTTCACTTCGGCAGCAAGAAAGGCAGCACCAAACGGACTGTCACACATCCCGACAATCAATATCTCAAGCACCCAGGATAGGGCCGAGAGTAACAGCATTGACACACCCGAGCACCCGGTTCTTTAATGCCGGTACACCTGGCATAATGGAACACAGGAGCTTCGAAACAGAACGTAGCCTTGGCAATCCGGGATGGGAAGGATAAGGACGGGATAAAGGGACCGGCGGACGTGATCGCAATCCAGGAGCCATGGATTGGCCCTGAGAATGTCATTCACTGCCCGGCCAGCTGCAAGTATATACCGATCTACTCGGGGCATGGCAGGGCAATGCTGTACATCAACAAGAAGTTTGCCCCTGAGGCATGGCAGGCACGCGCAGGGCACAATTGGGCAGCGGTCACATTCCGCTTGTAAGAAGGTGTCTTGAATATTATATCGCTATATAATGAGCCGGTATCGAGCGGGAACCGCGCACCCCCGTTCCAGGCGATTGCTAACAAGAGGTGGGAGGGCAGGGTTGTCTTAGCAGGCGATATTAACCTCCACCACCCAATATGGGATACATACAAAAGAACCACGCTAGGTGCAAAGACCAAGGAACTTTTAATGCTTGTTCAAACGATGAACCTAGAACTAGTGACACCAAGGGGAATGACCACAAGGATGGGGCATGATCAGAGGGACTCCACGATAGACCTCATCTGGGCCCACCCACTCCTGAGGGCAGAGCTGGAGATCCCACCGGAGTGAGAGGGCTCAGACCACCTGTCACAGATGGGACAAATTCACACCGAGACACCGAAACAAAACGCGGCCCCACCAGGTTGGTCGTGAAAGATAATGGACAAAATAACGGTCCAAGTCGAAGGCTTGAAAATTGCGCCTCCAGGGGAAGCCGGATCTATCAAGGATCTGGAAGAGTATATTGACAAGCTGCTTGAGCAGCTCTAAGGCATTACAGACGCCTCCACAAGGAAAAAAGGGCCTAATTCCGGGTTCGAACAGAAGTGGTGGAACGAGGACGTCGGTCGTGCAATGGCACATACGAAAGCGGCAAGAAAACGTTACCAATCCTCCCGGTTGGATCGAGACTTTGAAGGCCTAACAAAGGCGAGACAGGTACAGAAACAGACTATTAATAATGCCCAGACAAAAACATGGCGTCACCTCACAGCAGCAGCGTCCAAAGATAATAAGAAGCTTTGGGACCTTGAAAGGGCGGCACGGCTGCGCGGGTTCAAATCACGAGAGGCGGGAACGCTCCTGCCCTTAAGGAAACCCGGCTCAATGAGAGGCCTGACATCTAAGTTCGACAAGCAGGTAGATATCCTATCAGGGAAATTCTTCCCTTCCCCAACAGCGGACTTGTCTGATATTCTGGAAGATTTTGACACCAGACTAGACCCCTTTGAAAAGAAGTTTGCCATAAACAGGAAGATAGACGAGACGGACATTAAGGCAGTTCTTGACTTGATGAAGCCCTGGAAGGCCCCAGGCTGGGACTTTCTGTCAGCAGGATTCCTTAAAGCGTGCGGCAAACCGCTAAGAGTGGCCCTGGCAGAGGTCGCGGAATACTCGTTTGTTCTGGGCGAGTGGCCAAAGCAGTTCAAATCGGCATCAATAGTGGTATTACCAAAAGCCGGAAAGACACCAAAAGAGAAGACCCTTCCAGGGGCCTACCGGCCTATCGCGCTTCTTAGCTGCATAGGAAAGTCATAGAGAAGGTTATCGGTAACCGCATGATAGAGGCAGCAGAGACACACGGGCTCCTTCTCAAGGACCAAATGGGGAACCGTAAGGGCAGGTCAATAGAACATGCGATCCGCATGGTAGTCAAAGCAGTCCATACAGGATGGAGCTACAGCGCAGTAGCCACGCTGATGCAGCTGGACATCACGGGGGCCTTTGATGCCGTTGTCTTTACGCGGCTCTATCACATTCTATAGAAGAAAAGATACCCAATGTGGATTATCAGATGGATGAAAAGCTATACTAACAGACGGTCAGTTAAGCTCCTTTTGATAGAAAAGAGTCAACAGCCCGAGAGTTGAGTGCTGGAGTCCCCCATGGGTCCCCAGCGTCCCCTATCCTCTTCTTGTTATATATTGCCACACTGTATAAAGAGCTTGAAGCAGCAGGCTTGCCCATGATGGTAGTGGGCTTTGCTGATAATACCAACATCCTGGCGGTCCACCCGGACGCCAAAAGGAATTGCGAACTCCTTGAAGAGGCATACCAGGTATGCGAGAGGTGGTCGGTTCGCCACAGAATGCAGTTTAACGTGAAAAAAAGCGAGGTTATATATTTTACGCGGCAGCGGGAAGAAATCCTGGATCCGGTCCAAAACAGGATGGTCCTGGTAAAGCCGGTACTGTCAGCGAGGTTCCTTGGAGTATACCTAGACAGAAAGTTGCGGTGGAACAGGCACCTAAAAGAGATGAAGGCAAAGATGGAACGCCAGATCTTCGGCCTCACCAGGATAGCGGCCTCTACTTAGGGATGTAGCGCGGTGCGAGCCCGGGAGGTATACACCAAAGTGGTACAAAGCGCCATCGCCTTTGGCGCGACAGCGTGGCATAAGCCATCGGAGGGCAACCAGGCCCGAGGGCTAGCAAAGAAGATGCTCACCACGCAAACAGCGTGTTTAAGGGTGGTGGTAGGGGCCCTTAAAGCCACGCCGCGACATTTGCTGGAGACAGAGACCGGTTGTCCCCCGCTGGACGCATACCTAGATATGAGGGTAGCGGCGTTTAAAGGTCGAATGTACGAAGAGGCCAGTAGACACGTTACTGCCGAAACAAGAAAAGTGGCAAAGAGGGCGAGAGATGCAAGGTTAGCGGTAATGGAAGCCGCAAGGAGACCCACGCAAGGCGGCAGGCGGGGGAGAGGTCGGCCTCGGCGGTCGCCCCACGCAACAGCGTCCCCGCAGAAGGATAACCCAACGGAACGGAAGGAGGCAATCCTAAAGTGGCTGGGCCAAGACCACCCGGAGCAAGCACTGGAGAGGTCATAGAGGAGTCGATGGATAGTTGCCGTCGCAAGAGCCAGCCAGACAGGAGTTGTTGCGAGGTCGCTGGCAGCTCAAGGAGAATTCCTACAGGAGCTCGTAAGGGCGGTCCCGCAGTATTACTATGGACTACGAAAACACGAGGCGTCTGCCCTATGCCAGGTCCAGACAGAGACCATTGGCTTGAGGGCTTTCCTGTTCCAGGGGAGAGTGCCAGGAGAGGCTACACCACATTGCAACTGCGGCGAGAAGGAGACAGCATACCACGTGACGGTTTGATGCCCTCTATATGCGGCCCAAAGAGACAGACTACAAGCCTCTCTTGGAACGAAAACGTTGTGGTCAAGGAGAGACTTCGAGAGCTTGTTATCAGATCCGGACAAGACCCCGAAATTTATACGGTGGTTTTTGAGACTAGGGCTACTGGGGATGTTCTCACTAGCAAGGAAGCTAAGCAGTGGCGAAGTGGCGCAACAGGCGCCAAAGAGCCGGACCGCAGAAGATATAGAGCAGTACCGGATAGAATGGAGAAGGAGGGGGGATATGGTAGTAGGGATATCACGAGGGGGAGGGGAAACATCACGAGGGGGAGGGGGAATATCACGAGGGGCAAGAGGTCTTAGGGGCCAAGGGATGCGCGCCCTATCAGGTTAGTCAAGGCGGTAAAGGTCATGACATACAACTGTAGCAAACCGCGGCGGCGCCGTAATGAAGCCAGAACTAGACTGTAGCGTGTAGATTTTCATCCCTTACAGGATTTTATCATACGGAGATAGATTGTAGGAGGTCTGCATGCCGGACGACTCTCCGAGATGTCCATACAGCGGGTCAGCGTATGAGTAATAATAATAATAACTACTAGACAAAACCTAAACGACATTATATATATTGTATTAACTACTTACCCGTATATTTCCGCGTTAAAAAGGGTATTAAAAACATTTAAAGATATATTAAATGTTTGATGGTTCCACCATTCACTATGTCTAGCGATGGTCCTCATGGTCCCCAGGTTACGCGACCGAGCACGTGACTGATCAGATGATAGGTTGGTCCATGCCTTGGTGGGTCTAGTGAAGGACAACTGCACACATCCAGCTGCCCAACAATTTGTGTGCATCTCCAGATCTTTCTTTTCCTTCAACCAAAGTTCATTATACGTTAATAATCAATAAGGGTCCTTGTATCTTTACAATACATTTACGGAATCGTGACACTTTTAACTTTTAAAAAGCTTAAAATTAAGTTTAATATAAGTATGATAAAAATAATAAAAATAAGAATTTTCGTTGCTGTATAAAAGGTATTATATATCGTTATATTAATTAAATAAGCTGCCGTATATATAGGCGGTATAATTGAAGTGAGCGAGTATAGGGGTCAAATATATTGTTGTATGTGAGTTGGCTATCTAGGTAAGTAGGAGGACTGCACTCATTATATGGTGGCCGCTCCCTTATTTTATCTACCTAGCCGCACTCTGATTGGCCAGGACACTCGCGAACATTAGGTCCCCCTAGTGACGTGTGTCAATAATATAGCCTTGACCCTTTAAAAGGTTTTAAATCGTATATAAAGCGGTTTTAACTTATTATAATGCATATAAGAAACTACTCAAAAAGCTGATAAGTAATTAGCCAATAAGGATAATAATATCATAAAACGATGTATTTATAATGCTTTATTAGTTAATTTGTTACACATTGTTTTACCTTAAAAATATAGAAAAGGCTAAAGTAAATAAATAAACCAAAAATATTCACTTATAAATAGTTATAAAATATAAATATATTTATAAAACTATATTAAAAAAAAATTAAACGACAGAAATATTAAACAGAATAATATTTAATAAGTAAAGGTTCGATTAAATTGATAGTTAGAATTATTAAATCAAATAAATATAAATAAGTTTAAATTACTTTATAATACTTTGAAAACTTAATATAAAGTTAATATAAAAAGTGGTTAAACAATAACATAGCGCCGTGTGATATTATTAGTTATTCTTATAATTAGAAGTATAAGCCTTTAACTAATATAATTATATACATAGATATTTATTGCGTATAATTATATATTTATAAATGTATTATAAGCAAAGTAATTAAATTTGAATTTTAGTTTTAGTTTTTAAAATACAACGAAAACCTATTTTTATAAATATACGAGATTATAAAATTTTGTTTATTTATTACTTATAATATAAATTGTTATTACATAAAAAAAACTATGAAGAAGTTTGAGAAGTTTGAAAAAACTCTTAAAACTTTGATAAACTTTTTATTCGTATTTTTCAAAATGTCATTTTAAAGTAAATTAATAATTATAAAACTGTCAATAAGTTTTAAATCGGGTTAAATTTTTAATAGCTTTGAAATAAATAACCGCGAGCCATTAATACTAAAATTATTTAATAATAACGTGTACGCCGGTATTAATATCATGTTTTTAATAGTATTCCAGTAAATTAATACAAATTAAACTTAAAGATATTAAAAGGTATAAATAATGAAAAACCGAGATAAATCAAGTAATAATAAATATAGATATATATATATAACGAATACGTATTAAAAGAATACTTTAAAGCCTAATTTACTAATTTATTAAAAGTGTTATTAGCAAGTTGTAGCTGTGCATTGCAGGGCTGTAGAAGTGTTGGATTAAAGGTATGCCTAGAAGGTGTCAGATGCAAGCGAGTTCAGATTATTCAGGTTGTCAAGTGTGTTCTGTTGTTGTGCTTGTCCTTCTCTGCTTCTTCAGCGTACAGAGATTGATCATCTGTCTTGGTGGGTCAGATGCCCTGTGCGTCTCTGCCCCACTGGAGATCTTCCGGTGTCTATTTCCGGCTCCCATTCAACAGAAGGCACCTTGACAGGTAGACAACGGAACCTAGTTGTTCCGTCCCGATCCAGCCCCCTCTGGCACAAAACGGCCACGGTCGCACAAGGACACTCTAGACAGACAGAACACACACACACAAACACACTTCACTCTGACGATTGGCTCAAATCTGACAAGAAGAGCCTTAGGATGTGTGGCCTTGAGGGCTAGTAGGGCTAGCGTACCCTAGTGCTCCACGCAGACAACAACCATCTTGATTTAGGTAACGAGCCGGGTCGGCACCACCAGTGCCTGCTATGCCTGCAGGCCCCAGCCAGCAAGGTCGTGACAAAACCTCAAATAGCGAAGAATCCGAAGACGAAATTGACTGTGTTCTCTAGAGGCGCTGTGTCGCCTGAGTTCCCAGCAGCCTTCTCTTTCATCGCTCTCCCAGTATTCACCATCCGAGCCAAGCCTCGACCATGTGCAAGTAGTAGTGACTGAGCGCGTGACTATGTTGTACCATCACTTCCCCGGAACCAGGGAGAGGCAACTCAAGTTGGCACTTCGGAGTTCTAGAGGGCGTCAACTTGCTGACCACTGCTCGGTATCCTTCGACAAACTCTGTTTGGTTGAGGGTGCCGTTGTCTCTCGCGGCCACCAGGTTTGTCTCCTCGTACTCCTTGAAACATCCAGGTATGATGAGATCATTGTATGACTGTGTGCCTTTGCGACCCTTTCCCTGTAGGAATTCGTCGGCTAGGCCAAAATTCATTTTCGCCAAACCGCCCAGAGACAATGATGCAACAATCGGTCCTAAATTTGACTCGCCATCTTGATGGCAGTCCATCGCCATTCTGGGGTAGTTTCCGGTACTCAATATCTCGTTGAACTCAGGCAACTGATCGATCACGCTTTTCGCAAACGTTGCGATCATGTCCTTCGTTGGGCGGAAGGTAACGGAGTGAATTTGTGGTCGCCCCAGTAAAGTTCTCGGAGAAAGAAAGAAATTGCGAGATCCAATGCCTCGGAGTCGCGGCGACCGTTTTGGCTCGACCTTCCCAATTGTGTGAGGTCGTTGTCGGTTGGGCTAGAGCTTTGCGGTATGGCAGACTTCGTGGTCCAAGTTACTACAAGGGAAGTACACAGCTCTTTCCAACAAGTTGACGGATATGGAAGCATAATAGAATCCCTCTATATGATGCCGCGAGCTTGCAGCATGCGATTTCGTCATTGTCTTGTCGGTGAGTGAAGGCCAGTACCTATGGTGACCCTTGGGACCCGGTCGGCCAACCCTTGAGCGTATGAAGAATTATACCTTGCTAACCTTAACAAGCCAAAGTAGTTGCACTTAGACTCATGTGATGAGGACAACGGCGCGTGGTCACTATAGATTCCATCCAGAGAAGATCCAAAGGCATGTAAGATCACCCAAAACTTCCAAGTAAACCAACACTTGGTATTGAGTGGGATTAGGGATGATATTGAGCTAAGGTGAGAAGATGCCTACGCTCCTCTCATACGCAAACAGCTGCCCTCTTGCTTACAATCAACGAATGAAGTCCCGCGCGGCCTGTTACACAAACCCTACGATCCGTCAATATGTGATAGCATGTGTTCCATTATCATACACTTTAACTCGGTGTCGACTCATCGCAGGGCGTCCCACAACCCCATCAGACTGTGCGGCGTCCGTTGGAGCAGACTGAGTGAGAATCAGCTGGAGTAGTATGGGGTAAACTAGGGCTTCAAGTGTGAAGATAACCTTCTGTGTAATTACCGGCGCAGCAGACGGGATCGACGAGTCTACCAGCTGAACCGTGGTCGTCGTTCGAAGCAGGGCATCCCGCCCGCATTCCAAGACAGCGGTCTCATCATCGCATTCCTTGACTCCGCCATACCGTCATACCGTCATACCGTCATACCGTCACCCCGTCATCCCCTCATCCAAACAGACGCCAATCTAATCAATGCAAGAGAGACTGCGACTTAGTGTGCGTGTATAGATGATGTGCTACGTATGTGTGGCGTCGCGGCCATCGTCCGGCTCCTCAGGCTCGTCTGTGTTTCGTGCTGTCGCGCTTCTACGGCACAAAGAGCTTGCGAAAGACGATGCTGCGAAGCGTGCAGGACCTGGTTGCCTGGTGTGGTCGCAGCGGGACGCAGTTCATAAGGAGGGCCGAGTGAGAATCGGCGACTCGGCGAGTCGCTGCCGTCATCGCCCGTCAACCCCTGACAGATGAGTCGCCAACCTTAGCACCAGGCATCTGTTTTTCATTGACGACATGCCTCTTCAGGAAACCAGTTCCTTGGTAGCCCACACGTTGTGACGAAAAGGATATAAAAATAAATGCTGGATTGGACTGCGGGTGGGTCTAGGCCGCCAGCATTCCTCCAGGAGCCGAAATGACAAAGAGAGTAGATACGTGCCTCCGCTATCAGGAACATACTCTAAATAGAAAAAAGATCCAAGGCCAGGTTGCGCGCACGCAGTGCCTCTTGAGATCTACCCACATGTATATCAATAAGTTCTCATGCTCAAGTCAACGTCACTAGTCAGCAACATCCTTGCACGTGATTTTGGCATGATGCTCTCCAGGACGCCGAGCCCCAGAAGGAGCGCCGATCGCAGACAACGATGACAGAAGGAGCGCCGATCGCATGCCTACGTTGACAGGAATCAGGAACGATGACGGGAACTTTTCAGCTTGGTCTGGGCGGAGAACGACACAAGCTCAGATGAGGTAGCTAATAAAACCATGCCTGCTCCGTAAGCATCGGTCTTCCCGAGCTTTTTCTCTGTTGGCCGTTCATATTGAGAGAGTCTGAGCCGTTATCATGGTTTTGTTGAATACGACCCCAGTCTATTTGCTGCTTGCCTTGCGTGCTGGCTCTACCGCCGTACACGCTGCCTCCATTGGCGAAACTCTTTTTGAAATCCGGGATGCCTCGGTTGCTCAAAAGACGACTGATTTCTGGCATCAGCATATGCTAGAAGCCAAATACCCCAAGAACACAGACGTGTGCAAAAAGATGGGCGAGAAGGGCACGAACATGTGGGATTACAGCAAAGCGGCGGATTACATGACCACTTGGTTTGGCGATAATGACACCAATCTAGGTTTGCATCAGCCTTGCCCGCCGTAGCCCTGCGCTCCCGTTGAGACTGACCGGTGTGTTGCAGTTGACTGGCCGCAGCAGCTGCACCTCAACGCTCTCAGCGGCAGTGGGGTAACCCCCGGCAACATAGACTGCACGACCTTGCAGAGTGTGACCTGCCTCGCGCCCGGCGACGATGACTGCAAAAACTACAATCCGGCAGCCTGTAAGTTGTTTTAAACTGGCGGGACCTCCCCTCCCGACATCCTGGCTCTGACGCATCCGGTTGACACTCGGCCCAGTCGTGGTTATCCAGACGGAAATCGTGAACCTGTACAGCGCGCTGCAGGCAATTGGCATCCAAAACCTCAAGGCGGCCTTGATGGATTCCCTCGATATGGGCAAATTGATCAGGGATTTCATCACCGATAAAGTCTTAGAGGACGAGAAGGAGAAGGCTAAGAAGCTTCACATCGCTGCTGTGCGTATTACAAGACCTCTTGTCGGTATCCTCAACTAGTTGCTGACACGCGTTATATTAGCTCTTCACGTTTATCTTCGCAGGCATAATGGCCATTGTCAGCGCGGGCGCGGCTATTGTCCCAATCTTGCCCATCACTGTAGGAGCTGTGGCCGGAAGTGCTGGAATAGTAGGGGCCAGCGCCGGCGCCGCCGGAGGAATTAGCAGTGCCGTCGGTTCTGCATTGAGTAAGAATCCATTCCCAGCTCCCGCCCCTTAGCCTCTCGGTTCAACATGATGTGCCCGTGGGCCCTTGTCAGCGAGTCACTGCTAACCCGTCTGCCAAAGGGATTATCTCTGCCGTATCGTCGCCAGATGGTGAGGTAGACCTTGGTCGGTTACAGGACGACTTGAACGCCAAGCTTGGGGATTATTTCGATTCAATGGATCAGAGGAACAACGATCTTGCGGGCAAGGTGTTTGGCACGCCCAAGCCCAGTCAGGATATTGACCTGAAAGACTTCATCTCGGCTATCGACAAGACGACCGACATAAGCAATGTGAAAAACGACGCCGACGCCCTCGTCGCCCTGTACGTATCTATCCGCTCGCTTCCTTCATCACCTCGGAGACTTGAAGCTAATTACCGATCCTTGTCAGTTTCGGTATACCCTCCCTAATGAATTTGACCGCGACTCAGGACCAGATTAAACCAGTGTTGCAGAGTGGCATGGGCATGGCGGTGCGTCCCCTGTTGCCCCCATAGGATTGAGGTTCAAATAAGATGCAGCGGGCTAATTTGCGTATAGAAACTCCCTCTCATTGGCTATCTGTGGGTCGTCAGAAAGTTCTACGTCCTCGAATATGTATGTCCGCTCCCTGGTGGTTGTATCAACCTGGTAGTAACTTACTCCCCCCGTGACTAATACCTTGCAAGACCGATGTCAATCAGGACAATTGCAAATATGATGCAAACGCCAAAAAACAGAATTTTGATGGGGCTTCCCGTTGGGTCGCTGGTGTCGATGGTGCCAAAGATGTAAGTAGAACATGTCATGAGCCTTCCACCAAAGCGCGCGCCTTTCTCTGTTTTCACGGCCCTCTCCAGCCCCCGCTGACCGATATTTCCAACAGAGCTGCTTCGTCCTCAAGATCGGCGACAAGAAAATGGATCACGACAACAACGCACCTACGGAGCTGAAAGTCGCCGAGGACGAGTATAAGATGGATTCCGGCGAGATGTTCTTGAACGTCAAAGCCTGCGACAATGACAAGATGCTCGATGACTTGTCGTACAGCGTTACAAGCTTCGACTTCAGTAACCCTAGCAAATGCTTCTACCCGCTCAACTACATTCAGGCTGAGTCAGGCACGAAGATTGAAAACGACAAATACAAGGACGTCGCCAAGAAGTTGGGGGTAAAGACATAAGAGGCGCCTGACGGTCGGGAATGAATTGGACTTGCCGGAAAGGGCCAAGAAACAGCGAGGTCCCCACGCAGCATGCTTTGCTTTCTATTGTACATAGTTTGCGCAGACACGATTAATAGTTCACATTCTGGTTTTACGTTCCATCTTCGTTCCTCTGTAAGCAAGCAGGGTTCCCAACTAGTGACGTGTGAAACGAGGGATGGCGCATCGCGTTTCTGTTGCCGTTGTCACCATTGCAGGCCTAATAATGGACATGAAATAACTCCATTCCGGGAGCGGACTTCTGCCACGCTCTCGAGTCGTGGGGCTTGCATTTGAAGCACGAGAGATTGGTTCTTTCGCATAAATACCGTTGGTAAAGAAGATAATGGTCGGGTGGCATGCCGTGTTTCATGCCTACAAGTCGGCAGTACCTACATACGGGCACTGGCAAGCTTACCAGCAGCTCACGTGAATACACGTACCCATATCGCCTCATTATGTTCACCACTACTTGGTGAGGACTAGATTTTTATAGGTTGTTGTCTGGTGCGTGAGATGTGCTGATTGGGTTCAGTAACGGCTGCCCCAGGGGTCAAAGAAAAGCCTCATGGAAACAGGGGCAACGAGCTGGACAAATGCAGAGTTTCCTGTGAAACCCTCCGGCCCTTTGACATGGTTCAATTCCGCAGACGCACCATCTTACAACCGGCGCTTGCCCCAGCCCAGCAACGTCCCACGTCTCCGACCAACCCTCGCCATCCCCTCGCGGTCTCGACCGCCCCTACCAACCTTGCTTCTCATGTAGCAATCGTTAAATCTGTCTTGCTCTGTAAAAAGTATCATTCTCTTATGCTACACTATGACCCGTACATCCTGACTCAACCGAACGTAATCACGTCGCAACCCAGTACCGGCGTCCCTATGCAGTTTGCTTCCACAGGCCAAGTGCCTCTCTATGACATGATCTTGAGCCAGTACACGTTACCGCCAATGATTTCAATCAGCCCCTGACGGGAATTTTGCTTGTTATGGAATGAATGGAACAGTCCAACATCCGCCCACGCAGAATGGAAGCCAAAGCAGGGAAGTGGTCGACCTATGCCAACGAAGTAAAATATATTTTCGACGGTTCATACGGGTATGATGTGATCGCTATGATTGGTACGATGACCAAGCTATCAGCTATATATATCGAGGGATCCATCCTGAATGTCAGAAGGCGAACCATATGGGGGGGTAAAGATGTATGTTGTTCTGCAGAGGGCTACAATACTAATCAGGCCTGGGGGCCATGTATATGTACATGAATGGTTCCTTTGTTCCCAGGATGTGCTTCCTGACACTGAATCCATCGGGGCTAAACAAACCGATGCCCGAATATTCCACTGTAGCTGGCACCTACAAATCGGTAAATGGCTTTACTCTTCCGCCCTGAAGAACCCATCCTTGATTCCTCACTGGAGACAGTCGAGCAGACCTGGCGTCTGATCGCGGACTGAAGATGTTGGATAAGGGTTGCCCGAGAGCCCTACCGAAGCGCTGCCGATGCCGGTAGCACAGACGGGTAAAAAGCGGCAAAAGGGGTTCAGGGGCGCCCAATCAAGAGGGTCCAAGTTCCGGGTCTAACCGATCGGGACTCCCATGGATCTGATTGGAGGTGGCATCTGATTGGCCGTGGCCAATGGCGAATTCGTGAAAGAACGGACCTCGTAACTTGAAGTTGCCTGCAGCCATCATCAACATTTCTTTTGGCAGAGACTCATCAATCAGTGGAATCGTTTTCGCTTTCTCAAAGTTTGTCGCACGCTGCTCTTGGGGCAGACTGACTCAGAGATGGCATCCTGCTCGAGATCCCTCCAGCACATTCGTGCGCCGGTGCAACGTGTCCTTGCATATTCGCTCGGCGCAAGTCGTGCCTATGCGACCGTCCCAACAAATACACCCGAATCGCCACCTTCACCCAGCAATCCCGCCGTGCCGTCACCACCCCGCCGACCGACATACTTCAAAGACACCACAGTATCGACATTTGACGAGTTCGTGTCGACATCGTCAGCCACATCCCCCTTGTCGCCGAGCGATGCCTACACCTTGCGCACCGCCGAAGTCGGCCCCGCGTCCAACCGCCGGACTATCACCCGACTACCAGAGTGGCTGAAGACGCCCATCCCCGCCGGCAACGACAACTACAAGAGCATCAAGAAGGACCTGCGAGGCTTGAACCTGCATACCGTGTGCGAGGAGGCGCGGTGCCCAAACATCTCCGAGTGCTGGGGCGGCGACAACAAAAACGCCGCCACGGCCACCATCATGCTGATGGGCGATACATGTACGCGCGGATGCCGCTTCTGCAGCGTAAAGACAAACCGCGCACCCGCTCCGCTCGACCCCCACGAACCAGAACACACGGCCGAGGCGCTCGCGAGGTGGGGTCTGGGGTACGTGGTTCTCACGAGCGTGGACCGCGACGACCTGGCGGACGGCGGCGCGAGGCATTTCGCCGAGACGATACGGAAGATCAAGGCTAAGAAGCCGAGTCTCCTCGTCGAGGCGCTGACGGGCGACTTCCGGGGCGACCTGGACATGGTCAAGATCGTGGCGCAGAGCGGACTCGACGTCTATGCGCACAACATCGAGACCGTCGAGGGCCTGACGCCGTTTGTGCGGGACCGTAGAGCCACATTCAGACAGAGCCTGAGCGTTCTGGAACACGTGAAGAAGGTGCAGGAGGGCAGCATCACCAAGACGAGCATCATGCTGGGCCTGGGAGAGCAGGAGCAAGAAATCGCGGATACGCTGAAGGAGCTGCGGAATGTCGACGTTGATGTGGTGACCTTTGGACAATACATGCGCCCCACGAAGCGGCACCTCAAGGTGGAGAAGTATGTGACGCCGGAGGAGTTCGAGATGTGGCGGCTGCGGGCTCTTGATATGGGCTTTCTCTACGTCGCCAGTGGTCCCCTCGTCAGGAGCAGCTACAAGGCTGGCGAAGCTTTCATTGAAAACGTGCTTAGGAAGCGAGCTGGTGAGAAGGCAAGCTCTACTGTGGAAGGAAAGATAGGAGCTACGGTGGCAATGGGGGAGACGCTGCGGACTGAGTAAGCTCTCATTTCGGCCTTGGTCGGATTGCTTGCGGCATCACTTCTTCAACCTGTAATTCAGCCAGTCTTTCGACTCGCTCTTTGGTATAGCATGGACTCGGCGCATCTAGAACTGTAGCATTAGTAGGCGGGTAAAGCTGGAGATCCTTTCAACTAGGATACGAAGGCCTGCTTAACAAAGCATCATTGGCCCAACCCCGACTCTTGCACTGTGATGGTTACCCTTATTTATTGGGTGCATCGTCAGAAAGGGCATATGAATTGGACTGAGTCTCAATCCTGGACAGGACATTGTGGCTTATCGCAGCTTCGCCAGAATGTCCATCTGGCTCACAGATACACGTACTTCGGTCTTGAAGAGGCTCCATCTCGTTATGACTGTAGTCGCTTTCAGAAAGGCAAGTATGGCTAACCTCGGTGCTGTATGTGCTGGTGTCTTACCAGCCGGCAATGCCGCATGTCTACTTTATCCCATTCTCGTAATATCCCAGGAGATTCTCCAGAGGGGTCATAAGTAGCTTCCCATACCCATCAAGGGAGGCCGCTCACAAAGCAGCTTGCCAGATGTTCGCCATCTCGAGGCCTTCCGCGAAAACCCCGACTTTACCATCAATGGCGAAGCCTTCGGCCTCTAGCCGTCTACACTCCTGATAAAGGTCCTTGAACGAGACCCAGAAGCACTCGATGAACTCGCCGTCTTCCAGCTCGGGCTTCGGGTTCTTGTTCTACTCCTTCTTCGGGTCGACCTTTAGGTGGATCATGAACGTGCTCGAGCTAGGGGAGACACTTGTCAGATAGGGGGTCGAGAGGAGACAAATTCAGAGGATAAGCAAATACCTTGAAGATGCGGGAGCTAGGTGGGGTATTAGCATTGGTCTAATGCCCAGGAGATTGATTGGTGTACTCACAGCTGAAGAAAATGGGCCTCGTGCCTCCACGTTCCGGCACGACTTCACCCACATAGCCCATCTCCTCCCTGAGCTCGCGCAGGGCGGCCTCCACGACAGTTTCGCCCTCGTCCACGAGACCGGCGGGGAACTCGATGACCACCTTCGCCGCAGGGGCGCGAAACTGCTTCTCCAGGAGCAGCTCCGGGCTGGTGGGCTTGTCGAGGATGGCGAGCATCTGCACGGCATCCACGGCGCTGGTCTTGGGGCGCGAGGAGCGCTTCGTGGCCTCCTAGGAGCGTAGCTTGCCATCTTGATCTTCGTAGGTGATCCTGGAGCGTCGAGACGGTTAGTAGGGAAAATCTCCTACCCGCAAGGGTTCATTCGTCGTCATTGGAGACAGTGAAGAGACCGGTGGACGAGGTGCGACTTGCTTCACGAGGTTGATCCATTTCGCGTCTTTGTTCTCCTAAGTACCGGTACATGTGAGTATCAAGGGCTGTTCTTTGACACCAGTGACCACGGTAAATCACATACTAGTGGCTCGATCGATATGATCTTCGCCTTGGATTCCGACATTGTGGTAAGTCGAGCGGGCGGCGTGGACGTGCTAGAAAGGACGCAGAACGCTTCCGGCTGCGTGTCACTTTGTAGGTACTGCGGTGGTTGTAGCCATGACACCTACCTTTAACATCTGCTTCTGCCAGCTGCCAGACCTGCATGAAGACCAAGCCACAACGGGGGCTGAGCACCGGTGGTGGTGTGGCTGGTACAACCTAAAGGATTGAATGCCGAATTCCTTGACGCTTTCCGGTCTTGAGCATCGCCAAGTCAGAATCTCCCCGAGGTTGTATCTCTACGAAGCGCCCACACTTCAGCCTCAACGTACATGTTGGAGGCTGAAGCGTCTCTCGTGATCAGTCTTGGCAGGACCTCGCTCTCGAGGCTGCTGAACCTTGAGAGGCGGAAAGGGGCCAACTCACTTTGCGGCTCCGGGGTGAAGGGTCCACCAGAACGCGCAACCGTTCTTCTGGATATTTTCTAGTCCGTGAGGTGGGGGTTTGAAGGCGCATCGCATCGTCCTCTGTCTTTGGCAGGTAAGTTGACTGCCATCTCTGCATATTGCGCAAAGGCGCCCCGCGAGATAACGTTATCGCCAAAGAGAGTCTCGATGGGATTTTGACAGGTGAGTTGGTCCGGCGAAGTCAGCAAGGTCCCGAATAAGTCACCTTACCGGCATGTTTTCCGGTTGCCCGGGCCCTGTCGCACTCGAACGCCATGTCGGCGTATCCAGTAAACTCTACCCCAGTCAACATGGGTGGTCAGTACTCTTTGACCGGGCTGACGCCACTTTCCGAGTGATCTACATACTCGCGGAGAAGAGTGTGGAGTACGGGCCGGGGCGCAATCTTCAGATGGTGTCCAACCGAACGCCAACTTTATTGGTCCAGATGGACTACTGCAGCTTTGGCACATCTGATGACGAAGCCGCTTTGACATTCCCCTCATGCCCTGGGTAGTCGACCCAGAGTAAAACCGATACGCAATGCCGAAAAATCGTCGACAGCCGCTGACGGTGAGGACTAGCATGGTTCCTCTTGATGGCCACGTCGAAAGAATCTCGGTCCGGAACCGTCTTGGCAACGCTCGTGCTGGTTCTTGTTCGCATATCAGGCTCGATCGGACGATGGGGCCACGTTAGGTCGTGTTGCAGACGTCAAACAACCTGGCAAATGCTACGATGTGTCCGACTACTACGTTAGAACCCGACAGGTCTGAGGCTCAGAAGACATTCTGAGTTGCCGAGCATCCTGCTATCATGTCAAAGCGCTGGAGGGCAGATTGTAACGGACCCTTCAATGGATCTACCCTCACTTGCAAAGAGGGTCTTGAAACTTGATTGTCATGCAGCCGCTCAGAGCATCCGGAGTCTGTCCACTCGGCCAGGTCGGGCCCACCTCATACCGAAAAAACGCAGCAAAGAGGGCCCGCATAGCCTTTTGACCTCCTGTCAAGGTGAGCATTGACACACACCGGGGGACTGACCCACACGATGCCACCTTCAAGGTCAACTGAGGATATCCCCAAGTGGCGCGAGCGGTGGTTTGTTCCAATACAATACCAGGACACATCCCTGCGTGCTGCCAGAGATTTGGCCTGAGGCTGGAATTGCTGCCTTCATCCAACCGCAACCTCACAACTTCATTGACCTGCGACCTCGCAATGGCGTCCAAAACAGACTTCCAGATCGCTTCTCTGGCCTTCGGCTTCACGCTGGGCTTTGGTTTCCTCACAGTATGGGAGGCCATCAAGCAGACAAGGATGAACAAAAGCCCCCTTCGTAGTCCGTTCATCTATATGATCTGGGGAGAGATCGCGGCAAATCTGTTTATCTGCATAATCGCCTGGATATTTCTAGATGGAATTCTTGGAGCGACGTAAGTTTTTTTGTTACCTGCTCTCTTGCGAATGCTGACTCTGGATCAGCGTGCCAGTCCTCTTTGTGATTCTCGCACTTTGGGTCCTTGAGATACAGCTTCTGATGCAGATGATCATCAACCGAATTGCGGTGATTGCAGAGAGCCAGAAGCTAGTGCAGAAGATCAAATGGGGAACGTGTGGCGGCATCTCTTTCATCAACTGTTTGGTTTTCATCATCTTCATTCCTGCCCACCTCACGCCTCCGCCAATCCCAGTGTGAGTTCCCGGTCGCCTTCCCTCCTCCCGGGCAAACAGTTCTGATGATGATATCCAGCTTGTTCCATATCAACAAGTACTGGGATCCGACATCCAAAGTTCTCATCTGCATCGTCGACGCCGGGCTAAATTGGTACTTTCTAAGCACCGTCAAGCAGCGCCTTGTGAAAGAGTGTGGACTCGTCAAGTACGCGCCCCTGGTCAGCTTTAATGCCAGGCTTATGGTCGTGTCCATCGGCATGGATGTAGGTTTTCCCCATCCTCACTACATTCGATGACACTTCAACTGACGTTCCCAGCTGCTGCTGATCGGCCTCATGTGGTTACCGAACGAGATCGTCTTCATCCAGTTCCACCCTGTGGTATATATGGTCAAGCTCAACATCGAGATGTCCATGGCGTCCCTTATCACCCGACTCGCCCGCGGCCAAGTCGGCGACGACGTCCAGCGGGATCCGTACTCCTACTCCAACAAAGGCCGACAAGGGCACTCCGACCACACCCACCGCAGCAGACAAGCCCGCGACATCGCTCTCAAATCGTTCAACAGGGCCACTGTGAAAGCACAGCACCGAGACAGCGGTTCCGACCGGTCGACACACCTCGAGGATGGGATCAACGGGATGACCAAGACGGTCGATTACAAGGTTTCGGTGCAGCGTCATGGCCAGCCTTCGGGCAGCGAAAAGAAGAACCACATGTTCGAGACGGAAGACGACGCCCCACTGACGAGTAATGCTGGGCACCCTTAGTCTAATTATTGGGGACGGGCGAGCTACATGACATGATACAATCTCATGATTACATTCCACGGGTCGTTGCGTCCTTCTTGCTTAAGCCTTGAGTCGAGCAGGTTGTCAGTTCATTGCTACTGTATATATTACATAACGCCTGGTGCACCTATTTCTATCAGATACCCTTCCATGCCCATCACTCGCCGTCAAATTAGAGTCCCCTTTACCATTGTCATCGTGCTCGAAGAGGCAGACTTCAGGGGTAGAAATGCCAATGCGATGATTGTCTCCATTGCTTACGTCCCTTCCATATCCGACTGCACAGAATTTCACCGCTGCATCCCTCTCTAGCATGTGTCCAATATAGACTGTGATGGGCTCTTCAGTATTCAACATGTCAAGCTTGGCCGAGCTTAGTATCTGCTCCAACAACGGCACAAGCCCTGGTATACCATAGCTCTGGGCATATTCTGCGCCATACGACTGACGGGTGAGCAGTCCCCTTGTATCTATCAAGCCCCTTTTCAGGCTCAGACAAGGCCGGTGATAGGGAGTATCCACTGCGGGTCTGTGCACAAGGAGAAATAGGACATGAGGGTGGGGTTGCCTTGCAAGTTGCCCCTGAATGCATTCCTCCAGTGGGTGCGAAGCCCAAATGACCCGGGGCTGAGTGTGCTACTGATTCAGCGACCGAGCTTGTGTTTGGATCTATTTCATTTTAATCTGATGCTACCGTTCCGGATGGTGGTCGACTGCGCTCGAAAGGAGTAAACCCCATTGCGAAATCCCTGTGCCAGTCTCTGCCCAGTGTCCGTACCTAGGTAATGCTGCACATTGCCATGAGAAGTTGGTTTAGTATATACAAAAAAAATTAAAAAATTATATATCTGGGTTGAGGATTATTAGTGAAAGCCGAGTGGCTGTGGCACAGGTGCCGTCTATTAGAGTAAAGGGGAAAAGCCGTCCACCACTGCGACATGAAAATCTGCCGCCCTCATGCATTCTCCTCTGCTTCCTATTCCCCGTCTGTGATGGGTTGGTCGTCGTACCCTCGTGCTCTAGGGAAGCTTTGCCAGCCTCCAGATTTACTCCGCTTCGGTCCTTTTCCCCTTTCCCCCTTTTCTCAATCTTTCTCTCTCCCTTCCTTCACTGTTTCCGTGCCCTCCCCCAACCGGTTGTTCACCGTCCTCCTCTATCTCTAAGCGACCAGCGCAAGACCTCCATCTCCAGAGAAAAGCCCTATTTCTCGCACTTCACACTGTCCCCCTCAAGAGCCACGAGTCGTTGGAAAGAAACCACGATGTCTTCCATCCCTTCCAAGAAGCACGCTGCCTTCAACTCCATCTTGCGTCGCAGTTTGATCCTTTTTCTTTTCGTGTCCCTTCTAGGGCATATAACTTTTCTTGGCGAATACCTGGAATTCTCGATCGCAGTTATCGCAGTTTGCTCTCAGTTTCCCCTTGTTATCCCGCATAGTAAAATGCGTGCTCTCCCAGAGCCATCGCCCGCACCACTGCTTTCTACTCTGCCATTTCCTGCATATACGCGCGCCAGCAACGCGTTCGGGTTTCTCTCTGCAATCTAGGCAGGTCGGTACCCATATGCTGATTCCGCTAGAGTCGTCCCTGTTTGTCGTCTTGGCGTATCGCTTGAATTTTTCTAGGTCGAGGCCCTTCTTGCACACTGGGCAGTAGTGTTTGCGACGGTCATCTTGATCTAGGCAGGGTGTAGGCTTATATCTCGTACACCTGTATTTCCATGGATGAGGCGCACCAGGACAGGGCGGATGATCTTCTTCCACCGCATCAATTTCTTCTTCTGTGGTAGTGCTGCCTTGGCCCGTGAGTGGAGTCTCCAATTGCACACCTGATTCTTGGCGAAAGGCATCCGCCGGTTCAGCATTTCGAGTCAAGCTGATGCCTTCGAATGACTGTGTGACCGCGGCTATTGGAGCTTGTGGCGGACCTGAGTGAGGCTCTGTTGTCAGAGTCCGAGCGGGGCCAATTATGTTTTCATAACCGGAATCCCTGGATGGGCGTTTGGTGTGTCGAGGTTCATCCTGTTCGATTTCGCTTTCTCGATGCGAATGGCTGGATCTTCTAGACCGGTCGCTGAAGCTGTGTTGGGCCGCATAAGTATGAAACAGCGCAGGCGGTGGGTTTTGAAGTGGCCCATATCTCGCGGGTGGCAGAGGCATTTCACCAGGTGTTGCTCCCGAACTTGCATATTGTGCTAAATGTGGTGGTATTCTCATTTGAACCATCCGTCCATCACTTGACCTGTAGTACCCTTCAGGCGTTCATGGGCGACCCTGCCCTTGCAAGTCAAAACTGCTTTGTCCTATTCCAGACAAGGCATTTGACTCGAAGTTTGCCATGAAGTATATGCCACTCTTTGAGAACTGTCATCACTCCAGTAGCCTGACGATACTGAAGACTGAGCTCCTGACGGGTAGGGCTGTTGACCGCTCGTGGAGCCTGATGCCGGCCATGCCGATGTCGATGCCGATGGGGTAATTGACACATTGCCTGGGTAGCCTGCATAGCCTCCTCCATATGTAGTACCACCTGTGCTGGAATAGTTCTCGTACCCCGTCTGGTACTGTTGCTGGGGAGGATATTGACTCGGATATAAAGGAGCTGGCGGATGCCGTTGCTCTCCACCCTGTGAATGCTGGCTCGACCGTTGAGTCTGGTGACCATGGCTACTTTCGCCTCCCGTCTTTTTCCCGTGACCCTTCTTTTCACTCATGGCAAGTGCTGTAGTCAAGTGTGAACGAGGACAGGAGGGGCCAGCGCAGGGGGGACCGAACCAGAGGTCAAGGAAGGATGTAGGTTGTAACGGCTCGTAGCTGATATATGTGTCGAATCTCTTGAGTTTCAAGGCGTGTAGTCAAGGTCTCGAGAGGGTTGAGCTGAAGATTGACTGCCTTGATCCAGAAGATGCTCAGAATACAGCTGTTCAGGGGACCACAGAGCTTCTTATACACGGCTTGAGGCAGCGGAAGACTTCGCCGACCGTGACAAAAAATGAGACGCCTTCGTCAGACGTAAGTGGACCTCACGATCGGAGACTCACCCATACTTGAAAGAACATTTTGAATCTACGGTGTGTGTCGACTTTCCTCGTGATTCTCTGGTGGAGATGTTACATGTTCGGACCATATGTAGCATCGCCCCTTAGTACAGTCACCCCCCATAGGTCTTTGTCCGGCATCACTCGGCTAATCGTGAATATCAACGATGTATTTACTTTAATGAAATGAGCACTTTGGTATAAGCACCGTTACCCCCAAAAAGCATTTTTCATGTTGATTCCAGAGTGATTATTCCATTATAATGAATATACCTACGCTTTCTGGAGGAGGGGTGTACGGAGACTCTGGAAGTTCACTGAACCTAGCTAGCCAAAGTCCAACAACAAAGCGCGACGTCGTCTGAAATCATCATGAGCTACTGTCTGTGAATCACGGGCACCATACATATGTTGCCAGGCATTCCATCGAAGACCGTAGCGAGTCACTGGGTGCTCTGTGCGCTTCTTCTTATGGCAAGTCACTGCGTAGACTGCGGACGGACAACTTGGGACGAGCGGCCAAGAAGAACTTCAGTCAACCGTTCAGAGTAGCCCAACTGCTCCCTGCAGTCACTAGACAGAGAATTGTGATCCAATTCAACGGCATTGCAGCATCATTTGAATCACTGCGACCCGATGGCGTCACTGAACTGCTGCTCAGCCTCATCGCAGTAAGGAGGCTCTCGGCACGCAAACTTTCTGAAGACACTGCTACAGAATATTGGATGACGCAATTCCTGTGATACACCCAAGGGTAGCTTCGATTATTTTGCTCGGCAAACAGTCTACGAGTAGTCCTGTGTGATCGCCTTCGGCTATGGATTTATATCGACCGAAATGACTATATACCAATGGCATCACATGGGGCGTGGTTGTTTCTACGTTTGGAGTATCGCACGACAACCAATCGAAGAGGCCATGACATCGCAAAAGGGAATGCTGGGAAACCCGTCGCCGGAGCATCAAGCAGGTAATCCGCGGTCCACGAAGCTGATTTTGTGTTCCTGTAGACCACACTCTGAAGGCAGGGAGTTCCATGCGACCCCTGAGACCGCCATAATGATGGGATACAAAAAGGGGGGGCTGCGAGATAAGGTTCCACGCTATCAACCTTGCGATGCACGGTTTGCCAGGGGGACCCCGACGACGCAGTCCCGCAACGTTTGGCAGGCACAATGGAATTGATGCGGCTGGCTGGTGATGGACTCGGCTGGCATTGAAGCATTCTTGACCAATGATTGACATGGCGAGCGTGGCTTCCGAATGGGTGTCTGGAATGAGGCGCCTACCTTACCGTAGTTTGCAGTGGGGTTAGACACGCATACGTCATCACCACATACAATCCGGCAGGCGCGTCATACTTGTACCTCCTGAACCTGATTGCAGCGAGGAAGTAGCTCCCGCCCTCAGCTCTACAGTATAATAAAGTGCAACAAGGTCGACCTCCCACCTAACCACCCACCAGCCTTGCCCAAAAGATCCATGTCCATATCAGAGCGATCTCCTACACCCACGAACACACCTCAGACCAACACCACTACCTTACCCAGCTACTTACAACATCCCCGGCCATGTTTCTTCAGCTCCTCCACCTAGCACAAGCCGCGCTGGCGGGCTACGGCGCCCAGCAGTCCTACGTCGCCATCACCAACCTTCTCAAGTACGAAGACGCATCCAAGAAAGCCGCCAAGATCTCCAACGAAGCCGGCCACCAGCTGCACAAGACGCGCACGACGCACACCTCGGGCGCCGCCGCGCTGACCGTCTCCCTACTCGTCAGTCTCCTGCTCGCCGTGCGCGGGTCCTCGTACGGCTTCCTCGTGCGCTACCTGGCGTCGCCAGTCATGTTGGCGGCGGTGTTCTTCGCGCGCGCGCACGTGCAGGAGTACTGGGCCGGACGCGACGGCAAGACGGTGGGCGTCAAGGTGCCGTTGCCGAAGATGGAGGGCTATAATGAGGCGCAGGCGAAGACGGAGGAGCTGCTGAAGGTGCTGGGGTGGTTGGTTATGAGTTGGGCTGCTACTTCGGTTGTGGCTTTGTTTGGGGGGTATTGAGGGTATTTACGAGGGAGAGGGTCCTGGCCTGCGATCGGATTCTGGGTGGGGGGGGGCTTTATTGACTACTGCCCTGGGCACTGTCCGCTGGACTCGACGAGAGGATGAAGCCTGGTCAGCAGACAGACACGTTGCTATTGCAACCCCAGTAGCACGAATGGTGCACAAGAAGTCTTTTATCGAATAATGAGCTATCCGCAATATGGAGTCGCAACGTCATGTGCCACCACCGACTGAGTTATTGAGAGGAAGTACTGCCCCCCGGCGAGAATGGTGATGTCGATTTGGTGTGTGAGACCTGCACAAACGCCTCGTATTGCTTTGCGAGGAGGCCCCATCAATACTCGGCCCAAACGCCTACTGGAAGGATCGCCACGTGGGATTGCCCGCGTCACCAGGCCCGGGCATCGATTGCCGTCCGTCAGTGTGACGTTCTCGTCGCCGGTGGCGTTGTGGAGTTCTTTGATGGTTGTCTCGAAGGCTTCGGCGACCACATCGGGATGCAGGAGGACGATGCCGGTTGTGCGTGGCTGGCTGGCTGGCGGGGAGGGTTCGGGTGGAGAGGAGGACGACAATGTTTTCGAAAGTTTGCGGCTCTCTTCACGCCAACCTTGCTTTCTAAAGTTCTATCTTTCCCCAATTACAAGTTCTTTAAGCCTACCACTGTCGAGGATCTCATCACTCATCGTGATGAGTCTGCCCCCGGCGGTATTCCTATCGCCGGTGTTGTGACCAACTGGACGTTGGTCTCCATGCATCATGATGGCCAGTCTTCTGTGGACCCCTCCACTCATCGACACATCCAATGAATTCCGATCTTCTTCGCGGATTGAGTACGATTGGTGGTAAAAAACAAAATGTCTATTCGAGGGCGCGATAACCGGTTGTGGTTTCGACATCGTGGGGTGAGGTGGGAGTCACGCGGGCTCCTGGTGTATGTCTTATTGACTGGTGGAAACATCTTGACCGGGGCGTAGCACTGGCCCCGAGAAAGCCGGCGATCCAACGGAGCTGTACTCCAGATTCCTAAACGGGAATATCTGCCGGCAGCTACGCAGCCGCATGCAAGGCATCATACATCTACTCCAATTCCCCAGGGCTGTCCAGGTCATGATCGTCACTATAAAGACAACCCGGTCGTGCGCTTCTTCACTTGTCATTCGCACAGGCCGGCCCTTATTTGAAGCACTTATGCCTCACCCAAACCACAGGAGTATACTCATCATTCTCCCCTCAAATCCATAAATTCACCTGCTCATAACCATGAAGCCCACAACTTCCTTGTTAGCCTTGGCCCTGGGGGCCTTCCAAGCCACCGCATCTCCAACCCCTGTCGATCAAGAGCTGGCTCCTCGTGCTACGCCAACTCTCTACTTGTGCGGTGACAGTACCATGGCCAAGAACGGCGCCAACGACGGCGACACCGACGGCTGGGGGCAATACATCGGCAACTACGTCTCTATCACGACAGTCAACAACGCCATCGGCGGGCGGTCCGCACGCTCGTACTGGGACGAGGGTCGGTTCGCAACCGTAGCAGCGTCCGTCCAATCCGGCGACATCGTCGTGATCGAATTCGGCCACAACGACGGCGGCACGCCCGAGTCGGCCGACAACGGCCGCTCCGACTGTCCCGGGGCCGGCACCGAGACGTGCGTCTCTGACGCCACGGGCGCGACCGTCTACACCTTTGTGTTCTACGTCGTGCAGGCGGCCAAGCTGATGACTGCGAAAGGCGCCACCGTGATCCTGTCGTCGCAGACGCCGAACAACCTCTGGGAGACGGGCGCCTACGTCTACAGCGCGCCGCGTTTCGTCGGCTACGACCTGACGGCGCAGAAATCGCTGGGCAGTGCGAGCGTCACGTTTGTCGACCACTTCCAGGCCGTTGCGAATGTGTATGCTAAGCTTGGCAACGCGGCAACCAACGCCCTTTACCCCAACGACCACACGCACACGAGCCCCGCGGGCGCCGACCTGAGCGCCCAGGCCTTTGCTGAGGCTATCAGCACGGCTATGAACGGCACCACGTCGCTCGAGTCGTATGTCAAGAGTGGCAACCCGACACCGTACCGCTTGGTGTAAGCGAATCACAGAGGGTTGTTTGAGGTCTGCACCCGGGCCTTGGTTCGGCGAAGGCGAAGGCGAGGAGTTCGAGTCTATCGTGTCTATAGTTTTGGCAAAAGCATCAGGTAGATGCATTATCCATTGTATATAGCGTTGGTTGGGAGATGTGAGGAATTTGTTTGAAGATCCAGTTCGTTTTGTGATACTGTCGTGTTGTGTGGTGCTTGGCGACAGAGGCCAATTGGTCTTGCAATAATAGCATTGGTAGGAACTTTGAGCTCACATTCAGGTACCATGAAAGGATACAGAATCCCAGCGTGGGTCTTCGCCCACGTAGTAGAACAGGTTTGGATGGTTATGCTGGCAAGGTCTCGTGGTCCGGTCTCTCAAATACCCCTTCTTCACCGCTCTCATCAAGCTAATAGTGCTTCTAACCTGTCTTGCAAGCATCAAGCCGGCCTTCTTCCACTTCTTCCGCTGCATCGACCCTGGCAATTCGGCGCGGCGGTGCGGATCGAACAGCTACGGCTTCTCCTGGAACTCGAAATCGATCCGGCTGTTGACAATGAACAAGTACTCGGAGGTTGAGCGGATCGCCGACCTGAATCGGCCTCAGGCGCATCCGGCATTCTGGGCAATATACCGCGGCTGCGATATGTGGTCGAGGAGCTCATCGTGACAGGAAGCCGGCGGGCGTATTCCCAAAAAGGAAGAAAAGTCACGGTCAGATGCCAGTGTTGGCCGTATGATCCGCGAGGAGGTGCGCGATCTGCCAGGAAGCTCCCACTCGGTGATTGCTCGTGAGCATTCTACGGAACGCAGTACGGGCCAGAAGAGTTCATCGCCGCAAAGCTCGAGTTGATCAAGGAGGCGGCATTCGCCCAGGTCCAGGCTCGCAATTCTCCGTACGAGAAGAAAGGACCTGCCGGCGGACCCCTATATCCACGACCGCGCGCTGGTCTGCATGGCATCCCCGTGCTGCGGGAGCTGGACTGGCTGGACTGGATGCCTAATGGGGTATACCTGTTCTTCTCGCCAACGGCGCCAACGGCGCCAACACGCGGACTATCCACGAGATCATTGTCGCAGCGCAGGCTCGGCGCGGCCTTGGTCTATTTCCCCTGCTGTGTGTAACCGGACGGGAGATCCACTATATATTACGAACTTCATCTTTGATAGTGCCGACGCGGACATGAGGATGCGAGCTGCGCCTGTTGCGTGAGTTGATCGCTGAGTGCGCGGCCCTGGGATTCGGCGAGTATCGCAGGCACTTGCTGTTCGCAGATCAGGGGCCGGCGACATTATTTGGAATGATCAGGCGGTTATTCGGTTGAATGACGCTATTAAAGACACGCTGGATTCGAAAGGGATCCTGGCGCCAGGTCGGAACGGTATTTGGCCGCAGCGGTTAACGGGAAACGGATGAGAGACTGGAGCCGATGACGTGGACTAGAGTAAGGTCGGGACGCGAGCGATGGATGGGGCTTGTGATCAAGTCGATCTAGGGAATTCAGTATAATCTCAGGGTATACAAATTGCTTATTAGTGCTCCTATGACAGTCGTTGACACCAAGCATACCTCAATCATCTACCATCCCAGATCTTCCGCAGGCCAGACAGCCCAATGAACAGTGCTTCATCAGTCCTGATGGTCCGGCTACCTTGCCCTGGCAAGATATTGATCCAATGGTCAAACAACTCCTTCGTCCTTCCTCTCACAATGCCCATGCCGTTCAATTCGGGATCATTCTCGGCTGCGAACTCAAGTCCGCGGGGACCTCCGAAGACTACCAGGAGATGGTTGAAGCTCGCCATGTTCTTTACCTTTCTCTCTGGAAAAGCTTCAGGTATCGTGAGGCCTCGCTCTGACGTACCAATACTCAAGTCGTACCCGCCTTCGTAAGCGCACTCCTCAAAGACAGATGCAAGCGATTTGCAACGTCTGGTTGAATAGCCCCAATAGTAACCTCCTTCGGTGCGCGGAGTAGCAGGATCGACTGGTTCTGCCAGAGACAGGTCGTTCTCGTCAATCTGAACGGTAATGCGAGTCTTAGGGGGAACATCGTGACTGATAGTGACGGGGTTCTTCCGGCCAACGTCGACCAATGTACCAGTGCCGTTCGCTGGTGTACCCGCCGTCGTTACTCCCTCGCAATACGGCAGCCAGTCGTAGTTGTGGGGGTGAGATGGGATATCCAGACTCTGCATGAGACCGGCAGCTTTCAGATTGGGGTGAAGTGGCAGCAGTGTTCTGCGCATGAACGGGGGCATCTCCAGATACTGCAGCAGGTGATCTAGATAGCCGCAAGGGTCGGTATCACCAGTGTAGCTGGCCGGGTCCACATGCCGGGGACGCTCGTCTGGATGCGAGTCGTCGAATATGACCACCTCGTCCACGCTGAAGACAGAAAGAGCGCGTGCGATGTGAGAAACGACGTTGGTTCTCTGGTCGTCACGTCGGCAACTGTTTGAAGAGTGTCAGTAAGTCCGGGCTAATCGAGCACCATAACGATGAAAGATTGACTGACAGAGACAGTACACTGCCAGGCACAGCTACAGAAATGGTCCACTCCCTACCCGCGTAGGGTTTGAAGAATGCGGTTGGCTTGGAGGTATCGACATAGTCGCCTTCCTGTGTGGTCCGGCGTTTCTGGAAAGGCTGTTAGCTGAGTGAACCCCAAAGTCGATGAGCGGATGGGGGAGTATGATGGGTCGTGCACATGCCTTTTGTCGGTCTTGGTCATAAGACATGATGGGCTTCACTGTGGAGATAAATCTCAACCAACTGCAATGATCGACCAGGCGGCGTCTTCGGTATTTGTATGCGTTGTGAGTTGCGAGTTACGCCGTGTATTCTGACCTGCAAATGAAAATTCGGGGTGAATGGGGACGGAAGAAATTGTGCCGGCAGAAAACTGACCGCCATAGTTCACCACCTGCCGGATAGGGCAATTGTTCTGTGCCACAGCCCACGGGCACAGGCGGGGCGGATCGTGGCGGGTCCGCGATCTTGACAGCTATTGCCACTACTGCAACCGGCATCTCCAGGGTGCCTCTCCTCCACTACCTAACGAACTCAACCCTAGAGATACACCCAGGCGCACCTCTACTGCATTCCTTCAGACCATCGCCGGCTTTGACACGAACTCCCGAACTACAGAGCAGCCACTATAGATACAGCCAACATGAGTGCGACAGTCAACGTCAGCTCGTCCGGGGAGTGGTCGCGCATCCTGGGGTCGTCAACCATCGTGGTTACTGACTTGTAAGAATGATGGTCTGTCTGCCTGTCCTGTCGCATCCCGCTTACCAGCCTCCAGCTATGCCGACTGGTGCGGCCCTTGCAAGATGATTGCACCCACCTTCGAGTCCCTATCGACCAAGTATTCCAAGCCCGGCAAGATCACTTTCTGCAAGGTCAACGTCGACAACCAGCAGTCCATCGCTCAGTCCCACGGCGTCCGAGCCATGCCCACCTTCCTGATCTTCCAGAACGGATCCGTCATCGAGACCATCCAGGGCGCCAACCCGCCAGCCCTCACAGCCGCCGTCGACAAGGCCATCAAGCTCGCAGGCACAAGTGCACCAGGCGCATCGTTCAAGACACCCGGCCGGACACTCGGCGGGGAGCCGGCTCGGGCAACACCGGCACGACGCGGCGGCGGCCAGACTCTGGGCGGTGGGAGATCGTGGAACCTCAGTTCCTTCAACATCATCAACTTCCTGCTCACATTCTTTGGGCTGTACTTTGCGTCGTTGTTCTCGGTATGTTCCATAACGTGCTGGGTTGGGATTACTTGATGACAGGTTCTAATTTCGGTTTCGCAGTTTGATCCATACAAAGCTGCTGAGCTATCAGACTTCAACGTGAACAAACCCAGAGCACCTCCGGCGCCAGTCAATGTGAATGGCAATAGAGTCGGAGGACAAGGTGCTTCGGCTCGGCCCGGTGGGGTTAGGACGCTGGCTGATCTAGGTGGAAGCTAGATGGAGGACTGCTGGCATAGTGTTTGAATCAGGCGTTGGCTCAGTGTGATTACTCTGGAGGGTTCGGATTATATCTATAGGCGTGACCGAATGCAAGCGCCTCTTTCGCCCCTTTAAATGTGCATTATCAATTCATACCTAGAATCTGTGTAGGCCTTTCGATAGGACGGGTAGCAATTCAGGGATGGGTGAGATCACCTTGGAGCTGCAGCTCCGTAGCACACTCTTCCAGAGCACGGGCCAAGCTCCAAAAGTCCCGTCGCAAAAAGTCCAAAAGTCGAAAGCTGCAGAGGCGAATACCCGAATATCTACTTTACAATCATCCTTGACAACGCCGACGCTCGACGCACAGCATTATGTTATCCGCTGCAAGAGCGCAGAGGTCGTGCCCCCAATGCAGACTTCAGCTTCTCAGGTTATTCGAAAATGGGTTCACTGGCTTTCGTGCCGAATCGCGACGGCTGTCTCGTCCAAGCGCTGAGAGTACCAGGACGATCCGAGTAAAAAGAAGCAGCTCACGACTTTTCTCGACCACAGTCCGCCGACTCCAAGATGTGCAACCCGAGCCTCAGTCTGAACCACATTCCGAAGCACCACCTCCCAAACCCGAGGATATTGAGTTGGCTGTACGACAGGCAAAGCACGCGTTTGGAGACACCTTGCCGAAAGACTACTTGAACGACGAAGAATATAAGCTGTATGAGAGACTCTACGGGGCGCCTTTACGGGAAACACAACCAGAGGATGTTGGGATGCCTATTCCTAGTGGTGGGCCCAGTGACTTTCCTCTCGGCCCCGACGAGAGAATACTTATACGGGAGACGGTCGATGGTCAGCTTGAGGAGGTAGTCTGCAAGACCGAACAGCTGCCAACACCACCCCCGGAAGGTGCTGAAGGGGCCCTAGAGGTTTCTCCCGAAGACGTTGACAATCTGCAAGAACTGCCGTCGGAAGCTGGGCTAAGCTACATCAACGCTGTGGCCAAGAGCCAGCGCGAGTACAATGCCCTCTTGAAATTGCAAAAGGATTTTGAGAGCGCGAGTCTGCGCGCAGCGGAAGAGGAGGATATCGAAGAGGAAGAGCCGATAGAGGAGGAGGAAGAGCAAGAGGAGGAAGAGGAGGAGGAAGATGAAGGCGAGCCGGACGCCACATTCTGGACCCAGTCTGACCGCGTTCACCCACACTCCAAGATAGGCCAGTGGAGGACGAACCCTACCTCACTTCATCTCCCGAAAGCCGAGTTTGTCGAACCGATTGCCAAGCTACTCGATAGGACCGACTTCAAGCATGTCAGGGATGCTGCAGAAAAGGCCTTTGGCGGCTCCAAGCTTCCACAGTCGGTCGCAACTCCGGCATCAAAGAGAAACGCGGCCCAAAACTCGATCCCCATGGAGGCGGGCCATCACAAAATGACAGAGATCGAGGCTGACGCCTACATTGCAACCAATCTTCCGGGCTCGTATGCGTCAGTCATGAGCATTCTGGTCGAGATTCGAAAACGCCTCGGATCTGGTTGGATGACGAACCTTCTGAACAGAGGCAATGGAGACGGGCCGCGGGTGCTTGACGTCGGTGCTGGAGGGGCCGGTGTAGCTGCGTGGCAAGAAGTACTGCAGGCTGAGTGGGAGCTTTCTCGTGGCCAGGGAAAAAAGTCGACATTGGAGCCACCGGGCAAAAAGACGGTTGTGGTGGGCTCTGATCAGCTAAGACACCGCATCTCCCGATTCCTGCAGAACACAACATTTCTCCCTCGGTTGCCTGACTACCTGCACTCCGGTGGTCACCCCGACAAGTTGGACGGCAGTAAAAGTCCTATGCCCAGAAAGTCCTTCGATATCATCGTCGCGGCTCACCAGATGATGCCACTAAAAGAGGGGTTCAAGCGCAAGGCGATGCTGGATAACTTATGGGAAATGCTGTCTCCGGAAGGGGGCATCCTGATCATCATGGAAAAGGGACATCCTCGGGGCTTTGAAGCTGTGGCAGACGCCCGGTCGCGCCTAATCAACGAGTTTGTTGAAACACCTACCTCGGATCCTCGACCGGAGCCTATCGAAACCGAGCAGAGGCGTGAGCGTGAGCAGGGTATGATTGTAGCGCCTTGCACCAACCACAAGGAATGCCCTATGTACCTGAAGCCTGGTCTGAGCTCCGGACGAAAGGACTTCTGTCACTTCAGCCAACGATTTATTCGTCCACCCTTCCTGCAGAGGGTCCTTGGGGCTACACACCGGAACCATGAGGACATCGACTTCAGCTTCGTCGCTGTGCAGCGAGGTGTGCATCGAGGCGCTGAGAAGACCACTGCACCTGTGCAGAATGGCGACATTACCAATGATGCATTCCTTGGATACGAAGATGCCATGGAAGCGCCGAATCCGCTATCACTTCCCCGGAACATTCTGCCACCGTTGAAGCGGCGAGGTCACGTGACACTCGACCTATGCACGCCCGCTGGAACCATCGAGAGGTGGACGGTACCCAAGAGCTACAGCCGACAGGCTTACCACGACGCCCGCAAGGCTCGATGGGGCGACCTGTGGGCACTCGGAGCCAAGACCAGAGTCGTCAGGCCCGTCCGGCTAGGACGAGGCGGCGCGGTGCCCAACGATGGTGGCGTGCGAGCCCGCGAAGCCGCACAAGGCAAGAAGCTGAGGGTTATCAACCTGAATGCTGATTCGTCCGGTATCTACAGCGCCAGCGAGAAGGTCAAAACACACGGTCCCCACGAAAGGAGAACCAGGGGTGGGAGGAAGTACAAACCCAAGGATTTGTTGAAGGAGCTGGACTGAGATCTTGTATGTACGTACGAGCACTTGTATCATTTTGTATCATATGGTGACTGTATGAGAGCAGATACGACTAGTGTACGTTTAGCATAATAGGGGCCACGCAAGATACACTCAGCCCTCATACCCTGTCTCCGTGCGCGCCATGTTAGAACGGGAAGATCCAGATCACGCGTCGAGATCTGGAAATACTGGAATAAGCAGGTAGGAATAAGCAGCTTTGGTTTGATACACCACTTCCAATGCTTATTCCATGGTGCTTGTGCCTAATCGATGAATGCATCGTTCAAACGTTTGCTGAAGCCCGGATTGTACTCAACGCAAGTCTTATCTCAACTCAAACAACAGGCAGCTGCTTGGAATAGTAATTAGCATCTCACCCAGCATGAGCGGTTTTTCGAAGGGCAACCGAGTGGATCAAGGCTGCTTGTTCGAATGGCTTGCTTCATCTGGCAGGGACGTCAGAGGCGGACATTACCCTCCTGTAAGTGAAACTCGCTGCTTCCATTTTGCTCAATCAGCAACTGCAACTGCAACTGCAACTCCTGTAAGCGAGACTCGCGCCTTCCACTTTCTCAACACCCTTCTGAAAGCGAAACTCGCAACTGCACTTCACCTAGCTGCAGTTCTGCCTTCACCCACTTACCCATCCATCCATCCATCCATCCATCCATCCATCCATCCATCCATCCATCCATCCATCCATCCATCCATCCATCCATCAACATCACCGCTTACCCACCCAATATTCATCCATCCATCCATCGACTCGAACTCACCCACCCGACCAGACACCAACAACACCACCACAATGGCCGGATCTTCAGACCAGCTCCACGGCACGCTCCGCGGGACCCTAGCCCACCACCAAGTCCCTGCCTTCTTCCCAGAAGATGTCGAGTACACGGAGCTCGTCAAGCCGTACAACCTCTTGTATCCTTACAAGCCTGCGGTCATCTGCGTGCCCGATAACACCCACCAAGTCGGCTTTGCCGTACGCAGTGCCGCAAATCTTGGCTTCAAGGTCCAGGCGCGCAGTGGAGGACATAGTTATGGGGGTTATAGCTTGGGGGGCAGAGACGACAGCATGGTTGTTTGTCTACGCCATTTTCAAGACGTGGAATTGACTGATGATATTGCAAGAGTGGGCGCGGGGGCGAGGATTGGACTGCTGGCGGAGAAGTTGTATACGCTGGGCCGGAGGGCTGTTCCGCACGGCACTGAGAAGACGTGAGTTTTCCCTGTCTTTTTCCGCTGCCCTTTTGTGCCTCTTATCTGGGGCAATGGCTGATTGTGGAATAGAGTCGGTGTAGGGGGGCACTTCTCCCACGGCGGATACGGATACCAGTCTCGAGCTTGGGGGCTTGCGCTTGATACCATCGTGGCTATGGATGTGGTACTGGCGGATGGTGAAATGATCCACGTTACGGCGGCTGAGCGTCCGGATCTCTTCTATGTGAGTTGGCTGAGCACTCGGTGCCCTTGTTAACAATCACTGATTCACAAGACGCAGGCATGCAGAGGTGCTGCTGACTCTTTTGGTATCATCGTGTGCTTCTACCTGAAGACAGTGCCGGCGCCTGAGAGCGTTATCGTCTTCCGCTACAATATCCCGGACCTGGTTCCAAACGTCACGGACGCCGTCAGTGCCGTGCTCTATATTCAGGCTATGGCGCGGCGAAAAGATTTTGTTACGCCTGACATCTCCTTTGGACTGGTCATTCGGGACGGCGTTCTCCAACTGCAGGGGGTTTACTTGGGAGATGACATGGACAAACTACTAAACGTGAGGAAACATTCTTTATCCTTCGGAGTCCAAGGCTGACAGACTTCTCGTAGGTGACTTCGATATTACTCCAAACCGTTCCCGAAGAAAACATGACGGCGGAGGTTCTGTCCCTTGGCTGGCTGGAGTCGGTGAACTGGTTCTCGAGCCAGCCGAATGATCCATCTGAAGGGTCGTTCGATACTTTTGTGGGTCCTTACTATTATTGCCTCTGTCAAATTCAACCTTACTGATCGTTGATCTTAGTATGCCTCAAGCGCGGTGGTATCCGAACACAAGCCCCTTGATGAGCGATTGCTCACAGGGTTCTTTGAGGAAATCAACAGCCACAAGCTGGACCCGTCGCAGTCGTGGTACTCGATTATCAACCTCCACGGTGGTCCCGGATCCAAGATTAACGAGGTCCCATCACACGCTTCGGCCTATGCGCACCGCGACAACTTATGGGTGGTCCAGAATGTGGGCTGTTCCCTCTCGCATCAACCTCCGTTGTATCTCCACACGATCAATTTCATCAACCGCTTGACGGCTCGCCTCGAGCCGGTGGGGGCTGAGCCCAACTACCTCTGTCCCTCTGCTACTCGGGACGATGCTCATAGGCTTCACTATGGTATCTTGGCTACAGCGGGACTGAAGGTCATCAAGGACAAGGTTGATAGGGGTAATGTTTTCTGGAACCCTCACTCGATTCGCGCTGTCAAGTTCACGCAATTAGGTATGCAGTAAGCATGCAGGAATAAGCAGGTCTGACTTAATACACAACTTTCCACTCTTATGACAGTGTGCTTATTCCAATTATAAATGATATATATGCTGTTCTTTGCTGAGCTGGTGGTGAAAACCCTGGTGCATCAGCTGTATCACCTGTTTAGGGATCTGTTTCTGTGGTCGTCCGTCAGTCATCGGCCGTGGCGACGGCGACAGCACATTTCTGCGCGATCATGGCACAGAGCTCGTGGATGCTGTTCTCGCCCAGCATCTCGAACACGCTCATGTCGATGTCGCACTGCCCAAACACCCACGTGCGGACTCCCACTGCCACGAGCCAGCCTACGCCGTAGGAGTTCGTGCTGTACTATGGTGCCCATGCTGCGTGGTGACTGGAAGTCACCGAGCAGCAGGTTCAATCCAATTAGCCATACCTATCTGATGCCTATACCAGACTGCTTGTCCCGGTTCTGTGAATACCTGCAGATACACTTCGATAGCCTCCCTAGCAGCACTGACTGTTTACTAGGTACCTTCAATGGTTGTTAAAACTTCCGGGGGTTCAGTGTGGGAATCACTGACGCCTAGAGCTTCCACTATAACGAAACACCTGGTTTGTCCTCGATCTGAGTCTTTTAGGGCTTATATTGGAATAAAAGCCTGGTGAATCACGAGAATGACCCGTCGGAGGACCCGATCCTTTCTCTCGGTGTTTGACATGACGGACGAATCCTTGGTACTATGATTCACAGTATCACGGCGGAAATTGAACAAAGAAGGACCTGTATCGTCACCGCTCATCGTGCGACTCACGGCCCGGTACTCGAGTGCGGGGTTACTGGAGGTGACACACACATGGCTGGCACAACAGACGATATCTCCACGCTTGGTAGTGCTTGAAATACATAAGAGTCCAGCATGTCTCCTCTTTAGTGTCCTCGTCAAGTGCGCTTCATCCATCAGCGAGGGCCGCTTGCTACCAACATATCACTGAACAGATCCAGCCTTCCCTCATTTGGACATCAATTGTAGTTGCTATTGCCCTGTTACGTCCTCCTCGAGCCCATACGTTGCTTCCAAGGAGCCCCCTTCCCCTGGAACGAATCACGATACCCACTCTCACACGACGAATCTCCATCACGGTCGGCCATGCCGAAGCTTCGTTCCTCTGGGTGTGGTGGCGGTAGTGGTGGCAGAAAACAGCGTGGAGGTGTCGGCAGACAGGATGACGAGAGCAGCTATGATGGCAGCAAGAGAGAAGACCGCGCTCCAAGCGTCGAAGGCGACTCTTCGTCCACCCACCACCACCAGTCCCACTCCCACTCCCATCGTAAGTCGAAGAACCCACACAAGCAACAGCGAGGTCCGGCCGGTCCCCTACCTGTCCCGAGACACCCGCCCATAACGTTCGGAACGTACAACGGTGCAAAGCATGACGTACTCGGAGGTCCGTCAGGCGCCGCGCAGTGGGCCATGGTCCCGTACGAAAGCAATAAGGAGATGGCGTATTCGGCATGCGACGAGCTGATACCCTTTGGAGGGCCTTTCGGCGGCAGTTTGAGCCCACCCCCGGGTTCCGACCAGCCGTATTCCAAGGCTTTCAGCTCTTTTCGGATCGCCTACAGGTACGAATACGAGAAGAAGCTGCCCGAGGGCGCGATGGCCGATAAGGAGATGACCGAGCAGCTTAAGAGGCTTCAGGAGAAAAAGAAGCGGATGGGTAGAAGGGACTAAACCTGCTTTTCCCTGAGGGTCTGGATTTGGGGGTGGGAGGATGGCATGGACTATGCGGCTATGTCGGAGTCGGCTTCACTCTGGCATGTCTGACTACCACCGCTGTGGTACAGTGCTACTCTTGAACGGAAACCGATAATAAAGATGTGACAAGGGGAGAAGTGGGAAATTGCGGAAGGAGACCGGGAAAGGGAGAAAAGAGGGAGAGAAGATGGATGCGGATATTGCAGGGACTGTTCCACCAAGCCTCGAGAACGGAGAAGTTCAACACGCCAGCGTTCGGCCGGGGTGCTCTCCGGCACTACCTTCTGTCTTGGCACTCCGGCATGTTCTCAGACTTTCTTAAACCAAAAATAACTGTTTGGCAACTGAAATGCACAGTATGGCATGTATCCTCGTAACTAGGCTGGTATCATACGGCCTCAGCTACCTTTTACTACTGATGGCTATTACTATGTCTGCTTTGAACTCACGAAGGCTCGACCCCTTGAGATTCATCAGTTCGAACATACGGGCAAAACGGAAGTTGGTTCCAGAGTAAAAATAGCGAGCACGCTTCCTACGAGAAAGCTGCGTATCTCTTCCCCCTTCGCAGTCCGTGGCGAGTAAAGCACTGTCGCACTGAAAAGAGCACCTACCTTCTCCCCCTTGCCTTACGCGTCCGTCATACGCGCGCATGGGCCCACGCCGCCTCCAAAAGCACATGCAGGCGGCCCGGGACAGCATGTCGCACAAAAACAGGGGCCCCTTTACTGGATGTACGGATATATTTCGGGTCGTATTCTGATTACAACACAACAACACGTCAGTTTTGAGACAGCCTCCTGTTTGCCACGCTCAGCTACGGCTTGTGGCCTCCCGTAAGTGGACCCCGTGCGAGCCCACGCCATGTGGGAGGCCTACCACAGCATCGTTGTTACGGGCTCCGTAAGCCTTAAGAGTGGAGAGTGTGATATCAGCTGCGCTGAATGTATCTATTACACATGTCCAATTTGCAAGTCGAGCAGGGAGTATATAACTGTCTACCAGCACACTAGAATGCAAGGTTATGAGGCGAACCCTTTGTATCTAGTAACCTCTAGTGACGCCCGAGACAAGAGAGGGCATTTGGTTATGAGTCGAAATGGGCTCCGTGACGAGCTGCTGATCCTCGTCAGAGATTTGTGCACCTTGGAGAGACGGCGTTCCTGAGTTCAAGACGGGAGTGACGGCAGTGCCGCCGTCCGGCGCCCGCCTGCATCACCGTGGAGACCGGCCGTGCTCGGGACCCAGAACCCAGGTTCTCTCAGCACAACACCGAGCAGGGACCAATGGATACAAACCAACCTACTGGCGAATTTCGATCTGTCCCCGCGGCAGAGCGTCAAAGTTTTGCCCAAAGTCGTATGAAGATACATTGAGGTTGTTGTGCCGTCGGAGTATTCGAAGGGTGCCTGAACCCCTATCTGAACCATGTGAAGAAAACACATGTCAGAAGGGACGAAATTATAGGAATCACATGCGTTGCTACTGGTTCCTGGAGGCTACCTCGCCAATACCGGAACAATGTAGCACAGGGTCATGCAACGCTCCTCGCTCAGAACGACTTACAGCACGTTCACTGGATTATAAATGTTTGATGGCCTTCCACCTTGCTGTCTCCAGGCGAACGGCTTGCTTCAAGACCCAATTGAACCGTCGATCACCTATTGCGTGCTTTCTCTGCATGAACGCTGCTACCAGGTACTAGTGACGTAGCTGTTCCTGTTACTGAGAGGCCAAATAGAAGAGAAGCAGCGGAGTTACGGGCTATTGATTTTGGGGCAGTTGAGTAGTATAAGAGATGGGAGTTCCAAGCATGCTAAAGCCATGGTCTTTATTAGTTTCAGACTCACTTTTCGAGGTGATTTCACGAAATAGGCTTTTATTCATGGATCTAACCTGCCTCCTCTACTGTACATATTGCCCCTCATACACAATAGCAATGGCTGAGATTCGCCCCCATAGCCCGCCTGACAGTATGGCGACGAGTACGACTACTACATCCGACGAGATCGAACTCACGAAGCCCAAGGCCTGCCTAGCCGCGCGCAACACCTCGAAGGACTGGACGCGTGAAGAAGATCCCCAAACCCCTTTACCCCTGAACCCCGAGCCAGTCAGAGCCTTCGCGGCGAAGTGGCGCTCCTACCTGATCATAGCCAACCTCTCATCCATCAACTTCCTCGGCAACGTCTCGACGGGCCTCATCATGACATGCATCCCAAAAATGGCCATCGACCTCTCCATCCCAGCACAGACGTACTATTGGCCGCTCTCCGTCTACGGCCTCACCAGCGGCGCCAGCCTGCTCGTCGCCGGCGCCGTGGCCGACGTCGTGGGCTCCAAGCGCGTATTCCTGACGGGCAACGTCCTGCAGGCCGTCTTCACGCTCGGCTGCGGCCTGGCGCGCACCAATGCCCAACTATCCACGTTCCGCGCCCTGCATGGCGTCGCCGTGGCCCTATGCCTCCCGACGTCCGTCGGGCTCCTCACTAGCGCCGTGGCGCCCGGCCGCCGCCGCAACATCGGGTTCGCGTGCACGGGCGTGGGCCAGTCGCTGGGGTTCTCGTTCGGCCTGGTGCTGGGTGGCGTCTCGGTCGACACGGCCGGGTGGCGCGTGGGCTGGTACGCCGTCGCCGCCACTCTGCTCGCCCTCGCGCCCGTCGGCATATACGTCCTTCCCACCGACACTCTGGCGCGGGCGCCGAGCTTGCACGCGCTGCGGACGCGGGTCGATTGGGTCGGCGCGCTGATCATATCTGGTTCCCTGACTATGCTGGCGTACGTCCTGCTCCAGCTTTCCGAGTCGGAGGACTCGGTCTACCTCCCTTGTAACATCGCGTTGCTGGTCGGCAGTCTGGCTCTGATGCCTGCGTTTGGGTGGTGGATGAGCATGGCTGCGCGGTGTGGACGTCCTGTGCTCATCCCCAATGGTCTCTGGCGACGTCTGCCCTTCGCCAGCGTCTGTCTGATGGTGCTGCTGTCATATGCCGTCATGCAGACGATGCAGCTATTCTGCACCTTGTTCTTCCAGAGTGTGCAGGGGCTGGACGCGCTGCAGTCGTCTGTGCGATTGCTGCCGTCGTTTATCGTCGGGTCTGTCATTGACTTTTCGACCGGCATGTTCATCCATCGGGTCTCGCCCGCTTACCTGGTCTTTGCATCGTCCCTGCTGTGTGCCGGGGGGTCGGTGCTGATGGCACTCGCGGACCAGGAGTGGCCGTACTGGTATGCCGCGTTTCCGGCTCAGATTTTGCAACCGGTAAGCCTCAACCCTCTATATGGAAATAAAGGAGAGATGAGCTGCTTGCTAAGTCTCATGTTCGGTAGATGTCTGCAGATGTACTCTTCTGCGTAGGCCTGGTCATCGTCAGCGAGCTGTTCCCCGACGACACGCAGTCTCTTGCCGGCGCCGTCTTCAACATGGCAGGGCAGTTCGGCACGTCCATCGGGCTGGCGCTCATGGGTGTCGTTGCCGATAGTGTCACGCGAAGGTCTCGGCATGCGGATAAGGAGAGTCCGGAAGCGTTGGGAGAGGGGTATAGGGCTGCCTTCTGGACTGCAATGGGCTGGATGCTGCTGGTGTGCCTCATTGCTCTGGTAGGCTTGAAGGGGGTTCGGAGAGTTGGACTCGGACTTGGATGAGCTTGAGGAGGAAAGACCATTCAACTACACAGAGCGCTTGCTCGTGATGGTGCTGCTGGCGCCGCCTGCTTGGAGACGATCTCTGTAGACTGCAGGGGTTCTGGAATCATAGACTGTGTGTCTCATGACCTTCACGATTACTATGGCGGCCTGGTAATCGACATACATTCTGTACTTTACCTTCACATGTTACCTTCTGTTCGTTAAATTCCGGCTCGACTCCTTTCGAGGTGTTTCCTACCGCTTGGGAAGGGTGAACAACGTGAAGCTCACATCTCTATGGTCATGAGTCCCGAATAACGGTGTGCCTCCCAAGCAGGGGTGGAGTATCAACATCGCGCACACCAGATATGTGAGAGAGCAGCTGACACGCGCGGAGTCTGCATCACCGGTTTGTGCAAATTTGCCCAGAGAGACGATCCGAGTTGAGAAAGGGAGGGCCACTACTGTGGTTGGGCACGAGTGGTCAAGTTGAGGCAGTGACTCAGTCCGGCAGTATCCCGTATATAGGCCTGCATAAAAACCTGACTCTCCATCCATTAGGAAGAAGATGCATCTCAGCATCGAATGGCCAGTCAACAAGTTCCACGGGCTTGTGGTTTAGTGGTATAATACTCCCTTAGCATGGGAGTGGTCCGGGGTTCGATTCCCCGCGAGTCCATTGTGTAGAGGTTCAATTCCTATTGTGCTAACCTTTTTACTTTTTAATTTTGTAGGGCTAGTTGTCCTTTGGTGGGTTGTCGGCTGTTTGAAAAGGAGCAGGCAGGGGTCTATTGGAGGAATCTGACTAGTTGCTGATGGATCTCCGATGACCCTCCGCGGGCTTTAGCGGGCGTAACGGGCGTCCTAGACTGCAGCTTGTGATTGGATGGATAAGGCTCTTTTGAGCCGTTAGGCGGTGGCGTGATTGTCGTCAGTGAGCAGGCCCCACTTAAGTTTTTTACGATGCAGAAATGCCACTGCGAAGTCGCATGGCGGAAATGCATGCTCGACTTTCAGATCATCCATCCGCCATCCCACTTTTGCGCCGCCACGACCCTCCATTAGTCATGTCAGTCTGCTTGCGAATGGCTTCCCACGCCGAACGTGTTCCCCGGAGATGGTCTAGACGGTCTCGTGTGTCGTTAATAAGATCCCTTCTGTCTGGCCTTGACTGATGCCAGCTCACTGTCGTGAACCCTCTCTTTAATCCAGTCTGCCGCTTGCTGTCTTATAGTTCAGTCCCCGTGTGGATCGCGTTCTACCCCTCCGCCGCTGGCAAGCTGCTCATATATTGACGAGAATCTCGCTGGTGTGCTGCTGCTCCCGCTACACGGCTCTGCGATGGCTGGTCACATCTCCATGCTCACAGCGACCGACGCCAGATCCCACATCCACCTGGTCGTCGGCTCGAACCCACTGGCTGCCGCCCGCTGCGCCCAGTCCTTGTCTGCTGGCGCATCACCTGTCCTGCTTGCGCCCGAGACCGCAGAGCTTCACTATGCCCTACAAAAACGCGTGGACGACGGGGACGTCAAATGGATCAAAGAGGCCTTCCAGGACAGTCATCTATTCTCCCTTGGGAGGGAAGACGTCGGCCATGTAGTGGATGCTGTCTACGTGACCTCGGGCTCCAGAGACCAGTCAAGTACGTTCTGTGACGCTCCCACCAATTCGCCCACTACTAACTGTGGCACCCAGGCGCACACATATCGAATCTTTGCAAACGAAATCGGATTCCCGTCAACGTGGTCGACGCTCCCCATCTCTGCTCGTTCACGCTCCTCTCGACACACACCGACGGCCCACTCCAGATAGGCGTGACGACAAATGGGCGAGGGTGCAAGCTGGCGTCTAGGATACGCCGCGAGATCGCTGCCTCGTTACCGCAAAACCTGGGCGACGCATGTCTGAGGCTGGGGGATGTGCGCAGAAAGATACAAGAGGAGGACCACTTGCTACACATGGCACTGGCAGACGGAGATGATGTGGATGATTCCATCGGTCAGTCGGCGAGCTTCAACAAGCTCGTCACCGAAGCCGATATCGATGCTGCGAAAAACAGACGCATGCGATGGCTGGGGCAAGTCTGCGAGTACTGGCCCTTGAAGCGGCTTACTGCGATTAATGATGATGACGTGGCTACCATCCTGAAATCCTACGAGATCGCCGGCTCTGCCGAGTCGGTTGGCAAGTCCACCCTGGCGGGCAACTCGATAGGCCGGGGTCGCATCATTCTTGCTGGGTCTGGCCCGGGCCACCCCGACCTCCTCACACAAGCAACCCACAAGGCTATTCAATTCGCCGACCTCATTCTGGCTGACAAGCTTGTGCCAGCCGGCGTGTTGGACCTGATTCCTCGACGCACTCCTGTACAGATTGCGCGGAAATTCCCCGGCAATGCGGATGCTGCTCAGAACGAGCTCCAGGAGATGGCGATAGCCGGAGTGCGTGGGGGTAAGACAGTGCTGCGCCTGAAGCAGGGAGACCCATATGTGTATGGACGTGGAGGAGAGGAGGTTGAGTACTTCCGAAACCATGGTCTTGGCGACAGAGTCATCGTGCTGCCGGGAGTCACATCAGCTCTTTCGGCACCCCTTTTCGCCAGCATTCCGCCCACGCAACGAGATGTTGCCGACCAGATCCTGATCTGCACCGGAACAGGAAAGAAGGGTAAACCACCAGCGCCGCCAGAGTACGTGGCCAGCCAAACTGTGGTTTTTCTCATGGCGTTGCATCGCATATCGGGGCTGGTCGAAGAATTGACCACCTTCTTGAGTACGGAGACTATGGTAGTAAAGGAAGAGCAGCTCCAGGATACCGTTGACGCAAAGGTGATTGGGGCGGAACCGAGAAGGATTTTATGGCCAAAGAACACGCCGTGCGCCGTCATCGAACGTGCCAGCTGTCCGGATCAGAGAGTGATCCGGACGACGCTGGATAAAGTGGTGGAGGCCATCGAACAGGAAGGCAGCCGGCCGCCTGGCTTACTGGTTGTGGGACGTGCCTGCGACTTCCTGAATAAGCCGGAGAAGGGACGCTCCTGGAGTGTAGAAGAAGGCTTCAGGGGCTTGGACATATCTGATGCACTAGATTTAGGAGCTGCATAGAGGTGTATACTGGGCGCACACCTAGTGTATCTTGACGTAGCTGAATGAACAGATTATTCAAAGTTCGTTGCTACTCACACTCCAGTATGGGATTGGCACCGAAAGACTACACACGTGTTATATCCCCCGGGCCGCTTAAGTTGCTGACAGCATCACCATGTTCACCCCGCGTAATTACTGCATAGCAGGAGTAATCTCCGCAAGGACCTTAGTCGACACAAGCATATGCGGTACTGGTGATCAAGTGTGACATATGCTTGATCAGGATATATCCAATTGACACGTGGATGTATGTCGCTGAGGATTGGTACATATAACCTGGTGTTTGGCTCCTTGGGAGCTGTACGGATCCCGAGTTTATTATTATTTTCCATGCGTCGCTGCCTCTTCAGTCCTTGTCGCAGCAGCACTCAAAGCCTACGAGAAGTCGAGGTATGATAATGATGCTATTTGGAGCATATGGGATCAAGCTTCCGTGTCTTCCTTCGCGCATCGAGACGGGGACTAGATTTGCGTCGAAAGGAACCTTCCTATAGGAATGAGGGTCCATGCTCGCCACTTGCCGCTTAACTTAGGTGGTGTTTGCCAGCTATTAATAGGTTTATGATTATAGAGCTATAGGGCTCCCACAGGGCTCCCACAGGGCTCAAGGTCCCAATCCCACAGCTAGAGGACTCCAGGGCTCTGTGCACAAAACTTTCCCAACTGTAGGGCAAATCCTTTGCACTACATGGCTTGATACTGTTACTAGATGGCTGACGCTGGAGTCATGGACCTTGTCTTCTGCTGGACTCGCGGGATGTAAGATGACTACTACTGCCCCGTGGGTGCAGCGGGCAGTGAGATTCCTAGTAGGAAAGTTCCTAGTAAGAAAGTTCCTGATAAGAAAGTTCCTGGTGAGAAAGTTCCTGGTAAGACCCTTGGGTGTAGGAAGCTAAATACCCTGGCGAGACCCTTGAATTCGATAGGCAGCGAGATTGCTGCTTACCTGCCACGACCCTTGAGTCTATGGGAGAATTGAGTTACTTATGATAGAGTATAATTATGGTGGAGTGCTGCCGTCGCCAAGACTACCTTAGATATGCTCTCTATAACTGTGTCGTATCATTTAACCCTGTTTTTTGCTTCTGATATCTTGTGCCGAAAATAACTTGTTTATCATGTTTTTCCGATCTTGCTTGCTTGGCTGCCTTAGCACAATTATTGTCCTCTCTTCACAGTCGACAGCTCACCCTCCTAGCACGCTCTCATCCCTCCATCGAGCACGATCTCTCCCCCAAGGGGCACATAGCGCTGGCAATGCCTCATTTACAGTCCATTCTACACAGGTGGACTTAGCTAATGGCAACCGTTGGGCGCCGCAGGCAGCAAAACTCTCGGACGGTACTATCTTGTTCGCGTCGTCCATCTACCCGCCAGACGAACCCGCCAACGGAGGAGGGGACGTGGCAAACACCAACATGGCAGCAAACACCAACACGGCCTGGATCGCCGCGCTGCAGGTATCACGGAGTACCGACGATGGCAAGACCTTCAAACCCCTCGGTGTCATAGCCAAGGGCCCCCGCGACCTCAACGCCGGCTGCCTGCTCGAGCTTCCGACGACGACAACGGCCGCTGGCAACGCCACCACAGGCAAGCGCGCCTCGCCCACCATCCTCGCGGCCTATGAAGACAACGAGATAACCGCAAACGGCACGTACGTGATGTTCCGTCTCGTGGTGGCGCGCAGCGAGGACGGCGGCAAGACCTGGACCGATCCGAAGACGGTGGTGCAGCGATCCGCCACGCCCCTGCCCCTCCAGGTTTATGGGCCGTTCCTGCGGATCGCCGAGGACGGCAAGACGATCCAGATGACCTACTCCGACATGTTGTCGGCCACAAATCAGCAGATCTCCCGCGTCACGTCGCTGGACTTCAGCGAGACGTGGACGCAGCCTACCAACCTGCGGCTGCATCCCGACAATGCGCGTATGCGCGACGGCTCGAATTCAATCGTCTCGGTGGGCGAGAGGCTCGTCATGGCGGTCGATGTCCAGACGGACACGTCGATGCGCCTGGACTACGTCATCTCCGGGGACGACGGCCGGTCCTGGGGCGGTAGAGGCACCGTCTTCGACCCAGGGAGCAACAACACGGCGATCTCAGGGCAGATGGTCAGGATCGGCAGTTATCTGGCGGTCGTGTTCCTGACTAACAAGGACATCGGCCCGATCGACCCAAATGCGGTCCCCGCGCCCTCGGGAGACCCGGCAGGTGTCGGGTACGCGAACAGGGTGGTGTTCTCGGATGGGATTGTCAGGGACGGGCGCCTGAGGTGGACGGAGACGCCTTTGGAGCTCTGGCCGGTGGATTCTGAATGGACGGGGGCTGTGCAGTTGTCGGACAAGTCCATCATGGCGCTGTCGTGTCGTGATTTTGCTGCGTATGGGAAGATCGTGTCAATGACATAGGGGCTTGGCCGCCGAGGTACATGGGCTTTTCTATCTTAGCAGGGTGTTACAGGCCGGCGGCATCTCTTCTCTTATCTGGTGGGCTTTGCGGGCAGCACAGGGGGTTTGCTGTCAGTGATTTCAGGGCGTTTGAGGTTGGGTTTGGGTGTCTCTTTGCGGTTGAAGAGCTGAGTAATAGAACAAATTCTTTTTCGGTGGCCACGTCCATCAGCTGCATCAAGCTGTAGTCGTCACCTCTTCATCCCGGTTTCTTTCCTCTTTAAGCGGCATGCCAGCATAAAGCTGCATAGTGCAACCCCTGCCTGCATTCCTTCTCAGATACCGGTACCAACCGGCCTGTAATGGAGACATTCTGGTCCTGCTCAGTGATAAGCAGCTCGTGCCAGATCAAGACCTCGCAAAGTCGGTTCGTATACATGGGAAGCAGAGTTGGTAAATGCGCCGGTCTGGAGCCTATTCACTTTCCAATGCTGGGAGACGATGACTAACAGACTACAGCTCAGGGGTGTATGATTGTACCTTGGATGATGACGAAACGAAGTCGTAGGTGACGACTGCGGCTTGCGAGAACTTTCCCAGACACGACAGTTTCACGGAAGTCGTGTGCGTCCTTCATTCCTATAACCCAGTTGCGAAAACAATATACGCTTCCGCCGCTTCCCACCGTAGCTTATCGTCCCGAAGAACCAGTATACATCCCACAAATCTCTTCAATACCCTGCTATAACCTGTCCCTCCCTCATCCTGTTCAACTCATCCTACGATGTGAGCGACGATGTGAGCGATTCAGTTCAGCCCAGGATCCCCTCTACTCCCGATCATCAGGATGAAATGCCAAAGCCCCGCTATGGCAATGAAGAACTTTCCAACACTTGGGGTACTGGCTGGATCGGCGTTGTAGGTGCCGCTTGGTCTCCGGTCTGGGCCTGCGCTTCTTCATTTCCTTCAGCTCGTACGCCACCTCCAAACCCCGTTGCAGGAGTATCTACATGGCACTCGCGACAAGTTACAACAAACAGCCTGGTGATATCATAAATGCCGTAAAGGGTTATTCGACCACTAATTCACTGACCGAGCGGACTTACCGGCTCCACTACGACTACAGGCATGTTCAACTTTAGCCTGCTGGGAGCGAAAGATTCTTACGACAAGGGGCCACATTCCAAGAATAAACCCAGCAACGGAACTTGTGAGCCCAACGCTTTACTTTGTATAACTCTTCTTATAAGAACCTTCTTTCTCTCCTCTAGTAAACCAATAGAGCATTGCCTGCAACCCAACCGCATCGCCTACAACCTAACAGCCATCACGACAACAGACTAGTTAGCAATACAAGTCCACGGCCATTCCTTTCACGTAACACTACCGAAAGAATACTTCCGCTCTGAGTATCCGCCACCATGCATTTCTCTCCCGTCGTATTCATCGCCCTCTCGGTCCTCGGGGTGACCGCAGCACCCGCACCCGCCGAGGTAACGTAGCCCTATCCCGTCAAAAACCTGACACAGTTTCAACGGCGCGCTTACCACTTTCGCAGCTTCACGGCTACGAGGCGCGCGGGATATTCGAGGTGATGCACAAGCTGGGGCTCAGATCAGATACCCAGGAAAGTCGCCAAAAAGAGTACGATGAGTGCGTCGAGGCGGCCAAAAAAGACCGCAAGGTCAAACTAGAGAAACCCGTCGCGGACGAGACCGAAATCAACACTGAGTACCTTCTATACCTGGCGTTATGCGACAAGATCTGGACTGCATTACAAGATCAATAAGATCTATTAAATAGTTAGGAGATGGTTTGGAATTCTGAAACGCTTATACAACGTGAACCTCTCAGATTGTCCGCTAGAAGGGGTGTTAATAAACCCCGAATGTTGTAAGTTTGATAGGTAACGTGAAGGTGTGCGTCGGGGTGATTTTCAACCCGGCAAAGGGGATTGAATACGAGGTAAGTTAGTTACCAAAGTTGCCTTGTGCAGGAAAGACGCCTCTTCGGCGGGCAGAGGGTGCGCCATGCGCGACGAGAGGCCTGGTAGGTCCTGCCTGGTTGATGTGCACGCGCTGGACGGGACCGTGAGATGGGGGTCCCGGCTTGGAGTTGATGGTGTTGCCGTCGCGTTCGGAGCCTGACGGGCGGCGGCTCATGATGGCACCATTGATGCTCTGCCGCATTAAGCACGCGATGAACTACCTCCATACTTACACTAAAGATGCAATGACCTTTCTTTGCACGGGAGAGCATGAAGGGCTTTGGTTTGGCTGGAAAGAAAGGATAATTACGACGTATTAAGGCGTCGATATGACCCGGGGACAGGCTAATATATTCGGTATCATGGGCGGGCTGGCAAAATTAAGAAGCAGGTACGGTTGATAGAACGCCTAGTTATAGGCCATCAAGTATTGCGTAAACGTCAATTACATAGCTCTGCCAGTTGTAGGACACAATAATTGATAGACTTCACTGCTCAGTTACATCTGGTCGTACCTAAGATAAAATCGAAACGAAGTCACAACGGCTTGCAAGCACTTTTTTAAACAAAATGATTCATGGAAGTTGTATGAGTTTTGAATTGCTCTCATCAAGTTATAAAATAATTTACCTTGATACATAATGCCTTTTGCTGAAGCTCTCTGTCCCTCCCTCATTCTCTTCAACTCATCCTATGATGTGATCAATTCAGTTCAGCCAACGATGATCTCACTCCCCATCCTCAGGATGAAACACCAAAGCCCTCACCTCAATACTCTCCCTCGCCGGCGCCCCCTCCTCCGAGCCGGGGTCCACAAACGCCGTATGCGGCACGCGGCGCGCCCTGCCATCAGTCTTGGTATCGAAGCACTTGATCAGCAGCACCTCGTCGGGCGCCAGCCCCTTCTTGTAGTACCAGCGATGGCGGTCGCTGTGGCGCACCCCGAACGTCTCGCCCTTGCGCGTCGGGTAGATCAGCCCGATGGGCACCAGGTCGTCCTCGGACACCGAGTGCGCGTCGGCGACGGCAAGCGGGTCCCGCTCGACGCGCTTGATGGGCCGCCAGGCGTTGATGATCTGCACGCGGCCCTGGAGCAGGACGGACGCCTCTTCGGCCGGCAGGTGGTGCGCTACGCGCGAGAGAGAGGCTTGGTAGGTCTGGTCGACGTGCACGCGCTGGACGGGGCCGCGGAAACCGGGGCTTGGCTTGGAGTTGGCGGTGTTGCCGTCATTTTTGTCGCCTGAAGGGCGGCGGATCGTGTGGTCGAAGATGAAGACCTTGGAGGCGCCAGTGCTGGTTCCTGGTCAGTATATAACTACATTTCTTCTCGAAGAACACATGGGGGTCGGGGCACATACACGTCCTTCAGCAACTGCTCTGTCTCGGGGTAGTAAACTGCCTTGACATGCGCATCGTCCGCGAAGTCCTTCTCCTCCGCCACGTGGTGGTGGATCTGGAACCCGTTGCCATCAAGCGTGAAGTCGGTCTCGCGGCCCGTGATGTCGCTGATGCTCACGGTGTGCGATTCGATTGGTCGCTCATAGCTTTCTGGAATGTGGGTATAGGTTGGCGCGGGTGGCGAGCCGTCCTCATTGTCCTTGTGGTAGTTCAGTGTCGTTTCGACGGCCCTCGGCGTGGTGGCTGGCCTGGCTTTAGGGGTACCGGCCGTGAAGAAGGAGGGAACGGCCGAGCTGGGGAGCTGGACCTCTGCGGTCGCCATCTTGCTGTTGATGCTTAATTGAAGATGTGTATGTTGTTTTCTGCGAGTATGTCTTTTTTCTATCTCTCTGTAGTGATGAGGTCGTTCTGGTGAAGTCGGTGTATCTGGGTGCAATTATTCGAATTTATAGTAAATCAGTGGTTGCTCATGGGCTCCAACCACACTAATAATCACCCGCCAGATCCCGATGATGGTATTCCGAGATGATGGTTATCCAAGCAAGGCATTCCCCGGAAGCACGCCATCTACACTACGCTGCCGTCTTCCGGCAAAGTAATACCAAATCTCCCGAGGGTATGTCCATCACGTAATTGCTGTGCCAGACAAGTGTCACCGGCATCTTGGTAGGACGGATTGGAAATCCGTCCATTTGTAAGCCGGCATCGCCTATCAGTCACACGATGCAGCCACCCCGAGAGACTTCACGAGCGTCGGGCACTTTCTTTCAATGACATTGAGCGCGCGGGGAGTCTTTCGCTTTGATCGTTCCGCCTCCGACACTCCTGTTTCTAATCAAAAGTCCCCCAGATCCTGTTGCTATAAGTGATGTTGCAGTACCTAGGTAGAGCTTTGCGCCATGATGGTGAAATATCACGAACCCTCCTAGCACCATCCCAATATTCGTTCTTCGGGGCGTTTGTCAGTACCATGATAGTAATTCGATCCTCGAGATTGTGCAAACGCCTACTCACGTTGTTATGCGGTCTTGCTAATTCGGAAACCTATAAATATGCCTATGCCTGTGCATTTGTCAGCCTCGATTATCAACCTCACGATGGCACCATTGACCCCGTGCCGCAGGAGGTATGAGCCTAGGCCGACTTGATTGTCCTGACGCAATCCCTCATCTCCTCCACCACAATGTTCCCACGAGCCATGCCAGCGTGCAAAAGTACAACACTTTACCCAGCCATGTGCCAATCGCTGCCCTCCAGGACCATCGGTCCCAGCCCAGGGGTCCCCACCTCTTGAGCGCTCGGCCTTAGATCTGGATCTTTGAGACCTTTTTCGCGATGTAGAACACACGCCCGACGAAGGACTCTTGATAGCGGGAATGTGGTCGAGCCAGTGGAGGTGGTGGTGGCCGCCTGGATTTGCCGGGGATGCTGTATTCTGATGGTGAGGATGTATAGGGGGTTTCACTCGGGCCTGATGCGAGTAGGGGCTGCTCGTCTTCCGGCGAGCCGGCGATGGAGGTGAACATTAGACGATTGAGCAAGGCTGTAATAGTTGGCTCTTTTTGATTGAAGCCAAGTGGTCGTTTAACCCTTTTTGAATTTTGGCAGCTCGGTAAGGGTGCAACTACATGTACGTCCCATCACGACGTTCATAAGTTCGCGGCCCATTTGGCATATTCGGTATTATGGGTGCGCTGACAAACTTCGAAGCAAGTACAGTTGTCGAAGTGCCCAGGGCCATGTGTGTTAATATTGTGTACCTGCTGGGTTGAGTGTGTCGCACGCCATATTTCACGAAATCCGCGCCACTACAACCATCTGAACAGAACGAGTCCATGGAAGCTCGTTGCGCGAGCAGGATTGTCTTTGTGCTGCCCAGGGTGAATGCAACATTGTCAATTTGTTATCTATTCGGTGCCCCTTGCGATCAAGTCACGTTATCCCACCACAGCAAAAACCCCAAGTATGAACTTGAATTACTTGTATTGTATATCTCATTAATTTCTAAGTACTACTCAATACCATCAGTCATAAACATCATGATCCCCCATCCCACCCAACCCCATCCCATCCCAATCGCCGCCCTTTAAACAGCAATAGGAGTCAACTTCCCAACGAGCTTCAGATCCCTACTACTAAAACCAGCACTCAGCGAGAAGTCGCCGGCCGGGATGAGCCACTGCTGCGACACGACGTCCCAGTAGCTCAGGTCGCGGCGCATCAGCGCAAAGGCGACCGTCTGCGTCTCGCCCGCGGCGAGGGGCACCTTCTCGAAGCCGCGGAGCTGGCGGGGCGGCGTGCCGGAGGGGGTCGTGGCCGAGGGGAAGCCGACGTAGAGCTGCGGGACGGCGGCGCCGTCGCGGTCGCCCGTGTTGGACACGGAGACGGTGACGTTGTAGAGGACCTCCCAGAGCGCGGGGTTGCCGCCCGGTGCGATGGGCAGGTCCTCGGGCTCGGACGTGATGTTGTTGTTGTTGGCGCCCGCGACGCACTCGGTGGCCAGGTCGCTCATGTTGAAGGTGGTGTACGAGAGGCCGTAGCCGAACTCGTAGCGCACCGAGATGTTGTGCGCGTCGAAGTAGCGGTAGTCGATCTCGAGCTTCTCGGTGAACCAGCTCTGCCAGTCGTACTGGCCGGTCGTGTTGACGGCGGTGGTGGGGGGCGCGTTGTAGTCGCTGCCGTTGAAGGCGATGGTGTAGGGCAGCTTGGCCGAGGGGTTGACCTTGCCGTATAGGACGTCGACGATGGCGTTGCCGGATTCCTCACCGGGGTAGTGGGCGGCCAGGATGGCCGTCACGTTTTCGTGGTCAGCCCAGGGCAGGGTGTTGATGCCGGATGAGTGAGTGACGACAACGGTGTTGGTGCAGTACGCGGCAACGGAGGCGACAACCTCGTCCCCATCCCAGTCGGTTGAGAGGTGCTGGCGGTCTGCGCCTTCTTCTGCCCAAGTCTTGAGGAAGACGAGGCAGACGTCGGGCATCTCGGGGTTCCAAAGGTCGGTCATGTTGGACGTCGCAATCAAGGTGTTGTTCAACCACTGCTGGACGTAAGAGCCGTCTTCCTGCGCACGAGCCTTGACGGCTTCAAGCGGGGTGACGAGATAGGTGAGTCGGCCGGTCCCCGACCCACCACCGACTGCCAGAGTGCCATATTCGAAGTCCACTTGGTTGAGGTAGCCCTGAGTATCCACGCTAGCATCGTTACCAAAGACGGCAATGGACTTGGGCGACTTGAGCGGCAGAGTGCCGTTCTCGTTCTTGAGCAGAATGGTGGCGGCGGCGCCGTGCTTGCGGATGAGTTCTCCGTGGTCTCCGCGGACATCACGGCTGCGTTGTCCTGTTAGGTTAAACTCCCTCATCCAGGTGCTGCGAGGCGAGAAGGTGTTGAGGTCGGCGCATGAAGGATCAACGGACGGATAGTCCTTGTCTTGGCCAAGGTAATAGTATGGAGTCATAATCCTCATGATCATGTCGTCGATTCTGGAGACATCAACGGTGCCGTTGCTGACCGCCATCGTGACGTTCTTACCAAAGAAGGAGCCGGCTTGGGGACTTTGTCCATACTCACCGATGCCGCCGGGCATGTCCATGTCAAGACCGCCCTCGATCGAAGCGACACCAGAGTGAGTGCCACCCCAGTCAGACTGGACGTAGCCCTGGAAGCCCAACTCGGTCTTGAGCAAGCCATTCAGAGTCTTGGAGTTCTCGCAGGAGTAGGATCCGTTCAATCGGTTGTACGAGCACATGACGCTGGAGACCTTGGCGTAGGCGGCATTGGCGAAGGGCCAAAGGTACAGCTCGTGCATGGTACGGTCGTCGATGTTGGATGATACGGACTCTTGGATCACATCGGTGAGTGTGCCGCTCTCGTTGTATATCGGGTTCCGCTGAGTCTCCTGTTCGTAACCGACGAAGTGCTTGGCTGTGGCTTGGACCCCAGCGTCCTGGATGCCGTTGATGGTGTGCTCCATCGCCAACCCCGTCAGATACGGGTCGGAACTGAAGCCTTCCCAGTTGCGGCCAGAGTAGGCCGATCGACCCAGGGGGCCAGCGACTGGTCCAAGCATGATGTTGGCGCCCTTTGCGCGGAACTCCTCTCCCATAGCCTTCCCCCTCTCGTATAGCATTGTTCGGTCCCAGGTGCTCGCTGCTGAAACTCCAGCTTCAAAGACGGAGGCGTAGTCAGCTTGACGAATGGCGAGAGGACCGTCTTGGAGGCAAAGGCCCTTGAAGCCAAGCCGCGGGATGGCGACAATGTTACCGGTACAGGGACCGGGCTGTCCTGTGACCATATCTGACTTCTCTTCCAAAGTCAGCTCGGCCACAAAAGCCTTGGCCTTCTCTAAAGCCTCTTGGAAGCCACCAGCACCGGTGGCGTTTGCTATTTTGAAATGTCAGCAAGATGATATCTGACGGTGACGGGATGAGATGCTGGTCGGCACTTACGTGAAGGGTACACGGTTGGAGAGTGACCATACGGTCCCAGGATAGTGGTGTTTAATGGCTGGACATAGCTGAAAGCATCGGCAGAGCGTGCGCCTCCGCTGAATGCCTGGGCATTGGCCAAGGGTGTGAGTAAGAAACTCGACAGCAACAGAGACAGAGCTGAAGCCATGGTGATCGATGATGGATGGATGGAGCGTGGAGGGCTTCAGAGACTCCAGATGGGGGCGATCACCAGGCGACTTTATATACATTGGCCTTTGGCTACGCACGCCGCCGGCCCCGAGAGCCCAAGGCCAACGCGGTAAACACGGTAAATCCCAGCCACTGAAGTGCGGAGGTTCGTGACAGAATATTCTATGGGGAGCAACCAGGCTCGTGGTGCGTCCCTCCCCCACCGCTTCCCCCAGCTCCCGTTGGGGCCGGGAAGGCGATGGAGACGTCGTCATTACTGCTGCCCCACGTGAAGTCGACCGGCCGGCCGGCACATGGACTGATTCGGCGGCGAGGCGGTCTGCAAGGCAGATGGTGCTATGTAGGTAGCAAGACCACGTTCTGCAGGGTTGAGAATGGGCCGAGGAGGCTATTGAGCCATCAATACCCCAAGACCCAGCACGCCCCGGACGACCCATAGTCCTTGTGGGGTGTAGACCGTGTAGCGAAATTGTCGGGGTGCGGGGACGGTCATGACAGAAGGCTCCGGCAATATCCATATCCATATTGTCTAGGTACCATTGATGACCAAGTACTGATTGATGGTGGAGTGATCTGGTACACAGGCTAAGCATGCTATTTTGCCAGTTGGGCCCCTCAATCTCCAACTGCTACCGCGTCGGCAGCGTGTCAGCAGCAGCTTCTGGCCTGTGCAATTCCATGTGAAGTGTCAGAGGAGCGCGTGGTTTCAAGTAAGTGTCGTCCAGAATGCGGGATGAGTGAAGCCGAGCTGCCGAGGTGGGGGAGGTTTGGGAGGGTTGGAGTTGGAGTTGGAGTTGGACGAGAGATTTCTCTGTGTGATGATCAGGAATTGGAGTTGCGACCCAGCTGCCCAGCTGCCCAGCTGCCCAGCCATGTGCCAGCGTGCCAGCCCCCCGCACGCCTCCAACCTGTCTCTCCGCTCCATTCCAGGCGGACCCCATGCCGACCTCATGCCGACCCCATACCTTCTCCATACCTTCTCCATACCTTCTCCATCAAATGCCTCTCGTGACCTTTCTACCGCCGCCCCGGTAATCCGGACAGGCACCTGGGCAGCAGGACGTCAAAGAATTCGGAATGGCCCCATCCAAGCTGCAAGACTGGTCAGAGTGACGCTGTGATTAGCTTCTTCCGGTTACCAGTCCCGAGTTTCTGGGCCCGGTGTTTCCCCAAAGAGAGAAAATGGGGCAAAACCTAATGGGACCCTCTCCCCACGATCTCCACCCGGCACCCAGCAATCGGCCCTTTAAGCACCCCGGACTGCCCGGCACCCCGCAACGGCATCAGAGTCATAAGATCGTGGCCTCGCGTTCGGACTGACTAGGTAACATTGGCCCAGTGTCGTGTTATGATATTTCCTCTGCTGATTTGGATCGTCGCCATCATCACCCAAGAGCCGAATCGCCTCGTCGGAGTCAACCCTAGGCCGAGCTGGCGGGGGCTGGAAAGGCAGCACCAATGATAACCGTTACCTTCAAGCCCGCCCGCCCGTTCCGAGTTCGGACTTCGCGCGACCTGATTATATGGCGAGTCGGCGACCGCGTATCGCGGCCATTATTACCAGCGAAAAGCGGGCAGGGTCATCTAGGGTAATTTCGAAGAATCACAACAGAAACTTGACCCGGGCTAGGACACACCGAGCTATCTACCCAACTGTTGTCATACCGACAGAGACTGCCAAGTGGACTGCTCGTGTTGCCTTGTGACTGGACGAAATGGCTGCGGTCTTTTCTAAAGATTTCGATGGGTTGGGAGACGCAGTTGCCGCGCGGGAGCAACTCGATGGCTTCTGGACTAGAAGCACACGCGAGACTTCCAAGTTGTTGCCGCTGCAATCCCCATTCGACAGTCTGTAGCAACTAGCACACCACTGGTTCGTCATAAGGCTATTCGATTTGAGTAGGTATGGTGGTCAAGTCAACCTGATGGGTCACCCTGTGGGGTACCTAGTGGCCGTAGTAGGTCGCTTTCACGATTATTCAAGGGGGAAGGTAGTTATCCCCGTTCACTATCTCTGTTTTCTCTCCCTAATAGACCACTTTGGAACACGGCCAACTCACAGGGCAGCTTGCTTGGAACCGGGTAACCCAGCTGGCCGAATCAATGCACTCTGGTCGGCGACCACCTATAGAGCGGGTTCTAGCACGACGGCACTGGGTTCTTTGAAAGGGGTGTCTCTCCAGTGGGAACTCTGAATCAAAGGACGCACAGGTCTGGGCTCAAGCGAATTACTATCACTATGATTGATGAATGTCAGATTATGATGTGAAACAAGCCATTCGAGATTTAGTCAAGTACATAACATCTCAGTAAACCCGCACTGACGAAGAACTCCAGAATCGTGGCATGCTGACGCATCACTTTCATCTCCGAGCAGCTCTTGTCTGACATCCCACGTGCATCACTCTCGAGATGAACCCCTTAGTTTGATTGCAGTTGGGTGCCGTCGGGCCTTTGACACACTCGCTCCATTTCGACCAAGTCCCCTAGATACACGATGATCAGTGCGTCTGGGGTTCCGCCCATGGAGAACTCAATGCAAGCATCCTCCTAGCACGAAGATATTGTGGCGCGGTCTCAAAACTGGTCTGGCAGCTTCCCATAACTATGGACCGGAACACGGAAGCCGATTGACTACCGGCCTCCTGGATCTGACCAAGCCTACTCCGAGCTCAACTGCGATTCCTACGCCGCCAGAAAGGCCTCGACCGCCGCCGCCATCTTCTGCAATCTCTGCTCACGCAGCGCCAAAGGTTCCGTCGTCAGCGTCAGCTTCTTCGCCACTATTTTGCCGGTGCCCTCACTCTGCCTCTGTGTGTCGTTGGGCGGATGCAAGAGGCTGCAGTTCGGCAACGACTTCTTGGCGCACCGCTCGCACGGCACCCCGTAGCAGTCGGCCACGCATCTGATGTGCGCGCCGCGGCAGGCTGAGCAGCTCTTGACCTTTCGCTTTCCGCTTTGCCGGTTCCTGGTTCGCTTGGCGGCGCCGGTGGGCTGCTTCCGGGGGGTCTGGCTCGCGAGCTCGCGGCTGGAGTGGGAGGGGAGGCTTTTCTTCTTTGGAGCATTGATTGGGCAGAAGGAGCGCTCTTGTGTGACCATGGTGGTGCGGTGGGTGGATGGGTGCGTCGTGATCTCGCTTGGTGGTGGGATTGGTTCTCGTACACTTGGTTGATGGTGGACAACGCGGGCAAGTGTATTGGCCAAGCGGGTGTGCTGCGACAGGATAGCAACATGTCGACTCCGTTCGTAGATCAGTGTTGTTATATACGAGGCAAATCCTGTAGACAAGGGCCTGACATTGAGTCTGAATGAGATGTAGGTGGGCTCTGCATCAAAGACCGTTGAGACCTATGTAAAGCCGACAAGGCGCTATTTCATACATCGTGCAGGTTGCAGGAGCAGCCAGAGGTGCATCTACGAACTCTTTGAATTTCGTCTCAATGGATACAGGTGAAAGGAGCCTTGTGTGTGGAAAAGGGGTTCGTATCTTTGGGATACCCTCATCTCAATACATACAAGAAGTTAGTCGAAAGAATAGTTGTAAAGCCAGGAGAGACATCGCGTAGAAGGATACGGATGCTTTGTTGGTGTCATATGATACGATAGCCGTAATCTGACGATAATATGACCTCTTTAATGTCTGGGACCAGAAGGTGATGAACGACCAGCATCCCAGGAGAGCTGATCCCCCAAGAAAGGAGTGTGAGCAGATGATGATGTGCATCATCAGCTTCTTGAATTTTGACTGATATGACTAATAAGGGTTTCCGTCGGCATTCGTATTTCCTATTCTCGGGGATGATTCAGTTCCAGAATGGGAGCAAGTACTTGCAATGGGTCATTGAGGTCTTCTGCTGGGACAGGAGACAGGGCTTGGCCAAGGCCGAGTCGTCTCTCTTTATTGACACGCAGGCATCAGCAATAGTTGAGCGGTATAAATCTGAACCTAGGTTCCATTCCTACCAGCGTTAGCGGGTGCTTTCGCTTTTGGCTTATCTACAGCACCGAGCATCTTGGGCTGGAGCACCTACCAGCGAATTGAACATTCACTGTTCCTGGAATACCTTCTTCGCGCGCGTGACCGGCGGCTTCGGCTCAACAACCTTGTGAAAACCAGTCCATTGAGAGGAATAGGGGTCGAAGATACGGCCTGAGCTTCACGCTGTCGGGAGAACTGCAGCCTCCATAGCGAGTCTAGAATGAGGCAAATGATAGGTATGGAAGTTTTTCGTCTGCAATATCTCGGCGTTTAAATAAACTATTTTTAAAAGGGTGGAATGACAGCTGTGAAATATAATCAGAAATGGTAAAAGTGGACTCCGATATTATCCTGCGCAAGGAAGGTGCAATGCAACCTGGTATTCACCCCCTGTCACCTTCCAAGTTAATAACGCTGCCATCTTCGTCGGTCACGTGAGTCACATCAGTTCGGCGCTCTTGCCTGCCTATCAGCTTCAGGGTGTCACGAGATGCGTTGTGCGTGCATAATCTTGGCCTTCTTGTGGCCAGACTCTGCAGCCGACGCCCGGGCGCTGACCTGGCATCTCCAACGTCGCCCCTCATGCGCAGATGGCCAACCCTTCCCGCTCAAATGGTCACTGATCGCCACATCCCATAACCAACGTCCGAATCAAGGATCCGGTGACAGCTTTTCAGGTCGCCGCGGCGGCGGCACAGTTCGGGCAGATGGCGGTCCAATTGGGCACGAGGCTGTACGACTACTCCAAAGACGTGGTCGGCTTCCCCGAGCCTCTAAAGGAAATCCAGCAACGGCTAAATCTGCTGAACACCTGCATGGACGACATAGGAGCCCGACTGAACCAGAGTCCAGCCGATCTTTCCGATGCTGGTCTGCGGGCTACGCAAGACTTCATCGCGAGCCTCCAAAGCCGGGCCAGCAAACTGGAGGCCATCTTGGACAGTTATCTCCAGAAGACCTCGGATGGCAATGCCGTTCGTCTAGCCAAGGCTTTCAGCAGCTTGGCGAAAGACGAAAGAATCGCGACTCTCGCTGACAACATGAGTCAGGATGTGGCCTACCTAACTTTGAGGCATGTCATCTGATCAACCCGCACTGAATCCAGCCATCCATTCAGTGGGAGAAAGTGGAATACCGTACCTCAGCGGCGAGTTTACGGTTTCATCTCCAGGCCAGAGATCCTTGCGCGGATGACTACATTATTTGAAGCGGAGTCTGACCTGATGCCGAAGACGGTCATTCTGCAAGGGATGGGTGGTCAAGGCAAGACTCAGCTAGTCTTGGAGTATTGCAGAACCTCAGCCAACAAGTACCAGGCTGTCTTTTGGGTGAACGCAGACTCCGAGACCACTGCTGCAAAGGACTTGTCTTGCCATTGCTGGCATTTCTGGGGCCCAACAGTCGACTGATACCAATGCCTCTGTCACGTATACACTGAACCTGTTGGCATCTTCTCCAGTCCCCTGGCTTGTTGTCTTTGACAACTACGACGATCCAACAGCCTACCAGTTACGCAAGTTCTTCCCCGCTTCTGGCATGAAGGGTCATATTCTCGTCACTACGCGGCATCCAGATGCCTCTCGCCTGGGGTCGATGATAGACGTCAAGGGGATGAAAGAATCTGAGGCATTGGATTTGCTGTTTGCACGATCTTGCGCGGAAAGGAACGACGAAGCCCTGGAACACGGCAAATGCATTGTCCACCGCCTTGGATATCTACCACTGGCAATCGACCAAGCAGGCTCGTACCTGAACGAAAGGAGAGACATCCTTCCAATCGCAGACTTCATGGATCATTACGAGAACAGAGCCGAAGAGGTCCTTCGATCTATTCCTGACGCATGGGAATACGTTGGCCCAGACGAGGCAACCCGGTCAGCGTTCACAACCTGAAACCTATCGCTTGACTTACTTCGGAGGCATGGAGAAAATGGGTCACTGAAAGTCTCTATTCTTACATGTCTCGCCTTCTTTGCAACTGACGATATTTCCGAAGCCCTCTTCAGATCCTTGTTCGCTCGTACACATCAAAACGATGGCCATCAACCCCACAACTGGACAGGATTGTTTGTAACACCAAATGGCACTTGGTCAACAGACTGTTTTGGGAGTCTAATGGCCGAATTCCGAAAATACTCGCTCATATCAAACCTGGAAAGAGGTACCGATGGACTCACATATCTATGTCTCCATCCTCTGGTGCGGGACTGGATTATGCACAGTCCAGCACAGGAACTCCAATGGCAGGCTTGGCTCGTTGCGTCAGATATCCTAGGCCATTTCCTCGCCGAGCGCCAAGTCGCACTCTTTGATGGAAGTGTGTTGGGGTTCCGCTTATCCGAACAAGAGGAAGACGCTTGCACTGAACATGCATTCGAATGGTATGGTCAGTGGTCCAGGCATAAACGTCGCGTCGACTATACGCACCGTTCTCTCCAGGGTCACAAGCCCCTAAGGAGCGCGGAGCTCATGATCGGTATCTTCCTCTCCGACTTGAGGTTCTTTGACCATAGTGAGCGCATCTTCAAGTGGCTAGTAGATGCAGCCCGGGAACGTTTGGATGATCTCGATCATTCACAGATAACAATAAGCTGCTTTGCGGGCTCATTTCTGACCAATCAGGTCATCCAGGATGCGGCCAAGACGGAAGCAGAGGCTGTGGATCTTGCGAGAGAGAACGTGAGGTTCTGGAAGAACGTCGCAGCCGACCAGGATCTGTCTGATGAGTGCGAACGGACACTCGCCAGGGTACTGGCCGAAGCCCCGGATGTACATGCCCGTAAAGAAGCTGAGTCACTTTGTAGGGGCTTGCTCCAGAGGACCGACGGCGCATACCTCCATACTGCTATTCTGACTACACTATATCACATACTAGACTTCCAAGTCGGTGAGAGGCTGATCCCTCGAAAGGAGATGTTCAATATCATCTTGCAGATTTATAAAGTGTCTTCAGATAGTGGAGGGGAATCCTTTCGCCACTCCGCTTGGTTTTGGGACCTCTGGAAGTGGATCATCAGCGACATGTATATGAAAGGATACACCGATGTGCCTTTCGGTTTGTCGCAAGAACAGGAGGGCCTCATCACAGGTACATTTGGAACACAATCCGAGCGTTACGCGAGACTCTTGTTACAACGTGCATTGCTCATACGAGACCTGGAGCAAGACTACACTGAGACAGAAAGCCTGCTACTGGCGGGTTTGAACAAACCTAGGCAAGATTCACTACTTCACTTCCGGTTCTTCCAGGATCTCGGAATTTTAAGGTATCTCCAGAGACGATATGTTTCTGCGGCTCGTATTGTGGAGATTTGCCTCAGTGATGTGGCCGGTTCGCCCGTCGTCAGTTCGCATAGTATCATCTTCGAGCTGCTTGACTGGCTAAACGAAATATGCTGCTGCATTCCGGATACATATAACAGAAGGTTGGGTTATTGTCAGGCTCTGACTCGTCTTGCACAAAACCTTCCAGATTCTGATCCACAAAAGACCGGCCTTTTTCTGGAATGGTCGATGTGCTTGTCGGTGACACGAGCTATGCAGCCATATCCTAACCACTCCGAAGTCTTGTATGCGGTTCAACGAGCAAATCTGGTCTTGGAATACCTCTGTTTTAAATCCACAACCTTTGATCGACAAGGTACGCCGGGCGCGCAAGCATCTTATAACGCCAAGACATTACTGGAGAGGCTGGCCGATGACTCCGATCTGAGTGAAGTTATGGGGATACTTAGCAAGGGTGTTAGCGATTTCAGAGGATATACTGTTTTGTTGCTCAGGGTCCGACTCTCATTACGTCTCACGGATCCCGATCTGGACGCCTGTATCGCCTGGCGTGTCAAGCGGGTAGAGCATTTACGGCTGTGGATGCTTTTGACCTCAATTTTCCTCACGTGTTCTTGTTGGAATACGCACGACTCATCGAAGACATACTCAACTTCATAAAACCAATACCGGGAGCGTTGCCACGGAAGGACTCACCTGGTGGGCTGGTCAAGTGAGAGCGAGGCTTGGTATACATGCACAAGACTGGCTACAGGGGACGCTTCTCGACTTCCCGTCTTTGATACCGTATTTCCCGGATGACGATCACTGGAAACCTGAGATTGAACAAGTACCTCACGAACAGACCCAGGCAGAAGCACTTGCCAAGCGACAAAGGGATTCAGGAACCGACCCAGGCAGAAGCACTTGCCAGCGACGAAGAGCTTCGGGAGGATCGACAATCATCTTTGTCGAAGTTCAAATCATCGATCAAGTCGAAACTGAGGTCTTCGCGATTGATGTCACAGAGGAGCAAAGAGAAGCAGTCAAGTCAAGAGGAATTGAAGTAGGAGGGACACGGATCCAAGTGTGTTTATATGCGTCAGGATGTTTATTCCTTGTGAGGTGTTTCCGTTCACTTGAGGGCATCTTCTGTATATGGACCTTGTTTCTTTGATTTCAATTTCTTCATGGGACACACACTGCGCCTTGGGCTGCACGGATTTCCTTGGGCGGCCGATATTAGCGAGGAATCCTCATGGTGGGATTGGCTCAGCAAGTCCACATTCGATGTTTGACTTCGTATGGTTGGTTTAGAGTTTCTTCTTGGGAGCCGCATTCTTCGCGGGGACTGCCGCCGGACTAATGGTGCTGGATCGCGTTTGACTCGCAGCACGGAGTTTCCCAGAGTAATGGAACTTCGGAATTGAATGACTTCATGATGAGTATTTTGAGTATGAGCACTGTGGCCTCAACACAGTTTCACCGTCCTCAATCCATCGAGTGGTAGGTACATGTAACGTAGGTAGGTAGGTATGCACGCTCTACATCATCACTTCCTAGCCCCGCATGGGCTTGCACAACATTGTGTCATGGACTACCCAAACATGCCTCCCCTTTAATTCCCAAGTCCGGCTCCGACGCAGAGCTGATACTCATTTCAGGTGATTCATCACAATCGTTTTCCCTTGTCGAAGTATAGCACGAGATGCTCGCGGTCGCCGTCTTTGTGGCCTGCGTCGTAGCTCTAGCTACGGCACAATCTAATACGTCATACGACTATGTGATCGCAGGTGGTGGCACAGCGGGCACGCTTCTCGCCGTGGTACTCTCAGAGAACCCAGATATCACAGTCTGCGTTCTCGAAGCTGGAGGCGACGGCAGAAAGGACAATAACATCACCAATCCAGAACTCAGGGGTAAGCGACACGGTCGACCACTAACTTAGCGCAACGGCCCATGTGCTGACCGGAACAAAGGAACCATCCAGCACACCCAATATGACTGGCAGTTCTGGACGCTGCCCCAGCCAGGCCTGGACGACAATGGCACCGCCGGCGCTCAGCCCGTGCCGAGAGGCAAGGCCCTAGGGGGCACGTCGGCCATGAACTGGATGATCCACAACACCGACAGCCGCGTGCAACTCGACCTCTGGGAAAGCGTGCTCAATCTAACGGGCTGGAACTGGCAGACGCTGTCCACGGCGTTCCGCGAGAGCGAAACCATGTACGCGCCGCCAGCGAACACGTCGCAATTCTTCAATTACGACGCCGAGTACCACGGCGGGAACGGGTACATCCAGTCTGTGTTCCAGCGCAGCGTGATGAACCTGTTCCCACAGTACCTCAATCTGACGCTTGTGAATGCTGGATATCGGGTGCCGTCGGATAGGAATGGGGGCGATGCTGTTGGCGGTGGGTTCTTGCCGCTGGCGATTGAGCCGTCGAACTACACGAGGTCGTATTCTGGCTCTGTGTACACGGGGACTGAGAACAGACCCAATCTGCATGTCTTCACGAATAGCCAGGTTACTGGTATTGATTGGGTAGGTGGAGGCTCTAATGGTACTGCTACTGCGAGTGGTCTCAGATACGTCAACCGAGGATCGGGCTCGAATACCACCCAGCACGTGCAGAGCCGAGAAGTGATTTTGAGCGCTGGCTGTATTCAGTCCTCACAGACACTGGAGCTTTCGGGGGTTGGCGATCCGAATATCCTCACGCCTTTGGGGATTCCGGTGAAGGTGAATCTGGCCAATGTCGGAGTAGGCTTGAGAGATCCGTAAGACGCCCCTATTCAGATACCTCGCTGGCAACTAATAAGACTTTAGTCCAATGATGAACTACCTCCCCATATCCTTCGGTCTCAACAAGACCCTGACAGGAAATGAGTACATCCAAAACTACATCCAGCTCGAGAGCGCGCGCGACATGCTCAGCGAAGCCGACTACGCCGCCGCCTCCGCCTGGCTCAACTCCACCGGCAGCATCCCCGGCGTGACCAGCGCCCAACTCGCAGTCTTCAAAACCCTCTGGTTCGCCAACCAGCCCCTCATAGAGATGGCATGGCAGTTCAAAACCGCGAATGTAACACCCTACAACCTAATTCCACTCAGCCAGGGCACCGTCCACATCAACAGCAGTGACCCGCTCGTGCCGCCAGCCATCGACCCCAACTACAACCGCGTCAACGCGACGATCAACGGCACAGAGGTGGAGTGGGACATGTGGTTCTTAGCCAAGGCAGCGCAATACTACGAGACGAAACTCGCCACGACGGCGCCGATGCGGGATATCGTCACCTCGACGGATCCCCGCTACGATCTGCCGTTCGACGAGTACTTCGACGTCGTCAAGCAGCGCACGGGCAGCTCGCAGCACCTCACGGGCGGGAACCCGATGCTGGCGCGGGAGGACGGCGGCGTCGTCGATACTAACCTGTTGGTGTATGGCACGAGCAACGTGCGGATCGTCGACGGGTCGGTGTTCCCTTATCAGCCTTCGGCGCATCCAATGGGGTTGACGTACGCCTTGGCAGTTCGAGCAGGTAAGTTGGCTGGAAGCAACCTCGCTTATCTACAGTCGCTGGATGAATGCGTGATGTACTGACGCGAGATGGGTAGCTCGGCTGTTCCAGCAGATGCCGGGAGGTGGTGGGCTGACGATGACCGACCAGCTGCCGCAGAGCAATGCCAGTGCGAGTGCCACGGCCACGTTTGGTGGTGGTGGTTCGCAGGCATCGCCTACTGCTGTTGCGGCGGCCTATGCACGGCAGCTCGTGGCGCCTTTGATGGCGGGAGGTGGTGGTGCGCTGTTGGCTGCTTTCATGCTGTCGTTGTAAAAACTGATTTGATAGTCGACCATTAGCCTACCGCGGAGGCATATGGTATGCCCTTTGGTCGGTATGTCCGATAGGCTGGGCTTTGCAGAAACAAAATCTTTTTCAGCTCTCGGGGTCCTGTCACGGGAAATGAAATTGCATAGCAAAAGCTCAAGTGTAGATGCCCAACGTTCCCTTGAAGGAATACTGAGGAAGGTAACTAGAGTGATTATGTATGCAGGCGACCATTACTGGGCGTCGAGACCCCTTTACTTTACTAGGTAGTCTTAGGTATGTCGCACGACATCATGTTCATGGCAGGAACTCGATAGTACTCTCGTTGCAGCACCCACCAGCCTGGGAATCAGTAGTTTTTACACTCGCATTGTCACACCTGCGGGGATGGACCAGTGCGCCAATCAATCGTCAGGTCTGCCATGCATGAGCCTGGTCATACAGCCACGATACGACCCACACTGTTTCCAGCTGTTGGCCGCTGACAATGGTCCTCCGTGGCGGAACGACTTCCGGTGTACTGGGAGGCGGGTCTCCAGCCCCCTTCGTCGGGGGTGTTTTTGTTCCCTTGATGTACACAGTGAGGACTCTCGTCTAGCACACAAGCGACACCGTCAATTCTGCTCAGATTTCGGTACCGTATTCTACCTCTTCACACTCTGTTGTTGCAAGGTCTCCCAACGCTGTCATGATCGTCGAAAAATTGCCCCCAGAGATTGTCTCGCGCATCGTCTCACAGGTACGCTCAATTCTCTCTAATGAAGTTGTAACGACGCAGCACGATTTATTTTATGATCAAGCTCTTCGACCGTATGATACTGACGATTCGTCTATTCTAGGTTGCTAACCGAAGAGACTTGTTCACGCTCTGCCTCGTCTCAAAGGGTTGCTTGGACATGCTCTGGACGTGCTTTACCGCCAGAATGCTCTTTGCATAATTGCAGAGAATGAGTATCGCGTATACCACGAGTATTCCGAGCGCTTTCATCCAAGCCCGCAGGTTTTATATGCCCTTCAGCGTCTGCGCTCCATCTGCATCAAATCCGAGTCGTTCCGAAAGACCCAAAGACGCTGTTTTCATAATAAAGAAGACCTAGACAATGACATTTATATGGGAGCCCTGGAGGATGGCGCTGAAGAAGACCCAGGCCATGACAGTGATTGGGAGCCTTTTTGGATGGCGCTGAAGAAGACTCCGACCACGACAATTTAATGGAAGCCCAGGGGGATGTCGCTGTTGTTTTATCCGGGCGGTTAGAAAGTGTGCTGACAAGACTCACCGATGAAGCACTTGAGGAGTTCAGGTGAGAGTCCCAACGCCCCATTCATTGCTCGACTTCCTTCTGCGTTTTGGCCATCTCGTACATTCAAGTCTAATAAGGCGCAAATGTCAAAGTTGGCAGTTAGGTACCTGTGTTCCAGATACTGTGCTCGGTCCGAATGGCTACCTCAAGCATCATCAGTCGAGCCTCACCTCGCTGAGATTGATCACCGATGGTGGGTGTTACCTCCGCGACGAAGCTGAAGGCACAGAGGTGACGCTGTCTCCTTTCACCAACTTGAGGTCCATCTCGTGGATATACCCTCAGATGTATAACGAACATCCTCAGCTGGCGCTTGCACTCCGTCAGAATTCCTAACATCTTCAGGTCTTCGAGCTGGACCTTATAGACCCTCGTCGCGCTGATCTTGAAGAGGATGAATATAACGAGCCACCGTCGGTCTACAACGCATTCGTGCGCAACGTCTTGCTTACAGAGGAACAATCCCGCGCCCGACTCTTCCCGGTTTTACGAACCTTGTCGTTGTCCCACTGTAACTTGAATGGGATTTCCATGGGCTTGAGTCACATTCTCAATATGGATTCCCTTACTGATTTAACTCTCCGAAATTGCCCTGGCGCACTCATCCTGCTGCAGTATCTATCACGATCTGGCGTGGTCATGGCTCTCAAGAGCTTTGAATTTCGTTACCAGTATGGCGCCCACGATGACGGCTATTTCGACGACGATGAAGTCCTGTTCGACTTCCTGTCGTCGTTCATCGGCCTGCAAAGCCTGTACGTAATGCTTGTAGGGCCATTTGCTTCTGACGAGTCTTGCGACAGAATCTGGAAAGTGGCTACCTTCACAAGTCTACACTTCGCCGCATCACATTGACCTTCGCACTGTCGGACTCAGTGAAACTTCCGCGGGGGTTGAAGAGATGGATTTGGAAGACATGGGCTGTGTGAGGGCACCTGCGGTCGGAGAGAGTGTCATTGATGCGAAGTTCCCAGGCGGTGAACTCAATGCCGGCAAATACAATCCATTCTCTCAACTTGACCTGGAATGTCTTGGACTTGCGTGTCTTCCACAACTTTTGGTACGTTACGGCTCCTCAACCTTATCATACCACCACCAGCTAACGAAATTACCACAAAGAACCCCTTCTTGCAGCCTTTGGCCCAGTCTACCAACTTGAAGATCCTACACGTGAGGCAGTCTGGTCCAGATATCAGTCGCCGTGGATCCTGGGGCATTACTCGATTTCGGCCGGAAGACAGAAAGAAGGTGGAGGGGCACCTCAAAGCTCTTGCACGGCTTCCCGGAAGCGAACGAAACTCCCGGAACCACAAACACTTCTTGCTGATCCCTACGGTCTCGAGCAAGTCTCTTAGGCCCATGGACATCGAGATGGCCAGGCCCGCCGAATGGGCGTTCGGAGAGCATGGCATCAAGTCTTTGAAATTTCTGGTCTTTGGTGATTTCTCTTGTCAGGGCCGCTTCGCGGATGATACCTTCATGCTTCGCAGGAACGATGACCGGGCAGTAGCAGGACCTCGGGCTTGGAGATATTACGACCCGAGATGGTTGGAGGGCAGAGTGCCGGACCTTGAGAACCTGCTGGATGAGCATGCTGACTTCCGGGAAGCCTGTCCCGCGGCAAAGCTGTTTGAGAGTGTGTACTAGCAGAGTTTCCTACTAGAGATGCGCCGTTTCTAGATTTTAGAGACGTGATGAAAGCCATGTGCAATTTGCTACACCAGCATGTAAAAACTACCTACTTAAGGTTTCGCATACTCTGTTACTCGTCAGCACATCTCACGCAATACCCAGGTAGCCCAGGGACGGACACAAGCCATGAACTCACCCTTGATCACCGGCTCCGTCCAAGACTTGCCGGGATACCGAAACGTCGCCGCGCCCGCATACACCACGTTGTTCTCCGTAGCCAGTATATTCTCCCACGTCAAGCCCGGCACCACAGCCGTCGCACACACGGTCTCCAGATCCAGCCTCTCCGCCCTCCCAGGCCCATCATGAGCAAGCGCATCCCTCGCCAGCGCATACGCAAGCGGGTGCACAAGAATAGCCTCATGGGTATAAAATCCACCCGCCGGCGCCCCCTCGCAGATCTCCTGGACCAAAATATTCGAAACACCAACGCCACGCTCATCCCCAAGGGCGCCGGAGGCATGCTCGCCGTGCTGTGGCTGCACGACCTGGTCCGTGACCGAGTAGACGTTCGTCGTAGGCACATGCGCCGAATCCCCGCCACCAGCGTTTAGGGCCGCGACTAAGTCGCTCGTGTACGTCGACTGCAGCCACGCGGGCGGCTGCGGGACCAGCGCCAGCGCCTCCGTGATCAGCGTCCCGTGGTATCCGGGCGAGAAGCCGACGTGGTCCGAGACCTTGGCGCGCGTCGACGGCCAGTACTTGTACGCCCATTGCGCATCGACGTTGCCCTGCGAGTAGCCGAATACCGCTACTTGCCGGCCGGCGCTGATGCCGTGGATGTAGTGGATGGCGTAGGCGACGTACTCGGCGTTCGTCTGCACGTCCTCGAGCGACTCGCCGGGGATGTCGAGCCAGACCAGGTCGGCGAAGCTGCTGTCGTCGTCGCGCTGTAGCAAGGGGATGTACGAGCCCTCGTATGTGACGCGGCCGGGGTTCCCGGTCCCGCCGACTAGGATCACGGGCTGGGGTGCGCCGGCGGCACCGTACCGGAAGTTGGGTGGGATGTTGATTGCGCTACGGAGCTTGGATTCTGAGAAGCTGTAGGGCGCGTCGGCTGGAATTACCCGGGGATAGATGGGCGATGCTGGCTCGCGGGGGTTGGTGTGTGGTTCGATGTCTGCGCCCTTGAAGTCCTCCCTGATGGACTTCTCGAACTCGTCGGGCAGGACGGTGGATAGTCCGGACGTGATGATGTGGCCTATTGCTTCGAAGAGGTTTGGTGTTGGATTCGCTGCGTATATGCTTGATAGCAGCTCTAAGGCATGTCCGACATCTGTGGGAGATGTAGTGGGTTCTGCCCCTGACAGCCACGTGAACACGGATGAAGAGGCGGTTGTATCCGCGGCTGGCGGACTCGACGTGTTGATGCTGCTGAATACGTTTGCTGGCGCTGCAGTAGCCTCTGTCATTTGTAAAAGGGTTCCTGGCAAGTTATCAGCTGAGAGAAGGTCTCATTATTGGAGACATCTTCAAGAAAGTGGACGTACCTGGACAAGTAGGCGCTGTTACGGTGCCGTAGTCCAAGCCCATAGCAGCCAAGTCCATGTTTTTGTTGGTATCTCACTCGCTTCTGACAATGTCAGCTTTGTTCTTGGATATGCTCCAAGTCGCGTCGTATTTATGTCACCAGAAGTGAGAAAATGCTCAATCCTGCTTCATTCGAGAGTGGGCTTCCCGCTCCTAGGTATATGCTATTGCAGATTGTATGACATGTATCACCCGGAGCCGTGGGCGCATGATGTCACGCCACCTCTTTTCGCGATATGGGTTATCGTTCTTTTCAGGAGCCCGGAGTACCAGTTGGCAGGCGCAGCAAGGCATCTATCGTTCAGCTGATGGCCGGTAATTCAACAGCCACGGGTCATCATGGGGGCCAAAACTTGCTGCGCCGCTTACCTTGCGTCGCATGGGGCGAAGATCACTGGCGTCAATACGCGCCTGCTAGACGCGCGTTTGAGATCAACGTCAGTTCATATCATCGCGTCCTGGATTTCCCACCCGCAAGATGAAAATGTGGTTGTATAATGTGACCACAAGGCCTCCGAACATGCCCTCAACTTGCACGATGCGTCAGCAGATTTCCCCAGACAGTGGTACCAAACAATCGAGAGCGACAGTGAAAGATGAGAAGCTAATAAGTTGGATTCGGCCCCCAAACTCTAGTTATATATTAACGACGAATCTCGGACTGCCTTCATTCCCCAGGTCCTCAACCGGAATTGGGGTCTTCATGTCGGTAGTAGCAAACTCGCAGAACTTATCTTCTAGCACTTTGCCATTGGGCCCTTCATATTTCGTTCCATTCTCCCCAAGGCGAACGGAAGCATCTGGTCTCAACGACCATCGTGGAGGGCTTTAAAAAGCCGTTAATGCCGGCCACGTTATGCGTACGCGCTGTGATAGGGGCAAGACCCGATCCAGATCAGCCGCCGTCGTGGTTGACAAGTTCCTCCGAATTCCTGGAACGGTAGTGTGTACCATCGGAAGGAGAAGCCAGGCGGTGTCTTGGCAATCATGTTGATTAAGGATTCGCAAACCCCATGCAATTCATTGAAGTCGTTCGTGGCCTTCAGGCATCCACCATCTCCGTATCAACTGTTTCCGCCGTTTCGTGTCCCTCTCCAGTCTTCGCAGCCTCATCCTCCTTCTGCTTCAAAAGCAGGGCCTGCTCGTACGCCCAATTGTCCAAGGCCTCGAAAAATTGCGGTGACTCCGGCGACCCCTTATCGGGCAGGTTTCCGAGCTTGCAGTGCTCGTAGCAGCAAGGCTCGTCGATCTGATAAACCCAACGCTTCTGCGTTTCCTTGGGGACGGGGACCGGTCGGCTCGGCTTCAGGTTTCTGCGACGGCGGACGTCGGCCACCTTCATGCGGAGCGCCATGGCGAGCATTTGTATGTTATTCCGGAGGTCCAGGACTTCGTCTTTCTGGAGGCTGAGTCCAGCGTCGGCCTCTGCGCCTCTGGGCTTGTTTAGCAGCCGGGAACGCACTCGTATGGCATCGACCATGGCTTGGATTTCTGCGTGAAGGTGGTTGAGGCGCGTCTCTGCCTCTGCGAACAGTCGCCGCTGCTCGACTATGCTGGTATCGGGGAGGTCGATACGGGTGATGATGTTCTGGTAGTTTGAGCAATTGAATTAGTCGGGTGATCTCCTTTCAACGGCCCTGAGATTTTGTATAAGGGCTGCAGCAAACTTACTTCGACATGGCGAGCAGCTTCCTGGAGCTTCACTCGTCCGGTGACCACACGATGCAAGGGATCAAGTTCTCCAGGGAACTCGGGTCCATCCTGCTCCAGCTTAAGCGAGGCAGGCAGGAAAGGATCCTCTTTGCGGACGGGTTTGGGGGGAATGGGCATCTCAACCTTGATGACCAAAGGCCCAACTGGAGCTGGCACAGGCCGGAAATGAGCCTGTTTGTAGAAAACTGGCATCTAGAACGCATTAGAGTCGATGGTCAAAGGGCAAAGATGGCAAAGAGGAGAAGTTTTGGATCAAGCATCCGTTGAGAGGTGCCAATTATCAAGGCTGCTGCGGTTGATGAGAGAGCAAAGGTGATGGGCAGATGTGGAACATGGGGCAAGAATGAGAAGCTCTGCGCATGCAATGTCTCCGGCAAAGTACTCACGGGTGGTTTGATTCAGAGAGAATCGTCGACGGCAAGGTTCGGTTCAGAAAGAATCGCCGCAGCAAGGTTTGATCCAGAGAGGGTCACCAAAGCCACAAAGAATTGAATAGCAGGCAAGAGGGAGGGTGTGCTATTCAGAGAGAATCGCCGAAGCCAAGAAGAATTGGATAGTAGGTAAGTGGGAGGGGATGGCAATGGAGTGGTATGTTGGCGATTGTCGTGCAGAAATACTTTTCGATCCGAGCCTCAGGCATCGCGATATTGCACTCACCAGCCTGCATAAGGCACGAGAGCATTGCCGACATGGGCGTCATGGGTCTTACAAGTGAGTCGTCCATTCAAGGCTGACTTCTGGCGCCTGAGGTATTGACCGGACAGCCAGCTGCACAACCTTGGAGCACACGCAAAACTTGTGGTAATTTGATCCAACCAGGACAAAAGCTGGAAGTATCAGTGACTTGTTCTCACCATCCCACCTCGCCGAGTCACCACTCGTTGAACTTGACCTTAGTGTGACAGTTGGTGAATACAGCAGCATTACAGTCACAGAGTAGAAGTATGAAAACCACGGTACAGCTGTTCGGTTCAGCGAGACACTCTTCTGAACCTCCGAGATACCACGAGCGGGCCGAAAAGACAACAATATGAACAAAGGGCGGTACCGGCAGAGTCACAAGCTGTGACGGGAAAAGCAGGCTCCAGGCTTCTAGGATCACCCACCACCCCGGTGACATCATGTACGGATGGTGAATTGTGAACAAACTCTTTGTCTGTGGTACACCAAGCCACGGGATATTCATATGTGAGTTGTAGGCTCCTCGCTAGACCACCTAGCCCCTCAAAATTGTCTGATAGTTGGTGGCAAAGTGACTAAAATTGAGCATATGGACGGTCATGGATGACTTGATTTGTTTCCAACCATCCCCGCCGATTAGGATTCCTTGCAGCGTTCGGGTTCACCAGGGTAGATAAAGTTGTGTTAAGAGGCAATGAGCCCATTCGCTCGTAACACTTACTGGGTATGTTCAATCATCCTTGTCACTAATGTAAGGGACAAATGCTATATGCATTGAATATCGTGTTAAAGGGGAAATATTGGCTCTATAGAGGCTCCTATACAATACTACTTAGTAGTGGGAAGAAGTCAGTTGTGGCCGTTCGAAACAAGAATCTTTCTAAAGCTGTCTGGTATAGATATCCTTCCTTTTTCCTGTGCAGCTCCCAGGTCACCAAGATCTTATGCTTACCATACATCTACATCGACACTGCAAAGTCATCATAGACTGATTGCACATGCGACAGCAGCTATCCAAGACAACACAAAGACCGCATCCACGGCTCTGATCCCATCAGCAGCACCCTCGTCATCAGTAGCCTCTGGCAAAGGTGAACTCCCGTTTGGACTCGGACTGGGACTCGGTTGGGGCTCATCAATCTCGATAACATTGCCGTTAGCTGACAGCACCTCGCCTGTCGACATGTCCACAGCATCAGTGGAACCAAGGTCACGCCATGGGTGCTGAGAGCCACAGCGCGGACGTAGCAATGATAAGCCAAGCCCAAGTTAGAAAGGTCGACGAAGGTCTAGATTCTCGAAGCTGGAGCGCGCCGGATGCTGGATGATCTTGTTGTGGCCATTGAAGTCCTCGGTGGAATTGGCTGCAAGGTACCGGGGAAGGTACACGGTCAGATCTGCCAGGAAAGGGGATACAGACCCAGTAAACTCTGTCGCCGTACCAGCTCAAATAAATTCCACGTGCATTTCCCTTGAGACCTCCCGTGGGCCTACCGACCCAATCCACTTTCTTCGCGCAACATACCCCAGGCGCACCATGCGTCGGGAAGTGGTATGGTCCAAGTTGATTATCAAGAAGGGCCCTCCCACCGGGCGCGTGCTTGGTGATAGTAGGCTGGAAGCCCCAAGCAATCAGCTTGTTCTCATTAGGGAGGATCTGGTAACCGCCCATAATGGGCGAGACGATGCGATCGGGGTGGTAGTACTCCCCTACAACCTCGGCGGTCACGGCGTCGTAGTCCAGCCTGGGTTGCAGGCCCCTGGAGCAGGCGCGGTCATCGTGCGGTTGACGACCGTGTCCATGTGCGCATTGTCCAAGAGGGAGGTCTTGCCTCGGGAATAGCGTGGATGTGTCCAAAGTCGATTCCTCCAGCCCATATTCTCTCCCCGTACTTCTGGTTTGTGATCATCGTGTCGTTCAGGGGGACAAGATATGAAAGTCGTCAAGTGAACGCAACATCGACAGTTTCGACGCCGAGCTCTTGGGTCGTTGGGTCGTTGGGTCCTTGGGCTCTTCATCAACCTTGCCTCCAGCAGACGTCGTGTCCCAAGGCGAGACCTGGTCATATGTGACAAAAAGATTAGCTCAGTTGGAGGTCAATACGAGACCATGCACTTCTGCGATGTTATTGAACCATTTCGAGAATTCATTAGTTACTCATGAGGAAAGACAGTGTAGGTACCGCGATTGAATAGTCCAAATGTTGGTGAGGAACAAAAGGCAGATGCGAATACCTGCAAATTTCTGGGGTAGTTGAACTGCACTCAAGTGTTGTACTTCCCAGTCTGGGGCGATAAGAGAAACTTAGCCGGGGACAGCCGATGCCAAAATTGTAAAGTTGTGATGTGGGAATGAAGGATGAAAGCTCCAGTCACAAGTTTGAAGTTGAAGTTGAAATCAAACCTGGAGCCCCACCAGCCAAACGGCCCCGCGGTGCAACCCACAACCCCCACAACGGCCCGTCCACCACCAACATCACATCTTCCCCACCAACACCCACAACATCTTCCCAAGACCGTAAACAGAAGACAACACAACCACACGATACCAGTCCAGATGGCGACAACAACAACAACATCGGGAAACACGTCCTCGTACAGCGACTGCGTGACCGCCCTCCGCACCTCGCTCTCCTTCCTCGAGTCGTCCGTCTCGACCCTCGGCAACGGCGTGTCCGACTTCCCCCGTCTAGTCAACGTGCTCAAGACCGTCCGCGTGCGTACCTTCTTACCTTACACACCACCTATTACCTCGCTTCCTCCCTCCCTCCCTCAGAAACGCCCACCACTAACACGAACCCAAAAAAACAGCACTACGAACTAATCCCCCAGCCCACCCTCGCCGCCGCCGAAGCCTCCCTCCGCGACGAGATCGGGCCGGCAACCGCGCTCCTGCTCGACCGCGCCGACGCGCACATCGACCGCGTCGAGCGGCGTATCGACTCGCTGAAAGCGCGGTCCGAACTGCAACAAGGGCGCCTACAACAAGACTCATCCATATCCACCTATTCAAAGGGAAAAGGAAACGCGAAGAACATGAAAGAGAATGTGAAGCCTGGGCGGTCCCTAGAAGGCAGCGCCAAGCTCCGCGCCCGCGTCGTCCGCCAGCGCAGGGAGGCGCTGCAGTACAGCGTCGAGAGGCTGGAGCTCGAGGTGCTGCAGAAGGAGCGGGAGCTGCGGAAGAGGCTTGGGGAGGCGGCGTGAATGAATGCCGATCGATGATGGGCGTGGATGGACATACATGTTGGAGGGGAGAAACGCTTGATAGATAGTGCGCTCGCTGCCATGCTTACCGCGTTCCCAAGGACGCTTTAGATGGATCGGTATGATGCCACGGGCGGTGATGGGAACCGACTGAGTACGCACGCACTTGTTGCATATAGTATACTCGGGCAAGTCTGCGGCTACGGACGACAGCACACCGTTGCGTTTCATGGGTCCTGCGTCTTGCTGAAGATCACCCGGTCAGACCGACTCATCCTAGAACCGAGCAAGCATGGCTGAAGACAGACAGACAGACAGGTTGCTTCGTGGAGTCAGAGAGCCGTATACACTGCAGCTACATCGTGTGGTCTAAGCGACGCGGGCACGGGGACGATATCGTGGGGTTGGCCAGCAAATATTACCTACTTGTGGCAGTGGCGCAAAGCGTCGTAGGAAGATAGATGGTCGAGGCTCCCAAACGCTTGTCGTCACTTACATGGCGATTCTGCTCCAGGCTTTTCAAAAGCCTGGCCCGCAAAAGACAATGAGTTTCGAGACACAATGAAAAATGCGGCGTCACATACCCCATCAGCAGAATAAGAGATTCATGATACCATCCGCATCCTACATACCAGCCATGGTATAGACTCCCGCACGAAGCCATCTCACAACCCGGGAGCAGCGAATGGGACTCTTAATCATTCGCCATACTCCTCCATGGAAGACGGCCAACGGTGACATCAAGAACGAAGCGACATTGTATACTTTTCAGAAAGTTTCTTTCCATTGAGTTACACCACAGTGTACATATGTATCTCCCGGAACCAGTGAACCAGTGACGTGAAGTTCGTAAATCCCGTTCGTTTCAGACAGGCTCCTGTTGCCTGATTTTCGAGCGCCCGGCCTGCCCTAACCATTCCCCTATCAGTCGTTCATCTGCTCTGGCCTCTAAGCCCGAGGCAGAAAGAAGAGTTAAGTATTCCTTCAACTTTGCAGTTTCCGCGCGAGGGGGGCGCTTGGTAGTATATCACACCTATACATGTCGGACAGAGGTGCGTTCGTACAAGAAGGGAGAAGAGGTGAAAAAAGACAATAAGAATAAGTTCATTCGTCGTCGTCGAAGAATAGTAGGAAGTGTCATAGAAAAAAAGGGGCCAAAGACACCAAACACCCATGTGTTGGAAACCCGAATGTACTCCAACACATACCTATCCATGGTCTGTGTTTTGTGTGTCTGCGTTCTAGAAACCCAATCCAGATACAAGTGAACACCGTTCCCCATCGCTTCAATGCGACGATAATCCAGGAATCGCGTTCGGGGGTATGTCCCAAAGTCAAGCCGTCCGGAGTCGAGGGCGCCAAGCTAAAACACTCGTCCGCTCATAATAGAATGAGGTAATTGCTGGGAGCAATACCTGTGTCGCCATTCTCTTTCCGCGCTTGCCACCATCTACCGCTCACGTCGCTGACTTCAAGAATCTCGTGTTTCGAGAAGGAGATCTCGTTTGCATCTTCGGGGTTGGCCTCGTAACTATAGATGGCCTTCGCGCGGTACGGGTACTCGGTCGGAGCTGCAATCTCGGGATCATTTGGTTGCTGCGGTGCTTTGGCAACCGGAGCCTGGAAAGCTGGCGACGCATTTCGCGCTGTGTTGCCGTTCAGTCCACCAACGGGCGAAGGGTTCTCGAAGCCGTTGAGCTGAGCGGAGGTGTACATCTGGGGAGGCTGCATGGATGTAGAGGTGTCGGGGCGGCCACCGTAGCCAGTGTTCATCGTCTGGTGGTTCATAGCAGATTCCTTTTGAAGCGCAAACGAGTCGATGTACGCTCTAGGTACAGCGGATGGTGCTGATCCGAAGTAAAAGATCCATACGATCTAGAAAGCAAGTAAAATCAGCACTGTATCGCAAATGACACTTGCCAGGGCCATCGGGTGCAGCACACCAGCCTACTACGGTGGCTATCGCAGAATTCGGAACTGGGGACTTACATCGACCATGGACAGTAATATGAATCCAGCTGCAGCGGCTTGACGGGCACCTTCGGCGGAATATATCAACGAGTTGACAGAGGAGCTGTTAAGGACGAGGCCGGCACCTATGTAACCGACAAGTGCGATATGGTAGGTCTGAATCGAGTCGGATGCGACGACGATGAATGTGCCAATGATCAGAAACAGCGTGTATATAATACTCCACCAGGCGAAGGTTGGGAAGGCCTTGTTGATATCGTTGGGATCCGAGTTCACCTGGCCAATGATACAGCCAATGAAGGAAATGACCCACGCGAGCTGTTGGAGACGGCTCAAGTCAGTATTACTTATCCTACGCACGAACCTGGAGATAGGATAGCGTATAGAGAGAAAAGGGTCCAAGCATACCGCAGCGATAGACACCGTCGCGAGAGCGAAGGGGTCGCCAATGATGTTGCCCATGCTGATGCCTTTGCGGCCGTAACCCGCTCTGGATTGTTCCATTTTCCGAAGCGAAGGGGAGTGAAGAGATCCGTAAGAGGGCATAAGGAAGAAAGACCCTCGACGAAACTACGTTCCGGCCGCGAGTCAAACTTGTCGAGGTCCGGGTCGATTCGCAGTGGCAACCTGAACAATGCGACAAAGTGCGGTCCGACGGCGAAAGGGACACGCCGGTTCGATGGATCTCCCGCTTCCGCAGTGTGGCTGTGTCCAATGAAGGTTGTATGGTTGGCGAGAGAAAGAAGGTCGGGGTCGGAGAGGTCGGATTGGCTGGACTGTCAGCTGCTAGCAAGTTAGGGTGCGGGCGGCAGTTGATGGGTGGTACTGCGAAACAAGAACAACGCTCGGTGGAATTCAATATCTGAAAGAGTGACTGGAGTTGGGCGCCGCGTTAGGTTGATGATGGTTGTATCGCAATGCAAATAACTGCCAGACCAAGCGTTCTAGCGGTACAGCGACCGTGGGAGGATTGCTCGTCCTGTCGAGGTCGCGGAGCCTAGGCTGGTTGGGAGTATACCCTCGCGGATTCGGTTCTTGACTTCTCCAATGTGGAGCAAGGTACTCTCCCGCACAATGGTGGGACACAGCCAGGAGTGAGTAGGAATTCTCTCTGGGAATGATGCCGGGTTGTGAGTGTCGGATGGAGGTGGAGAAAGCCTATAGAGATTGTGCGAAATGGCGGGCTGGCGATTCGCGGTGATGGAAAGCGTAAAGTTTGTCGGGTCGAATTGGCAATTGGCGTCGGTGCAATTGACACACAACAACCGAAGAGGCGAGCGTGTATTATGAATTAGATTCGGGTCTCGAATGTTTCGATGAAGGTTCCTCCTCTCGTGGTCTTCCCGACTCTTGATGGATTGCTTCCCTTCTTCTCTTGCAGATGCTCCAGGTCGTGTCGCAGCACCTCCTTTTGTCGATTCCCTTCCGCGGTGCCTGACAGCGCAATGGATTATCAAACAGTGGCGGTCGAAATATACGTCGTGAGAAGCGAAGTTGGATTGTTCCGCGAATGCAAAGCCTGGCTGGGAATCGAAAGGAGGGGACGACTGACGGGATTCGTCTTCGCGATAGACGGATGTTGAGGCCAATGGAGAAAGGATAGGCAGAATGAGAATGGACTGGCTGGCAGAGAGTGTGAGAGCACTGACCAGTTTGGCAGTGGAGACTGGCAGACTGGAGACTGGAGAGGAGGGGGGGCACAGGAGTCGGGAGGGAGGCTAAAGCAATCAATGCTGGGGCTAGAGGCACGCTACAGATGCTACAGATGGGTGGGTGGAGACCTGGTCTCGTCTCGGGTGCAGGAGTGTGCTGTATCAGTCGGGTGCCAGCTGCCCGGAGTGCACTGTCGACTTCTAACGGTGCCAACCGAATTCCCGGGCCTCGATACCTTAGGTGCCGAACACCACGGGACATACCTACAGCCCAAGAAGAGAACGACACAACCCGTATCATCCGTCCATCTCCAGATCAGTTTCTACATTCATGGAAGGTATCTGTGTCGTTCATCGCCCATGTTCAGAGGCGGTCTACGTAGGATTTTGAGTCTTGTTGGGCGTCCCTTGCTAGCCCTGTGCCTACGCCGCATGGTTCTTCTCTAAATATTCCTTCATCCTTGTCTTCTTCTTCAACGCCTGGAATTTATAAATTTGAATAAGCTGACAAGCATGCACTGCCGCACATGAGAACTTCCATCCCATCCCGTTGGCCTTGACCGAACGGGTTATGAGGTCTTTATGCGTTACCAGTCACGTGAGATCGTCCTGCACAGCAGACACAGTTCACACCCGCATGGAATCCGGGGCGTTGGTTGACAAGACGGAAACTGACTGGTCATCGTGAGCTGGTCACTAGCACAGGTTACGAACTACACTGATGAACCAAGGGCATTCATTGTGGTTCGCAAACTGTGTTGGTATCTTTCTTTGACATCAGCGCTAATAAATGCAGGAACACGGAGTCCAAGGTGGACATGTGGCAGCACCGGCGTGGGAGGACGAGATGGCTGGCGAGCGACGGATTATCTCCCATGGAGAACGATGGAGTGTGAGGTGGGCTGCGGCCGTTTGATGTGAGACTGGGATCCGATGGCCCTGCCAAGTGAAAAAGGGGGGACGCGTGTGTCGCAACTTTGGGCCCAATGGCTCGTTCTGATAGGCTGAGATCTCAAAGTCCGACGCGGGTAGGAGTGTCGATTCTCCTTCGCATCTTCACCGATTCTCGTACTCGTGTCTGTGCTCTCTTTAACAACGAAGAGGCGCTCTGCCACACATCCATCCAACTGTCACTCGGGCCTGGCCGATCCCGCCCGGGAGGCTATCACACATGCAAGACGCAGGAGACAGCCAAGTGCTAAATTCGTCGAGTTTCACAACTCTCTGGATTTTCGAGCTTGGGTTGCAACCACGTTGAATTGAAGCCCGTGTGCCAGTGCTCCTCGTGGCTTTGAAGCCACACAGGCCCGCGTGCAGCCAGGGCCTCGTCCAGTCTCGTCTTCGTCTGAACCTATCGTGCGCTGCAGCTGCCTGCACTGCAGGTGGCCCATCTCATCCCGGTGGCGCGTTTTCAATGCCAAGGAGGGTAAGATCATCGAGGGTGGGGAATACTTGTCAAACACTTCAACGGTCTGCTGTCGAACAGCAGTGAGATGGGACCAAGATCCAAAAGCTTACCAGGAATTTGAGCCTCGAGGTCTACTCTCTACAGCTTGGGTGAAGTCATCACCGTGGTCACTTCGACCCGACTTTCGCGGTTGAAAAACTTCACATACGACGCATGTTCAGCCACGACTACTCTAGGTACCCCCTTTTACTTGTTTCATCCATACCACACAGCCCTCTCGTCCGATACATGGGACTGTGCTATCACATCAGACGACGTATCGTCATTCGCCTCAGGCCCCACATGGCTGTACAAGATATTACCGAAGCGCATCCTTGCGAGTCAACAATTCATTAGGAGCCAAAGATGATGCTTTCGTGAGTTACGTAATTGGTAATTAGGAGCGGAGATGACGGTGAGCGCGTTCTTTTGTTTGGAATACGATTTAGCCATCAGGGGCGATGACACGGCAAAGTTGCATATAACAAGGAGCTGGTCAGCCATATCAAGATGTTCATATTGCTTGTATGGAGCATAGGTCAGTAATGCCTCGTTACCCGGCGCTCGACCTGTAAACTCAGTCGAGTATTCTTTCTGCCTTCGACCTGTTCATATCTCTCCTTGTGAGGATGCTATACCTCAAATTCAGCTCCATGGGACAGTTGAGTATGACGATGTCTGCGTAACAACGTACACCCCAGCCGTCGAAGACATATGTGCTTAGCGGATCGTCCAGGCAAAAATAGCTGTTGCCGCCTTAGATGGTGGTCTCGGAAGACGATTCGCGTGGGTTACGTAGTTCAGGCCGTATATTAGGCCTTATCCTCTGCATTCCCTGAGCCGGTCGGGTCATGTGCGCGCGCGCTGGACTTGGTCAAGCAGTAGTTACATTGTAACCTATTCTGCTCTATCGGGCTCGAGGCTGGGCTCCAGGTAGATCTACTGGCGTCGAGAAAGTTCAGATCTCCTCCCTCGACTTCTCGATAGTCTTTATTGCCCGATCGACCATCTCGATGCGCCCCTCGACACGAGCCATGGAATCGGCGTAGCCCATCACGTCGTAGGCGTGCCATTGCCGCACGGCGATTTCGCTACGAGCCCGCAACTCGGAGATTTCGGCGGCCTGCGCTAATTGGATTGCTTCTATCCCTCTCATTCTCGGTGCTAACGCGGCTAGATTGGCCGACTGAGCCGGATCGGGTATGGGCGTGTCGGCAATGGATGTCAGGGACGACGCAATGGCTGGGTATGAAGTCGCAGCGGCAAGGACGGTCGCGCGGATGGCATCTTGGGAGAGGTCGAGTGGTGGTTGCGAGGACGGCGGTGGTTGGAACAACGATGGTTGTGACTTGTCTAAACAGCATCAGCGTGGGATCAAATAAAAGAAGGCGGCATATTTGAGGGGAAAGCGGCGACATACAGAGCCTGAGAAGCTCGCCGTAGACGCGAATATGTTGTAGGAGTTTGGAGAAGCGCAGTTCGAGCTCTTGCAAGCTGTCGACTGCCGTCGTCTTTGGTTGTGGTGTTGAGTGACCGTAAAGGAGATGCTCTATCCGTAGTATTCGCCCCTCCAGCAGTGAGATAGTCGAGAGGGTGGTCTCGTCGAGGGTGGAATCCATCGTATCCATCTTCTCTGTGTGTGCGTGGGCGTGGGCGTGGGCGCGCGTTTGCGTCGACGGCCTCCTCCCGAATGGAATGCTCCCTGGCTCTTACAGGTGTTTGTAGCAATGGCGATTTTGGTGCTGCAGACAACTGTACACCGTTGACATGTATGGTCAGTGGGCACGTAAATTTCGCATTCGCTCACCGGTGTGATGGCAGTCTACATTGAGGCAGGCTTTGATCCAACCTTCAGGAGAGCTTGAATGTTGGTGGCACCTGATAATATGATAAGGCTGAATGACGATCCGTTCCTGGGGGCGCTAGCTGAAGCTTGGGCTAATATTAGTAAGTAGCCCAAAATAGCTTGATCTGCATGAAGTTGCCGCTTGCCGCCTGGCGCCTGCCTGCCCCGCCAAGCTTCCAATTTCAGGGTCAGCTGTCAATCTCCCTTTGTCGTAGTGTGTCTGACGACAGCTGTCAGGACCGAGTTGGAATGTCCTCATTCTTCTCTCACCACAACCGGCCACCAACTGCCAGCGACACCAGCCTCGTCCGACCTAGTTCCGCCGCTTTACCACGTTGCGCCCTCGGTCTTGATCGATCGATTACGTACCGGCGAGGCAACGCGCATTGCCAACAACCAACGAACGAAGCGCGTGTCTGCGAAGGCAGCGGCGGCGGCGGCGGCTACATCGGCCGTGCAGCAGTGCAACGCCTTGAGCTACGCTTCTAGTCCGACCGCCCATTGCTGGCGCAGAAAGAAGTTCTACCCAGGGCGGATGCTTCGCAGGCTATGCTGAATTATTCGTCCGTTTCGAATGAGGGTAGTTCCTCAAACACAGGCGGTGGAACATCTGGCGATATGACGAGGTGCGTGGTCGCGTCCATATCGCGAACTGCAAGACTCGAGGCAACACCATGGAAGATCTGATTACTGACGGCATTACGCAGACACCGGCGAGTCCGAGGCCACCAGAAAGATGGAGGCGGCGGGGGACAGGCGTCCATGATCAGTAGTGTGATCAACCTACTCAACACAAGTATGTTGTGGATGCGAACTGGCCCTACTTTCGCCATGGGCAGTACTGACTGAGAGACCGTGCAGTTGTCGGTGCGGGAACTCTAGCGATGCCTTCGGCCATGTCACACTTTGGAATGGTGATGGGAATAATTGTAATACTGTGGTCGGGTTTCACTTCCTCCTTCGGACTCTACCTTCAATCGCGATGCGCACGATACCTCGATCGCGGCTCCTCGTCTTTCTTCGCCCTATCGCAGATGACCTACCCCAATGCTGCGGTCATATTCGATGCCGCGATAGCAATCAAGTGCTTTGGCGTTGGCGTGTCATACATGATCATTATCGGGGACTTGATGCCCGGTGCTATAGAAGGCTTTGACAGCAGGGCCGCAGAAGTACCCTTCCTGATGGACCGCAACTTCTGGATCACAGTCTTCATGCTTGTCATCATTCCTCTGAGCTTCTTGCGACGCCTTGACTCGCTGAAGTATACCAGTATTGTGGCTCTCGTTGCCATCGGATATCTGATCGTCCTGGTCGTTTATCATTTTGCTTCCGATGTCCTTGCTCCGAGAGAGAAAATCCGACTCATCACCTGGGGCGGACCCGTGGAGGCTCTCGCCAGCCTCCCTGTGGTGATATTCGCGTATACGTGCCACCAAAATATGTTTTCGATTCTGAACGAGCTCAAGGACAATACTGCCAAGAGGTATACCAATTCGTTAACCCTACAATGCATCACTGGCTTGCTAATATTGTCTACAGTGTCATGGGGACCATTTCTTCTAGTATTGGCTCTGCGGCTGGCATCTATGTGCTAGTCGCTATCACAGGCTACTTGACGTTTGGCAACGACGTGACGGGCAATATTGTGTCCATGTGTAAGTTGTCAATGTATACCCGCTGAACAGGAAGCACTGACACATTGTTCTCCAGATACTCCGTCAATTGCTTCAACTATCGCCAAAGCCGCCATCGTCATCCTCGTGACATTTTCTGTCCCTTTGCAGGTCCATCCATGCCGAGCCTCAGTCGACGCTGTGCTCAAATGGCGACCAAACGCTGCCGCCCGCCCGCAAGGTCGGACTCTCTCCCCTGGGGGCCGGCCTCTTCTGCCAACGGCGACGCGGTCAGACCACGGCCCGGCTTCGCACATCTCAGACACACGCTTCGCTATCCTAACAACGATCATACTTGTATTAGCCTATATCGTTGCACTTACCGTTGTCTCGTTGGAGAGGGTGCTGGCATACGTCGGCTCCACCGGAAGCACGAGCATCAGCTTCATCCTCCCGGGCCTTTTCTATTACAAGATCTCTGATCCAGATTCGATCCATCACCAACGCTTGGCCAAAGAGGATGACGATGCGTTATCGCTCACCGAGTCGGATGACGATGGTGACGCGGAAGGAGACGAGGGCCTCCTTGGGGCGAGCGTCTCAAGCGTCCGCAGCGCCGCCAGTGGTTCGAGCAACAGGACCAAAAGCCGAAAGTCGTTTTGGCGGTGGCGGACGAAGTGGAGGTGGGACATGGAGCATCTGAGTCCTGTGCATCTGAGAAGGGCGGCTCTAGGTTTAGCCATCTATGGCATGTGTGTCATGGCGGTATGTCTAGCCATGAACCTGGTTGGGACGTACGCGCATTGAGAGATTTCCTGGGCCTTCATACTGCCACCCGGGGTTAGATGAGCTGATGGTTTCATACCTCAAAGCGACTGACGAGGAGCATTTGAATATTCGGGGCCGGTGCATGGTTACGGTTGCTCATACTTTCGTCATGCATCTGGAGGCGTCTGGGGTGTGACTTCTTTTTCTTTGTCTTTTCTCGTCCGTATATATTATTACATGGAAGACACTGGTTGTGGCCATGGTATGAAAGGTAGCGTTGAATTCATCATTGTTTCATCTGATTGCCTTCTTTGCCTCCCGGTATTAGTTCTCTACATCGACATACCATAAGCTCTGCGGACCCTCATTACTCCCCATACTCGTAAGGCTTTCAGCCAGCCAGCGCATGTGCATGTATAGGTGGAGTCAAGTACTCGAGCGGCACAGAATGAGTCAAACTCTTTGAGGGAATGCAGTCACTCTGACTTTGTCACTTGACACGCCCCAAGAAGCAAGTCTAGAAATGCATTTGCTGCCCATACTCTCTCTCATCCTGGAAGGGGGCGGATGTAGTCGATCGGGAGTAAACCTCATGGAATGTAGGATAAAATCTTGAAGCAATTAGAGTTGGGATGCCTTAAAGCTCGTTCTGCTAGATGAGACACATCTGTGAAGGATTTATTACATCTGTCTGATGAGATGATAGTCATCCCCCTCAATCGTCCTGCCGGGTAGGGTCCTCCCAGCCTGGGTTACGGACCAAATATTCTGGCGGGGTCGTGCAGCAAAATGTCATCAGCGGCATTGCCCCACCATGGCGACAAAAAAGTCGCCCTGATTATCAAGCACCCTCCTTCTTCGACAAACATCCACGCACAGCAGAGGCAACACTGAAAAGGGCTCATAAAGTCTGACCAACTTGGAATCGATACCTGGTCGTATACACAACATCTGCCGCCCATATTTCGTCCGACAACCGCAGACGGCACACATCCGCTAGCCCACCATGTCTGTCCCTCACCAAGAAAATGTCGACGATGCGCCCGAGATGCTCGACGCCGACGACGCACTCGAGGAGGTCGAGGACGCCGAGGGCGATATCGCGATGGACTCCGACGACGAGCAGGAGGAGATCAACCTGCAGAACGACAGCGTAGCCTACTTCGACGCACACAAGGACTCCGTCTTCACTATTGCACAACACCCGACACTACCCTCACTGATCGCAACGGGCGGCAGCGAGGGCGAGGGCGACGATGCGCCGGGAAAGGGATACATCTTCGACACGAGTCCAGTGGTCAGCCGACCAGTCCTCCCCGCGAGTTACAACGCCGACCCGTCTGCGGCGCAGCAGAGGAGCTTCGAGCTGAACTCGCTATTCACGATCGAGGGACACAGCGACTCGATCAGCGCACTCGCTTTCACACTGCCGAGGGGAGAGTGCCTGGTCTCAGCCGGAATGGACGGGCGACTACGCGCATACCAACTAGCCATCGACGCGCGGAATAAGGCTTCCTTCAACTTCGTCGGCGAGACACGAGAGGTGGAGGAGATCCACTGGCTGGCACCGTGTCCGTCGGAGAAATACCCCAATACGATTGCGCTGGGAGCCAAGGACGGATCGGTCTGGGTGTACACGATCGACGCCTCGGATTCGTCGAACCCGCTGCAGATTGTACAGACCTACTTCCTCCACACGGGCGAGTGCACGGCCGGCAGCTGGTCGCCGGACGGCACGTTCCTCGCCACGGTGTCCGACGACGGCTCGCTGCTCGTCTGGGACGTATGGGGGGAAGCTGCCGCAAGGGGCTTGACGCACGAGAACGGCCAGACGGTCGTCAACCTGGGTATGGCAGACCAGCGGTTCGCAGTGGAAGGCGGTCTATACTCGGTCGCCATCGACCCCAAGACCTCTTTCGTAGCAGTAGGCGGCGCAGGCGGCGCGATCAAGATCGTAGGCCTCCCCAGACTAGGCGTCGACAGCCAGCCCATGAGCAGCAAGCAGAGCAAAACGAAGGCAAAGGGCGCGGACGCAGGCGGCAGCCAGGGCGGTTCCATCCTGGCCGATCTACAAACACAAGGCGACGGCATCGAGACGCTCAGCTTCTCGCCGACGAACCCGCTGCTGGCGGCCGGCAGCGTCGACGGCAGCGTCGCGGTCTACGACACGAGCCGGCGGTTCGCGGTGAGGCGGCACATCCGCGAGGCGCACGAGGACTACAGCGTGGTCAAGGTCGACTGGGTGCGCGGGCTCGGCGACGGCTGGCTGCTGACGAGCTGCGGTATGGACGGCGTGGTGCGGAGGTGGGACATGCGCGGCGCGGCGGGCACCAAGGAGAGTAGCATGACGAAGGAGTGGAAGGGTCACCGGGGCGATGGCGAGGGGGGCGGTGTGTTGGGGTTTGTGCAGGGGAGTACCGGCGAGCGGATTGTGACCGCGGGTGATGATGGCCTTGTCTTGGTATTTGAGGCTTAGGAGAGAGACCTCGGGCATGTGATGTGAGCAACGTGGACGGTGATGTGATGATGGGAACATGTCGACAGGTAGATAGCCCGACTGGAATACTACGACGCCGAGACAGCTTGAGCGAATAATCTTCGCCGATTTCCCCCTGAAGCGCAGCCACACCAGTTTCACATTCAGAATCTACATGTAACTACCTACCTACCTACCCAGGAGTCCCGTTCGTCCCATTCACCACCCCCTGACCACCATCCGTCCCCCGTAAATGATGCATCAACAGATCAAACGAAAGCTCCAGCCCCCGGATCCCATCCTGCACATCCGCCAGCGCTAGCATCTCGGGGCGCGCCGCGATCGCCTCCACCACGATATCGCGCATCGTGCTGTCTGCCACAACAAAGCGCTTCGTGCGGTCGTCGCCGCGGTCCTTATCCTTGTGGTCCTTGTCCTTGCTGTCCTTGTCCTTGCTTGGCTTTCTGTACACCTCCGTCGCCGCCGCGACGAAGTCGACGATGTCGTAATCCCATGTTTTGGGGCTGTGGGCGGCGCTGGCGACGGCGCGCGAGAACTTGGACGCGGCTAGGGCGGCCAGGGATGGGATGCCATATTTGGTCGCTAGGGTGTACATTTGGGCGTGGGTTGTTAGGGGGCCGGTGGGTGCGGGTTGTCCTCCTTTTGCGGAAGATTGAGGCTGGGACTGCTGCGGCTGGGTTGTTGTTGAGGCCTGGGGTTGGGGGCATGATTTGTGTTTGTTTCTCTTTTCCCTGCTGCTCCTGCTGCTCCCGGCCAGCGCGGCGGCTGTCTCGGTAGTCATCATTGGTGTCGTAGTCGCGGAACTGACATTGGTGTAGAGCCTATTTCCATTTTCGGGAGAGGCGTTTGCGATGCCGAGGCCAGTGCCGTTGGTGCCATTGGTGGTGCCATGCTGAGACTCGCCAACGTTATGACCGTGGCCGTGGCCGTGGCCGTGGTGGCTGGCCATCCCATCAACGTCATGAGCCTCAGCTGGCCAAGTCGCCGCGTGCTCCCTGAGCTTGAACTCGCTGTCGATCTGCTCCTCCGTTGGCGGGTAGTCCAGATGATACAGGTAGTGCAGCATCAGACGGACGGCCTCGGAGTTGTCGTCTTCGAGGATGATGACGTCTTGGGTGACCTCCTCGTCTGCCCACTGTGCCGGATAATCAGCAATTTCGTCGTTCTCGTCTCAACAAGGCTTCCTCGGTCGATCAGCAGGGTCTGCTATCCAATTGCTCACCTTATTTGGAGTCTCCAAGTGCTTTCTCAACAGCGGCGAGCGCGGACACACCACGGCGCGATGGACGGCATGGTGGTCGTCTCCGCACTCAATGCGCAAGTCTGAGTACGCGCCGGTTTGGAAGAGACTGTGACGGTGTCAACGACCTGAACTCATGTGATTTGGGGAGGCGGGAAGTCATACTCCTTCAGCGAGCTTACGAGCTCGTCGACTGACTGCTTGCTCATTGCTCTTGTCTAACGCCCCCCTGGGTCTATCTAGTCAGTGGCAGGCGATCTGAGAGGGACAGAGAGAACGCAATTGAAAGGGGGGCAAGATGTGATGTGCTATTCCCCTCGCTATATACACCATTTTCAATAACCCTCATATCGTCATAGGAGGCGGCCGATCATGGTCCCTTTGGGCTGCCGGCAGGGCGAGGCTGCGGGCTATGCTCTGTGATGCAGCGCCATGCATATACTCCGCACCCCAACGCGGCGCAATCACATCTGCGGTCCTACTTGGAGGCCGTGATTTGGGACGCTCAGATTGAGCAGACCTCGCCTCATTGGTCAATGAGCGAAGCCTTCAATCTTGTCGATCCTGCACGTGAACGTGGCACGGTGTGGACCATAGCTGGAGTGGCGGATGATGGGAAGGCCCTTTTGGCAGAGCCTCATCTTTCAGCTTGACGACAACTGGTGAGAGTCTACCCCACCCGTGCTCGCCGTTCCATCAATCACTTCAGAGGAGTTGGTCGGCCCTCCTACCGGATAGTGCCGGACTCGAGATAGCCATGTCACCTCCATCTAGCGATTGTGCTGTCACAAGGCCGAACCATGGGGTGGGGGGGGGGGGGGGGGTAAATGGTATGTTGTTCTGCAGAGAGGAGCAACACTAGTCAGGCGCGGAGGCCATGTATATGTACATGAAGGTTCTTTGTTCTCCAGGATGCTTCCTGACATGTGCAGGTTCCAGAATCGGGGGCGAAGAGCGCGAATCAGGCTACAAGCCAATGGGAGATGTGCGTGGTAACTATGAATAGATGTTAAGAAACGGCTTCCGAGCGACTTGGGAACTGGTGCAGGCGGCAGATGTTTAAGGGCATACCAGTCAGGAGTTGTCATGTGTGCAGTCGTGCTCTAGGGGTTGGGAGCCTGCGTGGGTGTTAATGCTTCGTCCGCCCTGATCCATCTGGAAAGGGGCCCCGAAGATACGCCTGGGACCCGGCTTCTTGATCAGCTTCAATCCGACTGATTAGACATCATGTCCTCTTAATCTCGCCTCCTCAGCTCTGACTTGGCAGCTAATCACCGTGTCCTTGCAGCATATTCCTAGAGAATGGCATGACTCTTAGCAGGGGACTTTGCTTGGAAGAAAACTGAGCAAAATAATTGTTCTCTTCATTCTCTACTCGTCCTGGAATTGGTAGATAGAGTCCCCGAAGGGCGAGTAGTTTGGTAGGTAAATCCCTTGTAAGAGGGCGAGGCGATTTGGTAGGTAAATCCCTTGTAAGAGGGCGAGGCGGTTTGGTGAATAGAGTCCCCTGTGAAGGGTCGAGTAGTTTGGTAGAGAAAGCCCCCGAAGGGCGAGTTAGGTCTGCCCGAGCTGGGCTCGGGCTCAGGAACTGTGAGTAGAGAATGAGAACTTATACCACTAGGCCACATCTTCTAAACGTGGGTGCTGTTGAGGAAATCCGCTGGTATACATTTACATGTACTTAGGGTTGTCCAGCAACCATGAGTAATCTATGCTTCTTAATGAACACTTTTATCTCTTTTTCTTCCTGCGCTGGATGTTAGTAGGGCCAGAGATCCACAAACACCTCCTCTAACAAACACTCTGTAAGCCACATACACCTTTTCGTTTCATTGGCCGAACATCTCCACTTCTCTCGGAATCAATTTGTGAATTTCGCTTCTTCCTCACCCACACTCTCGCTGCTCCCCCATCGCGTTCTTCCTGTTACCTGCTGCAAATCGTAGACCGATCCAAGTGCAGCCATATGAACTGTGACAATCAGGCCTGCAGCTGCGCTGGTCAGGGCTGATGGGATGAAATATCTAGATTCAACGATATCTAAGGAAGAAGAGGCAAGGTCGGAAGAGAAGGGGGAAGCTAGAGGTATATATGTACATAAATATGTGGAGGTATCATGTAATACCGTAGCATGAACTACGGTGGGCCAGATGACGAAGTGGCTTCCTAAGACTCGCTTCTATTTACAACGACTCAATTATAAATGCGATTAATACTCTAATAGCCTGAAAGGCTCATGTCGAGCCTCATATCAAGCCTCATGTCGAGCCCATAATCTTGATTTGTGATTGTAACAAGGTTAGCGTGAACAAGTGGCCTTTGTTACAACCAGAACGCCGTCGTAACATCTCACCCCCCCCTGCGGACCACCCCCCCACGGACCACTCCACACCACACCACTCTCATTCAGATGAAGCCATCTACAACCACCACAGTTGCTAAATACACTAAGGTCGTGGTATTCTAACCATAATACAGCTCCCAGAATCCGATTCCGACCCTAAATCTTCACTAGGGACCTCTTGTGGGACCTCTTCGCCTGCAGCGGAGCCCCTATAGACCCTCCTGTTCCTCAGCTCCATTTTGGCCTCCCTTATGTTAGCCATTGTGACGAATCGTTCCCCTGGTGTTGGTTTGACTACTTTTTGAGTGGTATTAGCCTTTTTAGCCACTTGAGCCTCAAGTAGCTCACATTTGGCCCGTAGATTTGCAATGGTAGCAGCCTGAACATCCATGGCCTTGCCAGCCTTCCGTACCAACAAGCGCTCAGAGGGCCCCCCAAAGGAAGGGTCCTTTCTTTCGAGCTTTTGAGCACTCTCCCGCAAAGCCCGGCTTCCAGAGGGTGTTGTGACAATGGTTTTAACTACCATCTCAAGAAAATCTGGTGTTGTGGCTCGCTCAGAAGCCTTAGGGTCCCTCTGGCGTGCCCTGGCCACCCCCTTGTCCTCCAGAATCACATATTTCGACTTCAACGCCTCCGCTCTGTTGCGAGGAACAATCCCAGTCTTTTTCCAGGCAATTCTGATGTTGAGGAGCGTCATTATGTCCTTCCGGGCCTGCTCGTAGCACTCCAAAACCTTCTCCTTAGATGGCCTGAGTCCCAGACAGCCGCTGGGCGTCTCCTGGAGTAAGGTCTTCAACCTCTTCTTTACTAAATTGAAGACTCCCATATCTAATACCTGGACTACATGGGAACAGTGAGGTTCATAAAAGATCAACCATACTTTGTTTCTTAAGCAGGTGGCTAGGAACTCGTCATTCGTGTGGGAGTCGTGGTCATCACACACCAAAACCACCCATGTGTTGCCGTGGACCTCCTGAATGTGAGGAATAAAGATACGTTGAAGCCATTCTAATACAATGGGATTCGAGGTCCATCCATTGGGTGACGTAATAAACCTCCAGTTGGTGAATTTGTCCTCATTTTGGTTGTTAAATCACTAGGTTTGTACGTTAATCCCCTTGAGAATCACCAGTGGCGGCAAGGTCTCACCAGATCCGCTCACACACTCTAGGGCAGTTATCCATTCACCCTTCTTGACCCCTTTCTTCATAGCCACGTTGCCGGAGGCCTCGGAGACCACCCAATGGGAGTCCCCAACCCCCTGGGCGATTCCCATTTCGTCGACGTTGTATCAGCGTGCTGGCATGAGGTTAACCACGTCAGGGGCGTCACACTGATCGAAAAAAATATTAATATTTGCCGCTGTAGCATTATTCACTCAGTTATAATCGATAACACGAGACTTCATTATCTTGACTTCCGGGTTTCGAGACAGGAACTTGGATGCCTAATTTTTCCTTAATTCTCGAGCATCCCCGGTGGCATGGAGCATCCGCTGGGCCATGAGACGGAACTTAGAGACTGCCGGAGAATACCCTAGTCGTGCTTGCCCCAGGGCCCAGCTTGCCAGCTTATGTTCGAGATACGGTGAGAGAGCCTGTTGGAGAGCGCTGGTCTCATTCCGCGTTGGGGTGCCAGAGATTCGTCGGTTGACGTACGAGCGACTGATTTGCCATTCGAGGGCTGACGAGCGGACTGGAGCTCCGTGTTGGATGGCCAAAATGGCGGCTTCAGCTTTTATTTGACGGTCGTAAAATGACATCATGAGATTCAGCAGTGGATAAGGATTCAAATAGTGTGCTTTGTGAAAAAAAAGATGCAAAAGTGATGGTGTAGATGGTGGATCACCATAATCCTGGTGGTTGGTGAATTACGCGTTTGTGGGTCAGAACGCGCTGGTCCGCGGGGGGGTGGTCCGCAGGGGGGTGGGAGATGTTACCATGTACAAAGCATTGTGTCAAGATTCTGTCCTTGAACGACCACAAAGACCATTGTCAATAAATTTCCCTTTCTTCTTCGAACCAAATTCGATCCAAGTATATACAAACCGTCACCGTCCGTCGTCTACCCCTCAATATATCGTTCCCCCATTCCATCTTTCAACCACTCGAACACGGCCATAAGCAACGGCTTCAGCCGACTGCACAAACGACGGCCAAAGGTAAGTAAAGTACTTCCGAATCCACTAGCAATGGCAGGAAACGACTCACCCAGGGCGGTCACCCTCCGAAAACGGGCATACATCATCTGCACCAAAGCAGTGGTGTGTCTCTGCCTCGCATTCATAGCATACCAGATCTACCTCGCCACCACGCACCACACCAACACACACTACGACGTCCTCGGCGTCCCCATCAATGCCACCGCCACCGAGCTCCGCAGCGCCTACCGCAACCAGTCGCGCCTCACGCAGCCGGACAAGGTGACCAAGCCCGAGGACCGCACGTCGGCGACGGAGCGGTACATACGCGTGCAAGAGGCGTTCAACGCCTTGTCGAGCGACGAGAAGAGGTGCGTTTATGACTGCGTGATCCCGAATCGCGGGAGCCGGAGCCAGTGCAGGACTGAATGCTCGCTTGCGCAGGCGGGGAGGGAGGGGGAGGAGATGGCCGTGGCACCTAAGAACAAGAACGAGGAGATGGCCAGGGCATTTGGGAACAAGAACAAGACCGAAGAGAAAAAGTTGAGGAGGGCGAAGAAGGAAAAGAAAGACAGAATGGCGCAGGAAGTCGTACAGGAGGTTGTAAAAGAGAAGGAAAAGAAGCAAAAGCAGGAAAATGAGGCGCTGCAGCGGAAGAACATGACGGGGCAGACTTCGCACGCAACGGCTGCTGTTTTGGTTGTGTTGGAGAGTGTGGCCGTTTGGCAGATCGTCAAAGAGGGATCTACGGCATCTAGGGCCGGCTGGCTTGTTTTGCAGGTCGTCATAATGGCTGTGGCGACTTGCAAGTATATCAGCGGTTCCGCTTGATTCGCATGGCATTGTTCGTGGTTTCTTCGAACTGGGACAGGGGCAGGTCTTATGTATGGGCTTGTTGTTGGGAGATTTGTTTAACAGAGATATATCGTATTTTACAATCTACATCGTACTTTGCTGTTTGATTCTAACACGCCTGCCGCATGTCAAGCTTTCGACTTGACAAACATGAAAGGACGGAATTGTGACGTAACCTCTGTGACAGCACGCGCATCGGGCAGCCGAATGCCAACCATCCATTCAAACTGGGTATGATCAAGGACTCGATGCCAAATCATCTCAATGGAGACGCCCAAACTCCAGCCATGCATTCCAGTCGATGCCCCACGATAACTTGCACACAACAGATCCCCAAAAGAGCAACAAGATCTAGTCCTTCTCGGTCATAACAAAATACAGACCATACATCAGCCCTCCCAGCACCAGAGCCGTCAAGATGCCCGCCCCGGCACGGTCTCCAGTTGTGATCTTCTTCGGCTGTGAGATCTTGCTCGAATCGGACGCACCCGCATTCGCGTTACCCTGCGAGGTACCGCCGTTGTCCGACGTGTACGGGGCAGGCGCGACATCAGCCAGCGTCCCCATGATGGCCTGAAGCGCGCTCATCTGCTCGCCGACGCCGGTGATGCCGTCGAAGCTGCCCTGTTTCAGCCAGCTGAATCCGCAGGCCGTCCCGGCCGGGCCCTGGAACTTGGCGGCGCTCTGCCCGGAACACTGCTGCGCGGCGGCCGTGGCGGTCAGTTTCAGCAGCGGCGTGATGGTGTCGGCGGTGAAGGGGGCGATGATGGTCGTCAGCGCCATCCAGCGCGCCAGATGACCTTTGAAGGCCTGCTGGTCGGTGTTGCAGCCTGAGTCCGTCTTTTCACACGCCGGCTCCCATAAGATGCTGTTTTCGAAAAAGACCGTCGAGGCGGACTTCACGAGGCCGTCCACGCGCGTCTTCCACGCGGCGTCACCGTTGGTGTGGTTGTACATGTGGGCGGCGCCGTGCATGAAGAGTCCCGCGTTGTACGTGAACTGCGCCGCGTTGATCCCAGTGCAGTTCGCCGTGCCCTGGTTGCCAGCGCCGTCGAGGACGTTGTAGTCGTCGTTGATGAAGCCGACGCCCATCTCCCACTCGAAGATCTTGGTCGCCCAGTCGGCGTACGTCTCGTTGCCCGTGTACCGGGCCAGGCGCGACGCGATGTTGAAGAAGCAGCCGTTGGACACCGAGTTCTTGTAGTTGTACCCGTTGTTGAAGGTGAAGATCTGCCAGCGCATGCCGCCGCCGCACGTGTCTCTGGCCTCGTTCCAGCGCTCGACGTACTCGTTGTAGACGGCCTGGGCCATCGCCAGCCAGCCCGGCACGCTCGAGTCCGGGTTCGTGAAGTTGTTCTCGGCCGCCGTCATGGCCGCCAGGGCCCAGAACCCCTGGTCGTCGTTGCCCTCGCTCTTGGTCTGGTTGTCGGGCATGAAGTCGCCGTCGGTACCGCTCTGGTGCACGAGAGCCTGCTTCGTGATGGCGTTGTACGACTCATCGCCCGTGAACGCCCAGTAGTCTACCAAAGTGCCAAACATGGCTCCGCATTCCCACCCTAGTCGCCGGTTAGCAGGTAGGCCGTACCGGATGATGACGCGGCGGACGAACAGTAGTACGGATCTGGCAGGTTTCCAGCGACATCGCCGGTGTTGTTTCCTGTTGCCCATGTCAGTAACTGTTCCCGTACTCGAGGCCAACTCGGTTCCATGTTTCCTACTCACCTGTGTAATATTTCACCAATCCGTACGCCACCGTGCTGGCGGCGGATTTTATCGAGTCTATCAATGTCAGCGATGTCTCCCGGGCTGGTGAGGAGTCGAGCTCACCATGATTAGTAAAGTCGACCTCTATGGCGATGACTGAGTGGACCAAACAGCTCAACAAGCCAACTATCGACGTAAAGCTGAGATGCATACTGGGGAGGTTTGGGGCTCGACTGCGTCCGGGTCTGGCTTCGATCCACCGCAGAAGTGAGCTTTTTGACAGATGTCAGATCGCGTGAAGTTGGCAAGAAGGACTTCCGGGACTGGAAGAGCCAGCACAAGGCAGGCAGATCAACACAAGGCCGGCGCATCCTCCTGATGTGGAACCTAGCGGATCCTGAGCTTCGTATATAAAAGTTGGGTCTCAAGATCCACCGGGTCATCGGCGTGGATCTGAAACTGTCCACCCATCCCATGGGTAGATTTGTGTGGCCGACATGGCACGCATTCTGGCACGCTGTGTGCGTAGGCGCAACCAATGATTGCGTCACTTCCGTTGCGACGTGCTCCAGGGGTCGACCAAGCATCAGCCATGCACGGCTCTGAGCCTCTGAGAAGGTGAGGTTCGAGGTTCGAACTGTCTCGAGTCATTCCCGCCGAGAGACCCTTCTCGGTACTAGTCAACGGCTTAGTGATTCCTGCGGTCCACCTCTACCAATTATAAACAAGACCTCCGAGTGGTGCAGGTGGTGAACACAGGGGACGCGTGAACGGGAAACCGGGTCTTCCATGCGATGAAACCAGCTTTTTTTAGTCAGCGGCAGACAGCGGGAAGATGCATTTAACGATTAAATTGCGAGCGACTAGACCGAGCCAAGGAGAGCCAGTGAGGACAAGCTTTACAGCCCGGAATACGGGTCTCGTTTGATGGTGAGGCGCGCTTTTGGTGGGCATGGTCCCAACGATGCGAGGTCGGGCCGAACGGATGCTGGTGACGTCTGTTTACGCGGCCTCTACATAGGAACACAGCTAGACAGCCCCCTACTAATAAAACTGCAAGCCCCCCCCCCTCCCTCATCAAATGCGCACTCCTGACTTCTCGGTCAAGGCTGCGGCTCGTCGCTTAACTGATAGAGGGCGAGTTCCCGCCGGTCCGGGTCGCCGTACGGGATCTTCCAGCTGCCTGTACCGGCCGACCCATGCACTAAACGCCTTACATGGGCCATTCTGGATCAGAAAAGCACGAATGCTGCTTGAAATCACGGGGACATACGCTTGTGCATTAGGCGCATCCTTGGTGATTGATGCTCTTTTGCGTTGACTATGGTAATTCCACATAATGACTAGAAGTCATGCGAGTGGCATTGAAACATCTCGTGTGGTAGCGTCATAAACATACGTTGTCCCGCCTGGTCATTGTTTCAGGTTCTTCTGCAGCGAATACTTCAACTCATCCGCAATGCGCGAGCCCCATTCGTGCCTCCCTCACAACGTTGCGAGGTTCCGACTTCATGCTGAGAAAAGCCTCTCACGCTTCATGAAGAGTGACATACACCGCGTTACGGCTCCCGCGGTCAACGAGATGATGTAACAGCTTGACATCGCCTCGACGATAACGTGAATGACCTCCGCTTGTTGGGCTTCGCTGACCAACACAGCCCCATTATTTGATGCTGCCGCAATTGCGCCCAAAACGACTTCTCGCGAAAGGCCCGGTGCGATGATGAGGATGCCATCGGCAGTTTTGTTCAGGAAAACAGCATTGGATATAGCCAGCGACACGGCTGGTCCAGCCAGCTGCGCGAGGGTACAGAATCCCACAGCGACGGGAATCAAGTCCTTTTCAACTTTGTGCTGCACTACTGTGAAGCCAAGCTGGATGAAGGCCCCGCTACCTGCTCCGACCATGATAGCGTAACCCCAGATGCCGGCATCCGAGGTATACTCGTCCACAGTATAGAGAAGAGCGTTGCCAACGACACATAGTACTCCCCCAAACACATACCATGGCATATAGTATGGCTTCCTGCTCATGGTCGCACCATTAAGTAGGGCGCACGCAACGTTGAAGGCGATGAAAGGCAGCAGATTGACCCCAGCATCTAGGGCGTTGTCCGACCTCACAAACTGATAGTAAAGGGGTATGAAGTAGACCGGAACGAGGATGGTTGAAGATGCGCAAGCTGTAGCCACGAACATCATCACCAAAATTGGGGATTTGAAAAAGACGAGCGGAAAGAGCCGTTTCTCAGGAGTTGTACCAATGCAAAACGACTGCTGGGCAAAGAACGCGATAGTAAACAAGCCGCCAAGGACGAAAAGGGTGATGCTGGCGGCGTTGTCCCATGCCCAGATCGTTCCGCCGAAAGATATGGCAATGAAGCTGGTGGTGAAAAGTCCGCAAATGAGGATGCCTCCGAGAAAGTCGATAGACTTCAGTGCTGTCGAAAGCCTGATCTCGTCACGCGGTTTCGACGAAGGAAGTAAGAATAAATATATAGGGCCGCACAGTCCTCCGATGACAAGATTGATATAAAAGGCCTGAGCGACTGAACAGCTAGGCTACCACACAGGAGAGGACGGAGATATACCCATCGCCAGCTTGCAGCACTTTCAGTGAAGGCACCTCCAAGTATCGGACCCAAGATAGTCCCCAGCCCCCAGGCAAGCCCCGTGAAGCCCAGGTACATGGGTCTCTCCTGTTCACTGGTGTGTGTCGAAAGAAGGACCATGGCTCCCGTATACATGCCAGCGCCCCCTACACCACGTATGGCGCGACCAACAATAAGAGCATCCATAGACGGTGATGCTCCACAGACCGCGGACCCGACCTCGAATATGAGGACGCAGAAGATATAGACAAGCTTCGCATCGGAGTATCCGTAGTATTGCCCCCTACTATGTATGAGTATTATTCACTGGTTTGGGTATAGGTTTCGATAACGTACGAAAGCAAATTTGTATTGGCGGCACCTATGAGAAAAGCCACCGGAAGCCACGATAGCTTTTTAACGGACGAGATCGTCCCGCCGGAAATATTTAATATACGTCAGTACCATTTCTTATTTTTTAGTTTTTATTAATATATATTTATAATATGCGGACTACCGTTTAATTTAAATTATCCTTCCGCTACGGCCTTTATAAGTAAAAAGCCTCTTATCGTTCGTTACGCATTCTAAGCTTTTAAGCTTTGATTATCGATTAAGTCTTTAAATTTCTATTTTATACGGCCGAGTCGACGATTTAACATATTGCGTTAATACGTATTTTATTTACGGTAATTAAAAGCGTAGCGGTATTATTAAACGCTACTTTTTTCCGCTAGCGCTTAATATTATAAAAGTAGCTAATAATATTTTTTAAATAAATATTACATATTTAAAAGTTTTTGAAATCAGATTCAAATAGCTTTAATTTAATATCGTTATTTAAATTTATTAAGTTGTTAAAGCTTATATATTCGTTAAGTAATTTTAATTTTCAGGTGAAATATTATTTAAAACTATTATAATATTAAAAAACCGTTGAGCGGTTTAAAAATAATTTTCGTAACTTAATAGTTATTAAATTACGTCGTTACGTATAATAAAAACTATTTAACTTATATAATTATATATAGTACGTAAAAGGGATTTTTATAAGATTTTTATATAAAGATCCGTTTTTATATAAGGCTTTTCCAACTTATCGAATAAAACCGAAAGTTTCATTAATAACGTTAAAATTAAAAGGAAAAACAAATAAAGTTTAGCTATAAGCTATTAAAAAACCCCATTATTTATTTACTTAAGGTTATAGCAAAGCCTGAATTAATTCCACAACATCGAAATCATCTTAATCTACTGGGTTAAGAACACGAAGTCTCAACGGACGAGAAATCCCGTACCACTAGGGGCTGCACGTCGGCCACGATCGTGTTGTCGAGAGAGACAAGGAAAGCCGAGGAGAGGATAGAGAACACAATCAAGAGCCGCGAGAGTGCTCCAACATTTCGACTGTTCTGTTTCACAGTAGGCCCTTCCATCCTGGGATCGCTGTTCCGTTGTGCCTCAGCCGGTGTCTCGGTCTTCGAAATCCCGGCCAGATGTACATCTTCATCAACGTTCATCGTGCGGGAGTATCTAGCAGCGATCGCAAGGACAGAACACCAACTTGGCTCGTGTGGGCAATATAGTACAATCCTTGATGTAGCTGGATTGCCGTTGTTCAGGGTTAAGGTGATCTGGTGGACTGAGTATGAATCAAGAAGGAGTTGGGACACGACACAAGAACAACAACAATGCTCAATGTACTACGTGATCACCTCCTGGACAACTGCAGCCGGTTCGGATGACGTCACATGTGAAAAAAGGCTCGGAAAGCTGCCCCCACGATGCACAAATGCATGCTGGACCACTTCGCTTGAATTGGGGTGGCATCGGGCGCAGTAACTGCAAATTGCATTTGACCGGTCACATAGGTGGCCGATACTGTACCTAGTAGCACTTGATCCTGCTACTCCAACAGTCCCATGCAGCCTATCATGTTCCACGGTCCGCAAGAGGCGCCTATGTACTTTTGGTAGCCTGCCTGATGTTACATTGCCCTTTTGTCACCCTTGGCCCATCTCTCCTTCTCCGCCTCACTTTCCATGTCTGCCGCGCGAGTTTCGGGGGTTTCGCCTCATCTCGCTTTGTTCCGTTGTCAGTTTCATCATAATGCAAGCTTTCATTGAACGCTGATGCGTTGCTCTCATCAACCTCTCTCGTTATCATCTTGTAGAGTTGAACCTAAGATAATAATTGGACCAAGCCATTTTGTCTAGGCCCATCTGCTTAGGTAGCCAGTCTCATTCTCACTTCTTTATTCTGGCGACTCCTCGCATCGCAGAATTAGCCGACAAGATCGCAGCCAACACCTCAAAGCTCAACGATTACCTGGTGGCCAACGGCCTGCCTACGCCGTCATTTGACGTTGATGGACCTTCGGACACTTTGGTCCCGAAGAACGAATTCGACATCAAAGCAGCCCGTGTTGCGATCATCGACAATACCCAGGAGCTGCGACGCCTTGTCCTTGGGCCTCGAGAGTACCTCATGAGCTACACGCACGATGAGCTGATTAGTCAACAAGCAATCACTCGCTTCGGCCTCGCTCATGCGTTCACTGTCGGGAGCGAGGCTTCCTTCTCGGACATCGCTGCGGCAACTGGGCTCAATGAGACCAATGTGCAACAATTCATTCGCCACGCCATCATGAAGGACATCTTGGTCGAGCCACGTCCTGGCGTTGTCGCTCACAATGCAGTATCGCGCTTGCCCATCGAAGATCAAGTCATACACGACTGGGTTGGCGCGAGTACAGATGATCTGGTAGGTAACATCTGGAATCGTTCTACCGCGTAACGTTATAACATGCACGAGGAGTCCTTCTTATGATGAGAAAATGCTAACCCAATGTATAATAGTGGCAAGCTGCTTCTCAGACATGCAACGCCCTGGAGAAATTTCCAGGCTCGCAGGAAAGCAATGAAACGGTACGTCTAGGACGCAATGAGCCGCACTGAGGGACCCTCGTCACTGACGCTAACCCATCGTGTAGGGCTTTGCACTCGCAAACCAGACCGATAAGAATGTATTCGAAGTCTTTTCCCAGTTTCCAAGCCGCGCACGCAGATTTGGGAATGCCATGCGCTCCTTCACCGAGGGCACCGGTTTCGAGCTGAGCCATGTTGTGGAGAATTTTCCCTGGGGAGAGCTCAAGGACGGAATGGTCGTGGACGTAAGTATCCCCTTGACTCATCCCGTCCCTCTACCTGATCGTTTGGGCGCTTCCTCTTCCTGTACTTTCGCATGTGAAAAAATTCCTGACGTTACGATTAGGTTGGTGGCTCGCAGGGGTTTGCTTGCGTGGCCATTGCCCACAAGTTTCCCTCCCTGTCGTTTGTGGTCCAAGATCTGGAGGCCGTCATTGAGGGTGCCGAGAAACAAGTCCCACCCGAACTGGCTCCTCGCATCAAATACATGGTACACGATTTTCTCACTGAGCAACCCATCAAAGGGGCTGACGTCTACTTCTTTCGATGGATCTTGCACAATTGGTCAGACAAATACTGTATCAAGATCTTGCAGAGCCTCGTTCCTGCGCTCAAACCAGGGGCCAAGATCGTACTGAACGATAATATCCCGCCTGAGCCAGGGGTCTTGTCTAAGTGGCAGGAAGATCGCCTTCGGTACGTCACACGCCGTACACTGCGTCTCCCCCCATTTACCAGTCTCACGCCTGCTAACATAAGCGGCTACTTAGTACAATGGATCTCACGATGACCGAGATTCAAAACTGAGACGAGTGAGAGTTAGACGCTTGGGCGAATCTTTTCAAGCTCGCTGACCCTCGCTTTGAGTTTCAGGGGGGTAAACAGCCTGCCGGCTCGAACCTGTGGCTATTGGTAGCCGAATGGAAGCCAACTTGATGGATAACTAGAGCCAGCAACTTGCGCGCTCGGTGCACCGGTGCACCGGGGTCTGTGGTACGGATTGTCCAGGTAACAAGCAGGGCATACTGTCCCATTACCGTCCAGTGACTTGGCTTGGATGAAGAAATACTCTCGCTCATACATGTTTGTTTGTTTGTTTGTTTGTTTGTTTTGTATTTAACGTGGGGGATTGCTCCTCAGTAGTGCAAACCACGCCTCCCAGAGCCTCTGCATCGCAGGGTTGTGGAGGTATCAAGATAATAAGTACAGTCTGTCCCGCTCACGAGCCCATTCCCGTTGTTGCGGCGGTATGACCTTGGGTCATCCATCTGGTCCTTCAAGAACAGCTATCTATCGAGGGCAGATTGATGAAAAGAATTTGCTCTTCTCCACGAATTTTGCCTATTCTGTGCTCCTCTCCCTTAAGTATTGTAAACAAGCTGTCCTAGGCAAGTACCTGGGCAATAGCAGATTTTTCCCCAGTCTCTTACAAAAGAAAATATATTGTGGTGTTTTCTTCTTACCACAGCTGCGGTAATCATTCAAGTCTGTATGCCCAAAGTGTTCGTGGTATCTGGCAAAGTCGCCATGTCCAGATCTGGCTGCTAGAAAGTCTGTGTAAAGTACTCCTCTTAAAAGATATAAGATCTCTTTTAGTTACTGTATGTGAGTATACTTCTTGATATCTAGGTTCTGATTGGTCTTTTTACCATTGATTGAACTCTTTCTTGCCTTTTTTTTGAGATCTCTCTTAACCCACAAGATTATGGGAAGGTTTGTTATGTCTGATTCTAGCATGGCACCCTCTTTTGTTAGTGTGTCGGCAGCTTCGTTGCTATTAATATCTCTGTGTCCATGAATCCACTTGACGGTCACTTCAGGAATGTGTGCCGTGGCAAGTTCTTGGAATCATAGAAAAATGTTCTGTGATGTCTCGGGTGGAGTCCCATTGAGCCCATCTACCACTGACATGTTGTCCAGACAGACATATAGCTGTTTTCCGTGTCCAATTGCCCTGGCTGCTGCAAGCCCTTGGAGAGCGTCATGGACTTTAATATCTATTACTTCTGTTCGGAAAAGTCTGCCCTTTTCCTGGTATACTTCTTGTGTAGTGTTGCCTTTCATAATGGTGTAGCCCTATCCAGTACGGGTTGTGCTTTTGTCGTTTAATTATGAACCATCTGAGTAGATAATAAGGTCAGTGTTTATATTTCTCTCTTATAATTACTCCTTAAAGAGCTTTGTCTTTTTGTCTTTGTCCTCTCAGATTGGGAGCTTTTTTTATAATGGCTTGGTGAGTATTGGTCTCTGGAAGTCAGGGACTAGCTGGAAGTTCCTTTGTAGCCTTGTTGGTTTCTTGCAAGCTTGTACTTGGAGCCTGCTAATAAGAGGGTGTCTTTGGTCTAAACGTCCAAGTCATAGGCTGTGATGCTGTCTTATTGCCTCTGCAAGAACTCCTGCTGGAAGAATCTGTGATTTAAAGTATAGGATATGTCCAGGGTGTGTTTTTTAGACCGGCAGGATAGCCCTGATTGCTGTTCGTAGTATAGTATCTATCATTTCAAGAAGCCCCTTAATGCGACATGCTGATGTCTCACCTGAGCTCCTGATTTTTTTGATTCTTGGGTACCAGGCCTCTAAGCCATGTGTAAGAATAGGAATAATACAAGCTTTCACAGTCCTCCTGGTTGACTTTATTAGAAGTCTTTTGATTGTGTTGCATAGTCCTTAAAGGTGATTTGTTACCTTATTAGCTTTCTTAGCCCAGTGAGAAACATGATCTTTAAAGTTTAGTTTTCTATCCAGAAACACACCTAGCCATCATATAGAAACCTTAGCTATTTTGTTTATTGTCCCGTGGCAGACTGGAGGGTTGTCTGAGTTCTTTTTCCTTAAGAAGCGCATGATCTCAATTTTGTTAGTGTCAAATTCAATAGCGTTGTTATGTCCCCATTAATTGAACAAATAAAGATTTTTAGAAGTCTCTGTAGCTGTTTCTTTAAGGTTCTTTTTAATGCAGAGAGTCGCTAGGTCATCTGTATATCCAAAGCGTCTTTTTTTTATATCAAGTCGGGCACAGATTGGCTCTGTATATAGCATGTAAAGGATTGGAGAGGCTGGTGAGCCTTGTGGTAGCCCATAAGTGAGAGCTTTTATATCGGTCACGATACCTTCAAACCAAACCCTTGCGGACCGCTTGGACATGAATGACTGGACCCATCTTATGAGAAAGCCTGGCCAGCCCTGTTCTCTCATGCGAACCACCAGCTGTCCCATTAGGGCAGCATCAAAGGCCCCTTTCACATCTGATGTGACTACCGTTGCAACGAGGCCTTGGTCGAGGGCTTGCTCAATATCGTGTATGAGTACAGCTACCAGGTCAGTGACAGAGCACTTTGGTAGAGCTCCAAAATGTTGTGGAGCTAGAATTCTAAGTTTGATAATAAACCAGGTAATTCTTTTTGTGATGAGTCGTTCTAGGCCTTTGTCAAGACATGACAGTAGCGATATTGGTTTGTAGGCCCTGGGATTGGAATAGTCTTTCTTTCCTGGTTTTGGGATCATCACCACCTCAGCTACTTTGAATGGTTTAGGGTGGTGTCCAATCTGTAGACATGTCTGGAAGAGGGCTCTGATATGTTCCCCAATGACTGGCCAGTAAGCTTTCAGAATCCGTACTGTGAGGGTGTCTACTCCCGGGGAGTTGCTCTTGGTCCCTATAGTGCACCCTTCAGCCTCTTCCAGTCTGACATAGTATTCAAGGGGGATGTGTGGCTTAGGTTGTGTGATCTGAGCGGACCAGGGGTCAATGATATCGTTGTCTAAGGTACTTCGTTCAAGCGTGGCTGAGCGTAATGCATTTGCTTTGCTCTTTTGTGACTCAAATATTTGGTCTCTTATGATGATTGGAAGAGAATGCAATCCTGCTGACAGCTTGTGCCAAGAAACGATTCTGTACAGGTCCTTTGGCTCAGTCGCTGAATCAATTAGAGTCTGCCAGTACTCTCTCCTAACTTTCCGAACCATGCGGCAAAATTCCTGTCGGGCTGAATTCCGCCCTTCTTGGCTTATAGTCTATTTAGAAAGGGCCCTGTATGTCTGAATAGCTGCTTTGCAGTCATCATTCCACCAAGCAATGGGCCTAGATTGTCGGGGCTTTTTGCCTACTGTCCTGATACAGTCTTGGATCATGTTGATCAAGCTCTTTGTAAAGGCATCCACCTGGCCAGGGGATATACCCAGCCGGGGGAGCTCATGAATCCTGGTTTGGACATTATCTGCCAGCTCTTGTAGTTTATTGTCCAGTATTATCCAATGATTGGCCTTGGGGATTCGGTCCAGATCTCCCTGAATTGGAATGACTATTCGTAATGTCTCATGATCTGAGGTGCACTGAAGTGCATCATTGACTGAGGCTTCAGCCATGGGCACATCTGAGAACACCAGATCTAGTACATTTCTGTCATCATGTGTTGGGACATCTGGTTCAGAAATCAGATCCAGTCCGTGGTCTGCCATAGTCTGTGCAAGTATGACACCACCATGATATCTTGGATTGTTCGAGTCCCAGGATGAGTCGCCAGCATTAAAATCTCCAGTTATAACACAGCCAAAAGGTGGAGTCCATACTTCCAGAATATCATCCACTTCCTGTGGGTTGTCACATGGCCGGTAGACACTGGCAAATATAATGCCTTGTACCTTAACCTAGGTAATGTCTCGTATAGCATAGGGCCGAAATTGATCCGCTTAAAGGTGTTTTCTTACATAAATAAGAGATCTGGGTCGTGTACTGTCGCTGTCCCAGGAATCCACTGGGGAGTATATATCGTAATTAGGATGTGTCTTTACTCCCATTCTCCTGTCTGGTGATATGCCAACCCAGGGCTCTTGCATCATTGTTTGTTTTGTTTGTTTTGTATTTAACGTGGGGGGTAGCTCCTCAGTAGTGCAAACCACGCCTCCCAGAGCCATTGCATCGCAAGGTTGTAGAGGGGTCAAATTAGATACATTCAGATCCGCGCACGAGCCTATCCTCGCTGTAGCGGTACCAATCTGGAGTGTTCAGATGGTTTTAGTCAATACCCAAGCACGATTCCGTCAGAAAAACCTCTTATCTAGTGACAAAGCGACCCAGTAAACCTCAGTTCTCTGGTGTACATATCGTTCCAGTAACCGTTCGATATATGTCGCATTGGTGGGTGGAGTAGGTGTTTATTATCTGCTGGCGAGGGAAACCACAAGGGGGAAAACCTCGCAGGAGTGGCTATTGTGGAGACAAGCTGCTTGGCTATCGGGCTCTGCAATAAAATGGGGCCTCTCCACTGTTGTGTGCTGGTTATCGACTTGCACAAGCCGGGTCAGAAAGGGGGCCATAGCAGGATTCGAACCCACTTGTTCTCGTCGCCCACCGCACAAACGAGAACACAACCAGGCGCATTTGACCATTGTGCCATACGGCCCCTGACACTCTAAAAAAAAGAGGCTTTACTCCCTATATCACATCTAATGGCTTGGTCTGCAGAGATTTCGTTCAATTGAGGTTGTTTCATTCCAGTGGTGCTGCCGTCATTGATATTTCAGGATTTTCCTTTCAGAAGGGGAAACAATGGTGAAATCAGCCTCAGAGACCTGTGACGGGCTGCTGCTGATGTCGTCAAGCAGCGCTTGGCGGAGCCTGCTCAAAGTTGCCGGGCCGTATGTCTTTCTAGGGGCCGGGGATTTGAGCACGCCGCCAGTGGTCGTCTTTGGGACGGCTATGGGCGTGTTTGGTGGCCCGTCATGAAAGGGTGCCATCCAGCTTGTAAGAAAATTTCTCTTATGTCTAAGTAAAGATAGTCAGTTACTAAAAGAAGTGCCTGCTTTAGCGCAAGAATCGATGTTGCGCCCTAACAGCGGGGCGCCAAGAAAAATAGTTGTTTTTGGCAAGTGTGTGTGTCTTGCTCATACATAATGAGTATCACTTCCACAGTATCGCCTCGCTCTCTTGTGTCGGAAGTAATGAAATGACTTTCAGTTAGAGCCTATGAATGCAAGAAGCCACAACTCATATTCAATCAATGAAGAGGTATTCACCAATGAGTGTCATTTGAGTTGCCCCTTGCCAGGACTCTCATCGCCAAGGGTTTTTCTTGGCCCCAACAGATACGAGAGAACTGTATACAGCATACAGAATCGAGAGATTTGAGGATGCAATGGCTTGTCTGACCAGCCACGAGACACCAGCAGCATTTTGGTAACCCTCCTGCCCTCGTCCGATCAATATGCATAACTCACATATTGCACATGTTGGGTCGGAATGCGGCCACATCTGCACCAACGTGACACTGTGAACCAAACTCTACTGCATGACGGCCGGGTTTCCGAGTAGCCGATGCACTGCGCCACAATTCTGACAAGCTTGTGCATGCATTTTTCTAGAGTAGCATTGGTTCGATATAACTGCCGCTTTTCCCCAGGAAAACCTCTCGCGGGACGGCCTATCAGCGGTCGCAACCTGGGGGCCAGCAACAGCCAAGTAGCCGAACGGACCAACATCCACGTTCGGCCGGGCCGTGTCGGCGTCAATGCACCCGCGCTCATTACTACCCTCTACCAACAACATTTGTCTCCAAGCCGTCCCGCGACCTTCTGCATGCCACGGACGGATGCCTGTGATTCATCACCTGCTTCGACTGCAAACCTGATTGGTCAGATTCAAGTTGTTCCAGGCGGGCTACTCTGGTACGAATCGTTTGCAGAATGATAATGTCACGTCAAAAAGCATGTGAGCGGATGAGTGTATGTGATTGAGGCTCCGGGCATGTACGGATGCTACCGAGGCCTGTGAGCCTTACCAACACGCATATTTTTACTTCTCCGATGTTGTACCAAGTCCTGGTCGGTGTGAGACACACAGCTCGCGTTCGGACGCCCGGGTGGCCATCAGTACAACGTCGGCCTTCATCCCCTGAACTGAAGCGCGTAAATGAGAGAGCCTAGCGCGTGCTGCGGAAGATTGGGGGTAGACCCGAGGTCGACCAACCTAGGTATATTAGATTTTGATTTGTACGAAGAAGGGGTGGTTCTAGCACCGGCTCCACGATACAACTGTTGGGGCGACAGTGTGGTATTGATGTATGATCAATGTTTCTCTTGGTGCAACCTAGCCCGCACCGGAACACCCATCAGAGGGCATCACGGAAGGCCGGCTTGGTGATCACATTGAAACGCTTCTGATGACCACACTGCACCAACAGCACAATGCCGAGTGATGTGCCGTGACGGCGCAATCGGGGGGGGGGGGGGGGGGGGGGGGGGGGTTGTATCCCCATCGAAGAGTGTCAACGTGCTGCAGACGATCATCTCCGTGCAGTACATGGGGGAATCCCAGAAGCATGCCGCCTACTGACCAACAGGTTGGCCGCATCGTCTCCCAAGCAGAGTCACAGTGTTGGGAGTAACGAAACGGTATCCATGCAACTAGGACACGCAAGTCGACATTGACGTAGGTTCTTTGGGACGCTTCCTGACTCTTGATTGATTGTATTTATCGTGGGTGCAGTCCCTCAACAGGGCAAACCACGCCTCCCAGAGCCATTGCATCGCAAGGTTGTAGAGGTGTCAGTCTAGATATATTCAGATCCGTGCACGAGCCTATCCTCGCTGTAGCGGTACCAATCTGGAGTGTCCAGATGGTTTTAGTCAATACCTAAGCACGATTCTGTCAGAAAAACCTCCTATCCAGTGACAAAGTGACCCAGTGGACCTCAGTCCTCTGATGTACACATCGTTCCAGTAACCGTTCGATATATGTCATATTGGTGGGTGAAATAGGTGTTTGTTATCTACTAGCAAGAGAAACCATAAGGAGAAAAACCTCGCAAGAGTGGGTATTATGGAGACAAGCTGCTTGGCTATCGGGCTCTGCGATAATGGGGCCTCTCTACTGTCATGTGCTGGTTATCGACTCGCACAAGCCGGGTCAGAAGGAGGCCATAGCAGGATTCAAACCCACTTGTTCTCGTCGCCCACCGCACAAACGAGAACACAACCAGGCGCATTTGACCATTGCGCCATACGGCCGCTTCCTGACTCTTCATCGGTCTTCCCAACACCCTCGATCGGGGGCTTGGGTACTTCTGGCGATCCAACGGGTGCAACTACGTTTGGCTTCGCCTGGACTTGCCAGTATGGCTCCAACATGGGATCGGAAAACTTGTATGGAATGATGTGATCACGTCTGGAGCATGGCTCCATGAAATCTCCTCGTTGGGATACTTGTCGCCTGTCTCGTTGGTATATGGAGCTATGTGGCTCCAGGCTCTTGCAAGGCTCGCTCATCCTTCTCAAGCTACATGCAGGGACCACTTCATGGTAATACGGCACGGTCTTACGTTGTACGCAATCACTCCAGGCCGAACTAATAGTAAATATGGCACATGTATGCGATCTGACAGGCGTATGGATTGGTAATCTTCGAGATGACATACTTCTTCAACGAGATTCGATGGCGTCCTAACTCTCGTTCCAGATTCTTCGGGGCAATGCCTTGCGCCCCTGCCATCGGATGCATCCCTGAATGGGTATGAATGGGTAATAAACACTCACCCGATAGACTAGCGCGGTCAAGACGTGCCTGGGTCGTGGCTCCTGGCACACTTACTGTGAGAAGCAACCAAATCTATGTGGTTGGCATCATTGAAGATACTCATTAAGTGAGAGCCATGACGGTAGTGGGAAATCGGCACCATAATAATATCATGTGATGTCAAAGGGAATTATATAGTACCAACGCTATTTGAATGACAGTAAACTAATGGCTGCTCGCGGTCCTCTGTGAACACCACAAGACTTCCGGGGAGAATAAACAAGCATTAAATGTTGGATTCTGGGCTACGTTAGCCCATCCATAGTCATCCTTCAGGATCACCATCCCCATCTGTGACTCTGTCACATACGTGGCCACATAAGGCCACGTATCCTTTTCCTTTAGTATCTTGGATATATAGGGCCACTCTGGCCGCTCCAGAGTAGCTGGAATTCCTCTCCTTAATAGAACACTTTGAAATCTCACATTAAACCGAACGCTCGCCAGTTGCCAGCCGCAAAATTAGAGGCATCTGAAAGAAATATCTGAGTCCACCTAAACGCAATTGAAGAGCCATTTACGATGACAGACAGTTCTGGCAAAACCCTAAGCTGACGAGAAGTTCTGAGGGCTATGCTGATGAGGCTTTGCCAATCGACAGCTCCGAAGGCTGACCAATTCCTCTAGAATCCGGGGCGATGGTAACTTCGCATCGTGGCACTGCTCATGAGTGTGCAAAGCCTCGATACGACCAGGAGGAACCAACTATTGAATGCTCATCGAGCATTAGCAGCCCAGGAACGCGACCGGACTTACGGAATAAGCGCAGGGCGTCGAGTGAATGAAACAAGTAAAAGTATACATTCTGAAACATTGGAGATTTCGTGAGCATTATGATCGTGGGATGAAGGGCCATGAGGCTAACCCGGCCGTAAACGGGGACAACTTTACTCAGCAACAACATCGTGGCATCAACATCATCGAGCGCATCGTCTAAAGCATCGACACATTCATCTCAAACAGAAAGTTCCACTCGCCAGTACATTCTTGATTCTCCTCCTCAATACCGACTTCTTAACTGCTTGGGCCTTCCTCCGAAGACTGAACCACACTCCCTCGTCAGGAAGTACGCAACTACCGCCCTCTCCCTCGTCCCTCCCACCACCAAGGTCGCAGCCCAAGATCCCTCTACCGGCGCCGGCTTCGTTGTCGCCAGCATCATAGGATCAAGACCTGACGATCAACTTCAACACGCAAGACGTGCAGACGGCCACGGTCCGCAACGGCGGCATCGAGCCCTCGACCGTGAAAGGTATCCCCAGCCCAGCCGACCTCGCCGGCCTCACCTGTGGGTTCATGTTCCGCACCGCCAACGTCGGCAACGGCAACAACGTCCTCGGCTAACAGGCCATGGACATCTTCAAGGACGGGTTGACGCACCTCGTCTCCCTGGAGCAGGGCAATCTGCGCAATACCCAACTTTCGCGCATTCGTTTCGATGCCGGCGGTGGGTTCTGAGAGTTCGGAAAAGCTGGCTTCGTGGCCACCATCACGGTGTTCCCCTGTCTCGTCGGCAAGGTCCTGCACTGGGAGTCGGTGGCGGCGGGCGTTTTTGATATCAGCGTCGTCAAGTAGGCCTTCGCCTTCGATGGTGAGAACGTCCCCAACGGCCTCGGTGTTGCTTGGTGGTAAAGGAGTTGTATTCTGGACTTCTTGAACTCTTGAAGTCCCCTCCTCTCGGTCGGCTAAGTATCAGGCGCTGTTAGATGGATATAATTCGCATTTTTGTGAGTTTGGCTTTTGGTAGGTCTGTCTTCCTCGGAAACCGTTTATGGCGATAAGAAAGGGGGCTTTTTCACTTACGGAGTGCAATGCCTCTGGCTAACAACGGAGGAGCCCATGATGACCTGGGATTTTTATTCCTTCCACACCCGACAAATGTTGAGAACGGGTAACCCAGGTCTATAAATTATTGCCTACAAGTTTGACACTACTGTTGTACATCAGCTGTAGGTCGATAATCTCAGATGGTCGCAGCTGTAGCGTGTGCTTGTGCCTTCTGCCAGGGGCCCAGAATACCATGTTACGATGACTAGTATTCTGGATGTTCTGCTTGCTGTCTAGAAGGATGGGAGCTTGTCCCATCCGAAAGGTCTCTTTAGTCTAGATACAGTGCAAACGGTACCTTGTCCCTTGGGCAACAATCCCGCCCAACCGATAAGACACCTGACAGCTGGATCAGCTGGATCCACATGCTTCCCCAATGTTGACATACTTCGGGGTTATCGAGCTAAGCGAATATGGATATATCCGTAATCTGTAAGCTACCCGACGCCGGCCGGAGCCGGAACTCACCCCACCCTGCGTCATTGAACCATCACCATGATGTATCACTCTGCCAACGTCCTCTCTGTTAGGCAATTCCATCTCGAAAAAGGACTGGGAATACGAACATCGCCTATCTCACCGCCGTGATGACATCGCTTCTCCGACTCCCCGATGAGCTGCTTGAGGGCATTGTCCAGCACCTCGGGCCTCGCGACACTGTCGCCTTCGGCATCACCTGCAAACGGATCCACAGGGTCGCAACCGCGTCTCTGGTCTGGAGACGGCATTGCATAGAAACGTGGCGGTATTGGCAACGGCGACATAAACTGGCTGAGAAGACAAAGCTTCCACCGGCGCAGACAGATTGGCGGCAGCTATTCAAGGAGCGTGCGATAATTGACCGTGATGCCCTGGCACTCTTTGACAAGATGCTCACAGAACAGCAAAGCCGAAGTCACCGCATGGAAGAGATCGCGTCACAGGGCTATGATGTGAAGGACTTGCTGCTTCGTCTGCAGAACGAGACACTTGATTCAGCTGAAGACGTACTGGCCAGAAGATACCATGCCGCTGCGATTCTAGGCCAGATTCATCGCTTGATAGCCTTGGATAAGTGGACTATGCTGCAGCAGGGGCACCCGGTGAAGCTGGAAGAGGCCTTGGGCGCATACGACCTCTTCGTCACCTCTGGACAGAAGGGCGATCTGGATGACATCGCACGGGAATTGGACGTCATCGCACAGCGCGTCAGAGACACCGATCCTGAGTTCGAGAACCTCAGCATTCGCCAAAGAGCAGTCAAGGTCGCAGAGCTCTTGAGGTCGGAGGAGTTGGTCGGCAACCCTAGAGTGGACGATTACCATGCCCTGCGAAACAACTTCATCAGCATCGCATTGTTCGACGAGGTACACACGTCTCTACCGCTCCAATCGGTCAGCATATACTGCGCTGTAGCCCAAAGACTTGATGTCAATGCCAAGCCATCCAATTTCCCGCAACACGTCCATGCGGTTATCGAGGCTCTCCCAGATCAGACCCTCGACGGTGTGTCTGCGACGCCTACATCAGAAGCTCCGCCCGAAGTTATGTATATGGATCCATGGAACTCGAGTGACGAGGTCCCCGAAGACCAGCTGAGCGCCCGTCTGTCTCAGATGGGCGTCCCACTGGGCCTCCAGGGGCACCTGCTCGGAGCTGCCAGTACGATGGAAATGGTGACACGCACCGGTCGCAATATCATGAACTCGGTCGAGCAAGCGAGACATCGGCCGCGCCTCGCGAATCGGCCCGCCTACCCGGATAACGATTCGGCATGGTACAGCATTCTCTGGTCGATGCTCGTGCTGGGCGACAGTGAGCCCGCCGCCGCAGTACACCATCGACGCCAAGTCCTTCCATACCTGGTCGAGCACTTCCAAACCCACTTTCCGAACGACATCGCCCTCATTGAACGGATCCCACCCATGTTCACTCAGGGGCGCGAACACCAGCTCATGACAGAGCTTGTAGCGAGCGCGCGCCATGTCGACTACGGCGTGAAGACTGTGTGTCCTCGGAATCATGACACTCAGGTGCAGCACAAGGTCGGACATTACTTCAAGCACAGGCGCTACGGGTACGAGGGCTTTGTCGTCGGGTGGGATACCCACTGTGCCGCCGAGCCAGCTTGGATCGAGCAGATGCGCGTGGATGACCTGCCTAGGGGTCGAGATCAGCCTTTTTACAATATAGTGTAAGTCTCGCGCCCCAAGATTGGCCTTCACGCAATGCTAAGTCGTAGTAGTGCCGACGATAAGAGTGTCCGTTATGTCGCGGAGGAGAACATCCAGGTCATACATGAAATGCCGTCGCTGGCGTTAATGCAGCTCGCGGGACGGTACTTCAAGCGCTGGGACGAGGAGAAGATGATGTTTGAGAGCAATATTCGGGATCAATATCCCGATGATTGAGTTATTGCGGTAGTGTTTGATAGGGGGGTGGTCGAAAGGTCGGGCTCGTGTGCAGCATCCAAGCCGTGTAACCTATTCGTGTCAATGGTCACGTCACTAATCCGGGTTGCGTCTTGAGCAAAACAGCAATGGGTATGGAGAATTCAGTAGGTTTCCGAATAATCAGAATTCAGCGCGTAGTTATCTAGGCTACCCCAGATCATATGGAGACCGAGTGACATTCGGCTTCTTGTACCCACGATACGGAGTCTTCTTCGGTGTTAGAGTGGTTAGAGGAAGCTTCCTCTTGGTCAACCTCTTTTATTTCACCGATAACGGAGATCATCACAGTGCCTCGTCCTGGACCTAAACCTCAGTTTTGGTGTCAGAGTCAGAGTCGGAGTCGGAGTCAGAAGAGTCCACCGTAATGATCGTTCGACTGCCAGCGCCATTATCGCACTGACTGAGGCCAACGCAATTCTGAACCATGAGGCCACAGCCCGAACACGCAATCGGCAGTTCCGGGACTGCAATACTCTTGAGTACCTCGACGGCGAACTTCGCAATGCGCGTGGCGTGTGCTGCGAAACTGATATCCTGCACGATCCACTGCGCGTCCACTACGAGCTGCACATACATCCGCCACAGCTGATCGTTGTTGGGCAGAGCTTGTGCTTTCTGGACAGCGTCAAAGAAATCATCAGCCTTTGCGTCGTCCATGAAATTGTCTTCATCGTACAAGCCCTTCGTTGCTTGTCTGTACCGGTCCTCGATGTGGACCTTGAGCTGGTCTATCTCCGAACTCAGAGCTCAGAGACATTCTTGCTTGACCTCCTGGAGCATGAAGAATTCGGCTGACATGTAGAGGCCCTTGAGCTTCATGAACAACCCTGCCTCGTCGGAAGGCTCGATGGTACGTCCTATTAGAATAACACATGCATTAGGAATGATATCTCTAAAATGTCGCTGCCAGCTCCAGGCGCGTTGGAAAGGGGTAAGCAGGGTGGGAGTTCGAGGTCTTGACTCACGTCCAGTGTAGAGGTAGCGAATGATCTGGTCTACATCCTCCGGCTCTTGCTCCTTGATCTCAATGATGCCGGTACGGGCCTCCTGCGCGTGCTTTGTTAGTCACCTGAGCAAAGAAACATAACAGCTGCAATATCCGGGTTCCTTACAGAGTAACCACCCGTCAGAGCCTTCTTGAAATACTCGGACCGCCGGTAGAGGATGATCTTGTGGAGCTTCCATTCCCTGTCCTTGCACTTGACGACGACGTCGCTGAAGAAGCCGGACTCGAGGAGGTCGAGGTCGCCCTGGTCTCGGGGAACGGAGGGCGGCATAGTGTCGAGAATCCTTGATGCATATGGTACTGTTTGTCGGCGTGTTGAAGAATGGGAAGAAAAGTGTGTGCGTGGTTGATTGGGAGAAGCTTGCTGACCGAGGGTGCAGATGGAGAAGGAAGGTTGACGGTGGGAGCCGAGAGATCGTGGATGTGCCGAGTTTTCAGTGGGGTTCGGTGGCGATGGTATCAGTATCGCGAGGAATAGGGAAGGAGCGAAACGAGTGTACCTTACCTAGGAGGGAGTTGGTCGTTGGTCGTTGGGAAGATGGTGAAGTGGAAGTGAAGGCATTTATGTGTGTGTTGTGGCATTGGAGTGATCCTGTCTACCCTCTTGCCCCATTTGCATGTCGAGTACCATCCGACCCCCCGAACCGGCACACCCCCACTACCGGCACAGCCAAACCCCGCCACCACCACCAAAAGACCCCCCTACTCACTTACACGCATTTGAGGCTGTATAGGGTCAAAAAAATCAGCAAAATTATCATTCTGTGGTGTTTTGGCTGCTCAATCGACGTATCTAGCCGGCGCCCGGATTGACCGCCCAGATCTACTCATCTGGGCTTCTGCAACAGGGGCTTCTACAGCCTCTTCAGCGTCCGCAAGCTCCTCGTCCTCCTCACCCTTGTCTTCAATAACCTCCAACTCTGAAGAAGAAGAAGAAGACTCTATATCAACCGTAACTAACAGATCACCACCCTGGGCTAGTATTTCTACCATTGTCATGAACTTTTTGTTGGGATTTGGTATCTTTTTCCTCTTCTTGGGTTGTAGCCGTTCCAGTTCAGCCTCCAGGGCCCTGATCTTCTGGTCTTTTATGGCCAGCTCCGTCTCCTGATTCTCAAAGGCATGGGAGATCTTCCGGAACTTCAGCCGAGTGGCTGGGGAACGGTTCCTCCTGAAATCCCGGATTTGCCGGCTCGTGGTAGGGGTCTGTTGGTCCTCTAGCTCCGAGTCTTCCTGTTCTTCCGGCTCGGGGGTTTTCCGCTTGTCTTCTTGGATTTCTGGATAGTCTAGATACTTTTTGCGGCTAATTGGGTAGCATCCCGTCACTCAGAAGCCCAAGCGGATGTTTTTTTGGCGTAAATGTTATGTCCCTTGCCTTGCTATAACAGCGGATAAAGTTGATCTTGTCAACAGGGGAAGAATCAGTCAGAGAATTTAACTGGGTAAGGAATCTCTGGTAGTAGGACTTAAGGGCGTTATAGGGGCCGTTATCCAGTGGTTGCATTCCGTGGCTGGTGTGTGCTGGGAAAAAGCACAGCAAGATGTTGGCAAAATAACACCGCATCATAAATTCGTCCTTTTTTACAGTCAGTTGCTGTTTAAATCGGAATAAATCAAACAATCAGTAAATAAATAGAAAAAATTGGTGTACGTATGGAGGTATGGCTACCATGGCCATCTAGGATCAAAAGGACTGGTTCCCACTGCTCCTGGCCGCGAATTTCATCCACTTGTGGTATGAAAACGTGCTCAAGCCACTGGCAGGCGATATCGTTACTGGTCCAGCCGTTTTCCAACGTTATATAGTACCAGTCGGCTATCTTCCTCAATTCCTTGAGGAACCATTGCGCTTGGAGATCTTTTCCCTTGAAAATCAAGCCTGGTTTGAGTACTCTACCGGTAGCTGAAATGGTCTCGATGAAAGATGTCCACGAGCGGCCCTGGGGGCTCTTTAGGAAAGCTTTCCTCGTCTTAGAACTTCCCAGAACTAGGGAATCAATGCCTATAAGGATAGTTAGTTAACTGTGAGGATAGGGGGCTCAAAAGAGTTACCAAAACCCGACATGATGCCGCCCTTATCGACATTATATGTATTTTCTGGCTTCACCCAGCCGTAGTCCTCTAAGATGTTGAAGAACCAGTTCACAGACTTAGGGGTAAACCCCTTAAACCGAGAAGATTCCATTCGCTTGCCGATTTTAGTCTGAATGGTAGGGTTGCATTGTTTAAAGCTGTCCATATAGTGGTTCCCAAGTGGTGCGAAATCCCCCTTTCTTTTTAGGAGTTCTACCATAATTTCCCTGACAGCTGAATGAGAGGGGGCAAGCCCCAAAGTCTCCTGGCGCAATATCCAGGCTGCTACCTTGCTTTCTTGCTCAGGAGAAATTCTCTGCTTGGTGGTGTGAGCTTCTGTTTTAGTCCCTCTCCCCCTTATGCGTGCTGACAGCGTGCTGGCCGGGACGCCGTATTTTTGGCTGGATTTTCTCACGGACATGCCATTATCTGTGACGTCTAGGTAGGCATCCACCACATCATCCTCTGTATACGTGGGCGGAGGCATTTAAGGGCGGGGCACGGAGGCTGCTAAATGCCGATACCGATGGCCAGCAATTAAATAATCTATATTAAGCTAAACACCAAGAAAAGGGCTATCTAACTATCTAAAGAACGTTTAGATACCCTCAAAAGGGGCTGTAATCCGTGTAAGTGAGTAAGGGGACTTTTGGTGGTGGTTGTGGGGTTTGGCTGTGCCGGTTGGGGGGGTGTGCCGGTTCGGGGGGTCGGATGGTACCGCTAGCAAAGCTGCCGCCGCGAAAGACGGAGATGAATGATTTATGTAAATGCCTCAATTACACTCGGGGCCGGTCCGTCATCTCAGGGGTCGAGTATGGTCGCACTCCGGTACTCCACCAGTTGAGCGAGGGCTTGAGATGGGGGCTTGGGTGTCTCGTTGTCACTTATAGACGGCAGTCCTGAAATACTAGGACTGGTATTACTATGCGAACTACACTGTTCATCTGTAAATGGCAACACACCTTTATCAAACAGCTACAACGCTTTCTGTTGTACACGACCACCAACTTATAAAATTACACAACTCGTACACTGTATCTACTCCTTTTTCTCGCGCTGTTATAATACCAGAACCAACTCGTCATGCCTGGTGACGAACATACAGTAGAGTCGAACCTCTTCCATTCCATGTCGTCTGTAGCTCAAGGCTTACCCGGACATACCTGCCTCCCTCCTGATTGCCTCATGTTGAAGGTAAGAATCGTGATGGTAGCGCCGGACTGCACTCATCTCTATGCTGGCTGCGGGCCAGTTCTCATACAGTTGTGTCTGCATATGTCGGACGGCGATGTTAGGATAAGCGCTGATGCCGCAGTGTCTCTGCGCCATTCGCAGAAGTTCTTGGTCACCAGCCCAAGATTTCATCGGTACAGACCCTGTGGTACCGGGAATTTGGAAGGGATGTTCAGTCTCCTTCATGAACGCCGTCTTCATAATGTTCCACGCTTGCGCCAGCGGACTCGAATGTTGCCGCAAAATTAGGGGTACATCTATCTTCATGTTTCGCGCTATGCCTTCCAATCCCTCGGCCTGGGTAAGTATTGCGAGGAGGAGCTCCGAGCGATGCTCGAAGTGCTCTCCGGTTTCCTCCCGAACTTTGGCTCTGATTTTACTGAACATGTCCTCACATGAACCCATTAGGGAAAACCAGCCAAAATGGAGGTCCAGGAACTCGCATCGCATCAAAACGTTAAGTTGGAGGGGTGTATGTGGCATGTGCCCTACTCGCGACCACTGCTCGGCGAGTTTCGCTGTAGTTTCAACCGGAAGCTGGAGGAGGCGAGAGAGGCGGGCTATTGAAGCCGGGTTCTGAACTGCGGGGCGGGAATTAGCAATGGCCGTTTGGAGAAACGTTGACGAACATGAGAGTGTACGACTATAGTTACTTGGGAAGGAAGCTCCGTCGAAACGCCATGAAGGGCAGGAGGTAAAACAAATACAAAATGGTACTCACTGGTCCTTCTCAAATCGGCGAACCAACTCTAAATGTCGGCGTCTGTGGCTCCCACTCCTTTCATACGATGCAGGAAAAGCTTCGTGGTCACACTAGGTGAACGTACCTGGCGGGCCATCTTGGGGTCCACATGGCCCCCTGATCTGGCGTCGCGTGCAAACTGTGAGAGTTTGAATCCAAAGGCCAGGCAAGCCTTCTTTCTGGCTTCCTCCACTGAGCCCGGAAGGCCGCCGAAGAACAATGACTTCATGTTCTGAAGCTGAATTTAGAATTCCATATCTGTCCATACGGGGTCGTTGGGGAAGACGGAACGACGGGCCACATATAGATGCATCATTGTCGTGAGAGTAAACTGATCTTCCTCCAAGCTCATAGCCCGGATTTCTAGTTGGAGGTAGAGATTGTGCTTGAAAAAGCCACATAGAGCGGGATGCTGACCCAAGAGAGCGTCCGGTTCAACTCCAAGGGCTTGTGGTTCAAGGCCAACGAGAGGGTTCACATGAGCCCTTACCCTTCGACCAAATTGATCATGTAGCACTTTGTCCTGAAGGTCATCGAGAATGTCGGAGGTCCAGCCGATCCACTTGCATGCAGCTTCGGAATCTGCCATGTGCTCGGCCAATCCCAAATCCCTGAACTCCTTCGCCCTCAGTTCAGTATGTGACTTCAGCTCAGTCAGGGGCTTTTGCCATACGCCTTCCAGTCCGTCTTGATATCCAGCAGCGCCTGAAATCCCAAACAGCCCATATGGGAAGAGTACCTGTGTCGAACATGACTTGAACCCCGCGGATGATCTCCTCGTTGGCTCTGACGGCGACGAATGCGCTAACCTCGAACAGAGATATCATACCGAATACACGTCTTTTAGCAGTGTTGACATGTTCGTACAGGGAAGATATGTGACCGACTGTGTTTAGTGCATTACCCTTGTCGTCGTTTCCTACTCTTGCCTGGTAGACACAGGCTTTCAAAGCGCTGTAGGTGTCCCAGAGGAAAAGGCCGGCGTGACTGGATTCGACGTCAAAGAGTTCGTCGAATACCCGAACGAATTCAGTTATCGTAAGATCCGGAAAGCGGGAAAGACCGCATCCGGTCCATATGATTATTGCCGAGAAGGTCCACACCGGAAAGAGATGCTCGGGGTATTTCTTAGGCCGTTCAACTTCTCTTTCCAGCTCTTGCTCGGCTTACCGAACAAGCAAAATGGCTACCTTGGTCAGGGCCGAAGCCTGAGCCGAGTCCATTGTACCCTTCGCATAGCCTGCCCAGACGTGCCGGATGTATTGACGTACTTGGTCAATTTCGAGGTAGAACGATATGATGGCGTGGTAGAAGTCTGCCTCGAGCTCCGCCTCATCTCGTATTATCTTTGCAGGGGTAATGTCCGGGATTCAATAGGATTCTTCGCTAAGCCCTGCCGAGCTATCATCAGGGTCGATGTTGTTCATCTCCTGGTACAGATCTTCGATCTCCAGACCGGCGAAGCGGTTGCTGAGCTCTGGTATCTCTCCAGTCGATGCATTGTCGCGAGAAACCGCCTTTGGAGCTCGGCTTCGGGGGGTTTCGAGGACACGGAGTGTCGCCCAAGTGTCGCGCAAAATTCCGATGAAGTGCTCGTGTCGCTGATAGCTTTCTTCGTCACCGTGGTCGTTTGCCTTGTTCCAGTCGTTGGACCGTTGCCGGGACTGAATCGCGCGGGCGAAGAGGTTGCGAAGGCCTAAAGGGAGGATGACCTTCGGCTTGTCGAAATCTGCAATAGTCTGGCAATCTCGGAGAAATCGGACGTTCTGATGAGGTACTTCGGGGCCGTCGGCCCTGGCGATGATGTCGGGGTAGACGATGATGTCGGGGTAGACGATGATGTTTGGGTAGACGATGATGTCTGGGTAGACGATGCCAATAACCCAGCCTCCTTGGCCTGCTTACGGTGTTTCCCCTTTAGTCTTCCCCTTGGTTGCTTGGGGGCTTCGGTCCGCATCATATGCCCACATTGCGAGGCTGTTTCGGCAAGCCAACCTGCAATAAGCTCGGTGTCGGCCTTGTATTGCGCGAAGGACAGTTGATCTCTCATGGTTGAAGAGAAATCGGTTTTGTACATGATCAACCCTTTCAAGCAGAGCTTGGCATGCTTTGGTGTTTGGATGTTGCGGCTCAGGCAATGTTGAAGGCAATGTTGACAAAGCAGTGGTGGGAAAAGGGAAGAGCAACCATTTTGTCAGGCTCTACTTTGAAGGATCCGCCCCTGGTACCCGCTTATGAATGGAAGGATTTTTGCGTTCAACAGGTCATCGCCGATGGATGATACTCAGGGAGTTCTAGGACGCACTTGCACGTCTGCGGGACATTTTCTTACCCTGGAGCAGCCGGAAAGCGGGTTTATCACGTCAAAGACATTCAGAAGAGCTGAGCTTTGAGCTACGGACAGATGTCGTGATGAAGTCGACTTCCAAGTAAGCATCGTCTTGATGCCTTGCTGTTCTACACGCGGCTATAATTTCATTGCCTGCTTGGTCAGGTCGAGACCTACGGCGACTGGAGTGTAGCTGAGTCGTGGACCCAAGTACAATGGAGAAGCTGGACAGTACCTGGAAGTGCAGGACTTCCCCTTGATACGCCCTTAGACATACTTCTAGTCCCACCATATCCGGCTTGGGTAGAAGATTCATGCATGGGCAAAATAGGCGAAGAAGGTGAGGGATACTGGCCGCATGGTGGAAATGCGTTCCCAGAGCAGCACCGTATGGAGCAATTCCCAACTGAATAAAACGACCGCTTTTCTATAGAAACCGCTCTGCCTGGCCGGCTGCCAACCTCCTGGCCTCTGGTCAGAGACGAGGCATCAATTCCCACACTTACGAATACTAGCACCATACATGGTACTATACTCTTTGGGATCGCTCCTCTGTAGACATCTCCTATCGTGGAAGGCCTGGAATTTCCCCCTTTACAGTTGGTCTGAATGGAGAGATGTGATATACTAGTAGTATCAGATTGCTATGGAATAGGAGAGTGCCACTAAGAGACTCATGTACATCCTGGTAGGTGCGATGCAGGCCTACAGTCTGCGTTGCGAAAAAGGTCGGATCCTTTGTCTACATGGGCTGATTAGTCTTGCATCCTGTGCTCGTGAATCTGGAGGCTTCGGCTCGCTGTACAGCCTTGTTCCCCTGGACATTGCACCTCAGTGCTGCATCACCACCAATTCATCGCATCCACATATTCATACACAGATTCCTCCTCAGATTCCTCCTCAGATTCCTCCCCAGATCCCTCTTCGTACTCAGATTCCTCACTGTTCTGTTCCAATCGTTGCTTCGGCGAACAGCAGTCGTCACACTCGCAGCTGGGCTGATGCAGCTTGTGGAAGCGTCCTAAACCTCCGTCATAAGCTTCAAATCTAACCATCGGCCAGAATTGGATGCTGCTTAACCGACAGAGGTCATCTTGGGTGGGAGGTGGATTGTTTGATGATGAGTTCAGGAGGTGTGTCGTAACCAAGTCTTTGAACCTGTCGGTTATCAATTTGTAATTGGGGCGGGCCGGGCTTTGTCGAGGGAAATGGCATTCTTTCCTGGCGTAGTCGCTATAGTCTTTGACGTTGGGCCAGCAGCAGATGGTTGACTCGTCACGGTGCCGTTTCGGGGAGGTGATGGGTCTGACTTGGAGATGGCTATTGGCCTTGTTGGATGCACACCACTGGATAGAGGAGCGGATGGTTCCCGGTTCCTCTTCGGAATATTGGTAAAAGTGTTCGAGCCTTTTGAATGGTGTGATTAATAGCATTGGGTACCTTGTAGACTCATTCATGGCTATCTGGCGATTGATATTGTAGGCGACGTCAAGGTAGCACTGTAAATGCGAGTGAATCGCAAGGTGCCGGATCGAATCCGTGAACCCGCCAATACAGTAACTTGAAGTTATGTCCGTCCAGACAGTAAGACCAGGTCGCGGTGGCTATCATAGCGGATAATGCCGCCTCTCACATCGTTGACAGTGAGGCTATCAGGGAAGAACTTCAGTGCCTCGGCACGACTCTCCTGGTGGACGGCCATCATGGTCCTCACGCCAGCTGTCTGGGCTCGTGTGTCCCAACTAGGCCGGATGTGGTAGGGAGGTGCTCTGTCATCCTGACTGTCGGAATTTGGCTCACAGGCTACGATTATGATCTCCTAGAGCTGCGCGTCGCGATGAGACCGCACTTCCGGGGCGACGAAACTCCATATGCGGAGGCGCGACTCGGCAGGGAGGCCGGAGAAGGAGGCGCGCCCATGTTGTCCCACTGTCGTGTCTGCCGCCATTGCGAGGACGGGCGGCATCTAGCAATGAGGTGTGAAGCCGGTAGGGAACTGCGATTGCCGTACTCGTCGACTCGAGGGAAATTGGCCACGTCATATATAGGGCTCTCGTGGCTCGTCGGAAGGGTGTCTGTCACAGTTCGACTGCTAGTGACTCCAGAAATGACTTTGTTAATGTACGTGAAGAAGAAAGGAAACTATAAGGCTAGCTAGGTGACATGATCTGGTATATACAGAAGTTGACACCTGGAGCTGTGGGGCTGTCATCTAGTGCCGTGACAGTGTCAGACGAAGGTTTCGCTGGAGCCATATTGGCGCTGAGGGTTGAGGGAGAATGTTATTAGGCTTCAGCCGTAAGCCACATAAAAGCTCGTCATTTTGCTCAAGGTTGCGGCAGAGGCTTAACTTGTTAGATGTTATAACAATGGCGTGTTTAGCGTTGTTGTGATCGCTGTAAGTAGCATATATGTCATCCTGTGGGATCACATGTGATAGCTGTCAGAGGTACCTTTCTCACCTATTCAAAGGAGATGGTACACCCATCATCTATCTCTTATTCCTCTTCCAATACAGACCATTCCTGAAGTTTACAGAACTTATTCTCAGATTGATACCATCTCTCAACTCGCTAGATCTAGAACATGAAGTCTCTTAATTGCTGTGTTGCCAATACTTCGCTTTGTCGTGGAGCCTCATCACGGTAAGTTCGTGGCTGAGTTATTCAAACGTTTCGCGTCGCAGGTACACCAAGGCAACGCGACAGACAAAGTTCGCAATGGAAGAGTAGCTGTTAACCATCAAATGGTACCTATTCTGCTCTTTAGGTCGGATAAGAGTTCAGAAAGCATCTGGTGAGAAACCTTGTCCGTGACTAAAGTCAGGGGCTGCGCTGAGCTTGCTTTCAGACACAGCAGACCGAAGGCATCACGACGAGGACCCACCACCACGCTCTGCTACTCCAGGGTATTTGACCAGATGATTTATTTACTGGTGGAAGACCCTGCCGATCAGTCTTTCAAGACACATAGCCTAAGGATGCCATTCATATAGCCGTCGAGCAGCTAGTGTAGGCTTTGCCGAGACAAAGGTCCTCCCGGAGACTCTCCTGGTCTGTTCCACACCATTAAAATCATAGAAATGTGTTCATATGACACAGTAAGTCAGTACAAGGCAGGCAGCACCCTCTAATTGTTATAAATATCGCGAAGTTGTGGTAGAGTTTATACAGCTAGTGAATATAAGGCTACGATTAATACGTATAGTGCTTTGTTATACCGGTGTTATTACCATGTGCCTTTGTGGTAGCGGAACCAGAACGGAGATCTATCACAAGTCTTGGTTGGGATGATCTGTATTCTGCTTGGTGCTTGGTTACGTTCGGATGGAAAGGGATCCCATCCGAGAAGTATCTAAATACATAAATTACAGTGGGTTGGTACCTGTCACCTGGGGCAGCCATCCCAGGTAACCTTATCGTAGAACGCCCTGGATGACAGGAGATCCGATAAGGTACTGTTGGCTGGATCCAGTGACTGGGATCCACATTAACCCCCCCCCCCTCTCCTGAGAGTCGTCCTCGACTCCCCCAAAATGCACGAGTTTCAACCCTAGTGATCGTTTCTGGTGTTTTCATGTGCCATAAACACACGAGCATCTTCATCAGATAACAGTATCTTCTCTAGCTGTTTACGATCGTTCTGCAGCATCGTTTTTCTCGCGTACCATAAGGAGCGAACAGGGTGACTGTCGTACACGTAGGCAGGAAAGAGGTTAGTCCCATTGTATTTGTTCTGTAATGGTATACCTCCTGGACTTCGTATGTGATACGTGTTGCCGGCGTGGCAGCTCACAATAGCCCAGGAACCATCGTAAAAGGGTTCGTGTTTGGCGGCACGTTGGCGAACGCGGAGGACCCAGTCCCCTGGTGCAAAAACACGGATCAGACCCTTTTTCTCTTGCAGATATGCTCGTATCTGGGCTCGAGAGGCTTTCAGGCTATTGGCGTTGCTCCTGGCGAGCGGCGCTCTGTGGTTCTGGGCTAGAAAACGCTCTGCCTGCTGTTCCTCTTCTTCTGTGAACTCACTGGTGTATTCCACAACTTCGTGTGCTGCCAGATGGCTAGGAGGTTGCGTACCAAACATCAGGAAGTATGTGCTGTATCCAGAAGGGCGAGTGGTCCTCCTCAGGGTGTTGAGAGCGCGTTGTAGCAGAATAGCTGGCCTCTCAGTTGGATTGACAAGGGCTTCACAATACATCTGGCTCTTGATGTTACCGTTCGCTTGCTCAACCTTGCCGTTTCCTCGTGGTCGAGCTGGTGTGGTAGGCTTTACCACACTGCCGTGATCCTTGTGCCATTGTTTAGCTTCTTTGCCAGTGCATGCCTGAGCGTTGTCACTAATCCATTCGGATGGACTGCCAAATGTGTTGCAGATCTTCTCCATGGAAGGTCTGGCGTGCTCGAATCCCGCAGATGTAACGACGTCGGCTTCAATCCATCCCGTGGCGTACTCGATAGCGACGAGGATAGGTATCCCATCAAAGAAGGTATGGTCGATTGCCCATCGTGTCAGCAGAGGAGGAGGTCGGATCGGTTGGAGATTCGGAAGGGAGGGATCAGGGCGCTTCATCAGTTGGCAGTGAGGACATTCGATCGTTGCCTGTTGTGCGATCAGTGTCAGTCCAGGGTGCCAATACTGTTTGAGGAGCTCTCTCTCCATGAGGCCAACGCTCAAGTGACCCAAATTGTGATGTATGCGGCGTGCCTGAATGCGCAGATCCTCTACTTCGAGTACTTCCTAGAGTGCTATAGCACTCGTAGCTGTGCCTACTGCATATAGAGGTCCTCCAAGAGCTCGAAAATGGCGTGAAATTTGGTGTAGCTTATCCTGAACAATAGTGAAGTGCTTTTTCACTCATCCTGGCTCGAGTCCCTCTGGCAGCTTCTCGTCGAGTGTCAGATATTCGTAGATGGCTTGTAAATCCAGTGAATTCAGCTGGTGTGGCTGCTGGATCTCACGAATCTCGGGATCCTTTTGTTGGGGATTGGTCAGATCAATGACCTCTTTTGTTGGAAATATCATCTCTTCTGGCGGCTTGGAGAGGTAATAGGCTAGTACGTGTGCCTTACTAGGTCGATAGAGGATTCGGATCTGGTAGTGCTTGATAGCATCGAGAAAACGCAGTATCCGAGCTGGTTGTTCCACCTTGTTGTTGATCGTGCGCAGAGATTTGTGATCTGTGATCATTGTAACTTCGCAACCTTCGACCCAAGATCTCCAGTGCTGGAGAGCAAGAAGGATGCCCAGAAGTTCTCTCTCCTGCGTAGTATAGCGTATTTGTGTTGGTGTCAACTTTTTTGAGAAGTAAGCAACGGGATGGAGGACTGATTTCGTTCTATGTGTATGTGGTTATTGAGTTAGCAATAGTCACAACAGAACCGCCAAATAACCTTCTCGTTATCCTTGCGGATGGTTGGCATGGTCGTCATGCCAGTAGGCTTCTTTGGGGTCAGCAGCGCAGGGAACCCCTAGGGTCCTTTGCTCTTGACTATCATCTTGCCTTCGTGCTTCTTCACAAACTCCTTCATTGCCAGTACCTGTGGTGCACTATAACAACGAGGAGGAAGCTTGATAGGTGGCTCGTTTCCTGTATCGATGTAATGGGTTGTTTTGGCAAGAATATCGGTACGTCGCTTGGAAGGATCGAACAGGCCTGGAAAATCGGTTGCCAACGAGGTGAGATACTTGTTAATCTTTGGGTTATTAGTAGCGGTTTTCGGGTTCCATTTTACCTTGATAAGTGCTTTGGCAGATGGAAAAGCAGTCTCGCTGGCGAGATTAGCTTGTTTCCGATGGATGGGGTTGAGAACTGGTGAAGATGGATAGTTGCTCAACGTGATTGATTCTCCGCCGAACTGGAGGCCCCAAGTATTAAAAACACTCCTTCCAACGGTGAAATTCCCTGTGAACGTGCCGTTTGGTACAACACCTGCAGAGATCTGAAAGGGTGCGGTGAGACCAGATGGCATAGAGATGGTGCAAAAAGAGGCTGATATCACCACATCATGCGTGATTTATGGTCCAACTCCTCCAACACCCTCCATTATAATTGGTTTCTGTGAAGGATACAGCTTTAGATGTGCCAAAATCTCTTTATCCACATAGCAGCCAGAAAAGTTATTGTCAAAGAACACCGTGAATTTGGTCTTATTAGCCAATCTTGCTGCAAAAACGTGGTATTTCTGTCCAAAACCTTCGCGAAGCGGCTTTGGTGGTATAGGTGGCGGATCGTGGCCCTTACATACTGCCACAAAGTATGCGGGGCATTCCTATTCCTCTTAATCAGCAAGTGCTGCGTATAGATAATGTAACTCTTTTTTGTCATAATCGGCGAGAGTCTCTGCCTTGCTTCGATCCTTATCAGAGTCGCCTTGATAGAGGTCTAGGCTCAGAGTAATGGACTCGCTTAGGGTTATTGGCAGAGGATGAGGATAAAGAGGTAGACGGACGAGAGTTATTGGTGGCTCTGGATGACCAACGGCCGATTTGGTTGTGAATCTTGCTGGTAAGTGGACCGCGCTTGTCGTCTCTGGTCAACAGACCTCTGATTGTGACCTTCTCTCCTTGGCTCTGGTCCCGACGGTTGCCATTGCGAGGAGGTCCTCGCGGACAAAATCTGGTGATTTGGCCGCTGGTGGAGGGACAATCTCATGCCCAGTGACCGGTTTTGTCACATTTGTGGCACTTATCTGTCTCAAAAGCCGGGTATCCTGCTTCCTCTCTGGTCATGTTGACCTGGTTGACCTCTTCACGAGGGTCTGCGATAGTCTGTAGATTCGGTCTGGATTCACCTGGCTCGATCTTCAGAGTGCCTGGTCTGCCAGAGGTAGTCTCTGGGATAGTAACATTATAAATCGGCGCAGATTAGCCCTGGAGCTGAACAGTAACCGCTGATTTGCTGAAGATCTTGTCCTCAATCAACGTGCGAGAGAGCATCTCGGCTCGGATAACTGACTGATCAACTATCTCGGCAGTAGACCAGTTGCTATACAAGTCTGCTATAGAGATCCAGGTGCTAGGAGCATGTTGACGAAGCATGTTACAAAGAACCTCGCGGCCCATGACGTTTCGTCTGTTCTGGAAGGGCAGCATGTACCAGGCATCCCGGATTCTTCGAGTGAAGCCAAGGATACTCTCGTTTGAAAGGGCAGCATGGTGTTGAATGACAACATCGATTGGTACAGGGCATTGTGCCCAGAGTTTGTATGGCACCAGGGCTGCTTTGAGGCGGTCCTGGATCTGCGAGAGCTTGTAAAATACTGAATGATCAGCATAAACAAGCTTCAGTTCAGGTGGCAACACGACCTGGTTCTTGTGGTGTGTCTCAGGGAATTTGTTTGCCTCTGATGGCAATATGGCCTCAGTCCACACCTCGTTGACTCATCCAGCGGCCGGGGTCTGTGGAACCTTGGTGTATGAGATTCGTTGGAGGTTGAGGCGACCATCTGCCAATCGTTTGCTCTTAAAGTCGTTCACAGAGACTCGGGTGAAACGAAAAGCACTATTATTCTTATTCAGCTTCTTTAGATCAACGCTGTTTGCTGTCAGAAGCGCTCTAAGTTGCTGCTGAAGTGCTTTATATTGATTGGGAGCAGCGTTAAGGGCAGCAACGGATGTCTCCAACTTCTCGTTAGAGACCTGTTGTGCCGTGATATGCGAATCGAGCTTGTTCTCGATGGCAGAGAGCCGTGACGTAACGAGAGACTCAACTACCTCGGAGATGTTGAACTGCCTCAACTTTGCGTCGATGATGACGTTCATCTCCTCAATACGTTTGTTACGTTGAAGATCGACTTCGGACTGCTCCTCGCGATACTCTTTGGACTGTTCCGTGTCGGCAGCGGCTGCAGCCTTCGTGCCCTTCCAAAGGGCCATCGTGAACGAGATGGAGGGTTGATCAAGGTTGAATTGCGACGCGTGTTGACGCGTCTGGGGTAAGGAACAACGTGGTTTTTGCAGGTGCAAACGCAAAAATAACGCAAAAATAAAGTGCTACTGGATTGGTGGTTTACCTAAAAAATAGCTATTTGTGCCTTTGTGGTAGCAGAACCAGAATAGAGATCTATCACAAGTCTTGATTGGGATGATCTGTATTCTGGTTGGTGCTTGGTTAAGTTCGAATGGAAAGGGATCCCATCCGAGAAGTATCTAAATACCTAAATTACAGTGGGTTGGTACCTGTCATCTGGGGCAGCCTTCCCAGGTAACCTTATCATAGAACGCCCTGGATGACAGGAGATCCGATAAGGTACTGGTGGCTGGATCCAGTGGCTGGGATCCACGACCATACCTCGTATAATACCGTTATACTTATAATTAAGGTCGTATTAATCCCGTATAATGCTATATAATATAAACCACCATTATATTTATACTTTTTTACTACTTTTAAAGTATTAAAAGTCCGTGATAACTAGTTATAATAAAATCTACACTTAAATATACTAGTATAAACTCATAAAACTTTAACCGCTTCTATTAAAACCTAGCGTTAAATTAATGAAATTAATAAATTAAATTAGATAAATTGGAAACTAAAAATATCTTGAAGTAAATATACGTTAAATACGGTAGTAAGCAGTGTATTTATAAAGTACCGTAAAGTAACTTAAAGATTTAATAATAATTAAAACATATACTTTAATATTTAAATAACCCTTATATATAAACATACTCTTTATATATTTTCGAAAAAACCGGTTATTTCGTTTTTTTGTACGTGTAATTACGAGAATACAGGTATTATATTCACATAAATGTATAATATACCATACGTATTTTAAAAATCGAAATTTAAATAAATAGCACGTAAGCTACTGTGTAGCGTTAAAAAGGTGGCAGTGTATTAAATAAAAGCTACTAGTGTGACGGAACGCTCACCATAACCACTATGCCACGGCTGTTCTTCCCAAAAGGATGTCGAATATCAAGCGTGGCAGCTTGACATTCAATAGTGGTACATGTACTCATGTCCGGGCTCCAGGACTCACCACATGGGCTACCTATACCAGACCATGACAAATAAGGTAAAATATACGCAACATGTATTTTTAAAGCTACATAAAGATTTAAGAAAAATAAATAAAATTTAGTTTTTATTACGAGTGTTTACGATGTTGTTTATTTTAATTAATTACAAAGACTTAAGTTCTTGAGATTTTCTCCCAATAAAAAGAGTAAATATATAGCCCTAATAAAAACAAAAATAGCGGCGAGTTTATATAATTAAAAAATCGATTAAATATTCAATTCAAGTTTTTTCTACCTTGTTTGTTAATAAATAAGCGTAATCAAACGGATATAATCTTTAAAAGATTTCGCTGTACAAATTATTTGTTTTAAAGTTTTTATAATAATATTAACGGTATTTTTTTGACTTTTAATAACTTTTTAATTTTATAAAATATTTTATTATAGATTATGCCTTTTCAACTAAGGTTTTAAATATATATTTTATATTTTACAGTTTTTATTTTCTTCCTTTTATTATTAACGAAAAAGAGTTGCAGCTTAGTATTTTATTAACCTTTATATAACGAGCTTGCACACGTAAATAGTAGCGGTATTTAAAATAACGATAATAATAATATTAAATTTGTTTTTGAATAATTAAACCCGTTATTATTGAAATCATTTAAAAGAATATATACATAACTGTTAGATCTATGCAATTCCAGCCTGCAAACCATCTATACCAAGACCCACATGTATGATTAGATAAGAGATAGATACCGGATTGCGAGGTTACTTAGCCAGACCTTCAGGTCCAGCTAAACCTCCCAATCCAACCATCAGCAACATCATGACCTTGACCCTATACTCGAGTATTATGATTGATTGTTCAAGCCTGTTCCAACAGTAACTTTATTATACGTAATAAGGCAGTTTTTAAAAGCCAAGGTTAACAAATAATGCCGTATTAAAAATAATATTTATATTGTTAATATTTAAAACCTGTTGGATGAAGTGGTGCAGGTGGTGTGGCTGCAGGTGGTCCGCGCACGGACCAGGTGAATTGGTGTGGTCTGAGCGCCCTGAGAACGGTTGACTAGTGACGCTGCCTCACAGCTCTAGCGCTACGGCAGGCAGGCGTATTACACCTGTATTTAGGTGTGAATTCGTTTATACCAAAGTACATACAGAACTACGAACGAATGAACCAATATTTCCGCATACGAATTCTAACAAAACCGTATTATTAATAAAGCTGCAATTTTTTAACTTCTTGCTATTTTTTAACGTTTTCATAACCGGCTTCTATTACTTTTGAAGTTTTTTTAACGGCGTTATATTTATTTATTTATAACATTAAAAGGCTTGTAGTAAGTAGCTTATTTCAATATAGTAATATTAGATTATTTTATTATTATTTACAAGCTAATATTATACTAAATAATCTTTTTTTAAACTTAATATATTTAAAGCTGCTAACGTGAATCACAAGCGAGCGGCAACTTTTCACTAACCTCCCAACCAACATGTCAAATAACTCGACCAGAACGCATTTAATTCAATCTAATCAATCAGATTCTTCTTCTTCAGACGTTTCTATCTCTATTGTATAAGTTCGCGCATTATGCCCAGTGTTGCCGCAAACGCCACAACGTTGCTCACGCGCTGCCGCCCTCCTCGGACGACGACTGCCTTCACCCATTTCCTGTCTTGCCAGCTCATCACCATCCTTTACAGCCTGGAGACCTACTGCATCTTCAACAGAAAGTACTCCTCCTTTCATTAGACGTTTGTTTTTTGTCCTCTGGCGTTTACTTAGTAGGTGATTGGCCTCCTCTAGCTTGCGGACCCAGGAATCAACCAAAGCAACCTTGTGCATAAGACCGTATGTAGCCTTTAAAAATGAGCTCAACACATCAACTATTGATGTAGGTGAGCTTCCCTGGTGGTCTCTGACTCGATTTCAGATATAAACTGATTGGTTTACCGCTTCGTTGATGGTGGTAGGCGTCTTTGAAGTCCAAGTAGTGGGTGGAAGATTGGGGTCTGGCGACGGCGTTCGTATCTTGGATACCATGTTTTGCGACTGCCCAAAACTACGCGCAATACGCGTCTGGGTCTTTGTTCAAGACCCTCTGGTAGTCCATCCTCCGATGAAAACGCGTCCGGAGGCCTGGTGTGCGTTTAATGAAGTTCTGCGTCCAGTTCTTTCCAACGCGTCCATCCCTATGCGTCGCCAACAATTGATTCGCCATATGTTTAACATAACTGTGCCGGGATGGAAATGCTCGCGCATCCAGGTCAAAAATGAAGGAAAGAATAGCATTCTCTTCGGAAATCGTAAGTTTTAAAGTATTGGGCATACTATTGCGTCGTGATGGTCGGCCAGCGATTCTAGCCTTCAAGGTATTATATGGGACATGGAAAGTCTTAGAAAGCTTGCCAATGGTAATATGAGGGCCGCGTCGCTTAGCTTGGACAGCAAGCTGTAAGTCTGATTGGCTATAACGCAATGTCATTATTGTTGATTGATCAATTAGGAGCCTTGATTGAAAGGTTAGGTGGCTGGTGAAAAGTTGCCGTTCGCTTGTAATTGCCCCTCGCTTGTCATCCATGTTATATATAGTAATTTTACATTTTATGTTTTTATTATAAAGGATTTGCTATATGAATGTAAGGGTATTGCACCGGCATGTCAGGCCGACTGGTCACTGATTGGAGCCCTAAGGCTCCACTACCAGATCCCCTTGAAACGCCTGATTCCCACAAATATACCAGGATAGATTGAAGTATCCTTATATACCTACTTCTTGGAATCACTGCCATCACCTTGCTTCAGAATTCAGCTATCTTAACCCTTACAGTAAAAAGCAAGATGTATATTTTATTAAGTTTCACTTGCTTTTTATATGTTATTAAATTTTAATATTAAAAGATTGAACAAAATAAAATTTTAAGTATTTTATATTAAATAAAGCGATGGGTGAAGCTTTTTAATCTGTTTTTTATGCGGGCTTTGCCAGTATGTATTAACATGTAACGGCTTCAACGGCATTTATAAGCAGTGACAGAAAAGTTTTTTTTTGTAGGAACAGGCTTGAACGATCAATCATAATACTCGAGTATGGGGTCAAGGTCATGATGTTGCTGATGGTTGGATTGGGAGGTCTAGCTGGACTTGCAGGTCTGGCTAAGTGTCCTCACAATCCGGTATCTAATCTCTTATCTAATCATACATGTGGATCCGGTATAAATGGTTTGAAGGTTGGAATCGCATGGATCCAACATTTTTAATTATATTTAAAGTTATTTATTATTATTACTCATACGCTGACCCGCTGTATGGACATCTCAGAGATTCGTCCGGCATGCAGACCTCCTACGATCTATCTCCGTGTGATAAAATCCCGCAAGGGATGAAAACCCATATGCTACGGTCTAGTTCTGGCTTCGTTATGGCGCTGCCGCAGTTTGCTACAGTTGTATGTCATGACCTTTACCGCCTTGACTAACCTGATAGGGCGGGCATCCCTTGGCCCTTGAGACCTCTTCCCCCTCGTGATATTCCCCCTCCCCCTCGTAATATTTCCCCTCCCCCTCGTGATATCTCTACTACCATATCCCCCCTCCTTCTCCATTCCATCCGGTACTGCTCTATATCCTCTTCGGTCCGGCTCTTTGGCGCCTGTTGGGCCACCTCGCCACCGCTTAGCTTCCTTGCTAGTGAGAACATCCCCAGTAGCCCTAGTCTCAAAAACCACGGTATAAATTTTGGGGTCTCGTCCGGATCTGACAGCAAGCTCTCGAAGTCTCTCCTTGACCGCAACGTTCTTGTCCCGAGAGAGGCTTGCAGTCTGTCTCTTTGGGCTGCGTATAGAGGGCATCGAACCGTTACGTGGTATACCGTCTCCTTCTCGCCGCAGTTGTAACGTGGTGTAGCCTCTCCTGGCACTCTCCTCTGGAACAGGAAAGCCCTCAAGCCGATGGTCTCTGTCCGGACCTGGCATAGGGCAGACGCCTCGTGTTTCCGCAGTCCGTAGTAATACTACGGGACTGCCCCTACCAGCTCCTTTGGGAATTCTTCTTGAGCTGCCAGCAACCTCGCAGCAACTCCCGTCTGGCTGGCTCTTGTGACGGCAACTATCCATTGACTCCTCCACGACCTCTCCAGTGCCTGTTCCGGGTGGTCTTGGCCCAGCCACTTTAGGATCGCCTCCTTCCGGTTTGTTGGGTTATCCTTCTGCGGGGACGCTGTTGCTTGGGGCGACCGCCGAGGCCGACCTCTCCCCCGCCTGCCGCCTTGCGCGGGTCTCTTTGCGGCTTCCATTACCGCCAACCTTGCGTCTCTCGCCCTCTCTACCACCTTTCTTGTTTCGGCAGTAACGTGTCTACTGGCCTCTCCGTATATTCGACCTTCAAACGCCGCCACCCTCATATCTAGGTATGCGTTCAGCGGGGGACAACCGGTCTCTGTCTCCAGCAAATGTCGCGGCGTGGCTTTAAAGGCCCCTGCCACCACCCTTAAACACGCCGCTTGCGTGGTGAGCATCTTCTTCGCTAGCCCTCGGGCCTGGTTGCCCTCTAATGGCGTATGTTACACCGTCGTGCCAAAGGCAATGGCGCTTCGTACCACTTTGGTGTATACCTCCCGGGCTCGCGCCGCGCTACATCCACACGTGGAGGCCGCTATCCTGGTGAGGCCGAAGATCTGGCGTTCCATCTTCGCCTTTATCTCTTTTAGGTGCCTGTTCCACTGCAACTTTCTGTCTAGATATACTCCAAGGTTAAAGTTATTTGTGATTATAAGTTATTATTGAAATTTATAATGGGAATTAAGATATAAGTAATGAGAGTATTACGAATTAAAATAAGAGTAATAATAAGGGTAAAATTAGTAATAGTAACTTTGTTACGTTTTATTTACAGTGTTTTTTTAATTGTCCATTTTAAAAAGATTAAAAGTTTTTAAAGTAATATAGCTAGTAATAAAAGGAGTAGGTTTATAAAGCTTTTTATGCAACGTAAAATAGTATATAATTATAAAGATACAAAGCGGTTTATAAAGATCTCAAAAAGCTACAACTTTTTTATTTGAAGTTATTATAAAGGCAAAGCCTTAATAGCTGGAATATATTTCAATACATTATTATTATTTTAAATATTATCGATAAATTCAAAAATATTGTTTATTTATTTATCTATTAATGAATGAAGCAATATTTAAAGTTAAATAAAAATATTTATTAATAGTCTATAGTTCTTTAAACATACCTATATAACAAGTAAAGTTAAGTTTGTTTATAGTTTTTATAACTTTTTTTAAGAATACGTTTGTTTCTTAAACACTTATTATTTAGAAAACTTTATATATAGTTATTACATATAAAGGAGATTATTTTTAAACGCGGCGGTAATATTTTTTTAATTTCATTAATATTACTATAAGCAACTCTATTAGTTTCTTTTGTTGATAGCCTCGTTAAAAAAGTTTTTAATAATAAAAAAGTTTTTATAATAATGGTTTTATTAAAAAAGTTTTCGGTAATAATAGTTTTATTACGAGAGTTTTTTTCAGTAGTAACAATTTCGTTAAAAGAGTTTTTTCAGTGAGAGTTTTTTTAAAAAGGTTTTTTTTGATAATAGTTTTTCGTAGGTATCTTTACTTGTTATTATTAACGGCGTATAATAGTGGTTTTTGTAATAAGAGTTGTTTTTTTAAAGAAGTTTTTTTAGTAGTAATAAATTTTACTATTAATTTTTAAACGTATTTAAACTTTACGAAGGGTAAGAATATCTTAAATTATTTATCGGTAAATTTATTAATTATTATTGGAATAAATAAAGATTATATACGATTTAATAATACAAGAAAAAAGCAAGGTAATTAATTCTTACTTATAATATTGTGACGGCCTGTACAGCTTCCCACATGACAAGCCGATACTTCCCAATGAGGGAAGGATCTGACCAGAGGATCCCCTTAAAAGGGGCAACCTCCCGCTGTACCTATCTCTCTTTCTCTCTTCCTTTCCTCTCTAGTCTTGATATTCTCGTCAATAGAGTAATAGCTGCTTGCTGCAGGCCATGTCCCAGCTCCCCAGTATGCTCGCCGTGACAAATATTAATAACTATTGTTTAAATATTAATAATAAAATAGTTAACGAGTTCATCACTAAGTTATTTCTTGATTTATTGTTATATTATATATCAATAAGAATATTATAATATAATATGTGCATCTTAAAGGTTAACCAAGATTTTAACAATATTTATAATGTTAAAAGTTAGAAGTTTTTAATTGATTACGCTTAAAGCTATTCAAAGGTAAATAAATATTAAAAGATATTATTAACGATAATATTAATTAGCTGGCAACGGCGTAGGCGATAGCGTATATGACGGCGTGGTTTTTAAAGGATAATCTTGCTGTCGGGTGCGATATTATTTTTATATGTGTATGGGCAAAAAACGATGTGGGGCTGGATTTTCGGCTTGTTAATGGTAGTACCTACATGAACGTCAACCATATGAACCATTTACGCTCTGTTCGACAACAGCGCCGTGTCCAAGGCCAGCATATGGACTCCAAAGCCGCAGATACCACATTCCCTGGGAGACATCAAGCGCCACCCAGATGGAGGCCCGGTGACTTGGTGTCGCATCAGCCTGCTGTATCGCAAGTCGCACAGTCACATGCTTCGACTTCGACGGCGACGTATCACCTCTCTAGATCGATTCCGAGAGCTTGCCTCTGGCAACGGTGTTGGTGGCCTGCAGATGCGGCAACACCAACAAGACACGGACGTATGGTAGATCCGGGCTTGCCGCGCCTACGGGGTAGCTCCGGCGGCCCGAGGAGCTGCATCTTGGAGTGATCGGCAACACGTACTGCTTTGAGATATCTCGGCCGCTTCGGCAAAGCTACCGTTGCACTGAACAAAGACCTTTGCATACACCAACGAGGATGCGCCGCTCGTCCGACTGCGACCGGACCTATCTATGATGGGGCGGGTGATAGTCACAGTGACCATGTCAGCCTGGAAGTATACCAAAGAACATGCTGATCGAGGAAACGGTGTTGGTGATCCATGCTGACATGGAAATTCATGTTGGTATGGGCTGAGTATGCTGCCAAGGATTTACATTGCATTAGCGAGGCGAGATCTCGGCTTCTAGAACCTACATTTCCTTCACGTGGGTGTTACGAGCTTCTGCAGGGCATCTTGGACCGCCAACGAGCCGTCCTTCACCGGCCTCTGGTTGGTCTTCACCCAGCTAGGAATTCTTCCCCGGGATAGGGAATGCGACATTTGACTTGCTTCACCAGTTCTAGCTGGAGAGAGTACCCGGACAATGATCATGTTTGCGTGATTGAGAGAGAATGAGTCTCAGCCAGGCGAGCGGTGAACGAACAGTTTGCCAGACTCCGGGGCAGGCTGTCGGGGTTTCGTTGGTCTTGCCACCTGTTTGCCATGCTCTCATCGGGTATCATGTCCTTGCCGTTGGACCGTGATCAATTGGTTCGTATGCAGGCAGCACCGCGGCTCTATATTCCGGGACCCGCGTCCACTGCTGCGAGGTGGGCAGTACCGGTTATGGATAGACGTTCCAACCAACCGCCCAAAGCCACGCTTCTCCTTTCCCCGTCTCCTCTGCCGAACTATACATACACTGCTCGGCCCCCATGCACATGGAGATGCGAGACTCATCTCGCCCACCCACCGCTGATCATGTGTCTACCCCCAGAGCTACGACAGCTGGTCTATCTAGCCCTGCTATCCGAGCCGACGTCCATCCGACACATCGTTTTCGATGAGCACACTCGCACTCTCCGCTCACAAGTCTGCCTCGGTGTGACCGCGCCGGATACCGACTACGTCGGCACTCATCTTCAGTTGGAGGACGTCCGCCTTTCTCCCTTCAGGAAAGGGCATATCCCCTGCCAAGTCGGTGGTCCGAACAGGAACGGCTTGTTAGGCGCATTACTATGCTGCCGAAGAGTGTGGGTTCCACCGCAGTCATCGGTTGAAGTAGGGACTGATGCTTGCCTCAATAGATACGAAGAGTTCTCCCCTTTGCTCTACTCGGAAACGACCTTCATGTTCCACGAGCTCCGCACTCTGCGGTATTTCGTCGACACGATTCCGCGCGGTATGCTACCCGAGGTGTCAAAGCTCCTCCGTCTCAACTGGCAACTGCCTTACATCGACTACGCGATCGTCTCCCCCAAGGGAGTGTCGTCTGCGCTCGCTGAGTGGACGCAAACATGGACGGGCCTGGCAAAAGTCCTTTCCAATCTGAATAGCGTGCGGGTGACGATCCTGGTGGGTGACAGGCCGCTATCTTTGGCAACGAAGACTAGACTTTTGAGAAGCTTGGAAAGACTCAGGTTGGTGGACGTGATAGTGGAGCTGGTGTTGCCTTTACAGAGGTTTCGCTATGGTGGCTATTGGCCGTACTGGTCGACGCCGGAGGGTCTGCAGTTCAAGGTGGAGTACGTCCACGAGTGTGAAGGCTTGTTCGACTTTCCGGGAGCACAACTGCCTATGGCTGCGGCAGATTAGATTGCCTGGATTCATGGAGCAACTCCATATGGTCAGTGCTCGTGTCTTTTCAATGCTGGGCTCTGGAGGGTTGGTGGCTTGGGACAAATCGATGGAAATGAAATACCGATTTTTATCCTGCCATGTGATGAGCAACTAGAAAGGGGTATACAAACATGACTTACGACGCTGCCTCATCTCCCATGGCAGGCGCAACACCCCAGTCAACCTCACGATACCAACTACAGTCCCTTGGAAACCGCATCGCAAGCGACCAATACTAATATCCAAAGACAATACTGTGAGTAAGCGGTGATGTGACTTGTGCGTCATCTTCAAGTTATCACATTTTGGCTCCTACTTTCTGGTATAGCTGACGATTCACACAGTAGGGCACTGGCAATGACCGGTATTACGGTGGGCACAACCCTCCTGAAAGTTCTCTTTACTATTTAGTGAGCTGATACGCCCGATGCCCTTTGCTTTCCCTACCTACGCATCATGTTTTGATACATCGCCGTACTTCCTCACTCGGTGCTGTACATCTGGATTTACCACTCCGCTTCCGGACCACTCCGTTGCCCTCGGCGTTACCACTTGAGGTTTCCTTCTCAAGGCACAGCCAGTCCAAGAGCGTGGAACTCATCGAGTCACGCTGCACCAAAGGAACAATGGCAACAACGGCCCATGTCGTTGACAACTCTCCCCAGGGAGTTGCGCGACCTCATCTACGGTTTCGCCTTGCTCCAGCCGTCACGAATCAGGCAGCGCCACAAGGCAACCTGTGAGCGCTCACAGCGAGAACGAGGACAACCCGAACAACCCCCTTTCATACCCAAGCCCCTACCTTCCTTCAGAGTTGTCGGCAGTACGCAAGAACCAGCAGGTTGCGGTTGCGCGAAGCGACGCCTCGACCTGCTACTAGTGAGCCGCCAGATCCACGCCGAGGCCGCGCCCGTCTTCTGGTCGAAGAGCACCCACACGTTCGAGAACGCCGAGATGTTCGTCGAAGACATGGGACGGCTAAGACCAGAGTACCGAAACCTCATACGCCATATCTGCATCGTATCAATGATACCCGAACCGCTGCTGAGGCACTCTTATGGTGACGTTTTCCCCATTTTCATGTCCAGGGTGTGGGAGCATGTTCTCAGCTGCAAGTCGTTGCGCACGTTGGAGGCACCCCCCTCCTTTGTCGAATTCCACGCAGACGAGAACCAGCGGCTCGGAAAGGAGCTACTGTACTTCGAGACTCTGACGATACTGACGATAACATGCTTCATCTGGCCGCGCGCCGAAACTCGCCACCAGGATACTGTCTACGTGCCGTACCCTCTAGAAGTTCCCCTGGACAGGATAAAGCACGAGGAAGATATGATAGAGCTGGTTCGGGTTGGCATACCGCGCCATGCATTCTCCATCAACAATGCCGTCCACGAGCAGCTTTTGCGCGGTTCGCGGTGTAGACCGCCGCGGGCGCTGCAGCTGCGGCTTTGCGATACCGATAATGAGGTAGATGTGACATTTCACGATGGCACGACCGTTCGACTTGAGTTCCTCGGTTTGCCGAATGGTCCGAAAACGCACTCGCGGAACGTGCGCGAACGGATCATGGCGAAGCACCCTGATATCTTCTGGACTGATATCCGGGGGTGAAGTTGACCTGCCAGGGGACTCGGAAAATGGTGAGCTGGCGAAGACGAGAGGATGTGGAACACGATCCCTGTGAGATAGATGGGAACTATGTGTGTGACGAAGTTGATTTACGTACAGGATAGTCCGTAGGTGCGATTTTCTCATGCATTTCGTATCCATACCACCCTTGTTGAAGCCTCGCCATGGGAATATCTACCGAGCGCCGCATGATTCTCTTGTACAAGTGGCGAACGCCCAGCTATGTCAACCAGTACCCTCATTTCCTTCCGCAGACCTCAAAAGGCCTCACTGTGCTTCGACTCGATGGCTCGGAGATGGTATTGCTGTCACCATACGGACAAAAGGCTGGCTGCGAAAGGCGTCATGTGGCCATGATTATATCAGAAACGTACCAAAGGCATATATGCAGCGTGGATTCTCTACGTGAGGTAGCATCCTCTTCTAGCAGATCTCTCCAGCCTCCGTAGACGATTTTACACCAAAACGACTCCCAAATAGAAAGCTCTCCAATCTGCAGAAGCAGTAAATGTAGCCCCGACTTGAAGTCGTTGGCCAGAGTCTCTTTCAAGCGTCAGCCTCCTCTGAGCTGGGAAGAGGCCTATGAGGCCCCGCTCGCGGCTTGCCTGTATCCACGTCGTGAGCTGTGTTGATGGGTGACCGTGAAACCGTCATATTGTCCAAGGTACACCTGCCTGGGCCTGATTAGATTCGAGTCGAAGGGAACGTTCCAATGGCAATATCCGTGACGTGCTTCACCAACGTTTCTTCTACTACTCCACTTTCCGATTCTCGGCCTGTCACCGCCTATATCCCTCTATACAAGAAGTGCCATGGCAGGCCTAGCAATTTGTATTCGTTTTGCTATCGTCGGCCTTTCCCGGCACCATGTTTGGCGGCGGCACGTCTGGTTCCATACCAAGAATATGACGGAGATACCATTGTGAGATGTCTCTCGCAAGATACAGATCAGTCGAGCTTCCATCTACGAACTTCCACAGCAAGAGTGTCTTGTGCCAGCCCTTCGCAACGTCCACGTCGCAGAAATGTAGGTAAAACCCGCCGCAGGCCGTGCTGGCTACAATGTCTGTCACCCGCGACGGCAGACGTAGTGACACGTAGCGGCGGTGTTGTGATGGATCGAGGTTCATGTCCTTTGTGAAGGACCTGTCCTTCACCAGAGTGTAGGACTTGATTGCCTGGAACTCGTTTTGGAAGGCGATGGTTAATTTGCGCGGTTCGAAATGGACGGAGACCCCGAGGTAGCCGCATCCATTGTTTGAACTCATGCTGATTGTGTGGGGTGGTGCGTTGGTCATGTGCGGTCCTTCGGGTAGTGAAGGCGTCTCTTCGAAGTTCGGTACTCAGGGAATGAATATGGTCATGGTCATCAGAGGGCAGACTCAGGGTATCGGGCGATAGCTCGAATGCGTGTTGTCAGTTCAATGTTCCGCGACGAGAACACCACGAACCTGACGTGAGCAGCTACTTTATGTGATAGCAGAACCGGCGTGACCCGGAAGGAAATCTCGCTGATCAAGACTCATGTCATCTACAGCCTGCAGATGAATACTGCAACCCAATGGTCACCGGCGAATGGATTCGAACCAAATACAGTACATGAAGTGTCCATGTGCATCCGCCACCGTCTATGCCCTGCATATGTGGGTTACTCCGATTGGTTCAAGCCCCTCGTCGAGCTGACAAGCCCCCGTTGTGGAGGCTATGCCGGCGGCTGTGCCCATCCACGGATGCCGCAAGGCTCTTGAGATGATGAGTTAGCAGCACAAAAATAGGGCGACCGGCTGTTCTAACCTGTGGCATCTTTTTACTCAGAGCCAGTATATCCAATCATCTTTTATCACAATGGCTTGGACCCTGGATAGTTCTCATCGCGATCCGGAGAAAGGAGAAATCGCCAAGGCCGGGCCAGTCGAAATTGCCATTGGGCAGGACGCAGAGCGGCAGGACGCAGAGCGGCAGGACCACGGTGAGTTCTTCCTACCGTTCCATGGCAACAGCGGCTGAGTCTGCTCAGAACCTGAAGCAGTTCGGGTTGCACGCAACGTGACCGGACTGGGCGATGTTAGCAGCTCATCAGCAAAGTCGATGACCTCTGGGAAAGGAGTCTGTGCTGCATCGATCAGTAGTTTCGATATCAATGCTGCGGCCTCCTGGCGTCCAGGCAGTCCATCTTCCACGGGACGAGTTGCCGCATCTATGCAAACACCCAAAAATGTTCGATCCAGCATTGAGTCATGCAGAGCGCCAGGAGGGCGCCCAACATCCTCCGACGGCGTTAAACCATTTGCACCACACAGCGAGGAAGTAAACTTCATGCCACCAATCCGCACCGGTACATATAATACCACGCGAGGGGATGCAGCTCTTGGTGAGGCGGCAGATCTTGGCCCATGGGTTATCGACCATCACGTCGACAGCCTCATTGCCAGCATAAGGAAGACGAAAAGGAGCGATTATTGGAGCCGATGGAACGAGGGCAGGAGGCCAAGGGTACCAATGAAGCAAAGGACGAATGGGAAAGACCTGATGAGGACAACGACTTTAGAATCAGTTTTGCGGAGCTGCAGCGTATGCGTCTGCAAAAATTGCAGTGCAGATTGGTCAGGCATGTGGCAAATATGAAGAATAGCAGCAGAGAGCCTGACGGGTGGGAAGAAGATCTGGAGGCCTACAGTGAGTACTTGCCTGGAGCTCATGTCAGACATCCGTGTTCCCCTGACAACTGCAACAGTCAAGGCCATCCAGGACTATGACTATATGGTGACCTGCAGCCAGCGTCCAAGGGACCCCTTTCTGGTTACAGGAGAACGAAAGATAGACTCCTATGTGATCCACTCAATCCTCCGTGGTTCGCTGAACGGCGGTTTCGGACGTCCTATACCTGTTGATAACCCCTGGGAAAATGACAACCAGCCCATCGGTGGAACGAGAAACGCCACGCTGGCGAAGAGCTGGATCGACGGCTTCAAGGAACGACTTATCATAGCCACAGTGGCGGGCTTCTTCCTCATTGGGCCCATGTGGCTCATGGTGCTGCACGACACGCTGTACACAACTCTGGGGTCGACCACGGCGTTTGTCACGGCTTTTGGTATTGCCATGGCGTGGTTTTTGGACAAGCCCAAGGAGGTGATGTCGGGGACTGCGGCTTATGCTGCCGTTCTTGTCGTCTTCGTGGGTTTGGCCGTTGATTGAAGCACCAACGTGTCCAGTGCGAGGTTTTGATCTCGAAGACGGGATGGTACCAACGAAGGAGCAGGGAACTTGCAGAGAATGCACTTGGCATATAACTGCAGAGCTGAGAGAGCTTAGATTGCACAGCCGGCTTATTAACATTTCGGATCCTCCACAAGCATAAGTTTCGGCGTGAAAGTTAATGAGAAGGAAGACGTGCATGGAGAGGGGGAGCGAATGACTACCAGAGACCCGATAGTGGAATAACTGTCGTCCTTGGTCCTATCGAGGACAATATGCATGGATGTGACATTGAAATTGACGATACTGGCAGGCTGGGTGGGTGGTTGGGTGACTAAGCATTGGGCATCCTTATCTACATGTGACCTCTACTTATCAGCCTGCCAGCTCTCGTCGCGCTTGGGCCAGCTTAGGTCACCAACATCGGACCCATTCAATGACTGCAGGCAGCGTGAGCTTCGTCGCCTCGTAGTTCGCATCATTTGTTGGTTGGCTTCCCTCCCTCAAGTACATCGATTCGACTGAAGTCTGCACCTGGCGGTTCTCTAATACATCACACCGTTTGCGACCACGTTCACGTTCACATCCCGATCTCGATTCGCCTTCTACCGTTCCCGAATCCAACCAGCCATGGCGGACGCAGCTCTGAAGCCCGAGAGGGACCTCAGCAAGGAGGCTGACAAACAGATCAGCGAGGCAGAGAAGCTTGCCAAGGTAAAGCTGGAGCTCCGCAGAGCGCAATACGAGCCCGAACTGTCATTGACTGACCATTGATCGTAGTCCGACATACAAGGTGCTATCGAGAAGCTCACCGTGTTTGAGAAGCAGGCCCGACAGGTTAGCTACCTTCACCAGCCTCGCTCAGCCAACTCCCACTGACTAGTAGTACATCCGTAGGCTTCGGATCTCGCATCGGCATCTCGTACCTTGGTTGCGATCACCACTATCTGCAAGGATGCCGGAAACTGGAGTCTACTCAACGACCAGGTCTTGGTGCTGTCCAAGAAGCATGGCCAGCTCAAACAGGCCATCACGAAGATGGTCCAGACCGTCATGACGTTCCTCGACGCTACCCCGAACCTCGAGACCAAGCTCACAGTCATCGAAACCCTGCGAACCGTGACCGAGGGAAAGATCTTTGTTGAGGTAGAGCGGGCTCGCGTGACCAAGATCCTGTCCGACATCAAGAAGCAACAGGGCGACCTCAAGTCTGCAATGGATATTCTGTGCGAGCTGCAGGTAGAGACGTTCGGATCTATGGACAGACGAGAGAAGACGGAATTCATCTTGGCTCAAGTTGCTCTGTGCATCGAGAACAACGACTGGAACCAGGCCGGTATCCTCAGCCGGAAGATTAGCACGAGATACCTATCACGAAAGCCGAAAAAGATGCCAGAGCAGGTAGAGAAGGAGAAGAAGGCCCGTGAAGAGAAGCTGAAGCGAGGCGAAGAGGTGCCACCGGAGCAGGAGGATGATATCACAGACCTGAAGCTTGCATACTACGAGCAGCAGATCACACTCGCGAAGCACGACGACAAGTACCTCGATGCGTGCAAACACTACAGACAAGTGCTTGACACCGAAGCGGTGGAGGAAGATCCCTCAAAGCTTCAGCCGGTATGCGCGAAGGGATCTCATTTCTAATTGCATTGCTAATAAATGGTACAGGTTCTTCAACGGATCATCTACTTCGTCATACTGTCACCCCACGACAACGAACAACATGATCTACTTCACCGCATCCACCGCGACACGCGGAACTCCCAGGTCCCCGTCGATACTCAACTCCTCAAGCTATTTACAGTGCATGAGCTTATGCGATGGCCCGAGGTCGCTAAGATGTTCGGACCCCATATCTGCGGAACCGATGTGTTTGACGGCCAGCCCGGGCAGTCTGGAGACGAGAAGGCCCACCAGCGGTGGCAGGACCTGCGCAAGCGGGTCATTGAGCACAATGTCAGAGTCGTTGCGAAGTATTACACTCGCATCGGTATGAAGCGCTTGACACAACTGCTCGACCTGACGGAGGATGAGACCGAGAAGTACATCAGCGAACTGGTCTGCTCTAAGACGGTCTTCGCTCGTATTGATCGGCCGGCGCGGGTTGTTGACTTTGCCAAGCCGAGAGATACGGACGACGTTCTGAACGAATGGAGCCACAACATGAAGAGCTTGCTTGGATTACTGGAGCGTGTTGATCATCTCATCACCAAGGAAGAGATGATGGCGCGGATCCAACCGGGGGCAAAGGGTGGCAAGGACAAGAAGAGTAAGAAGAAGGCGTGAATCTCGTAGGAGATTAGGGTTGGGACGTAATGGCCTGGAGCTCGATGGCTGCAAGGACCGGCAAATACGGGTTTGCATCACCAGGCATGCGATTGTACACTACTTAGATTAGGAGGCATATACTGCCCGTGTAAAACTGGATTGCCTTCTTCTATACTCTGACCCTGCTGTGATCGTCTAATCCGTGTATGTTGTGCAACAAAGCTCTAGTCATATATCGATGTAGCAACAAAATCTCACCTCTTCCTCACAAAGCCTCCGTAGCCCCATCATCCGCCTCCTCACACCGCTGCCTCACCCAGCCCGCCAGCGGCATGACCCAGTCCTTCGCCACCGGCACGTAGTGGCCCCCCGGATGCGTCAGCACCATCGGGTCCCGACACCGCTCGACGAGCCCCTGGCTCCGGCTCTCCTCCACCACGCTGTCCAGACTGCCCAGGAAGTGCAGCGTCGGCGTCGAGATCTGGGGGTCGTACAGCCATTGGAGGTTTTCGGGTGGCGCGTAGAAACCGGAGTAGACTACGCAGAACTTTAGGGGCGCGTTGTTGTTGGCTTCGCGGAGGGCTTGTGCCCAGTTTTGGGCTGGGGTGGGTGATGATGGTGATGAGGCTGGCGGGTTGCGGACTGGATCCTGCTCCAGCGCCGCAGCCACCATGGCCGCGACAGCACCGCCCTGGCTGAACCCCATGACTCCGTCAATACCACCGCCAATCTCACGGATGGCATTCACGATGGTCTGCATGCCATCTTCCAAGCCGCGATAGTTCCCCGTGGCCTCGTCTTTGCGGAACCAGGCCCAGGCGTCGCTGTCCTCATGTTCATCTAGGGAGGTGGAGGAAGGGGTATAGCCGGGGATGTCGGAGGGGCGAAGACGGTGTGGCCCGGTTGGGTAGAGTAAGACGGGGTGCAGGTTTAGGGGGGCCGGTGAGAGGACTTTGAGCAGGAGTTTGGAAAGGGCTTTGGTTTTGGAGGAGAAGAGGGGGCCGGATTGGGTGTAGCCTGGGTATGTTAGCTTTTGTGGTGTGTATGTGTGGGTGTGGTATGTTTCATGTGTATGTGATGCGAGAAGGGGATATGGATGGATGAAGAGTCGGGGTGAGCTCTGACGGAATGACAGTGGTTGATGCCACTGTCGTAGACTCCGAGGCCGGGTATGGCTCGATATGTAAGGTAAGGGATCGGGCGTACCGTGAATCATGAGGATCTTCAGCTCCTTCTTGCCCTTGGGCACGTTGCTGGTCTTCTTATCCTGCGCCGGCTCATTTGCTGAGCTCAGCTGTCCGTTCGTCGACATCACTAGTGAGTGGTTTGAACGGGCCCGTATATGACTGTGTATATGAGAAACGCAAAATGCTGAGAAACGATGGATTGACGATGTGAATAAAATCATGGAATGGGTTTATTGACTTGGGGGCGTGCGGTCTATGAGGATGTGAGGTGTTGACAGTGCCGAGGGCTTACGGGATTTTGAGGTTGTTGATAGCCGGACGGGACCGATGTTCGCTCGGCTGATTATCTGCACTCCCCGGAGGTAGACGGGGACCGTTTCCAACTCCACAACGCCGCCAAAGGGCAAGCAAGTGTTGAAACAGAATTGATCGAACATATCTTTTTTTATCTTAGATTTGACTTTGTTCCATTTATTGGAGATATGTCCAACCCGTCTTGCAGGCCGGTAATTACACCGGCTGAGTCACACGCCGGGAGGGATATGAGATAAGATGAAAGACTGGCAGTTAGCTCCTGGCCATCCATTAAGATTCAACGACTTCACGTATTGTCTCTATAGAGGTCATGAATGATTCCGTCTATACCGATATAATTTTCTTCCGCGAAGCGCAATCCTTGAGCTTCTGCCATTTTTACGGAGGGATTCACGTACATGTTGCAACCCCCAACCGAATCCCTTTCCCTCCAAACGTAAGTACTGATAGGCTATAGACAGAGAGCCATTTGGTACATGCAAGCATATTGAAATAGTTATGATAGTCGTGCTTGCAACCCCCAGTGGGAAGAGTCTTCACTTTTCAAGTTGTTCAGACCAGCGCACAATGGCAGCAGATGGGAACGCAACTGTCCTTGATGTTTGGGACAAGAAGAATTACAAGGAGGATTTGGGCCACAGATATCAAAACTGTAGGCCTTAGGAAACCCCAAGAAGATACTTTAAGAGGCATACGACACTCCACAGTGGCTGATATCAAGAATCACGATAGCATTGCACCTACTTCAGCACGCAGCGATGATACATGGGATCGCACTCAGATAGCAAGGATATGAACTGAGAAAGATATATCGGCTGGAGTAGGGCCTTGTTCGTGGCGCCACGGAAAATATACAGCTAGTGGGCTGAAGTTGACATCGTCACGGAAATATCGCATGGCTCTTGAGGTACAAATGGGTATGCGTCGAACGCGGCTCTCAATTTGTCGCGATCTCCCAGTCTATGATACAGTCCTGCCTCGTCCGCGCTCGGGATCGCTTCGGCCGTCTATGATACGTTTCGCAGGACATTGTCGTTTTCGCACTTCCTATTCCGACGCTGTTGTCACTCCATCCAATCCAGCTTAGTGACCAGCCTTGGCGTTCGGGTTGCGCGGGTCGTTCTTCCACTCGTCGGCTAAGTAAAGTGTCAATGGCCTGTGGTTGTCGTTGTGTCTCTGGTGTTCTGTTCGACACATGGGGTACGTACACTTCATCATGGATGTTTGCGCGGCGTTCACTCCGTATAGGATAACCAGACCTGCTCGTTCGTCAGAGGGCTGTCCATTTCGGCGCTGATGTCAGCGAGGAAGATGTGCGATATCGTACCGGCCGCGAAGAAGGGAGCCATGGGCTTCACTGTTGTCACCTCTTGTTAGCAGCCGTCGCACAACGGTTGAGACGGAGGCTCTTTTGGGGGGGGTCTCAATTGACGTACGGACTGGCGCCGGGAACTTCTTGAGGGGGGCAGCACCAAGCCAAGACATCTTGACGGATTTGTTCGGAGGCGTTTGGGTGGTTTAGAGGGAGCGATTGTTGCGGTTGATCTCAGGCCAAGACTGTCGTCGTGGTCTAAGGCGAGTGGTTTTCAAAGGTCCTTGCTGGAGCTATGTCTCTCTGCTAGCGGCTGAGAGTGGTGGCTAAGCTATTGTGGCTTGACTGAGAGTAGATGTGTTGTGTGGCTTGTGAGCTGTGTCAGTCCGGAACCCGGCGTAAGTGTAGCACCGGATATAGCACCAGATGTACCTAGGTACCTGCCCAGTGAAGCCCCGGCCCCGGGGGCCCGATGGGTGCATGAGGTCCCCTGATGTGACCCGGAATGGGCAAAGCTGAAGTCCGCGGGCCCACCCTCTGGTGATTGATGTCATCCTCCAAGGGCTTGGAGGCGGCAGCTCAGCTGTCTGCTGTCCCCTTCAAGCAACGGCAAGCGACGTTAAAACCTGGGAGATAAACAGCTCGAACTCACACCTCCAAACACTGAAGCTTCCAGCATATTGAATGCGGGGGGATACAACCGAATAAATTGAGCCAATTATCGTCGATACTGCCCGCCATCACGCCGAATTGCTTCTCGGCTGTCAGCCTGTCAACCTGCCAATTCGATCAACTGCCTTGCGGGATCTCCATTTCTGCGTTGTGAACTCAGGTCTCTTCCCCGCGATAAAGCCCGCAGCTGCATCAGCCCCCCTTGCACAGGACCTGCACCACAGGCAATCAGCGTCTTCACTTCACCACAGCCATCCTTGCTTTGGCATTCCTCCGCACACCTTCTGGTACACTGTACCTACACACTGCCCGCAATCCTGCAGTTAGGTGCTGAAGACAACAACTGTCACCCTCTGCCTTCAGCTGTCCCCCTTGTTTACGAGGGAATTGAACACACATTCCTCTCCCCAAGTCTCTCTCCCCAAGCCGCGCACATCAACCACTCCCCATCATGTTGACCCGACGCATTGCACGAGCAGCGACAGCAGCTCCGCGCTCCTTGCGAGCGTTGAGCTCGACTGCTGCTCAGCAACGTGCCCCCTCCATCGCCGACGTCACACCTGCGGGTGTCGACTCGTTCAACGCAAAGCAGAAGGAGTTCCGCGAGCAGACGATCAGGGCGCAACAGGAGCGAGAAGCAAGTAGGTCCTCTTCAGCCAAATCCAAATCCTCTACTTCCTCCGGTGCCTCTCCCAACGACTCCGGTTCCGGTGAGGGCCTCGGCTCATTGACGTCTTCTGCAGGACGAAAGGCCGAAGCCGAAGCGGCCAAGGGCAAAGAAGGAGCTGACCATCCCGACGGACTGCTGTCGCGCGTCATTTATGGCACCAAGGAAGGCCGCGAGATGGATGCCCAGCTCGAGGCGAGCTTCTCGGCCGTCCTGGCTCGCGGCAAGTACGTCCACTCTATCGTGTTCCACCAGGTCTACCCCGACAAGGTGGAGGAGTACATGGAGCTGGTGGGCAACTGGTATCCGAAGATGGCTTCCATGGAGGAGAATAAGGTTCACCTCGTGGGAAGCTGGCGAACAGAGGTTGGCGATTGTGACACATTCGGTGAGTTACTGCGTAACTGGACCCCTTAACATTCGCAGCGAGCGCAAACTGACGCCAGTCCACCCACCCAGTTCACATCTGGGAATACCAGCGCTACCAAGGATACCACCAGTCCCTGCACTCCATCTCGAGACACCCCGACTTCCCCGAGTTCGACAGGAAGCTCAAGACCCTGATCAAGTCTAAGAACACGTCCATCATGCAGGAGTTTTCCTTCTGGCCCACCACCGCGCCCCGCCAGCTCGGCGGCGTCTTCGAGCTGCGCTCCTACACCCTCCACCCCGGCAATCTCCTCGAGTGGGAGACCCACTGGCGACGCGGTCTGAAGGCGCGACGTGAGGTCATGGAAGGTGTCGGAGCCTGGTTCGTGCAGATCGGCGACCTGAACACCGTCCACCACCTCTGGCAGTTTGCCGACTTGGAGGAGCGAAAGGTCCGCCGAGAGGAGAGCTGGAAGCAGGAGGGCTGGGCCGAGACGGTGCACAAGACCGTCCCGCTCATCCAGTCCATGAAGTCCAGGGTTCTGGTCCCGATGCCATGGTCTCCCGTGGCTTAAGCTTAAGCTCATGGGTGGAAATCATTGTTTGCAGCTTGTTTGCGGTTCGGAGTGCGGTTAGCACAGGGACAACCTACCGTTTGGGTTTAACGGTTTGATGGTCAAGATTGGAGTTCTGAGGGCGAACTGTACCCGTCAATGGATGATGGATGGCTTTGCTGATGATGAGACTGGGAATGGTCTGGAAAGAAGGAAGTTCTGAGCAAGGAAAGGGAACAATTATTGTGTACACTATCGAGAGTCGAGGACTTTTGCGCCTCGCGAGGTTTGCAGGGTCCAGAGACCACTACTTTGCGCGAGCCTCCCTATCGTCGGGGAATGACAGATACCAAAAGAGAAAACAATTCGGCCCAGAAAGCAGGATTGCACATCACTTAAGGGGTACACTCAGCCCTCGTAAGTCTCCGTACGCACCATCCATGTTGGGAGGATTCCAGATCACACATCAAATGGAAATTTGGAAATACTGTAATAAGCAGACTGGACAGGAATAAGCAACTTTGGTTTAGTACAATATGCCACTACTAATGCTTATTCCATGGTGCTTATTCCGGATCGATAAATGTACCGTCCAAACGTTTGCTGGACGGGTGGGTGGTGTACGGAGACTTATGAGGGCTCGGTGTACCTACCAGTGATACTGTTTAAGTAGGTACTGTGTTTCCAGTTGAAGCCGAGTCATTGGCAAGCGGCATTTCCCAGGTATCATAATGCTTTCTATAACAAAACTGCCATAACGAATCCTCCGCAACTCCATTTCGAATGTTTCGAGCCCGACCAAATGCAAACGCATACTACTGCGCAAAAGCCCTCCAGCTCTTTCAGCGCCCCCTATCAGTCAGTCCTCGGTCCACACCTCCCCCATAACAGCAGCCAAGTTCCGCCTGGCCAGATTCAGGGTATTCGCCAGCGCACCCAGCTTGGCCGACATGGACAAGAGGCTCGGATCCGCACTCTCGACCCTGACCTTCTCGCGCACAAAGACCTCGACCTCGTCGGCGCCCTTTTTGGCGGTGGCATCTTCGAATCCTACTCCCCCAGTCTTGTTGGCGTCTGATGGACTGACGGGATTCCTCACGCCGCCGGCGCCGCCCGCGGCGTCCTCGACGTGCGTGCTCTCGTCGCAGCAGTACCCGAACACGCGATCCGCCTCGTCGTGCTCGAGGCGCCTCGCCGTGCCGATCGCGAAGGCGAGCTTGGCGCCGAGGTTCATCGGCGCGTCGGCGGGTTCGAGCGCGCGCAGGTAGAGGACTAGGCTGGCGTCTTGGATCGTGAGGTAGAAGGACAGGTTGCGGCTCGTGGGCGGCAGGAAGTGCGACAGCGAGACTGAGGTGCGTGTCCAGCCTGTCGGGTCCGTGGCGCGGGGGATGGTGGGGGTATTGGTTGGCGAGTGGGAGGACGAGGAAGAGGAGGATGGGCGCGATCGGGAGGAGGATGGGGTTCGGCGGGTCTCCGGGATGCTGGGCGGGCCCTTGATGATGGCGGACGCCTCGGCGAGGTGCTGCGCCAGCAGGCGGAGCTGCGTCGACAGGAAGGACGCCGTCCAGGCGGCGGGGCCCTCGGACACGCACAGCGCGACCAGGTCGACGGCCTCGGTGAGGAGTGTGTTCAGCGTCGCGAGCGCGGGCAGGTGGATGGGCCGCGAAGGGTCGATGGCCATGGTCTGCGGCGGCAGGGTGCGCAGCTTCAGGTGCACGGTGCCCTTCACTATGCGGGTGCCGACGCGCGTGACGTGGCCCTTGACCGCCTCGTTGTTGCGGGTCGAGAGCACGAGCGTGCTGCCCGGGTCGATGGGCGCGAGGAGCGCGTAGCTGTCCTCTAGGCCGTGCTTGAGCGACTTGAGGGTCTCGTGGAGGGTCGCGAGGAGCCAGGTGAGCTCGCGGTCCTGTGGGGGTTGTGAGTGTCGGTGTAAGGGCAAGCTGGGGGTCGGGCAGGGTGGTGGGTATGGGGATTGCAACAGGACGTAGTCGTCGTGGAGGAGCATGGTGGCAGCGAGTACAGGGAGCTTGGGCATGTGACGATGGCGGGACTCGGTCAAGAACAGGAGGTTTGGGAGCTGCATACCTGGGTGGCATCTTCCTCGATTTTAAGCTGGTCCGGCGCAATTGAAGGCCAGATCTCAACAGACATCGTGGTGTATCGTTCTCGCTGTCTGGCTGGCACAGGCAGCCATGTCTTAGCGGGCCATTGGACAGTGGCGATGGTGTTGAAGCCGGCGCGATGTCGCATCAAGCTGGCAGTTGGGAGTTGGGAGGTGTGGGGAGCTTCGCCGGGGCACAGGGGCAGACACCTGTGCTTACTCAACGGGGTGAGCGGTTAGGGCAGCTAAGCTGCAAGAGTACTAGCGCCGAGGAGCTAATCAACCTGCAGCCCTGCAGACGGGACCCCACCTGCCCAAATTAATAGTGGGCGGAAAGCTTCAAACTAAATTCTTTAATCGATTCCCTCAATGCGCTTTTCGACACCGCCAGCGCCTACTGAATTGACATGACGACAGAGCTATTGGAGTCTGTACACCTCTTCTGTCTACCTGGTGGATGACCCAGGGTCTGATAGTGTTCGCATTCTTCTTCAACACCTGCCATAATGTCCGCTGAGACAGGCAACCCATCGGCGGAGCTTCCACAGCTGCCTGAAGGCAACAGCAATGTACACAAGCTGCCACCTGTACCGAAAGGTAATGACTCTTCACCGCATGCCCGACGCAATCTGTCACTAAGCAACGTCCACCAGGCGCGACAGTCCGCCGACGCTCCGTACCAGCTCGGACCGCATCCACCCGCTCCACGAACCGCATCTACGTGACGCCCAAGACGCCCTTCCGCTCCGTCAGCAGCCGCGTGCGCAAGCAGCTCGACAAGTACCTGCAGCAGGCCTCGAACGACGTGCGCTCGTCCGCAAACTACCTCGCCAGAAAAAAAGACGCATCGCTCAAGGAGCGCGTGCACCGGATCCAGGCCGTGTCTCGGAGGGGCAACGGCGGCGGCGGGCTGACGGACCTCGAGGACGCGGGCGAGGTGCTGGTGTGCGGGACGGGACGCGCCATCCAGAAGGTCGTCGAGGTCGCGCTGTTCTTCCAGAAGCAGCCGGATTGCATCGTGCAGCTTCGCACGGGCAGCGTGGGGGCCGTGGACGATGTCGTCGTGGAGGGCGAGGAGCAGTGGGGAGCCGAGGGCGAGCAGAGGGCTAGGATGATGAGTTCTCTGGAGGTGTCTATCAAACTCCGTTGAGGACTAAACCACTGCAACAAGAGATTGTATTTTCAGCAACCAGACTTCGTTGTGAAACCCCTGTTCGCCAAGCAAATCTTGAAATCCGTACACTTTGGTATTTCGGTGTGGTGCCGTGCCCGTCAGAGCCGGAAAACAAGTGGCTTGGATGGTATGCGCTCCGTAGACCGGAGACGGCTCCTCGGAATACGACGGCTAGTCCCCCGAAACACTGGGTCCAATCGGAACGAATGAGGGCTACCATCGACTAGAACATACTCATATCTATAGTGATATACACCAAGGGAATCTCAGAGGATCTAAATTCATCAGAACTCAAGTCCTCGAGTCCATGAAGCCGTGACCAGCATTAAATAGACCAATCAACATGGCTTCCACTGGCAATGCCTCCTACATCATAGTAGGAGCCGGCGTATTCGGGACACCGACCGCGCTGCACCTCATCACCAAGTATCCCAACGCCAGCATAGCCCTAGTCGACCGCCACGCCCCCGACGCACCAACGCGCGTGGCAGCATCATGGGACTGAAACAAAGTCGTCCGGGCCGACTACCGGGACCTGCTGTACTGCCGCATGACCCTAGAAGCGCAGGACATATGGCGGACCGATCCGCTGTGGAAGACCTTCTACCACGAGAGCGGCATCTACTGGATCAGCCGGAGCGGGTTTGCGAAGCAGGTCATCGACAATTTCAAGCAGCTAGGCCGCACGGCTGAGGTGTATTCCCTGCCTGTCGCGGAAGCTCGCAAGTTGTATGGGGGGCTGTTCGACGAGGCGGATTACACGGGTGTTAAGCATGTCCTGATCAACAAGACTAGCGGGTGGGCGGACGCCAAGAGCGCCCTGCAGGCCGTGATTGAAGAGGCGGTGCGGCTCGGCGTCAAGTACGTGACGGCCGAGGCGGACAAGCTGGAGTTTGATGAGGAGGGGGGTGGTGCTTGTACGGGTATACGCACCAGCACGGGGCGAAGCTTGACGGCTACGCATACGATCCTTTCGACGGGGGCTTTCACGCCGAAGCTCCTGGAGAAGACGGCTGATGCCACGGGTCGAGATGCGTTCAGAGCTGGGGATCGGATCGTCGCTGCGGGGGTGACTACGGGACTGGCGACGCTGGATGAGGAGACGGCGAGGGTGTTTGCGAGTATGCCGGTTTGTATCCAGGAGAACCCGCCGGAGCGAGGTATGGCTACTTCTTCTTTTTTGTCACCTCCAGGTGTGGTCTCGGGGTTTGCACGGTAGTCCGTGGAAGCCTACACTCATCCCCCCATACAGACGTTTCTCCCCCATCATCGTCATCAGTCTCTCATACCCCTAGAGCAACTAACTGTCTTCCACTCACTCACACATTTTCATTTTCCAGGCGCAAGCAACGGAACCCTACCGTTGAACAAAGACAGGCAGTTGAAATGGTGGGGCCAATACATATTCAGGAACACGCAGGAGACGCCAGCCGGACGCCAGATCTCAGCGCCGCCCCCGGATCCTGACTACGCACAATGGGACGTCCCCGACGTTCTGAAGAAGGACGTCGGCTTCGCCAACCGAGTGACGTTTGGCAAGCGCGGCGCGGCGTAGAAGATGGAGTCGCATCGCATATGCTGGTGAGTTTCTACTTTGCCCTTGCTCGCTGTACAAGTCAAGTTCAGCCTAGGTAAGGTAAGTAAGAAGATATTGACCTGCGCGAAAGGGACGCCGTCACGCCAAGCGAGGACTTCATCATTTCGCCACACCCGGCGGCGTCCGGAGGAGGCCTCTACGTGGCGACGTGCGGCTCGTTCCACGGGTGGAAGTTCTTCCCTGTCATTGGCGACTATGTCGTGCGCATGCTGGAGGGCGAGCTGGAGGCTGATCTCGTGGAGAGGTGGGCTTGGGATCGTGCGTTGCCGGATCCGAGGGGGAATGTGGTCTGGCCGAGGAAGGAGTTGAAGGACTTGCAGTGATTTACGCACGGGGTTTTGGTCCCTTTGAAGGAAGGGGCGTTTTTGGGGGCTCGGGATATCGTTGCTAACTTAACCGGATTGGAGTAGAGTTTTGGCGCATGTGACGGCTCTATCACCAGCTACCTATATTTATATAGGATAGTCGATCTAGCTTCACTGCAAGCAGCCAACAGAACTTAGTTTAGTTCCCGTGAGACATAAGCAGCCATTCGGGATGTGCGGTCAATTGCGCCTGGGCATGATCGCTTAGCCCAGGCTTACTTTATCCGCTTGATTGGAGAGCATGCTTCGTCCGACAACCGCTTGCTATATGACGACGAGGTTATTCGGGGAAACTGTAGAATAATGCATTGCTCCCCGCCATTTTGTACGGCCTCCCTAACGGTTGTTGAGAGGTGTCCGTGCTTCGATTTTGTTACGTCGCAACAGCTCAAGGATGGTTCTTAACCATAGTCGTCATAAGTGGGGTTTCAACCCCTGTTTTCTTCAACACCTTCCAACCGCAGCGGCGCAGTCTCATCTGCGTAGATGACAGCTCCCCCAAACTTCTAAGCCCCCGATAATAACAACAATTCCGTTCTACAGCGATTCTGCAGTGCCACTTCGGCGTCCTGCTACTCGGCTCGGTCCGGCAATGTCTCACTTTCCCCCGATCATCAATTCATCCGTTTCCGCTTAATCTGCCCTCTGTCTAGTGAGGTCTATACCGGTAGTCGTCGTACATACTTCTTTCCCGTGACATGTCAATTTGATTAGGTCTCTGGAAATATCCCGACTTTCGGAAATGTCTTGTAAGCCGGCAAACACCTACGTCGTGTGTCCCCACGACGAACGTCCTCTTTCCCTGCTGACGAACCTCCCCAGTGGCCATAGCAGGCGCAGCTGCTGGGGCAGCGGCGCTCGCCGCCTACGTCGACGCCAAGTTTCTGGTCCGCAATGACATCCGCGTAGGCAGCAAGAAACTGACCATGCTCCGCCTGATGTACACGCTGCGCAAGAGGATCAAAGCAGACAAGCTGCTCATCTACGACATCTTCGAGGAGCGCGTCAGGACCCCCATGGGCGACCACGTCTTCCTCATCTTCGAGGGTCGCCAGTGGACGTACACCGAATTCTACCGGGCGCTCCAGCCGGTCGGGAATTGGCTGTTGAAGGACCTCGACATCCAGCGGGGAGAACTGGTCGCGGTGGACGGCGGAAACAGTCCGGAATACGTCTTGCTTTGGTTCGCGCTGGAGGCCATTGGTGCCGTGCCGGCTTTTCTGAATTGCAATTTGACGGCTAAGCCGCTTGTGCACAGCATCAAGCTCTGCGGTGCGCGATACGTGCTCGCGGACTCGGACGTCCGCCCTCTGGTATCGCCAGTGGAAGAGGAACTCTCGTCTGCTGGGATAAAGACGGTTTATTACAACCCAGAGCTCTTCCAGACATTCGCAGACACGGAGCCCCTCCCGCTCTCCCGCCGTCAGAACACCGACCTTGAGAGTATCGCCAATCTGATGTACACGTCCGGCACGACCGGGCTGCCGAAAGGCGTCGTCATACCCCGGCTACGAGAGCTGATTTTCGCTCTGGGCATCGGCAACATCACACATCTACGCCCCGGCGACCGCATGTACACGTGTCTCCCGCTCTACCACGCCACAGCGCACAGTCTCTGCACCCTCTCGTGCATCGGGATCGGCGCGACGGTGGTGCTGTCGCGCAAGTTCTCGCACAGGACGTTCTGGCCCGAGATCCACGCCTCGCGCGCCACCATCGTGCAGTACGTCGGCGAGCTGTGCCGGTACCTCGTCAACGCACCACCAAACCCGCTGGACCGCGGCCACGCCGTGCGCATGGCGTGGGGCAACGGCATGCGGCCCGACGTGTGGGACCGGTTCCGCGAGCGGTTTGGGATCGAGATTATTAATGAGCTTTATGGTGCTAGCGACGGCATGGGGTTCTCGACCAACCCGAACCGCGGCGATTACTCGCGCAACGCCATCGCGGTCCGCGGCCCGCTGTGGCACCTGCTGAACGGTGGCGGCGAGAGGCGCATCCGCATCGACCCGGACTCGCAGGAGGTGCTGCGCGGGCCCGACGGCCTGGCGATCGAGGCCCGCACGGGCGAGGCGGGCGAGATGGTCAACTGGATGGACCCCAATACACCAGAACAGGGCCCGCCTCGGTATTTTGGTAATGAGGGCGCGATGGTGAAGCGGCGCATCAGGGACGTGTTTAGGAAGGGCGACCTGTGGTTCCGCAGCGGCGACCTGATGCGTCTGGACGCCGAGGGTCGCCTGTTTTTTGTTGATCGGCTCGGCGACACGTTCCGGTGGCGCTCCGAGAACGTGTCGACTAGCGAGGTCAGCGATGTGGTCGGGTCCTTCCCGCAGGTCGCTGAGGCGAACGTGTATGGGGTGCTGGTCCCGGGCGCGGACGGGCGGGCCGGGTGTGCGGCTGTTGTGCTGACGGAGGGGACGGCGACGGAGGCGGAGGCGGATGGGAAGGGGGGCGCGAAGACGTTGGATTGGACAGCGTTGGCGGACCATTGTCGTGCGAACCTGCCGAGCTATGCGGTGCCCATCTTCATAAGGGTGGTGAAGGAGCTTGAATATACCGGAACCATGAAACTGCAGAAGGGGCGGTTGAGGTCTGAGGGCATCCAGTTGGACGCCATTGAGAAGGCGGCGAGGGAGAAGGGCGAGGCTGTGGATGCGATGTTTTGGCTGCCGAGGGGCGCGGGTGGTTATGTGCCTTTTACTGAGAAGGACCTTCGGGAGCTCCAGGGTGGGAGGGCACGGTTGTAAATTGGCAACTGGGCGATGTGTACTCAAGTGTATATATATGAGTTATGAGACATGATCGGACGTAAGGGGAGTCTGAAGGAAGGGAATTTTACTGTGCGGATTCTACTAGCGGACACGGCACTGGGTGCGTACACTTCCGCCAGTCGATCTGCAGCGAAGCTATTACTTGGTGCCAGTGGAATGGTGCAATAGCTTTAGACGATTTCATCTAGCTCTTCTGACATGGCGTAATCGAGGCTTATTATGGAGATTTTACTTCGAGGGTTTCGCCATTCTTGCTTGAGTCCTGCTTGTGGGTCCAGATATAGGGGCATGAACTGACCTCGACCCAACCATCAGAAGCAAGTTTAGGTTCAGGTAGAATCTGCCATTAATGTTAGAAACACATACTGAGGCACGTCGCTGGTCTGCCATGTTGGAAGGTGCATTGCACAGTGGGAATCCACCATGTCGGACGTCTCGCTAGCCCTGGAGATTCCGTTCTCCAGCATCCTTTATATGCACCAATTGAAACAGCCAGCTACAGGGAAGGGCTTGTGAGGGGAAATTGTATGAATTCCTGGTCCAAGCTGCACGCGCCGAGTTGCTCACCATCACGAAGGTAGTTATAAGTACTTGAAGAACTAATTATTACTATTAGAGAGTGTGTACGTCGGAAATATGATACCTAATAAAAGTCCAGCAGACATGGGAAATACGCGCGAGCTATTTTGTGACTGAGAGTGAAGGAGGTCTGTAGCATTCGCCAGCATTTCATGCTGAAGGATGGGAAACCCAGTGGGAAAAACCAATCACAATGCATCTACCTCTCGTGAAGTCGTGACCTTTGCGAGCCGATGCCCCGTACAATGATCTCGAGATGAAGTAGAAGCAATCATGCCTTCTTCGTAAAGGTCTTGCCCTCCGTCTAATCAACAACGTCCTGATACGGCCACGCCTCAGCGAGGGTGGTACCTTGCCGCCGGAGAACCACAGCATCGACATCGAAGCAGTCGCGCCCGTCCTTCTCCCCGTCGTCGTTGCAAACGTCGTATAGCTGCTTTCCCTACGTCATGTGGCAGAACTTGCCCTCGGCGACGTTGAGGAAGTTGGGGCCGAGCGAAGTCTCGCTCTCACAGAGCGTGGTCGCGAGATGCTGGGCGCGCTCGGAGACGACGAGCCGGCCGCCGGACTTCTCCTCGTCCGTACGCTTCTTCCTGACGGCCCGAGTCTCGTTCCGCGCGATCTCGGGGAAGCCGTGGGGCCAGGAGATCCCGGCGGATTCGGTGCCATTTCCAGACCCCTCATCGTCGCCGTGAAGATGGTGTTCCTTGCAGTGGCACCTGGCGGGACAATGCATCCAGTCAGGGTTGTCCTCGTACCGAACGGAGAAGATCGATTTGTCGCCCATAATCTTTGGCCTTCAAGGCATCCTTCCCCTCTTTGTCTCCCGGCAGGTCTTTATCTGTGAAGTAGAAACTTGGCCAGTGGATCTGGAAGCCCGTGACGGAGGTCTTGTTCTCGTCGCCGCCGTACTGCTGGAGCCACATGCAGGCGTCGACGTAGTCTCTGCTGTTGATGTAGACGTTTGAGTAGAACCACGGCACGCCGGCGGGCTGCGCCCAGTCGCCGACCCACGCGTAGTGACTGCGGTCGTTCCACTCCGTGGTAATTTAGGCAATGCAGAGGGAGTCATCGCCTCCCGTGAACAGCGTGTAGGGTGACTGATGCTCCAGGATGTGTTTGTCTTCCGGGATGATGTGTACCGTTTCGTGCGCGCCGTTCTCGATGAATTGGCTGTCGTTCGTGGCGAATCCGCCTACGTATACGCAGTTCTCATTCCAGGCGCGGATGGATGGGAAGGTGCCGGCGCCTCCATCGAGACCGTTGTAGACATCCAGGCCCAGCTGGATTTTATAGGTGTGACCCCCCAGGTGCCATATATAGTGATGATCGGCGTCGACCTGGGCGAACTGGCCTGAGAAAAAGTTGACAATGCCTAGCGTGGAGGCATATATGCCAACGGTTGATGCTAGAATTCCCAATCCTGCCATGATGCTGTCTTGTGCGTATGGGCGGGTGTGGAGGTGGGGAGTATATGTGTCGAAGGGAAGCCGTGATCCGTTCGGCAAATGTAGAGGGGTATGATCTGCCGGGCGAAGGATCGGGAACGAAAGATGGGATATGCTGGATATATAACTCGGGCGCTGCTAGGGCAAGCCATAGTACACCCACGGTTCCCCATCTGTTCCGATCTCATCCTCGGTTATGCAAAACAGTCGACGTTCGGAAAGTTTGATCAGGAATTATGCTTAAATAATAATCCGGTTATAGATGTAACCAGAGATATGTGTGGCAAGATAGAAGGTCGTATGTCTATTGTCATGGTTTACTGCTGCTGGATGGTCTATGTGTATGTGAAATGGGTGTCACGTGACCGGAAACTGGAACGCCTGGCCAGGCATAGCCGTCTATTGACTAGTACTAGATTAATACTTGGTTGGGCAGCTTCGTGGGACGGTCTCGCAATAACCATGGTGCGCCAAGTCATTCAGACCTTGTTGTTTGAAAGAATGCAAGCCCAAGTCCTCTTCATCGATGAGCACGACTTCATAGGCATCTCGGATATCATGAAACTGCAAGTGCCAGTGGTCCTAGGCAGTACGACAGGACAGCAACTAATGCCGGACCCAACATTGGCATGAGCATGGGCACGGGTAAATCAGCGACAGTTCCTGTGATCGATGTTCTCTAGTATATGACCCCTCTTGTCTCCTAGACGGTCCGACCCATGCCCTCCCCCCTCACCCCCCGTCAAGCCTCAATACAGGAGCGCGGGCTCTGGGTGTAAAATCCCGCGCAGCTTCAACCGAAAGTCTTGGTGGCCTTGACTCCGAACAGCTCCTCGGAGTTCTTATACGCAATCCTCTCCAGCTGATCCGGCGTAACCAATCCGCTCGCCTCCAGCTCCCTCATGAACGCCAGCCCGTCCTCGTTCTTCGCAAACGGGTAATCGACACTATACAGAATATGCTCTATCCTCGTGTTCCGCAGGATAGTCGCCATGGGATCGACGCTCCAGACGCCGCTTGTCGTGATCCATATATTCTCGTCGTAGACCTGCCGGAAGAGACGCGTCCTCTGCCCCCAGCGGACAGACAGCTGCGCGATCCGCTGCAGCATGAACGGGAGCATCTCGCCCATGTGCCCGACGGCGATCTTGAGCCGGGGGAACTTGTCGAAGACGCCGGATGCGAAAAGCCGCAGCACGTGCAGCGCGACGTCGGAATGCCAGCCCCAGCCCGAGGCCCCCATGCTCGCGCTCGCGCCTGTGGTGAAGTTTCCTGTGTACAGGAGGTCCGTCTGCACCTGCGTTGGCCAGGTCGGGTGCAGGTATATGGGCACATTCAGCTCCTCTGCTGCCTCCCAGAAGAGAAGGTATTCCTCCCCGTCGTAGTACGTGTTACCGTTCCGGTTGTCGATGAGCGCGCCGACGAATCCCAAGTCCTTGATGCAGCGGCGGAGCTCTTGTGCCGAGTGCTCCGGGTCCGCCATGGGCAGGACGGCAAATCCGGCGAAGCGGGTGGGATTGGCTTTTATGGCCGCGGCACACTGGTCGTTGGCGGCTCTGCACTGCTCCAGGGGCATCCCGCCCGGCACGTGGGACATGATCTGGAAAGAGACGTGGCCCTGGTCCATGGACTGGAGTCGTAGGGGACCCGTGTCCTGCATCTTGTCGGACAGTCCGGGGATGTGCGCCAGCTGCTCGGAGTAGAGTTTCCGGAGGGACTCGGCGCTAGATGCGAGGAAGTGCTCCTCGAGAGTAATCAGGGGAGGAGTCATTCTGACGAAGGCCTTCGATATAGTAAAAAGGACGGTACCAGCAGTCTCAGCTATTGATTCGTGTAGTGAAGTAGGAATCGAAACTCCCCATCCGGCTACAACATGCTTTAAGTAATGTGAAGTCGTGACGCAAGGACACGCGAGGCAGGTGGGGGATGATGTACCCATGCAGCAAGCCGGTGTAGTATGCAATCCAGCTTAGTCTCCTATAGGTGTTAACTTGCACGTCAAACTCTCCTACAGACTACAGTCAGGCATCACGGACTAACAATAGTACCCCGAAGCAGAGTAGGTAAGCTTCCATGGGAGTACACCGTTTCAGTTGGTGCCCTTTTTGGCAGATCTACATTGTCCAGACCGCTCGTGCCTATGCACGTATGCTCTCTTTTCAAACAGCCCCTGAACAATGGTGCCGACATACAAAGAACTCAGGGCCTTACAAGACAATCTTCCTTGTTCTCGCGACAACAATGACATTACATACAATGCCAGCATCGCATTGTGACATGCCAAGATAGCTGCGCACCATGGTTCAAGGAAATGACCCTTTTCCTGCATCAGCAAGCACGATCCTATATAAACCAGAACCCCCTTTTCCGTTGACTCAAGAATCTCAAACCCCCAATCAAATCGACACCACAGCCAAAGGTAAGCCAACACACACCTCAAACCGAGGAAGAAAAAGAAAGCACAAGGCTTACCCACCTACCTACCTACCCATCCACCCCCAATGGCGTCCTTCGGATCCTACCGCGACCACTTAACCCAGCGCAGCGACCACTACACCGCCGCCGCCGACGTCGACTACCTCCTCCTCCAGCTACCCGGCAGCGGCTGGGACGCCTCCGCCATCGCGCGCTTCACGTCCAGCCCCGACGCCCAAGCGGGCGTCGTTCAAGCGCCCTACCCCGAGGACGCGTACCGCTCTGCGTACGTTCTAGCCGTGGAAACGATCCAGGAGAAGAGCAGTCTGGTGAACGCCGTGAGCGCCGCGAACCCCGTGCTCCTCCTGGCGCCGTTCAAGGGCGATGGGAACGAGCGACCGCAGCAAGTGCTGCGGGGCCTGGTGGTCAACCTGCTGGAGCGGGTTCTGCCGCTCCTGGGGCCCGACGCGAGTCCGGACTCCGTGCACGGGTTACTGGCTGGGACGTATGGGGGTTTGTTCTGGGACTACGACGTCTTGGAGATCGAGGAGGGACTGCGGGCTCTGGAGGGTTTGGAGCGGTTGGTGGCCCCGGAGGCTGCTGCTGGTAAGCTTTTGTGTCTTGTTGTTGATGTTGATCGCGCTGAAAGCGAGGAGACGTGGGAGCAGGTAAGGCGGTTTACCAGTGTGCTGGAGAGGCTTTTTGTGACGGGGGGCTTGGGCGATGTGCTGTTCTTTGTGAGCCGGCCGTATGACATTGTTAGATATCATAACAATGATAGGATGATAACATTGTGAGACAGGCTGTCAGGTAGCTTTAATGGCTGTATGCGCTAAAGCGCTAGCTCCAGAGCATTTATAATAACCCTATAGCCCTATAAACCCTAGCTTCTAATTGGTCCAATTCGGACATGTCTATTATAATTATCTGGTTATTTAAGGGATTATTAGTTATATAATAGAAGCTTTTCTTTCAAAAGATATGATTTTTTTTCTTTTAATATAAAATATTTTTAATTTTAATATAAAAGCATTTTACTTTTGATTACAACCTTTATAAATGTTTGAATACTTTTAATTACTTTTGATTTGCTTTTTTCATTTTATAAGGTTTAATTACCTTTATCGCTATATATTTTTTATTAATTTATGAACATTAATTACTTTCTTTATTATAGTTTCAAATTATTCCTTAAATACGATATTATCTTTCAATATAAAGGCTTTTTGTGCGCGAAAGTTATTCATTGTATCGTATTTAACGTTATTATCATATCTTCAATTAACGTTAATGTGTTTTTGTTTAAGTTATTATTAAGCTTTTAAATTATTAAAAGCTTAATGTCAATGACAAGCAAGCGGCAATTACAAGCGAACGGCAACTTTTTACCAACCTCACAACTGCCATGTCAAATAATTTAATCACAACTGTCACGGCGAGCGTACTGAGGAGCTGGGACATGGCCGGCAGCAAGCAGCTATTACTCTATTGACGAGAATATCAAGACTAGAGAGGAAAGGAAGAGAGAGAGAGATAGGTACAGTGGGAGGTTGCCCCTTTAAGGGGATCCTCTGGTCAGATCCTTCCCCTATTAGGAAGTATCCACTTGTCATGTGGAAAGGTCTGTGCAGGCCGTCACAACAACACATTCAATTCAATTCAATCAATCGGATTCCTCTTCTTCAGACGTTTCTATCTTTATTGTACAAGTTTGCGCATTATGGCCAGTATTGCCGCAAATGCCACACCGTCGCTCACGCGCTGCCTCCCTCCTTAGACGACATTATCTTCATCTATTTCCTGTCTTGCTAGCTCAGTATTATCCTTTATAGCATGAAGACCTATTATATCTTTAACAGAAAATATTCTTCTTTTTATTAAATTTTTATCTTTTAGTTTCTGGCATTTACTTAATAAATGATTGGCCTTTTTTAGCTGATGGATCCAAGAATCAACCAAAATGACCTTGTGCTTAAGACCATATGTAGCCTTTAAAAATGAGCTCAATGCATCAATTATTGATATAAGTGAGCTTCCCTGGTGATTTTTGACTCGATTCTTGATATAAACCAATGAGTTTACCGCTTTGTTAATAGTGATAGGCGTCTTTGAAGTCCAAGTAGTGGGTGGCAGATTGGGGTCTGGCAACGGTGTTTGTGCGATAGCGACAACATCCAGTTTTGAAATGACACTTTCTGGGTCAAAAGGAACAAGCCCAGTGGCACTGAAACCTGTTCAGATATTTCCTGGCGTCATAGCAGTGTTATATGCTTTACAAAATACAGTAAGGAAGTCCTTCTTTGAAACATGGGTTATATGACACTGGATAAGATCCTTAATCATGCAATCATAAGCTCGTTTGAACGGGCTAAAACAGCTGACATCTAAAGGCTGGAATCTGTATGACAAGTGGACAGGCATATAAAGGATAATGATACCATTGTTCTGACAATAATTCTTAAAGACCTGGGAATGGTGGCTTTCGTGGCCATCTAGGATGAGGAGGCGTTTACCAGCGGTTATACACGGTCTGGTATACTTGTCAAAATGCTGAATCCATTTCAAACTGATCTTATTTGTAGTCCATCCGTTGTCAGACACGGCCACCTTCCAATCGCGTGGTAATATTGTGTCGCAATACCATGACGCGAGGTGGGTTTTGCCCTGTAGAATGATGAATGACGAGACCACCCAACCATCAGCATTAATAACAGAGATTATTGTAGACCATTCTCTGTTACCTTGCTGAGCTTGTCTAGGCCTGCCACGTCTTTTGGTGCTTGTGACGACTGTTGAATACGAGGGTCAATTGATTGAGTGTATTATGATGTTGTGATCAAGCACTGTCTACCTGTGTACGAGTTTTCAGTACTAGTTTTTGCCCTGGTGGCTGGTCGCAGTCTAGTGCGCTGTCATCCACGTGACATGGTCAGTGCATGGCCCAAATGGTGCGCTGGTATCTGACAACGACTATGTCAGACCCAATACTGCCCATCATAAACCCAGTCTTATCAAAGGTATAATTGTCCGTGTCTTAGATACCATATTTCGCGATTACTGCCGCAACTTAGTGAAACCACACACAATATGCGTCTGGATCTTTGTTCAAAATCCTCTGGTAGTCCATCCTCTGATAAAAACGCGTCCGGAGGCCTGGTGTGCGTTTAATGAAGTTGCGTGTCCAGTTCTTTTCAACGCGTCTAGTCCCACGTGCCGCCAGCAATTGATTTGTCATATCTTCAACATAACTGTGCCAAGGTGGAAATGCTCGCACATCCAGGTCAGAAATGAAGGAAAGAATAGCATTCTCTCTAGAAACAGTACGTTTTAAAGAATTAGGCATGATATCACATTGTGATAGTCGGCCGGCAATTCTTTGAGCCAATGTAGAGATTGATAGGTGGAAAGTTTTAGCAAACTTTCGAACAGAAATATGAGGGTCCCGTTTTTTAGCTTGGACAGCTAGCTGCATGTCTGATTCATTATAACGCGGTGCCATTGTCGTGGGTGGAGGAATACTGGTTAGAAGTTGAAAGTTTGAGAGGTTCATGAAAGTATCCAACTTGCTTATATGTCCCGCTTGCTTGTGACCTACGTTATATTAACTGATATATTATTAAAATTATAGCAAAGATAATATTTAGCTCGTTCTTATGGATATTAAGAATTACTTAAACTAAATAAAACGTTTAAAAGTGTTATAATATTTCAAACTAACGTGTAACTATATATTACTTAATTATTATTTACTTTATAATGTGTATTTATTATTATTATTTTTTTTTTTTTTTTATTATTATTATTATTATTATTATTATTATTATTATTATTATTATTATTATTATTATTATTATTATTATTATTATTATTATTATTATTATTATTATTATTATTATTATTACACTTATAAGTATATTATAGTATGTTATTTAAGCATATTATAACATTTTAAGGTTATAAAGTTAATAGATTAATTATGCTCATATTTTTAGTTTGAAAACCCCTATTAAATATGGTAATAATAACAAGATAATAATATTAAAAATAAGTTGTTAGGTAGTTTTGGTACCTACATATGTTAAAGCGTTAGTTCTAAGGCATTTATAATAGCTTGATTGGTTCAATTTCGACTTGTTTATTATAGTTATCTGGTTATTTTAAGGGATTATTGGTTATATAATTGGGGCTTTTTCTTTAAGAGATTTACATCTTATTTTTTAAATATAGAATATTTTTAAATTTGACAGATATTGAGGATTATTTGGTAGGTCCATGTGACATGTCCTTATTATAGAGGATGAGGATGAGGCCTGTCTAGGTTTATCTTAGTCATCTAGCGACGACGGGTTTGATAATTTTTGGTACTGACTCTTTTAAATGCTAATAATTTTGGATTGACACACCACACCAGTGGAGTATTTTTCTCGAGGACACTAAGGGTGGCGTGAGATGAGGCGAGGACTTAATGAAATCCCCTATGCATCTCTGGATATGTTTTAAGATGCTCTGATTAATTTTCCATTTACTGGCAGTGGCACAGATCAAATGAGAGAGCGCAATTCCAGGAAACGAACGGAACTTTACGAACGGGGACGCAATGGTGGGGTAGACGAGAAAGGAGGTCCTCTCCAGTCTGAAACCCTGAGACAAGCCACCGCGAGACGCGACTTCCGATCTCTTCTAGAGATAGCCACTTTCATTCGCAAAAAAACGAACACCCGTTCATGATCAAGTCGTTGAAATATAAAAGAATCGTGGCTTAAACCTACACCGGAAACCTTATCTAAGCCCGCAAAGCACCGGTGTCAATACCCGGCCTGGGTAGCGGTCCGGGATTGAGTATAATATCAGATTCAAATAAGACATACCCGAAGAAGAACACACTATTAACATATATACTATTTCATTGTCAACTACTCAAAGCTCGAAGCTGTTTTGGCCTTGACGTAAGCATGTAAAGTCGTTGCATATCACAGGGCTGTCAAAAAGGGACTTTCAAAGCATCGACTAACGGACGAAGTGGCGGAGACTGCAGGAAAGACATTCAATTCGTCTGTCTTGTGGTGAGAATAAAATGATACGGGCGGTATAGTCTGGAGAGGCATGCATGGGTGGGTGAATACCCGTCAGAGGGTTGAAGCGACACGAACTCCCTTCCTGCAAAGGCTAGGTGACGGGACAAGAACCCTCAGGCCGGGAGCTCTTATTGAAGTCAATGGGAAGTTGGGCACGAAAAAGCAGTCAGGAAGAAGTAGTGAGTTACGGATCTAAATAGGGAAGAGTAGATCTGAGCAAGTGATTAGCAGTGACGTTACTTATGGACTGTAACAAAGACCAGGGAGCACAAGATAAGTTAGGGAAGAGGTGGACCGACGACCAACAGGCCACGGACTCCACGATCTCACTCTCTGCTCGCGGTATAAAGACCAACGTATATAATTTTTATGCTCTGACTTCACCGGTTATAGGTACAGCCTTACCTACATATGCCACGATCTACATAACTGTCTACGAAGTACTAATACTGCCAACCCACCAAAGAGCTCGGCCTTCAAAGGCCCCCAGCACCCATCGCGCTGACTCAAGGGTCTTGGTCCTGGTGACCAGCACTCGAGTCTACGAAGACACCACTAGTACGCCTCCGCCGTTTGCAAAGACATTCCAGCCCCGAGGCAGCCGCCCGCCGAGTTCCGGTCCAACCCGTGGCAGCTAGCCGAAAGCACCAATAGCCTGCGGAGCCGAGTCTATCAGGCACGAGTAACCAGGAGTCACAACAACCCAATGCGCCGGAATATCCCTTGCGCATCTCAACGTAACGTAGTGCACGACTCCTTCGCTTCTTTAGTCATGCGGCGTGTAGTTCCCGTGCGAAAATTCGGCGAGTATCGGAATAGGGGTGGGGGGGAGGTAGACGTGCTCCGTAGGTCGCCTGACGGGGACGGGGACAGTGCTCGTGGGTCTTCGGTATCACGCGCGGTAGAGATCTAATCAGACGGGTAAGATGTCAGCTTTAGGTCTGTCTACTCGAAATAGTGCCGATAAAGCTTTGTATGTCAGCTGTCTCCTCATTCAGGGGATGGAGTACCGCCGCAGGCATTCGTTCGTTTACCACTTTTGCCCGTATGCCCGTCAACCAGGCAAGCTGGAGATGATAAATTAGCACCATATAGCACAGCGCAGGACAGTATGGCACTGTGAAAGAAGGAACTCCTTCAGAAGAGATCAAGTCGAGTCGAGTGAAGTCATGTCGAGACAAAAGAAGACAGGAACTCCCATGTTAGAGGCAATCGCAGGCTCTGGTTTATGCGGCTGGCTACGAGGGGGGGATCGCCCGGCCGTCCTGGCTTAACAGCATGGCAGTAAGACCTGCTGACCGGCGGGAGCCAACTCAGATTATCCTGATCATATAGGAGGGCGCACCAATTAAAGACCGGGTGATCTAGGAATCCCAGACAGACACGTGGTGAAATCAAGATGTGATGAACTGCTACACGTCTATAGAGAATATACCGGCTTGATTTGTCGTCCTTACGAGAGTGAACTACGAGAGTGAACTACGAGAGTGGAAGAGGCAACGGAAACATGGGCATGATTCCCACTCGCCTTCCCGCGGTCTGTTAGCCGGACTTTGATGCGATACGAACTCGAATTCGAGATAGGGGAGGAAGCAAGCCGGTTGAGCGCCTAGAAGCCTTGGAGGCGTAGGCGAGCCATAATTGCTTGGGTGATGTGGCCTCCTTAACCAGCGTTGGTGATAGGAGGTGAGATCCTGGACCGGTAAGCTGTATGCTGTTGGCATTGATCTGAAGCCGGTGCGGTACAGGTAACGTTCCCTGACCTCAGGTACTCGCGCGCCTGGCAGCGGCAAGAATAAGGGGCGTATGCAGCCTACATACGTCGTACCTTGCATGCATCCTCATCGTATCGTACGCAGCAACAAAAAAAGTGGCGGGCTCGTGGGTTCGTGTACCGTGACTTCATTCGCACCCAGTCATTCAACGGCAAGTTGGGTACCGAAGCGCTGAATCCCATGGCACCCCCCTATGACCCCGGACGCCCCCTATTCCCCACGAAGCTGCTCCATCGTGGCGAGCTGCAGGAGGTCATCCACTCAACACTCCACGCTGATCCTCAAACGCATACTGATGTTGATGTGAGGTAGCGGAAGGCACCTGAGTCGTCCTATTGGGCGAACTGGGAGGCTCTCCCTGGCTGGCCTTCTGCCATATTTACCCAGCGGCAGCGGAGTGAGGAGGCAAAACGAAGACTCGGCGGTTATTGTTATCTCGGGTCGGTAACTTCGCGTCCAGATGACAGAGTGCATTTGCCGCAGCCACGTCGCCTTCACCGCCAACTCGAGCTTCTGCAAGCAGCAAGCACATCGTTTGAGCACTATGTATCAGCATCCAGAGCATTGATTGGATACCGAGATAGGGAGTAGGCATTCGACAACGAGACTCGGCTAGACGCATTCCGCATGGGCCCTGGAATTTGCCACCCGGATTTCTATTTCGAGTCCGCTCGAGTCCGAACACGAAGAGATCAGCAATCGGCTCGGTGCCAGTACCTTTGAGCACTGCCGGCGTTGCGATGATCGGAGAATATGATTTGTAGTTGGCACGGGATGCAGTCGTGACAGCCGCATGCGATGAGGCTGTGGGGAGCACAATATGGAGCATCCGGTGGCGGATAGTCCTGACGGTTCCCCATTTCGGCTGTTACTATGCTTAGCAACAGTCCCGAACTGCCCTGCAAAACGTTGATCTTGCGCAACCAGATCTCTTAAAGATGGGCGGCTATATCACAGCGCACAAAAGCAGGTTTGGTAACCCTGCAACTGCATTTGGATTCGCTGTTCGACCTCAATTGCCCTGTTAGCTCTTCTTGGCAGAACAACCATGTCAAATGCACTGCCGGGACTGCTACCGTCAGATTTGCACGTCTTCAGGAATCGGGAGGCAAAAGAATTGGCTGTCGTCAATCCGTCATCAGGCATGGCGGGACGTGCTATGGGTCGGACTAGGCCGTCAACCCAAGCGACTTCATCGTGCGCAGATTGCAAGTTCCATACGTTCCAGTGTGATCTCTAGGCGCTGTTAAGAATGCACGACTGGACAAGGTATAAGCGGCTCATGATGGTCCCGAAATTCGAATGCAAGGTGTTTGGAAAGCATCAAGACCGCGGCCCGGGGTGGGTTTTAGTGAAGTGGGAGGTTGACCCCGGGCACCTCGAACTTTCCGGCAGAGGTTATGAGATCTGGTCGGAGACATGGAGGCAGGTGCCGCACGCGCGTCTTGATACACTGAATCTGCTGATGTAAGGCGCGAGATATCAAAATTGAAGGCCCGCTGCCTGCATCGAATTGGACGAATGATGGCGCGCACCTGGTGAAAGATCCCGATGGCTGGGTCGAATTTCGGCGATTTCCCGAAACAGCGCAGGGTGATCATGCTCATTCAATTCTCCTATAGCCGACCAGTGACACTGCATGTCATTGTGGGATGAAACCAGGCAAGGTATGGAAGAATGGCTCAGAAGTCTGACCGTTTACCGACTTTTCGTCGCCGTTTTTGGGCCCTGTGGCCGAGCCGCCTCAGGCTGTCAGCTATTGATGACGCGGATACTTTTAAGTGTCCCGGTCGGCAAGGTTCGCGATGCCTCCTCCTGCAGGGCATACGAGATTAGATGGAAGGCTGATATTTGGGATCATTGAGCTTGGGCTCTCGTCATCCTGGCAGCCTGGGTCTTCAGTGATATTATTGGCACGGAGGGTTCTGCCCGCACGTTGCATTGGCGGACCGTTGACGATGAGGGTCTGGTAGCGACATCAGAACGGCAGAACGGTCGATTGGGAGGCAAAGGTAAGGGGTATTATTAGCGAATCGAGGCGGCGAACTTGGGAGCATTCGAGGCATTCACTGGCGATCCCTACTATCATGCCGGAGGCAGATGCTGACGAGGGGTTCAATGGACGGTTGTTTGGGTTCCTGGAAAATGGAAATGTTGTCGTGAGCCAGTGAAAGGTCGATGTTGTGAGATGGCAATCTCTCGATACGCATCATGGAGGAGCAGGGTCCATCGCCACCTGCAGGCAGGGCGGACACGGACCCCTGGATGCTCTAACCGCGAAACGTGGCTGTGTACCAGCTGTGTGGCGTGAGGCTTGCACTTGTCTCGACGAGGCTAGTGTGAGCTGATGCTAGATACCCAGTGGCTGATGGGGCTGATGATGTGGGAATGGGATGTGACGGTCTGAGAGAAATGGCATGTGGTGAAGCTGACAATGAAACACCTTGTTTTCTTCCTACCGACAAGTAGGTTGATCCTTGGGCTGCTCCGGCACAGCTGCTACTGCACGATCTGTAGTCTAGATTAGGTTAGCACGACGATAACTGCGTGGTCGGGCGGCTTGTCCAATCTTTTGAACTCCAAGAATGGAAGTTCAGTCCTGCCGGATAGGACCACCCAAATACAGTATTGCGCCTGGTAACAGCAGCTAGCGAGCCATAGTCGCCGTCTCGTTAATCTTTCCCGGTCGGACATGCTATGTGTACTTTTGACTAGAGAGTATGGTAATTGAACAAGACTGGCGATACGATGGCGAAAATACCTTACCTTCCATTCCATAGGATTATCACATTGCGCCGACCTACGTCATCGCATCCAGTCGAACTTGGCGTCGCTAGGGAACCTAAGGCATGCCTTGAGGCCCTCCCGCTTTCATGGCGTTCACCGTTTCAATAGCATCCATGGATGTGGAATATCTGACTCGGTGGTAGACTCGATACGCCAAAAGACAAGGTAGCACGGTTGCAAGACGGACGGACGGCTTGGGCGTGCTTATCAAGACAACCCCTATCATTGGCATATGCATCGGTCAGACCTATGGATATCAGCGATGGTCAGGAACAAGGAAAATGTGCCGTCCCATCAGCCAAATTTCCAAAAGATATTGCGCCGACGGCCCCATTTGGAGGTTGAAGTAGCCTGCGGACTTATTAAGCAAGCAGCGGGTAGGCGGCGTGGGAAAAGGAACAATTCCAGATCAAGCACCAAGTCCGTTCGCTAATCTCCTCATTCAGGTTTTCCTTCTTATTACAGGCCTGCTATTGCCGCCTTTTGAATTGCCCCTCGGATCCTATCCGGCCGGCGCATGTGCACGAGATCAATCAGCATGAATAATCTGATGCGACCGTGTTCAAACATTCCCAGCCTTACGCACTGAGCAGAGAGTGCCAGAGAGGATATGTACGTGATAGGGGGCGAACCAGATCACAGCTGTGCTCGATTGCTGCATATTTTTTTACCTCCACCCAGCCGGGCTTCATGCAATTTTCCGATGTGCGAGGCACTCGACAGCACAGATAATTCTAGAGGAAGCTCCGCTACGGAGTTAGACGCGCGGTCCGCGGTCACGGTCGCGGTGACGTTGTCACCGTTGAAATCTTATGATTGACACCGCATATGGTCAAAAGTTGGCCGTTGAACATCGGACGTTCAGACGTCGCAACCTTCGTACACACAACGATGGTCTTGCTGAACGCTGCATGGTATAGGAGTTCCAAGTTAGGTCATGCCGTGCCGTGCGTGAAATGATTCATTAGGATTCAGGAGAAGACGCGAGAGTAGCGAGCTTTGTAATCAGTCCGGTCAAGACATGGATAGGTATCATACTGTGCCTCTCAGAGCCTCTGATAAGCTTTTGATGAGCAGAGTCCAGGGTGGTTATCGATACGCAGGAACACGAGCAGGATCAATATACCGAGATTGCGATGATTCATCCGATTGAGTCTCGGATTTATGAGGGGCTGAAGTATAGTATGAGCGTTGAGACGAGGAGCCAATCGTGAGTTTGTCGAAGGTTTCTATTTCGGTCTGTTAAGGAATTGTGTCATCCCATCATCAGTGATCACCGGTAGGCTGTGCCCCTATTCTACTATTATCATTATTATATGTGCTGCAGGTCGGTGCGACATTCAACGGTCAACGGTCAACGGTCAACGGCTGTCGTGCCTGTTCTGAAGGCTTGGCTGGCTGGGGGATCGGCTGGCTGGGGCTTGAAGCTCTCCACAAAGATGCATCCAGCCCTTGGGCCCCTCGGGGTGGAGAGTGGGATGAAAGATGTTTCTCGGCCGCTGATCATACTCTTCGCCCAGGGCTCGCCTCGACAGCTGCTCGAATCCCTACTTGCATTATCCGCCACAGATGATGAGCTTCCTCCTATTATCATTCTATCAGATAGAGCAGAAAGAACATCACGGATGCTGGCTATCTGTCCTGTTCACATTAGCCTTTGACGTACAGTACTGCCCGGCCCGTAAGACGATTTTCCCAGAGGTGTTCTACATTGTGGGCAGGGTTGATGTGACGACTAGTGCTGACATCTCACGGTGATTCTAGCTTTCAGGCTTTCCACGCCAGGAGTCAATACCTTATCAAGATCGAATGACAGGAGTGAAGGTGCCAGATCATCAGAGCACGAAAGGCGTGTTGTGCGTTCGCAGTCTGACAGGGGCAACTATTTCCCGAAGACCCCTTTTCCGTTTCCAAATGTTTATCCTCCCGAGAATAGATCAGCACGGGGCGTCATTTCGACTAACTGCACTGCCACCCGATCAGTTGGTGCATCGACGGCCGACGAGGAGACACGGGCAGAAAACACGTCACTATCACTCACATTTCAATATAGCAAAAGATATACATCTCGCAGTTACCAGCACCCACAGTCCGTGAGATAGATCCCAGGGCCCATGAGCATGATCTGGTCGGTCTGGCTGTCTGGTTGGCCGACACGATTGAGCACTGTACCCGGAGGCCGGATATTGGCCCCTGGAATGGGCAATTCATATGGACAATCGATTAATCGGTTGCACAAAAGCAATTAAGCTCTAATACCACATTAGAACAAACGCAAATATCTCCATTTTCACTGTCGTCATGCCTTTGTCTCTTGTCTTATTTTCATGCACTTTACATGTTTCCGCTTTCAAGTTTGGTACGCTGACCGCTTGCTTTCTTACACGTGAAGAACAGCATGGTATTTATTATATGATGCATGCACTTACACAGCACAACCCACATCAGAACCTGAATGCATACGCGATCCGGATCACCACGGTGTTTTAGCGTGGACAGCAGCGCCCGAAACAAGGCCGCCACTTCCAGGTTGCGACAACATTCATGAAGCCCAACGCATCCATTTTTGACTTTGGCATGGAAGAAGCGAAGTCTGTGTCAGATATTCGCCGGCTCCCAGGCGCAAGTTCGCAACATCCACCAATGTTTTGTCCCGTTGGAATTGACTGCTAGCGACGACGTGCTTGGCATCTCATGCTGGCCCATTCACCTTGAAATAGCTACCTACTTAAGTAGACACTCATCACCCAGGTCGGGTTGCAAGCCCTGCAAGCTTGCTGGTTTGCCTCATATGCCAAGGTCTTGATCAATGTTTCTGCAGGTCTCGCGATTGCCCGTTGTGACTCTCTACTCTGCTGGTAGGTAGGTAAAGGTGATGTAGACAAAGGGGAGGAGGAGGAAGAAGAGGAAGAGGAACATGAACAAGAAAAGCCATCGTGCCATCTCCCTGTGTGTGGGACGGCGGATCAGTGATCACCACATAGCGCAGCAGCTGGCATCGCAAGTCTGGCCGCGGCCCGGTCTCCAGGCAACACCGTGGACGCCCCTCCCGCAGCATCCTGCTTACGTGTGTCTGCATGTATCTTGCTGTACCTGCAGCTGTGGGGCACGGACCAGCTGCGCTCTCACCGTACATGCACTACTCTGACCGCCCATACTGTACCTCAAGACAGTCAACGTGCTTGCCTTACCGTACAAGCAGCACTAGCAGTAGTACATGGAGCTACCTTATCGCCGTCCATAGCACCGCCGGAACCACCAGAACCACCAGACCACCTGGCAATCACCAGCTTCGACCGCCTAAACTGCCCACTAGCTCTTCGCGCGTCCTCCTGGCTGCTGGGAGGGCTTCCGTTTCTTCCACACCCAGGCCCTTTTTCCCTCGCTCACTCAGTCTTTTTTTGCTAGACACCGCCCTCGCACCGCATCATCTCCTCCGCTGTCGTTCAACCCGTTTCCCGTGTTCTACAGTACAGCACAACACCGCTCTCCACAGCGCCCCATCCGAGTCATTGCGTTGCGTTGCGTCCATTCGTTATTCTTCTCTTCTTTGTTCCTCTTTGTCGACTCGAGGCACACAACGCACCCAAGCCCCCTCCGACCGGGCATAGCTAGTTTTGACGTTTGACCATCTAATCCGACCGACCCGCTTCTCACCTGGCCCGTGGTCCTCATACCTTATCCATCCATCAAACTTCGCCGGCTCGACCGCTTTCCAGGCCGTTACGCTCGTTACCGTTCCTACACCTGGCTTCTGCAACTTTTGTACCGTTGTTGTTGGATCCGGACGCGACACGCACATACACGCCGACTAGCTGGGGACGTAACCGGGGTTAGAACAGCCTGCCGCCAATCGATCCCTCCCTCGTCTCTGCCTGCATCCCAAAAGCCGCCTCCGAATGGGCCGCTGAATCGACACACGACGACCCCCGATCTGCATCAGCCCTTCCTTTCCCGCCGTCCATTTCCACAGCCACTCCCGAATAGGAGAAAGATTATACAGAGGTCGTCTGGAAACCAGTTTTCAGGGACGCAAGACATTCATTGGGAGGCGTCGCATCCGCGTCGTGACCTGCGGGCTTGTGGCCGGAGTACAAGGCCATCTTGGCTACATTGCCTCATTCCGACGCTTCGTAGGGTCCACACAATACACCGACAGCGAGACACAAGTACATCACTGTGGTCTACCCGCTATTCCTCATCTGGTCTCTATCATGGCTCCCGTGGCACCCCGTCTGAAGATCCTCTCGGGTGCGTTTAACTTTCCTTCTTGCTCCCGTCCGTCCTCGTGTCTCAATCTGCTCTTAAGCAGACCTCTACCCCCCCTTCCAGTGCCACCATCGGAAGAGACGGACTGTCCGGACTGTCTTCTGTCACGCTATCCTCGCTCGCTTTTCCTTCTATCACTTCACACTCGTTTTATACCTCCGTGAGAGGACTCGGCCGTCGGCATACCATATGCCTCGAGCCCGTCGTGGCGTCCCGTCATGGAATACTTCGAGCTAATGAGGGTGTGTACAGTCGGAGGTAATGCTGTCTCTGCCTTTCTATCCTGGAGGCTTCAGGCCACCAATGCCTGCGATGTAACGCTTGTTTGGAAGTCAGGCTTCGAGAGCGTTCACCAATATGGCATTTCTTTCAAGTAAGATCCGCCTCCCACACAGGTGGACTCGACTCCGGTCTAACTTTGTTACAGGTCTGGGTCATTTGGCAATGAGCGATTCAAGCCTCGGCATGGTATGTCTCACCTCCCCTGTTCAGTCTGTTGTGTTGGATCCCTTAGCTTACGATACGTTATTACCAGTTGTTCGAACACCAGAAGAAGCGGCGCACAACAAAGAGGGTGCATTTGACTATGTCATTCTCTGCATCAAAGCCCTCCCCGACGTCTACGACCTTGCCTCGGTAATCGATGCCGTCGTTACTCCGCAGCACACCTGCATTCTTGTTAACACCACATATACTCTCGGTGTCGAGAGCGCCATCGAGGAGAGATTTCCGACAAACGTTGTCCTGTCACTCGTTTCGAATGCCGAAATCACGCAACAGGGCGCAAGCGAGTTCGAACACACTGGCTCAACGGAGGTCTGGGTTGGTCCCGCGAACAAGAATAGCAACATCCCGCCAGCGATACAGGAAGACATGGCTCAGGCTCTTGCTATGACGTTGAGCACCGGCCGCGTCGACTGCAAAGTATCTATGAACATCCGCCAACAACAATTCGAACGAGTCATTGGGTAAGTCATACTGAAATGATGTCAGTACAAATTGCTAATTGCTACAGACCAATTGCTTTCCACCCTGCCAGCGTCATCTTTGAAACCCCTGCCCATGCGGCTCTCCTAGAAAAGACTGGTGTGCGACAACTGGTGTCAGAGGTTATTAATGAACTAATCACTCTCGCGACGGCGCAAGGCTGTACGCTAAGTGCCGATTTCAAGGAGAACACGATCAAGGAACAGTGTCAACCCACGGAAACCACGAGCATAATGTGGCAGGACTACGTTGCGCGACGTCCAATGGAGGTGGAAACTTTCCTCGGATCGCCTATCAAGTTGGCACAGAATTCAGGGATCAGGTTGCCACGAGTGGAGACACTTTACGCCGTTTTGCACAATCTCAATGTAGTTAATCAGTCGAGGCCAAAGGAGATTAATGGCCTCCCACCGGCTCCTGGCTCGCCAAGCATGGCACCGCCCATGCCTCGCATGTCGTCGCAGCCACCGCCTCGTCCCCTGATGAATGGGATGGCGAATGGAAATGGCATGCCCAGACCTCGACCGAGGAACTCGTCGAACTTCTCCGGACCTCCTCCGGGTATGAGACGCCCTCCTCCTCCTATGAACGGCAATGGTGGACCACCAAACGGGTACCGACCCTCGATGAACGGCCCACCCAATGGGTACCACCCATCAAAGGTCCCCACAAGGCGTGGCTCATTCGAGGAAACCGATCTTGGGGAGTTCAGTCACCTTGTGGTCTACGACGATACGGAGGGTGGTGGAGATGGCGCATATCCTGCGGATATACCCGACCTGGCATTAAGAGAAAAAGAAATACAATTGCGTCGGCGAGAGTTGGCATTGAGAGAGCAGGAAATGCGTATGCGGCGAGGCGGTCCGCCTGGTGGGCCTCCGATGGGGCCTCCGATGGGACCTCCGATGGGACCTCCGATGGGACCTCCGGCTGGGCCTGGACCACGAAGACGCGGCCCCCCAATGCGAGGCGGAGGTGACATACACGATGACGAAGACGAAGAGGACGATTATTTCGACCCGAATTCGAGCCCGATCACCCCGATGGTTGATCCCGACAACTTTGACATGATGAGTGTCACTTCGAGGAAGAATCGCAGCAAGCCGGCACAGAATCGCAGTGATTTCCGGACTAACCCTGAAGGCCCCGGAGGAGGCATGGCCCCCCGAGGCGGCAGATGGCGGCCGGGGTTTGGAAGAAATCGTTCTAGTCAGATCATGACAGCCGCACCGGGCCTTCACGACGATATCCTCGACGATCCGCTAATGAACTACTCCTCCAACCGGTATGGCAACGTCGATCGCGGACACATGCAGGCCGGGTCGAGAGCAAATTCTTTGACGGCTTCCCACCTGCAAGAATTACAGAACGGCCCCGGTATGATGAATGGAGCGTACCCCAGACGTGCTAGTCAATCGCCCGGGTACAGTCCCTCGATTCGAGGGGGCAATGGACGGCCTTCACCCCTAAACGGGGCCGGCGGGCCCATGCCCAACGGGCGTCGTCCATCACCTTCGGACGGGGTGAAACAACCCATCCCTCGGCATCCTCCCGGTCATGGAAACACGGTGGCGCCACAGCAAGTTGAGCAACGTGTCGGGGTGAGCACTCTCCAACCACCACATGCCAAGACCGTGCGAAGTCTGACCGGAAGTGCGAGCGCCAGCGCGGGGAGTGGTGACTCGACACACATAGATTCCGAACCCTCGGCGCACAGCAGCTCGAGCAGTCTAGGTCCTCGCCCTCCTATAGGTGTCCGTTAGCCGACGCCGCGAGGATACGGGTGCGAAGATTGGAAGCTCGGGGATAGGATTAATGGGAAGCCATTTGCCGGAGTCCCGGCAGAGACCGGAGCACCGGGCGGATGCGACATCGAGGGTCTCGGTTTCGTGACCACCCGGATCACGGCGCATTCGATAAGGCTTAGAGAGATTGAGTTTGGACTAACAACTTACGACGTACACAATAATTCTATTCGAACGCGAGGTTTCACGTACATAAACACCTTGGCACGACGAGGCAGTGGCATTTCATTTCTGGTAATATCGCATTGGGGTGCGGGTTTTCTCCTCTTCATGGCGCGGAAGGCATATACTCTCACCGTCGTCTCCTTTGTCTCACTCCTACAGAACGAGCCCTCCTGCTGTCGTCTCCCCAGACCATAGCCGCCCCATCATGTGGCCTCGGGTCGCCACAACCCATACCCGATGACTCGGAGGAAGTCATATGTGTGTCCAATTCGTCCGACGGGGGTTTAATGAGCGGCGGTAGATATCCGTCGGTTCGATTGGGAGGCGGATGATTTTGTACAAAAGGAGCTTTGAGCCGTGTGCTCTCATGGCGTCGCACGATGGTTCATTTACAGTTCCTCGATGATTAGCGGCCCTCGGCAGACCAGCTGGGCACATGTTTACGAAATAGACCTGGGTTGACTCGCGGTCGCATGACGAACAGCAACTGTGAGTGTCGACAAGAACGGCTTGTGTTGGTATTGTCATACCAAGGTCCAGAACGGTGAATACGAATGTTCTGGTGACTCGGGCAATGGGCCATACAGCAGAAGACACGCTGTTTTCCTTGTTTGTTTGTCTCTTGCTGGCTGGAATTAATATTTGAAAAGTCGCACATGGTGACTGGGGTTTGTAGATGGACTGCAAATGGGGGACACTCCATGAGACAGGGACGAGCAGTGGGGGGTGGCTGAAGCGTCAAGGCAGCGACGACATAGTCGTGCCAAGTCCGAGAGTAACAAGGGGAGAAGAGAGGAGGCTAAAAGGGGACGCAAGGCTGTATGTAATACAGGTCGCTTTTATTCCACGACAGGTCGAAAGTACAAGGCAGTATTCAACGTGACGATGAACATACACAGACGTCGGTATCCCCTTTAGGTGGTGATGTAAGACCAAGGGCTGGGTTCTGACTCCACGTCCCCCACGATGTCAATCTCCTCACCCGTTTGATACTCTAATAAGCCATGTATATTGCCTACTATCAATGTATGTTTCCATACATTGCGGCTGGACATTTACGCCCAGATTGAGTAAAGGGAGAAGCTCGGCGCCTGATCTGCATCAGTCTGATGAAAAAGACCAAACCTTGATCACATTACGGTCTCAAAGGGATAAATAAACAGAGGTCTTGGAAGGTGGTGCAACCAACTTCGGTGCTTGGTATACATATAACCTCGAGTAACATGAATGTCTCTATCACGTCTAATTAAGCTTTTGCTTGCTTGTTTTGTTTGGTTTGGGATGTTTTGTTCTGTTTTGGTTCGTTCCACGCCTGCCCGTCCCGATGCGGCTCGTGACAGATAATCGCCGTCTAATATACACACTAGAACATTGAGGCTGCCCTGAGGTGGTTGCGGTTCGGATGCCTGTGGGAGAGGCGCGGCTTGGTATTTCTTAATTAACAACGGTCTGGTTTGAATGAAAAGGTTTGTTTACTTGAATGTTTTCGGGTGGAAGTTTGGAGGGGGGAAGGGTGAATGAAGGGTGAAAGCCGAAGAGGTGGGACTGGGGGCGCAAAGCTTGGGCGCCGCCGGAGCGGGTACTCGTGTGTTTTGATTTGTCGACGTGCTGACCCGACGTACTGGCAGCTGGAGGAGGGGATGGCATGTTGTCGCGATGCGTCTATCCGGTGGGTGCGGGGATATCGTTGGATTCCATTCTGAGAACCGAGGTAGTGACAACTTGGCTAACGCCCGACGACTGACTGAGGGACAATTGACCATTGACGATTGACGGCCACTCCTTCTATTGCACATTGCCCACAACTGCCAACTCAGCTGAGCCTCGCACCGCACACGCCCTCGATCGACACGCAGTCACCCCGTGCCGCCAAGCCCCGATATTCGAGACGGCGACGAGCCTCGAGCAGCGACGAGACAAGATATTGCATTACTACTTGCCACCCGGCTGCCGAGCGAACTGAGTCGGTCTCTACATGTGCGGTTGATCGGATCACTTTTTCTCGACGCGTGCGGATCGCTTGTCGAAGCGCGGTTGGTCTAGAAGACATCTTTATTTACAGACAGAGCAACCAAACAACGCACAACGCTGCGCGAGCTTCGACTGCCTCGACACCCTCACCGACCGACGCCATACCACCACCTTACTGCCTGTATTCCATACCCGGATCCTGCACATTCTCTACACCGGCCACCCCGTACCCGTCTGCCGTCTCACTCTGGATCGAATCTACGCGCCGACGCAACGGCCGGCGAATACCAACCGGACTACCGGAAGCAAGCAAGGACACTGGGACAGACCGAGAATATGGCCAGCCGCAGCGGAAACACAGATCGCACCCTGGTGATGGGCGGAGGGGGCGGCACCACACGGCCGTCTATGGCGCCGCAGCAGTCGGGGGGCGTGGTTAAGGCGCGGCAGTTGGTGAGTTTGTGATGTTCTTTTGTTCCCGCTTCTTGGGAGTCGTAGTGAGTGGTGGAATCCTGGCTTCTATGGAAAGGGGCAAGGTGCCATGATGAGGGTGTATCGTGGTCTCAAGGGAGACTGGGAGTTGGGGTTGAGGTGGAGTTGGACTATCACTCGAATGCTGTTGGCCGAATAGGAGGTGCACCTGCTAATGATACTGAAACTAGACACATCTGCACTCGCAGCTGGCGCAGCTCTCGGCCAACCTCGCCAATACGGAAAACCTGCTGCGCATGACGAGCGTCCAAGCTGAGGCCATGAGAGGGTTGGGAAGCTGGCATGGTGGAATGTGAGTCCCCCATTCTTCATCTGTTTTCTTGGCCGTCGCCACCTGAATGGCCGAGCATTGCTTCATCTCGCATGGCCTCACCTCCATGCATATATCAGGGCAGTGAGGAGCGACAGCTGATTCCACCTTGACACATAGGTTCATGGCAGCAAGCAAGGTTCTGGGCGAGGAGTCAGTGAAAGAACAGCCTCCGCAACATGGAGGGAGTCAGAGATGAAGAAGCATTCGGTGAGGACTTATACAAGTACTGAGAGTTGGGATTGTGAAATCAAACTGAACGCTGCAGAGTCGGCTTTCCAGGCTTCATTGGGGCTGAGACTTATCATACCGCCTGATGAGAGTAAGGGCCACCACTGAGTCGCCAGGCTTACGTGCTTCATGACCAGTGAGTCAACAAGTTTGTGAATGGGCGAAACCACGCTGATGGTTTCACATCAGCTGGTGGTGGTAGTCTGGTAGGTCACCTCAAACAGGGGAGCGTCAACACCGCCTCAACATCAGTACAACCGCGTTTGCATTGCTGTCCTCGGCCGAGGCTTGCCTCTATAGATTAATATCCATTCATTCTGTCCGACACGTACGCCATATTCCGCCTCGTCAACCCGCTTTGCAAAACAAATCCTTGACCGGGTCGATTGTCGCCGTGGGGTCGCCATCGGACGTGAAAGCCACCTTCATGGGCGTCCACGTCGTCAACTTGTATTTCTTCGGAATGTCAGTTTCCGGAATGCTGAAGACTGTCCCTGGGTACCGGGCCGCTACGAAGGACATGACAAACTCCTCGCGACCCGAGTAGACCCCGTTGGCGTCCATGTCATCGACCGTCTTCATGAGCTTGACGCTCATCTCCAGCATCCGCACCGCTGACCCCGCCATCACACTCGCCACAAAGTGCTTACACGCCCACGTCCGTGTCGGTTTACTCCAACACGGCGACATGAGCCCTGCCGGCGCATCGGCGTACTGGGCCACCAGCACGCCCCTGTCATCGATATGGTCGATGCCCTTCGCGAGCTTGTCCTTAACCAGGAGGCCATTATCCATCACCATACCCCATTCCCGTCCCCGCGTGTCCCTGGGTGCCGGTTTACCCAATAGCCCGGCGTCGACGTACGCAAACTGAGTGGACCCGAACGGGTTCCGCAACACCGCTTCCCATATCACCGCCGCCTTGGCATTATACACGGCGCTCAGGAATGGGTCATTGTACCACGGCTGTGGTCTCCATAAGGATGAAGGCATGTATCCGTCGAACTTAGCGAACAACGCTGGCTGGACCTGCTCGAAGTTCTTCTGCTGGTACTTGTTGTTAGGAAAGTCCCAGATGTTCGCGTAGTCCGAAATGACGAGCAGGCCGTCGGCCTCACTGCGCCATGATATGATTTTGGACGCGACTTCTGGCGGCGCGTACACGACCAGCTGATCGCCCGCGTCGACGAGCCGTTTCAAAGACCGCATATAGTTCTCCTGCTTCAATTGGCCGTCTTTGTCGTCCGCCGCCACGGGCTTCGGATAGAAGTGAGTGATGGCTGTCGGGGCCCCTTTGTGTAGGGGCTCTAACTCCGGTTCGCTGAGGTGCTCGTCAAAGTCGAAATCGGAGTCTTCGCCTGACGAGGCATCGGACGCCGCATCGAAAAAGGCCTTCTGCCACTTGGCGACATCCTTGCCGAAGGGCTTCGGGTGCGGCTTCAGATACCTTGTCGGTGACGTCTTGGCCTTGACCCCCCAGTTTATGATGGACTTGTTCCTGGGGATCGTGTCATCGTGGTGTACTTCGCAGACCTCGTGGTAGAGGGTATCTCTGGCCCATTGACCGGGATCTCTTTTGGCCGTCGGCCAGGGCGCGGCGAGAGCCGAGGACAAGAGGACAGCCACGAATGCTCGAAGAAAAGACATTGCTTATAAGTTACTAACTCTGCTGGCCCTTCCACTTGAGGCGTCGAAGGGAAGACGCGCCTGCCGTCTTATACTCGGTCGTGACATGACGTATTTGAGGGACAGGCCGAGCCCTGCCTTCGTGGTCCTCATCGCGGCCCGTCGCTGGGTGGCCTCAAGGGACACGCCAGCCCCAGATGACAGAAGAAAGGAATCACGACTTCCATTTATAGGATCAGCGGACTTGATCACATGATATATCATACTCTCAGAAAGGAATTCCGACTTCTGTTCCGTCAGACCCTCTATCACATGATGGATCATACTCTCAGTCCCCACTGCTAAAGGAACGCCCATTTTCAATAATTATAGTTCGGAATGTCTGCGTTTTAACCCGCAATCATCCATACGGACTATGAAGTTCCCGTCATGTGGAATCTTGGAGGGTAGCTACTTAAGCCCCTATCCCGAACATCGATCCGGCACGGAAGGATCGGGCCCCAAGCGCCGACAGGCCCACCGCGGAAGACCGAGTGCTTGCCACCGCTTCATGTTGGCCATAACATCTCCCACCCCCCTGCGGACCACCCCCCCGCGGACCACCCACCCGCGGACCAGCGCGTTCTGACCCACAAACGCGTAATTCACCAACCACCAGGATTATGGTGATCCACCATCTACACCATCACTTTTGCATCTTTTTTTTCACAAAGCACACTATTTGAATCCTTATCCACTGCTGAATCTCATGATGTCATTTTACGACCGTCAAATAAAAGCTAAAGCCGCCATTTTGGCCATCCAACACGGAGCTCCAGTCCGCTCGTCAGCCCTCGAATGGCAAATCAGTCGCTCGTACGTCAACCGACGAATCTCTGGCACCCCAACGCGGAATGAGACCAGCACTCTCCAACAGGCTCTCTCACCGTATCTCGAACATAAGCTGGCAAGCTGGGCCCTGGGGCAAGCACGGCTAGGGTATTCTCCGGCGGTCTCTAAGTTCCGTCTCATGGCCCAGCGGATGCTCCATGCCACCGGGGATGCTCGAGAATTAGGGAAAAATTGGGTATCTAAGTTCCTGTCTCGAAACCCGGAAGTCAAGATAATGAAGTCTCGTGTTATTGACTACAACCAAGTGAATGGTGCTATAGCGGCAAATATCAACATTTTTTTCGATCGGTGTGACGCCCCTGACGTGGTTAACCTCATGCCAGCACGCTGGTACAATGTCGACGAAATGGGAATCGCCCAGTGGGTTGGGGACTCCCATTGGGTGGTCTCCGAGGCCTCCAGCAACGTGGCTATGAAGAAAGGGGTCGAGAAGGGTGAATAAATAACTGCCCTAGAGTGTGTGAGCGGATCTGGTGAGACCTTGCCGCCGCTGGTGATTCTTAAGGGGGTTAACGTACAAGCCCAGTGGTTTAGCAACCAAAATAAGGGCAAATTCACCAATTAGAGGTTTATTATGTCGCCCAATGGATGGACCTCGAATCCCATTGCGTTAGAATGGCTTTAACGTATCTTTATTCCTCATATTCGGGAGGTCCACGGCAACACATGGGTGGTTTTGGTGTGTGATGGCCATGACTCCCACACGAATGACGAGTTCCTAGCCACCTGCTTGAGAAACAAAGTATGGTTGATCTTTTATGAACCTCACTGCTCCCATGTAGTCCAGGTATTAGATATGGGAGTCTTTAATTTGGTAAAGAAGAGGTTGAAAACCTTACTCCAGGAGACGCCCAGCGGCCGTCTGGGACTCAGGCCATCTAAGGAGGAGGTTTTGGAGTGCTACGAGCAGGCCCGGAAGGACACAATGACGCTCCTCAACATCAGAATTACCTGGAAAAAGACTGGGATTGTTCCTCGCAACAGAGCAGAGGCATTGAAGTCGAAATATGTGATTCTGGAGGACAAGAGGGTGGCCAGGCCACGCCAGAGGGACCCTAAGGCTTCCGAGCGAGCCACAACACCAGATTTTCTCGAGATGGTAGCTAAAACCATTGTCATAACACCCTCTGGAAGCCGGGCTTTGCAGGAGAGTGCTCAAAAGCTCGAAAGAAAGGACCCTTCCTTTGGGGGGCCCTCTGAGCGCTTGTTGGTGCAGAAGGCTGGCAAGGCTATGGATGTTCAGGCTGCTACCATTGCAAATCTACGGGCCAAATGTAAGCTGTTTGAGGCTCAAGTGGCTAAAAAGGCTAATACCACTCGAAAAGCAGTCAAACCAACACCAGGGGAACGATTCGTCACAATGGCTAACATAAGGGAGGCCAAAATGGAGCTGAGGAACAGGAGGGTCTATAGGGACTCCGCTGCAGGCGAAGAGGTCCCACAAGAGGTCCCTGGTGAAGATTTAGGGTCGGAATCGGATTCTGGGAGCTGTATTATGACTAGAACACCACGATCTTAGTGTATTTAGCAACTGTGGTGGTTGTAGATGGCTTCATCTGAATGAGAGTGGTGTGGTGTGGAGTGGTCCGTGGGGGGGTGGTCCGCAGGGGGGGGTGAGATGTTACCCACAGTGATTCCCGCCCCACTTCCTTATTACCTTCGAACACATTTCCTATTGTAGGGCAAGAGACCGAAGACGTCCGCACTGGAGTCGACGACTGTCTCGGCAGAGCAGCTTCTCGCCTAGGATTTCCTGGTATGTACCTACGACTACGTGGCGGAGCGGTCTCGGTCAAAGCTGGACGTCGAGAACTTCTTCACCATCCTGGCCCGGAAGCGGCGTGGCGACGAACCATGCATTACCTTGCTAAATCTTCTCTCCATTCTTCGTATGAGAAGCGCCCGGTCGACAACTGTCACAAATAGGTGCTTATCGCCTGGTTATGGGCGACGGCGAAAACGAAGGGCGGATGTCGGTATCCATTGTTTCTTAGTTGTCCGTCGGGAGTCTTATCGAAATGCGTGGGCTGGGGCGGGCTCAGGTCGCCGTGCTTGCTTGGATATAGCTGTTCAGGACTTTGCGACACTTCAGATAGAGTGCAGCACCTGGACGTAGACTCTCTATTGCTCTAATGCTCGCTCTTAGGTTCTCGTCCACAGGGCATGGCCTTTACTCATTTATCATTGAGGGATACCTGTCAAACAGAGCGTAGGGGCTTTTAGATGGGTGAAAACGTATATCTTGGTGTAATCCGTGTTCTTGTTGTATCTGTGTGAAAAATCCTTCTGTGGGCTAAGTGGCCCAAGAATGCCCTATTGGCCTTGTTGGTGCACTGTGGCAACCTCTCTGAAAGCCACGGTGGCTTGGCGCGCCATTCAACAATACCCGGACCGAGGACCGACATGGTCGTTGCCTCTGTCGTAGCCATTCCCTTTGTCATTCCCTTTGCTAGTTATGTCTAGGAAGCTGTTTCAACCGATATTGTTTTAAAATAAAAGAAGTATTATCAAAAAGCATCCCGTAAATTAGTTTTTTGTATATATATACATAGCTTCCGCGCTTAATTAGTATTATATCTCTTTATAGAACAACATATTATTTACCCCCCCCCCTAATGGTTGGCCTTTTAACACGAGTCTTGGTTTTAATAAAGTGTTTATGACTTCGTTGCTTCGACCTACGAGGTCTACCTAGGCTGCGGCCAGCAATACGCGGTGTAGCCTTTGTAGGAGCCATGCTGCACGGAAACTGCACGGCCTCGCCAGCCTTGTTCTGTTGAGCAGCACGTAGGCAGTCAACGCTATGCTTACTTGATGCTCCGTACGCCATCACCAGCTCGGTCGGTGGCAATGCCCGCTCGAGTGCTCCGCTGACACGGTACCTGGCGAAAATTAGCCGCGACGGCTGTGGCAAGCAACAAAGTGGCCCAGACTGAAGAGTGCATAGTGAACAGTGGCAGGTGAGACGAGACGTTGAGGAATTGTGACGGCCTGCACGGACCTTCCCACATGACAAGCCGATACTTCCCAATAAGGGAAGGATCTGACCAGAGGATCCCCTTAAAGGGGCAACCTCCTGCTGTACCTATATCTCTCTCTCTCTTCCTTTCCTCTCTAGTCTTGATATTCTCGTCAATAGAGTAATAGCTACTTGCTGCCGGCCATGTCCCAGCTCTTCAGTACGCTCGCCGTGACATAATATCAAGACTTGTCCATACCAGATCAGAAGCCTTGTCTTCAGATCACCACTGTAAGGAGTTTTACCTCTAGCGGTGACAGGTGCAGTGTCTCTGAATACCCACCTATCCCAAGACTTTATCATCCCTTTACTATTTCACCTATCATTACCACTGATTCTGTCTAACACACCGTGACGATGAGTACCATTATCATTCCAGAACGCCAGGATAGTTCTGAAAGGACTGGAAGACCAGTCCAACCTATCTAAACAACCCCCAATACTAATAACCTTCCCCCAAAGAAAGGAAAGAAGAAACAGAGGCACAAGGCACAAGGGGGTCAGAGCCAGCCAAACACGCGATCAAAGGCCGCTTTGACCCACAGCCTGTCACGGCGAGCGTACTGAGGAGCTGGGACATGGCCGGCAGAAAGCAGCTATTACTCTATTGACGAGAATATCAAGACTAGAGAGGAAAGGAAGAGAGAGAGAGAGATAGGTACAGTGGGAGGTTGCCCCTTTAAGGGGATCCTCTGGTCAGATCCTTCCCCTATTGGGAAGTATCCGCTTGTCATGTGGGAAGGTCCGTGCAGGCCGTCACAATCTCTCTCTCTCTTCCTTTCCTCTCTAGTCTTGATATTCTCGTCAATAGAGTAATAGCTGCTTGCTGCAGGCCATGTCCCAGCTCCTCAGTACGCTCGCTGTGACAGGAGCCAGCACTACGCTGGCTGAGGGTTTGGATTGATCGGAAATTCACCCTCAAGCGACATGTTCAAGAACGTGCTGGCAAAATCATGCAGCTATCCTGGCATATACGAAACCTAGCCAACACCAACTACGGACCCCCGGCGTCCGGATTACGAAAGGCTGTGATCACCTGCGTCCTTCCCACAGCGCTATACGGGTCAGAAGTCTATTACGATGGACAGAAGTAGTCGACACACAACCAGTCACAGGCAGGCAAGCCTGAAGTTAGTGCTGGTATAAGATGGCATATCAATATCTTGCAGAGATCTATCACGATAGCAGCACGGGCGGCACTGCCATGCTGGCGGACCACACTGAATAACGTCATTTTCAGGGACGCTGGCCTCCTTACGGCAGAGGTGGCGCTTAATGCAGCGCTATGGCGGTTTGTTTTCAGGCTACGTACTGTAGACAAGAAGTATCTCTTTGTTAAGCGAATCCAACTCCCAGCGATTATACGGGCCATGGTGCAGGCGGCTTTTAACGCCTTAAAACTAAATTACAGCTAGCAGCTCGCCTGTTATACCCTGTATAGCGGCCCTTATTAGTGTTACTGCGCTTCATACCTGGCTGCAGGATCGATCTAACCAGAGGTATTGATAAGGAGCAGGCTGTCAAGGACTTCAAGACCTGGTTTGAGGCTCTGCCACTATATGACGTGGTGGTCTTTTCAGACGGCTTGAAGGAACGGATACACGTCGGATACGGCTATGCAATCTACCAGGGCGGGCGCCTGCTCGCCACTGGCAAGGGTCATCTAGACCCGTGTTCTATCGTGTTTGATGCAGAAGTGCTCAGAGCCTGGAAGGGACTTCAGCACGTGGTCAAGTCACCCCCAGAGCTCAGTCAGCGCCGGATCTGGGTATGTGTGGACAACATAGGAGCGATCTGGGGGCTCTGCGGCAATGCCGCGGTGTCCTACCAATGGGCTTACCTGAAGTTCCATGCTGAGGCTGAAGTCCGTAATATTAATGTCAAGTGGTGCCCTGGGCACTGCGCTATTGAGGGCAATGAACTGGCAGACAAGCTGGCTAAGGCCGGCTCTAAGCTCTCTAATACTGACTCTGACTGCACACCAACAGCGTACGGCATCAAAGCAGAGGCGAGACTTAAGCTCGAAGTCTCGCGCGACATATGGTGGACCAAGGCCCAGACCAAGCTATCGGCCCGCTATAAGTACTAGAACCTGAAGTACAAACTGTGCTATTACGAGGAATTGTAGGTACTCAACAGGCCGTTATTACACCGCTTCCTTGCTGTCTGCTCAGGGCACGGCGACTTCCCTTGGTATCATGTCAAGTTCAAACATCAGGACGCCGTCCTTGACTGCTCGTGCAGCCAGAGCAAAACTCTGACGCACTTCATCCACTGTCGGAAGACTCTGGCACGGTACATAGTCTGGCCAAGGGCCCCGGCATCCCGGCCGGAGCTCGGAGCCAGGCTCGAAGCCAGGCTCGAGTATCTAGACGAACTCATGACTTCCCCACAGGAGTACATGGACCTACTCGTGGGTACTGACTTCTATGGCAGCATCTGCCCTCCTCACTGAGGGCATACTCACTCTTTCCTTTTATTATGGCATCTAGGAGCTTTATCTTTCTATCTTTTCTTTTTAATATCTCACAGGGCGCGTAAGAACTATTACGGTATGCCACGGCATCTACTATAAGCTTTAAGAGCACTAAACCTGGCGATGCGCCCTAAAAACTGAACATTTGGGACCCCAGCCGATACTTCTCCTTACCCGGAGGAGGGGGGACACGGTGTGATCCGCCGCTTAAGTGTGGTGGTTGTTTACGGAATTGACCTGCTAAATGGGCAGTGTATGTACATAGAAGACCTAGCCTAGCACGCCTGAGCGGCCTCTTGGAGCCCCTGGTTGACGCCGCTACGTGGCAGTCCCCCCGGCGTTAAATGCTACAACAACAATGGATTTGATGTCCTCGACATGCATGATCTTCGCCTGGCTGGTGTTCAGGTAGCATCTCTGTTCTGGTCGGTGTCGTCTTGTGTGTTCCTGACGATGTGAGGTAGTACGTGTATGTAAATGAAGGAGTTGGTTGGAGGTTACGGTTCGGGTTTGCAGTTGGTGCCTTCTATGACGTCCTCTATGAAAGTTGCTCCGTATGTAACAAGCACCTCTCGGATGGCATCGGTAGTGCGGATGTTCTTGTAGAGTTTGTTTGTTTGTTTTGTATTCAACGTGGGGGGTAGCTCCATGTTCTTGTAGAGGTACCCAATAAGAGCTGCTACGTGGCCAATACTTTCCTTGTAGAGCTTGAACCAATCAAGGACGTACATTAACTTCTGTTTGCCCATTTTCATGAGATCGAATATCGCGTACGTGTCGGCAAGGACGTAAAGCTTGGCGTGCAAGAAACACACCCGTGAAATCTTCAGCGGGTGACTGTTGGGAACGGTCCATGTCCAGCCTCCAATTGTCCAGCGAATCGAACTTGCCAAACGCCCACTATCTGGCGTACCACCATCACGATTCCTTTCCAGCAAGGCACCAGCGAGGCACTGGCAATCAACCACCGCCCGCACCTTCTCCACCCTCAACCTCATCCTCATTGTCGTTGTCACCGGAAGGCGACGGGAAGGTCGCGCAAATCGCCTCTCGGTTCTAAGATCCATCAGTACATGCTTCGCAGGTGCTTCACTAGGGGGTAGCGGCTACCTACCACGTAGGTTTAGGACTCGCTAAAAGCCTCAAAAGCACGAGCAAGGCGCTCATTGCTTGCAGCCACAGCCTCATTCGCTCGAGCGTTCTGCTCGAGTGCGAGGAGCCATGGCCAACCATCCGCCTCCCAACAACGTTTTGGGCTCTCCATGCTGATGATAAGTCTACTTCTCAGCTTATACCTTGTCCCAACTCACTGCTAGTTCTCTCGGTGTCGCATCAAACGATGAAGGGCTCGCTCTCGGATTACCAAGAGTCCCGCGTTCCATAAAGACGCTTGTCGTGGACTTCGAAGACATACATGAGCTGGTTAGGTCTGACTGCTACGCTGTGGTCATCCGCGACTACCTTAAAGCGTGCGTGTGTGTGTTTGTGGGTGTTTTTCACTATATGTCCGTTGCCGCAGGTGAAGCTTGCAACAAGTGGTGATCCATTGCGTCGATTTGCTTGCCAACGGTCGTTAGTGTGCCATGCGAACTCGCCGTATTGGTATAAGTGATGGGGAGGAGGCGTAAAGGGGCAGCTAAGGTGCAGGTGCTAAAACCGGATCAGGACAAGAGAAGGTAGATGAATGTGCTTGCCCAACCGTTTTCGTAGATAAAAATGGCGGAGCAAACGCTCCACGAGCCGGCGCAGCGGCCAGCACCAACAGAAGGCCACCCAGGCCCACAACCACACCGCCAGGACGAACCAGGCCACGGCGGTCGACGCCGGAACGCCGAAGAACAAAGCCACCGACAACTCGCCGGGAAAGGCACAGCCCAAGAGGTACCGGTAATGTAGAATGTGGGTGGTGGTATAAGTGATGGTGCATCCCCGTCGAAAGCCCCACAATAAAACGAGGGTTGTGGAGGGCTTGGACGTCGGTCAAGGCTCTTCTTCAGATTGCTTGCTGCCTTTTCGCGGGCCTTGCGTTCGTGTTTCCGTGCATGGCGTTGAGAGTTGCTGAATGAGCATGTAGTCTTAAAGCCTCGGGCCACACAGTTTGAGCACGCTCCGCCAGCCAGCGTGTCCGCCACTATGCACTGGGCGTAGGGGCCTCTCTGGTCTGGAGTGAGCTTTCCCTCGGCATTGCAGTTTGTACATCGTTGGCCCGGAGGTATGATGTCCGTACTGAACGTGGACATGATCTGTGCCAGGTGGAGTTTCTCAGCAGCGGGCTCTGCAAATTAGGTGATTTGTGGCGTTTTATTTTAATGGACTTAGCATATAGCACGGGGGCTCTGCTTTTTGTTGTCTTTTGGGGTATTTGGGTTTGGCTTCTCCTTTCCGGACGAAGAGCTTAAATATAAAAAAATAAATCGTAAATCGGGCCGCAAACAAGTGACTAGCGGCCGCTGAGGTGGGAGGTAGGAGGTGACAGTGTGACAGTCGAGGAGGTAGGAGCCCACTCGGCTTCCGTGTTGGCATCTTGGGAGGGAGCCGACGTGTTGGTAACCACAAGAGCCCGCGAGTTGAGAACCGGGGAGGAGGTGACGGCGAGGCAGGGGGCATTGTAAGACTGGTTGATTGATTGATTGTATTTATCGTGGGTGCAGTCCCTCAACAGGGCAAACCACGCCTCCCAGAGCCATTGCATCGCAAGGTTGTAAAGGTGTCAGTCTAGATATATTCAGATCCACGCATGAGCCTATCCTCGCTGTAGCGGTACCAATCTGGAGTGTCCAGATAGTTTTAGTCAATATCCAAGCACAATTCTGTCAAAAAAACCTCTTATCTAGTGACAAAACGACCCAGTGGACCTCAGTCCTCTGGTGTACACATTGTTCCAGTAGCCGTTCGATATATGTCGCATTGGTGGGTGAAATAGGTATTTATTATTTACTAATGAGGGAAATCATAAGGGGAAAAACTTTACAAGAATGGGTGTTATAGAGACAAGTTGTTTGGCTATCAGGCTCTGCGATAATAAGGCCTTTTTATTATCGTGTGCTGGTTGTCAACTCGCACAAGCTGGGTCAGAAGGGGGCTGTAGCAGGATTCGAACCCACTTGTTCTCGTCGCCCACCGCACAAACGAGACCACAACCAGGCGCATTTGACCATTGCGCCATATGGCCCATTGTAAGACTGGGAACAGGAGCTGCGGCAACAGGAGCTGCAGGAAGGGATTCAGAACCATCCGAGCGCTCCGGTCTTGAGCCGCGGGTATAGCATGCGAGGGTAGATTTCCGGACTCCCTTGAATCTATGGTTCGAAGGGCCTTTCAGTGCGACGCAGTGGACCTTCATCTCGGCCAGGATCTCGGAAGATTGGCGGTGCGCAACGAAGACCTTGGCCAGGCAGATGGCGCCATCTGGGGCGTTCTTGGGTATTTGGTCGACGATAAATTTCTCTAAAAGCAAGTGGTAAAGCTGGAGGGCGGGTACGTTCCAAGACGCGACTGCAGCATCGGCGTGAAGTCTTAGGTTGGTTGGTTGCAGTCTTTTACGTCTGCGAACGGCTGCGAAGCAGCTGCCCGCCTGCGGGCCTCTCGGGCGATGTGACGTGACAAGCAGTCCAAGGCACCTATCTATCTCGTATGCTAGCTACGTACATATTGTGGTGTTTTGGCTGCTGAAGTCAATTTATACCTCCATGAGGGCGAGGTTACCAGGGCCTCCAGTCCACTCCTTTTAGGACTATCAGGACAGCGTTTCGTTGTCCCCTACCGCTGTATATGCCAGCGTGTGGGATGTGGGATGTATGTGTGGCGTGAAGTCTTAGGGTAGGTGGGTGGCCTGTAAGTGCTCGGCGGAGATACCAGCTGGATTGGAGATGGGGACGGCGGCGATAAGATCGTACAAGGGGCCGAAGGGTTCACCGGTCTGCTGCATGATCTATTGGAGGTCCGCTGCCAAGTGAACTCGACCTTGACAAGGCGTGTGTTGGGCGTGCAACTGGACCCTGTATGTGGCGTCCGGTCTGACCGCGCGACTGAAACCAAAGTCGCCACTGGTGCGATTTACCAAGACTGAGTCAAAGGGTCCCAATGTCAAGGGTAAGGTGCTCTGTTTTCGTTTTCGTCGCCGTTCTGAGAAAAACTCCGGTATGAGATACACGCCCGTGATTGATCGGTGCATATTTCCATATAATCGGAACGCATTGACGAACATTTGGAATGGTAGGGAGAGAACCTTTTTACCGGTAGGTAGGGAGTTATGTGAAAGGTTGGCGAAGACGACACAGCCATCTTGCCCTTGCCCTTGCCATGGATAACAGAGTCGGCCGGGCGCATATCGGCATTATAGGCAGGGTTGGAATGGAGGTGTACACATTGAAATCCTTACTGAAAGGTTATGTTGTGAGAAAGATGGTTGAGTTTGAGGCTGCAGACGGGCTCTGGTTAGATGAGGGAGAGGAATTGCTGACAGTGAAGGCTCGGGCTCTCAACAAATGAATGGAAACTTTTTGGGAAAGACGAAGATCGGATACGGGACTTCCACAAATCCTTGGCGTACTTATCGTCATTTCTCTTGTTGTCGTTGTCCTGCTCGTCGTCTTGCGCGTCGTTGGCGTCGTTGGCGTCGTTGTAAAGGGAGGCGGCCAATCTGTTGAATCTTGCTAGAGCGGGATACAACAGCCAGTCCGACAGCTACGATCAGTACAATGACAGCGCCGAGGATAAGACAGCGGACCGTCTTCACGCACGCAAGTAATGCCCCGAGAGTAGACATGACTGAACGTGGTTTCGGTGACTGTATGGTCAAGTAGTGGATGATTGAGAGAGAATTTGTGGCGAAGTCTCTGTGCGAGGATCTGGCATTATATAGGACTTCGTAACTTATCGGAGGCAGGTGCTTGACGACCAAGGTTTTCTGTGGCTTATGGTGCTGTGTGTAAGGTTTGAAAGTGTTCTGTGTTACAAAGAAGAAGAAGTCTGCAAGGGATTGACTCCCCCACTTGTAGACTGGGGATCCTAAGAGATGACCAATATCATGCTCAGGCTAGTACGCCACTGAGCACCCATTCTGGAAATGTGGAGGGAGTTAGATGGATAAGGTTTAGTGACGAAAGCGAAAACGTGAAAGGAAACTGCTTTTCTCTTTTGAAGCTCCGCCTCGCCAGACTCTAGACCTTTTGTGGTCACGCGGATGTGCGACAGAACCTCCAACTGCAGGTCGCCATGGCTTGCCGAGGTGTGCGCAGTCGGCGTTGGAACGAAGTTGAAAAAAGCTGCGAAAGCCCCGCGATCAAGTCGGAACCGATGGCGATTTGATTTGCCGCTGGCGTGTTGCATCAGTCGCAGCTTCCTTCAACGTCGAGATCAATCCCAAGCCGAGACAGAACCTCCAATGTCTCCGAGGCATTCCTGAAGACATTGTTGTTTGCCGTCAGAGCGACTTTTGGGACGAGGATGTCGAAGGTTACCGCGCGGCGCATGGCGGTCGCATCGCAGTAGTCTGTTCGAGGGTTGTTAGGCTTGCCGTTAGAGTGCTTTAACATCAGTTTTTGCGTTGCGATGGGAAGCATTTAGTACAGTACACAGTATGGGTGAGGGCTTTAAAGTTCTGTGGTTTATGCGATAAGGTAGTGTTAAAGTATGGTGTCTGCGATGAGGAAAAACCCGGTGTTGCTTGTATTGTACAAGACGGACAAGACACGTTCATGTTAACATCTGTTACTGAGGCTACCATTCAGAGAGAGTGTAGCTGTCAAAAATAACGGGTATAAGGCGTTGGGAACTTGTCTTGATGATGGTGCGTCATCCTAAGGCTGGCCAGCTGGGATCCAGCGTCAAGTCTCGAGTCGCTACGTTGAATGCCATGTGGACAGCAGACGAGCGAGAGAGGGGTAACCTACGTGCAGTAGCGATGAAGGTACGAGCGCCAGTGCACGACGAGGGCCGAGTGAGTGGCGTCTGCGATGTTGGGTATGGTACTATGGTAGATTTCCACTGGGTTTGAAACTTG